GAACGAATGAATTCTAACTCAGATTGTAAGGTCAGAATGACTCGTATTTATATAGTTTTAATTTCTTTTGATTACCTTCTCATCTATTAGGTAATCTTTCTTACGTAATGGTTCATTAGTAATACGCATCTATTTTTGTATTAGTAGTGTGATTACGTAATTTTCTCGTGATCTTTCCATGTTATTGGTAAAACATTCTAGATATACTCATATCATATTATTTCCGTCAGTTTCTGACACGTTATGGCCTAGGTAAGAAAATATGGGGTAGTATACGAAGGTTTTATCGTTCTCTCATGCACTCTGAAATGGGACATGTACTGCTTGTTAACTAAGAAGTTCAAGGATAAAGGTGTCTGTTCAGAGGAGGAAGGAGCACACGTCCGTTTATGAATTTATAAGGACTAACAGCCAGCTTGAACAGGTTCAACTAGCTTCCTAAAAGTTTCCAAGGGTCGCTTGAATTATTTTAGCTATTATTATTACACGACAAAATTTGTTCAATTCATGTTTAATAGGATTCAATAGTTCATTGTTGAAACAAAATGTGTTAAATGTTGGTTTAATATTTACTGTGAACTTGCGCTTACAAAATGTTTGGTAGTTACTGATGTTTGCTGAAGGAAATAATATGGGATGGATATATTTAAAATGTTTGACATATGGTGGAACGACATTATTCTGAATATTACCAAAAGAAATTATGTAATGAATTGAAAAGTAGTTAAATTAAGAAAAAAGTTCGAAAAACAAGTTAATGTGATCTCGCAGTTTGATTTAGATTCATTGGTTCTGTAAATTAAAAAACTAAAATAAAAAATCACGTACAAAATTTAGAATAAGGCAATTAACCTAATTAATCTATCCTTGTAATTATCTTAATAACCATCTTTACCCAACAACAATCATTTAATATTCAAATTCCATCTGAATTTAATATCAAAATATCTGCTTCAGTTCATTAAGAACTGTGGCGTCTTGTATTACTATATAAATATTATGATTGGTTGGTTTTGAACATAATGTGACAATATAGAGATCTTCCCCGAACATATTGATAAGTTACTAACCAACACTTTTGAATCTCCATTAGTTTCATCGACTTATTAAAGTTATGAAATACCTAAAATTTATTATTTTTACCAATAATACCCACAGGATGTGATTTTTATAAATAAATTAATAACGTATTTCATTACATACAATTTATTTAAAATTTCTTCTTTAAAGTCAGTTTTCTCATCAGCATTGACGGTTTCCTTGCCAGTTTCGACGGACTACTAATACTCGATTTTCTACTACCCTTTAAATGATTAACCTTTTCAGCAGGCTTATCAAAATCACTCATGGTGTGAACTACCGGATTGTTATTTTTATTAGAGTTATGGTTTTTTCCATTTAACCGATCATTTGAATTTGAAATTCCGATCGATCTTAGATCATCAATCACATTCAACAGAGACTTATCGGAATTTAATACAGGGCTGTTTGGTAAACTTTTCAGGGAACTCATCCTAAATATCTGGGACGTGGGCTTTAGATAAATAGATGTTATGCTACCAACGTTCAGTTCTAACTCCTCTAAAACAATAGGGTCTAATTTTGTGTTCAGTTCTATTTTCGGTAGTTCTCCATCAACAATGTCCTTTAATATTTCATTCGTTACATTACTACCATCCTCTCTAGCCAGAGATAACAACCTCCAATACATAAACGCCCGGCTTCGAAGATCTGGATTATTTGCATCTTCGGTACACTCACGTAATAAGCATATGCATAATTTTTCAGTTTCAATCGATGGATATCTAACAAAGAATTTTATACTTGAGGTTAAAACAGAAAATTGAACTTCGGGGGATTCATTCAATACATTAGTACAAAAAGTTTCGAAGAGTGTCAAATAATCTGGCAGGATATCTGAATAGTGTGTAATAATCCAGATCATTGCATTCCTCGATTCAGTATCCTGAGCATAATCAACATATTTTACTAAAGTTTTCACATCATTTTTAAAATCCTTAGGATATTTTCTCAATATATTTCTGAACACTGAGATTATTTCTTGAATAACGTAATCCACCCCAAATTCAAGTAGGTGTAACAGGATGTCCACACATTTTCCGGCTGAACTTTCGCCTAACTTAACTGCCAGATTACCAATAGCTCTAACTGCCTTTCTAGACATTTGTATATCAATATCGGTAGCATGTTCTTCCAGTTCATCCAATATTTGCGGCAATGTTCCCTCATTTGATAAAAGGTAAAGACACTCAAGCTTTGTATCCTTAATATATATTGGGTCATTATATTCGATAAAAAAATATGGAACATCAAATTTCAGTAATGATTGATCTCTACTCAACAATAATAGGATCACATTTCTTAGAACGAGGAATTGCAACTCTGCTGGTTTTTCCAAAAGTGCTATAACAGAATTTGATAATCTTTTAATAATTGTTTGATTAACTTCTTCAATATAGTTTAGTAAATAAAGAACCATTTTCAAAGCACTGAGTGATACAGCAGAATTAACATGTTGAAGATGTGGTAATACCATATCAATCATATCATATGCATTATCATGGGTTTGCGGAACTACTGTTATAGGTAAAATCTCTAACAATGTAGCTGAATCCCATTCATTCAAAGTAGGAAGTAATTCCAATATATTAAAAGCAGTTTCCACTGATATATGAACAGGTTGAGAATTTCCATCTACGTCATGAATCATACAAAGGGCATTTAATGCAGCTATTTGAATAGTTGGTTTTTCTATTTGGTGATTAACAATATCGTATAATAGATTTAATAATGACATTACTCTTTCATGATCATAATCATCTAATTGAACCAAGGAATAAATAGCATTTTTCATTAATTGTTCTGGAACTGTCTTTTTATTAGTTAAATGAATAATAAAATCAAATGCTTCTTCTGAAAATTTACTGAAAGGTATAGATACCAAAGTTTCCAAAGCCATAATTTGAACTTTTTCATTTCTACTGCGTAAATCATTTAATATAAATGGTAATGATTCCACGGTACTTCTTGGTTTAATTGACCCGATGGTTCTAATATACTCATGACAAATTCGTTTAACTTCCATATCATCTTCTATCTTCCAAAACTTTAAAATCTCAGGCAATAAAAGTAACATCTCAGAATAATTACCTAAAGTTAGATTTGCAATTATCTTTCTTAACGCATTTTTTTTTTTGGCGACACCAGATTTTATCTTTTTCACATCAACAATCTGTAACTCAGACCTGATCTCATTGGCCTTATATCTTGTGAATATCCTCTGATCTGACATAATGACAGAGCTCTATCTTTTATTTATTTATTGATACGTTCTACAAATACTTTAGAAGATCGAACAACGATAGGATCACGATTGAAATAGGAGTAAATTAATCGAAATAAAACTACTTAATTCAATGAAGAATAAACCACAATGAAACGTAAACTGGTGAATGATTTTATTAGCCTATTCTAATTAGCTATTATCATGAGCTAATCATTTAACATTACAACTGGCATCATTTGCGAGTTCTTTGAACTTTATTTATTTTCTTCTATTCAAGTAAATAAGAAAAATAGAAGTACTAAGAGTTTACTCTCAAGTTGCGCGTTGTCTCACCCTTTTGAAAGTGAAAAAAAGGATTAAAGGCTAAACAGAACAAGAAGATATGTAATATATTTGATTTGTTTTCTTGTTTTACAGATTATCTCAAAGTTGATAACCGTCTGCAGATAGTTAGATTTTACATCTATATTAGAATTGATGTCCGGAAAAATACAGCAGGAATGCTGCTTTATATAGTTGCGATAATGATATTTTTTAGATAATATTAAAAATTAGCGTTACACTCACCTTGTACAATTCTAATCAATTTAATAAACAGTAAATAGATGAAACACACTGGTTAGCTACAAACTACCATGACGAATTAAAATAGTCCACGAGAGAAGAATGTGTTCCAAAACAGGAAAATACAAATAAATTGTATTTTGAATGTGAAGGAGCCAAGCACTTCATAAGTTAGATATTATACCCACCTTACATATTATCGCAGAGATGCAGACTAAACCCGGTGCATTGCTTTTGGTAGCACTAAGATACAATATGTCATGTATGTCTATAACAATGAGTTATAGTTGGAAAAGGGAAAGAAATCCCTTCTAGAATATTATGAATAATATTCAGTAATGCTGCATTCGATTGTGCTAAGTTGCGATCTTTTTCTGCCTTTTCTTTTCTTTTTTCTAACCTCATTTAACAGTTTTGAGGACAAACAAAAGATTACAACTTCATCTTGTATTATAACAAAATATGATTCAATAGCAGTATTGTGTACACACAGTCAAATCACCCTGCAATTTAAAGATTCCATATAATATAGGTACCTTGCTCCACTTGGTTATTTACAAAAATACATTAATAAAGAAGAAATTTCTTTTTTCTCTTGCACGATGCGACAATGAAAAAAGTCATTACTAGCCCAATTAGGAAAGTCATTAGTGACATATAACTGGAGATGCCCCAACTACAGATCTTTGAAAAGATATCATTATTAGTTTTCTGTAATAAAAATATGTGCTCTATTGAGGTTATATATTTTCATCCTAAAACGTTACAAAATCAAATTAACTTATATAGACTGGTTTGACCAAAGTTATCCGGTATTGTGAAGTCACTTTGTGCATTAAAATGTCCTGCAGATCTTAATAACCTTTATTACTTTGTTAAAATTTTCAATAACCTCATCAACTAACACTTTGTTTTGGTTTCATTTACTAAGTTATGTTTTTATTAAGCTTCCCAAGAATATAAATACTGGATATGAATTGACAGTTTATCCGAAATTCAATAATGGTTGATTTTTCTTTAGTTCCTTCCAAGTTCACTTCATATTATCCATTACAGAACATAATAAGAAAAAACCCATAAACAAGTTGACCATGATTAGTTACCTTAAGTTCATTACAACTTTGTTCGTATTTTTATTTGTTTCAAATTGTGCCGAAATCTCTGATGTTAATTTGTATGATCTTTCTATAACTCCTACATCTTCAAGGTTACCTCACTTAGGATGGACTGCATCTTTCACATTTTTCTTTCCTGATACTTCCTCTATATCTATTGGTGACACTTTTACATTAGATTTAGATTACGTTTATCGTATCAAATTCGGTGGTACTACCGAAACTAGTAACATCACTGTCGCTCTGGATGATGGAACCAAAGCACTTCAATGTTACGTTACTCAACAAGCTGCCTATCTTTACGAATCTACAATTTTAGAATGTAGAGTTATTACCGATTTAACCTCTTACAGTTATGCTTCTGGTGAAATATCATTTGCTTTCAACTTCAATAGTGGTGGTTCCACAAATCAGTACGAACTTGCTGACTCTAAATTTTTCTCTGCTGGTACAATGAACATTCCATTCGGTTCTTCTATGTCTGCTGATGTTCAGTTTGATGCTACTCCAAAACCTGAGAACTTTTATTATATTGGTCGTTCAACTACATACGGGAGCATTGAAGTGTACTATTTAGATATGATATGCCAAGATGGTAACTTGTTGGGTGGTACAGAAACCTTTGTTTTCGATGTCGCCGATGGTAAAAACCCAATCGACTGTTCTTCTGTTCAAGTATACCTATCTGACACATTCAATGATTGGTGGTTGCCAACTTCATACGAAAGTGTCACTCCTGATGTTCTTTGCTACGATAATACAGTTGATATCACTATAGATGATACATCTGCTACTGGTGATATGTTGTTCGTAAATGCGCTTCAAAATTTATATGACGGTTCTAACATTTTAAGTCATACTGTTACTGGTACATATAGTTGTTTCAATACACTATCAAATACAACATACACATCTACCATTAACACAGTTGCTGTCATTACTGCTACTGCTGGTGGGGTATCCATGGATATTTCAGCATTTACCACTCCATCTGTTGTGACATCTACAACTACAACAGAATGGACCGGCACATACACTACTACTTATACAACGGAAGTTACCGAAACCGTTGGTACTGACTCTACTACTACTCCAGAAATCATTTATCACGTCGAGACACCAAGCAGTATAGAACTCGAAATTACAGTGACCTCTACTACTACTACGGGATGGACTGGTACCTTCACCACTACTTATTCTACTGAGACCACTGAAACCGTTGGTACCGACTCTACTACTACTCCAGAAATCATTTACCACGTCGAGACTCCAGTGACATCTACCATATTATCTCTATCAACAAACAATAATTCAACCTGGTACACCGGCACAACTTCAACCATTTCGATAACCTCAACAAAATCGTCGTCATCGATAATATCAACAATATCAACCACATTGTCGTCATCGATACCATCTACATCATTGACATCAACAACACAATCCACAACTTCGGACATCGAAAGCTCTGGAACGTCCTATTTCAGAACTGTAACCACAACTTCTATAATTTACTGGACAGAATCGTACGCGACAACATTTTCAACTGAAACACAGTACACTATTGGTACAGATTCTGTTACTACTCCAAACGTCGTTTATCATATTAAAACACCAGAAGTTAGTACCATATCTACGTCAACCTTCTCTATATCAACCGCTTCCTCAAGCAATACAATTTCTCAAACTGCATCTACTGATAAATCAGTAACACAGGCTTTAAGTTCATCTACTATTTCCAAGCCTTCTACATCCGTATCTACTATTGTCACGACCAACAGTGTTACTACTTTAATACAATACCCAGGAAGTACATCATCAGTAGCAACTGCCCACCAATCTCTATCTATATTTTCAGACTCTGGTGATAGATCATTTCCCCTACCCTTCCAATTCATAATACTCGCTTTTAGTTCATTATTCATGATCTAATAAAGAAATATTTGAGGAATATATTGGAATTACGCTATAAACATATTCCTTCTTGAAATTTATATATCTTTATTTTATTCTTTAGATAGATTTTTGTATAGTAATATAATTATAATAATAATAATAATAATATTTTAACATCCCTATATCGTTATCCAATCGCAGTATTAGAGATGCCTAATAACGTTGAAGAAATTTGGACAACATCCCATTACTAACTTCACATGAATTCCTGAAGGCTGTCTACATCAAACCTTCAATGCAAAAATGTCCATAAAAAATGATAATGTTACAAAAAAATGCTAAATGATATATTGTATTGTCCTTAATTGAAAACGATAGAATAATAGTTAAATTTCATCTATTTTTGATCCTTCAAATTAACTTTGAAAGTGTACGTAGAGTAACCATTTATTACAGGAGGTTTAGGTTGAGATTTATTAAGTTTAACTTTCGAGTCTGAAATAAATTTTCCAGTCAAGTTTGGCTGTTTGTTCCTATAAGTATCGAAACATTCAAATTCGTTTAGAGATATCTTAGATTTTATTTGATTCCGGCCTTTACTAGACGCTACGTTTAATTCACCATTTTGATGAACAGCCATGACATTAGAATTATTTTTTTTATGAGGAATTCTGGCAGAAAAAGATTCATTTAATGGTATCTCTCCCTCAGATACTGTACTTATCCCAGTAGCGGTTAGTACTGACTCCCGAGTCTTCTCAGTATGTTTGCCCACGTTGTTAACGAATGACACTTTTTTAATTTTATTCTTATTTGATATGCTCCCATTTATTCGTCCGTCAATAACCTTAACCATATTATTGCTTTCGATCTCTGGATGTCGACGTCTCAAGAAGTGGCGTCTAATCTTATTTGTCTTTAAATTAGCATTATAGCGTGGATCAAGTTTGATTACCAAATTATTATTATCCCCCATTACAACATCATTATTCACCTGGCTTATCTTTTGATGCGAGTTATTCGTCGTCAACACTTGTTCCTGATGCTCCATCTTTTCCTTCAATGTTCTGTTCATAGATAAATTTTCAACCATATCCTTCTGTACAACTGTCCCTGCATAATCCTGGGCAAATTTATGGAAAACTATTGGTACACCACCATTTTTACTAACTGATATATTACTTCTCTCAGGATTTTTTTCAGATTGTAGCTTTTTAAAATGATGAAAAGTATTGGACCTAACTTTATCCTTTCCCGATTTACTGGGATCAACCATCACTAGTTTCATCATCATTTTTGGTGATATCTCAAATAGTTATAAAATCCAATAAATACGTCCTAAAACAACCGTGAATATACTGTTATTGTCCCTTATAAAGTACAGTAAAATCTCCTTCTTATGTAACCACTCCTGTTCTATTTGATGCTGTTTTTTTACTCTTGTAGTAAAAATTTGTCTATATTTACTTTTTCTTCACGCTTTCTATTGTTTTCGCATCTGCAAAGTTTCAGCCGTCTTTAAACCAGCGAAAGGAGATGAGTTAACTATATTTAGATACATATAAATACATATGTAGGTAGAGGGTGATATCATGTAAGGTAAAAATATTCAACGAAGAGGATAATGGGAAGTACTCACGTAATCATGTTACTAGCGATTCTTAAAATCACATTTTCTTCCTATATATTTTAATGTAAATTAATATATTGATTAAGTACAAATATAATTATATATTTCAATCTTTATGCGAGGGGGGAAATGGAAGCCAGATATTAGTTGTCCTATAAGGAATAGATCATAACCTAAAGTTCGTAACATTGTTTTTGTTGTTACCATTTGATGCAGCATTACCCTTGATATCCTTCTTTTCACCAGCCTTATTGATAACTGTAATATTCTTTGCACGTGACAATGTCTCGATAACGTCATCCTTCTTACTCTTCTTCTTCGCTGGGTGACTAGCCATATTCTTAGCTCTTTTTCTCTTGACAGACCTACGTAATCTATTCTTATCTTCTCTTGTCAACTCATCCCTAGACATTACAGTACCATTCTTCAATCTAATCTCATTATCGTTATCTGCTTTACCAGACTTATAGACTTCCTGTGGAGCCAAAGTTGATCCAGAGGACATAGATAAAGGTTGAGCATCCTCCATTGCTATTGCTGCAGACTCTACTCTTACCTCCAGTGATTTCTTGGCCGGTCTTGGGATGAAATGTGCAGAGGACAATGCGTCCAGTTTATACGTTATATTGTTGAATAATTCTGTTATTTCATCATGGTTCTTTTGCAATTCTTCACTTACTGCATTTTCTTCTGAAACACCTTGTGCATCATCTGCATATATATCTGCTAAAGATTTGGATGATTTAACATCACTAATCTCAACTTGTTGTCTTTGCCCTCTCTTTGCAAAATCATTTATTGTCTTTCTTTGTAAATCATCAAAATTAAATTCTTGAATTCTTTTTCTGATCATATCCTCTAGAGATTCTGTGACCTCTGTAGTTATAACAGGTACTGGTTTAGCAGTTCTTTCGAATTCCAGATCTTCAGTTAATAAGGCATCTTCTGGTCTTTCCTTAGCTCTAACTTCACCCTTAAGAGCCCACTTCTTTTCAGCAATAGCTTCTGCTTCTAATTGTGCTATTTGTTTCTGAATTTCTAATTGTTGTTTTTGGTATGTGGATAGTTTTTCTATATTTGCTTCAGCGTCATCATCAGAACCTTCTTCTTGTGCATCATCAGCGTCCTCGAATAAATCAAGTTTCATCGAGTTCATTGCTGACATACCGTTATCTCTATTACTATTTTCATTCCCAGATTCATCTTCTGCACCATTAGTTTGCAACATTATAGTAGATTTACGTGACTTTGGTTTGTCAAAGAAATCCTCATAGTAATCAGCTTCCTCATCTTCCTCAGATGGTAAATCAGCAAAATAATCTACTTCTTCGTCATCATTATTATTTTGATCGTCATCTTCGTCTAAATTACTTTCTTGTGCTAACGTTTGACGGTTGAAATCTTCAATATTGAAAAACTGATCATTCAAACCATCTGCATCTGCTTCATAATGTTCTTGTGGTTCTTCATATGCTTCTTCCTCTTGTTGTTGACCTTCGATAACATTATCTTCTAAATCAGAATCCACGTAATCATCCTTACCTTCAATAATTTCGTCTTCATCCTCATCCTCTTGATCATCCAACGAATGTTCGGATTCTTCAGCTACTTCATCATTTTCACTTTCATTCATATGTTCAACTTCTTCTTCTTCACTTTCATCTTCATCAACTGATTCTTCCTCTTCTGGTACCTTCATGGCATCTCTTAATTCTTGGATTCTTTCCATTAGGTCACCTTCGACATTATCAATAACCATTTTTGTTTGGAACCAAACTTGGTTGGCATCTAAGCCTTCAACTGTCAATTCGTCAATCGCAATATTACTACTCCCAGAATCACTCTCTTTATAACTAGTGATCAATGAATCCAAATATGTCTTTGTTAACAGTAGTGGTTGAGAGGCATCCTTTCCGATGGCATCCACTGGGGTCTCCCTCAATGCATCAATAAAATTTGTTGCCATTATATACTCTATGACTTCTCAGTAAAACAGTTATACTAACGTAGAATCCACCTATTAGCTATAATAACAAACTTATTATCCTAATGTAAATATCGCTATCAATGTTCTGTCCACCAAAAAGGATATAACCTTTCTCTGTAAGTACTGTTTTTATATAGATATATGCCAACTGATATAAGCTCATCGCAAACTGAAATTTTATTGAATGAAAATTGCAACTGAAAATTTTTTTTCTTGATTAATTTCATCGCCTGAGAGAAACCGAGAGCGAGAGAGCCGATGGGCAAGCCAGATGGGAAAAAGAAAGAAGCAATGGTATAACGTTACTTCCCCACCTCCCAGGGTGACTATGTAAACCCCCAAAATTCTGTATTTATACAAGGCATCACCTTCTTGGTAGTCGTGTATTCAGTTACTTATAATTGTATTGATCAAGGAATCGTTACCTAATCTGCGATCACGGTGCATCCCATTGTGCTATACATTATTTACCGAGGCACGTGCAACTTTTATCCTAATCTTTGTTGATGGATGACAGTAACTTTAGTTGGTAAAGGGAATGCGAATATTCTCATTTCGAATGATGACCCATTTTGGTTGTATAGATGCTGTATAAAATATCCAGACTCTATTCGTCAATGTAATGAATATACATATAGTAATATTCAATTCATTAATGCTTGTATAAGATCTTTATTAGGTGATTTAGTATGTCCTATGACATTAGTCGAGGTTCCAGTGGATGCGATATCAATTGTTTACAAAAATTATGTCAATATTGATTATCGGGATTCTGATGTTATTGTTTGTTTGAAAATACCGAATTTAAGACCATCCAAGAAATATTCAATTATGGTACAATCAGACCATTTAACTAAAATATATACAACTAATGATAATAGTTCTGTACTGTTAGAGATTAAACCTAAATGGTTACATTATCCGACACCTTATTGTAGAAATTGTACCGATAATTCAAGGAAAAACCGTGATATCATATATTGTTATTCTGAACTACTTAAGGATATTGATCAATTGAAATTAATTCTTAAGACTGAAATGCATGAAAAAATTCCTAAAGGTTTTATTGAAATTATTGAAAAATATTTTATGGATAAAGAAAATGTCTTACATAAACTTCATGATGTTCAAAAATCATTATACTGTCATTACAGAGACAAGACACAATCTAAAGATAATAACGATATAAGCGATTTACAAATTTTGATGACATTGAGAGACGTTTCATGTTTTATTCAGTGGGATAAAGATATGTTATCGATTACAGATTTAAAAATAAATATTGTCGATGTCGACTTGAAGAGTGTAGATAAATTGCCACATTGGATCCAAACTCAAACAATATTGAACAAATATGAATCAAAAATTGTACACTGATACGGTACATGTATGTTAATGTAGTCATTATTTAACATCGCCGCTCTTTATATATGTATATGTATATGGCATATGTAGGTAGATATAAATGTAATAAAGCTCTTGGCATAACACATTTTTTCAGTCACCCGCAGAGCTCTCTAAAATCATATTAATTGGTGCTCTCAAAGTGTTTTAACAAAAAATACACATACAAACTATATATGTAGGACGATCAAAAATACCAAACCGTATAATTAACGCCAAAGAGAATAATAGAGGGGGTCATGCGAACTTAACCAGGCACACATGAAAGAGCACCCGGATAAGAGACGTCTATCAACCAATAAGCCTGAACTGGAAGTACATAACAAAAGAGGACATCACAAGGATACTGAAACTCTATTTGTAAATCCCAATTTAGAAGATGATGAAATTATAGACTACTTAAGGGAACCAAATTCTGATTATTCATCTGAAGATAATTATTCTGAAGAGGATAAGGTAAGCATAGCAGAAGAGTTAAGTGAGGATGAATGGGAAGATGTTGCATTGCATGATATTGTTCCCATCAAGATAACTTCGCATCAATATCAGCTTTCAGCTGAAAGAAAAAGGAAAGAACGATTAGCTAAGAAGGTATCAGAGAATAGAAAGAGGATCAATTATATGAGGAAATTAAAATTTTCTCTTCATCTGACAATGATTCCTTTCATGATAAATGTGTTACGAGAAAGAATGAAATGGTGTCATGATGAAAGGTTAAGCAAAAGGTTGAAAAGATCTGTTCCTAAAGCCCTGTCTAAGAAATTCAAAAAATGGGGTCAATTACCAAATGATAAGAGAGAGAATAATATTAGGACACTTTTGTTGGGCTTGGTAATGTGGTTTCGAGATCACTATAAGATTAACTCCAATGGGTTTAGGCAAAATTATTCAAGATTACATTCATTGATAAAGGATATTAACGAGAAAGAGACATTTAAATCATCTAAAGATATTGAACAGTTATTGAAGAGTCAGCAAAAATATTACGGTTCAAGATTGCCATTAATATCCAGAACATTTAAAGAAGATGTTCCATATGACGGAGTCATTAGTCACATTAGGTTAATGGCTAAAAGGAAGATGGCAGACAGAGATATATTAACCATATTCTTTTTCACTATTTTACAAAATATAATTCCCAACGAAAAAAATTTATATTTATGCTTTGCATTGCCTCTTATGGATTTTGAAGCAGTTGAAAATGGCAGTAATCAAGCGAATAGCGTTTCAGATACTGTACCAAATCAGTTTGATTCTGATCTTCTACAGCCCTATTTTTGGATAGAGTTAAGATTTAACGAAAAGTACATATTTGTTATAGATCCCGTGGTACACTTAAACAAAGAAGAGATTGTGACAAAATACAGGATAGATGAGTCAGTCTCAATATTTCAACCAAATGATCAATACGGTATTAATTTTAAGCAAAGATTCCATTATGTTTTAAGGATGAATTATAATTCAAACCAGATCAATGATGTCTCGCCACGGTATATTCAAAACTTGTATTATCGATACATGAAACTACCACATGACTCAGTAGTGAAAAAATCGAGAAATTACATTTCCTACATACATTTTAAAAAATGGTTAGATAAGTTTAATATTTTGACCGATGATGAATACGGAAATTATAAAGATGGCCTAGTTAATTATGAGCAGATGGCTAAAAATAATGTTAGTACACCCAAATCGTACAAAGAATTAAGAAAGTCGGATAACTTTTTTATTAAAGATATGTTACAGATGAGGCAAATAATGACACCAAGTAATGAATCTCCTAATTTATTTATAGCACTAGGTCGTCGTTCTGTTAGCAAAAAAGAATTATTCTGGAAAAATCAAATTGTGAACTTGAAAAGCAGACAACATTGGTTGATCTTGGGAAGGTCAATCAAGCCTAACGAGGCACCCCTCAAACTGAAGAAAACGCGGAAAACCCCCATAAGTATGGCATATAGCAGTACGAATGAGATTAAGGAGTTATTTTCTTGGGAGCAGACGGTTCCGTCATTAAAATTGAAAGGCACCTATATTGATAGCTTCAACATTAAAAGGAAAATCACAGATGTTTATTTCTACAGGAATAAATACAAAAACGTAGAAATTTATATGGATTATAACAAACCAGATGGCTTCGAATTTGTAAATTTTAGTGATATACTGGACGTTAGGGCTTTAATCAGAGATTATAATAAATCAATTAAAAGAGACGAGACCAAAACCAGTATAAAATATTTAGATGTTGTAAATGGGTTTGATTTCAAGCAGAAGCATGGCTATGCTGTGCCTGTTATAAACAAAATTCTTGTGAATGACCTTGATTTTAAAATAATAACCAAACTGATTAAGTGTCGTAGTGAGGTAATTGGTCTTCAACATTGGATGAGTTTCATAACCAAGTTACAAATCAAGGATAAACTGGACAAGAGTTATGGACATATTTAAAGTATATAATTTATGTATTCTAAAATTTAATTACTAACAGTTTAGTTTTATGTAGATATTTGAATTTTTTTAGATATAAATGCTAAGGTAAAAAAAAGGGACGTGTATTAGATAATGTACAAATAGGCCTCGTTATGACCCCTTACATAAACCCTACTGAGTAGCTTCTTCAAGATCACTGAATAAGTCACTATCAATATCCTCAGGTACATCACTATAGTTATGTTCAGAATCACTATTACTGTCACTATCATCATCTGATTCAGCGCTCTTGTCACCATCCATCTTTTCATCACCTTCGGCATCTTTTTCCAATGCTTTCCTAGCAGCTCTTCTCTCCATCTTTCTTTCTTTCTTAGCATCCTTAACAGCTTTCTTTCTTGCAATGTTGGCTTCTTGTTCCTTCCTTCTTTCTTCCTTTAATCTCATCTTAGCTAGATGTCTCTTTTCTAACTTCTTAATTTCAGCATCTGTCTTATGAACATATTCGTGATAAAGAACTTTACCTGAACATATACCTTCTTCTAATTTAACCAATTTCAAAGTTAGTCTTGGTCCTACTTCTGTTAATCTAATAGCCTTCTTCTTCGGATTACCAAGATTCTCATCGAGGTTAATATTACCATCTGTTCCATTTGTAGATTCTCCTTCATCTTCTACCTTAGCATGGCCCTCATTGTTAGTTGACAAACCAGTGGCAATATCCAATTCCTTTTGACGTTTTTGTTCTTCTTTTTGTTTCTCTCTATCGATTTTTTGTTTTATAGAGATTTTACTTTCTAAGTTACCTTTATTTTTTTCCATAACACTTATAATACTATCTGGATCTTGTTCATCAACCTCAGATTCAGAAGTATATGGATCAATATCATGATCTAAAATTAATGATGAAATATCTTGTTTCCCTGTTAAAACAGGTAACTTCTTATTTGGGTTACTTTTAGCTTTAAACAGAGATTTCAAACTTTTTGAGATTTCAACATCTTTAATTTCTATAAAATAATGACGTAGAGATATTTCACCTGTCTTTGCATCTTTATTAATCATAAAGACTCTCTTAATTGAATTTAAATGAGTTTGACTTGGATTTAGTGGTGGGAAGATATTTTGAAACATTGATACAACGATTTTTTCTACTTTTTTCTTTTCATCCTTTTCATCTGCATCGTCATTTTGTGTTAATTTATTGTTAAATCCATTCATAACTAGTAAAGGAGGTGATAAGACATCCTCACTATTTAATGATTTTGGTTTTTTTAAATATTTTTTAATATCCTTTGATAATGAATAATCCTGTACTTGAAAAGTAATAGTAGGACCATTTGGTGTCCTTGCAACTTTTAATGATACATTACCTGTCTTTTCTGATTGTGTAAAGATGAATAAATGAGATACATCTAATGGACCACACATTACAACGAAATCTTTCAATTTATTAGATTTACGTTCTTTTAAACGAATAGCAGTATGAGGTTGCATGATTTGACGGAAGTCTTTTACCAGTTGATTCAATGCATGATTAGCTAAAGAAGTTTGACCAACTCTAATAACCATAGACTTTGGAATACCTTTCAAAGCATCTGCCGTTGGTTGAACGTGAGTTCTCTTCTTAGTTCTTCTTCTAGCCATTTGCAATAATTTAGTTTATAGGTTTTTCTAGTATTAGAGGTTGGGGAATAGAAATAACTAAAATGTATGATAGGCTTTTTATAGAATATATTCGTACTTTCTCTTTCTTTGATTCCTCTCTGTAGATATGCGTGTGCAATCAAAAGAAGCGTTGGAACTTAGTGTCAATAGATAATGCTAATCTTGCTTATTATGATGACCCCATCGCCTTAGCTCATCGCTTGCTTTCTCTCATTGAGAAAGTCAGAACGGAATTACAAAAATTTTTCACTTCTGACCGTATTAAGTGATGTTCCGTCCCAAAAATGAAAGCTTTTTTTTATTTTTTTTTTCGTATTATAATGCGCCACACAAAAAAAATGATAATTATTAGAAGTTGTGACTCTCTGTATGCTAGTTAAGGTGTCTCTCCTACAAGGAACATATACAAGAGTAATCTTTTTTTGGGGCACCTGCACTGATTTTCCTAGTTGAATTCCTTGATTATATTGAAGAATTACTTCTATGGGTATGGGAAAAGACTGGGTTTCTTGTTGTATTTGGCTGGAGAATGTCTGTTAAGTAAACGGTACTCCTATTTGTGACAGCAACATATCGGTGACAGTATATATATATGTACAAAATAAGAAAATATATATGAAGCTGGTTAACCTCTTAAATTTTTGACAATGATACAAAACTATACTTCGATGATTTTTCTCAATGTGGCTTCTATATCTTGTAAATTCTTCTCTTCTCTTCTGCGAAAGGTATATCGTGTTGGTATTTATAAGATGGACGCAAAACATCTTTTTTGAAAGATGACAGGGACGGCAGTAAATAAAAATATATAAATTGCAAGACAAACTACACTGTGCACCCTTTTGTCCCCATCTTCTTGGTTACTCCTTGCTTATTTCACAAGTTTACGTATACTTAATATATATGTGTTTAGTCGTGATGAAAGTCACTTATTGTTCACGACCTCCTTCAGTCACACACACTTTTACTGGTTGTAATTTCTTTATTTTTTTTTTTTTAGAATTTTTAAAATTCTGGAATTTTTTTTTTCTGGCGAAGCTGGATTTTGACACCAAACGAAACAAAACAAAACAAAACAAACCCCATCAAAAGTCTATTTAACAAAGATTACTTTCAAAGGAAATAATAAAGATATATTCTCATTATAGTAAGTGGCAAATATTCGGTAGATTGAACATCATAACAAGATCTTTTTTTTTTTTTTAGCTTTCTAAATTTTGCATTGTATTAGCTTATATTATTTTTAGTTGATTCAGTTCCTCAAATAGTGTTTTAATTTTTATTTTTAAAATCCTTTTTTTTGTCCTTAATAAATTATCAACTTTTTCCCTTTTTGACTTTGAATTATACTCTAATATATTTATAAATATTATAAGAAATTTGTTCCTTTTAACCACTATTACTACTATTTTAATTTTAATTGATTTACATTTTATTGAAAGTGACGTGGTAAGAAAAAAAAATATTATTCAAATCATTTAAACTATTTTAATTTTATTTATAATCTTTGGACTATTAAATACTCATAATGGAAATGACAACTAACGGTGAAATCCCTAATATTACTGCTAATATAAATGACACTTCTTCTGAATTAGATAATCTAAAACATGATCTTCGCTCTATTCAAGAGCAACATGAAGAGATGCAAGCGTTAATCATATCTAGAGACACAGCAGCGAATGGTTCTGTGAAAGATATTCTAGATTCCTTAAAGACAATCTCTTATAATCAAACTGTACTAGAAAATAAATTAGAAGACGCTTTAAAAAATCAAATGAATACTGATATTCTTGTGAATACTATTAACGAACAATTACAATCGGTAGCACAGACTGTATTAAAATTACAATCTTCCTCCATATCTCCAACTATGGTATCTACTCGTACACCGGAACCATTGTCAGCTACTAGCACGTCTTATAATTCAACAATGACCTCTAAGAGAGGACCAGGAAGGCCTAGAAAAGATAATTCATCACTTCGTCATAATAGAGAATCAGGTGGATTACAAAAATTAGCACCAGCTTCACAAAATGGAAAGACTCCACTTCCATCTGGTGATGTAACTATATCGAAATCAAAGAGATATTTCACAGATCCAATGACTATTTCTTCAAATAGTATAAGGACAAGAAAAATATCAAAGACTTTGGACTCACCCACTATTAGTAGTACGAATAGTATCACTACAAATAACATCGCACTTCCTTCTGCTACTGTTGCGGCTACTAGATTATCAAAGTCGGCCGGAGATGCTATATCGGGTTCATTCTCAACTCCAACACCAAAAAAGAGAAGAGGAAGACCTCCTAAAAAGAGAACAGTAGATACGGTTATAATAACTGCACCAGATAATGAAGAAGATGAGGGGGAAGATGAGGAAGATGAGGAAGATGAGGAAGAAGGAAGTAATATTTATCAAGATGAACATTTGAATGGCGTAAGGCCCAACATTAGAGTAAGACTCAGCTCGTTAGATAACGGCGATTTAAAGACCGTGAAAAAGGAAATAACAGATAAATACGATAACATACAATCATCTACTGAAATAACACCCATGACCACTCCCCTTAATACAAGTCGCTATGCTACCAGAAGTCACACGGCAAGATCTCAGAATACTGGTTCCGTAGTTTCAGTTGGTGAATCGAGTGCAGAAGAAGGTGATAACCAACATGGGTTTGAAGGTGAAGAATATGCTAGCGAAGAAGAAGAAGATCAAAGTAATGATGATAATGAAGACGGTGAATACCAAGAACACGGAAAGAAAACAACCAGTGAACTCGACACAGATGAAAATGGTATAAGTAAGAAAGAGCGAACTAGTAAAGGAAAGGAAGCAAATTCAGAGCTTAATAGACAACAGAGAGAACTCGAAAAACTACGTAATCCGCGTGAAAAGATGCTAGTGAGTTTGAAGTACAACGATAGAGACAGAGCTAAATCCTTTATAAAATCGAATCAAAAACTATTACAGGCTATGAGAGACGAGGAAAAAAGAAGGAAATTGAATGCCTTCGCTCTCGAGAGCAAAGCAGCAAGCGATCTATCGATGCCAACACCAAGACTTACTTCAAATAAGATTTCTTCAGCACCTGCATCAACCCGTATGCGTGTGTTAAGTTTATCATCAGCACAAGACAATAAACATCATGGAAAGCCACCTATTGGTCCTTCTATCAACGAGGTGATTATTTCAGAGTCAGATATACGGGCTCGTGGTGAAAAATCCTCAAATAATGAACCCGCCGAAAGTGCTAATCTAGATCCAGAGGGAGATGGCATAGATACATCTGTTCCTAAGAACATTCATGTATTTGCTACTTCGGATGCAAATGACGAAGGCATTAAAAGCGAACAAGGAGTACTAGCTACCCCTAGCGTAGCCAAAAATAACACATTCAAGGACTCTCCTGTTGCTTCAGGAAAGAGAAGAAGAACTAATTCCTTAACATTCAAAGTTGCTGATGGTTCTATTCTTGAACCTGTTGAAAATGAAACTTCTGATCACAATAAATTGGGAAAGAAGAAAAAGATAATGGCATCGTCTCCTCCACCATCTGATATGCCTGTCGTATCAACTAAACCGGTGGCCTCCTTATCAGGTGCAAATATGAGTATGACCTCAGTTATTCCGTTAGGAAATAAAACTCTTGATGAGTCTAAAGGTAGTAAGGGACCACAAGATGCGACAATAATACACGGCAGCTCTACCAGTCGCATTGCAGCAAGTGATTACCAAACCACATTATTACTCGGTGCACCAATCGAGTTAGTATGTAAGGATGGGTTCTTTTTCCGTCGTAACGCTCCAAAGGTTCCAATTACTACTGGAGCTTATCTTGAGTTTAGATTCATATCCAAAGAGCAGGAACTTCTCAAATCTAACAAGGGAAATGTGAAGAAAGATAATGGAAAGGGGTTTATAGTTGCAACACTACCAAAACAAGATCGTAGCAATTCGCTATCGTTCAAGAATGCTGTATCATCGGAGACAGAAATGTCATTCGATATACTAGGGAAAACTACTTTAACTGAGAAATATGTCAACTCTCTGGAATATTTCTTGATGGAATTTAGATGGGAGAACAAATTAATTGGGTTAGGTTTGAAATTGAGAGAGTCAAAGAGAACATGGCAACGGAGAAAGGCTTTATTCGCACTTTTCGAATTTTGGAGAGATCAATCGAGGGATAAGAGAGGATTTCCAAACTACACAATGCTACACGCAGTAAAAGAGATGGAAAATTATAGAATATTCATCAATCGATCTGTTTCATGGTTTTATAATCATATTACGTTATTGAAGATGATTCTGTACGACCTATGTTACAAGACAGACTCCCAGTGGAGAGAGTGGATGTTCCCCAAAGATTCAAAGTTACCTGTTTTAGGAGATACTTTGGATGACGGTACAATAATTACAGAAGAGAATATAAATGAAGTTATTGATAATTTGCTTGTATTTGATTTCCTAGATGATGGTACAATGAATAGGCAAGTTAAATCTTCGAAGGTTATTGTTCCAGAACATACAAAGTAGTGAAGAGACGTGACTATAAACATTACACCCGACAGTTTGGTTCTTATCTTTAGTTTATACGGAAAACTCTATTATAGTTACCAATATATAACAATACATGACCCTTTTTTTTTTGAAAGTTTTTTTATATAGTTCAATTTTAATCTCAAGTAAAGTGGATTCATTCAATTTCCATATACTAACTTAGAGTTGAGATATAAGTTTTTGATATTTTAAAATGTGTAGTATATTTTATGACGTAAAAAATATTTAAAAGACCCTTTAACACATGAATGATGTAGTTTTGTGTTTTTGAAAGGTGTTCCACTCACGTATTCTTTCTCAAAATCCTAAAATCACAGTTCGAAACGTTGAGCATATTTACATGATTATAACTGAAGAAGAATGAGTAATATTGCTTCACGCCAAAAGAGATATGTTATGATAGATTTCTGAGGTCAACATCTGACCATGGAGCTCATAAACTAGGGTCTCTCTGTTTTACCAAAGTATTAGTTCATACCTTTGAAATCAGTTGACAAGTGAAGTTCTTATCGGTTATAAAAAACGTAGATCGTTTCACCACTAAATGTTTCACATCGTTTCGTTAAGTGAGGAATGTTCCATTTTACATACTTGATATTCCGTATAAAAACTGCTATTATTGGGGAATCTTATCTATAGCATTCTTTTCATATGAAACGATGCCCTGCCCGAGGAAGATATTTCATTCAATCAGAATTGCGTAGCAACTTTTCCAGAATGCATTCATAATCAGGAAGCGACATCCTGGAATTGCTTTTTGCCCTTCTCGCCAATTTCTTCAAAAATAAAATTGTCAATCACTATTCCTAATGCGGTAACTTATTTCTCTCCCCCGCACTTTTCTTTGGAATATCAATTTTTTTCTTTCTTCTGCGTGTGTTTTTCTGAATTAAAGCAAAACAACTTCTAAATATTCTCGAGAAAGAACATAGGAACTTTAGACGTTGTAATTCCCGTGGAGAATTTTATTGTAAATTTTTACATTAATTTCTATTGTTGGATAAGCGTAGGAATCTGAGAAAGTCAAAGAAGATGCTGGGCTGGCCACTTTAGAGATGGAAGTAATTACGAAAAGAGTTACACGATAGTTTCTTAGAAAAATAGGACGATAGTTCTGCTTGCGTTGAGTTCTACAGCTAGCTTCTAATTTAACTTCCTCTCTCATAGAGGTAGAAAAAAACTTATCTGAGAATATGTCCTACGAGTAACTACCATCATAGTGCAATTGATTGTTAAGAATTAGGTTAAAGTCCTTGTAACTTTTCCGGATGATCATTTAATGTTCATTTTCTTTCAGTGTTTCGATGCATCTAGCTAGAGCGACAAAGATACAGGAGTATCTAACTCTTCACAATGGGAAACAAAATAGGCAGAAGGTAAGTTAAATATTTGAATTGCATTTGGGTTGTTCACATACTACGACTACACCTTTTTCAGTGTGTGTTTTTGGATTAATTGGATTTTGTTTTTATTTAAACAAAGGAATGTTTACATGAAGGCGAACGTATGCATGTATATATCTAAAATAGCTAAAGAAACCCATCATCTATTGAAGTTCTCTGCATATACCTTATCGTCAACCCCACCTCGTTCCATCAAATCCATATAATGAACTGGGTTGGTGACAATTAAAAATTAACGGTAATCGATTGCTCTTATATTTAGTGCAAAATCTCAGAGTTATTTGTAGAGAGAATTGATAGATGATGGTTTAACTTCACAGTTTAGTATAATATTAGGTTATCAGTTTATTACACTAAGAGAAATAAAAAATACAAATAACAGGTAGAAGATGGACATAGCATTATATTATCTGATCGTCTCTTTTTTTCCGTAGCTAATATGCTGCATCGGAATCACTTAGAAGTAATGCAAATTTTTCTACCTACCTTCTTATTAGTCGTATTATCACTTCATTTAATGATTTCCTCCAAAAAGAAAATACCGGTAGAATGTTGTAGTGTAGCCGATACTCTCAAGCCGATTTGGGTATATAAACTGTGAACCATTTCGAAACTTTCTGTTTCGATTGATAAAGGAGTAATATTGAGCTTTCTTGCCCTCTCAGCCTTTTGATACTTGTTTTCTTTTTAATATCATACATAACTGTAAACAAAAAAAAAAACTATGAATTATGAAGATAATACGGAATCTAAAATTCCACATATGAGTTCTATTTGGTTAGATGAAGATGAAGATAGCGAAAAATTGTATAATTTCCAAAGTGAAAAATTTCTTCTGGCAGATGAAGAAGATAGAAGCTTAAAGATATACATGGTGGAAAACAATAATGTTAATAAAAGCATTAGAACAGTCCCAGTAAGTCCAACAACTGAAAATTCGCCAACTTTTCCCCCAGTTTCAATTGAAACCAGTAAGAACCGTTTCTCGTCGTCAGAGAACGACATACTAACTACAGATACGAGTAGTATAAGCAGGTCCAATAGTACTAACTCGGTATCTCGGAATTTGACGTCTCTTCGAGGTAAATTGTTAGGTAAATTGAAAAAAAAATGGAACAATCGAACTCTAACTTCAGAAATGAAGAAAGAAGTAATAAGTACGCCATTCCATTTTCAACATATATTCCATGCAAACCTTGATGCCCCTATAGGAAATAACTACGTACCTAAAAAAGATATGATGATAGATACAGACAATGGATATGATGAGTTTACAGAAGCACCAAGTAATGTCCATAATAATTCCACTTTGTGTTGTCCAGAATCACCAGAGAGTCCAGTAATATTTAGTAAAGCTTATTGTACTGAAGAAATCAAAAGTTTTGAGTTTGACAGAGATTACCGCAGGATTCGTAACTCCGATACTACAAACATTAGTTTTGAAATGGAAAATTGTTTAAATTTTACATCCTATGATACCACAGCATAGAATAATATCATTTAGTCATTGGTTCGAAAATTTCGTTAAAAGAGCTCGTTACTGCTCTATCCTGAAATTGATGATTATTCTGGAGTATCATGTTTCATTTTAAGAATACAAAATGATAATACGATTTTCAAGAGTGCCCTGAAAAGTTGGATCAACTCGGTTGTGTTTTTTGGTTGGCTATATAACTGGATTAAGTTTGTTACATATTATGATACCCATAAGAAGATATATCTATGTAGGTCTCTTTTTCACGTTTATTGAATAAATGTAAAAAGTTGAGTCGGTACGTCAGAGTTATATTTTCTAATTCAAAGTTTATCTAAGAAAAATTTCACATATAAGTACACGTTTATAATAGTTTCGTTGAATATTATTGTGTAAAATTTAAAAGATCTAAATCCTTTCAATATATAGGAATATAGAACAAATCTATATATAATTCATGGGTGATAACGGATGTAAAATTATTGGCGTATTGTATACTCGTTGAGTTGAATCCTGGACTTTAGATGAGTTTGAAACAAAGCATATGAATGTGTTACCTTAGATATGAAACAATTAAGAGACAAAACTAATGATATCCGGAGTAGAAGTCTGGAATTGAAGAATTTATTTTCTTCACATGGTTCCCTTTCCAGCAAAATATAAGCAAAATGATCGAATGGTTAAGGATGTACAAACAGACATATGCCTCACACGATGAGGCTGGAACAAATGTTTGGATATATACTCTAAAGTGTCGGTCTCCTCAATTGTTTACAGGATATCGTTATCAGTTGTTGATAAATGATAATCAAAAATTGAACTTATGTAAACAAATGCCATTGTCGCAAGCAAGCTACGGTACCATAGGGGTACATAGCGTATATAGTTGTAGTTCTTATATAAGTCACGGTGCTCTGCTGATAATTATTATTACTTGGTTCTTTCTTTTGAGTCTTTACTTATGTGCATTGTTAGGTCTTCTTTATTTTTTTTTTCACTGCCTTGATAATCATTTTTTTTGCCTTGATGACTTATCTAAGATATGGAACAACGGCCAATATCTACTATCTGGGTGACTAAAAAGAGAAAGAAAAATTCAATTTGTATATTTAGAGAAAGAATTTCTTCTTGAAGGCTAATCTGATACAAAAACCTATATACAAAAAAAAAAGAGAATCTTGAGCTATTCGCAATTGCTATCTCATAACCCTATATTAATTTTATCATCATTTTGAAGAATTATGTCTGAATTAAAGAGCAATGTTTTCGTTAGATACGTTCAAGCTGAGGATAGAGAAGACTGGGTAAGATTGTGGAGAAAATTTATCGCAACATATGAGAATCCAAAATTAGCAGATGGTATTGAAAAAGTCAATTTTGATAGATTTATTGATCCAAGTGTGAAAATGTGGTCTGCACTTGCAATTCTAAAGGATGAAACTACTGGTACTGAAAAGGCCATCGGTTTCACCGATTTTTTTACTCATCCATCCACATGGCAAACCGAAGACAAAACATATTTGAATGATTTATTTGTTGATGATGAATTCAGAGTAGGAGGTGTCGGTAGAAAATTAATTGAATTTGTTTACAGTGAAGCAGATAAGATGGGTACCCCAGCTGTTTATTGGAATACTGACCATTTCAACCATCGTGCGCAATTATTGTACACTAAGGTAGCCTATTTATCACATAAGAGAATTTATAAAAGAGAAGGTTATTAAAACATGAGTATGATAATTCACAAGATTTAAGATTGCCATTCTTTTTTTCTCTTTCTATGGTTTCTATATAAACGGTAAGTAGTACATTTCTATCTTGTAGACAGAAGAAAAAAATTTAATTGTCAGTTCTTAGAGAAGATATACACATATATTTTATTTTCTCTTGCTTTCAATGACTTTTTAAAAGTTTAGTGAAGATGATTGGGTCAATCTCTCGAATCTCTTTATTAGGAAGATCTTAAAAAGAAATGCGTAAATCAATATATATATATATATATATTAAAATAGTAATCAAGCTATCGAAAGGCGTGCGATGTGTTAGTAGTTAAGCAAAGGGAAAAAAGCAAAGAAAAAAAAACAAATGAACAAAAATAAAAGAGAAGTTCAAATGACAATCACTTACCAACAAAACAAAATGGGTTCAAATTGTAAAACATAAAAGGGCAAATCTACCTAATTAAGGTGTGTCGGTGATCGTATTATAAAGAATGAAAATATAATGAGTCTGTGGGATAAATATAATGTAAAGAAAGATTATATATATAGAACAATAGCGCTTTTATTTTTAATAATTACATGGATATTATTATCATCTGGTGAATTAGATGGAAGTATACCACATAGTAAGATCTTTTTTAAATCATTAAACTTAGACAATTATTTCACTAGTTTAAATAATGGTGATAAAGTTTCTCAATTTACTGATGTACAAACTATTATAAATAAGGATTCAAATTATATGAAATTTGGTAGAGCTACATGGAAAACGTTTCATGTAATGATGGAAATGTTTCCTGATGTTAATATGAATAATAATGATGATTTAAAGAAAAGAGATAAGTTAGTTGATTGGATAAATCTTATTGGAGAAACGTATCCATGTTCAAAGGATTCAAACAATATTTTTTTACAAAGTGTACAAAGATATCCATTACCTATAAATCTTAATAAAATTATTAATATTGAATGGGGTTGTCATATACATAATTTAGTGAATGAAAGACTTGAAAAAGTTAAATATAATTGTTCACAATTAATACTAGACCTTAAACAAACTGAACAAGATTATAATCAAGATATAGAATATAATGATCTTGATAAAGTTACATTAAATAAAGAGGATAAACAATTAGGTTAATTTTATAAATACAATATACATATACTGTTTAAAAAAATTAGAGAAAAGAGTGTTTTTTTTAAAAGAATATTTTTTTTTTATTAAAAAGAGTTTATAAAAGTATATATATGAAAAGTCAATTATAAAACTAAATTTTTAAAAAAAGGTATTTAATTTTTTTTCTGTTATGATAATGTGATAAAAATGCGTTCTTGAGAATATTAATGAATTTAAAAAATTTTATATGACAGCCATAATAAAGAAGAATAATCTTGTTAAAATGATGTCATAAATGCCTTGAGTTATTTTGTTATAATAAATGCTAAACCTTTGATTAACTAAAAAGAAAAAAGTTTGGTTAATCAAATAATTATTCTTTTTTTTTTTCAAAAAAGAATTTTTTAAGGGCGATTAGACTATAATAAACTCAAAGAACCTTTTCTTGAACGGTTAGAGTTAGAGTTAACAGCATTACCATCAACAATAGCAGATTCTCTCATGTTACCAGTAGATAATATTCTGTCAAGTTCATCGATGTCCTTGACACTGGCATCAGAATTTTTTCTCGAGCTTGGTTGAGAAACTGGAGATAGAGATGGAATGACGAATGGTTGAGAAACTTCAGAAGTTAGAGTTAAGAAAGCCATATTTATTATTTGTGTGTGTGTTTGTTTGTTTGTTTGTAATAAGCAATAAAGTATTGTTTGTTGATATATTTATTATATAAAATAAGATAAGAATTGAATTAAGAATTAAAAAAATTATAATTAATGAAAAGGAATAACGGAAAGAATTATCAGTCCTTATATATGTTTAAAAATTCAATTAAAAGTTATTTAAAAAAAATTAAAAGAAGATGAAAATAATATCGTCATTCTTGATTTTGAGTAGAATTAAGGTGATGATGTCAAAGTTGTATAATTTTTAAGCTAATTTACACACTAAAAGAGGAGAAGATAATAATTTTAAGAAAAGGATCACGTACATGAGTGATCAAAGAAAGAAAGAAAAAGACATTTTATTACAAATTTCACATTACAAATTCCGCCTCTTATCACCCGCTGCTCCTCTAAAATCAGTCATGAATTTTTATTTTGTAACAATTTAATTTTTTTTATGAGAGCGCCTTCCACATTAACGGTAAATATAATTTTATTTCCATTCTTGCGAAAGAAGCGAATGCGCATTAGGTAAGATATTTTACTGGTATTTTACTATCTATGGGTGTGTGATAATTATTGATGACGATGATATTTTTCTTTGTATGACTAACTATGGGAAAAAAAATAATGTTCCTCAATGGTCGGTAATTAAAATGCGAAATGCTATATTGCATTCGTGCGGGTGAAAGGAGGTGAAAAAAAAATTAAATTCTTCGAAATGCATTCGGCCGTGCGGAGTTGGTTGAATTCAACTGAAAAAAAAATGCATGACAGAAGCATATCAGTAGAAATTTACAGAAACCTGGCAGTTAACATGAAATTTGCCTTCTATGAAACTTTTCTGTCTCTTTAGTTTCTTCTTTCAGTTTCCACGAAAGAAAAAAAATGTATATGCATTATCTTTTAAATTCACTATCTTTCATGATCTCCATTTGTGCGTGACCAAATTTTTATAACAAATATACGTAGTAATTTTTCATTTTCTCTCTCTTTCACGGATATTAATTTCCGTGAGGTACCCTTGTCCGTCCATCCATCAAAAAAAGTATTTCTATTTGTGAAAGTTAGTAAAATAGGGGGGAAGGAGATAATTAGAATAAGAATTACACAATCTCTACGTAATAGCACTTACTTCACCATTCGCAAATTACCGCTGTTCTTGAACGGAAAGTACCGAAACTACTTTGCCATGAATTGATAATTTTCTTACAATTTATGATAGAATATCATTAAGAACGAACGAATGATGCTCAAAAACTTTTACAAAAGAGCACATTTACAAGTGAGGCGCGGAGCCCATTTAATAAAGAAAATACTTCAAACAAGCCGCGGAAATGAAGACCAAACATATTAAGTTCTGTTTTGTTTAGTTGTTTGTTAAACAGCAACAAATGAATGAAATTCGTTACAGCCGCTCATTCTCCTTATCCCTCTCATTTTCTTAAATTTCAGCCGGTCGTGATTTTTTTTCCTTTCAATATAGAGATAAAATACTCTTGCTAATATTGCCTTTCTGAGAAGATTAATAGGAAAAAGACAATATAACAGCCGTAGGTTCTTAAGTGACGTATTTAAATTTTATTTCCGTCATTTCAAGAGAAACTTATTTTAAAAAAAAGGAGTTTAAAGTAATGCTGACAAACTTCATCACAATTCGAACCGTTTTGCCTTCATGTTTCTTTTTAATAGTTACTTGAAAAAAAAAGGTATTCTCAACATCCCCAATTCATTCGTCGTGATAGTGAGTACTTTTACTTAAAATTTCGTTTACATAACAATAATTACTAATATTACGTATTGACAGATATTTTCGCATTGCTTATCCAAGCCCCCTGATTGATCTTATTATTATTATAAAAATTCCCTTTTTCTTGGATCGTTGAAAATTATTAATTACATCTTAGTATAAGCGACACGTTCTTGAACATAAATGGGAATAAAGCTAATTTCCGTTTGTTTGAATCGAGAACAATTTTAGTTGCTAACACATATAATAAACAAATTTCATAAAGATTTTCTTAAAGATTTACAAGATAATGAATGCATAGTGAAATTGGATTATTTCTCATTTCATTATGATTATAATGATATCTCGTTTAATAATACTACTGGTACTAGCACTATTATTCTTATGTTAATGTATCAATTATTATATGTATGTAATATAGAAGTGGGAAATACACTCACTAATAGAGATTTAAATTAAGTATACATGGGTCATATGTTGTTAGCCCTTTATTCTTTGAATTTATTTTCTTTTTCGTTTGTTGTGTGTGTGTATATGTATGTGTTTGTTTGTTTGTTTGTTTGTTGATTTTTTTTTGATTTTTTTTTGATTTTTCTTTGTTATTATTTTCAATTTTAAGAAATTCGAATAATAATAGATTATTTGAATTTGTAACCAATTAAAGATTGAGTTGCTTTCAAAGCTTCATACTTAACTCTTGAATCACTATTATTTAATAATTCCATTATAATAACTTTACCATTCATTTTATTTAAAATATCAACACTCTCTGGTAAATAATCAATAACGTGGGTAATATCATTCAATAGAATTTGAATAATAACTTTATCAGTATTTTTTTCTTTAAATTCAATTAATAAAGAAATTAATTGCTTAAATAATTTCCAATCATCTTTCTTAAATTCATCAATATTATCACTCCAAAATCCATTATCAATATGAGGTGGTGACCAACAAATTAATTTAGAATTTAATTCAGCAGTATATTCATCAATTGAGGTTAATTCATTATATTCTTCATCAAGAATTGATTTTAAATTAATAATACCTTCTCTTAATTCTTCATCAGAATATTTTCTACCTGTTAAACTATCTAATGTTGTAATACCATTACCAAGTAAAATTAAATTCTTGATAAATGTCTTATGACCTTTAACTGGTCTTGAACAACACTGTAATAAAATTGAAATTGAAACTCTTGTAACTTTTTCCTTTATTGTTACTTTAATTAATTTTAATAAATTTAAAAATTCGTTTAAATATCTAATTGTAATTTCACTTGCAATTTGATTATTAAATGTTAATAACCAAATTAACATTAAAGAATAATATTGTAATTGGATACCAAGATTATTAGTATTAGTATTAACAATAACAACATTATCATTACCATCATGATTACTATTATGATCATATGGTAAATTATTTTTATTATTAATTGATCTTCTAATAATTTGGAAAATTGTTGGTAAAATTTGATCTTCATGTTTCCAAATTAATTGACGATATTCTGGAATAGTAGATAATTCTTGTAATTCTCTTATAGTAACATAACATGTTTCCATTTCATTAACATTTTGTAAAATAGAGATAAATTTTTGATTGTCTAATAATTGTTTAACCATCTTTTCATTAGCCTTGGAAGAAAATTGAACTAATAAAGAAACAATATTAAAGGACGATATTAAAATAGTTTGTTGATCATATGATTCAATAAAGGAAACATCAAATAAATTCTTCAATTGATCAGGATTCTTTTTAAAAAATTCAACAGTATCATTTGCAATGTGAGTGACATCACAAGATAAAAGTTCACTAATCAAATTTAATACAGATTTGATAGAATCCGTGTTGCTAGAGGTAGCAAGCAAATGTAAAAGTGGTAAGATAACATTTTCATTAATCTTTAAAGTCTCCAAATCATGTTCGGTACCATTATTTTTAACAATAAGGTTTTCTAGCTTTTTAGCAACGGCGGCATCTATTTCACTAATTTCAGAAGCTCTAGCTAAAGCATCCCATGCAACTGAACGAGAACGTATAGCATTACGAATTTCAGTGAAATGTGTACTGTCCAATAATATTCTTCTCGATTCTGTAGTCATTATAATATATGCTTGTATCACTCTTTATTTCACAGTAAATTTCTTTCAATACTAACAAAAAGTCAAGTCGTACTCTTCGGATATAGCAATAAATGAAGGTCAGTTGATTAATAACGATTAGAAAAATTAACTCTTAATTGTTGTAAATAATGTAGTTTTACTTGATAATAAGTCCATTTACCTTAAAAAGTTATCCTTTTTAAATATTGTTTCTTTAATGAGTTTAAGTAAATGTTTCCAAAATATATTTAACTAAGCAGCCACTTTTTCAAGTTGCTGCAACCGCTTTGAAATCATCCGCGTTTTCAGTGTAAAAATAATAGAAAATGATAATCCATTCTTTTTTTTTTTTTAACAATTTTTGGTGCAACCAAACTGCGTGAAAAAAAAAACTCTTAGAGAGGGTAACGGTATGACAGGTAGTGGTAATGACAGAAAATGAATGACGAATTATCAATCATCGGTGGCAGTTTGGATTAAGTATATGATACAGGATTTCGTAAGTAGTGGATTAGGGGGCTTTAAAGATAGATTCGAAACAAAGTCTTTTAAACATACCGAAAGAGAAATAAAATAAATTGATAAAACCATTTACCATATCAAAGAACACCTCAACATAATTGAAGGTCATAAACTAGTTTCTTTAAGCCGAATATATATCAAGGTATATTCGAAATACAAACTAACTGATTATGCAGTCCTTCAGGAGGATGTTCAATTCTTTTATATTAATTATTGTAAGTATTTAGAAAATACTATAAAATGATAAAACCTCAAAAAGGTTCTATGAGCCGTTATTGCCATATACATATTTATTTTCACATTATTTTACGTCCTTACCATATACGTATATATATATTCTTACCCTCTTACATTACATACAAGAATGAATAAATTGAGTCATTTATCAATGACTTAATGCATCGCTTTAACTATAAGTATAAAAAAAGAATAAAGAAAAACAATCCTAAGTAAAATAGATTAAAAAAATATATTAATTGAATGATTTATATAATGCAGATTTATTTATTATTATGTTATGATATAACTTAGTATACATAGAAGGGGAAAAATAAAATATATAATTAGTTTGTAAATTGTATCATTTTTTATATTTTATTTTCTTTGAGTAAAAGAGTTCGTTACAGTTGGGTTTTTATTTTTTTTCTTTTTATAGAAAAAAAGATGTCATGAATATTTAAGAGAAAAAATTGATAGAGAAATTTAATGAAATAAAAGATTAAAATAATCTCAATTAAGAAGATTCTCTGTCAAATTCTTTGCTCATATCAGCGTTTTCAATAGCACCACAAACAGTTTCACACATAATACCAGTGACTAAGTATGGGTCGATGTTAGAAGCAGGTCTACGATCTTCAAAGTAACCGAAACCTTCTTTAGCGACAGATCTTGGAATTCTAATAGAGGCACCTCTGTTAGCAACACCAGCACAGAAGTTAGTCATTGAAGCAGTTTCATGTCTACCAGTTAATCTTTGTTCGTTATCAGCACCATATAGTCTAATATGTTCAGCATGTCTCTTTGATAATTTTTCAATGGCAGCATCAATATATTTCATACCACCTGGAGCTCTCATGTTCTTAGTTGAAACATTAGTGTGACAACCAGCACCATTCCAGTCACCTTCCTTTAATGGTTTTGGATGGAAGGAAATCTTAACACCAAATTCTTCAGCGACTCTGTGTAAGAAATATCTAGCAACCCATAATTGATCACCCATGTCAATACCAGTACATGGACCAACTTGGAATTCCCATTGGGATGGCATAACTTCAGCGTTAATACCAGATAATTCGATACCAGCGTAAAGACAAGCTCTGTAATGAGCTTCGATAACATCTCTAGCGTAAACTTTACCGGCACCAACACCACAATAGTAAGGACCTTGTGGAGCTGGGAAACCACCTCTTGGCCATCCATAAACATCGTCATACATATCAAATAAAGTATATTCTTGTTCTAAACCGAACCAGATTTCTTCATCTTTATGGGCAGCAAAAAGTTTAGCAGCTTCATGTCTATGGTTAAATTTGTTTGGAGTACCATCATTGTTATAACATTCAGCTAAGACAACAATGTTATCACCTCTTCTGAATGGATCTGGATAATAAGCACATGGTTTTAAATAAATATCAGAATCGTTACCTGGTGCTTGGTTAGTAGAAGAACCATCGAAGTTCCATTCAGGTAATTGATCTAAAGAAGTAATAGCCTTCTTTAAAGTTCTACCTTTTGAACGTAAATGACCAGTACCATCAACCCAAATATATTCAGCGATGATTCTACCTCTTTGGTCAAGGTCTAGATATTTTTGTAAAATTTGAGTCTTTTCAATACTAACGTCAGACATTATTAATTAATTTATTGGTTTTTTTGTGTTTAAAAAAAAAATGAGAGGAACAGAAAATAATAATACTGTTATTGTATTTAAATCTAATACTAGTTAGAACTTTTCTTTGGTTGATGATATTTTGTGTTATAATAAAAAAAAGAAACTATTAAATAAATTAAAAGGAAAGTAATTCTTATTATAACTATTTCCCCTTAAACTCTGTCTATATATATATTAATTTTTTTTTGAAATTGTTGTTGTTAATAAAAATATTATTTTAAGTGATTTAATAATATTTGTTTTGTCTTCTTTCACTAAAAAAAAAAAATTAATTACTTATCTAACTATTATGATTCATTATTGTTTAATTAATTAAATTAAATGGATGATGATGATGATGATGATGATTTTTATCGTTATCCTCAGTGATGACTGTATGAAAAGAAAATAAATATTTTAGTGTTCCGTGTCCGTTGTTATGCATGCCTAAAAATTTAAACTAAACAGATAGACCCCTCGCACGAAAAAGAGAAGAAGAAGAAAAAAATGTCCGTATATCCGTATGATAGTTAACTAATCTAATCTCAAATGTATACAAAAGACAATTTTTATTGTAATAGAGACACTAAGAGAAGCAAGGAGTAAAAAACAAAATGTCCTAATAATTACAAAAACAAAAAACAAAAATGGACAAATGAGGCTCCGAGATAAGGACAAATTTACATGAAAAGAAATCTGATTTTTGTCGAATTACTACGAGAATTGTTATGCAGAATTAGGAAAAAGGAATGATCCCATGACTATTGTTTGTGGGGGGAAGGACAAAGAAAAGAAAAGAGAACAAGAAAAAACTTAACACCAAGCCATCTCTAATAATAATTTCATTCATTTAGGAGATCGCTAATTATTGTGCGTGTTATAAAAATAAATAAATACCGCAAAAAAAAAAATAAAAAAAAATAAGGGTCAAATCACTTGGTACGTATAGACCCTGCCACACTGAGATTTGAACCTTTGTACGGTGGTTTGTGTTAATGAAAACAATTTTGATGAGGCTCCGTTTTCATATTTCACCGTTTTTATTTTTCAACATGCATCGCACATATATGTGCAAGTAATTAATATTATTTTACAGTATTTCTCCCGTATGAAGTCAAGAGTAAATAGAAAGAGATACAGGTAATCGTTTGCGATGATGATATAAAGGATCATTTAATACGTAGTCCGTTTTTGACTCCTTCGAGAATCTGTTTTTGGTGCTTAAAATACGTCGCTCTCATTCATGTTTGTTTGTTTGTTTTTTTGTCTTGGCTGATCAAACTAAGAAGGGAGCTAAAGTGGCTATAATAACTACTGGGACGGGCAAGAGAGAGCGAGACAAAAAAGAAATTCAGGAAGCATCACCCGTGTTTACATTTGTCCCAGACAAGGACAAACACAATATCGATATATATTGCGGACAAACAATAATAAAGAGTGAGAAAGATGACAACGCACTTTAATGTACGCCACAAATAACTAATTCTTCTTCCTTAATAAGACATCTCCCTTTGTACGAAGTATCCCAGATCGGGGGAGGGCAATTAAACTAATTTTGAGCACACATATTAACTGTTTGGTCATTCATTTTTAAATTTGTCTGTTCTTTTTCTTTGGCTTACCCATTAAAAGATTTGACAACGCCGTTTGTCAATTTTAAGATTTCAGTAAATGCAGAGAGGCAAGAAGAACGTCACAAATGTTTTTATTTAATTCAAATTCATATTATTTTTAGTTACTCAAAGTTAATACAGCATATGCAAGTTTGTTTGTTTTTGGTAAGTGCTTAATCCAATGATAATAGAATACGAATTATGACTTCATGATGTCAAAACGTATCAGTAAAATGATAGCCGGCTCAAACAAGCAGGTAATTGTTTTTAATTTTTTTTTTTTGTGCGTAACGCAGTAAGAAATTTCTATATATCTTCCATAGAGCTTTTAAAGGGATCTTCTGGATCAGGCAGTTAGATAATACGATGTTACCCAATTGTTTGTTGTTGTTGTTGTAGTTATTCTTGCCTTTTGGTGGATTCTTAATTCCCGTCGGTCTTTCTCTTGTTTCCACTTTGTAAGAAAGATTTCATGATTTACGGATTACAAAATATTGACATAAACTTGTGACTATTTGATATAGGTTTTGACGTTATCTACAAGATATATCCTCTTTCGGTGTGCTTTTATTTTGTAATCTATCTTTCTTCCTTTTTCACCTTTTTTTTGTTATTACAAGGGACCTTTATGGTCTTCAATATTGATTAAATTTTAATGCCATAGCATTAGCATCATTCATTTTGCCGAATTTTATGGGGAAATGTAAAAGCCATTATAATAATTTTATTTTTATTATTTATTTTTAATTCATTAATGATGTATTCCGATGTTCATACTATACGTTCAACAAATTAAGTGTTAAGAAAATATGTCAAATAAAAAATACATTTGTTTATAATTACGTATAGGTTTTTATCCTGTTGTTCTTGTTACTTTTCCCTTTGTAAAATATAATGGGTGGCTTAATTGAAATCGTTATAAGATCTCTTACTTATTTTTTAATTTGCTGCTTATTTGTCTGTTTGTTTGTATTTTTTTTTTTTTGAAGGGGGGGATGTAAGGTTGAACTTTTATTATTCTTATTCTTATTATTACACATGTTACTTTTTTTTTTAATATATATTATATATTTATTTATACGTATTCGATTTATTTTTCATTAACAGTTTCACTATTAAGTTCTTTTTCATAATCAGATTTAGTATACCATTTAGCTAATTCCCATGATGGTAAATTAGACATTGAAACACTACTGGTCCATCCTTGAATCTTACGATCCATCGTTACCTGATTGGCAAATGTCGTGATTTTATATTGTGGGAATCGTATAGATAATTCTTTAATGATACGTTGTTCCATACCATTAATTAATGATGTAGCACCTGTTACAATAATATTAGTTAATAACATTGAATAAATATATTCCGGTGTAGTAGCAGTTGTACTTAAAGAGTTAATTCCAGTTGCATTACTGTTATTATTACCATTATTGTCTCCAAGATAATTATTCTTTGATTGAGTATTCATTGGTTGAATAGTCATTGATGCACCAAGTGCGCCAATGGTATTAGTCCCAACAGAACTGACACTTGCACCAGCTTTCTTAATAGATTTACCTATTATTTCTCCAAGTCCATCCTCTTTTGTATATTTCTCTGATATCATACTTGGATTAAATAATGATTCTGCTAATTCATAACATTGACGAGACTCTAAAGAAATCGTTTGGTTGGCTAATTTATATAAGAAATTCTTCTTTTGGGATAATGGATTATTATTTTGAATTGATGCAATCGCAGCTTCATCTAATTTAGCATTAACATTATTTGTTGAATATTGTTGTAATTGTTCTTGTTGTCTAATTTGCATTTCTGCTTGTTCTTTATAAAATCTTTCTAATTCTGGTAACTCTTTATCACTTACTTGTAACATATTAATTTTAAAATCTTGAATCCATGTGTTGGCTTGTAACCAAACATCAACAGAATCTTTATTATCTGATAATATATTATCCTCGTTTGAAATATTAATGTCACCATCAATATCTATTTCTTCGGAATTATTTTTCTTCTTATTATTTTTAACAATATTTTCAACTTTTTGTGTAACTTGATAATCTAAGAAATCACCAGCAAATCTAGATCTCATAACACTAGTCTTTACCACTGTACCTTCAACAATAGGTGTAATATTACAACCAGAACTACCTAAATCAATAACTAAAGCAGATGTCTTACCCATGGCTAATGCAATCGCTAATGGTTCAATAATGATTTGTAATACAGGAACATTCAATTTAGTAAATGCAATATTAAAATATCTTTCAAGAACTTTATTAGCTAATTCACTTTTCAAATGTGGAACAGTAATGACTAGTGGTAAATCTTGTGGTTCACATTTCAATTGAGTCTTATAGATATATTTCAATTGTTGTTCTATAACTGTCCAATTGTATGGAATACCATTCTCATCCACAGTGGTAAATACTTCTAAACTTTCATTTGTTTCACCTTCATTCTTTGCCATGGCTTCTTCTAACATGGAAATTGTACCAAAAATATATTCATCTGAACCTTTCTTCAAATAACTGGATGGTAAAATACATTGAGGTAGTTCAGTATTATTAAAACCAGCAATTGTATGGTGGGAACCAATCTTTATAACAACACATTTCTTGTGGTGTGACATTGTTTATGTTTTATATGATCTTTTAATTTAATTTTAATTGGGTTTGTTGACTTTATTTTCTATCGGTTTAAAGCAGTTAAAAAGTTGCAACTGTAAAAAGAGAGCTAAATAAAAAGATCAAATTCAAACTTAAAATAGAAATCTTCACTTTTCAGATGTTTTTATTATGTTATTCCACTTCCTTCCTTCAGTTAGGGTCTTGTTTCTTAAATTTTTATTTTTTCGTTTTCAAGCTGTTACCTTTCTGTTTAGATTGCTTATTTCACTCGATTCAAAAAATTTGGCGTTCACCGCGAAAAGTTCCAAAGTTTTTTTGCCGCGGCCACGTGATTTTTTCGAAAAAGGTAACAACTTCGACATAAAATTTGATTAATTTTAGTAGAAAGTATAACATTAATAATGTTCAAGAAATTTTGCATTATATTACATGATACTTCAACCCAGTTCTTAAGAATTTCTTAAAAACATTTTTTGAAAATTTGTTTTCATTACAAACCTTTTTGGGGGACGGTCTTATCTTATCTGACCACTCCAAAAAAAGTATTCCTGAATGTTGTCGTGTGTTAAGGAATTCTAGCGGCACCCAAACTTTATAAGATATTTCAAGATGAGTATTTCAGTAAACTTTATTTCTTTGTACTAATATGTTGCATTAGAAATTCTCTATTTACTACTATCATGTTGAACGATTGTTTACTGAGTTGAAAGAGTTATTACAATTTTTATCATTTAGTAAAAGTATTTTAATTTCAATATTCCAGCTTTTTCTAAACTTTTTATAATTTTCTTTTTTTATGAACTTCATTCACATTCTACTTATTTATACTATTAAACTACAGATAACAGAAGATGAATAATATTTATTATTGTCTTAGAGTTTAATAAATATAGCTTATTAGCTTAGTTGCTAAAATCTTATTAATATCCTTAAATACAGCTCATGTAGACTCGCACTGAGTGGGTTCAGTAATGAAGAAAAACACCTATAAAAAATAACAACATGTTCAAAAACGTATGTAGTTAATTCATACTTATATATACCAAGACTATCTACGTAAAGTGTGTTTCAATTAAAGTTTAACTATCACCATAATCATGTGACCCTTTTCGCTATTTATCGTAATAAGTGATTTTGATCGAGTATGAAATTCTGAAAAATTTTTTTTTTCAGTCATCGCAAAAGAAACTCTTTGGTGCTGTCTTTGAAAGCTGGAAAAATATCGAAGACAGTGACATCTCTTTGCTACCAGTAAACGCCTGGATGGAAGGCAAGTTCGGTTATGCTTATACAACCATATCGTAACCTCATCGTTGCTTTGAAGATTGAGAAATTCCTATTATGCTAATAATTTTTCCTTTCTGTTAATTTCACTTTATGCATTTGCATATGTGAAATTTCAACAAATCCATATATTTTCTTGTATATATTTTTATTCTTTTTCATATTATTATGCTAAAGAGAGTATTTGGTTTGCCATTACAATTGACAAGTAAACGAACATTATCAACAGTATTCTATCAAAGAATGTCCGAACAAACTGCTACTACCCCAGCTACACCAGTTGCTGATGTCCCACCACAGCAAAAACAAAAATCTGGTAAGGGTAAAAAATCCAAGTTACAAGTCTCTTTGAAAACTCCAAAGGGTACTAAGGATTGGTCTGATATCGATATGGTCATTAGAGAGGCTATCTTTACCACTCTATCCAATCTATTTAAGAAGCATGGTGGTCAAACTATTGATACCCCGGTATTTGAATTAAGAGAGATTTTGGCTGGTAAATATGGTGAGGACTCTAAATTGATCTATAACTTGGAAGATCAAGGTGGTGAGCTAACATCTTTACGTTACGATTTAACTGTTCCTTTCGCAAGATTCGTTGCCATGAACAATATTCAAAATATTAAAAGATACCATATTGCCAAGGTCTATAGAAGGGATCAACCTGCCATGACTAAAGGTAGAATGAGAGAATTTTACCAATGTGATTTTGATGTCGCAGGTGCTTACGAATCCATGGTTCCAGATGCTGAAATCTTGGATATTATCGTCGAAGGTTTAACAAGTCTGGGTATTAATGATTTTAAGATCAAATTGAACCACAGAAAGATTTTGGATGGTATTTTCCAAGTCTCCGGTGTTAGTGATGAAGATGTCAGAAAAATTTCTTCAGCTGTCGATAAATTAGATAAGAGCCCATGGGAAGCCGTCAAGAAGGAAATGGTTGTTGATAAAGGCCAAACCGAAGAAACTGCTGACAAGATTGGTGAATATGTAAAGTTGAATGGTTCTCTAAGAGAAGTTTATGATGCCTTATCCCAAGATCCAATTATCTGTGCTAACGAAAAAGCCTCTGAAGGTCTAAATGAAATGGAAAACTTAATGAAATATACTGAAGCCTTTGGTATTGACAAATTTATTTCCTTCGATCTATCTCTTGCTAGAGGTTTAGATTACTACACTGGTTTAATCTATGAAGCTGTTACTGCTGCTTCAGCCGCTCCAGAAAATGCTGCCGAATTAAAGAAAAAATCCAAATCTTCTGAGGATGCATCTGAATATGTTGGTGTCGGTTCTATTGCTGCTGGTGGTCGTTACGATAACTTAGTTAATATGTTTGCTCAAGCATCTGGTAAGAAATCTGGTTCTCAAATACCTTGTGTTGGTATCTCCTTCGGTGTTGAAAGAATCTTCTCTTTGATTAAACAAAGAATGACCGCTGCCGATATCAAACCAATTTACACACAAGTATACGTTATGGCCTTTGGTGGTGGTAAGGACTGGACTGGTTATCTACCAGAAAGAATGAAGGTTGCAAAGCAACTATGGGATGCTGGTATTGAAACTGAGTACGTTTACAAATCTAAGGCTAACCCAAGAAAACAGTTTGAAGCTGCCGAAAAATCAGGTGCACCATTGGCTGTCATTCTAGGTAAGGAAGAATATGCTGAAGGTAAATTACGTATAAAGAGATTAGGTCCAGAGTTTGCAGATGATGACGGTGAATTGGTGGATGCTAGTGAGTTTGTTGCTGTTGTTCAAGACAAACTATCACAAGTTCACGAAGACGGTGTCAATGAAGTTAGTCGTTTGATTAGAGGACTATAATAATAATAAGATAGAAAAATGATGATTAAATCAATATTTCAATGCTTGTATGTATATATATAATGTTACAAATTTTACTTTTTGTGTGAATTTGAAGGATGGTATCTATCTTCTCCTTCTTGAGCGTAGTCTTCTGGGTTTTATTTTAATCTTCGTCCTGGGCTTGACGAACTTATCGCTTAATATGTCATCTAAACGTGATTTATCAGAGTCGTCAAGTTCTTCTACATCACTTAAACCTTCAGTTTTTAGCGCGAAGAAAGAGTTCCATTCCAGCTCTTTTGTATTTAGGGAATCATATATACTGAAGTCTTGCTCCAACATTTCTTTTAAATTATTGTTGGTTAGTGATCCGGAAGCAACGCCCAAAATACCTTGAGCCTTTTCTATATTTTTGCCTAGCACTCTACTTGTATCAGGAGATTCTAAAATCTCGTCAAACATTTGATTAATTGCTTTATAAAAATCTGTGGCCTTTTTAAATTTTCTTTCTTCGCACATCCTTAACACATCTTTATATTTTGGGTCAACAAGTGAAAACTTTAGCTGTTTGAATATATCACTTATGACAAATTTTTTAATAATAATACTATTCAAGACGAAAAGATCCGGGTTTTGAATTATGTCATGTATTAATCTATCATTAGTCACTTTTTCAATCAAACTATTACTTCTCTTATAAACCAATTTCGATAATTCTTGCAAAGATGCTAAATCTGGTGATAAAATTTTACCAAACTCAAGTCTATCATTTATCTGGCCCTCATCTAGGAGGTCAAAGGAGTAAACATGGCTATTATTTGGCTCAAACAGTGGTGCACCATCATTGAGTTCTCTTTTCAGACTCCAATATTTACAAATATCTATGCTGATGTTTCTTAAACCATTATTATTTATCATTAATTGAGATAAAACTGATTGTAATTGGTGAACAAATATCATTGGAGCAGTTGGAAACTTTCTAATATTTGATATAGTATCATCCAGGGGACTATGATTTTTTCCAGTTACATTATCATCGAGAATTGCAAAAGTATTTATCTCCCAAACCTCATCTCTTATTTCTTGAATTCTATTCTCAATGTCAGGTATCGAATCTGAATGTTTGTCGCAAAAACATTCTAATTTTTCATTACCAAGTGCCATTTCTGCAAGAGATCCTGTTTCTAATTGAGTCATTTGATACCCTGCTTTCATTGCGCAAGACACATGGAATGCAGTGAAACAACTTTTATTAGTACATTGAATACAAGCTCCGCGTTTCATTTTACAAATAGAACATACCAATCTCCATCTTGATGCCGGTATCTTTTCTATCCCTTCTACAGGTTCTAAATAATGCCAATTTCCGAAACATAACTCTCTAACCCATACCGCACACCAAACGTGAACCCACGTTCCACAAGAAGTTTGTTTTAAAGGTCCTCCAATCTCTGGACAAACACAACAATATGGTTTAGTTAAAGTTAAATTTTTTTGAATACATGGTCTACATAACCATGGACCAGGTGGGATAAATAATATTCCATAACAATCCTGATGTACCGCCACATTGCATGAATCACAAAATATAATATTGTTTGTGGATGTCTCCTCTGTGTTACATACTGAACATAATTGATCAAATGACGCTAAAGGTGGGGCTGGAATTGGGAAATGCGATTGCATATAAGACCATTGATACTCTAGAATTGAAATCAGAGCTTCAAATTGCAGTTCATTAAGATTAAGATCTGGGTATATCTCATTTAAATGTTTAATAAACAAGAAATCTTGCTCATCCATATCGTATTGTATCTTAAAATTTTTCAAACCTGGAGAATCTCTAATTAGATCTTTCATATTAAATATTTGATTTTGCTTATTGAAATCATGCCGTATTTTTAACATATATGACGAAGACAACAATGATTCAGCATTATTAATTTGTGCTCCAAGATCTGATTGTACTGCTACTTTCTTTTTCTTTAAGCGTGGTTTAGACTGTTCATAGATTAAATCTTTCTCAACCATAGCATTATCAATATCTTTAGCTAATTCAGCGATATTAAATTTACATTTACGAAAATTTGCCACAGTATTCCCGATAATTAGTGGTTCTGTATTTATTTTCCCATTAAAAATAGTTTGTTTACATTGAATTGTATGACTTAAAAGATCATTGTTTGATTGATCCATTTCAGGTAAATTAAGGTTCTTAACATTTTTTATGTCAAAGATCAATGGAAGCAATTGAGTATCTGCAAGAGAAGGATAAAATTCTCTGTAATTCTTTTCTTCTCTAAGTTTTGGGCCATCATCTTTCCCATTACTTGTCATATTTTCTTGATGGAACCCCGAAAATTTCTAAAAAGATGTCAGATTTCTGCCAAAGGAAACAAGACCCTTAATAATAAATTAAAAATGATATAAATTATCGCACTTGTACTTAATAAAAAGCGTACTTAAAAGAATTACAGGAGCATCTCTGTTTTCAAAAGAGTTTCCTTTGTTTACCTTAATTTATCCATTTTTTATTTTTTATTTTTTTTCCTGTTTGTTCATTTTTTTCAGTTTTTGTTTACAATTTTAATATTAGATCATATCATCGGACCCCCATTGACAGAAACAAGTAGAACGAAAATTACTCACAGTTAATGTTCAAGAATAGCTTTAAGTAGAGTTTGATCGCTGTGTTTGCAAGCGTCTTCTCATATCTGAAAATGATCTCGATAACTATTGCAGCTAACTCAACCTCTTAATTGTGGTCTCGATATTCATAAATTTAGCATTCTCTCACTTCTTTCACTAAATATATTGAAAAGTAAACGATGAAGAGAGGCGGCGCGCTTTTTGTCAATTTTTATATATTTTCTTTTTGACGGTAGAATTCAAATTCGGCTCCTTCTCTTTCTAATTTCTTAAATTTAACAATATATTTTCAGTATCTTGAATATGAAAAATAACAAAATAATTGAATTCGTATCACACTTTTGACTAGGTAAAAGAACACTTTCACTGATTTACTTCTTCTTTCAAGAACTGCTATTTAAAAGGGAAGAAATCTGACTTCAAAAGTTTCGACAACACATCCGAAGAACCATATATATAGATATCTGTTAGTGAATTGGATACTGTTTTATATGGCGATTTAAGGTTAATTACAATTCAAGTTGAACCATTTCTTTAAAAGTATATTTATACATACCTCTTTTCTAAGAGATACTTTCCAGGAGATTATTAAAATAAAATATATATATATAAAATGGTAGCATCATCTTTGAGAAGTTTCATTAAGGATGTTCGTGGTGCAAAGACGTTAGCTGATGAAAGATCAATTATAACTAAACAATCTGCTAAGATAAGAACCAAATTGAGAGATGATCATTTATCTAATGAGAAAAAAAGAGTAAATATTCAAAAATTATTATATTTGTATATTCTAGGTGAAAAGACTCATTTTGGTCAAGTGGAAAGTATCAATTTAATTGCATCAGATAATTTCGTTGATAAAAGACTTGGGTATTTGGCTACAATCTTGTTATTAGATGAATCTCAAGATTTATTAACATTATTGACAAATATGTTAAATAACGATTTACAACATCCAAATAAATATATCGTAGCTTTAGCATTGAATACTTTAGGGTGTCTAAGTTCTACTGAGTTGGCAAGAGATCTTTATCCAGATGTTGAAAATATTTTGCAGACTTCTAATGATCCATACTTATTAAGAAAAGCTTTACAATGCAATGCAAAATTGATATTTAAGGATAGATCCTTATTAGAAATTTTTCCTTTAAGTATAATTTCTTCAAAATTATTAGAAAATCCGATTGTTTGTACTCATGGTGTCCTACTAGGTGTCTGTAAAGTATTACAAGCTATCTTTATTAGTCTAGATAATACATTACAAAAAGAAAATGGCAAAGGTGATACAGAGGATGAGTCAACAGAACAAGATCTTCAACAAGATATTACCATCATTAGGACAATCAGTGACTTAATACCGCAATTATCGACTCGTTTGTCCTCTTTAAATTCAAAAAATTTGGAACCTGCATATGATGTTCAAGGGATTCAAGATCCATTTTTGCAATGTGAGTTAATTGTAACATTAAAATGGTTTTTCAAAATTGGTAATCATTTAAATCTCGATGAAATTACTCAATATAACAATAATTTTAATGATTTACTTACTCAATTGGCCACCAATACAAGTGCAGCTAAGAATCCAGGTAATGCTATCTTATACGAAGTGACTAAATCCATTTTTGAATTAAAATTGACCCAACCTTTAAGAGTCCTTGGTATCAATATCCTGGCAAATTTCCTAACTCCAAGTAAAAATTCTAATACCGGTAATAATGTCAAATACGTTGGTCTTAATACACTGATTAAAGTGGTACCAGAAGAACCGGCATCTGTTCAAAGATATAGAAAATTCATTTCACAATGTTTATACGACTATGATATTTCTATCAAATTTCGAGCACTTGGATTAACGTTTGCTATTATGAATGAACAAAACTTAACTGAATTAACAACTGAATTGGTTAAATTCTTGGGAGAAATATCAAAATCTCATTACAGTTACGTGACATCTTATATCGATATGGATGATTCAAAGGATCTAATAGTTTACACTGTAGATAACCTATTAAAAAAATTCGAAATATATTCAAATGGGGATGAAAAGGCAAAATTGGATACTTTATTAACAATTCTAAAGATTTCAGGAACGTTTATTGACTTAGAAAAGACCAATGAGTTCTTGATAGCTTTGAATAATATGGATGATATGAAATACAAGATCGCTACATTCAGTAAAGAGTTAACTCAAATATTGGACCCAAAAATTAAAGCAAATACTTTGATTGGTAATGCTTCTCTTGATTTGGTAATGATTTGGTGTATTGGTGAATATACAGATCTCATTAAACTAGATTCATCTACAGATAAAAAGATTGTTAACGATAACTCGATCGTTAAATATCTATCAGATTTAAATGACAAGTACAGACTATCTCATGACACTAGAATGGTCCATTATATTTTGACAGCTGCTCTAAAGCTTTCGTCTAAGATAACCAACGGCCAGTGTGTTGAAAATTTAAGACAAATTATCGTAAGTCATTCAAAGGATGCAAATTTGATGTTACAGACGAAAAGTGTTCAATACGAATTACTTTTCAATCAACCTGATGCTGTGAAGAAATTATTTTTGCAAGCTATGCCTAAATTTGAAAAAAAACTAATCAATGCCACTTCAGTTCAACGCCACAATACCACTATATCCAAAGCTCAAAATCAAAATAATGATTTACTTCTTGATTTACTTACTGATACTGTTGAAAAAACATCTCCGAGTGAAGTTTTGAAACCAGTAGAAACCAAACAACGTGATATAATTGCTGATCTTCTAGCATCAACAGGGAATAAATCCCAACACACTGGTGAAACGAGTACAAGTATACCAATCGAAGTTGTGACGCTACCTTCTGATGCGGTTTCAATACATGACGGTGTCGAATTACAAGTGTACGAAAAGACAATTGATATCTCGCCCGGTTTAGCTCACCTAGAGTTGTATATTCAACCTAAAAATAGTAAGATATCTGACATTCAGCCGTTGTGTGCTGTCCCAAAGACACAAAAGTTAACTTTAAGTCAATTACGCCCAAGTAACAATTTAGATGTAGGTAAGTTCGTCAAACAAACCTTAAAGATTACTGGTTCAGGAAAATTGAAACTTAGAATAAAACTATCCTTTCAGAAGGACGAGAATCCTGCCAGTGAAAGCGAACAATTTGATTATAAGTTGGACAAAACCATATGATGTGCTATGTACTCATCCACTCAATGCTTATCAAAAAGTAAAAAAAGTACGGAATTGCAACCTATATGGTATTAATGAAATAATAAGTTTTCTATACAATTTTAATACAATGCCAAATGAATGCGTGTAAAATATCTACATAATATATACATATATAAATATACATGAACAATTGACAAATGATAAAATGGGATAACAATATTTTCAAAATGTCGTAGTTTGAAAAGTCTTCCATTATCTAAAGAGATGGGGACGCATGGGCCCTGTAGTATATTTAATGTCTCGAGATACCTGTAGCAACTGAAGCACTAGCATTTTCCATAGATTGCTTTAGGTTGTTGGCTGTCTTGTTAGCTCTGCTTGCAAGGAATTGGTCATAGAATGGTTCAATAACCTTGGTCCAAATCATGAAAGCACCACCAGTTGATGGAATGGCAATATAAACTAAGAATATAACCTTTAGGAACCAGTAAAATGGAATTAAGTAAATAATGGCACCCGACCAAAACTCAATAACATTAAGAAAACCGAAAATAATCCAGTAAGATAGTAATTTCATATCATCGTCCTTTGTGGTAGTTTTAATAGCTTGGATTGAAAAGTAGGTAGGTAAAACGAACCCAGCAAAGTTTGATAAAATTTGGCCAATCCCACCAATGTTTAAGAAAGTTAGCAACAGGTAAACAAATGTAAAAGCAGAGATCAAATATGATCTTGGAATCTTGGTCTTAGATTCTAAATTTCCAAGAAACGCATTTTGGGCAAATTGCTTAATATATCAAATTGATTGTTAGTATATAAGGAACTGTTTAGGGAGTATTAGTTAATAAAAATGTTACGTACTTGATCGAATTGTTTAAATTGAGATTGGAAACTTGATTTGAAATCGGACATTGTCAGGAATTGAAGATTCGGCGTATTATTCTGGGTGAATATCAAAGGTTGAGGCTAATAAACTAAATGAAAATTCTCTTTCTTTATAGAATGAGTAGGGAATAATAACTTTTGAATAAGATCCTTTTACGCAGGCCCTATGAGTTGCCCTTTTTTCATAACGCGGGAATGTCAAAATTTTCGTTTAAAGGGACAGCAGAAATCCTGTGAACAAATGCATTAGAATAAAATATCTTTTAACTAATTAACAATGAATTGATGGTGCTTCTTTTTATCCTATAATCAAAACATGAAGTGTACCGTTTCGATAATTTTGTTGCGTGACTTTAGGCTTTAACTACAGAGCTTTTTTGGAATTCATATCGCTAGTAATTATTTAGAAGTCTCAAAAACCGTTTATTACATTTAACATAATTTTTGATTGTTCATTTCTCAAATCTAAATAGAAAATGCGTGTTAAAGGATGAGAATATCAACTCATATTTGAATCATGTTTTTCCCTATTATAGAATAATCAACAAATATATCCGTTCACAATCATTTCCTTCTCATTTCTTAGAGTGCATATATTATGGATACTATATTTTCTTTTGCCATCTCCACAACTGTACAGCTTCTATTGTACTACGGTATTAGATTTTAATCCCATTTCTTGCACTATTCACAATTAGATTATTAAAAAAATGGTACTGGATTATTTTGCTCCGAAATTTAAATAATAAATTGATTAATTCTGAACGTTAATTTCAGTTCATAGCGGATTATATACTATTTCTTTCCCCATTGAACTAATTCCTTAGGACAAAGAATTATTTCTATTGAATTTAAATTCAGAATATTTCTTAAAAAGAAATTGTCCAGCTTTTGTATCATATAATTGAAATATTTTTTATAAAAACAATATGGAGAACACCATGCAATGTTTGCGAAATATCCTATAGAATTAAAAGATTTTCGACTACAGAAACTAGTAAAGTAATAGAACTTATCTTAAATCTGTCTATAGTTAGTAGAAAGTTATAGAATACCACAAAATAACTGAAACATGCTTTTTTAACTCAATATTAAGACCACCATCAAGTGAGCTTAACAATTACGATAACAGAAACACAACATATATCAATGGACATTTATTTATTATATTGGTTAATAGGTTTCTAACTTTCTTCTTTACACCTTTCTATTTCATATAGCAAAAATCTCAGACGACTATAAGTTGAATGCAAATAAATATATGGCTTTTATAAATAGCATAAATTCTGAACTTACTTCATCAAATATCAATTGAAGGGGTAATAATTATTAATATTTCCCTATAAGTTATTTATTTATATATTTCTTAGTTATATTTTCCTCACCAAACAATAGAAAAGTTCAATAAAAGTAAAACCGAGTGACTATGTATTAATTGGGACTTTAACGTTCAGCCGCACGATTATAATAATTATCATCGTGTACGGACATCAACAAATGTCGATGCGAGAACAACAAATATAAGATGAAATTAAGTCAAAGATAGCACATATAACATATAACTATATAATATACCTTGTAACATAAATAATAGAATATACAGAAATATAGATAATTAACATAGTACTTACTATTAATACATTTACTTATTAACGAACAGAACGACCACCATATTGTTGTAGTTAATATACATAATAATAATCACTATTAAGCATTCTATATAGACCAAACAATACAACTAAGTTCACAATTTTAGGAATTATAAAAAATGACTAATTTACGCACTTTTTATAAATTGCGGATTTAGCTCAGTTGGGAGAGCGCCAGACTGAAGAAATACTTCGGTCAAAAGAAATCTGGAGGTCCTGTGTTCGATCCACAGAATTCGCAATTTTTTAAAATTTAAGCTTGCCGCCGAGCTCTAATACTGGAAATATATCCTTTTATTTTTTTATCTTTCAGAATTGATAATACTCAATAGCATTATCCAAATCTCTAATTTTTGACTTAGGAAGTACGGGAGTTGAAATGGTTTTAAATTGTGGCAAAAGATACATAATAAATAGTACTTTCTAATATTTGGATGACACATTTTATGTAGTTGATGTAATAAAAATCCTGCATACTTTGCAAAATGAACTTTCCACAGAAAAGGAAAAAGTTACTTACTTAGAAGTTAAAAATTAAACTATTAGTTCCTCTGAAAACTATTCAAAATTACCAAAAACGCGACGTAAACTTGTGGTACTTAAATAGTTTTAAATTAAATTCACAGTTTTTAAAGAGAGAAACTCTTTAGTAGATAAGAGGGCAAGAAGCTGTAGCCCATTTAAATATATCTCAGGAAGAAATATTTATGCATTAAAATTTATAAAAATGCTCTAAGATGTTTCGTATATTTATTCTTGACATTATTGTTTGGTGCAACCATAGAGTATTGTGCGTATCCGAAGTTTTATGATTCTGTTCAGTAAACTTTAAACACCTTTGTATAGAAAACTTTGTGGATACTGTTATATTTATAAATATTAATTATAAATTGAAACTAAAAAATAATTTAAATTTTATGTTTTTTTTTCATTAAAAATGTGTTATAAAATAGATATATAATTATTGATCCTATGAGGATTGAATATTTACTACGAACTACAAAAAGTAAGGATATCTTCAATTCATGTTGAATTTAGAAAATCCGTTTCATAAGGGGTATATCATAAAATTAATCGAAGTAATTTAAAACTAGGATTGTAAAATAATTTCGTTCAACGTGGCACCATATGGATAAGTGTCATTGTCGTAAGTACCTTGTACGGAAACAACGACATATCTTGCCTTCTTCCAATCATCGGAACTAGCACCTGGTAGACAACTTAAAGATGTGTCGTATTTAACCTTGCTGTAATCGACATTGAAAGTAGTAATATTACCTGGTAATAAAACAACTTCTTCAGTGACAGCAAGTTCAGAATAGTATGGCAGAGAAGGAACAACATTTTGGTTATCGACAATTGTAATAAAAGTTTCACGTAAAGGTTCAATATCTGGTAAGGATTGAATCATGTTATTGAACGAACCTAACTTCCAATTTAGAATATCAGAAATATCAGAGCTGCATGTACCAGAGATAGATCCATTACCAGACGACATATATTGTTCCAAATAAGCTAAGGCCTCAGCGGTAGCTTCTTCAGTAGTACCATTACTATTTTCGATAATGGAAGTAACATTTGTAAATAGTGACTCTAGTAATTCAGAATGTGGCAAAATAGAGATAGAAATGTTCTTGGCTGGTCTGCTACCCCAGTCAATGTAACCCTTGTTGATTTGTTGTTCAGAACCTAGGTCGATCAATAATTTAGCGTTGTTCTTGTCAACTGGTTGCCAGTGGGTGTAATTATTACCATCAACAGCAGATAGACCGACATCACCAGCAACACCACTTGTTAAGTTGGTAATTTGTCTGTGTTCGGCTAGATTACCTTTAACAGATAGCAATGGCTTGTAAACTGGAATGACTAGTTCTTGACCTGGGTTAATAGTGTAGTAAATACCTTCATCGGCGACTTTAACTTGACAGTATGAACGACGTTTCAAAGTGTTATTAGATGGAGTATAGAAATGAACATTAGTGTCATCATACTTGTCTCTGTTTGGAACCATGATGGTAATAGAGTTGTTACCTTGCTTGTTAACGACAGTACCGTTAGTATCATTAATAATGAAATCAATAACATTATCCATGTAGTGGAAACCTCTGATTGCTATACCTTGAGGTAGAGTACCTAACTCAGTTGGATCGAACTTTAAGAATCTATCCATTTTTTTTGTATGGTTGTTCATATCATAAGAGTATCTAATACCAGTCAAACCAAAGACAATACTTTGCAAAACACCACCATTACCAGTTAAGAATGGGAAAGCAGGGTTTAGATTACCATTAGTATCATAATCATCATCAGATTGTTCACTGAATTGAGCGAATGGCATTCTCATGTATGGTACAATAGCCTTGTATAAGTATGATTGAGAAGATGAACCGTGGTTTAATAGACTTTGTGCAGCAGCAACAAACACAGGGTATGTCATAGCTGGACCAGAAGCGGCTTGTTTACCAGAGTAGTAGTATAAATCATTAATAGCGTAAGCTGCACTGATTGGATCGTCAATGGTATCTAATGGATAAACCACTAAAGTAACATCAGCTTGTTTAATTTCAACACTACTGTTCATACCTGTATATTCTAAAGTAATACCAGATTCAGCTCTTGGAATGACCATGTTGTTAGAAATAACCATCCATTTGGAGTCGACAGATTCATTCAAATGAGTACCAATATCAGTAGCCCATTTCATCAAAGTCTTAATACCAGTGTTAGTATAAGCACCATTGTCAACGTGGTTAGCATATTCATCTGGATCTGTAGTGTTTAGAGTTTCATATTTACCAGTTTGGCTATTCAATTTAACGAAACTAGTGAAGAAATCAGCAGCATCCTTAACCAATGGCCAAGTAGTATATCTCAAGTAATCATCGTTTAAGTCTTCAGTAGCACCACTTAAGAATAACGACAAAGTTGAGAAAGCAATATCAATGTTTAGATGGTATTCATAATCAACACATGGACCAGTTGAAGTACAATTGGAAAAACCACCAGAAGTCCATGGGTAAACAGCACCGGCATAACCGTACTCTCTTGCGTTTAATTGAGCTTGGTGATGAGTGGCATTTCTGTAGCTGTTAATGTTTTTGGCGACCTTTGGAGCAAATGGTAATAGAGCTGGAGTCATCCACATATCAGCATCCCAGAAAACCAAACCACCATAAGAGTCAGAGGATAACCCACTAACTGGCATTAACATACCTCTTTCTTGAGTTACATTGTTAGGTCTACTATTGGCCAATAAATGGAATAGAGATGATTTAGCGGCTAATTCCAAAAAGGAATCAGATGGAATTTCAATCTTAGCATCACCGTAAAGTTCAGCCCAAGCAGCATCATGAGAAGCTAATAATTGGGTATATTGACCCTTGTATTCATTAGCATAAGAAGCAGCAGTATCTAAGTTACTACTGTTGGTTAAACTGAAAGTTGAAGACATGACACCGACATATTTTCTAACAATAATCTTTGGATTTTCTTTAGTTAAAGTTACATTAGCAGTTTGAGAAGCGATACCAGCTAAGTTACTTTCACTGGCACTGAATGAAACATTATTAGCAACATCACCAGTAGAAGAAAGAAGTTCAAGTTCAGCAGTAGAGAATAACGCAGCATTATTGTATGGAACATTATCTGGTTCAACGACCATAAAGATACCACCGTTCTTTTCATCATAACCCGAATCTTGTAAGTAAGTTCTCCATGAGGTATTGTGATTGAAAATATCAAAAAATTCCAAAGGACATTCAGTAAAGTTAGCTGGCAAATTTTCAGTGTTCAAAGAGACTTCTAGATTAACGAAACCCAATGGGTAAATATCCCTATGAGCAATAATTTGAGAAGAAACATGTAATAAACCATCTAACCAATCCATAGTAGTGTTAACAATACCATTATTCATCGACATATTTTGAGAATAGTTAGTGACTTGATCAGCAGTGACATTCAAAGCATTGAACCATAAAGGAGTATTAGCAATCTTAAATTGTAAATCAGTCCAATCTGGAATAGAAGCGATAATATTTGGATAACCTTTGTCATCTAATTCTGGATAATTAGTCTTTGTTAGATGTTCTTCTAAAGCATAGAAATCTGCGACAAAGGAACCAGCATACCTTGGATTAAATTGAGGCCAATCATTGTTTAAAGCAGCAGATTCATTAGTAAATAAAGTTATTTCATCTCTAGCGTAACCTAAACCAACATTTGGAATTCTCGAGCCAATGTAACCATTTGCAACATAAGGTTGTCTACTGAAGACATTTTGAGAAAAGAAACTAGTACCTAAGATACCGTTTTCTTCATCATAAAAAGTATTATTAGTATCTTGTAATAGTTCAAAAAATTGTTTAGAGGCTAATCTATTATCATTATTATAGTCTAATTCATGATCTTCAGCAGATTTAATAATACCAGTTCTATCTTGAACAATAGAAGTTGGTAAAGTTTCAGTTTCAGAATTTGAAGTATCTTTAGCAGACGATAACTTTGGAGCAACAGTTAAAGCCGCCAAAAATGACGAAAATAATAAAACCATAGCGAAAGTTGTTAAAAAGTAAAGTTTATACTTTCTAAAAGTTTTAAAAAAATTTGAATTTGTTTCAACAACTAATAGTTTATAATTGTTATTATAGTTATTGTTATATTTTGATAAACCAAAAATGTTAAACATTAAGAAGTGAAAATGAATATTAAAAAATAAAGAGAGATGCAAATTAAAATGAATATTATTAAATAGTAATTGATATTCTATTTATATGTTTTTTCGAAAACATTTAAAATTGTTAATTCAAAAGTAAAATAATTGGAAACTGTATTTTGGTAGAAAGTCAGCTAACACCTGTAGAGTTTTAGGAATTTGTTAGCTAACTGACTAGACAGAGAAGGACGAATGGAGTAATTAAAAATGATGATGATGATGATGATGATGATGATGATTACGATGGATATTGTTTAAATTATTAAGAAGAGAAGGTACAAAATTCTAGTTAAATCTCACAGACCTATTACAATAGACATACAAAATAACTATAATGTTATGTGTCTCTCCGGATATGTTAAGTTAAAATACCTTTTTCTTTTTCTCTTTTGTTTAAGGAGAAACTAATAGAACAATAGTGAGATATAATGTAACTAACACACAAATCTATTAGGAAAACCAAAAATAAATGTGGGGTGGTGTGTAAAAGATACTAGAATTAAAGGTAAAAAAAAACAATACTAAAATTAATGGTAAAAATTAATTTCTTAGAAAGACACTAAAAATAATAAAGAGAGACAACCTGATGATTTTAAGTTACCAAAACTTACTAAAAAAAATTCTTACTTCAAGTGTTTCAAATTCCCTCTTTCTTTTCCTCTCAAAATAGAAGTAAAAACTTTGAAAAAAGAGTATCTCACATAAATTAAATTTAACTTCTTACAAACACGGGATAAACTATATTTACCCTCACATATCTAATTAGGGGAGGCAAAGTATACATACACACACATACTCCTGAAGTAAGCTATGTTACATAATATACTCCATACACCGTTTTCCTTTCTTTTTTGTTTCAGTGGGTAGAGAAAACTTTCGGTAAGATATAATTTATTACGCACAGCTTATATTTTTCTATCATCGTGCTTTCTATTTTCTACCTATTAGTAGAGGTAGTCCGTAAATTAGGGATACCAAAAAGGAGAGTAAATCTAACCCAGAAAAGAAATAGAGACAATTTTAGTTAAATGAAGGAAGACAGATTTTCTACAGACATACAGACGTACAATGATCAAGATTAGTCCCAACCAGTTCAAAAATGATTAATTACTTTTCCTAAAACAATAGAACTTAAAAACTTAAATACTGAAAAAGAGGGTGGGGTTAAAACTCTTGGTCTAACCGAAGTAACCGGTGATGAACAAGTTTCCCACTAGTTGTTAAAGAAACAAATAAAATTCAAAAAAAAGAAAAATATGACCCGCGTGGTTTTATTAATTCTGATAGAGTTTTACGTCAACCACTATTAACAATAAGCTAATAAATAGGAAAAATTACAATAGTTGAACATTTTCCCATCTGGTGATGACTCGTCTTGGGTGACGTGAAATCTCGCAAATGAATTAAGGGGCTTCAAAAAGTGTTTTATAAAGAATTCATCGGAGAGAGAAAGAAAGTAAGCAAAGAACAAAAAAAAGAAAACAGAAAATTTAACTGAAAAAGTTCGGACAAATCCAAAATGAGAAGAAAAAGAAGACGGAGAATTCATATTTTATGAAGCAGACCATGGTAAATTATACGTACCATAAAGATATATCATTAATTGTCCGGCGTTTCTTTCTCTCTTTCTTTTTTTTATGTAGTTTTACCTGCCCGAGAAGAACAATCAATAAAACGGAGTATTCAAGACAGATTTAACAAAAAGTTAATACAGGAAGAATCGGAAAATAGAAACCTCGATGTGAATATTTAGTGGGTAAATGAATACATTAACTCATCTAAGTGTAATTCAGGGGAGAGATATGTAGCAGTATTCTCTGATTAGTATATTAACTTAGGGAAAAAAGAAATATAGAACAATAGTTTAAATAGAAACCTTTCAACTTGAAGAATTAAAAACAATTAAATTAATGAAATGTGGGGGTGCGTTCAAAAAGAGAATAATAACAATAGAATGAGAGAAATTAAATAACTGAGGGAAAAAGAAGTCATTATTAAAAAGAAACAATACTTTAAAGAAAGTGAGATACGGTCGGAATTAGAGAAAGATTTTCCCTTTGGTAATTAATAGGTAATACAATATATAATATTTTGAAGTTATAATAGATGATTGAAGGAGGGAATATCCTGAAAAACCAAACTTTAAAGTAGTAAATAGATACAATAGATATAACTATTTAGCGATCTTAAATTTAATAACCCAAAAAAGATGGAAAAGAACAACAACAACGATATTGTTTCTGTGTGATGACATAAATAATTCTTAATATTAAATTACTATCAAATAGTCTAATTCGTTCCATCTTATGACAATATGAATTTAATTTAGGAATAAAATAGATTGAAATAAATCCGAACAATTGTCTACTATCATCTCGATGTAATATCACATGTACCCCACTTTTAATTTTTCTTTTGTTTTCTATTATTTTCTTGAACTTATGTTTTTTACTGTCACAAATATGTCAGGATTGTATATTGTATATGTATATATATTATGAAGAAGTCAAAATAAAGTGAGATGAAGTTGTACAATAATCTTCCTTGGCAGAGAACCGAGTTTTTATTATTATTTTGCATTGAAATATAACAATAATCTTTTAAGTATACTATACGAACCATTATCACTTGTTTATTTCCCCATACACATACATATTTCTACATGTAGTATTCTTAGCTATTGAATATATTGGCATTAAATTACTTGATTTGAAGAACCGGAGTTTAATTTTATGCTTTTTATTTGCTAACTATTATCTTGATGATTATTGTTCCTTTACTAAATTTTATTTATTTTTTTAATTTAACAATATATCTATAATAATTACATGTTTATCCACATATTTCAAATAAAAATAAAGATATAATAAAATCGAGTATCTCTCAACTTTAAGCGGATAATCAGGTGAAATATTTATTTTTAAGTTTATTATCCAAATAGAAAACATGGTTTTATTCTTAGTTAATAGGATATAAATATTCTCTAATAAGTAAATATAATCAACACCTCACTGTATACACAAGTTTAATTTGACACTCTTAATTAATATTTTTATTTTGAAAAATTAAGTCCTATTTTTTATTCAAAAGTTTCACTCAACTAAAATGTTTACACAGCAAAACAAAGAGAGGGTGGGATGTGTTTAATATTAACATTACCAAGTACGGAAATACTGACCTCTTCTTAATACAATATCTCCTCTCCCCGCATTTACATCAAACTCCATTTATTTAATATTTGTAAAACCCGAATTAAAATACCCCTCTATCTAAATAAGAGACTGTATTGTGACATATTTTGTTACATTGTTAAAGGATTTATCGTGAGAAGTGTCAGTAATTTTACTATTCCTTCGAGGTCTCGCTAATTGTATTGGGCCTTTTCCTTTGTTTTAAAAACCCTATTTTTCTCTAGTATAGGGTTTTAATTAAAAAACTAGCATACAGCGCGAAAGCATCATTTTTTTTGAAAAATTCATAATAAGAAAACAATTCTAGATAAAGTAGCCTTGATCAAGCATATTTTTCAGAGGGATGATTCTTTTAATTTTAATTTTATTTTAGTGCTTGTGTATATTATAAACATAATATGTTAATCGATTAAATAATCACTGATTAAATTACAGAATAATATAACCTTGATATTGAAAAAAATTGTTCCCAAATTAACAAACGATTCAAAAACACAAACAAACAGTTTTATCCCCAAGCAGTTTAGCTCTATTATTATATCTACATTTACAATTTCAATTATATTATAATATGTCAAGGGAAGTATCTCAAACACCAGATATTAACAAGTCCGATAGTCCTGCTACCGAAACAGCAGATTCTAAAAAACCTGCAAATTATAAAAGAATATCAGATGATGATCTTTATAGGCATTCTTCACAGTTTCGTATGTGGTCCTTTACAGAAAAGAATCTAAGAGAAAAGAGAAAAAAAACAAATGAAAGAGCTATAGGGACCATTAATGAAAAACTAAGAAAATTTATTGAAGATAATAAAAGTTCACTAACCGAAGAGGAATTACAAACTTTAAGGGTGAAGGCTTCTCCATTATCAATGGAAGAAGAACTTCAATTGATTAATTTTTATTCCAAGAAAGTTCAAGTTATTGCACAACATTTAAATTTACCAACTGAAGTGATAGCGACATCAATCACATTTTTCAGAAGATTTTTCTTAGATAATTCTGTAATGGAATTTGATCCAAAGAATCTAGTACACACAACTATTTTTTTAGCTTGTAAATCTGAAAACTATTTCATCAGTGTTGATTCTTTTGCTAAGAAAGCTAAATCAAATAGAGAAGCTATTTTGAAATACGAATTCAAATTAGTGGAAAGTCTTAAATTTTCCCTGCTGAACCATCATCCATATAAACCTCTACATGGGTTTTTCTTAGATATCCAGACTATCTTATACGGTAAAGTGGATTTAAAATATATGGGCCAAATATACGATCGTTGTAAAAAGAAGATAACAGATGCATTACTAACAGATATCGTGTATCTATTTACACCACCACAAATTACACTAGCTATTATCTCGATGGAAGATGAACAACTGATAAGTAGATATTTAGAGTTAAAATTCGGTAAAGACATTTCCAATAATACTGATGATCAGGAGAACGGAGTGAACAAGGAAGTGAAAGAAGTGAACAAAGAAGAGGAAGGGGGGGTTCCAGAGAAAGTAGATGATAAACATGAACCACAAAATGATATAGAACTTAATAAATTGTTGACAATAATAAGTCAATGCGTAGACCTCCTTGAGAAGTCAGAATCTGTTACCACAGATGATGCCAAAAGAGTCGCAGCAAAAAATTATTATTGTCAAAATCCAAGCATACTTCTACAAAAACTGAAGAGAAAGTTAGAGAGCAGTAATGATAATAATGGCAATGAATCGCCTAGTAAGAAACCAAAAATCGAGGAATAAAATCTTTCATAACTTAATGAAAAAAACAAAAGGAAGAATTAAATTTGTAAGTGCATTAAAATCATTTATATATTGGATATAATAATATTTACATAGTTATCCACATTAATCATAATTCGAAAAATGAATTAACAAGCGTAACTCTACTGATAAATAAACGTATATCTAGCGAGTGCCCAATGAATTCTTTCAACATTATGTGGAAAATTAGTGTTTGTGTGTGTGTTTACCACGTTGTGTGCGTGCGTGGGGGGTCAATAATTGTCATTATCTAAGCATTAATTAGAGTCGGTATCTTTGGCTTACTGCCTCCAATATCTTTACGTTCATCGCTATCTGGACCATCAATTACTTTATTTGTGGAATTTTTTATTTTATTAATCGATTCACCTTTACAAATTTTCTCCATTTCTTTAGCATCCAGCGTTTCATACTCTATTAGACCTTCTGCTAATCTATGTAATTCAACACTTTTCTTGTTCAACAAACCCCTAGTTCTATCCTCAGATGATTTTAGAACTTCAATAATTTCGTTATCAGCAACGTCTCTAATCTTGTTCGACCAACTATCCCAATTATCTGAAAGATTAACTGGACCAACAGATTCGCTCATACCATATTGAGTTATCATTGCTCTTGCAGTAGCTGTAGCACTTTGTAAATCAGAACCACATCCACTGGTAGTATTTTCTTTACCATAAATTATTTCTTCAGCAATCTTACCACCCATGCAAACATCTAGACGAGCTAAACATTCTTTCTTCGTAGTGTCTACTTTATCCATTTCAGGTAATTGGAAAGTAATACCTAAAGCTCTACCTCTTGGTAAAATAGTAGCTTTGTATAAAGGAGTTGCACCAGCGGTAAACATTGCCATAATTGCATGTCCGGCCTCATGGAATGCAGTAGCCTTTCTTGCGGCTTCAGTTAAAACCATAGTTTTCCTTTCAGCACCCATTAAAATCTTATCCTTTGCCCATTCTAAATGAGTCATATTGACAGAGACTGCATCCTTTTGACAAGCATACACTGCAGCTTGATTAACTAAATTTGCTAATTCTGCACCTGAAAGGCCTGGAGTACCACGAGCAATAAGAGTTGGATCCACATCATCTGCTAAAGTAATCTTTTCCATATGATGTTTTAAGATAGAAGCACGACCACGAACATCAGGCAAATCAACATTAACTATCTTATCGAATCTACCTGGTCTTGTTAATGCTTTATCAAGGGATTCTGGGAAATTAGTAGCACCAATGATTATAATACCCGACGTTTGAGAAAACCCATCTAATTCAACCAATAATTGATTTAAAGTTTGTTTTGCGTAAGCTTGATCCTTTGGATTACGTTTACCACCAATTGCATCTAATTCGTCAATAAAAATAATAGCAGGTGCTCTAGCTCTAGCTTGTGAAAATAAATCTCTAATACGTTTAGCACCTACACCGACATAAACTTCATCGAATTCAGAACCAGACATAAAGAAGAAATCCACACCTGCTTCACCGGCGGTAGCTCTAGCTAATAAAGTTTTACCAGTACCTGGAGGACCTGTTAATAATACACCTTTTGGTAATTTCCCACCAAGGGCTTCATATTTGGTTGGATCCTTTAAGAAATCCACAATTTCTTCTAATTCTGAACGAGCTTCATCACAACCTTGAACATCATCAAATTTAACATTAGTCTTTGCAACATCAACAGATTTATCTGCAACTTCTGAATTTTTCAAGAGTGTTGTGTTTTCTGTAATATATCTAAATAATTCAGATAAACCATAAGTTAGCAAACCAAAGAATACTAACCATTTAACCCATCTTGATACTATAGTAAAAGTTGATTCTGATACAATTACATGCAAAGGTTCTTTTTTTGAACCATAAAATGGATTATATAAAGATGGTCCTGGGCTACTATGATAATTTGGATTAGTTGTACTTGATGAAGCTAAAGATGGATTAACTGCACCTGCCGAACTTGCAGTTAATAAAGTTTGTCTAACCCCATCGGCTTCTGAATGTCTACCAATTCTTTGTAAAGCTTCCATATATAATTCCATACATTCAGGTGATGAAGCAATACCAGGTGTTTCAAATCTAGAGACAACATATTGTGGATAATTTGCTTTTAATAATAATTTATAAAAAATTGCTTGTGCATCTGCACTTGTAATATCATTATTTGCTTGTTGTTCTTGTTTTGCTAATACAGCATGATTAACAGTTTCATTAGTTCTTGATCCTATTGGATCCTTAGGTAACATTGAAGGTGATACTGAATTATTCGTTGTATTATTATTGTTATTATCATCTTTTTTAATTTCTTTATCAGAATAGTATCTTCTATTTAAAATTAAATTCAAAGATGTATTATGTAATAATATTCTATTATTACTTCTTAAATGTAAAAATCTTTTAGACTCAAAATTTGATTGATAAATTAATGATCCTTTCATTAACGCCGTCCATCCGGTTTTCCATAATAATTTATTTGTTGTTCCATTATTAATCAAAGTTGAAACAACTTTATTTGAAAGATTCATAATAGTGTTTATATATATATATGTATACGCACCTCTCTCTATTTTGCTAACTCAGAATAACCATCAAAAAGCCAGAACAGCCAAAAAAAGAAAGAAATATAATGGTAATTATAATATCACCAAACCACTTTGGTAGTTAGTTAAGTATTAATAGATTTATATGTCAGACGAAATATAGTTAATGTATAAATACGAAAAATACTCTGTATGACTCTGCACAGTATATATACAACAACGTTTGTTCTTATTCTATTCCTTTCAACACGATGCCCTCTATAAATCGAAAGCTACACACACTATATATATATATATATATATATATATGTTTTAATAATTAAAGCTATTTTAAAAAAATAACAATATATCACTATAAATCAGTCTCGGGCTACTATCTATCTGTCTGTCTTGTCCCCTTCGGTTGTGTGGCAATTTCAAAACCGTATTATTTCGGTTATGAATGTGCGACTATTGGAGAATCACCACATCTCATACTGTTGCGGTTACACACTGCGCGTGGAAAGACAGGCCGGTCCATTATCAAGAGAGGAAAGAGGAAACACTGTGAATTCTCTTTTCATTTTTCTCCTAAAAAAAGGGTTTTCGCACCGTTTCGCCTCTCAACAATATTTACACCTTGCAATATGAATTTAGAGGCTCATAATTTAAAAGTAAATGCGCATCGTATTGGGTGATAGATGCTGATGTATTACGTGTACTGGCGCGGAATGTAATGTTGTACGGCAAAGCGTAGCTTTTAAGCTCACTCGTACCGTGCCAGGGTTGGATGTTAGGGCTGGGCATTTGTTGAAAGAGTGAGACGGCGCGCGGAGGTTTGGCAGAGAAGCCAGTAAGTACTACGCATATATCTAACTTATTCGCTGCATTTTGCTGTCTTCTTGAAACTCTATGTATGTTGTTTAGTTTCACAGGTAGCATTGGTTTGGTGTTCTTTACATTTTTATTTTATTTTTTTTTTTGATAATCAACTGGGAATTAATACAAACAAACAAACGAATTAGATCAATAAAGTATTTTGAATTAGCGTTTTGTTTTGTTACCTGTTTAAGATTAGTGTCCAAATAAATATCAAAATCATTTATTTTCTTTCAATAACTGTCAAGTAAAAGAGTTTTCTTCATTGATATAGTTAAGCCCTTTCTCACCCTTCAAAAATTAATACTATTGTTTTCATTTTTATTTATTTACTTCTTTGACTTATTGGAAAAAACAACAACAACAAACACAAAACTTGATAACTATTAAACATGAGTAATAATCAAGATGGTGAAGTATTCGTTACTGACGAAGTTAGACAACAAGTCTTCCAAAAATTAAATTCGAAATTAGATAACAGAGTTTGTTTTGATTGTGGTAATAAAAATCCAACTTGGACTTCCGTTCCATTTGGTGTAATGTTATGTATTCAATGTTCAGCAGTACATAGAAACTTAGGTGTTCATATTACTTTTGTTAAATCTTCAACTTTAGACAAATGGACAATTAATAATTTAAGAAGATTTAAACTTGGTGGTAATCATAAAGCAAAAGATTTTTTTATGAAAAATAATGGTAAACAATATTTAAATACTTCAAATGTTGATCCACATGATAAATATACAAGTAATGTTGCCAAGAGATATAAAGCTTATCTTGATGAAAAAGTTAAAAAAGATTCTGATTTATTTCCTTCTGAATTATCTTTAAACGATATGGATGATACTTTAAATGAGTCAACTTCTGAAGTTTCTTCATTAAATGGTAATAATTCATCAAATGAAAATAGTGTTGATGATTTTTTTTCAAATTGGCAAAAACCAAAAGTTGTTAATTCCACTAATTCAAGTGGTGCTAATACTCCAAGAGGTTCATCTCCATCTTTAGCAATTAATAACAATAATAATCATACTATTACTTCTAATTCAAACAGATCATCTATCTTACAATCAAATAGAAAAAAATCTAATATTTTAAGTAGTAACACTGGAAATAAAAAGCATTCAATTTTATCATCTTCTAGAAAGGCTACTAAGATGTCTGCTAAAAAAGTTGATACAGCAAATGCTGAAGATCTGTTTGATCAATTTGAAAAAGAAGCAGAAATTGAAAAAGAGGAAAAAAAATCAAGACAATTTGCACCATCAAATCCAATAAAACCATCATTCTCTTCGAATACATATAACACAAATACTTTTGGTAGTGAATCAAGTAGTATTAATCAAAATAAAGATAAAACTGAAACTTTCTTAGATGAAAGTGATGATGATGATGAATATAAAGCTCCAACTACCATTGAAGAAGTTCAACCAAAATTTGCTAAACTTGGATTTGGTATGGTGGCTAATGATGCAACTAAACTAGCCACTGAACAAAAAGAAGCCATTAGAGCTGCTTCAGGTCCTAAATATTCAGGTAAAGTGGCAGCAAAATATGGTGGTCAAAAAGCTATTTCTTCAGATCAAATGTTTGGTCGTGGTGGTTATGACGAAGATGCCTCTCGTGAAGCCAAACAAAAGTTAAAATCTTATGATAACGCAACTTCAATCTCTTCTAGTGCATATTTCGGACAAGATCAAGAAGATGAAAGCTCTAGTAATAATGGCCCTTATGGCTCTCAACAAAGTTTCGGCAGTAATCAAGGTGCTAATAATGAATACATAGACTTTAATGTCGGTGCCGATGACGAATTACAAGTCCTAAAGGATGCAGTTGAGCAAGGTGCTCAAAAATTAGGTAACTATCTAAGAGATTACCTAAGAAACTAGTAATAAATAGTTCTCATTTTTACCCTTCACTCATTGAAATTGTTGTAGCATATTTCCACAAAACATATATACATATATAAATATTGACAACTTTCTAAAAAAAAAAAAATGTTCGCATGAAAAAACCTAATATCTCTATTATTCTACATGTTTACTTTATTGAAAGAATGATAATTTTGTTTTCTGCTATTTGCCTATTCAACGTTGTATATGAAATCAGGCGGCACGACTAATCTTATCCTTTAAAATTTAAATGTCGGAGTTTTTTAAATTTATTAAGATAATGATAAAGTAAAGTTGACTTTCAACATCCGTACATTTTATTAATATTATTAAATATATGTGATGTACAGATGCGTGTCTACGATTTCATTTAATTTTTGTTTTGGTTATTGAAAAATTTGTTTGTTTTACAAAATTCGCTTAGCGAAAAAAACACAAATATTACAACTAAACCTTACCTAGGAGGAGACAGGTTTTGTTTCGCTAAAGCGCTTCGTGGTTTCAATCTTCCCTTGAAGGACCACTAATAGGCAGGACAATCATTTTACCTGGCTCAGCCTACTCTGCCTAACCTTTAGAGACTCAATGAATGTAATTCCATTTACCATTTTGTTCACCCTCCCTAGAGAAATCCATCCATTCTAGAATGGCACGGTGTAATATTGCTTTCTTAGTGTCTATCCCAATCGAAATGAAAATTTCACGACATAGTGTGGTAATACTGATTGGCATTCTCACCAATTGTATGGAGATGAGCTCCACCACACCAAAGTAAATTTTACTGAATTCCAAGCTGGGAGAGAGCATACCAGTATAGTCCTATAGTATCTAACTACTGCATAACATTAAGGTGGCTATCGGTTAAAAGTAGGAACTACATTAAATAACATAATACTCTTGTTTACTTGTTAAAATATACTAAAAGGACCAATATATATCATCGATAAAAGTATGCATAATAATAGCAATAATAGAAAGCAAGATCGTGGAATAGTTTGAGTGTTTGTGACTTCATAATGAAAATAGAAAAAAAAATAATAGTTTAATATGAGTAATAGATATCAGACCTATTAGATACGTTGATTAGAAGTGATATCTTGTTAACGGTATACTAGAACTCCTGAAAAAGTGCCAATAGAAGTCCAGATGTGACTTTTATTAAGATTAAACAAATATTGATATTTTGATATCTCAATATTGAACAAAATAGAATCATAGTGAAAGGAGAAGCTAACTTTAATGCAGAGATAAATCTATGAGAACCATCTATACTATCACAAATATACAAAAGAATATGAATAGCGAGATCACGAATAAAAATCAATAATGTAATATATTTAAACACGGGAAACTTAACATTTATTTTTTGAAATTGAAAAGGAGACACACTCACGTTCAGACATCTATGGGACGCTTAATATTTAATATCTTTCCCTAATTCATAATTACTAACAAAGACTAAATTTGTGAACGATAAAACTTCGTTCATTGATATTTATATTTTTTTATTTTACAGATGGCTGCCTCTCTACCACATCCAAAGATCGTTAAGAAGCACTCTAAGAAGTTCAAGAGACATCACTCTGACCGTTACCACAGAGTTGCTGAAAACTGGAGAAAGCAAAAGGGTATTGACTCTGTTGTTAGAAGAAGATTCAGAGGTAACATTGATGAACCAACTATTGGTTACGGTTCCAACAAGAAGACCAAGTTCTTGACCCCATCTGGTCACAAGGTTTTTGTCGTTGCTAACATCAAGGATCTAGAAACTTTGATGATGCACACCAAGACTTACGCTGCTGAAATTGCTCACAATGTTTCTTCCAAGAACAGAGTTGGTATTCTAGCCAGAGCTAAGGCTTTAGGTGTCAAGGTTACCAACCCAAAGGGTCGTCTAGCTTTGGAAGCTTAAGAGCTCTACTTTTATGTGTCTAGTTTTATAATTCAACAATAAGGAATATCTATCTCTATATATATATTTAATAAAATCTCTTTAATCTTTAAACCAATAATAAGTTCATATTAATACAAGTATATAGCCATTTAGGTATCGTGATTTATATATATATGACATGATGATGATTTATATATATATATATATTGGTACAAATTGTCTATGGAAGAACTGATTAATCTTAGCTCTACTATAATTGAAAATTACAAATGATAATACCAAAAATTTTAAGTGATAGAAATACAATTAATAACACAAAAATATCAAATAAATAAATAAATAAAACAAATAGATGTTATAAAACGTTGAAGTCAAATCAACTTATTCTTATTTATTTATTATCGATAAAGATCTTTATCCTTCGTATCATTTAATTTTCTTCTTTAATTTTATATTGTTTTAATTTTTATTGTTTAACTAATGAATGTAAGAAATGAGTACAAAACAAATGAATATGTTAGCATATGAGGAAAAGAAAACCAACCTACAATTAGTTATAGAACCAACGAATAATAAAAGCAAGTAAAACAATTCCCAAAAGTAGTTTTAGATTTAACGTGCTATCAGATTTTAATTCGGAAGATACTTCATCTTTAACTGTTGAAGCAGGTTTACTTTCTTCAACATTTGTTGTTGAAGGTACAGTTTCCTTAATTTCCTTTTGAGCTTGATCATTTTCAGATTTCAAAGTTTCCATATTTGCCTCTTGCACTTGTGCAATCTTTTCTTGTTCTTCTGGTATTTCGTTTTCTTGTTCTTCTTGCTCAACCAAATACTTAACTTTAATTTTTTTAGAGATAGCTTCTTTACTATGAGCAGATTCTAATTGAGACCAAGAAGAAGAAACATCTTTAATTTCTAAATCTTCTGGTGCAGGTAGAGTTATGACTAAAAATTTATCCCGACAATTATACTCAGCTGAAGGTTCTTCAGCTAAACCTAAGAATATAACTTGAATTTCTACTGATTCGCCTGGTGCAACGACGGCTGCATTTGGCCTTACACAATAAAATTTGGGGGCTGTTGTTTTCACTTTGAAGGCAATATTATGAGGAGCATTATTGACAATCGTCATATACTCAATGGATTGTTCAGTTAAGGGAGCTATAATAAATAATTAACCATATTTGATGTAAAATCTACACAAAGCCATTAAAAAACAATCACTTTAAGATTCCGATGAAGGAATCATAGGATAAAGGGTGGCCTCTTTCGAATTAACATTCAATAAAAAAACAATGTTAGTATTATAACTTCTTGTTTCGGATGTAATTGGATAATTGGATATTGTTCACGAGATGGATCAAATCTGTAACTGTAGTGACAACACCAAAAAAATATTAAAAATTCAAAATAACGTACGTTTAAATTCTAGAACATCTGGACTAATTTCAACTAAGGACATCTTTGTGTTTGTTGTTAAGTGTACTAATACAATATATATTGGGTGTGTTGTGTAGAGTCTAAACAATCGAAGTTATAAACAAATCAACAGTTTTCAAAGTAATTATAGTAATATTATAATTAATGTTTTTGAATATGCTTTGTTAATCTCACTAATAGTAGAACAGCACTAAATATCACACTTGTGCTTTTGGTACACAAGTCAATATAGAAAATACCATAATAGCAATAATACTATGTCGAATCGGGTCATCCAAATAGACCGTCTTTCCCTATTCGGGTTCGGAAGGGGCAAATTGTTTCCTGTGTGCCAAAAAACAAAATTTGAGATAAAAACGGTAGGATCTATGACAGTGCAGTGGTTTGTCATAGCGTACGAGAAGTTTCCGTGAAAGGTGACATAAAATGTTTAAATTAAGGTTATGCATTTATTCATACATTCTATAAACGGATCATCATTAAGAGCTCACATGAAACGTGTTTCCGGGAGGTGTATTCTATGGGATGTTACATGGTCATTAAGTATGTAGATATATGGATATTTATCTGCATTTTAGTGCAGTAGTACATGAGGGCGGTATTCCTTAATAATCATCGCCCTTCGACACGATCTCTTTCTTGTTTGGATGTAGCAAGATAGTGTGTTCATATTGTGCAGTGTAGGAACCAGGGATATCTACCAATGGTGGGTAATCCTGAACGTAACCTTGTTTTACTAAATAATTCAAAGCAAATTCGTGTTCGTCTTCACCAAGTCTGTCTAAATAACGACGACAGAATGGTAAAGTACCAAAATTTTTATTGATTGTCTCTAGTAATTTCTTAGCACTTGGTAATGAAGGAGCATCGTAATCATAATCTTGTCTCGCATAATGAGAACATTCACCTTCAGCGGTAACATAACCACTACCAGTGGTACCGAAAGTTTCAATGGCAAAATGTTCACCTTCTTCCATCTTGGTAATATCACCATTCTTCACAATTGGAACCGATTTACCACCATGAATCCTCCAAGGACCAATATTATGACCACAAAGATTTCTACATGGTTTGACGCCATATGTTTCACCATTTATTTCTACTTCGTAGGATTCCATGACTTCTTGAATAGCTTCACCGATATCTGTTAATCTAACATCAATACCTGCTTCCTTTATACCAGTATTTGTAGCTTCACGTACAGCGGTTAATAAATTGTCATACTGAGGATCAAATGAAACTGTCCATGCTGAGTCAATGATATTACCGTTTATTTGAACACCAAAATCGACCTTCATGACATCTTCATACCTTAGAACAGTCTTATCACCTTTATTTGGTGTGAAATGGGCAGCAATATCATTAATAGATAACCCCGTTGGAAACCCAATACCTCTACTAGTTGGGTCATCCATTTTTGTCAAATCTTCAGCATCTGTATATTTTCTTGTTGTGTTTTCAATAAGATCTGCAATTTCAGTCAATCTCATCCCTGGATGGATCTTACCTTCTACGTTCTTTCTCACTCTACGATGAATCTCTGCAGCTTTTCTAACTTCATTCCAATGATCTTGGTTCTCAAGATCTCTCTTTAGGTATCTTTTCTCCTCATCAGTAGTACGTGCCAAATTGAAATCTTGTTCATAATCCATCCATTCACCCTCTGGGTAGACGCCATCTGGGAAATAGTTTTCAATCTTACTGATGTTAGCTCTCTTCTTCTTCTTCTTCTTTTTTTTATCAGAAGATTTAGCAGTTTCTGCTGGATTAGTTCCGCTGGCATTACTTACTTCAACAGGTATATCATTTGACACTGGTGCTTGGTCAGCGTTTTTAACTTCACTAGCTTCGGACATCGGTCTTATTTAATTCAATTCCAATTGCTACTATTAGAACGTGAAAAACAATAACAATTAAAATTAATGTAATGCTTACTAATATATATATATATATATCTCCACTTTCGTTTACCAATTGCTGTTTAAAAGAATTCATTTAGTAATAAGTAGTTCTTTTTTGACAATAGTGTTGTAACTTAATTTAATTAGTATCAGATAGGACGCTACCGCTCTATTAAAAATCCATTTACTATGCGGAATATTTTTTTTGCTGCGAAAACAGAAGAAAAACTAAGAAAATGTTTACTATGTGGAATTAAGCGAACCAACAAAAAATAACAAAATATAGAAAGAAGTTATTCACATGTAAGGTGAAACTAATTATGGAAAGTTACGATATAGCAACAAATATACTTCGAATCGAACGAATATACCTCACTGGAAAAATAACATCATCTAAACTTTTTATAAAGTATTTGTTGAATATCGGGTTTTTGCATTTAATCGAACTCTACCCCTAGATACATATTCATTTCATTGATTCATCCAAAAATATCGAAACATAATAACGATAACGATGCTTAGGAGTCTAAGTGGTTATATAACTCAGGCTAATAGGCCGCTCGCAACTATGGGCACGAGAACTTTTGTTAACTCTACTAAAATGCAACAGATACAATACCCCTTTAACAATAGTGCACAAGATATATTAAGATCCTTTCCAAGCAGCCAAAAGAATAAGTCAGATGTCGGATTAAATGTCTCATTTAATACTATGAAAGAAGCTAATGCATCGAATAATCTTCAACGTGATTCTTCTATTATACTTCCTGAACAGATAAGAGAGGAAGCAGCCTCATTAAAGAATTTTTCTATAAAGACAGGCAGAACTGTTCTTGTTAACAATTCTGATACGGCAAGTGCGTGTAGAAGACTTAACGGTCTTGTATTTGCGAATCAAATTGCTATTGATCGTAGAAAACAAAGATTTCATATGAAACCTGGTAAGAAGGCAGAAATGAAGAGATCACAGCGTCATAGAAAGGATTTCATGAAGGGTTTCAAACGTTTGATGGAAGTGGTTAAAGATGCAAAGAGAAAAGGTTACTAATTTAAACATTGAGACTGAAATCTTTCTTTTAAAAGAAACATATATATTCAAACAAAACTATGTACATACATAATTATGTTATGGCATTAACATGTAAATAATATTAATACAATATCTATTTTTCATATATTTACAAAACGTTACTGCTCTCAGTAAGAGGTTGCGTCTAACCAAGACCTACCAAGAAAAGGACTTGATAAGCCATAACTCCAATGTGTCAAGGATGTGAACGATATAATTGACGTCATAAGCAAAGAACGGTTTGGAATTCAGTTTTTATTGAAGCTTGAATAAGGGTATATGAAGGAAGCCAAATTTGTTAAATATTAAAGCGCAGGTTGGTACAATGAGGTCGGATAGTCATAATATCCAACCTCATTGTGGCGAGTCAACACTAATCTTAATTCTCTATCAATCCAAAATCATGTTCATATAGCATTTCAATACTTTTTTTATTTCTACTTAGACAGCAATATAGATATGTAGGTGAGTTAACCACAACATCGGTACTATCTCCTCCTCCTCCTCTCCCTCCTCATGCAACATATCTGCCACCCGCGCGCAAAGAAAGGGATGCAGACGATGCTTCAAAGTCCGGAAGGGATGAGATAGGAAATATACGAGATGGTCACATAATCAATGACCATGGCATCCCTTTCCTTTGCCAAGTATGTAAATACAGAGAGATAAATGTCAAATAATTACCGATCTATTATTTAGTTCAATATACCTCTCCTCGTTCTTGTAGTTACTTATAGTCTTAAAGGGGTAGTTACCATTATTCAAATTTTCTTCTTGTTTTCTTTTTTTATATTATTGTGATCTATATTTAACTCGTAAATCAGGTTTGTGTTTTTATAAGGGAGTCATTCCGCAAGATTGTACTTAGGGATCATATTATTGTCTTTTTATATATAAGTTACAACCTGAATTATTGGAGCAGAAGGTTTATTTTAATACTAAATTTGTTTTTTTATTTGTATATTTTAGAAAAGATAAACTGTAACCACACATAGATGGTGCTTATTCGTTAATTTCTATTGCAAGACTTATTTATTTAAAAAGAACACCAATTATGCCGTATTACTGTAGAGTCAGTTCAACTCTTAAAGATGGGGTCATTAGACTATTGAACACATTATGTTCTGCAGGGTTATTAGCGATTCCATACATTTATAGACCTTTTGGTTTAGTAACAGGAGTAACCGTTACTTTTTTCATCTCCTTATTAGCATTAATAGGGTTATTAATACAAGCACAAGTTATACGTTATGTACCACTACGATATGCTTCATTTTTCTCTCTAGCACAGATTACAAGTCCAAAATTAGGTGTAATATTTGATTTTGCAATTGCATCGCGTTGCTTTTGTAATTGTCTCATCCACCTTATAGTAATACGAGATTTATTACCTGGAGTATTCACGTCTAATAATGAATCTACGAATAGTTTGCTTTTAAATCCTCATGTACAACTAGCTTTAATTACATTATTTGTGATCACCCCATTTTGTTTCTCTAAGAATGTCTGTATCACAAAGCATTTAACTAGACTTACAATAGCAGTATTAACATATTTTGCGTTTGTAATAGTATTACTACCCTGGGTAAAAAGTGATTCCTTAAGGGATTATGCAGGTGACATCTCTATTGGGATTCCACAACATAGCGATGATACTGGTATGATGAAAGCAATTTCTTTATTGATATTTGTCTTTAATAGTCATCATCACATGTTTGCCATGATAAATGAGCAAGAAGAAATAAGTTTTAAGGAAATGAAAAATATTGCTATAATAGTAAATAGTATTCAAATTTTTATTACATTGTTAATTGGAATTTTAGGATATTTAACATTTGGTGACAATGTTTCAGAAAACATTTTATGTTTGTATCCACCAATTTGTTCAATATCCATTTTAAAAATTTTTTATATTATCTTAATGATAGTATGTTTCCCATTTCAATGTTATCCATTAAGAGCCTCATTAAATCGTATTTTGAATTGCATTCAAAATTGGTTCGATAATAGAACTGTTGAAGATACCTTTAATGAACAAACAAGAAATAGTGATGCATCTGCTAACGCTTTAGTTTATGACCAAACAACTCCGTTACTTACATGTGAAGGACATACAATCCCAATTGAAGAATTGGTTGAAGAAGGTTCCAATAAACAACTAGTTATTATGCCAATGACGGAACGTAATTTTAAACTCTACACCGGTGCAATACTTATCTGTGCATATCTCATTTCAATAACCAAAATTAAAATGATGAGTATATTGGTATTTATTGGTTCAACTAGCTCAACGGTAACAGCATACATATTACCAGGGATATTTGCATACCAATTAATTGGAATTGAGTATGAGTCCTTTTGCACAAAACGGCCATTCATGACTACATTTTTCAAATACTCTGGACTATTCCTAGCTATTTTTGGGATTTCAATGATAATGCTGTATACAGTATTCCTTCTACCACAAGAATTATTTTAAAACGAAACATAACCTATATTGGCAGTGTAGATCATCACATGCTATAAACAAACTATTGAGAGTTTAATCCAATAAACTTATACATATATTGTTACGAAGTGTAAGCCGAACTTTATGGATACAATACAACAAATCGCTTTTATATATCTAGAGAAAGTTTCCAAAGTGCTTTCTTTTACTTACATACATAGACTGATATACCACCACATTAATAACTAATATTCATTTATACCTATCAACATCATTTTAACCTTCCAGTCTACTTAGTAGGCAATATGATTTTACTTTATACCTATCAAATTCATGATGGCCATCTTAATATATGGACCGCTCTCTGCCTTTCTTGACATCATATTAACGCAAGGGCTAGACCTTTTCAGATCGATCCGAAACCCTACGTCGGTTTTACTTTACTTCTTGAAACTAACTGGATTTACTATTTCCTCTGTTGGGTTTTCTTCGTGCAAGGCAGACTGTGTATCGCCAAGTAAGAAAATTGAAAAATTTACGTATACGTATCATCAGATAATAATAGTGAAAGACGCCAAATCGTAATACATTTGGCGGATGGATCACCATAGTAGCAAAGCCCTACAGTTAGATCTCGATTCTGAGAGAGAAGGAGAGTTCAAGATATTCTTGGAATTTTCTAGTAAATATTTTTTTAGAAGGAAATATCCACTTCAAATAACAAAACTAAATGAACTAGTAGAATTTATTTATATATATATATATGTATACTGAACTACTATATTAATCGTTTCAGAGTTGACTACTTTAAATTGCTTTATTTTTCACATAGACTAATAGAGAAAACAGTTCCGAAGCGTTTGGTTGGTGGTAACAATACTAATTACAGGCATCATACATTGTTTCTAGGACCATCCAGAAGACTCTAATATTAGTCAAAAAAATTACTTTCCATAATTTAACAATAGTTTGTTAAAGAAATAAAAAAAAATATTAGTTCCTTCTAAAAATAACGTTCAACCAATAAATGTCATTCAACGGGAATGATCTAAGAACTCGTAGGATGAGATCGAAAATTAACCGTAGTATGGATGTAAGGAACTTATTCGGGGATCCGTTTGCTATATCGACAATATCTATTGCAATTATATCATGGGTGATTGCCATTGTAGGTTCTATTGCAGCTGCTTCTACAAATGAAACTTTCCCAAGATTTACTTGGTGGGGGATTGCTTATCAATTTCTCCTTTTAGTCATTTTGGTTCTGTTATATTCATTCGATACTGTCGATTATTATAAGAATTTTTTAACTGGTGCATTCTCAGTAGCATTTGTATATAATACAAATAGTGCCACAAATTTAGTGTACGCTACGGGATCTAAGAAAGCTGCAGCTGCAGCAGGGGTAATCTTATTATCAGTAATTAATCTGATTTGGATCTTTTATTACGGTGGTGATAATGCTTCACCGACTAATAGATGGATCGATTCTTTCTCCCTAAAGGGTATTAAAGTTTCTGCATATGAAAACACCATAATGAGAACACGTCGTCGTACTAGTAGGAATGCTGTCAATAATAGACGAACTAGTAGATTCATGCCAATGAGTCCTGGGTTTAACAACGTCAAACATGAAAACTATATGTCTTCCAATGCATTGACTGGGTTTGAAAACGCTGATCCATTAGCCACACAAATGAATAGTTCACATACAAATATTGAAATTGATACAGGGTTGAGTGATCAACCAGTGCTATCTGCAGGTTCCAATAATAATACAGAGAACACGTTCTTGTCTGTAACTTCAAACGGTTCTGTATCCGATACAACCATGGGAGACACTTTAGGTCTTTATAGTGATATCGGTGATGATAATTTCAAATATACTGCGAAGACTTTATATTCATATCAGGCCGATGATGCTGACCAATATGAAATCTCATTTGAGCAAGGTGAAATATTGAAGGTTAGTGACATCGAAGGCAGATGGTGGAAAGCAAGAAGAGCAAATGGTGAAACTGGTATTATTCCAAGTAATTATGTTCAATTAATTGATGATGATGCTGATTTTTAACAACAATTCAAACAGGTAAATATTCACAACAAAATATGTAACTATAGAATAACAATATTATAAAAAAACAGTTAGATATAATATAGGCTTTAAATACAAATGAGATGCTTTTATGGAAATTTGCATCAAGTCTCACAAAATATGAGTAAATTCTCTATCATAATAATTTATAATAAATATTAAAAAGTAACAATTGAATAGTTTTTTTATGTTATTTGAGTACTAAATAATTTTAAAGAGAGTTTCTAAATATAATTCTTATATGTAAAAAGTTCTTAAACAACAACACCAGAGGCGGAAGCAACTCTTGGCCATAGATCGGCACATTCCTTACCGACTGGACCAGTGATGGCGGAACCCTTCATTTCACCCTTTGGATTAGCAATAACACCGGCGTTATCTTCGAAGTATAAGTAGACACCGTCCTTTCTTCTCCAAGATTTGGATTGACGAACAACGATAGCTGGCATAACCTTCTTTCTTAGTTCTGGCTTACCCTTCTTAACGGTAGCCATAACCATATCACCAAGAGAGGCAGCTGGTAGTCTGTTTAATCTAGAACCAGAACCTTTGACGGCGATGATGTATAGGTTTCTAGCACCACTGTTGTCAGCACAGTTCATGATGGCACCAGTTGGTAGACCTAGCTGTATTTAAAAAATCATTATGAATAATTATTACCCATATTGAATAATTGTTAGTAAAACGTGTTTCTTAATATATCTAGTTTCTTCAAATCTAAGGAAAAATAAAACAAAGATAAATGGTCATTTGATATTGCCATTTTGGATTGGATAAATTGATGTTTTCAGAAATTTTTTCAGAAATAATCACAATAAAGCTGTGTCTCTTTATAGTTCACTGGATATAGATATAGATCTTATAAATTCATGTGATCAGTTATCTATTCTTATCATTTTGTGTTCTAGTATTATTTATATTATCAACATCTGCACAGTAATTTGTTCATTATCCTCACAATTTGTTACTTTATTATTGGTTTGTGTCACTGTTTATATCTCTAATTATCCAACATCGAACTTTATATCATTCCTCATTACTTTATCATATAGGGTCGTTCAATTTTTCATATTATCTTTCATTTTCATAGATTTGTTTTTATTCATCGAAATTAACATACAGAAATTCTGAATTTTGTACCTTGAGCACCGTTACCAGACATTGTTACTATATTTTTCTTGGTTATTTGAACCTTATATTGAACGTTAGTTAAAGTGAAAGGTTATATCTCTTTTTATTACTCTATCACTATGTTAAATGTTGAATATTTTGGTGATAATGCTATACACTATTGTTAGGATGAACCCGTACAAGCTGTAAGATTAATTTTCCACCATGGCAAATAATTTTCAGAGAACGGAAATTTGATGGAAGTCGAATACTTTTTTTTTCAGATGGAAAAAATGTCCCCCGAAAGGAACAAAATATATGACTCTTTGGATGTACGGATGCTTCACCCATTTTCTGATGTATGGGTTTAAACCGTCACATAGTTCCTTGAAAAATCTAAAAAGGTAAATATCACACAGTCTTGTTATGAATTTGTTTATCCCACCTTTATATTATATTAAATAAATAAGATATGTAACAATGCCGTCTGATTAGATAAGCAATATATTTATATGTTATATTTATATCTTTATAAATGATAACTTTTCCAATAATATGTATATATAGCGGACTATATATATTATTAATGAGCAAAGGAGCATATTTTAGTTTTATTGGTAATGTCATCTGTTGCTCCTAACAATAATGAACCTAACCAGCAAAATGGTGATAATGGTCCAAACTCTGGCACTGGTAATGACAGTACGAGTCCAGTCCCACGGAAGAGACGTAGATCTGACGGAGGAGAAAGTTCTGAGGACAATAATAACGAAAATGATGATGGTGAAGTAGTTAATGATCAAAATGAAATTCTAAATGCGAACACAGTGTTACCTTCCAACGAACAGGTAAACGATACGCATGATCAAGATGAAAATAGTGAGACATCTGCAGATGTACGCGCATATCCTAATGATATTGAGACAAGACGTATAACTGAACTTGAACCCGATTTTGATTTAAATAATGCTTTTGATGACGAGACACCATCGAACACTGAACCAGTAACCGTTCCAAGTCCTGGTATTGATTCGGAAGTTGAAAATAATATACATATATCAAACGGCTCCACAGTAGAACCTGTCAATTTAGCGACTCAGGAGACTGAGCCTAACGTGATCTCAAACGGCGAAACTACCTCTAGAGAAAACATTAGCGACACATCGAACAATCAGAATAGAAATACATCGGAAGATATAATCATATCTTCTGTCCATAACGTGACACCGACATTAATCGATGATGAAGCAACAGAGCAACAAGTGGTGGAAATTTCTGATGAAGAATTGGAAAAGGAGATTGAGAGTAAGGCAGCCAGTAAATATAAAGCTGCTCGTGATTACCAATGTCCAATCTGTTTTGATCCACCAGATACGGCTTTAATTACACGTTGTGGACATGTATTTTGTTGTGATTGCTTGTTCCACATGGTCAATAGTTCTAGAACAAATAGATCAAGCGGACATTGTGCATTGTGTAGATCAAACGTGAAATTTAATGATGTGAAACTAGTGATAATGAGAAAGAAGAGAGTGAAAAAGAGTTGAACAGCCAAGTTTAATATATTCATTATGGATATTAAATAGAAATTAAGATCACGTCACAACGTTGCCCAATCTATGTTATTTTTTTTCGAGGGAAATGCCAATATATAATAAATCGTTGAACGTCACAACTGCGACAGAAAATAAGAATAGAAAAAAAAAGAATGGATAAAATAAAGACACTGACAATATCTTACTACAAATGAAGTGAGAGCTACCATATCATAATAATAATTGTTGGTGTTTTAAACACATTGAACTATAGTATTTCATAAAAAAATCATAAAACCAGAGAACAAATAAAATTGTTCTAATTAAATTGGATTATAATAACAAAGTACAATTATATTGCCAGCCATATCACCTTTCTCTAAAAAAGAAGATAAAACTGGAAGTTCTAAGGAACTTCGAGGTAGGACGATTCTCAAAAAAGACCATTTAATATTTTTTATTATATTGTTTTGTTATTGTTGTGCCTGTTTTATGAATAAAGAGAATATCCCAACTAGAGCTAGAAACCGTCCTATGAAAAGAAAAATAGGACAAAGAAGAAAGAAAACCTTTTTATGGCTATTTCGACATAATCAAAAACGAGGTAAAATCAGACCTATTACTTTGGAGAATCCTGCTGACTACAAATTTAATGTCTTAAGATTTGGAATTTTTAGACAAAGTTCCGATGTAAGATCAGAGTTTTGTCCCTACAGAGGAGTTAAACATCAAACGATAGTAAGCCCTTCAATTAAGTGCCTTTGTCGACATCGTACTTTCTGTCCAACTTCTCTTTCTATTGTCTGCATATTTGATAACTTCATAGTACAAAATTTCGATGTCACACCTTCTGTGGGTCGTAACATTTAGCATTTTTGACTTATATTATAACAAAAACATCAATAACTTAGTCTCTATATATTGTTAATTTGATAGTTCTATTTTTAATATATAAATTATTATTGCTAAATGGTGATCATCTGCGCAGTAGTTAGGCATACACTGTTAATATAAACGGTCCTTGATAGAGACAGCTACAATGGTTACAAGTATAGACAATAGATGACCTAATAGAAAACAGATGGATCATACAGAAAGCACATATTTGATCATATATATGGAATGCCCTTCTTAACTAACACTTTTAAATATATGTTGTCACCTGTAGTTGCTTAAATTAATGTAATCATGTATATTAAACAGTTGGCTCGGAGTACAACTAAAAATAATAATTCTGAGTCACGTGTAAATTAATTTTTAAGGTGTTATTTTCTTCATTTTTTCTGTATTTCTGACTATGAAAATTTTTTGCCAGGCTGTTTTCTTATACATTGTGAGTATGATAGAGCGGAAAACAATGGTAAATAGAGCAAGTTGGCGATGTGTTTATATACGTAGATTGAAAATACAACAACAAATAAATAATTACTCTGAAGACTCATTTATATTGACAACAAACAAACATAGTTTCAATCATAAAAGTAAGAAACGATACATTAATCGTACAGGAATACATATACATTATAAATAGTATTCAGATTGTTGTTATTTAGATAAAACACAGCGTATTATCAATTACTGAAACCCTTAATAATACATAGACAAAAGAAATAACAATATATTGAGTGGGAAGAAAAGAAAGAATATCAATAGCGAAAACTTCCTTTAAAAGACAAATTGTCAATTATTTATTGAACATTGAGTACTCTATTTATTACGCTTATTATTTTATTATTAAAATTTTGATTAGTTTTTCTCGTATTTGAATATAAGTGTAAAGAGGTCTAAAATATTTTCCCTTTTGGCTTAAGTTAAAACGCAAGAGAAACATAAACATATTTCCGTAGTGGTAGATTGTGTATCAAAATCATATATTAATACAAAAATGAGTAAAAAACTTACAAATATGTTGTCAGAGATTGACACGAGTTCAGCAGCTGATATAACTAAGGACTCCCAATTTAGCGCAGTCAGTGGAGAATCTCCAAGAATCTTTCCTGTCTACATATGTATTAACGAATATGCTAAGAGAATGGAGGATGAGCTTGACATGAAACCTGGTGATAAGATTCAGGTGATTACAGATGATAGAGAATATAACGATGGATGGTATTTCGGTTTAAATTTAAGGACAAAGGAAGAAGGTCTTTATCCAGTTGTTTTTACTCAAAAAATAAGTAACGAAAGAAAGCCAACTCTAATGAGAGCTAAATCTTTAAAGAGAATGAACAGTATGAATGGTATGTCTGATAGTAATACATCCTTAGTCCCTTCAGGGGCTGACTCATCCGCAGATCTTTCAATTCCACAAGTTGCTGAAGCTGCAGCTCCTGTCTCTATTAGCCATGAAGTTCCAAGTGAAAGACATGTATCAGTGAAAAGCACTATGAGTGATATTGATAGAGCTTTACAAGATTTCCAAATAGATGATAATGCAGAGACCGATAAAATTCAGTACAAGGATGGGGACGCTGATAGCCCCGTGCATAGTATTGCAGAGGAAACTATTTATTCAGAGACAACCGACCTAAATGTTGGAGAAGATCATTCAAGACTCCAAGTATCAGACGCCGAGAATGTAAGTAACAGTGTACGAGCCTCATCTTCTTTGGATGATGTAAATGGAAGATCCGAACTAGATGTAGCAAATGCCCAAAATTGGACAGCCGAAGAAGTTACCGAGTATTTTATCCAGGCAGGGTTCGACGTACAGTCATCTTCAAGATTTAAGCAACATAAGATATCAGGTAAGATTCTCTTTGAATTAGAATTATCTCACTTAAAAGAGCTAGACGTTAGCTCATTCGGTACAAGATTTGAAATGTTTAAAGAAATTGCTGCCCTAAAGGAAGCAATGGAGATGGCTACAAGCAATTCTGGAAGAAAAAGGAAAGAATTAATGCCAGCTGCTGAGATGGAACATATCTCAGTTAGTGGGCATGCAAGACCAGTATCGCAATCTGTTGAAGAATTGCCAATTAGAAGTGCCAGCTCCTCTGTAACACCCCGTCAAAGACCAACTTCTGTGCTAATTAATGGTAAGCAGGCTAGTGATTCTAATGTTCAAACCATAGATACGAACATTATTAATCCTGCAAGTTTTGCATCTCCAAGAAGAGCACCTAAGCCACCTTCATATCCAAGTCCTGCTCAACCACCTAAATCGCCACTAGTAAATAGACTAGCTTCTCCGATCAATGCTGGAGAGTCTTTATCTCATTCTCCTTATCGTACATTAAGAACCACCGGATCTAATGAACATATTGCTAGTACACCTAATTCCAGAAATTCATATTCAAGAAATATTAAATCAGGTGTATTTTCTCCTTCTGTTTCCAATTCAATAAAGGAGGAAAAGGAGGATGCTAATAATAACAAGAGATCATCAGTGATATATTCACCTCCACACGAAATGTCGAATCGTGGCAGTGGATCGAGAGAATCCTTAAAGCGTGATAATCAGGAGATACCGCCTAATATTGTGATGGAAAAAGATGCCGATGATGATAGTAGTTATGAAGAACAAGAACAGGATAATCAAGATGCTATCAGTGATAGGCCAACCTCAAGTATATACGCGACTTCTTCAGATCATGAATTTTCGGATGATGAGAAGGTTATGAGACTAAATGTAACAGATAAGGACAAAGAGGGAGAAAAAAAGATCAAAAGAAATTCTTCAGTTCTGTCATACTTTACACCTAACAAGAGTAGTAGTGGTGTTGATAGATCATTATCTGTTAATACAGGTGTAAATAGGAGTAATTCCTTGAAATTGAAGAAAAAAACTTCGTTTGTTACAAGTCCATTTAGGCAACAATTTACTGAAAGTGCAGATCGTAACTCCCCTAAAGCAGATAAACGTACTAAAGCTAGTGCAACTGGTGTAGATCCATCTGGTGCTTCTAAGGTAGCTAGCAAAAAAAAGAAAGATAAGAGAAGGTCTGTGAGTGCAAATGGTACTTATCCAAACGATACTGTAAAAGATATCTTAGGAACTGACCAAAATAAGAGATCCGTTAGTGAAGCTGTTAAGCCAAAAAAATTGCGTGCTCTTAAGACAAAACCACCATTGAAGAAACAAAGTACGTCTGCTTTCATGGAAGGTATTAGAAATATTAGTGTAGATGAAGCAATAAAAACAGCAGATTACTCTGGTTGGATGAGCAAAAGGGGAAGTGGTAAGATGAGTACGTGGAAGAACCGTTTCTTCACTTTACATGGTACGAGATTGTCGTATTTCTCAAACACAAGTGATACAAGAGAGAGAGGTTTAATCGATATTACGGCTCATCGTGTTGTTCCTGCAAAGGAAGATGATAAATTTGTCTCGTTGTATGCAGCAAGTACTGGTAAAGGTAGGTATTGTTTCAAGCTGATTCCACCAGCACCAGGTTCAAAGAAGGGTCTAACATTTACTCAACCTCGTATCCATTATTTTGCAGTGGATACTAAGGAAGAAATGAGAGGCTGGATGGCCACTTTGATAAAGACTACTATTGATATTGATAAAACAGTACCGGTAATTAGTTCTTATACTACGCCAACAGTTTCATTGAAGAAGGCGAAAATGATGTTAGCAGATGCTCGGGAAGAGACCAGAAAGCGTGAGGAAGAATTGTCGAACAATGCAAATGACGACGAAGCTCTATGGGATGAACAACAAAAGAAATCGGGATCAAATAGTAAACAGGATAAGCACAAGAAAGACAGCAGTGAGATTGAAGAGAGCACAAATACAAATGAAACACCAAACTTGTCGATTAATACTTCAAGTGCTGTTACAGCAAGTACTACTGTTAATTCTAATGGTTTCGCTAGTCCATACTTGTTGGCATCTGGTGTTCTATCACCTAATTTACCACATAGTCCCGGTTTCCGCAAGGTCAGCAGTAAAGAAAAAAAGGGAACCGAATACTTTGATTCAGAAGATACTACGTTGACAGGTACAAAGTTTTGAAAAATAAAATATGTATTTAGGGTAGCTATTAAGTTTTGTGAATACCAATACCACACAAAACATCATTCTTATATATTAGATTGGAAATTGTAATTATATTAATAATATTTTTTTTATACTCAACCTTTTACAATACAGGTAGCTCAAGAAGTTCCTTCTAACTGTGATATAATCACTATTGTTCTCTTACATGTAATTTAAATGAAGAATTAGCAAGACAGAAATGAATCTTGTATTGCTATGCATTAACTATGAACCTATGCTTTTTCCGACTCCACATACTAAATAAATCTGAGCTTATTTCAATATTTGGAATATTTTCACGCGCGCGTTATCCCGATATTGTACACGTCAATTATATGTCGTGAGTTTTCTTGGAGTGAAAAAAAAAATATCGAGGTTGAAAAACACGCAGAAAAAAACCATCATAATAGGTGAAATATTTAGAAATATTAAGATTTGCAGATGTTCTATTATCAGCATCATCCCTGCTATTATTTAATATTTCGGTTGCTCTGGTTGCATACTTCTTATTTAAGACACTTTACCACTTCTTTGGATTCAGCTACAATATCGTATACCCTACTGTGTATATTTAGTTAATTGTGAAGTTTGTACCGTGTTAGATAGTGATATTTGAAATTAAGCTTTCAGCTAATTCGGTTGATCATATACCAGATATTTAAACGACAATACGATTTCGTTTCTAAGAGGCTATATCATAGAGTATATTATCCTATTTAACCTCAGTCTAGTAGAATTGGTTACTTAGTTTTGAATTTTTGTCTGTAAATCTACTCATTTATCCCATTCCAAAACAAGACGTTATTTCGTTTCTACTGTGTCATACAAAATTTAAAATCTATTTAACCAAAATTACTAGGATTTTTTTTATATTTTATTGGTTCTCCCATTTATTCTGCATATATCTAACACTATGATCGTTCTCCAGATCAAATTTAAGACACTCCCTACACTTATAATAGTACTTTTCCTATTGTTTACATTGCGTAATCATTTACCTCTCGCAACTCGTTTCCAACTGGCTAATAACAGTTGGGTAACACCTAATATCTATCAAAAAGGTGATAAAGTAGAAATTATTGTTAATAAAGTTGAAAGTGATTTAACTCAACTTCCCTATGCATACTATGATTTACCATTTACTTGCCCTCCATCAAATTTTAAGAAACCATTACATCTTTCCTTAAATGAGATAATACGTGGTGATCGTAAATGGCAAAGTGATTACGAACTAAAATTTGGCGAAGATATGCCATGTAGTATTCTTTGTGCACGTAAAACTGACAAAGAAGGGATGAAAACAGCAATTGACTTGATTAAGAAGGGGTATGTTGCTCAGTGGCTAATTGATGAAGAACTGCCTGCTGCTACAACTTTCATCTCCACAAAGGACCACAAGAAATATTATGGATCTGGTTTTCCTTTAGGGTATTACGATGAGGATACTGAAACTGTTTATCTTCATAACCATTTGATGTTTGTCATAAGGTTTCACGCTATCGATGATAATAATTTTACTATTGTAGGTTTTGAAGTTTATCCAAGGTCTGTATCTGACTACAGTTGTCCTGGTGCAAGGAGAGATTATGAAAATTATGAGTTAGTTGTTCCAGAAGCGGACGATGAATTGCAATATCTACCATTTACTTACTCTGTTTACTGGAGAGAGGAATTTGATGTAGAATGGAAGGACCGGTTTAAGTTTTTCTTCAATAATGGAGAATTATCTGATGAAATAACTGCGAAGTTCCATTGGATCAGTTTAGCCAATTCTATTGGGATTGTCATTCTTGCATCATTTATTGTTGCGTTTATCTTTATTAAGGTATCGATAAAAGACCGCTCTACTCAAGATAGGGATACATTTGAAGTGAATTTATTGGCTGATAACACAGCTGCTCTACCAACGATAGCGGGAAATTGGCTAAACCCTAAGAAAACAAGAGGTTTACGTGTTTTGATCGTCATTGTCTCAATGGGTGTTCAATGTCTCTTTACTATTGTTGGAGCTTTGGCCATCTCGTGTTCTCTGAACAAGTTGCATGATGTTAGAAATTCTGTTTTATCAATGACTTTTGTTTTTTTCATACTAGGTGCAGCAATGGCTTCTTATGTCGGTTCGTATCTTTTAATCCAAAGCAGTATGAGAGGCAACTCGATGTCTCTGAATGACACACAGATTCGCAGTATTATATCATTTTCTATTTTATGTGGTTGTCTATTACCTGGTTTGGTATTGACCAGTACATTAATTTTAAATAGTATTGTTTGGGCACATGATTCTACAAATGCTTTACCATTCGGCACGATCGTTTTGATTGTATTCATGTACTTCCTTGTTTGTATTCCTTTGAGTTATATTGGAGGTCAGTTGGCTGTGAAATCTCTTGAAAACAAAAGAATGAAAGTGAGTGGAAATACTAACGATCGTACATATGCAGAAAAAGTTGGTGGTTCTTTGACAAGATTTAGAAGTAAAAAGAAAAGTCTAATAACTGATTCGTTCAACATCCTTCTAATCCTAATTAGTGGTATTTTCCCATTTATTATAATCTACGTTGAATTACAATTTGTTTACAAGTCTGTTTGGTTAGAGAAAACTACCTTTTATTATTATTATGGATTCCTTTTAGCTAACATTTTATTGTTATGTATTGTCATTTGTGAAATTTCTATTATTGTTTGTTACATTCTAATGACGATAACATCAAAAAAAGAAGCGGATGAAGTTGATTGGAGGTGGAAAGTCTATCAAGCCGGCAGTAGTCCTGCATGGTACATGGAATTATATTCGTTGTATTATATTTTCTGGATATTAAATATCCGTGGATTTTCCTCTATTCTACTATCTGTGTGTTATAGTACAATCTTCAACATAATATGTGGTTTTGGTATGGGATCCCTTGGCTACTTGAGTAGTTACTTTTTCATAAGGTATATTTCACGTAGCCGGACCAAAACTCATTAAATTAGTGGCACAATCATGGTATGTGTTACATTCGCATAAGACATTCTTCTTGACTTCTATTATTTAGATAATTAATGTTTTTTCATTCGTTTGGGGCATACCAACGATGTTGATATTTATTTGATAAGTCATGTCAATATTATTAGTCATAATGTCTATATTAAATTATTTAAATTTGTATATTATCCTTATATTAATTAAATTTGCAAATTATGATTTCATTAAAGATTTTTTTTCCTTTTATTCAACTGGTACATAAAAGAGAAATTGTCATCCAATACTTAATAATAAACCTCTTCTAACTCTTTATCATTTTAAGTTTTTTTTATTGATTTTTATATATGTTTGTATTTATACAACTAGTTACATATACTAATGATAATCATATGCACAAAATTTAAGGAATTGATTGATAAACAAATTTTGATTTAAAGTAAAAACAGGAATCCTTACGTTCTATCAGAAGTTATATCCAAAAAAAGAAAGCAGAAGGAGCAACTTTCCTAAAACTCAACCTTGTTCTCGTTATCGTTATTAAAAATAGTATGATGTTGAACATAACCACCAGTACCATCATGGGATGGTCTAGAATATTCGTTGCTATTATTGTTATTATTATTGGAGTTTGGGTTATGGTGATATGAACGACGATTTTGTTGTTGGTAGTTGTTATTGTTATGTCTTCTGTTCATATCACGATTATTATAATTATTTCTTCTATTACCAGAACCTTGATTATTGTTATAATTTCTGTTATTGTTGTTATACTTTCTATTGTTATATTTGTTACCACTATTATTGTTTTGGTTACTATTAATTTGTTGCTTTACTGTACTAATAATATCATCTTGTAATTTGATGTATTTAATATAGATACCCTTTAAGTAAATCTCCGTAGATTTTAATACTTCCATTTGAGCATTATTATCAGAACTTTTATATTCATTAACGTTAGCCAATGTAACATTCATCCAATTGTCAACATTTGTCAATTCCCCTTCGATAACTTCACCACTTTTTAATTCGATGCGTACTTGTTGACCCTTCGCATTAGTCAATAAATACAAAGGTAGCATTTTGAGATTTTTACTAAATTTGTATAATTCGTTTGTATTCCTTTTGAAGAAAATAAAAATAATTAGTAGGCTGTTGTTCACAAAACTTATAAACTTAATTAATTGCTAATTGTTATTACACTTCATTCACTAATTAAAGGTCTTTATTTGAAATTTTAACGTCTTATTTTTTTGCTTTCATAATTAATTTTCACTTTTTCTCTATATTCTAGTTGTTTTAAAATAACATGCGCCTAAGAAGGAGGAAACCTCTCACTAATTTTTTTTCCCAGTTTTTGGAAATTATTGATAGTTGTTATTATTAGGCCGCCCCGCTCGTTAAACATGATATTCCCGTCCAAGATGATATTGTAGCCCTCATTTAGGGTTTGTTGCGTTTAATTTTTAATATTTTTTTTTTTTAAAAAAAACAACCGGCGAGCCCGTTGGGAATTTAACCGCCGAGGTATTTTGAGGGTGGGAAACGTATACAAATAGAGGGAAGGGTATAGATCTTTCTTTAATTCATTCTTATTTTAAAGAACTGTTACTTCGGTATGTACTTGTTAATTTTTGTTTTACACTGACTTATAATCTAGTTAAGGTCAATAGAGGGTTTGTTCAGATTTATCGGATGTGCCCTTGACATGAAAATTAGGGCTTTGTGTGGGGGAAGTATTCCATTGCAGACTACATAATTCACAAGAGAAGTTGTTTTTATGGTTTGATTTTAAATAACACCCCATTGTTGAAATTAAAAGATTGGAGGCTATTTCCCTATTTATCTTAAAAATCCTGGTTTATCAAGTAAGCTATTTTAAAATTCCTCGTTAGGATGTCTACCGCCAGCTGAACGTCATGATTTTTTACCATATATAAAATCATTTACTAAGTTATTTCTGAATAATAAGACTATTCGTTAAGTAGTCAGTCAGCACTCCTAATATTATTATTTTTTTCAAAAATATGAACTCCAATATTAGGTTTTACAATTTTTGTAATGAGTTATCTATGGTTGGAAAAAGTTTCTGGAATCACACATTTTGGCTCTGTGCATCAGTCGTCTATTACAATACTTTAGTTACTTGGTTATAAATTTACCTCAAATAATAAGTTAACTTTGACGTTATGGATTTTAATCTAGTGCTGTCATCTTTTCCGTTCTGTAAATAAAGAAATTTACAACCAGCTAATTATTTTACTTTGCTTGTTTTTTTCGCTATATTAGTACGGAGAAAAAAATGTGGTAGCATTTACTGTCGCGTAAATCTCTATATTTTTTCACTACTCAATATGTTTTAATAATGTTACGGGCTTAGCTGTTTTTTTTTGTCTCTCAGCATATATTAAAGACATTTTCCTGAAATGGCAAACGCGAGATACGGGCTTTTGATAAAGGTAATATATGTATTAAGTACAACAAGATAGACACAACAATCATTTGGTTTGGTTTCAAAGTTTAAAGATAGTGGTAGTTTAAGTTCAGATTTGAAGGAAGAATTCGAAATTTGGCGTTATTTTAAATCCTACTAATACTATTCCCAAAGTATACAGCGTTTAAAGTGAAACGACAGTATAATAAATAAAAGGATTCGTTATTTAAACAATAAGACACGACACCTCATATTTTGTTCAAATAAAAAGGGAAATTGTTAAATATTTTGCTCTGTTTCATTTGAAAGAAGCCTCTTCCTCAAAAAGAAAGAAATACTTAACCAAAGGTGTATTAATTAGACATTACTGAGTATAAATATTTATTTGGAAACCTTGCTTGTTATGGTAGAACGCGTTGACGCAGATAACAAGTCGAATCATCAATTGATGGCTAAACCACAATTTGTTAACCAATCGATAACTCCCAATATTGAAGAACATCAAGATAAAGATGCTCCAATAATAGAAATTGCAACATACTCAGATACAGATGTATTTGAATGTTATGTTCGGGGTTTTGAAGTAAATATAGTTATGAGAAGAACGCGTGATGATTGGGTTAACATTACACAAATATTTAAAGTTGCTAAATTTTCCAAAGCTCAAAGAACAAAAGTACTCGAAAAGGAGTCATTAACTATGCCACATGAAAAGATCCAAGGTGGTTATGGTAGGTTTCAAGGGACGTGGGCACCTTTACAATCTGCAATATTATTGGCAGAAAAATATAATATTACGGATCCTGTTGTAACTCAGATACTGATGTTCCACTTTGACCCAAATAATCCACCAAGAAGAAGAAGTAGGAATAGTGTTCTTAGACGATCATCTCCTGGGGTTAAAATAACTTCTCCATCAAGTTATAACAAAACCCCAAAGAAAAGGGGTACTGGTAGTACTTCCAAGAGCAAAAAAAATAAGCAATCTTTACATAACCCTAGTCCACTCCAAAATGTCGCTTTTCAGACCCCGCAACAACATTTTATGAATTCAATTGACTATAGCACCAATGCAAATAAGAATATCAATTTATCTATGCAAAATGGTATTGGGAATATTCCTACAATAACAGGACCTTATTCTGCTACACAGAAGCCTCTCCAATTCTATCCAATACCGACAAATACAATTAACACCATTATTCCAAACATGAGGCAGGACGCAAACCAATCGTTCAATCATAATGCTACGAACCAATCTCATGCAATAATCCAGGCCAGGGAACATATGGCTATTCAAGGAAATTTTCATAATATAAATGGTGATACTTCTGTTTTGAATAATGGAATGGACATAGATGGAAACAATAGTTTACAGATGGTTAATGAAACTATTGATAGTATAAGGCCAGTTGCTATGGCTAGTAAAAAGAAGTCTCAAAGTAAAACTCAGCGATCTCGCCATAAGATTGACTCCTACAAAGACAATAATGTTATTGGTGCCTTCGGTAATAGTAATAGACATATAAATAATAGTACTAACAATAATTATTCAACTGGATCAAATATGGATATGTTTTCTTCAAATGAGAATGGAACTCCACTATCGTCACGTTCAAACTCATCTCAATATATTGAAAATGATGATGGTTTTAATAGTAATGACGATAATACGATTGAGACATTAAATGCTACTGATTATAAAGAGGCTCTTTTACAGGTATTGGCAACAGAAAACACTGATAAACAAACAGAGAAATTAATTTCTAAATTATACTACCCTCCATCGGATTTTGATATTAACTTTATTATTGATGATCAAGGACATACAGCTCTCCATTGGGCAACAGCTCTCGCAAACGTACCGTTAGTAAAGTTATTGACGGAAACAAATGCAAATCTTACAATATACAACAAGCTGGGTATAAACTGTGTTACGAAAGCAGTATTCTATAATAACTGTTACAAAAAGCAAGTATTTTTAGAGGTTATAAAACTTTTAAAAGAGTGTCTCATAACTCCGGATGCAAACAGAAGACTTCCGATTCATTATCTGGTGGAATTAAGTGTCAACCCAACAAAGGACCAGAAAATAATTTCATCTTATATAGACACCATCTTAACAAGTTTGGGTCAGGAGAATCCTGAGCTTTTGAAGTCTTGTCTAGACTTCCAGGATAATATGGGTAACACAGCCCTTCATCTAGCCGCTTTAAACCTTAACGTAACTTTATGGAACAGATTGAGTTCATTAGGGGCATCTATGGATATTGTCAATGGGGATAATGAGACTCCTGTTTCTATTTTGAATAAATTTAACTTTGTCCCTCCTTCAAACAGTCGATCTTTACATGATATTGACAAACAATCAGATGTTGATACTAGCAAGAACACTTCTAAAAAAAGTATTAAAGAAACTTATATGGATGTTGGTCAAGTTACGATGTCAGAAACATCTGAAAGTTCCGACACTTTAAATACCAAAGTGAGAAGTGTTAAGAAAAATAGAATAAATGATAGCTCAGCACAAAAAATTAAGAAAAATAAATTATCTAAAACTCCAGGGCTAGATAAAAGTCCAGCTAATATCAATCATATCCTAGATGATATCGCATCTTTAGATTCACTCGTGACATCTTCTGTCTTGAAGAAGCCTAATGCACATGCTTCGACTACATTACAACAATCTCCTGTTATATATAGAAAACGGATGACTGATCTTCAGAATTCTATCATTGTGAAGAGTCCAGGTTCAAAACTTATCCATTCACCTATTGGTATACTACAAGATATGGATTTATTCGAGAAGGTTATCGATATACCTCGTTTACCACCTAACTCGAAAATATCTGGATTGTTGGCAAAATTAAAAAACTCTAGTAAAGAATTTTCATCATCATTGACAAACACAATTGACGATCTAACATGTAGCATTCGTGATACAGAACTGGGGATAAAAGAAACGATAGAGAGAATCCAGCTACTTGAAAATCAAAAAGAAGAAGTGTTAGATACATTAGTTGACATCGAGATGCACCCTCTGGATTTGAAAACTGTTGATGAGGTGAAGGAGAAGGTCGATGATCTAAATAAACAGATAGACGTAGGCAAAGTAACATGTGTTCAATACACTGAAAAATCCCAAGCGTTGAAGCTAGCAACTTTGGTCCAAGATGAAGAGGCTTCTCTCGCTCCAATGACAAACAATTCACCAGTCGAATCTTCATCAGAAGTAGGTATCTCACAATCATGTAAGTTATTGGTCGAACTGACACTACTACAACTAAAGAGACGTTCGTGTATCGACAAGATTACAGAAATTAAGGTGGAATTAAATTCGACAGAAAAACTAAACAAGTATAGATACCTAATTGGTATGACTATAGATGACATTGAAACCAAGTTGGAAGCTATCGAAAACGATCTGCAGGCAAATCCGTAAGAGAACCTAGTTGTATATATTCTTTACTGTATGCAACAATAGTTCAATGCTTCCATCTACATATATATATATATATTTGTGTATCGTGTCGCACCTATATAATGTAATATTCATATCGAATAAAACATCAATAAATAATATGTTTACTCCTAGCTATTGGTGGAGATAGTAAAGTAACAACTCTTGACTGAATTAACAAAGATTGTGGAGCAGAATTGAAAGTTTCTTTCAGGTTCATGCATATTTTCCTTTCTTTTTTTTCACTTTTTTTTTTTAATTTTCTGCGATGAGATGAGTTTTGTTTTGAAAAAAAAAAGGCGAAAAAATTTTTTCTAATTCAATCTCCCACGCTCATCGACTTATTTTAAAAACAAGTAAACTCGATAGGCGTTGTTTCAGAGAGGAAGGCATTTTTTAACAAATAACAATAAAAGAACCAACCCACACCTTGGAGAAACGTATCAATAAAAGAAACTGATAGCATTTCCGTTAAGCATTTCTTCATTAAGTTAGGATATATTAAGAAATAAAACGGAAAATTAATACTTTATTTTTTTAGATAGCACGGAATAAAAATTGTATAGTACTACATTCCAACTCTTAAAAAAATGGATCAACAATTCCTGAGTCAACTTGAGCAAACTTTGACTGCTATTACTCAGCCAAACAATGCAGGGATTAAGGAAGCTACTAAGACTTTGCAATCCCAATTCTACACCCAACCTTCTACCGTTCCAGCTTTGATTCATATCCTACATAACAATGCTGATGATGCTTTGAAACAATTAGCTGGTGTTGAAGTTAGAAAGATGATTCCAAAGCACTGGGAAAGTCTAGATGATTCTATTAAGACTTCTATCAAGACTTCATTGCTACAATCTGCATTCAGTGAACAAAAGGAAATTATTCGTCATTCCAATGCTCGTGTTATTGCCATTATTGGTAACGAGGAACTTGAAGCTAACAAATGGCCAGAATTGATTCCAAATCTGATCCAAGGTGCATCTGGTGATGATGCCCAAGTAAGACAAACAGCTGTTTTCATTCTATTATCCTTATTGGAAGAATTCAGTCCATCCTTAGCTGTTTACATTGACGATTTCTTAAATCTATTTGCTCATACTATCAACGATACTGCTTCATTAGAAACAAGATCCTTATCTGCCCAAGCTTTGAATCATATTTCTGCTTTAATTGAAGAAAATGAAAACATCAACGAACAACAAGCCACCAAGTTCGCATCCTTGATTCCTTCTGTTGTTAGCGTCTTGGATGCTGCTATTAAAGCAGACGACAATACAAACGTCAAACTAATTTTCAACTGTTTCAATGACTTCTTGTTGTTAGATTCTAGACTGACCGGTAACTCTATTGCCGATTTGGTTAAATTGGCTCTTCAAATTGCCATAAACACTGAAATTGATGAAGATATTAGAGTGTATTCCATTCAATTCATTATTTCTTCGTTATCATACAGAAAATCTAAGGTTATTCAAGCAAGATTAGGTCCAGAAATTACCCAAGCCGGTTTAAAAATTGCTTCTGAAGAAATCGATGTTGACGATGAGCTAAACAATGAAGACGAAGCTGGTGAAAATGAAGAAAACACCCCATCATTGAGTGCTGTTAGATTGTTAGCATTTGCTTCAGCTGAATTACCACCATCTCAAGTTGCAACAATCATTATTGACCACATGACACAAATGTCTCAATCGACAAATGCCTTCGAAAGAAGAGCTATTTTATTAGCCATTTCTGTTGCTGTTTCTGGTGCTCCAGATTACGTTTTATCTCAATTTGATAAGGTTATTCCAGTTACAATTCAAGGTCTAAAGGACTCTGAACCAGTCGTCAAACTAGCTGCCTTGAAGTGTGTTAGTCAAATGACTTCTGATTTACAAGATGAGGTTGCTAAGTTCCATGAAGAATACTTACCATTGATCATTGAAATTATCGATTCTGCTAAGTTTGCTACTATTTACCGTTACGCTACCATTACTCTTGATGGTTTATTAGAATTTATTTCTTTCTCAGCCATTGCCAAGTACTTGGAACCATTAATGAACAAATTGTTCTATATGTTGGAAAATAATAACTCCTCTAAATTAAGATGTGCGGTTGTTTCTGCTATTGGTTCTGCTGCATTCGCTGCTGGTATTGCCTTCACCCCATACTTCAAGACTAGTGTCCAATATTTGGAACAATTTATTCAAAACTGTTCTCAACTTGAAGGTATGTCCGAAGATGACATCGAACTTAGAGCCATGACATTCGAAAATATCTCTACCATGGCCAGAGCTGTTAGATCTGAAACTTTCTCTGAATATGCTGAACCATTGGTTAATTCTGCCTATGAAGCTATCAAAACTGACTCTGCTAGATTAAGAGAATCTGGTTATGCTTTTATTGCTAACTTATCAAAGGTTTACGGTGAAAATTTTGCTTCATTCTTGGCTACTATCCTACCTGAAATCTTTAAGACTCTAGAACTTGATGAATATCAATTTAACTTCGATGGTGATGCTGAAGACCTTGCTGCATTCACTGAAGATGCCACAGAAGAAGACTTGCAAAGCAAATTCACCGTTAACACTGGTATCTCTTACGAAAAGGAAGTTGCCGCTGCTGCTCTATCCGAATTGGCTCTTGGTACCAAGGGTCATTTCTTACCATATGTCGAACAATCCCTAAAGGTTTTAACCGAACAAGTTGATGAATCATATGGTTTAAGAGAGACTGCTTTGAACACTATCTGGAACATTGTCAAGGCCGTTTTACTAGCTTCAAAGATGGAACCAGAAACCTATCCAAAGGGTATTCCAGCAACTTCATATGTTGATGGAAGTGTTCTATCTATTATAAAGAATGCCAGGGATATTTCCATGAGTAATATCACTGACGAGTTTGAAACCACTATGGTTATTACAATCTTAGAAGATCTAGCCAATATGATTAAACAATTTGGTGCCATAATTATAATGGACAATGGTGACTCCAGTGCTCTGGAGACCCTTTGTATGCAAGTTTTGGCCGTTCTAAACGGTACCCATACTTGTCAAACAATTGATATGGAGGAAGATGCTCCAAGAGATGAAGACTTAGACTCTTCTGAAACTGAGGCTACCTTACAAGATGTTGCACTTGAAGTACTAGTCAGCTTATCTCATGCACTTGCCGGTGATTTTGGTAAGGTCTTTGAAAATTTCAAACCAGTTGTTCTAGCCCTATTCCAATCTAAATCTAAGAACAAGAGATCCAGTGCAGTTGGTGCTGCTTCTGAAATTGCTCTTGGTATGAAGGAACAAAATCCATATATCCAAGCTATGTTGGAGGCTCTAGTCGTCAGTCTAACATCCGACAAATCCTTAGAAGTCAGAGGAAATGCTGCGTATGGTGTCGGTCTACTTTGCGAATATGCCCAATTTGATGTTTCTGCAATTTATGAACATGTTCTAAAGGCTCTATATCAAGTCTTGAGTACAGCTGATCAAAAAATGCTGGCCGCTGATGATGATGAAGTCACTAGAGAAATTATTGACAGAGCTTTTGCTAACGCTAGTGGTTGTGTTGCTCGTATGGCATTGAAACATGAAAACCTTGTTCCATTAGAACAAACTATTCCAGCTCTATTAAGTCACATGCCTCTACACACTGGTTTTGAAGAATATAATCCAATCTTTGAATTAATTATGAAGTTATACCAAGATAGTAACGCTATTATTATCAATCAAACTCCAAAGATTGTTGAATTGTTTTCAGCCGTCTTTGTTAAGGAAAATGAAAGAATTAAGTTAGAACAAGAATCTACTCTTGGTAGAGAAGAAAATATGGAAAGATTGAAGCAATTCCAAACTGAAGAAATGAAGGGTAAGGTTATTGAATTATTGAAGTACTTAAACACTACATACAACGGTATTATTGGTCAAGACCCAGTCTTGGCTACTGTTATTGCTTAATTGAAATAGTTTAAAAAAGGAAGAAGAAGTCCTAACCATTTTCTTTCTTTCAATTTCAATTTTCCTAGCATTGGTTTTCTATGATTTTTTAAAGGAAGAACCCCCCCCATTCACAAAAAGAAAACTTCCATGGCAGAACATAACATATATATATTTACACATTGTTTGTTCATTTTTATTAGTATTATATTTTTTCTATAGATCTATTTTTTTACATCATCTTTTTCTGTATTTTTAGTAATTTCAAGAGATTTAGATTTATTATTATTGATTTTTAAATAAGATTTAAAGATTTCGATACATTCTTTAGTGCAAGTTGCTTTAAATTTTATAAATATATTCAGAAACGAAGTGGTATATGTAAATAAAATTTTCGCTTTTTTTTTTAATATTTTGCTGAAATAAATAAATTTATTGATTTAATGTCTACATTGAAAAGCGAAGAACTACTTTCCCAAGTAAATAAAAATTTAATAGTGATAAAAAAAAAAATGTTGTCTGGACAAAATAGTAAAATCATTTTAGAAATAATGTAACATTTTTTAATATATATTCTTTCGTTATTTTAATTTCTCTTCAGAATACCCTTTAACAAGAATTATCATATTAGATCTCTAGAAGTCATCTAAACGACTGTCATAATAATAAGATAAGATAAGTTTTAATTACATTTGGTATCTCTAAAAAAAGTTTATAATTTCATCCATAAACTTGTTTTAACTTATTTAACTTATTGGTTTTTTTGTTCTATGCTTGTTGATGTATAATAGGTATTAGTATACCAATCCATGATTGTACTAATTGGGAGATCCATCCCTTATCAAAGTCATTCTTTTATTTTATTATAACTTTCAAGAATTAATTTTATAAGATTAGATACAACGGAGAAAAAACAATGTTTTGCTGTTATTTGCAATTGATTAGTTTTTGTCCATCAATCATTTCGGAGTTAAGAACTAACCTATTCATATTTTTTTGAGGGACTATCTTATTGCAAGAAATAGTATGAGATTCAAAAATATGATATGTCAATATTGGATTAATAAGAAACAAACTAAAAAAGTAAATGATATGACTTCTTCATAATTTCTCATGTTACAATGCGATTAAACTTAACAAAATCTCCCCCTATTAATTGTTATTTGCTTATTTTGGCATGATTATTAGAAATATTAACGGAGTTTAATCATTAATGAAAGAGGGGGGGTAGCATACTACTACTACTACTACTACTACAAAAAAGTTTATTTTTGACATTTATGCATTAACTTAATTTATTTTTTTTGATGGTGACGAAGGAGAACTTAAAATTCTGCGGAGTATATTACAAAAAGGTATGATATACTTTCCAAAAATAAACTTTCTTCAATGGACCCCCTTTTTCACTAAATCTCACGGAGAGAATAAATATGCGGGGGAAGAAAGAAAAAAAAGTAAAATTGGACGGACAGAGAGAAAAGAGATTTCCGGCAAGCCAAAAAAGAAAAAAGTGCGTCAAACCTTTTTTTTTCTTTGTGAGGGATGGAAAGGACACACAGAAAATTTGAAAATATGAGGGTTAAACCGGCGAAGGCAAAGTAAAAGACCCCTCTTTTGAGCCCTTTTTTTATTTTTTATTTTCTTTAAAGAAAAAAAGGTAATACAGTCTCATCTTAGGTTTTTCTCCAACTACGTCTTGTATTTGGTAAATTGGAGAAATAAATAGATAAGAATCTATGTGCGCGTGTGCATATATCTGTTGCAGCTCAATATTTTTAATTTCTTTGATAATTAGTAATGCGTCGTATTAAATTTTAGTATCTAAACATATGGAGTGAAATGACACAGAGAGAGGATAAGCAGATAGAACTACCCCCATTGGTATGAATCTGGGACTTTTCTATTCTTCGTTCTTGGAGTAATTTATTCTCTATACACTAGTTGTACCAAAAAATTTGATATTTTTTTTAGTTTAAGATTTTTGTAGTTTAATAAAGATTAAATTTTTTTTGTGGGGTACAGGAAAGAAAAATGAGTGCAGTAAACAACAACAGCAAGACTCTGGCTATGTACAGGTAGTTAAATCTTTCGAATGGAGAACGTTCTTTCTAAAACAAAGAAAAAAGAAAATCTCTGTGCACATACAAAATTATATATGCACTAATATAGATCTAAACTGGATCAATCGGTTTTATTTGACACAAGGACCGGCTGGGTATCACCCCCCTTTTTTTTTAACTTTCATTAAGTAGATATTTGTTTATCTGATTCCATTTTCAAAGTTTATTTCTCTCTCTCTTAACTTCTCAATTTTTTCACAAATACTATATCAAATTATTCCTTATCAACTAGTATTGAACATTTGGATTCATAAATCTTTTTAATTTTGTGAATTCCACGTGTTACATCTATACCTTTATATAGAAAAAACACTCATTTAAATAATTATGTACTACTATCACAAAATCAATTGAGAAATGAAAGGATGACATAATGTGTCTTACGAAAAAAAGGAAAGAAAAAAGAATACCAAGACATCATAACATTAAGCCTCCTTTTCATTTCTTCTTTCAACAATGTTACAATCACCGATAACTTGATGCTGACAAAGAAAAAGAAAAAACGGTTTTTCGTCTACTTTATCTCTTCCCTAATTTCTTCTGTAGTAATTTGCCGCCGTCACTAATAATAATCAAAATCCGTTATTTGATTACGTAGATACACGTTTCTTTTTTATTTTGTCAGCATCCCTCCTCTCCCCCCGCGGAATTCTCCTCTTTTCTTGGTAAAGTGGGAAAGACCACACATATCAGAAAAAGAAAAAACAAACCAAACACGAACTGTGCGTTCTGTCTCCTTAAAAATATTCGTAATTTCCTCCTCTCTCGTGCTTTTTTTTTTGCTTCTTCCGCCCCTCTCTTTCACTAGCCTATCGCTTCTTTTTTCCTTGCTGGCGCAGCAAAAGAACGGCGTTTATTTGGCTTTACATCAAAACCGTTGAACTTTCTTCAAAAAAAGAAAAAAAAGAAAAAAGATGAACAGACCCGTTTTTGATTTCTGTACGTCCTTCTCTCTCCATTTATTCTCCGTTCGGCATCCGAGACTCCCTCAGCGATATTCTTCAAGTAGTCCTATTTATCCGCTCCACTAAACTTCAATTTCTTTCTTTTTTTTGCACACAATCATACGTACAGTGGCTTTATTAGCTTATATCCACATTATTAATGCAGATAACTGTGATCTCTCTACTCAGTCAAAGTCTCTCACCCTCTAATTAGTTTTTCTTGATACAATAACAATAATAATATACATATATTTTTTTAGTGCGGTAAATCTTTACATATTAAAGGCAAAAGACGAAGAAATTGAACTTCCGTATTATATTAGAGGCACATTACATTACATTAACGATATATGCATATCATAATTAGTTAACTAAGACTATAGAGATGACTTTATTAGAAAATGTAAGGGTTAATATAGAAGAAGAATAAGAGGAGTCGTAGGAAACAATTTTTTTTTGGTAACTTGTATTCTCTCATTTAAAATTAGTAAGAAAGTGGAGTTAAGGGATGATTAATTAATTAATTGATTGATTTAGTAATATATATATATATATATAGAATGATAAAAATGACATAAATGTATGATTAGATAAAATGTCATGTCATAATGAAAATCTTTTCTTTTTCTTTTTTTATTGTTTGATTGATTGATTAATTAATTAAAGAATATATATATTTATATATACACATAGCAAACAAAATCTATCTTATTTATTCATACGTGGAAGTATAGGATTCTACTAGTGAAGTAAGAATCACTACATTTATACCTATTCTTCTAATAATACGGAATAATTGGTAATTATTCAAAAAATATAGAATAATTAAATTTATTTTTCATTCCATTATAAAGCAATATTAAAAAAATGGGTGATGCTGAAAAAATCCATATTGGTTGTATTGTTAAAAAATCATTAAATTCACATATCTATGATTTTTTAAGTAATACTATATCTGATGGAATAGCAAATACTTTTCTTCAAGATATAAATAATAACAACAACAATGGTTATTGTAATCAACCGAATTGTAATATACCAAACAGCGTGATTCAAAAGGCAAATTTATTAGAAGAATGGCAAACTTTTTGGCATCTTTTAAACAACAATAATAACAGTAATAATAACATTAATTTCCCCTCAAGAGGTTTCAATTCGATTCCACAACAAAGTGAATTGGAGTTATTACCACTAATGGCTACATCGTTAGAGAATGAGTCTATGGATAGTAATCATTCCGTTACTAATAGTAACAACAAATTTAATAATACCAATAACAACGACAGCGATCATATTATTTTACAAAATACCGTTCATTCACATATTAAAAATAATAAGATTCCGATGATAAAATCTTCTTCATTAAATGAAACTATCTCATCACAAACAATGGAAAAAGACACAAATGAAATTATTCTTCAACCGCAGCCGCAAGTAGTTATTTCTAATAATAGCAATAATACAATTAAATTTGAAAATGTTTCTTTTGCTAATGCTTTAGAATCAAATTTCGAAGGTTCAATATCATCTCATTACAATGCTTCACCTATCCCAAAGGTTAATAAAAAAATTAATAAAACTACTAAGTCTAAGAAATCATCCAAATTTAATTCACCATTCACAGGAAGTTTCCAAACAACAGGATGGATAAAACAGTATGCGGATAATACAATTAACAAACCTATAAGAAAAAAATCAAATAAGAAAAATACCCCAACGTCATTAGAATCTCACTCAAGAAGGTTGGAATTCAATCGTAAAAATGAATATTCACAAAGATCTAATAGTGTTTCAAGTAGCAATTGTAGTTCGGCAACAACACCTTCGGTATCATCATTATCATCATTTTCAAAATCTAAGTCAAAATCAAAAAAGATTAGTGGAAAATCTCCTATGGCAACTAACAACAACAACAACAACAAAAATAGCAATACAAACAATAGTAATAACAGTAATGAAAATAATACTATCGCTACACCACAGGTGGATTCAGTATTAGATTCTATTGATTATGCCGAAATGGCTAATTCAAATGTCGGTGCAAAATTCATTCAAGAGACAAATAATCACAAAAATGTATACTCAGGGTATCATGCATATGGTTCTAATCCAGAAGAACATTCTTATATGGAGACTCTTCTTTATGATACAATACCATTTGATGAGCACATGTTTGCGTCAATAAACCTTAATCAATTTTCAACACAATCATCAAATTCAGAAGTAGATTTGAATTCTACAAACCATAGAAAATCAGACTCATCAAAGGTGTCTAGCGAATAAATAAAATCGTTTAGAATACTTCTTTCATACCTATGGTTAGAAGTCCTAAAATTGACTGGACCATAATAACTAGGAAATGGTCCGAGTAAAATTGTGCATCAGTCAAGGAATCGCTTTACATTATAGTTGCGGCAAATCCTCTGCTGCTACAAATAAAATTTTATGACATTTAGCATTAGCATTAGCATTAGCATTAGCATTAGCATAACACACTTGCATTAACATTAGAATCTTCTATGTTTTACCTTATTTAACTAATATAGTAGGGTCTATTATTTTTAATTTCTCCCGATAATTTTTGCAGATATTTAAACGTAAAATTAAATTTATTAAAAAGGAAACCCTCAATTCCGACTACCCCTAGAAGGTAAGTTTAGAGATAGTTTAATATATATATATTTACATCGCGCACTACATGGGATATTACTTTATAGTATCCTCTACATCTAATATATTTCTACAATAATATAACTTTTAGCCAATTATTTACCAGCATTTAGTCTTGTTATATTCAATAGTAAAAACAGTTCTCAAAAACTATATTTTCACTTTTAAACAATATCTTTTTCTCCCTAATTCACTCAAGACGTATGATATAATTATTCGAATACCTTTGAAAGTTCCCCGAGCTCGTGCACTCAAAGCTTTAAAAATTTCATGAAAGCGTAAAAACTTTAATATGTATTGACAATACACATAAAAAAGTGAAAGAGACCTGTGAAGAGACGAAGAGAAAAGAATAATTGTACGAACATACTCTCAACAGATTCCATTTATCGGTACATTATTTAGAGAATCAAAGAACTTCTATATCAATCATTTACTGTAGTATTAAATCAAGGTTGTACTAAAGTGAAAGCAAATTGAAAATTCAACGATACAACAACTTTGTTGCAACACACAATAATTTTACATTATTTTATTGAGTAGACGAAACAGTAATAATAGCCCTAAAATATGTCCTTTTTCCCAGCACCGGCTGTTAATACAAGTGGTACGTTTAGTACAATGGCCAACCAAACGGACTTGGCAAATGATATCGTAATCAATAATCCTGCTGAAGACTCTATTTCTGATATTGCGTTCTCTCCACAAAACGATTTCTTATTCTCAGTTAGTTCATGGGATGGTAAAGTTAGAATCTGGGATGTACAAAGTGGAACTGCCCAAGGTCGTGCACAATACGAACATAGTGGTCCCGTATTAACCACTAGATGGAGCAGTGACGGTTCTACTGTAGCATCAGGTGGATGTGACAATACAGTTAAAGTATTTGACGTTGCTACGAGCCAGTCACGTCAAGTTGGTTCTCATTCTGGGGCCATAAAATCCCTAAGATTTGTTAATTGTGGTCCGAGTAATGCGGAATGTTTAGTTACTGGTTCATGGGATAAAACAATAAAATATTGGGATTTAAGACAACCTAATCCTATTACTACAATAATGATGCCAGATAGAGTATATACGATGGATAATAAATCTCAATTATTAGTAGTCGGTACGGCAGAGAGACATATTGCAATTATCAATCTAAATAACCCAGGAACAATATTCAAAGCGACACAATCACCTTTAAAATGGCAAACAAGAGTTGTGGCGTGCTACAATGAAGGGGATGGTTATGCTATCGGATCTGTTGAAGGTAGATGTGCCATTAGATACGTCGATGATGAAATGCAAAAGAAGAGTGGATTTTCATTTAAGTGTCATAGACAATCAAACCCAAATAGAGCCGCTGGATCACAAAATCAATCTTTGGTTTATCCAGTGAATAGTATAGCGTTCCACCCTGTGTATGGTACTTTTGGTACTGCAGGTGGTGACGGGTGCTTCCATTTCTGGGATAAAGATCACAGACATAGACTAAAAGGGTTCCCAAGTCTTCAGGCCTCTATCCCAGTTGTTAATTTCAATAGAACTGGTTCCATATTTGCATACGCTTTGAGTTATGATTGGCATCAAGGTTATACTGGCAACACGCCGAACTATCCAAACGTTATTAGACTACATCCAACTAGAGATGACGAAGTTAAAGAAAAAAGGAAGAAATAATTAGTGGTTTGAATAACACATTTCATGAAATAGCATAATGTTAACTAATCGTATAGCGATACGCCATTTTTTGGTGTAAAAAGAAACTGGTATCGTTTCTGTGCAAATATGTATATACATGTATAAATTAACATATAACTTTGACAGCGAAATCATTACACATACATTTTTGAGAAAACCCAAAAATACTTATTTGTTGTGGTTGAAATATGTATTATGCTGCACACCACTATCAAAATTCTTGCGTGGAGTTAAAACTTCGTTATATTTGTTCCCATCTATCTCTAGAGGATCACAATAGATATCGTCATTTAATATTTTTTCAATGTCAAAAGTAACACCATCAAATACTTTTTCTCTGTTTCTATATGATAATATACTTGGTGGCATAATTTTCCTCTTCTTTAACTTCCTTTGTGAACTAACTTGTTCTTCTAATGATTCAACATGTAATTCCACCGCACTACTATCATGGGTCCCGGAATTGGATAGCAGTTCTGACAAATTAGGTAATGGAATAAATGTAATATAACTCATATCGAACTTCACAGAATTATCATTAAGTTTCTTTTCTAAACAGTTTTGGATTTTCCACAATGGATGGATCTTTTTATAAACCTTATTATGATAACAATTGTTTCTAAAATTCCATTTCCCATCTATGGTCAATTCCAATTCGAATAAAAACCAAATTCTGGAACAACTAATGCTCAGCATATTTTCCTTTGAACAAGAATAATGATTACATATAGGATCCATATTTTCATACCTAAATATTTGATTTTGTAATATTTTCAAGTTAGCTTTTGTCAATGGGCGGCTAATATCTATGTTTTTGATACTATTGGGAGAAGAATTTTGTAAAGCATTCAGTCTTTTGGCCTCTACCTCATCACTATTATCTTTAGTACTCAACTGAGGTGTATCATTCCCTTTGAAAATACTTTTCTCCTTTGATTGGATAAGCGATTTTTTATTTTGCAACGTTCTCCTTTGCAATGGTACCTGTGAATTTATGTCTTTCTCGGATAGAACTCTTCTTTCTAACATCATTCCAAAATTTTCTCAGCCAAATTCAATAAGTAATAACTCTTAATCAATTGATTATAGTCAAAAGAATTGCTTATCTTAACTTTAATCGAGTTTCGAGTTTCTTTGTTCATAGTTTTTTATCAAGGCTATTCGGAGTAAATAAGAACCGAGTTGTCCCTTGTCATAAAAAGTTTCTTAAGATATTCTAAGAAGCACAAGGAAAGACAACATCAAACAGTAATGACCAAAGGTCGTACAAAATACACAGTTTATCGCCAACTTATGACCCCAACGCATCCTAGATGCACCTAATTTATATTTATATTAACCTAGTTTTTTTATCATTAAGTAGATTATTCATTAGGCTAGCTAATTATTTAGTAATTTTAATCATACATCCCTTCTATGTAGAAATAATAATATATACTTTCAGTGAAACTATTTAATAAAACAGCTAAAAACACACACAGAAAAGAGATACCTGTTGAATAAATAATGATATCCGACGATACAGAATGATTTATTAGATGAATCTGTAAACATCAGCTAATATATCGTCAATAATCCAAAACTGTATCATATCACCAAATATTACATACCAAAAGTATTTTCTCCCGCATATGTCACATACAAAAATCCATCTTTATCCTTATACTGTTGATAAATAGAAGACATCAAAGAAGCTGTAGGTGGAAGAGTATCATTAACAAATATGAAAATAGCTTTCTCTGGTGGCAGTTGTATTCTCTTTCGTATCACATATATGAATTGACCAACTGTCAAATCATCTGGAACTAAATATTTTCTCTTATCAATATCTGGAACATCCGATTTTTCTACTTTTTCACAAATTAAAGGGATTCTATTCCCAAATTTCTTAGTTATTCTCTCTGATTCTTCTTTTCTCTTTTCAAAATCAAACTCTGTCTTAAACGATGGCCTCATTTCTGTAGTCAAAATGATATTTTATATTTCCTGTCTTTAGATATCTTCTTAAACTAAGATGATTATAACCTTAGGAAGTTCTTTTTATATATACTTATACTAAATATATATATGTATATATATATATATATGTATATTGGGTTTTCACAGTATCTATTTTCTCAACTTATTACTTGGTATTAATAGTTCATTATATTACTAATACAAAAACGGTTCTCTTCCCCATTGGCGCCTTTTGTATTTCAAATAATTCCTTTAATTATTGAAAACTGGGGTGTCACCGCGTTCCCTTAAAAAAAGGAAAGATAACAAAACCAATATACAGCTCCCATCCATTTAAGTGATATAGTTATGCAAAGAGCACGGTAGCCATCTTATAGCTCCTCTCCTCAAATAAACTAGGCGTGAAGTTCAAAATAATACATTACGTTGTGTCTAGTGGTGCTTCAGATTAGCTCCATCTACTTTTTTTTTAACTCATATGAAAGAATGGTTACTTTGATGCAGAGTAGGTACTGGCATTTGTAGTGGTATCTTCATATTTCAAGTAATAGAAAATTCAGACATCATTTCTTCCAATTCTCTTTCCCATTGTTCCTTCTGTTCTATAAATTCGATTAAATCATCATCATACAATTCCATCTCTTCTTGTTGTTCTTTTTCTATATCGGCAGCCAATTCTGCAGGTATGCTATGTTCCGTAGCATTATGATGAAGCCTTTTATCCTCAATGGCTTTTTCTCCATCCATAACCATTTCTTCCATCTTATCTAATCCACCTCGTCTCTCTATCCGTTTCTTATCATTTCGAGTAGTTCTCATTTCATTCAATTTTCTAGATTGTTCATCTTTACGATTCCTTTCAGCTAATGGAGATGATTGAATGTTCAATTTATTTGATTGTCCCGAACGTTCTCTGCGGTCGTTTACCAGATCACTTACAACAGACCTTGTTCCACTACCATCAAAAGAACGATCTTTTGAACGAACCATACTGGAAGGTGTCCTCGATAACGGAGAACTTGAATACTGAATTGCTGGAGGATCAGACGGTATTTTATTAGGTGAACTCATATTATGTAAAACAAACCGTATTTCCTTTCTTGTTTATCTGTTTCCCCCCCTCAACCTTCGTCTCATCTATTCATACAACACAAAGATTTATATTCTAGTAATGATAGAGTAATACATCTTAATCTTCTAGTTTTCATATTGTCAATTTCTGAATACGTTTCATCGATTTTCACTATATAAAATTTCTACAATGGGAAGGACGCGTCGTTATCAAAGCATCGGTCAGTGTGTGCTTGGCTCAATACATATGCGTAAATTAACGAAAACATACAGTAAGCGATGAGATGAGATAAGATGATTCTGAACTGATATTGTGAATAAACTTAATACAATTGCAATTTCTTATTTTTTTTTTTTAAAAAATAAATTACTTTAATAGAATATATTATATTTATATATATATATATATCGGATGTATATAAAAGAAATAGAGATGTACTTGTTACGCGTAAGTGAAGTTTGTGTATAGGTAGGTTATACGCGCATACTCAATTAATAGTCAAAAGAAAAAAAATCTAATCAACCTCTTCAACAGTTGGACCTTCAGCAGAACCACCTGAAGCACCACCGGTACCTGGGGCAGCACCTGGGGCAGCACCTGGCATACCACCAGCACCTGGAGCACCACCAGCGCCATAGAATTGACTCATAATTGGATTAGCAACAGCCTCCAATTCTTTTTGTCTGTCCTTATACTCTTCAGTAGAAGCAGCTTGAGATGCATCTAACCAATCGATAGTTTCTTGAGCAGCTTTTTCAATCTTTTCGACATCTTCAGCACCAACTTTTTCTTTGAAAGCAGCTTCACCAACTGTATTCTTTAAAGAGAATGCATAAGATTCTAATCCATTCTTAGCTTGAACACGATCAGCTTCCTTTTCATCTTCAGCTTTAAACTTTTCAGCTTCAGAGACCATTCTTTCAATATCTTCCTTTGATAATCTACCTTTGTCATTCGTAATAGTAATCTTATTAGATTTACCAGTACCTTTTTCTACAGCAGAAACGTTTAAGATACCATTAGCATCAATATCAAATGTAACTTCAATTTGTGGAACACCTCTTGGAGCAGGTGGAATACCAGCTAGTTCGAATTTACCTAAAATATTATTATCTTTAGTTCTTGTTCTTTCACCTTCAAATACTTGAATTAAGACACCAGGTTGATTATCAGCGTAAGTTGAGAAAGTTTCAGATTTTTTAGTTGGAATTGTTGAATTTCTTGGAATTAATTTAGTCATAATACCACCTGCAGTTTCAATACCTAAAGATAATGGAGCAACATCTAATAATAATAAATCTTGTGTCTTTGTTGAAGTATCACCAGTTAAGATGGCAGCTTGAACAGCTGCACCATAAGCAACAGCTTCATCTGGATTAATTGATCTATTTGGTTCTTTACCATTAAAAAAATCTGAAACTAATTTTTGAACCTTTGGAATTCTTGTTGAACCACCAACCAAAACAATTTCATCTACTTGAGATTTATCTAATTTTGAATCTCTTAAAACTTTTTCAACTGGTTCTAAAGTTGATCTAAATTGATCTGCACAAAGTTCTTCAAATCTTGCTCTTGTGATTGAAGTATAAAAATCAATACCTTCATATAAGGAATCAATTTCCACAGAAGTTTGAGCAGAAGATGATAATGCTCTTTTAGCTCTTTCACAAGCTGTTCTTAATCTTCTTAAAGCTCTCTGATTAGATGTTATATCTTTTTTGTTCTTTCTCTTAAATTCTTCAACAAAATGATTAACTAATCTGTTATCAAAATCTTCACCACCTAAATGAGTATCACCAGCGGTAGCTTTAACTTCGAAGATACCTTCATCAATTGATAATAAAGAAACATCGAAAGTACCACCACCCAGATCAAAGATTAAAACATTATGTTCAGCGGTACCTTTTTTATCCAAACCATAAGCAATAGCAGCGGCAGTTGGTTCATTAATAATTCTTAAAACATTTAACCCTGCAATTGTACCTGCATCTTTTGTTGCTTGTCTTTGTGAATCATTAAAATAAGCAGGAACTGTAACAACTGCATCATTAACATCAGTACCTAAATAATTTTCAGCAGTTTCTTTCATTTTAGTTAAAATCATACCTGATATTTCTTCAGGTGTAAAAATTTTAGTTTCACCTTTAAATTCAACTTGAACTGCGGGCTTACTTTCTTTATCAACAACTTTAAACGGATAATGTTTTGCATCAGCAATAACTTCTGGATCATTAAATTTACGACCAATTAAACGTTTAGCATCAAATACAGTATTAATTGGATTAATAGCAGCTTGATTCTTTGCAGCATCACCAATTAATCTTTCAGTATCAGTAAAAGCCACATAAGATGGCGTAGTTCTGTTACCTTGATCATTAGCAATAATCTCAACGCGATCATTCGTAAAATGAGCAACACATGAATAAGTCGTACCTAAATCAATACCAACAGCTTTAGACATTATATCTTTTTTTTTTGTTTGATTTGTAAAGTGTTTTTTCTAAAAAAAAAATAATATTAAATAAATAACAATTTATTCAAAAAATATAATTTTTTGTTTTACTTTATATATTAGATATTAAAAATATATAATTAAGAATAATAAATATTGATACTTAACGTTAACCTAATCTTTCTTCAATCGACTCCCCCCTTTTTATATCCTTATTATTTTTCACAAAATGTGTCTATTTTTTTTCAAAAATTTAATATTTCCCTCATTAAAATAAAATAATAATTCCAGGTCACAGTACAAATTTTTAATTATTCTAGAGCCTTCTAGAGAGAGAGAGAGAAATATAGTTAGTATTACACAACTACGACACATACACTATTATCCCCTTTTATTTCTCTATCAACACACAATAATCATTATACAATTTTCTTAAACGGTCATCGCCTATTTGTTCTGTTCTGTTCTGTTCTGTTCTGTCAAAAACTCCGAGAATATGCTAGAACTTTCCTGAGAAAATTGTAGTGGTGAGAGGAACATAATACGACGCGCACTGAAACACTCGTGGGAAGATAAGAAAAAATAATAAAGGGGGTAGAAGAGAAGAAAAGGAAGGTACACTCTCAATATAGATGAATTGAATATATTATACATTTAGTTGTTGGTGTCAATACATGCGATATTTTTTGTCAGGTCTAAGTTAAACCGGAGGCGGGTGGGTGGGACATCAGTTCGGGTTTAATGATATCTGTTGGGTGCCTTTTGGCACCTGTCATCTCTCTCTCACTGATTACTGGAGATGACACGCATATGGTGTTGACAGTCCAAATATAACTGATATTCTATTCATGTAGCCAGGGGGGGGGAGGGAGACGGAGAGGGTCAACAATTCTCTCAAGTTACACTGTGACATCTAGATTGTATTATTATATCAACCATAGTATATTCCTTGTACTATAGTAGGACCATCTTCATCTTCTGAACTATCTAATCTATGATACTCCGTTTCTTCATCCTCATCATAATTAATTTCGTCAATTTCATCATCTTGTTCTTGTTCTTGTTCCTGTTCGTGTTGAGTTTCTGTTTCTATAATATGATGTTTAATTAGCATACTGTGTGTCTTTGGTAAATTATCTTTTTGAAATGATTCCTTGAATAAAGATATCCATAATTTTTCATTAATTAATATATCTTTATAGTCATTTGGTATTAAATTAATTTCCACTGATAAAATATTATCTAAAAATTTAATAAAATTTTTATTTATATTTGATGATTGACAAATTAATTCAATCATATTATGCCATTGCAAACTTGATCCATAATTACCAAATAATATTGAATTTAAAAATGAAAATTGTAACTCTCCAATAAAATTGTTTTTTTCACCACTAAATTTTTTATTAATTATAATTTCATTAAAATAAAATGATTTATCTTGAAAATCTTCCATTTTATAATTATCACGAATTGCTTCCTTTGATTTAAATTTAATTCTAGTATAATGAAATATATCATTTAAATTGTTATTGTTATTGTTATTGTTATTATTTTCATTATCATCAAAATGTCCATCTTTTATTAAGGTTCGATGTAATAAATCATTTTCTTCTAATGTAGTCATCGATGAATCTACATAAACAAAATTATTTTCTTTCTCAGGAATTATTATTGATTTAACTATTGACCAATTGATTTTATCACTTAAAATCTCCCATCTATTTTCTTCATCAATCTTTGGATATTCACTTACCATATTTCTAGAAATATATTCTTTCATAACTAATTCATATTTAATAGCATCATTCTCTTGAAATATTTCATATAATTCTTGATTTTCATTATACACAACATAATAATTACCACGAGTAAACCAATAACCATATCTTAACCATGCACCATCATTTGTTCCATCACTATCTCCATCGTGATTCTCCTTTATAACATGTTGAAAATGAATCACATGCAAATCTGTACCATTAATATGTGGAATATTTACAATACCTTTAAATGGTTGATTCTTAATAACATTAAAGGATCCTAAATCGATACCAATTGTTACGTCTATCGCTATATTAGTAAATATAATATTTGACATATATATATATATATATACACAACTTTTCTTTTCTTTAAAATGTGGTTCTTATTACCTGTTTACTATTAAAATGCGTCAAGTTTATTAATGCTGAACCCTAAATTATTGTTACGCCAATTTTTCTTTTTATTATTTTTATTACGTACTGAATGCGCACATAATGTTTTTTTCTTCTTGCAATAATATTTCTTTGCGATGCTCAGATTTGTATTGGTGAAAAACATTGCGAATAAGATATGAAATTTTGAAAAAAAAAATTTTGAAAATTTTTTTTTCTTTACTATTAGCGACATATAAAAAGGAACTAAATAAACAAAATGTTTTATAATTGTTATGTTTTATAGCGTCTTTTATTTGAATTTAATTTAAAATGTTATTGATTATTTGGTGAATCTGGTAAACAGAAATATCATAACATAATATGATGAACAAAGAGTCCAGTTTCAAATATTGTATCGACTGAGATCAGTCGGTAGTGTATTTTTATTTCAGGGTATTCGTTTTATAAAAAAAAAGATTAATATACCGAAAGACTCTGTATCTTATCAAATAATAATAATTTAAATGATGAAATTATGATTCTACAGACCTGTTCTGACCTCCTTTTTTGAGGAATGCAGATACTATTCATTGCCTTTTTTTTCTGACTTATTATTATTTATTATTTATTATTCATTATTCATTATTCTTGAACTATATGTATGTTTGCTTGAAATATTGATAACCAATCTATTAATTTACATACCTCATATTTAATGTTGATGTACAATTATCTTCCAAATTATTAGTCTTACGAATTAACCAAATAATGAAAAGAGCGTAACATCACAAAAGTCATTCAACTATTTATCTTTGTTTAATGACCTTTTTACGTTCTGTTAATGATGTTTATAGATATTTATTGTATGTTATATTTATTAGTTAACTGAATGGTTAAGTATAGAAAATGATACATGAAAAATGATTGACCTTATTACCCATTAGAAAGCTTATTTCTTGGCGGTCATTCTTCTTAGGTAGAAAGCTAATTCTTCACCTTCTAGAATGTAACCATCACATCTACCGGATTGACCTGGTCTGGAAGAGATAACGGCGTATAGTCTACCAGCGGTGAATTGAGATTCAACAGCTTGTTCGACCTTAGCAGAAGCAGCTCTGGAAGCCCACTTCTTTTCAGCACTCTTAGACTTAGCAATGACTTCTTCTTCCTTGCTGTTCTTCTTCTTACCTAGAGTAACACCGTAATGAGCTTGGTACCATTGCTTGAATGGAGTAGCATCAATTTGGACAACAGCAGCCTTGGTTAGAGTGTTAGTTCTGACCAATTCGTTGTTAGATGGATGGTAAGCAACACCAGCAATTCTGGTCTTCTTAGACATACCTTCGGAAGCCCAGGAGAAGTTACCGGTTTCAATTCTTAGAGCTCTGAACTTCTTGTTACCACCTCTGGTTCTGACAGTGTGAATTCTCTTAGCACCAATCTTGGTGTTAGCTGGTTGACGACCTAATTCAAACTTTCTCTTCTTTCTGAATTGAGCACGCTTGGCACCGGTGGCCGATCTTTTGTGACGAGAATCACGAGAAATACCCATTTTGATATCTGTAATAAAAAAATTTTATAACTTATTCAGTTATTGTATATGTTAGTAAATTATATTCATAAAATTTAGAAAAGCCCAATACCAAACCTTACTTTGCAAATAAGCAGAGCAGAAGGATATTGATGCCCTTTTCAATTTATAAAAAACAGTGATATCATCATCGCTTATAATATCTCTTTCTTATCCATTCCTCACATCTAAACTCTTAATACCATCATAATATTAGTGGAAAACTGTTCAAATAATAATTATCTCATTAATTTTTCAATACTAGGTATTGCAATCATATTTTGTCTCCATTGGTATCTTATTATATTAAAATCGACTTATTCAACTGTTTCTTGATAATTCCATTTATAGTTCTTATTAACATACATTTATTCCTTGTGTTGTTTGATTCTTTTGTTACAAGAAGTTAATAAGAATAAAGAATAACAAACTTATAATGAAGCGTCTTTTAACAATAACTATAGATTTATGGTAGATACGATACTTTGCTATGATCACTTTCAATGGAGTTTCTCTAGAAGTTTCGATACTATCTGGAGTGAAGCGTATTGAGGCTTGCTTGAAACTTTCTCTGTGTATGCTGGAAAATTGAGTTTTCCATTCTCTGCGTTATTGGTGTATTCTTTCCAACACTGAAAAAAAAAAGCTCACGGGTAAATATTTTCCGTAAAAAAATAAGAATTCAATATTTTGAGAAAAAAATAATTTGATAAAAGAAACATAAAATGTACAGTTGTTAATGGGTGTACGGTTGTAAAAAATGCAGTCACAAAATTATTTTTGGGGTGTCCCAGAAAAATTTGGATGAAAATGTCTTTAACTATTTACAGCGAAGAAATCGGCGGAGGAGAACGCTTACTAATTAATTGGCGACACACCCAATAATATACCCCAGGGTGACAGTAAAAGAGAAGTAATGGTTTACATGTATTTCGATATATATAGTTTGTAGTTAAAACATTCATTATAAACGATTGTTTATGCTAGTACTCTTTCATAACTAAACTATCTCTATAATAGCAAAAACTGTCTAAATACTTTAAAATATCTCCAAGATGGTTGCTACATATGATGAAATTGAAATTGAAGATATGACTTTTCTTCCAGAGGATCAAATGTTTACATATCCATGTCCTTGTGGGGATAGATTTGAAATCTTACTTGAGGACATGCTAGAAGGTGAGAATATTGCAGTTTGTCCAAGTTGTTCATTGATGATCGATGTGATCTTCGAACCAGAAGATTTGGGCGAATTCTTCCAACAGGCTGGTTTGTCAGTCCCAAGTTCTATTGGTATCACTGCTTAAGAAGTAACCTTTGAATGAACTGAGTTAAGATACATATGAATATTTTGGTATATGGAAATAATGAACTTGAATAACAGGAAAATATAACTTTCCTTCTAATTCAGAATATATTGTGTGAATCTGTGATTTACATAATCCTCGAAAATGTATTTAAATATATAATCCACTTCTATACGAAATCTTTCTAATGAAAAATGTTGAATACCATTAATATTCTAAACAACATTTCCAGTGCTGTGACACATATAATTGCCTATATAATTGACAAATATTATATCATTTATTCTTAAGCTAAAAATTATATCGTCTATGTTAATAGCGACTCATTCAAGATCTTATACATTTATTTGAGCGGTTTACTCTCCGAGGGAAATAAATGCCATTTTGAGTACGCAGAGTAACCGCGCAGGATATTCGACTCCTTAGTTAAAGGGTATCAATCTGAGGAAATTAAAATGCATCTGCTTACATAGACACAACTCTATTATCCCACGAAGCTATTTGAATCTCATTTCACGTAGATGTTTGGGACTTTTGTCATAGTGGTCATTTGTTGCATATGATTTTAAGTCTTACCTATTTACGTTTGACTTATCCATTTTCAAGAATCAAGAACAAAAGTAAGTTGGTCCTTTCAAGTATAGTTAATGACCTTGAATTTTACCGATCTCAGTAGAAATAAATTTGAATCATGCCAACGTATAACAACATTCCATTGAATGACGGTAATACTGCACAAAATGTTGAGCCAATGACCGTAGTTTCACAGAGTCAACCAGTTACGCCAATCATTTCTGATGATAATAAGTTTCGCAGTGTTTCCACCCCTGATAAATATGCTAAATTTTTAACTACTAAGGCTTTGGTTTTCCGTTGTAAGACTGGTCCGCTAGAATTTTCATATGATGATCGTAGATTAAGTGGTAAAGAGACAAAAAACTATTTAATTGTTCAAGTCACATATGTTGGATTAAACCCAGTAGATAAACTCATTAAGAATGGCTATCCTACACCCACTCATGGGGAGATTGGTTTAGGTAGAGAGTATAGTGGTATCGTGACACACGTTGGGGAAAATTTGGATAAAGATTGGAAATTAGGTGATGAAGTTTATGGTATTTATTACCATCCTCATCTTGGCGTTGGCTGTTTGAAATCTAGCATATTAATCGATCCTCGTCTCGACCCAATAATCCTAAGACCGTTACATATAACTGAGCAAGAGGCAGCTGGCTCTCTTTTCTGTTTAGGTGCTGCATTTAATATGTTAGATAAGATAAAAAACAAAAATAAATTAACTCCTGGGTCAAATATTCTAATAATTGGCGGAACCTCTTCTATTGCAATGGCAACTTTGCAGTTATTAATAAATTATTATAGTGTCGAAACAAAAATTACAATTGTTACAAGAGCGAGTGGAGCAATCAAATTACAAAAGTTATTTCCTTCTTTTACAAGTCAATTAATCTTTGTAGATTATGACACTTGTAAAAATAAACTAAGCGAACCCTTACAGGAGATAATACAAAATGAAAAATATGTAGTTCTACAAGGAAATAATAGGGTAGAATATCCATATACACAGGGGAAGTTTGATGTTACACTTGATTTCATCGGTGGATATGACGTTGTTCAAAATTCGAAAACATTAATCCGCAAGGGTGGTGTATATTTGACAACTGTGGGAGATAAATTAGCAAACTACAGGAAGGATACATTTGGCGCTTACGATAGTGCTAGTGCTAATTCCAGAAGAATGTTTGGTTCCATGCTATGGTCATATTCTTACATTCATTACTATTTTGATCCTAATGCAAAAACAGCGTCTTCTAATAACTGGATAACTAAATGTGGAGACTTGATCAGAAATGGCTCGGTAAGATGTGTAATAGACAAGGAGTACAATTGGAAGGATACTGCCGACGCTCTTTCATATTTGAGTACTCAACAGGCACAAGGGAAAGTGATTTTGAAGGTCGACAAATTTTAAATACATTGCGCAACATCGATTCAGAAAATACAGGCATTCTTAGTAATATCGTTTTCTGAACCAGTTCATTTATATCACTTCAATAATTAATTATTAATACACAAAATGTAATGATTCTATGTGTCTACAAAGCATTTTACCTAATCTTGTCACAATATCTATAGTTAAGAATTAGAAATTTTTGGAAAATGTGCACGTGATTAAAAATTCATAATTACTTACATAAAAAAAAAAAATGAAAAATTTAATATCTAAAGTTCGGAAGATGCCTCATCTCATTGAACAGAATTGAATGAGATGAGCAACTGATTTAGGATAAATCCTGGAGCAATAAATACACTTGACATATATTTAGTTACAGTGTATAGATATTATTGTGTTTTGTGTAAGGATTTGACTATATTTCATTAGAAATCAATAATTATTATTTAAAAAGTTTTTATAAATATTCTCAGTTATGGAGGGCGATAGCGAAGAGATGTCTTCTAACAACATTAAACTTTTGGCCGGTAACTCTCATCCGGAACTAGCTGAACTGATTTCAAAGAGATTAGGAATCCCTTTGTCTAAGGTTGGTGTATACCAATACTCAAACAAAGAAACTTCAGTTACCATTGGTGAGAGTATTAGAGACGAAGATGTATACATCATTCAAACTGGTATTGGTGAACAAGAGATTAACGATTTCTTAATGGAATTGTTGATTTTAATTCATGCCTGTAAAACTGCATCTGCTAGAAGAATCACTGCAATTATTCCAAATTTTCCTTACGCTAGACAGGATAAGAAGGATAAATCTCGTGCTCCAATTACTGCCAAATTAGTTGCGAATCTTTTACAAACAGCTGGATGTGAAAACGTCGTTACAATGGACTTACATGCTTCTCAAATCCAAGGTTTCTTCCGTATCCCAGTGAATAATCTATATGCTGAACCAAGTGTCCTACACTACATAAGGACAAAGACTGATCTTAAAAACGCCATCTTGGTATCACCAGATGCAGGTGGTGCTAAGAGAGTAGCTTCTTTAGCTGATAAATTGGATCTAAATTTTGCCCTTATCCATAAAGAAAGACAAAAAGCAAATGAAGTGTCCAAGATGGTCCTAGTTGGTGATGTTACTGATAAAACCTGTTTGATTGTTGATGATATGGCGGATACTTGTGGTACCTTGGTGAAAGCATGTGATACTCTACTAGAACATGGTGCCAAGGAAGTTATCGCTATTGTAACTCATGGTATCTTTTCCGGTTCTGCTAAGGAAAGATTAAAGAACAGTAAATTGACTAGAATCGTTTGTACTAATACAGTTCCAGTTGAATTGGATCTTCCAATAATTGATCAAATTGATATTAGTCCGACCCTAGCCGAGTCTATTAGAAGACTTCACAACGGTGAATCTATCTCATACTTGTTTACACACGCCCCATCCGAATAAATAATGTGTTCGTAACCCTTTGTACAATATATTTTAATTCAATATTGGTATTTCTTAAATACTTACCATTTGTAAAATCCTCACATGGAGAAAGTAATAATGACACAAAAACTAGTGTTTCGAAAGCCTCCACCCCACACCAGAGATCTATATTACGTTCAGATTTACATGAAATACGTGGTTATTATTGTTTAATTATCATATATATTAGACTATATGTATATATGTATTAAATAAGTAACATGCTATATGAATATTGTGATATAATCTAATTGAGAGGGATTCGAAACATAAGAGTGAAGAAATTATTGTTTAACTAACTCTTCATGAAGCTCAAAATTTTGGATCTTCGTTTGGATTTAGTGGATGAACTGCTATTCTTTTTGGTTCGTTCTTTAACTGTCCCTTCAACTCCTTTATCTTTATTTGTACTGTTTTCCCTACTCATTAAATGTTGTTGTTGTTGTTGTTGCTGTTGCTGTAGTCTGTTTTTTTCTCTACGTTTAGTTTCTGTAATCAAATCATCGTATTTTATCAACTGAGAAATATTGTCTTCCGGCTCATTTGCATCAGAACTTCTTAACTTAGGTGATTCACTAGTTTGTTGGGAAGAGTCACTATGTTTGTATATATCAGACCTTGTTTCTTGATAAAAAAGGACGTAAGCAGTACTTTGGTCTTTAGAGTCACCAGTAAATCTAAGAACTGTAGATTCATCTACAGAGTCAACTGTTTCATCATCAAAAAGTAACCACCCAAACACCTTGCTTTTACACAAAGACACATAATGGCCATGTTGTGGACTGCTTCCAAGATGAATAACAACTCCTGTTAATTCATATTCTTTTGAGACCTCAGGATCAAATGTGGATTCAACTGAAAGTTTTGCAGGGTATGAAATCTTATTGAATAATTTAACATTTGCATTTTGTTCTTCAACATATTTAAATCTCTTCAGGTTAATTGCTAAAGTAGTTGGTAATTTCTTTAAACCAATTAATCTTTCAGCTTCTTGAAGTCCATAACATTGATTACAATAAAATTTATTTGATCCGTTAAGAATTTCTCTTTGATGATAATGACGCAATACTTCCTGAATATCAATGCTTTCACTGTCTTTAATCTCTATTGGGAAATCTAGGAATGGTTCTTCACTTGCAGTCACCGTATCACAAGTTAAACACTTTGATCTGTTACTTAAAGTGCCCTGGAATTGTTCAATGATTGTATTTTTGATATTTGATGGTACATTAGCAGCATGATACGTTAAATAATCATTAAGATCATTTAACAAGAAATTTAAAAATTCATGAGCATCTTGTTGCATCGAAGAATTAAATAAAATATTTTCTCTTTTTAATGTCTTCACAAATTTTGTAGGTGATACAATTCCTGTCAAATTTTCATTTTCATTAATACATTCAAAGATATCTTTCAAAGTGTTATAAAGATTAGGTTTGGCAGATACGTTAATCATATGATCAATATGAAGAACAGGTCCTCTAATTAATGCAGCTTTCTTTCTTTGTTCAATTGAATAAGATAAATTTTGATCTTTATTCAAGGGTACTAAATCTATTCTCTTATTAGAACTTAATGTAGGACTTGTTGGAGCTGAACGTGATTTTACTGACTTACGAATCTTATCAAAATTTTTATCATTTTTATCCTTTCTACCAACGATAATTGTCTTATAACCGTCATGTAACCTCTCAGTCATAGAATCCGATGACATAATGACAGTATGTACGGGACCTGATTTTATATGATTTGATTGTTGTTTATCATCTTTCTTCTTTGATGAAAAAGATGCAGCATCAGATAATAAATTGTTTGATAATACAGCATCTGATCCATATTTACTTAAGGCATGTTTAAATGAATTTTTCTTATGTGTATCTTTTTCTTTCAATTTAGATGTTAGCATTTCATTATCCTGTAAATCATTTGTTGTCTCTAAATCATTATATAAATTTTCATCGTTACTAAGTTTTGAGCTATTATTAGAAGAAGAATTATTATTGTTATTATTATTTGAAGCACTTCCTAGTGGTTCAAAACTTTCTCTAGTAAATATTCTTGGTGTATTACCAATTGTTTTAAATTTTCTTCTTCTTTCAATACCAGGATCTCTCATTGGGTACTCTAAAATAATATTTCTAATATTATCTAAATGATATAAACATTGTAATACCGAATTACAATAACATGTATTACCAAAATTTTCATAACCAAATACTTTATTTGATCCGTCCCCAAATGGTAGCAAATCAGTGGATATGGGAAATAATAATTGTTTTTCAATATCATTCACCTGTTTACTATTATTAGTATTAGTATTAGTATTTTTATCTTCATAATATTCTTCAAATGTTTCCTGAAGGGTATCATTTCGAGGAGGAGTTACACCAATATCACTAACTGTTCTACTGTTAGTTTCAGAATCACGTGTGTTGTGATGGTGATGATGATGATGATGATGATTAACAGTATTACCATTATCTGGTAATGTTGTATAATTCCCTTCATCATTCACAATTTTTTCGTTACTACTCTTAGTTTTAAAATTTTCAGTAGAATTTTCATTTAAATTTGATGATTGATTAATAATTATATTTGAACCATTAAAATGTTTATTTGAATTAACTTCATTTAAAACATTTTTTGAAGTTTTTAAAATTCTTGGTTTTGAATTATTTACTATAGATGAATTCGTATTTGCAGTATTACTTCGACTTCTATTATGTGATGATAATTTTTTATTTACACTATTAGTTTGATCATCTTTCTTTTTAATATTTTTTCTTTTATTGGTAATCAATTCTTTTTCCTTTGATTTAGTAGTACTACCACCACCAACTAATCGTTTCAACATAGTTCATATATATATAAAGTAATGAGAGAAGAAGTGTGGTTAAAACAAAGCGAAAGTATATTAATGATATTAGTTCCAGCTGATATCAAATTAAAATAATAATGAAGCAAAGATTAAAAACAAAATAATTGCCTTTAAGTATTTGTTAGTATATATATTCGTAAACTCTCCTTTAGATAAGGAATGCCAAACATATATAGAATATCTTAAAAAACAAATCAAAGATTGTATATAAATAAGCTAAAATAATAAAAACAAGTGAATAACAGTCATCTTTCGTTCATGATTTTATCACGGTCAAGAGCAAACGGTTAGTAAATTGAGCTAAATCATGGGGGGGTGGTTGTGAAAGTTCAACTAATTACTTAATACCATAGTTTTTTCGTTTATGTTCCGGATTCTAACTATAAAAATATCTGTGTGCTATATGTTTTTCCTTTCCCTTTTTTACTCACCCAAACAGTGATAGGATTCACAGCAGGCTTTGATAGTCAACAATCACACGAAGAATAAATCGTAAAACCCAAAAAATAACAGTAATCAGAATTATATTATTCTGGGGCAAAAAGGCAAAGAGAGAATTCACAGCGAGAGAATTTAACATTAAAATGGTGAAAGGAGACAGAAACGAAAAAAGGGGGGAGGGAAGGGAGGTGACAAAGACAAAGACGGAGACGGAGAAAACTGTTAATCATTGTTAACGAGCTAGGGACGGACTTTGTGAATCCTCTAGTTGTTGTGAATAAGTCCTGTACGACGTTTGTGTGTGAGTGTATTGTTTTGTCTCTTGTACGCTGAAATGAGTTACTTTTCCCTTCCTTTGACGGGATGGGCGATTGATTCCATAGAACATCGGCAAGGAAACGTGTGGGGCGCGGTGGGAGCAGTTTATTTGCTTTGTTGGTTATTATCTTCCGCCACCGGAAATGACAACAACGGTTAACAAAATCTATTTCGTTTTTTTGATCCGGCGGCTGTTTCTTCCACATGGGAAAGGAAACGCAATATAATAATACTAATAATAATAATTTTACATTGATAGAGGCAGTGACAACGAATAGTGTAGATTGGGGGAGGTTACTATTAAGTATAAGTTACCAGGTTGTGAGCTTAAAAACTGGAATTGAACACCATACTCATATATGTATAGTGAAGTCATCTTTCCAAATCTTTTGAGAGAGTGTAGAAGGTATGAGAAAAGGTTTTAGTCTTGGATTATTGGTAGTAACACTACAAGTTTTTTAAATCTTTTCGTGCTTCTGATACAGTATCTTATTAAACTTCAACAGTATATTGGAATTTGTGATAACAAAAAACATTGCATTGCATTTTTTTTTTCATGTTTATGTAGACCAATGTAGTATTGGCGAGCAACATAGGCTCCAACTCTATAAAAAAAACTTAAGAATCAAATATTTCAAAATTGTTTACTTTTGTAAATAATCATTATTTTACATTACTTTTCTTTCTTTCTTGGAAAAAGTAAAGGTAAATACATATTAAATGATAAATATATAAGAATAAATGCAAATCTCTTTTTAATTATATTTTATTTTATTCATCTTCTTCTCTTGGGTCACCAACACCATCTTCATAAATTGCAAATATACAATCTGCTTCAGGTAAACATGGTGAATCAACAACTTTACAAATTCTTTGACAACCTTTACCCTTTTTAAACCCAAGTCTTGTTGTCGATGAATGTGCCATAATATTACCACCAATCGGTTTTTTTGGATCTGGATTAAACATTGCAGCACCATCAACTTGTGCAACGACTTGATTTGTTACTACTACAGCAACACCAAATTGATCAGCTAATCTTTGTAAAGCACGCATAAATTTTGCTAAATGCATTTGTCTTGCACTTAATTCACCTCTACCAGAAAAATCTGTTCTATATAATGCCATTACAGAATCAACAACGATTAAAGAAAATCTTGATTCACTCATCATTTGTGCAGCTGCGTCTAAAAGTTTCAATTGATGATCTGCATTATAAGCTCTCGCATATGCAACATTATTTAAAGCATCATCTGGATCCAAACCAAATCTTTGTGCAATTGAAACTAATCTAATTGGTCTAAATGTACCTTCTGTATCAATATATAAACATTTACCTTCACCACCGCCAATATCTAACGGAATTTGACATGTTACAGCTAAAGTATGACATAATTGAGATTTACCTGTTCTAAATTCACCAAATAATTCTGTTACGGATCCCGTCTCTATACCACCACCAAGTAAAGTATCTAAATTTTTTGAACCTGTTGTTAAACAAATCATTTCAGATCTTCTTGAATGAAAATCTGCTGCTGTAACAAATCCCATTGGAACTAATCTCGAAGCTTCATTTAATAATTTATCAGCTTTTGCTTCAGAGATACCCTTAATCTCTAATAATGCTTTTCTTGGTGCATAAGCTACAGCTTCAACAGTATGCAAACCATCTTCTCTTAATTTTTTTAAATCAGCAGCTGTAATACCATTTACTTGTAATTTTTCTAATGGAACAAAAGAAGCTAAAGCTAAATCAGTTTCTGCATCATATTGTTCTTCACCATCTTCTTGTTCTTCTTGAGTTTCATTTGTGGCATTATGATTTTGAGATGTAGCTGATGTAAAACCATGAGATGCCATCATCTCAGCATTCTGTGAACCTTCTGCAGGTGCAGTGGACATTAATGAATGAACAGAATGTTCTAATTGGGAATTATCAATTATTGGTTCTTCAACTTGTGACATTATCTATATTGTTGGATTATTTTGATCTTAATTTCTAACTTGATATCCTTCCTCCAATCTTCAAAGAACATATAATTTTAAATATCATTTGTCGGACCTCTTTTTATTATTTGGATAAAGATCAAAATTTTTTTTCTTATTTAAAAGATATCGATGCAAAGTGGCAAAGGAGACCGAAATGTAAACAAACGATAATTCAAAAAAAAAACACCAAACGAAAAAAAAAATATTATTAGTTTTTTATTATTACTCAGATCATTTTACAAAGAAAGTCCCGTACAAGAATGGGTCAAATGTAAACTTTTTAAAGAAAGGAAGAAGAAGGGGAACGCGTCTTACTTACTTCCCCAAATAATACACAGAGAGCACCGTACAAATACAAAACTTATTAAAAAATCATATATTTTTAATATTTGAAAGAAGTAAAAGCAGCAAATAAATTATGAAGTTTTAACTGATTTTACTCAATAAGGAAGCGTAATAGGGAATTGATCAGAGAGAGCACTCATGTGTGGGGTTTAAATTAATAGATAGTCCTGGAAAATCCGTTAAGAACACTTCCTCGTTAAGAAAGAGAGAGAGAGAGATTACATGTTACATACACTCACTTCTGCTCGTTACTACGATATATAAAACGGGATATTTGTAGTTGATGTTTTATTGTATCTCGACGAGAATATATATATATCTATATATATATCTATATCGATGGAGCTTTGTTAATAGTGCTAACCTGACATTATCTCGTAAAATGCTGCGTGCTATCAGATACCTTTTGGTGAGGAAAGACCAACAGCTTACTAAGTTCTTGTATTATATACTGTCGTACATAGTTACATGAACGAGTCGCTTAGTCACGTGCTTGGTAATTTATTTTGTTCAAATATTATCATGTTGAACGAAGTTCAGGTGGCAAAAAAATATAATAGTACTCTATGTAGGAGGTTCTAATAGCCCTCTTTTTCTTTTGCTTGCTAATTAAGGCCTCGCCCTCATAGATTCTCAATTTGAATTGGAACTTGAATAGTAAAAACAAGAGAAGTTATATCTTATAACTAAAATAATTGTACACACGACAATAGAGAAATATAAATTGATCTAATACGTTAACTATCACTCAGGAGTTTTAAGTTGTTAGATTAATATAGAAAGTATCATTTAATTTTTCCTTAATTTAATTCATTCAAAATAGAAAAAGAACTAATATAATTAATTATAATATGTCTGACCCAAGTTCAATTAATGGTGGTATTGTGGTAGCAATGGCAGGTAAAGATTGTGTTGCCATTGCGTGTGATCTACGTTTAGGTAGTCAATCGCTCGGTGTCGCTAACAATTTTGAGAAGATATTCAATTACGGTCATGTATTTATGGGTGTTACAGGTTTAGCTACTGATGTTACCACTTTAAGCGAAATATTTCGTTACAAGACAAATTTATACAAATTGAAAGAAGATAGACCTATTGAACCTGAAACATTTACACAACTAGTATCGAGTTCCTTATATGAAAAAAGATTTGGTCCATATTTTGTAGGACCTGTAGTTGCTGGGATTAATTCTAAATCTGGTAAACCATTCATTGCCGGATTTGATTTGATCGGTTGTATTGATGAAGCAAAGGATTTTATTGTCAGTGGGACTGCATCTGATCAACTGTTTGGTATGTGTGAATCATTATACGAACCAAACTTAGAAGCTGAAGATCTTTTCGAAACTATAAGTCAGGCTCTTTTGAACGCTGCTGATCGTGATGCTTTATCTGGTTGGGGTGCTGTGGTATATATTATTAAGAAAGATAAAGTGATAAAGAGAAACCTAAGGATGAGACAAGATTAATGTAATCAATTCATCTTCATACATCTATTCGCAACTATATATGTATACATATATATATATACATACGTAAAACTATATTGTAGTGTAAATTCACATTTTTATGTCATTCATCTATTTTGTTTTAATCGATATATAACGATATATTCACAATAGTTTTCCTTTAGGTTTCATTCTTTATCTTACCCTTTCCATTTTAGATACCTCAATTGCCATTAACTGAACCCTAATTTTTCATTTTTTTAGTGCTCTCGAACAGTTTTATAAACTATAGTCACCAAGTAAATAACGAATGAATAATCAACAATAAACAATATATCAAACCCTTGTTAGCTTCTAGACATATAATATCCTAATAGGTCTAGTTTTGTCTATCCCATGTCTCAATATAACTCCGAAGTTATGGATAATGTATCTAACAAATATTTCAACAATGACAAGAACTATAGACAAAAAGAACAGATGATACGGTTTTTTGCTGGGACTGCATTGACATTAATTTGTTCAAGAATGATACACAGAACAATGAATACTCTTAAATGTATGTTTAATTCTCAACTTTCTCACAAAGTTGTTTCTACAATTATTTCTCTTTTATTTGCCCAGTGTTTTACTAACAAGAAAATTTTCCCCTATAAATTTAGACAAACCATCAATATTCCACTCTAATAATAATCCGCCAAAGAGTATATACCAGGGTGAGGCTACTAAGGCTCTAATGTTATCATCTGGTCTCTCACTTGGGTTATTCTCCATGTTTATTTTTGGTGGGTGTTGGATCTATGACATATCTACGCTAAAAGAATTTAGCCAGGGTATGTCTGGCTTCTTCAAGAGACATGGACTCGGAAGTCAACTAAAAGAAACAGAAGATCCAAACGATTCTTTAAATGACATTTCTCAATTGTTAGACGATGTTGATGAGTGAGCATGAAGTCGCTCAATCTTCCGTTTCACGCACTAATATCACATGTACATAGCTATCCAGCATGTAACTGCAGGAAATTTATAACAGTCTATACCCCCTCTATAAATACAAAACCTTATAAACAAAACAATCAATGCATTTTTCTACTATAAACTCTCATCTCCATAGCCTACTTTATCACTGTCGATTGTTGTTTGGCTTAACTTGCTTTGGATTGCGATCCGGATTCCTTTTCATCTAAGTAAGGCGAAGTTTAACTTCATTAAAAAATAGATCCAATATTGAAGTTTAAGATATATATTAAACAAAAAATAAACGAAAAAATAGAAACGTATACATATCGAAATACTTAGAAACCATTGAAGGTTTAAAAAAACTATTACCATCTTTAGGTTGATTCAAGATGGAATTATCCAATCCGACGCTCAGCCCACAAATCACACTAAATTCTAAGGAATTTAATAATGATACATCACCAACATCAATGCCAAGTAGGCTGAGGACTAGTAGCACATCCAAAAAGGAAAAACAGAGTCTAGTATTATCTACATCATTTACGTCTACTAGAAAAGTAGATGACATCCATTCGTCGCCGTCAAGTCCCCTGCAATCAAGACGATCAGCAAACAACGTTACTAGAATGCTGGCAAATGTTAAATCAGAAATAAACCGTCTCACTGAAGAACTTAAAAAGGCAAAGAAAAGAAAAGATGATACTGAAAAATTACGAGATACAACAGGTAGTAATATATATAGTGGGACATATTCTACTGAGCATTTACAAAAACATTCTATACGTATTAGAACAAATACTCAAATCCGAGAATTGGACAAAACAATAAAGAAACTGGAAAATGAGATCCAAACTCTAACAGAAAAATACGAATCTGCAAGACGATTACAAGCTATTGAAAAAATATCCAACTCTAGTGAATCAATTACAGTAGGCGACCTTCACGTGTTAGATAGTAGTAATTTCCAAGTCAACCACGAACACCAACCAGCATTAGCCAATAGCATAGTCCACAATTCCGTAGGAATATCTACCAGCACTGATTCAACAATATCTACATTTGAAACTGAAAGTAGATCAAGGTCCCAGACACCAGTTAATGGTACGGTTGAAAATGGAACATGGAAGATCAGTGAATGCATGCAAAGTCTGAATGACCCTTCAATTTCATCAGACTACGTTCTCCAACAATCAAATAAATTAGTGGATTTATTAAAAGAGTTTCCCGAACTTCGAGAAGATTTAGTTTTGACGTCCTTTTTAAATTCGATCCAAGACCTTTTACTGCGTGACGATAAAGTAATATCATCGGCTGCATATAGAATATGTCGCTATCTGGTAGATGGCCAAAATTTCATCCATATTCTTTTCAAGAGACATATAGATATATTTCTCATAATGTCTCTAGCCAAAGACAACAACAATATCATAGAGAGAGAACAAGCAGTTAAACTAATACGTCTGCTGGCCGAATATAAAACAGGGATTACCAAAGGTATAGTGCAAGCTGTGATCAGCTGTGTAGAGAAGTTGGATGATAACATAAGAACGGTTGCAATCGAGACATTGCTTGAATTTTGCTTCGAACATCCTCAGTTAGTAAATGAATGTGGAGGAATGCGAGTATTAGAGGGACTTTTAAAAGATTATTCATTATTTTCCATAGCGTCACTAATTTTAGATACAATTTTAGAGCTTATGGCTACACACAGTACTAGAAAGTACTTTTTAGACGACTTTAATATTTCAGTGCTTGCCACAGTATTTTCTGATTTTAATGGGAAGGGATCAATAAATACAGACAAACTGCAAAATTCCTCTGCATTAATTTCGAGAGCATTTAAAAACGACAATGGTTTGATGTTGTTTTCTGTAGATAATTTTAAACCTATCAAAGAACTTTTGGCATTTATTGAGGTACCAATTTGTGCACAATACTTACTTGATATATTTATGGATGTTTTACACATCAAATATCATACCAAACAGAAGGGTAGAAAATATGCTGGACATGTAGAACCCTCCAACTTTTTTAATGAATCGTCGTCGTTTAACCAAAGATTAGTTTTAATAGTGTCGATATTAGATAAATGTAATTTCATCGAGTTGTTATCACGATTGATTGACACACCCACAGAAGGGAAATTAAAGGAAAAATTAGTGAATAAAGCCAGATATTTACTAGCGGAATATACAAACATGAAAAATAATCTGATAAGGGATGGCAATTACTCTGCATACAAAAGTTGTGCCAAAAATGATTCAACCGTATTTCAAAAATCGTACAAATTCCAGAAGATCATCCAGGATATGAATAGAGGTAGGAATACCCTGGGAGTGAAGCATATAGACTACAACGAATATTTGAGAAAAAATTCAAAAATGGTCAAAGATTCCTTACTAATTGATGATGGTGACGATTTAATATTTAGAAAAATGGTTTATGATACGAAAGTTTTACAAACAAAAGATTTCACCTTATGGAATTGGAATGTCATCCAAGAACTATTAGAAGGTCCACTCATGAAACAAAAACAGCTGGAAGAATTAGTAAGATCTACTAAATTTATTAGAAGACTTTTGGTTTTTTATAGACCGCTAAGGTTACGATTTTCAGACGTTAATCAAGGATCTAGACTTGCAGAAAAGTTTATCCAAGTAGGCTGTTCTTTTTTCAAAATGTTAACTACTAATCCTGAGGGTATGAAAATACTAGTGGACGATACCAAAATTATCCCACAACTAGCATCTCTTGTATTTAAAGCAATAGAAGAAGGATCTTCATCTAATATCTTTAATGAAAATTCTTTAAAAGTTAAAATAATACCCGGATACTTTAAATTTATTGGAGTTCTAACCCAATCAGAAAATGGTATTAGTATATTACTGAGATGGAATTTTTTTACAGTTATTTATAAGATGTTCCAATTTGATTCTCGTATTGGGTTAAAGCTTTTACTTCTTACTCTTCCAGAACTAGACCTAAAATACTCTTCTCACTGTAGAAATATTCTGGGTAGAGCTTTAGTTGTATCAAATGAAAATGTGCGAATGAGAGCAACGAAACTTTTAGGTGAACATTTGAAAGAGAGCTTATATATGCATACCGAAAATACTACACTTACAGAAACAGACATGAACATCGAACGTTACATGTTTGAAATGATAACAAGACAATTATATGATTTGAGTCCCAACGTTGTTGCAATAGCTGATCAGGCTTTATATGAATACATTGCTGAAGGTGATAAATCTCAAGAATTGAGTTCATCTCTTCGAACAATTTTGAACCAAATGGTGTTTATTAGCTCCCCCATTCTATTTGAATTATTGAGTAGACCTTACGGATTTCATCTTTTAAATGATATTAGGTTTATTGAAATGCAGCGTAACTCATGGCTAGAAACGAAGAATAAAGAATATGTCGATATTGTAGAACAATTTTTAAGGAAGACTGTATATATGATTCGGAGTGAAAACTTGGATGATAAGTTTACAACTACCGCAAATCGTTTACCTCTTCATTTTTATGAAAGTTTATCAAGAACAGAGGATGGTATAACATTATTAAGTCAAAGTGGTGACCTAGTTAAATTTATGAATGTTATCAAAAAATATGTGACGGAAGGAATGAAAAATGAAAATCCGTCCGATGTCCTTGATTTGAAATCAGCAATGTGGTGTTGTGGGTTCATCGGGTCTACCGAATTAGGTATTGGCTTACTAGATAATTATTCACTTGTTGACGATATTTTACAGATATCGTACGGGGCGACTGTCACTAAAGTCAGATTTACAGCATTTTATGCCCTTGGTTTAATTAGTTCTACAAGAGAAGGTTGTGAAATCTTAGATGAAATGGGATGGAACTGTACTGTCGATATACAGTACTACCCAGTAGGAATTGCATTACCAAATAGATTGGATAAATTTTTATCGTACAATGAAAAAAAATGGATAATTCAAAAAGAATACAAGAATGAAATGATAAGATTCAATAAAGTAAGTGGTGAAATACTTGGTGATATTATTCCTGTAAAGATTGATTTAAATCATCTACTTTCTGAAAAGAATATTATTGAAAATACGAATGATGAAAATGATCAAGTTGGTCAATTATCGTTTTCTGAACAAAATGCTAAACCATCGGAGACTCTTGTTGCTGATGTTAACAAAGAAGCAACTTTTTTGAGAAGTCGTGCTAATACAATATCAAGTGTGTTATCAAATGGTCTTGATAGTGGCATCATAGAAGAAATTATGGAATCCATTAGTAAATTGGGGAACCATATCTTATCCAATGCCGCAATCAAGAATATTACTGATATAAATAATAAGTTTGGTCCAGCATTGTTCGAAAGAGAAATAATGGTTACCAAAGTATTAGACATGTTAGATAAATTTAGATTTAAGCCTCAAGTAAGAAAATTTCTTTGTGAGTTATTCATCAATGTTCGTGGATTAGAGAATATAATCAAACATGACAGAAAATTACAAATCAAACCCGATGATAGCCATCAAGTTAATGAAGTGGCAAATGAAATTTCTGTTCCATCGTCACCATTTTCAAATTAAGTAAAACATTAAGTAAAATGCATGAAATGTTATTGAAGTTGTTTATATATATATATATCTTAAGGTGATAGTAGTAATTTTGCTACTGTTGGTTGAATATTAGGAGTTTTTTTTATATAACCGTGTGCGCTCACTATTCTTATTATTATTACTATTAATTATAAGAGTTTATTATGAATAATGAATTAATTTTATTCCGATTCTTGTGCGTCCTTATACAACAATGGTGTATTTTTATATATTTTATAAGAATCTAATAATTCTTTCGGAAGTTCAAATTCTTCTGAATCTGGTACTTTTTGTATTATACTTATTTGTGAATTATACCAATCTAAAGCAGGTGCTACTTCCAATGTATTCTCTGAGATCAATCGTGGTTCATCTTCTGTCTCCATACTCTTTAGATCATCATCCATTTGTCTTAATGTAGCTATGAGACTTGACACTTTTCTAAATAAAGTTGTATATTCTCTCCGAAGAGTATTGTCTTGTTTAGCTAGTTCCTCATTTCTTGAGGTTAATTTATTAAATTCTCTTGTTAAATTATGGCCTGGTTCTTTATTCATGTTGGTATTCCTTTTCTTTTTTATTGGATGACTAAATCTCTATTCTGATTTAAATCTCTTCAACTACAAGTTTGGTATGATTATACATTTGTTATACTGTTTTCAGTTTTATTTATTCTTAATTAAGAAATATCGCAGTTCATGCTTGTTTTTCTCTTTTTCCTCACTAATTGAAAACCATTTCAGTCTTTCTTTCTAGGTTACCCTCAATTCTGAATTTTTTTGGAAAAAATACACGTGACTAAAAATATGACCGCACGTGATCCACAGTTCTTCTCAATTTGTGACAAACATTAAAAATCACGTGCACTTGCACCCCTTAATTTTTTGACTGTTGTACCAGCTTTTCTTCGCGATATGGAATTAATCTATCGGAGTCCTACATGTTATCTTTTTATCTTTTTCGTTCCACTCCACGCTCTCCGGCTGCAACTAGGTAGCCAATCCTTTGTAACAGTTACCGCCGGCATAAGAAGAAATTAGTTAGTAGTCATTCATAAGCGCATCACTGGCAAATGACCATTTTTGTTTATTATGAAGTTGACTCTTCCCATATTAAAATTGTTGAAAATATAGACGCACACACACATATATGTTGTTAACTATGGTACGAATAACAAAGCTTCAATTCTTGAAATGTCAGCCAATGTACCTTTTAAGAATATTAACACAAGGAATTGCAATTGTGGCTGCAACGATAAGTTAACCTAATATAATACCAAAACCAATTTGTCATATATATAAAATTTCCCTCCAACAATTGTAGATACTGTGTAAAATACATATGTAAGATTACATATACTATTAAGTTAGTTGACATAAAAAATGCAAAAAAAAACGAGTATAGTGTCACAATTACAATGTGCATCTCGTTAAACAAGAAAACAACATAAGAAAACGAGAATATTCATACCGAACACTATCGCTATTAGTCGTTATTTGAGTATTCGGCCTACTTAGTATTAAGAAATATGTGTATATAGCCTGTACGATTATTGCCATTATTATCCTGTTTTTTTTTCCAGTCAATCAACTGAACTCATCTTGAATCAAAACTAGCCACTATTATTCTTTTTTTGCTACTCGATCATGACAGCAAAAATACATTGACATTTTAACTTAATGAAACCCACATATCCTTACATGAATACATAATCTATTAAATCTTTCAATTCGTTCAATAAAATTACTGTAATTGTAAAATTAGAACACACAACTAAAAAAATTGTGTGAATGCTTCATTTTCACATAATATCACATCACATCATCACTCTACCTTTCTAACTCTCTTCATAATTTAATTATTTTTTGCACATGTGTATACATATTTTTCTCTCTCGTTAAAGTCCTCTTACGTACTGATTATTGTGAATAAAGCGAAGAAACTCAAAAGAAGCAAAAAATACCAAAAACAGTGGAACTCTCACTGTTTTTTTCTCGCTCTCGATGTGGTTAACAGAGGGAAAAACCTAAAAAAGAGTGGAATTTGACAATAGAGAGTCAGTTAATAGGGTTATTGGAAAAAAATGAGACATCTTAAAATTAAAATTAAAAAATAAAAAAAATTAATATATAAACGATACCCCTTTTCGAATTGATTAAACTTTTAAAAATATAATATTCTTATTTCTTTTCTTTTCTTATATATTAATTATATTCATAAATAGATCATCAAAGCATCAATTGTCTGTGTTAACTTATAGGTTCTCGACTTATTTTACACAATTTTTTTTTAATTTTTTGCTTTATAGCTCTCCCCTAATTATTACATAGAAAAAAAAATGGTTCAATCTGCTGTTTTAGGTTTCCCAAGAATCGGACCAAATAGAGAATTAAAGAAGGCTACTGAAGCTTACTGGAATGGTAAGACTTCTGCTGAAGATCTATTAAAGGTCGGTAAGGAAATCAGAGAACAAAACTGGAAATTACAAAAGGAAGCCGGTGTCGACATCATTGCTTCTAATGATTTCTCTTTCTACGATCAAGTTCTAGATTTATCTGTTTTGTTTAACGTTATTCCAGAACGTTACACTAAGTATCAATTACCTCAATTAGATGTCTTGTTTGCCATGGGTAGAGGTCTACAAAGAAAAGCCACTGATTCTGAACCAGCTGTTGATGTTACTGCTTTAGAGATGGTTAAATGGTTTGATTCTAACTACCATTACGTTAGACCAACTTTCGGTAAGAACTTATCTTTCAAATTAAATGGTCAAAAACCAGTTGATGAATTCTTAGAAGCTAAGGCTCTTGGTATTCAAACTAGACCAGTCTTAGTTGGTCCAGTTTCTTACTTATACTTAGGTAAGGCTGACAAAGATAACTTGGAACTAGATCCAATTTCTTTATTAGATCAATTATTACCTCTATATACTGAAATTTTACAAAAATTGGCTGCTGCTGGTGCCACTGAAGTTCAATTAGATGAACCAACTCTAGTTCTAGATCTTCCAGCTAATGTTCAAGCTGCTGTTAAAAAGGCTTACACTTACTTCGGTCAACAATCTAACTTACCAAAGATCACTCTAGCTTCTTATTTCGGTACTGTTGTTCCAAACTTGGAATCTCTAAAGAATCTACCAGTTTCAGGTTTCCATTTCGATTTTGTTAGAGCTCCAGAACAATTCAACGATGTTCTAGCTGCCATTGGTCAAAACCAAACTCTATCTGTCGGTATTGTTGATGGTAGAAACATCTGGAAGAACAACTTTGCTAAGTCCTCTTCTTTCGTTCAACAAGCTATTGCTAAACTAGGTGCTGAAAGAGTTATTGTCGCTACTTCTTCCTCTTTATTACACACTCCAGTTGATTTAGAAAATGAATCTAAGTTGGATGCTGAACTAAAGAACTACTTCTCTTTTGCTACTCAAAAGCTAGGTGAAGTTGTTACTATTGCCAAGAACGTTTCTGGTCAAGATGTCTCAGCTGCTTTACAAGCTAACGCTTCCGCTATTACTGCTAGAGCCAACTCTACCTTCATTAACGATCAAACTGTTAAGGACAGAGTTTCCTCCATCGATGCTAAGATGTCAACTAGAGCTGCTCCATTCCCTCAAAGACTTGCTGAACAACAACCTGTCTTCAACTTACCACTGTTCCCAACTACCACTATTGGTTCTTTCCCACAAACTAAGGACATCAGAATCAACAGAAACAAGTTCAACAAAGGTCAACTATCTGCTGAAGAATACGAAAAGTTCATCAACTCCGAAATTGAAAGAGTTATTAGATTCCAAGAAGAAATTGATCTAGATGTTCTAGTTCATGGTGAACCAGAAAGAAACGATATGGTTCAATACTTCGGTGAACAACTAAAGGGCTACGCTTTCACTACAAACGGTTGGGTTCAATCTTATGGTTCTAGATATGTTAGACCACCTATTATTGTCGGTGATCTATCTAGACCAAAGGCCATGTCTGTCAAGGAATCTGTCTACGCTCAATCCATCACTAAGAAGCATGTCAAGGGTATGTTAACTGGTCCAATCACCTGTCTAAGATGGTCTTTCCCAAGAGATGACATTGATCAACAAACTCAAGCTTATCAATTAGCTTTGGCTCTAAGAGATGAAGTTAATGATCTAGAAGCTGCCGGTATTAAGATTATCCAAGTTGATGAACCAGCTATCAGAGAAGGTCTACCACTAAGAGCTGGTGCCGAAAGATCTGCTTACCAAGTCTGGGCTGCTGAAGCTTTCAGAGTTGCTACTTCTGGTGTTTCTAACAAGACTCAAATCCATTCTCATTTCTGTTACTCTGATTTGGATCCAAACCATATCAAGGCTCTAGATGCTGATGTTGTTTCTATCGAATTCTCCAAGAAGGACGATGCCAACTACATTGCTGAATTCAAGGATTATCCAAATCATATTGGTCTAGGTCTATTCGATATTCACTCCCCAAGAGTTCCATCTACTCAAGAATTCATTACCAAGATTGAAACTATTCTAAAGACTTACCCAGCTGAAAAGTTCTGGGTTAACCCAGATTGTGGTTTGAAGACCAGAGGTTGGGATGAAACCAGAGAATCTTTGACTCACATGGTTGAAGCTGCTAAGTACTTCCGTAACCAATACCAAAAATAAGTTTCCCCATAATTTATAATCGGTTTTCAGTTTTGCTAAATTTACAGCTAACTTCACAATTCATTTTCTTTCATATTAACTTATTGATATAGAGGGGCAGGGGCTACTTTATTCAACATTTGTGGTTTATTTTTTTTTCATTCATCTTTCTATAGCATTTCCCAATAATTTATATTTATACATAGTATATAAATCTTGTATATTTTAACGCATTCAACATTCGTTTATTTAAAATCAAAACAGTATCAAAATGAATCTTCAATAATATTTGATATACCAACGAATACCATTCCAGAAAAAAAATACAACGCAAAAATCTTTATAGTTCTTCGTAATGATATATATATATATATATATATTAGTTCACTTATTTTTAGATAATAAAAAATAGTATTGAAAGAAATAGTAAAATATGTAAGGAAAGATTCCCCAAAAAGATTAATAATCTAACGTAATGATTATGCGGTACCTACTTTAGAGGCCCAGATTTCTTCAGCTTGAACAATTGTACTATGATTAGCTAACATTTTGTTCATAGTTTCAACGTATTCATCATATTCATCGGAATCAAAAACGATACCACCACCAGCTTGTAGATAAGCAACACCATCTCTATAAACCATTGTTCTTAGCGCAATACATGTATTCATTGTCTTTTGATCATAAGACCAGTTACCTACGGCACCTGCGTAGACACCACGTCTTTCACCTTCTAATTCTGCAATCAATTCCATAGCTTTCACCTTTGGTGCACCACTAACAGTACCAGCTGGGAAAATGGATCTAAAAGCATCAAAACATGTCATCTCTGGTCTCAATGTACCACTAACCTGTGATACTAAATGTTGTACATGAGAGAATTTTTGAACAGTTAATAATTTATCAACTTTAGTAGATAATGGATCACAAACTCTATTAATATCATTTCTTGCTAAATCGACCAACATAATATGTTCAGCACGATCTTTTAAAGAACCATATAATTCGGATGCTAATTCATCATCTTCTTCTGCAGTCTTACCACGTTTTATAGTACCTGCAATTGGATGTGTAATAATTTTATTTTTATTATCTGCACTACATAATAATTCAGGTGAAGCACCAATAATTTGAAAATCCAAACAATCAATATAGAATAAATATGGAGATGGATTTACTGTCCTTAAATGACGATAAATATTGAAAGGATGTAATGAAGTTGGTCTTGCTACTCTTTGAGATGGTACAGCTTGAATAATATCACCCTTTTTAATATGAGACTTTAAAGTACGAACATGACCTTCATAACCTTCTTGACCAATATTTGATGTAAAAGTTTGTCCTAATTTAATTGATGGTTGTTCAGGATATTCGATTGGTTTAGAATTATCAGTTAGTTTATTGTAAATTTCAGAAATAATCTTTTGAGCATGAATATAACCTTCTTCAAGAGTCGTCTCTTTAGTATTAATATTATGAATAATTTGAAATCTTTGAAATACATAATCAAATGCAATAATAGTATCACAAAGCATTAAATAAGCTTCAGGAACCTTTAAGACATCCTTTAATGGTCTTTTTGTCTTTGGTTCAAAATAACGAACACAATCATAAGAAATATAACCAATTGCACCACCACTTAATTTTGGTAAACCTGGAACATTTTCAGCTAATTTTGTCTTTTTCAATTCTTCTTGTAATAAAGTTACAGGATCTTGTTCTAATGATTCAGTTGGTCCAGTTTTAATAATTTTTCTTGGAGATAAACCAATAAAGGAATAACGATCTAATTCATTATTAGTCTTTGCACCTTCTAATAGAAAAGATTCTGTACGATTTTTATCATTTAAATTTGTTAATTTTAAATAAGCTACATGTGGAGTCAATTCTAAAGATGGTAAGAATGCATAGACTGGATACATATTAATATCTTCATCATTATTTTCAATAACTAATTGTTTCAAAACGTCTAGTTCCGGTTGGAACTTGATTTGGGAAGACATTTTTCCTCTGTGTGTGTTTGGGTGATAATATGTTGTTGTCGACTTCAAACTTGAAGGTATAAAACAGTATATGAATACATAAATATATATAAGAATCTAATACAAATAATATAATATTCTAAATAAGTAAGATGTCAAACAAAGAAACACACACACACACACACGCATAAATGAATTAGTGAAAAAGTTTGACTCATCGAGAGGTCTTGAAACGTTGTCTGTGGATGAAAGAGATGCGCTCTTCACCAGAATTTGAAAAATGCGACTACTCTACTACTACTACCTTACTATCCGTAATTATGATAGTGTGATGATATAATTATTTTTCAAAGACGGCGGACGGGCCAAATAAAATAGATTTCTATCCTTTGTGAGGCAGAAAAAAAGACAGTTTTTGATTTTATTTTTTTTTTCGTACACATCGTACTTCGTGATAGGATAAGTGGGGGGGGGTAACACTCAATTATTGAATTATATGTTTGCTTATATGATGGTTGATTACACATCTGACACTAATTTAGATACCTCAACATGTACACGGACAGTCAATTCATATACATGAGATCCCAAACACTTGCCATGCAAGAAGATTACTACTCTCACGAACCAGATATCACAAGGCACGACTACTCACACACGAAATTCTATGCAGAACCAAGCGAACAAGAATATAACATGATTACTAACAACATTATACAATATAGCGATACCACCACTACCACCATGATATAATTGCATCCAACCTTTACTGACGCACCCGTATTGTCATAGTTATTGTCACACCATCCAAACATCATCTACCAGAAAATCTCTCTCTACGCGCTCAATTCAATACGGAAACCTGTTCACACACAGAAAAAATAAACAAAGAATTCCCAACGAAAAGAAAATAGCGGACAAAACCAAACCAGAAAAACGATCCCACCGCAAAAGGAAGAATCGAAGAGAAACAAGAAAGAGAGAGAAAAAAAAAAGAGAGAAAAAATAAAAAAATAAATAAATACACAACCTGGAGAGAGAAAGAGATAGAGATAGACGAGGACAGAACAGACCTTGAGAGACCTTGAGAATAGTATCTGGATTTTGTAAAATAAGTAAGAAGATTAAATTACGAATTTTATAAGGAAACTCTTGACCTACAATTGGTAAACAAACCTTAATAGCTATTAGTTTTTCTTTATCTTGTTTTTCTATTTTGTGTATATGTTTGGAGAGTATAATAGGTAATAACTACAAGTCATATATATATATATATATACAACAACGAGAGATAAAATATGGGTCAGATACTTTCGAATCCTGTGATAGATAAAGAACATCATTCCGGTGCGGATACTCTATCTGCATTTGGGTTATGTGCTATGCAAGGTTGGAGAATGTCAATGGAAGATGCTCACATTGTAGAATTAAATACTTTATCAGAAGATGATACAAGAGACCATATTGCATTATATAGTATCTTTGATGGTCATGGTGGATCTGCTGTTGCACAATTTGCTGGCTCCAAAATGACTCAAATTTTTCAAGAACAAAAAAGTTTTAAAGAAAATAAATTAAGTCAATTGTTTATTGATACTTATTTAGAGACAGATCAAGCTATATTAAAAGATCCTGTCTTACAAAATGATCATAGTGGTTGTACTGCAACATCTTTGTTAATTTCAAAAAAACAAAATAAAATTGTTTGTGGTAATTCAGGTGATTCACGTACCGTTTTATCAACTTCAGGTAATGCTAAAGCTTTATCTTATGATCATAAACCAACTTTAATCTCTGAAAGATCTCGTATTTATGCAGCTGATGGATTTGTTGAAATGGATCGTGTTAATGGTAATTTAGCACTTTCTCGTGCAATTGGTGATTTTGAATTTAAAAAAAATGACAAATTAGGTCCTCACGAACAAGTAGTTACTTGTGTTCCAGATATATTTGAACATCAATTAAATTATAATGATGATGAATTTGTTATTTTAGCATGTGATGGTATTTGGGATTGTCTTTCTTCTCAAGAATGTGTTGATTTAGTACTTCATGGGATTAATCTTGGTGATATGTCATTAAATGATATTGCATCACGTATCGTTGATGTATGTTGTTCTCCAACTACTGAAGGTACAGGAATTGGTTGTGATAATATGAGTATTACAATTGTTGCATTATTAAAAGATGAAGAAACTGTTGATCAATGGTTTGATAGAATAAGAGCTAAAAATCACACAAGACCAATCTCTTTTGCTTTAAAGAGAAAAGTTATCTATAATTATTTTGAATTCCCAGAAGATGAAACTCATATATTCGATATTACTACAAAGAAACCACAAGAACGTTTCAATAGAAATAATCATGATAATGATCTTGATAATGCAATGGAAGTCGATGATACTGATGCTGATGAAGAAAATAGTGGTAGAGCAGTTGCTAGTGGTGCAGGAGGCCCATCTTTAAATGGGTTTCCTTTGGAAGCTTTATTAGGTAGCGGAATTACTATATCTCAAGGTCCAGATAATACTCCATATTTAAGTGGGAATCTAAGTGATATGCTAGCATCTTTCAGAAACCACTATGCTACAGGTGGTGCCGGTGCTGCTACTTCATCAATTGAAGATGATGAAAATGAAGACGAAGATGATGCAATGAATGCTAATGACAATAATGAGCCATCAACCTCAAATGATACCAAGAATTAAAAAGGATATTTTTTAAAATTACAAAGCTTCCAAGCTTTTTTTATTTCCTTTTTTTAACAAAAAAAAAAAAGTGCTATCATTTTTATTATTGTACTATTACTGAATGATAAGCAAATGATTTATTTTCACTATATCTTTCTTTCCAACTTTCGTCTTCTTGTTTCTTTTGACTTCAAACTGCCAAATAATTCCTACTTTTTTCTTCTCAAAAGATGTCAATGCAATTAATTTAAAAAATAATAAGTTTATAAGCTTATCACAGAATTACCCATTAAGAATAAAAATGTTAATATTACACACCAACATACAATCACAAGTATCTTCCCATATGTTATTATTATCTCTACAACTATTAAAGTAATGTAGCATATATATAAGTATATATATACACATATTAATTAATGAAACAACGTGTAACTATTCATCCACTAAAATATAAGTTTGTAATTAATTATACACCTATGACTGATGAAAAAACATACGTTTTAGTAAAAATTCAAAATCATTATTTAATAACATTTGATATAATGGTTCATTTACATCCTTTTAAAATAAATACATAAATTCTCCGTGGAAGTATGATGTAAATTAAAGTTATTAACAAACCTTTTCAAGAACATCCTTTAAAAGATATATCGTCCAGCCAATTGATTATAAAATATTGGAAGAACTTTCTAAAACATTTAACGTTTTTCTTAGAACTTAAAATTTGGAAAGAGCAACGTTAAAACCAGTAACAACTATAAAATGATTGTCCTTTCGGAAGCTGATTCTATATGCGCGACTATAATATGGATCTAAAAATACCATTTTTTATAAATATTCTGGGCCATGTAACACTATGGGTTTTTTGTTCTCGGTAACCTATTTACCATGATATACGCCCAGCAATATATAAACGATACTTTTTCCTCATCCTAACTTTATTTAATTAGGCTAGAGTTCATTATAGCTATTTATTTCTACGTAGATGAATATGTCGTTGATGATCATGCACGTAGAAATCAACTGATTTCCATCCAAAACGGAGCAAGTGAAAAATAACCGGAGAAAGCAATATCAATATAAAATATTGCAAAGTCTAAAAAGGGTTTTTCATATTAATACAACAAAAATCGCAAAAACGCTAATTAGTTCGTATTAATATTTCTCATAAGAGCGCTTTACATCTCCATCTCTCTCTCTGCCTGAGGTGGTATTTTGAAAGAAAGATCAGTAAATAGTAATAATTAATAGAAATTCCTGATATATTTTTAATCCGGAAAGCACTAAAAGTGGCTAGACTTTGATCAAGAATAATATTTGTTTACTAAGTACTAGATTCTTCTTATGCTACATTATTAGAATAGCAAGTCTATAGTAGATAGCACAAAATGTTAAGTAGTGATGTTTATATGATAAAAAAACAAAATAAAAATATGTATTCTTCTCTTTAAATTATTCATCCTTGTAGTAGTTGTCATAAGACATTCGTACATCTTGAACAGGCAGAAAAACTTTTCATTAAAATACACATAGATTACAGCTGCTCAACTAGTTAGTAATCACTTATCAATGCGTTTAGTATCTTAAAACAAGAAAACTTTAATAAAACTCTTCCTTTCTTTCTGGTTTGCTTGATGAACTCATATCTGTTTTCAATAAATCTTAGCCATACACCTGAAGATAGAAAAAATGGTACAAAAAAAACCACAACCATAAAACTCGAAGAATAAATTCGTTTGTCCGTCCCGGATCCGTCTAAGTTCTCAATATTCTTTACGTTAAGACAAACCCAGGTTCTTTTCATCATTGCATAATATCGTAAAATATTTGATACCTTTTACATAACTTTTCTAAACTGGACAACTTTGAGTTTTCTTGTCTTGTCTTTTCTTTTTACTCGCCTCCCATTTTATTTAAGAAGCAGTTAAACAAAATTGTGGATTATGTAAAAAAAAAACTAACTAGGCTACCTCGTATTAACATTTCAAAACTTACAGCCAAATAAACACAGATTAAGAAATTTACGCAATTTGGATTACCTAGTTTGAGACATCTTTTAAAATGAGAATAAGAGGGATGGCTCTACTTGTACTCAAATTTAGTAATGGGAAACACGATACTAACAACTTAGATGAGGCTTGAAGGATGTCAAATAATTGATGTCTTCCTTGGCTCCTTCTGTGTAGCCCCAAGAAGATGGCTTCCGGGGTCTTTGACGGTGTTTTCTTCTTACCAAACACATAAATTCCTGAGCGAGATAGATGAGGATAAAAGAGGTTAAATATATGTAGATATAAAATTTCAGTACCGCGGTACTTTCACTGGATTGCTAAAAAAAAGGGGTTCACCCCTCCAAAGATGGCGTCGTACAAAAACTGCAGAAATAAAAAAGCAATTAAGCATAGGTCTCTCTGTGTGTATGACAGTTGTACCTGAGCATTTAATTATTGTCGCAGATAAATGATAAAAAACAACCATATTTCTATTAAATAGTCGTGCACATTTTCTTAAAGATTACAACCCGGTGGTCGGGAAATAGACCGCATTCTTGTATTTCCGTAGCCAGAAAAATATATATTTTGTGAAGATTTTGCTCCATGTTTTTTTCGTTTTTTTTGTTGTTTGCGTAGTTTCTCTGGGGAAAACTGGAGCAAGTGAGAAATGTCAGAAGGGTTTTCTCCATTTATACGATATTGAAAGATGAAAACATATCCTGCCATGTTTGTTAAGTTGAAAAAATTTTCATGTAATGCCCTGCAGAAAGAAATTGCTGTAACTTTTAATTAAAGTTAATTTTAATTTCCTGGATGGCATAACGCTTGACGAAAGGGGGAGGGTTGGCATAATAACGTGTTAATTTTTGTCTCTTTAGGATACAAGAGAGAGTTAAAAAGCTCGTAGTGGCTTACAACAATTAGTTCTGCCTATCTCCGACTGTGAATATAGTGATAAAATTTTGTATTTTCTGTTGTATACTCGTTCTCTCTATTGAATGGACGACCATGTCAGCTCCACACTCACACAGCTAAAGAATTCTTCGTTTTCTTATGTCTTCAACTCTTAGTAGACCTGTCGTGTTTTTTTTAAAGAGACTGAAATCCACCCCACAACCTCAAAATTATGATTGGGTCCCCTGAAAAGTTCAGCTTAGCCCTAAGAAATTCAAAACTTCCCCATCCTCAGTTCAATTCAAAGTGAAATGAAATGATCTCTATATTGCATCATTGTTAATGATAATTGTTTAACCAAGTACAAAATTTTTGGGGATTTATGAAGATCTTGACAACTCTCAGTATCCAACCCCATCCCTCTGGACTTAAACTTCTCTTTTGATTTATCTTTTTAAAGGTATACAGTATAATTGTATTGGTACATTCAGTACTAGTTTGTGACTACAAGCATGGAAGAAATTTTTGATTAATGACAGTTGGAATGAATATCTTAGTCAGAATATGGAATTCTGCTCTTTAGCATATATAACTAAAATACCCATCATGCAACTTCTATATAATTATGTTACATACCCTAGTTTGAAATTAAAAAATTTGGTACAACTCACCTTCTTCATCCCGTCCTAAATTCTTGAAACTCCCGACATAACTCTCTTTTTTAATAAAACAAATAAAACTACCGAGCCCTTATGAGTACGCCAAAAAAAGAAAAAAGGATGGAGGTTTAAAACCCTTCTACAGACCCAGCTGTCAGATCTCTTTGGACGCATGAATATTTCCAAAACAATTCGAAGAAATAGAGAAAGATTGTTTTTTTGTTTTTTAAACCGAAATGTTTACAAATAAGTGCAGTTAACTTTTCACATACAAGAAGTTTAAACTATAATAATTTGGAATTTTACTTCCACAGTATTTTACTATGGATGCAACTATGCCATTATTTTACGTGGAGATATATATGAGTAGTTTACAATTTTATATGTTACATAACTTACAATTATTAAAAGAAATTACACTTGAAATACTACTAAGACCGATCCCGTGAAATGATCTCTTCTCCATTTCTTTCGTAATATAATATACGGTATCATAGTAAAAGGCAAATTGTTTTAAATATAGACAATTCTCTTTTCTATTATTGACCATGAATTACCTTAAACTAAAAGATATGATTAGGTAAAGCGTTGCATAATGATTTCTGTTTTTAAAATCGCAGCCTTTAATAATAAAATTTACAATTTTTCTTTTAAGGTACGAACTTGATTTTAAATGTTTTTACATATATCAGATATCCAACACCTCGTTACAGCTTTTATTTTGGTCAAAAATTTGAGTTTTAAATAGTGAAGGAAGCAAAAGAGAAAAAAAAACTGTATCTCATTGTGGGAATTTAGTGTAATAATCGATGAGGAACCCCTTATTCTTTTGTGTATTTGTATTCGGGGAACGGGTGAGAGGTAGAAATAAAGGGCCCACTTTTGTCTCTCGTCTTCTTTGCTACGACAATTTCATTAAATATATTGCGTCTTATTTTGGTTTCTCTTCCTCCGCGAAAGTCTTCTCACACATTAATGTTCTCCAGAGATATAACCGCAGATATCCCGAATTATGTGACTTTCTTTTACCGAAACAAATCTTAACTCTAATCTGTTATATTCTTCAATATGTTAATTTCTTTTTTCTTTCAAAATTTTTTGTGTTGCTGTATTATAGTGGAGACCGGAGAGATGGAAACAGGAAAAATCGAAAATCATAAATTTTTTTGATGAACATCAATAATAATTATTGATCACAAAAGTGAAAAAGACAGGTTGTTCTCTTTCAACATACATATTTGTAGTTTAATTTGTGTCTGCGCTTATTTGACAATATTTGTTAACATGCATATTGTTTTAACTCTGCAAGTGGGAGACTATAATAATATCTTACTCCTTTTCTCAATTAACCCACGCCCTTTTTCTTTTTCTTCCCCGTCCTCCTCTATTTTGTTGAATCCAAATGTTTTTTACAAAGTAATATCATAACATGCTGCAGGTATCCAAGTTATTGTTAAGAAAACTCAAAATAATTACAACGAGCGAGATATATGAATGTGCATTAGAATAGGATTCCTGTTCATTTCTTCAACTATTTGAATAATAATATTAATAGTGTTAGAAACGGCCCCTCCTTTTTTATCTTTCTTTCTCTTCTAATCTACTAAAAGCCGTAAGGAAACAAAATAACCATCTCCTAGCTTACTTGTTCTGTTCGACTTAGTTACTCTTCTCTTATTACTATCAGGAACAAGAAAAGATAACATTTATACGGCAAAAATTTACATTGAGAGTAGGATAAAATAAAATATAAGTGATTTTGAGATGAAATATTAATCTACGTTGTTTTCTTAAAAAAGAAAATAATATAATAATGTCTTGATCATCGATAATGTATCACCAGCATCGGCATTTAAGGAAGGGATGGGGGAATTTCTCTCCGTTCTTTCTGATAAACTTCTTCAGTTTCTTGAATGTATACATTCTATTGTATTTTAGAACATTTTATTGCTATTCTTGCTCATAGCTTTGTAATTCAAGAACTAACATAACATTGAAGGGAGACATATGTGTCTGTGCTTGTGTTTTCTTGTTCCACAGCAATGATGGTGATGGCCTAAATGTATGCATAGTTACCAGTCCAACTTATTGTTATTGGTAATTTTCTGTTGTCCTTCAAGCGTAAATGAAAAAAAAAAAAAAATTATAGAAATATTCATGCATCATCACAAAACACAAGAAACGAGTGTAGACCTAACATGCATGTTCCTTTCCAATGCTATTTACTCCTATATTTTATTAATATTAAATTTTATAATTATTATTCTTCGCTCTTCTTTACTCTCTGCGATTTTCTATGTGTAGCCTGCAGTCAATTGCACATTGCACTGCACCGCATTGTTTCTTATTGTTATTTCAAATTTCCTCTTAAACTGCGCTTTTTAATATAGGTACTGCATATTTAATTACACAGCAATTATTAGTAAATTTTTTTTCAATATCAATTGATACAAAATTTCAGTATCTATTTAGTATATTGTTCATCTCCTATATTATCTTTTTAATAATTTTAATATTTCTTTTGGATTATGACATCCTTATGCAGGCCTCTCTTTCTACTTTAATATTTATCAAGAGAAAAAATAAATAGATCTAAGTAAAAATTGGCAGTTGTCTGTCTCTTTCCTGTAGGATAACGAATTAGTAAATTATCTTCTCTTTCTTTCATCAGTTGACTTTGCATTTTGATCTTTTTCTTTTTCCTTTCCCTCTTTTCATCAACTATATAACATCGAGGTTAAGTTACAGTTTGTAATATAATATTTCTTCAATTTGGACCCTTTTCGCTTTTTCATTGATTAACTGATGCCATCTATACTTAATATCATAATACCTTTATAATTTTTATTTATTTTCAGTATTTTCTTCTCTTTCTTGGACTTGCTAAGATCTTTGACGATAAATTAAAAAAATATCGAACTAATATACCACTGTTCGTTTTAATTATCTTCTTTTTCATAACTTCGATTGAAAGGAAAAAGGGTTAACATATTTCCTAAATAACGATCCACAAGAACGAAAACACTACTTTTTTTTCTGTATATGCTCAAATAAGATCAATAATATATAGAACCACATTTTATTAGTTTTTTTTTTTTTATCAATTATACTGAACACTTCTCATTCATTTTTATTTTTTTTAATTAATCAAGTATCCAGATTATACATTCATAATGCAGGCCAATCCTTCTAATTTACATATGGCAAATGTCTTACCAAATCCTGCATTTGTACAACCTATCATGCAATTGCCATACAATGGTAGCATGCCACCAATGAATACAACATCAGCACCAAATGTACTCCCCAGTAACATGTCTAATGCTCCACCACATGCAAATATTATTGTTCAAGAGTTCTCCCATGAGACAACGAGGAAATCTTCCGTATCATCTTCATCTAATAATAAAATTCTGACAAAGAACCCATCTTCTTGGGATCCGATGGATGATTTGTTATTACGTCATTTAAAAGAAATTCAAAAGATGGGTTGGAAAGAAATTTCCCAATACTTTGATAATAGAACACCAAATGCTTGCCAGTTTAGATGGAGAAGACTAAAATCTGGTAATTTAAAATCAAATAGAACTGCATTGATTGATGTAACTGAATTCCCTGGCAAAATTGAAATTAAAAATAAAGCTGCATTTAATAATGTATCAACCGGGAGAAAAAGATCTACAACTAAGACCAAGAAGAACAAATCATCTACACCAGCTACGACTACTACTAATACAAGTTCCACTGAAAATCAAGTTGAAACTCAACCAAATACAAATGTTCCTCATAATATGCAAAATATCCTGAATGGTAATAATGCAACCACGATTTTAAGTAAACCAATTACATCTGCAAATAGTAGTGACAGCTCCGGTAGCACTTCTCCAAAGGGCACTAGCAGTATAAGCAGGGAATCTAACACTTTTCAACAGGTGCCACCAAGTATACTAAATCTAACGGCTGAACCACATATTTCTTCAAATAATGAAACAGGTATTATGAGGAATGGTGGTATTGCTATCGCAAACCCAAACTTACCGGTAACTAAAATTCCATCCGCCCCTATCAGTTCATTCGTAGACAAATTTGCGAAACCAAGATCCTATTCATGCACTCCGCTGCCATTGGCAAGACCAGCACAGCAAATACATGTATTACCAGTCTCTGATAGTCAAGGAAAACAATTACCATTACCTCAACTACAACCATTACAGGCATCACATATAGATAAAGAGAATGTTGGTTTCATCCCAAAAGTGTTTGTGAAATCAAGAAGAAGCTCTTCAATCGTACCTATTGCTCACGGAATGGGTACACCTACCTCCCCACAATCCTTGACACCATCTTCATCGCATACAGATATATCTGCAGCCTTAAATACTACATTAAATTCTTCGAAGTCAAGAAAGAACTCATTCACGAGCTGGTCATCAAGAAGATCTTCTTTCAATGTATCATTAAGTAACGGTACCTCTAGAAGGTCATCAATGGTTATCCCACCAAACTCTGCTTCTACAATAATGGGAAGTAGTTTAAGTAATCAAGTTGCTCACTTATCAAAGGAAAGAAGAGAATCTATCATTAAGAAAGAGTTCATAACCCACCATCAAAATAGACAAAATTCATTCCAAGAAAACCCAGGAAATCATAATGTTATTTTCCCTCAACAATACACTTTTTCCGATATTCCTGCACCTTCATCTGGTGTTCAATACAATAATAAGTTGTCTGGTGCACCTAAGTATGCCCCCAAAAATTTAGAACAAGTTGCTCAGCTTAGATCCATATCTAATCTATCCAATTATTCAACTCTTTCTGGTTCCTCAATAGAGCATACTTCTGGTAAGAGAGGATTGTATAACCCATGGACTGAAGAAGAGGAACAATTATTAATGGACAGTCGTTCCAAGAATTTGTCTGTAGTAGAACTTTCAATATTACTACCAAACAGAACTAAAGAAGATATTGAATTACGTTTAAATGCTCTATCACCAAATTCTCTTTCAAATCCACTTTCTCCAAGAAAGCCCTTATCAGTGAATCAATTAGCAATGCAAGATGAAGAAGTGGATCCGTTACACAATCATGGCTCAATAGTTCGTCCAGAGTCGTTATCATCTTCCTCTTCTTCTTCAGTATCTAAGGATACTACACCTGTAGGAGATAGTAATGACGATTCTATATCTACTACACCATCTAGTTCCACTAGTGTTACAGCTAGTAGGACAGGTCATAAAAACCTATTAAACAACAAGATCTCTTACAAAAATGTAATGGATATGGGAAATCTACCTCCTCATTGCGAAGGTATGATCACACAACAAGATTACGCTGCAAATAGCGCAAGCAACCAACGGTCAAACTCGAACGCACAATTACCTAGTATTTCTTCGATCTTCAAGACAATGATTTAATGTAAACAATATAACATATTAATGGCAAGAATAACTAAAATGATATAGTTATTTTAATGTAATTTTTTCTTTCAAGTATATATATTCAAGTATGTATAAAGTAACAAAACATTCAAATTTATTTCGTCTCTGTTTCGTCTCTTAAAGTCAAAACTAATGTTAACAATAACGATATCTATTATGACTGCTCTATTTGAAGAACAATCAAAACCATCTAATTACTAGCTAGTGTATTCTCTGTGAATTACCAAATTTTTTTCATACGCCAAATAGTTATATTTTTACCACTTATAATAAAAGAGTAACCATTGACGCGTCTTCATGCTCTGGCTCTGGCTCTGGCTCTGCTCTTGCTCGTACATTATGACAATACTCTGTGCACCGCGTAAAATTTATGTCTCGCTGGCAACAAATTTTTCACCACTCATTTTTTTTCCTTTCTATTTTCCTTTCGCGGTCTTTCTTTTCAGTAAAGGGCGAGGGCAGCAACGACAAACGTTGTTCGTTCTGAATAAACCAAAGGTTTGGAAAGTTTCAAGATACGTGTCACACATACGAACTGCATAGAGTAGAATATGTATATCAACATTTATATAAACCGCGTAAGCAACCAATTTCGTGTATTGTAACATTGATTAACTTTTATCTTGTCCTTTAATTTTTCTTTCTATCTATTATTTTTGCTTCCTTTAATATAATCGATTGTTTCAACGAACAGAACATTTGTACATTGCCATATTGAATTTCCCTTTATAAAGAGATCATTCTGTTTTGACTTTTTATTTCTGCATAGCATTCCAGTCGGTAAATATACTTATAACCCTCACATACACACATATAATTAGATAAAGATGTCCTCAGTTCCTCCAGGTGGTCAACGTACATTACAAAAAAGAAGACAAGCTAAGACTAACAAAGATAAGCAATTGAACCAAACCCCAACTTCTGCAAGAGCTGCTGGTGTCGATGGTTCTTCCAATTCCATTTTAAAGATCTACACTGATGAAGCTAATGGTCTAAGAGTTGATCCATTGGTTGTTCTATTCCTTGCTGTCGGTTTTATTTTCTCTGTCGTTGCTCTACATGTTTTGACTAAGATTACTGGTAAGATCTTTTAAAGTAGGAAAGTAAAACAAAATATTTGTTTGTTTTCTTTTTTTTTGCTTCTTTTATCAAACCATTTTCTAATGAAATATTGATATGATTACTTTTATTTTTGAAAGTAATCATTCAAAAAATACACGTAAATGTTGTGAAATTATAAACTTCATTCATAAAGTTAGTTTTAGTTTCTTAATACAACAAACACCCCCCTCAACCCCAACATCCATACATATATTACATAAACTTTCAATGCAATAGCAATATTAATAGTAACATTACAGTTGAAGAACCTATCTTTACTTAATCTTTTTATTTTATTTTAGGTCAATTTACAAATTGTCTGTTTATATATACATATGAACATAATTGTGATGCGACGTTTGATGCTCATCAATTCATACTATAGATCATGTTTTTTTTAGTATTTTGAGTTCTTCCAACCATAAAACTATCATTATATATAAGTATTAGATCATATATATTTATGTTTTGTCTCTGACTTGATATGTTCTTAATTAATAAGAGAAAGAAATCAAAAGCAGAAAGAGAGATTAGTTTTGAATGATAATGTTTCCTTCTAATTGAAATTTGTTACCTATATAAAAAAAAATATGAATCTAACAAAAACATTTACTTGCTTATTGCATAATGTAAACTAACGATAACTTTTTTTCTATTTGCAAAGTTAATCGCAAGTGTATTTTGATGTGCCATCCTTGGCTTCCCTATTGTTTAATATTCTCGCCTTCAATAATATCTGTGTATATGTATATTAAAAAAAGTAGTGGAATTATTATAATTGTAATGTACATTGATTTATGTGGATTGTAATTGATTTTCCAAAATATAAAGCTTAAAAAAAAAAATTAGCGTGTTATTTTTTAAAACATTTAATATTTCAAAAACTTTTGATAAACCATATTATCAGTTTCATCACAATATGTGTAACCTAAATCTTCCAAGAATTTTTGGAAAGTAAGGTTTTCTCTTGGTGGAACGGAGATACCAGCTAATACCTTACCGATATCAGCACCATGGTTTCTGTAATGGAATAAAGTTAAATTCCAAGATTCACTTAAACCAGATAAAAATTTAGTTAAAGCACCTGGTCTTTCTGGGAATTCGAATGAAATAACTTTTTCGTTTGGAACTTTAGAAGCACCACCAACAAGGTATCTACCATGTGATTTAGCCATTTCATTATCGGAGATATCAACAGCTTCGAATCCTAGAGCATGCAATTGTTGCATAACTTGTTTAATTTCCTTTTCACGGTCAACAACGCTAAAGGAAGTATAGATACATGCCTTTGGAACATCACTAGTAGATTCATGACGATGTTCGTTGTAACGGTAAGAAAATTCGGTAACAGATCTTGGATGAATAACTTTTTGTAATTTCTTGAAAGAACCTGGAATATCTGGTATAGTAACTAATAAGAAGACTTCTTTACCTTCACCAAGAACAGCTCTCTCAGAGACAAATCTTAATCTATCAAAGTTCATGTTAGCACCAGATAAGATAGGAACATAAGTATGCTTTGAGTGATCAATCTCTGGATGTAGAGTGTTAATATATTTCTTCATACCAGCAACGGAAAGAGCACCCGATGGTTCAACAATACTTCTAGTGTCTTCAAAGATATCCTTAATTGCAGCACAGATTTCATCAGTATTAACAAGGACGACTTCATCGACTACTTCTTGACAGACTCTAAAGGTTTCTTCACCAATTAAACGAACAGATGTACCATCAGCAAAACTACCGACTTGAGGTAAAGAGGTTCTCTTATTAGATTGTAAAGAGGTGTGTAAAGTGGCAGCATCAAAGGTTTCAACACCAATAATCTTAATATGTGGAGCAATACGTTTCAAATAAGCACCAACACCGGCAATGAAACCACCACCACCAACTGGAACAAATACTGCACCAATCTTGTTAGCGTTTTGAACTTGTCTTAAGATTTCCATGGCCACAGTACCTTGACCAGCAATAACATAAGGATGATCGAATGGTGGGATATTAGTTAGACCACGTTCTTTGGCAAGTTTAGCACATTCAGTCTTAGCTTCATCAAAATCATTACCATATAGAACAACTTGGGAACCTAAACGAGATACATTTTGGTATTTAATAGATGGTGTAGAGACAGGCATAACAATGGTAGCAGGAATGTTTAAATGTTTAGCTGCAAATGCAACACCTTGGGCATGATTACCAGCAGAACAAGCAATGACACCTTGGGCCTTTTCAGAATCATCTAATTTAGCAATCATATTATAAGCACCACGTAATTTAAATGAAAACACTGGTAAAAGATCTTCTCTTTTTAATTGAACGTTAGTGTTTAAACGAGATGATAAACCGACACCTTGACTCATAGGAGACTCATTGATAACATCATATACAGATGACCGTAACACTAGACGAACATAGTCTGGAGTACCATCAGTTCTTAACTCATCTAACTTCAATTCAGAATGAAGCTTTGCTATAGAAGGTGATATATTTTGATGGAGTTTAGCTGTCAGTTGGAAATTCAATGATTTTGTCAGTAAACTTTTATTGGAAGTCCGTAGCAATTGCTCGAATCTTAGTGGACTGAGCATCAGTTTAGTCCCAGACATTTTTTATTTTGTTTTACTTCTATTATTACTGATATAATGGAATAGTAGACCAAACAGTTACTGATATATAAAACTATTAATGCGAGGAAATAAAAACCAAGTTAAGAATAAGAAACAGTATCAGAGTCCCTTTCTTTATTTTACTGGTAATTAAAAGACGGTTATATAATACCAGCTGCCTAAAAAGAAAGAAAAAATGATTCAATCAGTCATAACAGAAAGTGAAAAAAAAAAATGGCATTAGCAGATTGATGAAATAATATTAAACCTTCCGACTTCCGCAACCAGAAGAGACGAAATTTTTAATTTTTATCCTGTAACGGGAATTGAATTGATTGTCTTGTCTGTGCAGAAAATTGAAATGATTTATTTTGCTACGAATTGTCGTAGGAAGGAAGAAAACTTGAATTTATCAAGTCACATGAGCTGGAAAACTAAAATTTCTATTATAGTCACCGAAAATGCTTCGATTATATTGTGACACAAATTAATAATACAGACTAATTTATTAAAGTATAAGGTACTTTTTAATTGGTAACGCTAGTACGGTTGTGTATTAAAATTTTTATTAAACTTATGAGATTATTACAAATTTCAAGAATAATAAATGGCCGAAAATTGCGAATTATTTAAAAGGTGGACTTCTGGTCAACCATGGTTTGTTTTAATTAAAGTTTGGGTCTACAACAGTTTTGCGTCCTGTTTGGATCCAGAATTATTATTGACATTAAATTCCGGCAATAGTTCTGCCACGGTGTTTGATGGTTGTGAGATAAACCCACCTAATATTTCTCGTATTTTACAAGAGGTTAGAATGATGGAGTTAGCAGACTTGAAGATCAATATATTATACCAAAGAAGAGAACTTAACATACTTCGAGAGGACTTACAACTGTTGAAAAATGAACTTCTTGCTCAAGAGAAAGTTGAAAATAATAAAAGAAAAATTGTAAAAATTTCAGATTATTCTTTAGAAGACATATTTATGGATGACGACAGTTTTTGTTCTACAGCTACTGGATATTTTTCGACAGTATCTGCTAATGAAAAAAATAATATTAATAGTAATAAAATTAATAATGGTGTCTCAGGGAATAAATTAATTGATAATATTGGGCTTAACCTTAAAATAATTCAAAAATAATGGTAAATCAAAAAAAAAAAATTTATAATTTTACACTTTTGTAAGAATTCCATATTTTTCGGGACTAGTCCTTTGAATTACTGATTTTATTTAATAATAATATCAGAAAAAAAATAATTTTAAAAGTTAAGAATAATATTTGTATTACATTTTAATACATTTGTAATTAACTATATATATGAATATATGAAAAACGTGAGCACATATATATGTCTACATATGTACTTTAATTTTAATTATTATTATTATTATTATCGTCTTCGAATATTATTTATCATTAATCGTTAAATTTAATCGCTATGATCTTCATGTTCGATATGTTTTTGTTCCAATGGATCAATCTTAAAAATCTTATCTGGATTCATAATTCTCTTTGGATCAATGGCAATCTTAATCTTTCTCATCAAATCAATAGTAGTTTGACCTAACTCTTCTTGAAGGAAATCTCTCTTACCAATACCAACACCATGCTCACCAGTGCAGGTACCTTCTGCCTCTAAAGCACGTTTAACCATTCTTTCAACTAAAGTAGCACATTGCTTATATTCGGTTTGATTACGGTAAATCAAGAATGCATGGAAATTACCATCACCAGCATGCCCAACAATAGCATTAATTAGATCTGTTTTAGCCATATCCTTTTTCGTATCATCAATAACCTTTGAGAAATTAGATAGTGGAACAGCAACATCCGTGGTCCAAACCTTAGCCTCTGGGTTACCCTTTTGGCCTGCATCTAAGACAGACCACAATGCAACCTTTCTAGCTTCCCACAATTCTAATTTATCTTCATCAGATTTAGCGTATTCAAATTTCTTAGTACCGTGTTTTTTGGCGATAGTCTTTAATTGTTTTAATAATTCATCAGTAATAACAGAAGAATTACCACCGACTTTGAAAAATAATGTTGGAGATTCCATCCAATCGGATCTTGGAGTCATACCATTTTCATTAACCAATTTCATCATATTATCATCCAATAATTCCATTGCATTTAATTGAATACCACTTTGAATAACTTCACTTGAACAAGCAGCTGCTTCCTTTATATTTGGGAAAGAAGCAACAACAACAGTTTCAATCTTTGGTAAAACATGAGCCTTTACAGTGACCTCGGTCACAATACCTAAAGTACCTTCACTACCAGTGAAAATACCATTCAAATTATAACCGGCACTAGATTTTCTAGGTCTCTTTCTTGTCTTAATGACTTGACCATCTGGTAGAACAATAGTTAAATTAACTACATTTTCCTTCATTGTACCATATCTGTAAGCATTTGTACCAGAACATGAATTTGCAACACAACCACCTAATTGAGCACCTGGACCTGGATCACAACCAAACTTGTAACCTTTTTCGTTTAAGTAATCGTTTAAATCTTCCCAAGGTAAACCTGCTTGAACAGTAATATCTTGGTCCAGTTCATGGAAGGCAACAATGTTGTTCATATATTTTGACATGTCAATAGAAATACATGGTGATCTAGTTGGTAAGAAATGTCCTTCTAAAGAAGTACCACCAGAGAATGGAACAATTGGTACGTTATAATGATTACATAATTTAACAATCTGAGAGACTTCTTCGGTATTACGTGGGAATACAATCAATTTTGGTCTTTGATTCTTAGTGGCATGATGAGTATTAAATTCAGTATCAGAATGAGCAGTTAAATCATTTGGATAATCTGAATAGTTATCAGAATTATTTTTCAACAATACTTTCAATTTAGTACATAATTCAGCAATTTGATCTTCATCAGTATTATATTGAGGCGAATCAAGTTCATCTAAAGGTAAAGTTGAACCTTGAATAATGAATTTTTCATCTCTAAACATGTAACTGACTGGATCAGATTTTAATTTATCTACATCAGAAACCATATAACCAATACCACCAGCAATAGTAGATATCAAGAAATATTGAAACCATTTTGGAGCAAAAGTTCTTTCATTTTTAGATAAATCTGGATCGTTATTTGTTGATTTCGAACCAGTTGAATAAAATTTACGTCCTGAATTTTGCATATATTTAACAAAATTTGGATTAATTTTTTGAATGGAACTCCTTTTAACGGAATTCAACATTATAACTTTTGAGGTAACTGTCACTTTTGGTGTGATAAGCCTTAACATATTTGTTTACTTTAAGTTTTCAAAGAAGGGACTGTTCATGCAAACAGATGTTATTAGTTAATAGCGAATCTTGAAAGTGAAAAATCTAAGAAACAGCAAAAAAAATAAAAGGTCGATCTAGTACAAACAAAAATAAATAAACCGATAATTAAAAACAAACAAGAAATATGGATGTTAATTCCCCATATATATATATATAAATATATATATAATTATGATTTTATTACTTTTATGAAAGTTGACACTGAAATATTTCATCTATCTTGTTATTAATTGTAGAAAGGTGGGAGTGCCCTTGTTATTAAAAAATATTCAAATTACGGAGAAAAGACAGTACGAAACCTCATCTCATCATCCCCCTCCCAGATAAAAAATAAATAAATAAATAATCGAGAATAGAACACATTATATTCTACGTCAAGTTGTAGTCTCTTTGAAGTAGACTCATTTTTTTTTTTGGAAAAAACAGTGGAAGAATTTTAGTAGGGGGTGGAAGGATGAGGAAGTAAGGATGAACAGGGGGGACAGCGAAGGGAAAGTTAATGGTCCGACCCGGAAAACAAATATAAAGTAATCTGAACTTATTGAGACGGGACAGCAGGATTTACTTCGCTGTTCGTACTACCAGAGCGACTTATATCTTATAGTTTGTTCTTTTACAGTCTTAGCTAAACATTACATGAATGAAGATGACTACTTGTATGTGTGGGATAATAGTAACTTATGAGTGTATTTGACTTCTTTAAGCTTTTATTTAAGGTAAAGTACACCTTGAATGGATAGGTAGATTATATCATCGAGCTTTTAAAAACTCGATTCTGATTGGTAGAAATCTTAAATATTATCAAGCAAATGAAAAGTGGGATATCATAGTCGCTGTCTTATTTCATAACGCAATTATAATAAACTCGAGCTATATGGTGCTTCACTGCCTGAGCCTTTTTTTGTCTCTTTGCTCTTAAACAGAACAAAAGAAAGAGACAGCTACTCATGTTCTTCAATAACAAAAAAATATTTATTGTGTAAAATGTGGAAAATGATTTAGACATAAGGGTCTTTTCTTTCTCCTATTATTATCTGTAAATCGAGTTGTTCAAGAGAACGAATAACAATAGGGAAATAATAATAAAAGGATCATCGCCCCCCACGTCAAATTGACGAATAATACTGAAATTAAATTATTTGTATCTTGATCGTATTATGTATGCGTATCCCACGCATATATCGCTTTTCTTCTTTATTATTATTATTATTATTATTATTATTATTGTGATATTATGATGTAACAGAGAAAAAAAACATGTTTGAAGTTAAAATTAGGTCCGAAATATGCGTGGGATATAATAATTTAAAAACGTGGGATATTAACATGTTAAAAGAGAGAGAGAGATACACACACACAAACACTGATACTTTAGTATCTTAGCTTCAATAGTTGAAGTCGATGACATCTTTGTATTAAATATCAAGAAATACACCTTGAAAATAAAATAATGTTATTAAGACAAGTGCAACAAATCCATCATAAGAATGTAAAACTTGAAACCGGGCAATTGAAAAAAACATAACCCATCATTAGTTAACCGCTCTATGGGATTCGAACAATTACAAATAAAATTCTTTCAAGTTTACTACCAATAACAATTTCTATACTTCCTTTGACATTTGACAAAACAAATTATGTCATTTCATATTTTACTTGTAGCGGTAAACCTTGATACCGTAACCGACCTTATATATTACTTTCTTGACCTCAAGAATATTTTCTTTTATGAAATATAGACAAACATTATCTTCTCGTCTTACCATCATAAAATGGTTATTACACATGGCGAATAAAGAACCCTTTAATATTACATTGTATATAACTTAAAATACAACTCAGTATTCTTTTGTTTTCTTAAAATTTTACGTTAAAGACAAAGATATATAATATAAATTATCCGTTTCATCTGAAATTTCACTTGCCTCTCTCTCACTGACTAAATTAAAGTACCATATCAAAATCATTTAAATAATGCCGCTCTCTCTTTATTTTTTTCTAATATTTGGGCGGTACTATAAAAAACAAAACAAAATTGAAAAATTCCACGTAAATTTTTATTTTTATCATCGCCGCACGCTAAAAATTCTTGTTTCTTCACCGGAAACAATGCCATCCATACAATAAATGAAATGATGCCTTAGTTGATATATGTACATATGTAACACTGCTAAGACTTTATTATACCTATGTACTTACCAGTATGTAAATTTTCCCTTGAATTGTACAATGTAGCAAAAAGGGAAAAATTGAAACAAGTTTACATAACAATTATCGATTCTTGCGACATATCACTTAAAAAAACAACAAAGAGAGAGTTGTTCCTCCTAAATGGGTAACGACAATTTCAATCTCTCATAAACATGATTATGTTTCTAAATGCATCATTATTACGATCGAGTTATGGCAATAACCAAACTTACCGATATAAAGTACCTTATTAGCAGAAGAGAAGAACACAACTCTCTGTGACTTTTGAATACGAACTTTAGCACTATATCTAACACACTACTACACACTACTCCTTATAATTTAATATTTTTAAGAAAAGAAAAGACAAGTTTAACGTTAGGGAAATTCTCAATTGAGAGTCTCACCCTCAATGATTGAAATACATATGTATATGACTTTACAGGGAGTAAATATTTCCATTACTCAAATAATTGAAGTAATGTATTTCTCAATATATATATATATATATGTGAAAAAATGACAGACAAACACGGCAACCGAATAATATCGTTTTTCACATTTAAACAGAAAACCAAATATAAGGGTTCACCAGGGAATGAATTCTTTCCAAATATTTTAAAACAAACATAAATCCAAGTGTCTAATGAAGCCTCACACAAGATAAAAATTAAACTGTTGAAATACTTTTATTATATATATAAATCAGACTGTATTTAACATTTTCAATGACTCTTAATTTCTGACACCCCACGTGCCAGCTTCTTGCCACTTTAACAGCAATCTACCCCTCTGCCCCACCGTTCATCCTTCAATTGTTTTTTTTAAATGTATACATATATGAAATGCACACAAAGCAGTTAGCTCCTTCCTTACTTAAGACAGTAATTGAGAGTTCGATGGATGACCCTATTCAACTGTGTCTTCTTGGTATTGTCTCCTCCACTCCATGAACTTTTCTAAAGCGATTTCCCAGTCTTCTCCCTCCTCCCCGCAGAAATTAAATTTCATGTTGAAAGAGAGAAGACTTCTTTGAACGGATCCGCACAAAAGAAAAATCGTCATTCATTTTTTTTTTCGTCAGAAATGCGAAAAAAAATTGTGTGTGTGTGAATGAGTAATAACGCTAAGCAAAAATACGGCTACGAAAAATTGTCTTGAGCGCGCGCGCTGACACTTTTTGCCCGTTCACAGTGAAAAAGACGGGTGTTTCTAGCTATGGCCCTCAATTTCAACATAGTATAATACATATATTACACACATATATAATAAAGGTCATCATTTTTTTTTCGTTTTTTTTTTCGGTTCCGCATGCTTTGTCATTCCTTTTTTTCTTTCTTTCTTTTTCAACGAAACAGAGTAATAAACGTGTGATATATGTGGGCATTTTTAACCCCTCCATTCTCTTATTAAAGGATTAAGCCAAGCAAATTAATATTGGATAAAATTTCTTGAATTTCATATATATATATATACACATTTGAATATTTTTGACCTTTAACAGCTTTTCAATATTTTGACCTATTTATCAACCTATGTTTTAATGTTTATATTTTAAAACCTGCACACACACACACAAACACACATTCACATAGAACAGATAAATTTATCTACAATTAATTTTGCAGTAATGCCAACACAATTTAAAATATCAACCGGTAGAGGTGGGGCCGGTAATATACGGTCATCAAATTCGAAAGTTTCACCAAATTATATTAAACAAGGTTCACAAACACCAAATATTATACAACCAATTTATAGTACGGGACGTGGTGGAGCAGGAAATATGATGAAAAATTATGATCCAAAATTAACAAGAAGAGCACAAGATGTTGATGAAGATACAATTTCAAATATGAATGATATTGAAGAACAAATTGAAATAAGAAATGAAATTGAAAATATTAATTCAAATCAAAGTAATATAAACCATAGTAATGATGACGATTTTATTAATCCAATTATTTCAACAACAGAAAATTATATTACTAATACAATTTCAAACGTTTTATCACATATTTCATCATCTGGTGAAAAATTATCGCAAAAGACTAATGATTCTGATATAATTAAACCATCAAAGAGTAAAATACGAGTACAACACAAAAAAATTAAAAAACAAACACCAATTATTATTGGTAGAGGTGGTGCAGGTAATATTGTTTCACCATCATCATCCTCAAAATCTGGTTCATCTCATTCAAAATTAAATATTACAAAATCAAAACATAGTAATAAATCTAATAATACAACAACAATTCAATCATCAACTAATAATAATATTCAAAAGAAGAAAAAAAAATCATTCATGTCTTCAATATTTGGTATATTTGCATAATTTACTACTACATCCGTTATTTTTTATTTTTTTAAATTAATAAAATAACAAATCATCATACAGAGAATTAATTACTACAACTATTACTTTTGTTGTTATTGTTTAATTTAAAATCTGTGACCATTTTAACATTCAAATTTAATATACATTCATATTCATATCCATAACTTTCATAATAATAAAATTAATATTATTTTTTCGTCATTACATCAATAGCGAATATATATATGTATATATATATTTATATATTATTGTACTAATGATCTAATATATAAATTTTCTGGTGTATCAGAATCAATTTCAATTTCATCAACTATAGTCGTTAATGTTGTACCATTTTGTGATTCATAGGTCAAACTTATACAATTCTCTGATTTACGTCTCACTCTTCCATACTTATAAAGATAGTCATTCTTATTAACGTTAGACATGTCATCCTCATCATCGTTATCTCTATTTTCATTTGCAAGTGAATCATATTCGACTCTGTAGTTTTGTTGATATTGATTAGCAAAAAGATCTTGATTCCACATAAACCCCTGTGATTGTGATACTGTCACACAATATCTCTTTACATGATATGCCCCTGATTCCAAATTATAACTTCTATGTAACATATTATCATTGGTTAATGAATATACTATTGGTTTTTCACTGTTTAACATTGTTGAAGAAAGACAAACTTTCCTTGTATTAACTATCTTATTCTCGTGACGCATGTTTATAATTTCTCTTATACTCTCTTTCTTCCTTGCTTACTTCTTGAAGAGACAGTATCAATAACAACTTGAGAATCAAGTATTTATATACATATACAAACAAAATATTTATAAACAAAAATAGTTCCTGATTTACTGTCAAAACAATATCTTAGATTAGGGGTCTTGCTCCTCTTTATCTTTTTTTGAAGGTGAGGAGAGACAGGGACCTTTAAAGTAAACGTGCGGCGGTATTAAAGATATAGTGATTCATTTTTTTCCCTCTGTCTGTCTGTCTGTGTTTTTTGTTTGTGTGACGGATGTACTATTAAATATATACTGCAACACATTTGAATCTATATTAAGAATATAGACAGATATATATCCACGTTTCACATTTATTTCTACGTATATTAAATATTTCTTTTAAAAAAACAACTGTATCCTATATTCTTGGAGAGACTATATTGTAACTCTGTTCAACCTTCCATCTCTTAGTGTTGCTCAAAAAGTAAACCGTCTCAACTGTTATTCTTATTGAAATTAATTATTAAGCCTATATTTGAAAAGAAGTAATAACACATTTAGAGAACAACTATCAATTGTTGTTAGTATAACTGAGTAATTATAGTATTCATTATAGGCATTCTCTAACATTAGAATGTTATGAAAACTGAGCGCGTTGTTTTAATACATTGAATATTAAATATTGTTACTCATTTTGTTTGCTTAAGAAGACTGCGGGTGGATTACCATAAAATTAAAAGAGATCTAGTTTGACAGTAAACGCGAAAGTGCATAGTAAATAAAAAAAAATAAAGATAATACACGATTTTTCAAATTAATAAAAGTTTGAATCTATGGATATAATTGTTATTAGATACCGAGTATACTAGTATTGTCCACTTCTCTCTCTTGTAGATTACCATACGCTCATAGTAGTATTGACGAGGATCCCTTTCTAATCTTTTTTTTTTTTGTTTGAGTTAATAATATTTACAGTCTCGAGTTTATGTTCAGATTGACAATTCAAACTTTTTCAATACAACATAGATCATCACTACATCGAATACTATTTCAAAACAACAATATCCTTCCATCATCAATAAAATCACCTATCAAAAATATAATAATGTCTAATAACGGTAAGAAACAAGCTACATTAGCTCGTTTTTTCACTTCAATTAAGAAATCAGAAAAACCGACTTTAGATAAACAAGTTAATCAGGAACCCATTGAAAAATCAAATGCAAGAGTATCTGAAACAACAAATAATTCTCCTGTTAAGAAACCAAAAATTGAAATTACACCTGAGTCTCAACCAATTGTCTCTCAAGAGAATAAAAAACCCGATGGCCCATTCGTTTCGAAAGTGCCTTATAATGAATTATGTAATTTATTTGAAGAAATTGAAAAGACTTCTTCAAGATTATCTATTATTAAACTTTGTTCTGATTTCTTAATCAAAATAATGAAGGAGGATAAAAGAAATTTAATTCCAGTGACCTATTTATGTATTAATAAATTAGGTCCAGATTATTTGCCAGGGATGGAATTAGGTTTAGGTGAAGGATTATTAATGAAAACAATTAGCGAAGCATGTGGTAAATCATTAGCTCAAGTTAAATTAGAGTATAAAGATACAGGTGATTTAGGTCAAGTGGCAATGACTGCAAGAAGTATTCAACCAACAATGTTCAAACCAAAACCTTTAACAGTTGGTGAAGTATTTCAAAATTTGAAATTAATTGCATCTTCGCAAGGGAAAGATTCCCAAACAAGAAAGATGAAACTGATAAAAAGGATGTTAACGGCATGTGAAGGTGTTGAAGCCAAATTTTTAATTAGATCGTTAGAATCGAAACTTAGAATTGGTTTAGCAGAAAAATCTGTATTGATTTCATTATCCAAGGCTCTCTTAGTTAATGAATATGATCAAAATAAAAACATTGACACTGAACTTATTGAAACAGCAGAACAAAAGATTAGAGATGCCTTTTGTCAAGTTCCAAATTACGAAATCATCATTAATTCATGTTTGGAACATGGTATAATGGAATTAGAGACACATTGTTCATTAAGACCAGGTATCCCATTGAAACCTATGTTGGCTAAACCAACTAAAGCAATTACAGAAGTGTTAGATACTTTCCAAGGTCAACATTTTACTTCCGAATATAAATATGATGGTGAAAGAGCTCAAGTCCATTTGATGCCAGACGGAACAATGAGAATATATTCACGTAATGGTGAAAATATGACTGAAAGGTACCCAGAAATTAATATTCATGATTTCATTAAAGATACTAATGAGACCAAGACCTTAATTTTGGATTGCGAAGCTGTTGCATGGGATAAAGAGCAAGAAAAGATTTTACCTTTTCAAGTATTAAGTACAAGAAAACGTAAAGGTGTTGATATTAAGGATATTAAAGTTAGAGTGTGTCTATTTGCCTTTGATATCTTGTGTCTAAATGATGCTAAATTAATTAATCATACATTAAGAGAAAGAAGAGATATCTTACAAACTGTTACTAAAGTGGTTCCTGGTGAATTCCAATATGCGACAGAACTAACCACCAACAATGTTGAAGAATTACAAAAATTTCTTGATGATTCTGTCAATCATTCTTGTGAAGGTTTAATGGTAAAAATGCTTGATGGCGTGGAATCACACTATGAACCAAGTAAAAGATCTCGAAATTGGTTGAAATTGAAGAAGGATTACTTGGATGGTGTTGGTGATTCTTTAGATCTATGTGTACTAGGTGCCTTCTATGGGAAAGGCAAGCGTACCGGTAAATATGGTGGTTTTCTCCTTGGTTGTTATAATCAAGACACTGGTGAGTTTGAAACTGCTTGCAAGATTGGTACTGGGTTTTCTGATGAATTGTTACAACAATTGTATGATAGATTAAGTCCTACTGTAATTGATGGTCCTAAAGCTACATATGTATTTGATCCTAGTGCAGAACCAGATGTATGGTTTGAACCTACTGTTTTATTCGAAGTACTGACGGCAGATTTATCTCTTTCACCTATCTATAAAGCAGGTAGTGCTACATACGATCGTGGTATCTCATTAAGATTCCCCAGATTCATTCGTTTAAGAGACGATAAGGGTTCTGAGGACGCCACTTCTTCAGAACAAGTGATAGAATTCTACGAAAGTCAAAGTCATATCCAGAATTAAATATAGCATTACGTAAATAGAAAGATCAGAAAAGTCAATAAACCAGACTCTAAGCAACATTATATAATAATAGTTTTATACGCATATTAAAGATACTTCTTTACTCTCAGAATATATGTATTTATTGAATTGGTGAAAACCTGCTGCTGCTGCCAAATTAACTTGTCAAAGGTCCGGAATTGTGTTTCGTTGCTTTGTTTTTCTATGGCAAAATGGGATTGAAATTGTACGCTGAAAAGAACAATGAAAAATGAAAAGAAAAAATACCAGAAAAAAATAAGGAAGGGGAAAAGCAGTAACAAGGAAGGAGAATAATTATTGAGAAATTACCAATTGAACAATCCATGATAAAACATACAGCAAGATATTCTTAATATACAATAGTTGATATTTTAACCTTTAAAATATTAATTTATCTTTAGTTTTCCCAATTAAAACAACTGGAAAGGATTTGCTCAGATACATAGATAGTTCAAATTACATCTCTAATCTGGATACTAGAGAACAACAAAACAATTACGGACTCCGAACATTGCTAAGTTTGTATTTACTATCAATTAGATTTCAATTCGTTAAAGAAAGAAAATCTTAGAGTTATTCTTATTACTATTAATTGCAATGATTGTATCGAGATTATCTTCCATAAATGGACTAAAAACCATATCTTCCTCTGCAAGTGGTGTTAATTTTAGTCAATCGCGTACTATTGTCGGATTTGTGAGAAATGCACTTGGTCTGGAACCACCTCCAAATCCTGATGAACCCCAAGTGGGCAATAGGTTCTTCCCTTGGGAACAATCTCCATCATCTGATTTACGTGAAAGAGCTGCTAGAATTAAGAAACTAGCTAAATGCCCAGTAACTGGGAAAAATATTGAATACACTTGTCCAATATCAGGTATTCCAACTCATCATTCTAAAGAAGCCTGGGAAAAAGATGATAATTACCATAAGAATAAAATTTATGAAAAATTAAAGAAAGTTAATATGTATGAACATGATTTAAGAAGTGGTAGATCATTCCCAGAGTTTAATTTCCCTAATGCTCAGGGGATGGATCGTGCAGTTAATTTACAAAATTGGGATTTATTTTTTTATACAAGAGGATTTTATTCCATGGATACAGAATTCCAATTAGCTACAGTTACTAAAATGTTAAGTTATCCGTTAACAATTGGTTCAATCATGCATGAATTCTCACCTTACTCCTTATATCCTCGTGGCCCAATAACGCTTGAGGGTCTGAAATCTATCGCTGCTCTAAGATATACCCTATATCCTCAACAACATAAGACAGCTACTCCAAGGGATAGACCAACAAGAATCTTTATTCTAGGTGCTCGTGCTGAAAGTCAACTTCCAGGTCATGTTTGGAAACAATTGCAGTATTTGTTCCCTACCCAAAGTTTTGATATTCATTTTATTGGTCCAGAATGTATGATAAACCAGGATAAATTGAATAGTGAAGCTATATCTGTTTCAGGTGGTGAATCAGGTGTATCATCCCCAGATGTCATTCCATCCGGTAAACCATTGACTAAGAAAATTGATGATACTTTATCATTAATTTATCACCCTCAATATTTCCATACATTACATGAAGCCCAAGAGTTTTTCCCATATGATCCATATAATGATATCTTCTTTACTTTCCACCCAGGTTATGCATCTCCTGAGAACCAAGACCTTTGGATGAATGGTACTATGAAGGCTCTTTTGGATACTAAATGTGCCATCTTTACCACTGGTTTTAACAAAACAGATTTATTAAACGACGTTGATATTTTACAAAAGAAATATGGTAAAGAACTTGATATGATGATGGAACCAACCAAGAACTTATTTAGCTCAACCAAGTGGGAACTTAATGACATGAACCCACAAGAAGTTTACCAATTCAATATGTACATCGCTGGTTACAGAGGTAAGAGATACCATGCTGTCAAATATACTTAAACTGGGTACTAAAGGATCTTACTTTTAGGGTGAGATAAAGTAAGAGAGAGAATAGAGAAACTGCAAAGGATGATTCTTTAATATAACAACATGACCATGCGGCCCAATTGTATCTTTCTCTTATGTTACACCTAACTCTATATATATATATATTATTAATATCTTTCATGTAAATAAAGATAAAAGATAAATTTACAAAATTATAATCAAATTGAATCTCAAGAGAGAATGATATACATTAGTGGGATAATAATGGTCTTTAAAAAATAAATGATAGATTTATATATATTTAAATGCAGAGAATACAGAATGAAAATGGAGTTCCCATAGAAATATATTCTATGGTATCATATAGTTATTATTACATAATTGCATTATAAAAGAGTAAGAAGTCTCTTTGGCATTTCTCCCATCTTTGAGGATCGAAAAACACATATGATCCCCTCTCGCTTAGACCATCTTGTGATACTATAGGTTCCATCATTGGATCTTTCGTCAGCCATGCTTTTAATGTTTTATGATATCTCCAATTACGTTTTCTTAATTCTAAGTATGTTAGTTCTTGAATAACTGTTCCCGGATGTTTATAAAATAGATAAAATAATGTTTCATCTTGGAATAAAGCAACACGTTGTTGGTCGGTCTGCACCGAGTCAAAAGATGGTGGTGTGACTTTCGACTGTAAGACTTCTGGAATATCATGGAATGAGCTGGGACTGTAAAATGCAGGTTCTACTTCACTTCTAGATGTTTCAGCCCAAGGTGATTGAAATGTATCTAATACTCTTTGTCTCTTACCTCCTTTTGGAATCCCTAGCGAATATGACATACAAGTTAAATCTGTACCAATAGTCATGGAATGATCAAACTCCTTCGACTCTTCCGTTTGGTTCAGCTCAACTAAGGGAACTAATGCTTTCAAACCGAATTTATCCATGGTTTAAGTAAAATAAATGATAATACAATCTATAGAGTTAATTTGATGCTAGTTGGGGGGAATCAGTTGATAAATTGCTTATTAATGAACGCTTTGTTATACTAATGCTAACCAGCTTCGTTCCTCTCCAGTTTTGACTTACTTTTATTAGAGTTCTTGTGGTATATTCCGTGCATTTTTGTTAAATTTGTTCACTATATACGTTATATACCAATATTTTGTCTTCCGTTTCCCTATCAAGGTCGAGGACAGCGCCGTAATATTAAAATTGAAATTTTTAAATCTATTTCAAACAATTATTTATTAGGCAAAATAGATCATCGATCCATTGCATACATAGACATCTATTGTTTACAACGATATCAAAGTTTAATTACACAATTCTTGGCTGTCTATTTGGATACTGACATTGTTATTAAGTACTACAGACAAAGAATCATTTACATACATACAAAATGGGAGAACTGCGTAGATATAAACCAAATTTATTAATCACCGGTACTCCAGGTTGCGGTAAATCCACCACATGTGAACTACTACAACGTAATCTTCCTGGTTACAAATACTATGATATTTCTAGTTTTGCTAAAGAACATAATTGTTACGATGGTTATGATGAAGGTCGTAAATCACATATCGTCGATGAAGATAAACTGCTCGATGAGTTAGAACCTCTATTAGCTGGTGGTAGTAGCATAATTGACTGGCATGTAAATGATGTATTTCCAGAACGTTTGATAGATCTAGTGGTAGTATTAAGATGTGATAATTCTACGCTGTATGATAGACTAAATAAGCGAGGATATCATGATTCCAAAATTCAAGAAAACTTAGATGCAGAAATTATGGGCGTATTGCTACAGGATGCTATGGACTCCTATGAACAAGAAATTGTAGTTGAATTACAAAGTAATAATACCAAAGAGATGGAGGCCAATGTAGATAGGATAACAGAATGGGAAAAGATGTGGCTGAAACAACATAAGGATGGTGTATCCAGTGAACCACCAAAGCAAAAGCACAAGAAAACAGCTGAATATAGTGATGAGGAAGAAGACGATGAAGAAGAAGAAGAAGAAGAAGAAGCAGAAGAAGAAGCAGAAGAAGAAGAAGAAGCAGAAGATTCGGCTAGTTCTTCCGATGATAATGATGAGGAATAGCCGAATTCATCTGTTAAATCAAATGAAAATATAAAACTTGAATTTTAATTTTGCCTTATGTATCATAACCAAATAAAACATATAAGTTAGGAATAAATATAATTTATTGATGTTTAATGTATTCTTTGCTGCATAAAATACAGTAATAACGTATACTTCCCACATATCTATATTTTTATTCGAACAATGCACCCTTGACTTCCTTAGTCGTAGTCATATTAACATTCATATCATCATTTTCCTGACCCAAGCCAAGCAAACGAAAAAGGACAAATTGGCTCTTCGCGATGAAAAATTTTTCGTTATCCAATGCTAGCAAGTTAACTGAGATTTGCCGTAAGCGATGCGATGACAGATATGAAAATTGTCAGTCTCAATTTTAATATACTAATTTGAAACCTTTCTTAAAGAATACTTAACTTTGCTTTGTAGAGTATATATCATTCTATTACATACCTTATTTCATAAATTAAGTTCAGGATCTGTTGGAAAAGATCTTTACTCTCGTTAAAAATTGAATACTTAAAGAGAGGTCCCTAAGATTTTAGGCTGAGAGTGACACATAGAAAAACCAAAGGAAATACTAAAGAAAATACTCCCGATCTTTAAGTATAGGACTTCTTAAATTACCTCCTCTCAATATGTATTACTTGGTTTTAGAACTAGAGGTCGAACATAAAATCGAGACACCTAAGGACCACTCGAGGGTATCTAAGATCATGTATCAACTAGTCAACGAGGAAGATATGTCATGTGTATTTCCTGGAGATCAGTCCTCAGGCTTACCTTCTATAACAATAGACAATGAGGCCAATGCATTCCAAGATGCCATTAAAAAACTAGATATCGAGATAAATCGAGTGACGAAGGATGATACATTTGTATTATGTTCATTATTTTCAACATGGCATATTAGAGTCACTATTCAACGTGAAGCTCGTGATTTAGATTATCAATTACCTACATATTTAGCCCTCCCAATGATATTTGATTTGAAGAAAGAATATTTGAGATGGATTCAAAATCATAAAGATTTACTACCAAAAGAAGAAGAAAAACAAGAATCAAAAATAGTTAAGGAAGAAGAAGTTACAGACAATGATGATAATGAAAAGGAGGAAAGCGATAAAGATGAGGACAGTGATAGTAATAATGATACACATATTAATGATGGAATTACCCAAAAAGCTGATAAATTGTTGTTACAAATTTTAGAAGTGATGGATATTGAGCATTCAGATGACTCGCCTATGACTATAGATGTAAATGTCTCTACAGAACTTTTGACAAAATTGTATAAAAAATGCAGTTCGGAAACTGATGAACAAAATGTGCTGACACAGCCCTATGCTTCATTATCAGACTATAATCAATTTCTGCATAGAGAATCTACTACAGTGTATATTAACAATTTACCACAAGATACTACACAAAGTGAACTTGAGTCTTGGTTCTCACAATTTGGTTCTAGACCTATTGGATTTTGGACGATAAAGAAAACGACCAGATCTGATGGTGGTTCTGAATCATCAACAGTTTTAAATAATTGTCCTTATGTGGAAGAACCAGATAGTATATCGGGTTTTATCATTTTCCAAACAAATCAAGAGGCAAAAGAGGCACTATTATTGAATGGGAGGTCTGTGCTTTCCAATGTAGCTAATATTAAACAACCAAGGGTTGTTGAGCACGTTGTAGAGATTGAACCTTCGTGTAGTACTGTACTTGCAAAGGCCCATGGTGTATTAGCATCTTTCCCACAGAGTAAAAATAAACCAAGACCTGGTGATTGGACTTGTCCATCGTGTGGATTTTCCAATTTCCAACGTAGAACAGCATGTTTCCGTTGTACATTCCCAATCCCATTAAATCTAATTAGTTCAAAATCACATTACAATAGTGAAAAAATAGGCGGAAGTAGCAATGGTAACAATGGTAATATTAATAATGGGGGTAGTAGTAATAATAATAATAATAACAATAATAATAATGGAACGACAGTAGAGAATATGAATTCCTCTAACTCCAATCTAAGATCCAACGGAACTGTCAATCATTACATTAATCATAACGGACAACAACATGGTAATAATGGATCTAATGTACCATTCCGTGCTGGTGATTGGAAATGTACATCTTGCCAATATCATAATTTCGCTAAGAATGTCATGTGTTTGAGATGTAATAAACCGAAGGTGAGACAGACAAATAGAAATGCAATGAATGTCAATGGGGTACGTATGTGGGAAGCACATGGGAACAATTACTTAAATCAAGAACAAAATCGGTATACTGGTAATTATAATGGGCGTCATCGTGAGGATACGATTAGGACAGGGAAATCAAGATAATTTTCTTAAGGTTTTTTGTTTATTTATTTGTTTTTTTCATATACATATATGCATATAAATAATATTAATATAGATAAAATATATACAAATGAAAAAAAATGAAAAAACTCATTTAAGAGTAAGAATAATTACGGATACAGAGAAATATTTTTTTTTAAAATTTTAATACAGTTCTTAGACAAGTACCATTGTGTAAATCTTCAAAACCTTCATTAATTTCACTGAAAGGTCTTCTAGCGGTAATAAATTCATCAACCTTTAGTTTCTTTTCTTGGTAATCTTTAATCAAACCACCCATTTCGGATCTACCTTTAATACCACCGAAAGCAGAACCCTTCCAGACTCTACCAGTAACTAATTGGAATGGTCTAGTTGATATTTCTTTACCTGCATCTGCAACACCAATGATCACAGATTGACCCCAACCTTTATGACAAGCCTCTAGAGCACTACGCATGACATCAACGTTACCAGTACAATCAAAGGTAAAATCTAAACCACCATCAGTCATTTCAACTAGTTTATCCACAATAGTTTGTCCCTCGGATAACTTTGTTGGATTTATGAAGTCGGTAGCACCGAATTCGCGAGAAACGGTTTCCTTGTTATCATTAATATCAACAATAATAATACGAGATGCACCTCTAGAGTGAGCCCCTTGTACTACAGAAAGACCTACAGTGCCCGCACCAAAGACAGCTACTGTATCGCCTTTTTGAACATTGGCGGTCTTAATAGCAGCACCATAACCTGTAGTAACACCACAACCTAAAAGACAAACGGATTCTAATGGAGCAGTTTGATCAATGGCAACAACTGAGACATCTGCAACCACGGTATATTCTGAGAAAGTAGAACAACCCATAAAATGATATAAGGATTGACCTTTAGAATCATGGAAACGAGAAGTACCATCTGGCATTACACCTTTACCTTGAGTTGCACGAACAGAACCACAAAGGTTAGTTTTACCAGATTTACAAAATTTACAAACACCACATTCAGCAGTATACAATGGAATGACATGATCACCAACTTTAACAGAAGTAACACCTTCACCGACAGATTCGACAATACCAGCACCTTCATGACCTAAGACACAAGGGAATAAACCTTCCGCATCCTTACCTGATAGGGTGTAGGCATCAGTGTGACAAATAGCGGTATTAATGATCTTGATACGAACTTCATGAGACTTTGGAGGATCAACAGTGATAGTGTCTAAGACTAGAGGAGCATTAGGTTTATAGGAAACAGCAGCTTTACAGTTAATTGGTTTTCCAACAGTAGACATTTTGTGTAATTTGGTAATTGCGTTTGGTGGAACTATATTTTGTGTAAAAGTTCTATGAAATAATCGAATCGTAGTCGAATTAAATAATCTCATTGAGTTCCCACTTCCTTAAATAAAAAAATAAAACTATTCCTTCACTATTCTGTATCCATCCCTACGTATGTGTGTAATCATTATGGTAAGCATGTAAATATTAATTAGGTAATAAATTTGGAACTGAAAAAAAAAGAAGAAAAGAGTTTCCATGTTTAGTAATGAAAGTAATAGAGTTCTACGATGATTTTACAGCGAATTACCCAAATTGGAAACCATTTTACTCCCCGTCAGGGTAATTCCGCGTTGTACGAACTTTTCTGGGCCGATCATTACGTAATCGGTCATGTGCACTACAACCTGCTAACCACGTGACTTCTACATATCAAGTACAAAATATTAGTACAGATCGGTCATTAGTTAGTTCTATGTTCATGCAGTGATAAGTAATCTTGCTCATGAAACTAAAGGAAAAGTTTGTTACCTTGTTAAGTTTAAATGAGGTGTAGCCCTAATGAAAGAGAGATTACCAAATCATTCCTGCAAGCTTGATAATATCAGTATATGGCTACGTCTAGCTGAAATATTGGTTCCAAATCTCTTTTTAACCGACTGTAGTATCTAATGTGATTACCGTACTAGTTCAAATATATATACATGTACATGTGTATATATTTTCCAGCCACACTCTTGTTAGTATCGTTTAATACACTATATCAACTTAGCTATTCGTTTGTGAATGTCGTTCAACATGTTTCTCGTGACTCTTCTCTCTCCTATATATATAACAACAATATACTGCGCTGCACAGAAGAAGAGGCAAACAAAAAATAAATAAAACTGGAAATACGGATACAATAAGAATAATGGGCGCACTTTGCAGTCCCCGGAAGTCAAGAATAGGATATCTCTATAATAGTAAAGAGAATTTCAATAAATAAAAAACATAGATAAAAGTGTCATATACTTTAATAAAAAAGTTGTATTATATTAATAAATACTACCACCCTCCCCAAATACATCTATAAATCCTTTTAATCACGTACATTATTGTAAGATGTTACGTTCCGCAAAGAACATTATGAAGGGTTACTCCAGTGCCCAGGTACTAGTGAGAAATGCCACGGCAAACTCAGATGAACAGATCTCTAGGGATAATCTGGATGAAATCAGTCAGTTAACATATTCAAATGCTGAGTTCTTTGATATTATGGATATGTTAGACAAGAGAATTAACGATAAAGGTAAATATTGGCGTCATGTGGCTAAATCTATGACGGTACTGGATTATTTAGTAAGATTTGGTTCAGATAACTGTGTTTTATGGTGTAAAGAGAACCTTTATATCATTAAGACTTTAAGAGAATTTAGATATGAAGATGAAACTGGAGTTGATAAAGGTCAAATCATTAGAGTTAAAGCAAAAGAATTAACAAGTTTATTGATGGATGATGAACGGTTACAAGAAGAAAGAAGATTAAATAAATCGGGTAGTCGTAGAAATCGTAGAAATCAATCCAATAATAGTGGTTATGATGATGATTTGAGAAGAGCAATCGAAGCAAGTAAAGATACTGCAGCCGATGAAGATGCAAGACGTAGACGTGAAGAAGAAGAAAGACGTGCTGCTCAACGTTTATTATCTCAAGAAGAGGAAGAATTAAATAGATTGAAACAATTACAACAGCAACAGCAACAGCAACAGCAACAAGCACTGTTACTACAGCAACAGCAACAACCTATGTACTATGATATTTTTGGTAATCCTATATCACCTGAAGAATATTTACAATATCAACAGCAACAAGCAATGTTGCAACAGCAGAATTTAGCTCAACAACAATTATGGGCTCAACAACAAGCATTTGCACAACAGCAACAACTACAGTTCCAACAACAACAAATTCCATCGACCGCTACTGGGTCAAATAATCCGTTTGGACGTGGTAATTATGATGCTCTAAAGACACTAAATAATAATAGTAGTAGTAGTAACACTGCTAATACTGTACCAGCTTCACAACCAGAACCTATCCCTCAACAGAATGTTCAAAAACCATTATCTCAAACAAGAACAGGAAATCAATCTATCTCAGATAAATATAGTGCTTTGAATACTTTATTGGCCAGCGGTACTGGTATAGATACATTTGGTAACACAGGTGAACAAAGAATCCCAGCTCAACATACAAAAACAGGAACTTTTATTAACTCTCAAGGTACGGGGTACAAACAATTCTCGGATGCAGATGCGAATAAACCAAATGTATTTTTAAATACTCAATACACCGGTTTACCTTCTACCAACATTGCACCTTCCTATACTGGATTTGGATTTGGTAATCAACAACAGATTAATTCAAATAATAATAATAATCTAGTTGATTTATGAACGATATACATATATAGATACATGTAACATAGAGAAATGAGTTTACAAAAATATATATATTTTTTAATGTAATAATTATTAATTAATATTATTTATCTATTTTTACTTTATATGCATTTCGAATATATAAGATTACATATCTAACATAAGTAACCCGATTATCTTTTCCAGATCATCGTATTCAAGTACTAACTCTTGATTATTATTATTATCCTTCGTTTCGTGATTTTCTATTGATCTTAATGCTGCTTCCTCCACGAATAATTCAAGGTATTTACAAATGCCTTCTATTACCTCTGGTGCTACCGTCAATTGTTTATCAACTAGATAATGTTTGACCAATCGAGAGATTGTCTCTGTCGGTATCTTTGCCTTTTCACTCATATCACTTCCCCTCGATTACTCTTAACCATATAGTTTTCACAATTTTTATAGAGGACCCTGTTTTATCAATCAAACAGTTTTACGATCTTCATATTTGATTTTCGAGATAAAGCATATTAGTAGTTGAGCGCGTCCATATTAAAGAAACGTAAACTGTGCACCTAACAAACCTTTCTCGAACGTTTTTTGGCATATATCTATATAGTGAAATTAATTTAAACTGAAATCATTAGTTATCGATATTTTTACTTATGTGACGTACAGAAATTTTATAGTAAAAAAAAAAAAGGAAAAAAAACTATAAACAAAACAGTACTATCATTTATGTATATTTAATTTCTCATGAATCATTTGCAATATATCGAATCATCCAAATCGGATCATTCTATTTTATTCTTGTCAAAAGAAGGATTGTTGGAGAAATCTAATATTGTGGACCTACACCTGGAGGATAATTACCTTGATTCTGCATTTGCATCTGAGGTGGGTACTGTTGTGCATGAAATTGTGGTTGGAATTGTTGTGGAGGTATACCTTGTTGTTGTTGTTGTTGTTGTGGCTGTGGCTGTTGATGATGCTGTTGTTGATGTTGTTGTGGATACTGTTGTGGTGGTAATTGATTATTGTTAAAGTGCGCAAATTGTTGTTGCTGAGGTGGAATAACTATATTGTTATTATTATTATGGAAACTTTGTTGTTCTATTGGTACAGGAATTGGAACATTATCATTATTTTCTGCTACATATAAAGATTTATCAATAGTAGCTGGAATTGCAGCAATTTCTGTTCCTAATTCTTGTTCAATTTTATATAAATTGAATCTATCATTCCAATTGATTAAATTAATTGCTAAACCTAAATGACCAAATCTACCTGATCTACCGATTCTATGTAAATAAGTTTCTGCAGTCTTTGGGAAATCAAAATTAATAACAACATTAACAGCTTGAATATCAATACCTCTTGTTAATAAATCTGAACAAACTAAAGTTCTAACTTTACCTTGACGAAATTCATGAAAGACTTTATTTCTTTCTTGTTGTTTCATTCTTGCATGTGAATAATAGCATGAATAACCTAAATCAGTGATTTTTTTAGCTAATAATTCAACTCTATTAGTTGAATTGCAAAAAATAATTGCTTGATTAATTTGTAACTTGGAAAATAATGTATTTAAACAATGTAATTTTTGTCTTTCTTCAACAAATGCATAATACTGAGTAATACCTTTTAAAGTTAATTCTTCCATTAAATTAATTTCATATGGTTTATTTAAATGTTTAACCATAAATTCTTTAACAGATAATGGGAAAGTAGCAGAAAATAATAAAGATTGATGATTTTTTGGTAAAAAAATTAAAATTTGTTCAATAATTGTTTTGAAATCACGTGAAAGCATTTTATCAGCTTCATCCATAACAAATAAAGAACAATTTGATAAATCTGCAATTTTTCTTGATGCTAAATCTAATATTCTACCTGGAGTACCAACAACAACATGAACAATATCATTCAATCTTAAAATATCATCTCTTAAATTTGTACCACCTGTAGTTACCATACATGATATATTACAATGTTTACCTAAAGTTCTTACAACTTGAGAAGTTTGTAAAGCTAATTCTCTTGTTGGTACCATAATTAAAGCTTGAATTTTATTAACTTTTGGTTTAATTTGTTCTAAAGTTGGAATAACAAAAGCTGCAGTTTTACCTGTACCATTTTTAGCTCTTGCTAAAATATCTCTACCAGTAATTGCAACAGGGATAGATTCTTCTTGAATTGGTGAAGGTTTTTCAAAACCTGCTTCAAAGATACCCATTAAAAGTTCTCTCTTCAAACCAAAATCTTCAAAAGTATTACCTTTAGTACCAAGAACATCTTCAGTCTGTGGTCTCGTATCCCTTTGTGGAATATTTAACTTTGATTTCCAATCTTCGTTATCCATACTAGTTGAAGTCATTGTTGTTGATTTTTTTACAAAAGAAAGAATTCAAAATATTATTAACTAATACAATATGATATTAAATCAAAAGGACAATTTTTTATTCTTTTTTTTTTGCAATAGTGAAAAGAAGAAAAAAAGAAAGCTTTGAAATGATAGTGAATAATAAATAACTTAAACTCTTATTACTAGTAAAAAAAGGGTAACGAATTTAAATTTCAATTTTCAAACTATAGGATATAATAAATTCAAATAGGAAAATTATTCAAGTATCCTCTTTAATGTTAAAGTACTAAAAAAAAAATAATAATAATAGGATTTCCTTGTTTTGTATTCGTTAGAAGATAAAAGAAAATATAAAAATTTGTATGTATGTATTTTCTAAATCCTTTTTTTTATTTCTTTAGAAAACAAAAACTGTTGTAATTAGTATTCTGTGGTTCTGTAGTAATTAAATGTATTTAAAGTACAAGCCTAAAGTATTGAAACAAACTAAATATTAAGAATATATGAACTTCCCTAATCCTTTCAAAAAGGTGTTATAAAACAAAATAAAAAACAAGTTGTTAGTTTGTCAATTCTTTGGTCTCTCTCTCTCTCTCTCTCTCTCTCTCCACGTTGAAAAAAAAAGTGTTATTTTAACCAGAATTCTGAAAATTGAAAATAAAAATTTTCTGCAAGTCACCGCCGCCGTCGCCGTCCACTCAATGAATAAATTACGCACGCCGACACACAAACTGTCGCACAACGTAGAGGGAGCGAGCGAGGGAGAGAAACACAACTAACAAAGCTGCATATTAATTGTTTACAGCGTCTTCGAGAGAGCGACACACGCACAGAGCAGCGCAGATAAACAAATTCCATTTTTTTTGTGTGGAACGTTTTTTTAAGTCTGCAAAGATAGTTTGTTCTTAGGATATAATGTGAGGGTAACGTTATACTTTTTTGAGATTCCTAGAGGTTATAATTAATAAATTGTTTCAGATCTGATAATTAGATAATTTTGAATTGAAGAAGAGTGTGGCTGTATGGTCATTATATTTAAGAGCAAGCTGGTGTGTTTGTTTCTTTTTTTTGTTGTTGTTGTTGCGTACCTCACAAAAGTTAGATTGATAAAAATTCGTAAAGAAAGTAAACACTTTTTATCATAAATTGATAATAGTAATGATGGCGATGACGTCAGATAAAGATGATGAAACATCTAAATTTCATGGAACTAGTTTAATTAGAAAAAATTTAAAACATCTAACATTAGATGAATCAAATTCACAACCAACATCTGAATCAAATATTCAATTGCATGAAAAGAATGATAGTAAGAATTTACCATCAATTTCAAATAATTTAAAATTAAACATGAATAATGGTGGATTATACCTGAAGAGAGGTATTAAAAAAAAATTAACATTAAATTCAAATAATAATTTTAGAGGTGGTAGTAATTCTTTGTTTACAAATAATACCAATAGTAATGAAAATAAAATAATTATTCAACAAAATCCAACAATTAATGATACTCTACAACAACAACAACAACAACAAGATAATGACAGGGGGTCTTCTTCGTTAATTAATAATCAATCAAGTATACAATCTACTACTTTAACTTTGCCTGCTAATAATGATAAAAAATCATCCTCTTTAATATCTCATATTATTGCAAGATCACAACATCATCAACAACAAAAACTTAGAGGTAATGGTAGTAAATCTCCACAAGGATCTACTTCTCGTGATAATAAGAATATTGTTACTGGTAGTGATAATGGTTTAGACAATAATAATAATAATAATAATATTAATATTAATATTAATAATAATAATGATGGTAATAATAATAATATAGATGGCAATGGTGAGGATACTGGTGAAGATGATAGTACACCTCTAAGAACAATGTCATCAATGCCAAATCTTTCAAGAACACCAGTTCCAAAACATAGAAAAGCAAGTCAATATCAATTACAAGATTTAGTTCAATTGGGAAAAATTGGTTCTGGTAATTCAGGAACTGTATTAAAAGTTTTACATGTGCCAACATCAACAATAATATCAAAAAAAGTGATACCAATCGAAAAAAATAATGATATTATTAATAAACAACTATTAAGTGAATTACAAATTATGAAAAATATTCAACCTCATCCAAATATTATTACTTTCTATGGTGCATATTTAAAACAATCTGTTAATTATGATATTATTATATTAATGGAATATATGGATTGTGGATCGTTAGATAAAATTTTACGTGTATTTAAAAATTTTGTTAAGAGGGATCAACAACAAAATCCTTTATTTAAACCACGTACAACATGGTTTAATATGCCAGTTGTAATGTCAAAAATTTCATTTGCTGTACTTTCAGGTTTGAATTATCTTTATACGTATTACAAAATTATTCATAGAGATATTAAACCTTCTAATGTCCTTGTGAATGGGAAAGGTACCGTCAAGATTTGTGATTTTGGTGTATCAAAAAAATTAATTAATTCTGTTGCAGATACTTTTGTCGGTACTTCGACATATATGTCACCAGAGAGAATTCAAGGGAATGGTTATTCTGTGAAAGGTGATGTATGGTCATTAGGTTTAATGGTCATTGAATTAATTACAGGTGATTTCCCTCTAGGAGGTCATAATGATACGCCTCGTGGAATATTAGATTTATTACAACGAATCGTCAATGAACCTGCACCAATATTACCAAATGAGGAAACATTCCCAAAGAATTTAAAAAATTTCGTTGATAGATGTTGTGTGAAAGAGGCTAAAGACAGAGGTTCAATTAGTGAATTACTTCAACATGATTTTATCACTCATTTCAATAATAATAAAGATGGAGAATTAAATGAAAAATATGATATTGAATTTAAAAGATGGTGTAGAAAAATTAAATATAAAGTTAAGATGGATAAACAGATACGACGTGATATAGTAGAAAGGGCTAAGCTTGAAAAATCGAAATTGCAACAAGTATCATAAAAAGAAAAACATTATTTTTGAGATCGTGTTGTTTTTGATATTTCTATCTTAATGAGTTATATCTCTAATCCTATTTTGATAGGAATGCATTTGTCTCTCATCAAATAAGGTGTGTTTTTATAATATTATATAATAGACTATTTAAAAAAAGAAAAAAATAATAATATTCAATTTATGAACAATAATTATTATAATAATATATATATATATTATATTCGTATGTGCAGTTTATTTACAGAAAATAATGAAAAGTTTTGTTCTAAACATTCAATATATCACCATGTTCTAATTTGTTAATTTCTTTTCTTGGGAGGTTTTCCAAGACTCATATGTATCAAAACTTCTGTATATACCGTAGGCAACAAGAAACCCACCAAAACCTCTTATGCTATTCCTCCACCAAACTGGATTCTTTTCATTAAAATTCTTTAGCGACACCTTTTTATCCTTGATGATCGCTTTACCACTCACTAAATAGCCACCTGTACCAAGAAGAAAAATTGAATTGAAAATATCACAACTCAAACAATCTTCAATTGGTTTTGATTCCTGTTGGGGATTAAAGACATTAGCAATATTACTCATAATTGGGATTAATAAGGTAAGTGGTTTCTTTGATACTCGATAAAGATCTATATTGGATAAATATTACGTGGTTTTATAATTATTATTTTTTGTTTTTTCAAATATATAAGTTGTTATAATGAGTGGTGTTAGTGATAATAAATTAACGAATTTTCAAAAAAAGAGATTGGAAAATATAAAGAGAAATAATGAGCTTTTACAAAAATTGAACTTATCAAAATTATCAAATTCAATCAAACCAAAAGAGGTTAAAGTTCATGAAAGAAAGAGTAATGGTCCGAAGGCTAAGAGTACTAAGAGGAGAAAACTTGAAGAGTTAAAACCTGAACGATTACCAACAAGAAGGTCACGTAGATTACAAGGTCAAACTGCTGAACCTTCACCAGAGCTACCAACTTCTTTAGATAATGTTAGTGTTAAACCTGAAGTAGAAGATGTTAAGATTTTTGGTGACCTTAAACTTTCTGATTTAGTTAAGGATGAAGAACAAATGAGTAAAATGTCAAATTTGAAAGTCTCTAGTGGTGATTTCTTTAATGAATTACGTAATTTCCAGACACAGACATCTGATGTCAAAGAAGAAGTTAAAATATTTGATAGGATGGAAATGTGGCAAGATAAAGTTATTTATGAAAGAATCTCAAGTCTTTTCATTCATCCTTCAAAAGAAAAATTTGTTATGATTGCAGGTGATATCTCAGGAAATGTTGGTCTTTGGAACAAAGATATTACTAGAGAATTGGAACCTGAGGAAGATGAAGAAATATTCCGTTTTCAATTATTCAGTAAAAACGTTAGTAGAATTGATTGTTTCCCAACTAAAATGGAAAAATTAATTCTTGCCTCTTATGATGGATTTATTAGATCACTTGATTTAAATAATCAAAAGAGTGATGAATTATTACAAATTAAAGATCCATATGATGATTTATTAGGGGTCAGTGATTGTCAATTTAGTTATACTGATCCAAATGTATTATATTTAACCACATTATCTGGAGAATTTGCTTTATGTGATATGAGAGAGGATTTGAAAAATAAACCATTAAAACTTAGAAGATTAGCTGATAAAAAAATTGGTTCAATGGCTATCAATCCAAAGAATACCAATCAAATCGCTACTGGTTCATTAGACAGAACTATGAAATTATGGGACATAAGAAAATTAGTTGATAAACCTGATTGGTCTCAATATGAGGATTATCCAAGTCATAATATTATTTCCACATATGATTCTAGATTAAGTGTTTCTGGTGTTTCATATTCTCCAACTGATGAAACTTTAGTGTGTAATGGTTACGATGACACAATTAGATTATTTAATGTTAAAGAAAATTCCTTAACTGAAGATTTACAACCGAAGTTAACAATGAAACATAATTGTCAAACAGGTAGATGGACAAGTATTTTAAAAGCAAGATTTAAAGCAAATAAGAACATTTTTGCCATTGCAAATATGAGTAGAGCCGTAGATATATATACAAGTGAAGGTCAACAATTAGCTCATATGGCTACGCCTACTGTTCCGGCTGTAATTAGTTGGCATCCAACTTGTGATACCATTGTCGGAGGTAACTCCAGTGGTAAGGTCTTTCTCTTCTCCGAACCTGCCATCAAGAAGGAGGAAGAACAAGTGTAAATATTACTAGAATCCTTAATAATATAATATAATATAGATGCATAAATACTATTTTAGAAACCCAATAAAGGGATTGATCTCAACCCAACCTGACCCTAGTTAGTTAGTGTCCAAGATGAGATCAACATATCTGATAAGTTAGACTTCTTCTTCTTCTTCTTCTTCTTCTTCCCCCCAGTCAATTCTCCCGTATAGTTAACTAGAATATGGAGTGAGTGAGATCACCATCGCTTCGTAGTGTTTTTCCGTCATTTTTCTTTTATTTATATTTCTTAATAAACTTCTCCGCGTTGATTTCTTCGCCTCGTTCCTTTGTTGTTGTTGTTGTTGTTGTTGTTTGGGGGGAAGGAGAAAGCCCCAAAAAAAGAAAAATACAAAAATTTATTGTAAACAAAGAGATGGATGGTACAAACAAAGGTTCGAATGTCAATAAAATATAAGACTAGAGTTAAAAAGTTTTACAGTTTTTCAAATAACGTTTTTCAAAAGAATTGGAGAATAGTGAAGTGCTTATTTTTCAATACTCGAGGGACTGTTTGTTATTACAAGTGAAAAACTTTGACATATATTTAGTTTTCTTTGGAGGATAATTTAAAACAAAAAAAAATCAGTGATCCAAGTAGAAACATTAATAAAAACGAATAATATTCAATTAGGCATATTTTATTTTTAGTTGCATTTTCAAAAGTATTAAAAGTAAGATTATGTACCAGTCCAAACAACCGTTAGGTAGTAACGGAAATAATCAATCTGTCTTTACTGAGAAATTCGAACAATTTCCAACGGATGGAGCTACTATTGATAAAGAAAACATAATGCCTTATAGTTATCAACCTATACAAAAAGGTTTAAATGCGAATAATTCTGCTAATGTACCTGCTAAGAATGCTTTAATTAATAGTCAATTACAGAATTCAGCTCCATTTAATCAGCATCGATCAGTATTAAGTGATGTTACATCCCAGGTAAACAATAAATTAAATAGTGTTCCTTCCAATTCAACATTAAAATCGGATGGAGGTTTATCACATTCTTCTTCATCTACTACAAATTCTGTTGATGCTTGGAGTAATAATAGTTCAAAAGAACAATCAAAATATAATAATAACTTTAAAGAAATGAAAAATAGTAATTCTCCAGTAATAATAGAAACGAATGAAAATGGATCAGATCAAGGTTATAATCCTCTTTCGACACAGTGTAATGATATTGGTGATACAATTGAAGAAGATGAAGGTGATATTGTTGAGAATGAACAATTGACAAATGAATATTCTGCCATTGAACCAGATGATAATAATGATCATATGATAAAACCATTAGAATTAAATTTTAATGATGAAATTAATCTAATATTAGATGAAGCTCATAATACATATTATCGTGATACTCTTGACTTAATGGATGAAGATACATATGATGTAGTTATGGTTGCAGAATTAACTGATAGTATATTTGATTATTTGAGAAAATTAGAAATGAAATATAGACCAAATCCAAATTATATACATTATCAAAAAGAATTAAGATGGTCATATAGAAGAATTTTATTAGATTGGATAGTTGAAGTTCATAATAGATTTCAATTATTACCTGAAACATTATATTTAACTGTTAATCTTATTGATAGATTTTTATCTAAGAAAAGCGTCATGTTAAATAAATTTCAATTGGTTGGTGCAGCCGCTTTGTTTATTGCAGCAAAATATGAAGAGATAAATTGTCCATCATTAAAAGATATTTTATATATGTTAAATGATGCAAACACAAAGGAAGAAATTATTGAAGCAGAAAGATTTATTATTGATTCATTAGAATTTGAAATTGGTTGGCCTGGTCCAATGTCGTTTCTACGAAGAATTAGTAAAGCAGATGATTATGAATATGAAATCAGAACTTTAGCGAAATATTTATTAGAATCAACAATTATGGATCCTCGTTTAATATCTATTCCTCCAAGTTGGCTAGCTGCAGCCGCATATTTCCTAAGTAAAGTTATATTAGGTTATAACTCATGGTCATTGAAACATACTTTTTATGCAGGTTATACGCAAGAACAAGTTCTTCCATTAGCTACAATAATTTTAGAAAATTGTAGAGATGCCTCACATTGTCATAAAGCCATTTTGAAAAAATATTCTAATTCTCGTCAACACAATTCTGCACAATTGGTAGCCAGGTGGATAGGATCTGCTGAAAAAAAAGTAAAACATGATACATCTAATGGTTATAATGCTGACATCAATAGTGACAGTGACAGTGATCGATTATAATCCAAGATCTTTTCCCTAGGTAAAGATTATGAATTTATTTATTTTTTCAAGATCATACATTACTGCACTTTTTTTATTACACCACACATATCATTATCATTATCATTAATAGTAGGCACTGTTCATTTTCCTTGTCTTCTTCAATTCATTTTCCTTTAGTCACACAACATTCGTAGAATGTTTTTTTTATTTCTATTTTCAATTCGTCCATTGCATTATATTACTATTGTATCAAAATTGTATAATAGTAAACTGTACTTATATATTAAATATATACATATACATTCCAAATTTTTATGACAATTATCATTTTTTATCTTTTTTTTTATTTCACTATTGTTGACAAAAATTAAAGGGAAAAAAAATAACATTAAATATATAAAACTCTTCGGCGGTTAATTTATTAATATATAGCTGATAAAATATATTCCTTTTGGTAATAGATATAAAGGTTAATAGACAGGTCTGATGGATACTACCCATTTTGGAACTACATATTCTGACATTAGTCATACCCCGACAACAGAGGAATGTTTCGTTGGTGGGATATTGTTTGCCCTTGACATTAAAGGGAAAAAACTTGGTTGTTCTATTTTAGAGTGTTCCAGTAAAATATTGAAAGTGCTGGATCATGACTATCAACTTTCTATTTCTACTAATTATAGGGAGCAACTTAATGGGAATATATCAAGTTATAGATATGTCGATGAAATAAATAACCTTGTGGAACTATTTTTTATTCAGTATAGACCAACAGTCTTTATTGTCTCGAGTAGAATGAATCCTGATAGTCTGTTGTATATTGAAAAACAATGCCGGGAAACAAATTGCACCTTACAACTGGAGCCTAATGAATTATTCAACCACAAGGAAAAATTAAATTTTGGAGATTCAAATTTAAATGCAGATGGTGGTACTCTAGTAAAATTGTTACAAAATTGTGATGAAACTTTACTTGTGACTATATCAACGGTAACAGCTATACTGAATTATTTAAATAAGAATTCAAATAATAATGAAAGTATTAATTCATCTGGGAATTGGGTAAATTTGCAGAATTTAGCCCAAAAGAAAATAATTCAATACGTAGATGCTCTCTCTTTAAGTGATCGAATGCTGTTGGATTCTAACACAATATCAGCTCTGAATATTCTACCTCCAATAAAATATGGCCAGGATAAAATGATTGAAAATGGAAGCTTTAGTATTTTTCAACTCTTTGATAGGACAAGTTCTACTTTAGCAAAACATTTGTTAAAAAATTGGTTACTTTTCCCTTTAACAAATATAAATGATATAAAAGCAAGATCGGATATTGTAAAACTGTTTGTACAACCTACTAACTCGATATTGTTTGATGATTTAAAAACAAAGCTGACAAAATGTCACAATATGTATAGTGTATTCTATTCACTAAGAGATGGTAATACTACTTACAGGACTTGGTTATATTTACATGATTTTTTATCTAAAGGTATTGAGATTTTGTATCTTCTCTCTTCCTTTTCTTTACAAAATATTGAGTCATCTAACGTTGTGACTCAAATGTTACATATTATTAATATTAAAGATATTCGGAATATGAAGGCAAAAATTGAATCTGTTATCAATATAGAGGAAACGTCAGAAACTAAAAATATGGTGTTAATTCAAGGTCTTGATGATAATCTGGATAAATATCACCAGGAATTTCGTGATATCGAATTAATATTAGAAGACAAAGCATTTGAAGAAGAACAAAACATAAAAAATTATTTATCTGGATTATATCACAAAAAAAATAATCTGTCCGAAAGATTCTTAAACATCATATATATTCCCCAGATGGGCTACTTAGCTGCTCTCCCAAAGGTGTTCCCTTTCCAAGAGATATTATCAAGTCAGTTTAAGTGGCACTTAACATTTGACACATCTACAACCCTCTATTTTACAACATCATTTACACAAGAGTTAGATGAATCATATGGAGATGTTTATTCTTTTATTTTAGATCTGGAAGTTGAAATTATTCACGAACTTCAGGAATACATTTTGAGTTACGAAAAGGATGTTCTTTATTTTTATAGAAAGATAGCTGAATTAGACATTCTTTCTTCTTTTGCAACAACTGCACAATTATTTTCTTATACAGAACCAATCCTTACAGAAGATAACTGTTGTATAAATATCATAGAAGGTAGGCACCCACTTTATGAATCAATCGTCGAATCGTATATCCCAAATTCTTTAGAACTAATTGGTGGAAATTTTAAAAATACCTGTTGGCAAGATAATGAGAACCAAAGAATAGTATTATTAAGTGGTGCAAATGGGTCCGGAAAAACCGTATTTTTGACACAAATAGGACTTATAGTATATTTAGCGCATATTGGTAGCTTTGTTCCTGCTACTCGTACAGAAATAGGTATTACTGATAGAATATTTACAAGAATTCATTCTAAAGAAAGTTTACTGGTTAATAGAAGTTCTTTTGAAAATGACACAATGCAAATGAGTTCCTGTATGTCGCTTTGTACAGAGAAATCATTACTACTTATTGATGAATTTGGGAAGGGGACAGATTCCATTGATGGACCTGCTCTGTTTGGTTCAATTATTAAATATTTTTCTGAAAGTACTGCATGTCCAAGAGTAGTAGCCTGTACCCATTTTTCAGAATTATTTCAGAAGGATGTACTATCAACAGACATACGAGGTGTTCAATTTTTACAAACTGAAGTCTTTATTAGCAACGAGACGAAAACAAAAATTGATCAAGACTATTCTTTTAATCAACAAAATAATGTTAACATATTTTTGTATTCGATAGCTCCTGGGTTATCAACAGACTCACTTGGAATACTTTGCGCTAAAGTCTGTGGAATGAAAGAAACAATAATTAAGAGAGCATCCGAACTTAGTAGAATAATGAAGAATGGTGAAAATATTACCCAGTACTGCAGCACATTAATGAATGAGGAAATTGAAGCCTTTGAGAGAGATCAGCAAGTCATTAAGGAATTTCTTGCCTGGGATTTAGATTTGGAGTTCACTACCTCTGAATACGGCTTACTTAAAAAGTTGAAAGCTATATTGAAAGGGCATAAAGTACAAAGAGATCTTTTCCAGGCACAATGACCTGGCTGTTAGAGTAGTAGTAAGCATGCATATTATTATTTTGTTTTTATATGATTTATATAGAAGATATCTAGGGGTGCAAACAGAAATGACATCTATGTCATATAATCGCTATCTCTATAAATTGTAACATATCTAGTTCTTGAATTTGACTGACCTTATCAAGTTCTTCTTAATACCAGTCTTTTCACCCTCATAGACACCTGATTGACCACCAGAGTATACAGCACGAACAGACTTAAGTTTCTTCTTAGCTTGTTCATACTTCTTTCTCTTCTTAACACGAGAGTTTCTGTTATCCTTCTTTCTCTTTGGTGTAAGACCCTTATTCTTAAGAATTTGATAATTAATGGCACGCTTACCGTTTTCTCCAACAGCTTCAATAGCTTCTGCTAATTTACCTTCCCTGGCTGCTATTACAGCAGTTTTATGAGCAGTCTTACGATCACTCTTTCTTTGTTCTCTTTCTTTTTGAATTTGTTTATAATAATTAATTGTGCTATCGTTATTAATAGACTTGGCAATAGCTTCTTCCTGAGAGTCATAATCATTATCATCCAGGCTGGCGCCATTCTTATCATGTAAACCACGTTTACGAGCTTCTTCCATAAGTCTTTGTTGTCTTTCAAATAATCTTTCCTTATATGGAATATCTTCATCACCACCTAATCTATCAGCCTTTTTGTTTGCTTGTTGATCAATCTTCGAAGTATAGAAACGTAAAGTCCTTCTACGATTCTTTTTCTCTTGAGCATCTACTTCATTCATTTCAGATTCTAAGTAATCATCTGCCTTTTCCTCACTTGTTTTGTTTGAATTATTTTTATCCTTGGAGATACGTGATTGGACAACATATTCCTCGAAATCATCTAGATCAGCTTCATCTTCACTTTCTTCATCGTTCTCATCTTCATCGGAACCCGAAATATTTTCGTCTTCAACGTCATCTTGTTCAATTGGAATATTACTTAACATATCATGATCTAATTCTTCAATATCATCTCCATCCATGACTTCATCTCCAGATTGTATTTGCTCTGTTTGATCAAAATCTTCATCATCTGGTAATTCCTCTGCTTGTCTCCAGACTTCCTTCGATGTTAAAATAGCCTCCATGACAGGATGATCTTTCATTGAGACGAAATCGTCATTTGTTTTCAATTCATGCAATAGGACACCGAAATATGAAGTAACGGTAGCAAGATATGAAGATAATGCAAGGAATTTTAATTTTTTCGATTCAGAATTCTGTTCTAATTTCAAAATGTTCAATATATCTGATAACCGTGTTAATTCTTTAGAAAGAGGAATATATTCAGGGAACATTGTCTTTAAATATTCGGCTTTGGCCTCAGAATCCATAGATGTTATATCCTTTGTAGATAAATTATTGTCATTTGTCTGTTTTATAGAATCCTTAAATTCTGAAACGTCGAATGCTTTAGCATCCTTTGTCCATTCTTCATCTAATTCATCATCTAAATAATCATCCATATTAAGTGATTGCAGATGTTTCTTTTGTTGACGAAGAGCTTCTTTTTCAATTTCTTTTGCATCTTCATCATCTTCAATCTCATCTGCACCATAATATTCATTCTTTGTAGTACCCCAAGCATTTTCATTATCTAACATTGCAGTTGCCTCATCTTCTTCATTAGGTTCAGAAATATCTAACTTTCTACCAAAGACTTGCCTGTAAGCCTTTTCACCATCTAGTTCTTCTTCTTCTTCTTCCTCACTAGACTCGTCGGTCATAGACATGACTTCTTCTTCGTCATCTTCTTCATCATCACCTGAATTTTCTCTTCTTCTATTCTTCATGGAGGAATTATCTAAAAGAACTTGTTCTCTCTTAGCAGCAAAGTCATCGACTTCATTTAAACCGTATTCGTCAGCGTCTCTAGATGACATATCTGTAAGTATATATCAACTGGTTGTAAGCTCTGCTAGATACAATCCACTTATTGTTTATTTCTTAACTTGTAATGAGATGAGATGAGATGAGATGAGCTCTTTTATGCTTTCAATGACCTTCATCTAGAATTTTTTTAGTTTTTTGGTTAACAAATTTCAGTGCTAAACCGTGAATAAATTTTTCATCGGAGCGGAAACAAACGAAAAATTTTCTGTGTGAGAAATCAGTCCTGAAATCGTTTTTTGTTTTTTTTTCATTTTTTTCACGATTTCTTATTATGGGCAGTAAAGGAAGTTAATTTGGGAAAGATCAATAATGTAATCAAATGAGATGAGTTGGGATCGAAACTCATCTCAAATGTTTATAAATGGTGGTAGAGAACACATTTTGAAGTAGTTTATATAGGCTAAGTTGGTGATCTGTTCAAAGTGTATGAGCAGACAGAGAGAGAAACAATATAAGGAGAAGAATGAGTTCGGGACGTTTACCATCATTGAGAGATTCAGCTGCAGGGAAAGCTAGTTTAAAATTTAAACCAAAAGCTGTTGCAAGAAGATCGAAAGAGGAAAGAGATGCATCGGCATTAAAGATTAAGAAGGATGAGGATTTGAAATCAAAAGTTGATCAAAAGAAATCTAAGAAACCAATGCCAATGAATCAAAAGAAGAGAGTCCCTAGATATTTAAATAATACACATGTGATCTCAACTGGTCCATTGGCAGCTGGTAATTTCGTCGATAGTAGTAGAAGTGATATGAGACGTGGTATAGTAAAAGTTGAAGGTGGTGATAAATCATTAGTAAGAAAAGGTTTGCAAAGTATAGAGAACCATACTGGTGATTCTGATGATGATTATGATTCTGATATGAAGGAAAAATTAAATATTATTGAAAATGATGAATCTGGAAGTAATATTAATCAAGCTAAATTTAATATGGGTAGAGAATATACCACTGCAAATTTCAAACAAGATGATAGTGATGCTGAAGAAGAAGATCTTGATATGGAGGAAGAAGCAGTTCAAAGAAGAAGAATAGAGGAATTATTCCCTGTAAGACCTTTGCGTATTAGACATGAGGACGTCGAAGTAGTAGAACAAAAGATAGATGAATCAATAACGGAGACTACTACACGTGAGCCTACCCCTGCAACAGGTCTTTTAAAATCAGAAGAAACTACTTCTCTACATGATGTTTTGAAAAATAAAGAAGCAGAATTACAAAATGAATTACAAAATTTACATATCGATCCAGATTCCCATGCTATTGATGCAGAAGAAGTTAAACATGAACAAGCTATGTTAATAAAAGATCATATTAGTATATTGAAGAAATTGGATAAACTTAATAAAAAATCAGATAGATTTTTACTATTCCAAATGCCGTATAAATTGCCTATATTTGATGAAGTAACAACAAAGAAAGAAGATACAGAGGTTACCATGGAGATAGAGCCTACAACTAATGAAGGTACAACAATTGAAAAGATAAAAGAAGAAAGTTCAGAGGCAGATAAAAAACCGAAGAAGAAAACTAAAAAGACAACAAAGAAGAAAGAACACGTTCCACAGGAAGAATTGACTGGTAATGTTGGTTCAATTAGAATTCATAAATCAGGTAAAATTTCAATTAGAATAGGTAATGCTATAATGGAGACCAGCAAAGCTTCAGAAGCTACCTTCCTACAGGATGTTATTGCATTAAATGAAGACCCTGATGCACCTGGTGTTGAATTACTGGGCAGGGTAGAAGGGAAAGTCATGGTAACTCCTTCCTTTGATGCCTGAAAAAAGTAACACGATTTTTTTACAAAATAAACATATATCTATATAAAGCCCATACGTAATAAAACGCACACATTTCCATTTCACAATATTGTCCAATTTAGTAATCCCAAAATATGTACCGTTGAATCTCGTTGGGTGAAAGTATGAGCCTCTTCTTGTGTATATTTTACTATTTATTTTTGTACTATAGGTCCCTTCTATATTTTCGTCATTTTATTTGTCATTGCAACAAAATCGTGAAAGTCGCCCGATGTGCAATTAATATTGACCCCATTAGCGAAGGAACCTTAAGGGGACCGCACCTTGAGTTTATAGACACATATATTTAAGTTCTAGGAGCTCCGTTGACATATTTTAACATAAAATTCAGAAACTCAATCAAATACAGTACAAAAATATTGAATACTTTAAACCCTATCGTAAAAAAGAAAATTACTTCTATGAAAATATAATAATGAGTCAGAATGAAAATCATAATCCACAAACCCCAGGACAGAACGCCTTCTTGTCTAGAATATTTGGACTGCAATCTGGTGATGTTACACATTCAATACAGGATGAAGAAATGAATATGTATCCTTTGACTGGTGATGTTCCAGCGGGTAATACAAGTAGTTGTAGATCTCATTTGAGTGACGAAGAGCAAAGGATTCCCGAGTCTGATCAGGACTCAAGTTCACAGGATGAAGATAATGCAAGGTATGAATCCTCTTCAGTAGCAGATCCTATCGGTATGAGCGATGTAAACTTAACCTCTTCGTATTTATCAAAGAATGATGGTATGAATATTAGTTCGAAAGCTGAATCAATACGGAAGATAGGGCAACTCTCTTCAGATGAAGAAGTGTCTGACAATCAAGCTGCATATATTGATGAGAGTGCAGACGAGGATGCACCACTCTTTAATGTACCAAAAGAAGAATCACCTAAGAAAAGAATATCAATATCAAAAGAGAAAAATAATAATAAATCAAATACTTTTGATGCTTTGAATGCTAAGCATACACCAAATAATGGAAATAATTTAGGTATCCCATTTACTTATAAGGTTTCATCCAACTCGGATAAAGGAAATAGGACTCAACCTAGTATATTTCAGAAGAAATCAAGAAATAAGGATAATAACATGATGAAAAGTTTTTTAGTAGATGACAATGACATACAAAGTCGTAATACTATTAAGAGGCCGAGAATATTTCCAAACATATCCATGTTAAATAAGAAAAGCCTCTATAGATTAAATAATCTAAGTCCCACAGAAACGGCTCTTTGGAAATGGGCTAATGTTGAAAATTTGGACGTTTTTCTTCAGGATGTCTATAACTATTACTTAGAAAATGGATTTACCTGCATATTTCTTCAAAAAATATTAAATTTATTAACCCTCCTATTTGTGGTATGGGTTTCAACATACCTTGGTTACTGTATTGATTATAATAAATTATCCGGCTCACAGAAACTAGCAGATGTGATCGTATCACAGTGCTATAAAACACGTATTACAGGCTTTGTCAAATTTCTTTTATGGATTTTCTACGGGTTCGTCGTTTTAAAGGTTTTCCAATTATATATTGACTACAAGAAGTTAAGGGAAATGCGTAATTTCTACACATACTTATTAGATATATCTGACGACGAGCTGCAAACCATTCCTTGGCAAAATGTGATAAAACAATTAGTATTTCTTAAAGATCAAAACGCTTTAACTGCCAATGTTGTAGAGGTGAAGGCAAAAAACAGAATTGATGCACATGAGGTTGCTAACAGGATAATGAGAAAAGAAAATTACTTGATTGCTTTATTCAATGACAATGTACTCAACTTTTCCTTACCGTATCTCCCCTTTGATTCAGGGGCTTTAACAAAGACATTGGAATGGAATATTAATCTATGCGTGATAGGTTTTGCATTTAATGATGCAGGTTTCATCAAGCAAAGCTTTCTTAAACCTTCACAGAGAGATTACATGATAGAAGAATTACAAAAGAGGTTTATGCTGGCTGGATTCCTAAACATCTTGCTTTCTCCATTTTTAGTGGCCTACTTTGTCTTACTTTATTTCTTCAGATATTTTAACGAGTATAAAAACACCCCTGGATCTATAGGAGCTCGCCAATATACACCAATGGCAGAATGGAAATTTAGAGAATATAATGAATTGTATCATCTATTCAAGAAAAGGTTAGGTTTGAGTAGGAAATTAAGCAACAAATATGTTGAGCAATTCCCAAGAGAAAAGACGAATATAATCATGAAGTTCATAGCGTTTGTTTCTGGTTCCTTTGCTGCAATCCTAGCTTTATTGACTATATTTGATTCCGAGAATTTTCTAAATTTTGAAATTACTAAGGATAAAACTGTCATTTTCTATATTACCATTCTTGGTACTATATGGTCTGTTTCAAATGGTGCTGTATCAAAAGAATACAATATATTTGATCCCGAGGAAACATTACAAGAATTGGCACAATTCACTCATTATACCCCTGATGAGTGGAAAGATAGGTATCATACTGAATATGTAAAACAAGAATTTTGTAACCTATTTTCGTTGAGGATCCTGATTTTATTACGCGAATTAACGAGTATGATACTGACACCTTTTATCCTTTGGTTTGCATTACCCCAGTCAGCAGATAAAATAGTGGATTTTTTTAGGGATTCATCTATCTATATTGATGGTTTGGGTTATGTTTGTAAATATGCAATGTTTGGAGTGCATGAACCAGAAAATATTAACTTTCAAACAAAACCTAGTAATTTGGGCGGTAATAAAATGGGCAAAAGTGGTATTATTAATTCTATGCATCCTCTTTCTGATGAAGACGAAGCCAATGCGCCTGCACTAAATAAAATGATGCAATCTTACATGTACTTTATTGATGATTACGAAAATGCAGAGAATATTACTGGAAAGTATCAACTCCCAAGCAAGAGACCAGAAAAGAGCATTAGAAAAAATATTTCCAATGATGACTATTCCTGGAAGAAACAATTTAAGCCAGGTCAAAATCCAGATTTATTTACCATCGGCAGAAATACGCAACCATTGAGGACACAACAGCTTCGAAAATCTGCTATAATAAGAGATAATGCAGATGCGATTGACTCGACTCTGAATTCATTTATAATACCTGGAAACCCAGATGATGCAAGTAACAATATAGATATGGATAAATCAACAGGTGTTTTCAAGTTGGTAAAAGACTATTACAAGACATCAGATATTGGAAGATAGGGTAATTACACAATATAAAGCCTTTGCTATGACCATGTCCCAATTCATCAAAATTGGGAAACTTGTAAATTAAAAATAAATATATCTAGTATTAGCTAAATAAAAACTAAAATATACTAAATTGCATTCGTCACGAGAAAGGGAGTATCGTACTATAAGTTTTATTCCTTTATCATAACTTACTGAGTTTAAGTCAAAGCGAATCTTATTATTGCGTACCTTTTTGAGCAATTGGCCTCTTTCCTTGTATAACATATGTAGTTTAATTCTATTGAGGTAATTATTTTGTGTATATTGAATAAAGTACAAAAATCTATGTATGAATGAATGTTTATTAAATGCAAATGGTGAATCATCCCTATTTTTTACCAGAACGTAATTTTCTTTCTCTTTCGTATTTGTTCTTTTCAGCACCTTCTTCGGTACTGATAGTATTGTAAATGTGAGCCATCTTGGCATGGTACTGTTCTGCGTCCTTCTTCTTTTCGTCGATTCTTTGTCTGGCTTCAAATCTGGTATCCTTACGTAGTTCTTTCATAGTAAACTTACGTTCCTTCTTTAGTTGTGCCTTCATCTTATTAATCTCATTTCTTCTAACATCTGGGTCATAAGATTTCTTATCTGGGTTGAAGTTTTCTTCAAATTTAGGTGCGTGCGATGGGATAGCCATTGGCTTATGATTTTGCATTGTAAGAGGAACATGTTCATTGAACTTCATCAATCTATTAATTTTCTCGACCAATTCTGCGGCTATGGTTAGGGTTGGGAATCTTATTAGAAGGTTTTGAAGAATAATTTTAATTGGCGTACAAATTTCAGGGAATGCTGAAAGATCTTTCCAGATGGTTGAAATTGCAGTTTCTAAAGAATTTAGAATATTTAGTATCAATGTCTTTTGGAACTTTGTATCTTTATTGTTGTTGCTATGAGAGACAAGATGTAGTTTTAGGATATGTTTATCCTCTTTGGAAAATATCAAATTACTTTCTATATCTATTGTCTTTGAATCCAAATAGGTTGACAATGATTTCTCAAAGAAATATAATAATTCAGGTACGAACCGTTTTGAAAGTCTTTGATATTTCAAAGATATTTGGGCAAGAATAGCACCATAAGCTACTTTGCCAATAGTATTATATTTCATTTGTTCCAAAATTTCATGAATAAGTAAAGCACTTGGTGTTGCAACCAAATGGTACATATCTGAAGTCGAGAATACTGTACCAGTTATTATGAAAAATACCAAATCACTATTGGATAATCCAGTGAAATGATGTAGTTTGAATTTTTCTTGGATTTCGACTAAGATACTTCTAGCTTCTTCAGAGAGACTTTGATTGTATTTTTCAGATAATGTCTTTAAGATAGACATCAATGAATTAGTGACAGTTTCAAAATCTTCAATAAAAGAAGAGTAATCTTGATTTGAGATAAACATTATATGTCTTAATAAGATCCCTGTTAGTTTACCAAGTTTTTCTTTATTACCTTCAGCAAGTTTAGGTTGATACAACTTGATAATTTTTTTAATAACCACAGGGTGTTCCTTAAATGAGTAAGATTCTAATACGTTTAATAATTCATCATGTGTTGTTGGACAGCTTAAAGATTGAATTCTTTTTGTTATTTTATCATTATCATCTAAATCAACATCATTTCGATCACCATCAAAGTTTACATCATCATCAGAATTGGCTAATTCATCTTCCATATCTTCATTTTCATCATCATTAGACCAAAACCCATCATCTAAATCTTCAACACCACGTTCTTCACCTTCTTCATTTTCAATCATACCTTGCATACGATCCAATCTTTGTTGTTCTAATTTTTTCTTTTTCTCTTCTGCTTCATTCTTTAATTCTTCTTCTGTTTTAGTTCTCTCAGATGGTACAGCTCTTTGATCGGAATTTAATTCTCTAAATTTGGTATCGTACTCTATATCGACATCGCTCTTTGGTTGAATCGATTTTGGTTTAGTCTGAGTAGGCATCAATGCTGACATGATATCATCGAAATCCTCATCTAAATTATCGATTTTATCTTCTAAAGCAGCCTGAGTCTTTTGTCTCTCCTGTTTGTAATGTTTCGATTTAGCAATAACTTCTTTCATAACTTCTGCCTTAGTCTTCTTTCTGGCAGGTCCAGAGTTACCAAGTGCATTACCATCGGTAGCATCATCATATAGTCCTGGTCTCTTATTCGAAGATGTAAAATCATTATCTTCATCTAAAAATCCATTATCGGTAGTTAATGCGACACCACCATGAGTCAATGTAATATCAAAAGGATTTGTATCATTATCATCATCCCCATAAACATTTTCATCATCATCTAAATTATATAGATTTTGTTTCTTTTTGGATTGACTTTGTCTTTCTCTAGTGAAACGTTCTAACATCTTTTCTTCTTCTGTTAAATTTTTATCTCTTTCACCAAATCTTCTATCGACTAAACCACCACGTTTGTTTTTAATCAACTTTCTTGCTTCATATGATTGTTTTCTTTGATCTTCACCAATTTGCTTAGAGATACCTGGTTTACCGACAGCAACTCTATTGGAGGCATTATTATTGTTGTCAGTCTTTGATCTTTCATTTCTTTTATCTCTTGCTGTTTTAACTTCAAATGGGTTGAATTGTTCTCTAATCTTGTTGATTATTCTAACTTTCTCCTCACGGTCATATTCGTTAGCCTTTCTCTTTGTATTTTTCTTATTTTTCTTAATATTAGCTTGGCCAGTTAAACCATGCTCTTTTAAAGTAGCTTTCAGTTTCTTCAGTTGTGAACCGGCCATGGTAAATATATTATTACTAAACCTGCGACTTTTTCTTTTCCTTCTATTCTCTGGTTATTGAAATGAAACCAACAATGAAAGATGTAAAAATAACTTTTATTAAATATTGTAACTATTTAAAACTAAAGCATGTTCACAAGGTCATCGCCATCTCAAAAGACGAGATGCTCATCTCATCAACCTCACCAGAACTGACTTTAAAATTTTTCAGTTCGGCTTCAAATTGCGAGGAAAAAAAAATATCGTGGAAAGGGTTTCCGTACAGCATGATAACAGGGTGTGCAAGCAGTTCGGAAAAAAAAGTGGAAGGAGCTTCTGAATGCGATGAAATTAAGAAGTTTGAAATTGGGTTCACCACAGTCTGTGTGTTTTTCTTTAATTTTGGGTGGCAAATATTCAATTGAACTAAGAACAAAGAGTGAGACAATTGAAAAGAACGTTGTATTTGGACAGTCTAGTTTGATAAATCATTATCCTTTAATAAGATCTAGATACACATATACATAAAAGGTTAAACATGTCAAGGGACGCACCAATCAAAGCAGAAAAGGATTATTCTGAAATTTTAAAGCAAGAGTTTCCTAAAATTGACTCTCTTGGTGAGAATGATTATTCTGCTGCATTAGAACAACTCTCTGTATGGGAGAAGAAAGTTAGACAGGCAGCTGACTTAATCTCTTCGAAGGAAGTTCTTGGAAAGATCGTTGATTTATTAGCCACTAAGGGGAAATGGGATGAATTAGATGAACAATTGACTCTTTTATCAAAGAAACATGGTCAATTAAAATTATCCATTCAACATATGGTTCAAAAGATTATGGAATATTTGAAATCTGATACTAAGATGGAATTAAATACTAGAATTAAGACTATTGAAACTATAAGAACTGTTACTGAAAATAAAATATTTGTCGAAGTTGAAAGAGCTAGAGTGACAAAAGAATTATGTCAAATAAAAGTGGATCAAAAGAAATTAAAGGAAGCATGTGAAATTTTATGTGAATTACAAGTTGAAACTTATGGTTCAATGGATATGTTTGAAAAGATTGAATTTATATTACAACAAATGGAATTGTGTATATTAACTAATGATTTCTCACAAGCAACTGTTTTATCAAGAAAAATATTAAAGAAAACTTTAAATAATCCAAAATACGAAACTTTGAAATTATCATATTATGAATTATTAATTAAAATTGGACTCCATAAGAAAGAATATTTAGAAATTGCTCAATATTATCAAGAAGTTTATAATACTGATTCAGTTAAAAATGAAGAATCTAAATGGAAATATGCATTAGCTCATATCATATATTTTTTGGTTTTATCACCATATGGTAATTTACAAAATGATTTAGTTCATAAAATACAACATGATAATAATTTAAAAAAATTAGAAGCACAGGAATCTTTAATTCAACTATTTACTACACAAGAATTAATGAGATGGCCAATAGTGAAAAAGACATATGAACCTGTTTTAAGTGAAGATGATGTTGTATTCACCGAAGAACATCCTGATCATTGGGAAGAATTACAAAAGAGAGTTATTGAACATAACTTAAGAGTCATATCAGAATATTATTCTAAGATTACTCTTGCTAGATTGAATGAACTATTAGATCTATCTGAATCACAAACTGAAACTTACATCAGTAATCTTGTTAATCAAGGTATCATATACGCTAAAGTAAACAGACCCGCTAAGATTGTTAATTTTGAAAAACCAAAGGAATCTAGTGAATTATTAAATGATTGGTCAAGAAATATTGATGAATTACTTGAAAATATTGAAACTATTGGTCATTTAATAACCAAGGAAGAAATTATGCACGGTTTAAAGGCTAAATAAATAAAGAACATATACTTACTTATATAGACTAATTTTTTTTATTACTATATATATATATATTCCCCTTTATATGATCAGAGATATTCATAAAAAGAGAGGATTGCTCTTGTTATTTAGTTTACTAATGAACGAAAAAAAAAAATATTAAAATATTGAAAAGACATATATGAACGTACTTATATAAATCATCACAAGTCTTGATGTTATCTAATGCACATTCCTTCTGATTGTTCTATTCATTAGCTCATTACCTTTATTCTCAAGTTTGATATAAGTATATATTGTGTCTAGTCATAGATAAATAAATAGAAATTGCTATCCTTCTCATTTTTGCTGTTTCTTTAAATTTTTCTGCGCAGGAAACTAATTAATAGAGAAGCAGTCTGACGTCGCACGATAAGCAAATATTTAAATATATGGGGAAAGTGTCTCAACCAAAGGATTCTCGACGTCTACATGAAACTATTAACAGAAACAGCATTTGCAATTATTTGCAACTATTAAAGTCACTTGTTCAAAGTTTTGCTATTGAATTCTTCAAGTTAGTTATATGATATAGCTCTCTGTAAGTTTATACAGATTTTTCCCCTTATTTCATAATCGTCATTTTTTTTTCCCTTTTGCATATTGCATTGTTCTTCCAGACTTTCCTGATAGTTAAATACACATTCGTTTTACGTTAATCAGGAATGATTTTAGATCCTGCTACTCCCAAAGTTAACGAATATTCAAATGAGGAGAGTGCAGAGTTTTGGAATTGTATGGATGAGATCCTTCAATTGGATCATGAAAAATATAATGCAGATAGGCCAGCAGTTATTAATTCCAATTTAGTTAAATATTTGAAATTTGCAACAGATTCTTACAGAGAATATATCAATACAGATAGAGACCTTTATAGAATGGCATTAACGCTAGTGGAGTCTCTCATATTTTCCGATAATATAAAATTTTGTTTAAGTAAATTGTTGTCATTACTAAATATCGATCTACTAGATATGAATATGAAATTTTTCATATCTTATATATTATTATTTGAAGCTAAAAGAAATTTAAATTCATTAGATATAATGATAGAATATCAAGGGTTTGCTGTATTTTACAACACTCTTTATACACAATTTGCATATTTAGAGAAATATAGCTTAGAGAATAGCTATCCAAGTCATAAGGGTGATAAAGAACAAGAATTAACAGATTTAGATGTTAAAATAATTGATGAAATGAAACAAATATCAACAGTATTAATGGATTTGCTGTATCAAATGTTTAAATATTGTAAATGTACAATTACAGATATTCAGATAGTGGATGATTTTTTCGTTCATTTTCTAATGCATTCTGTAAGATCAGACACAACAACAGATTTATTTAGTAATTCAGAATTTAAAGTATTATTAGCATTAAATGAACAATATATCGTGTTTGCTAAGGATTTTAAGATTGAAAATAAAGTCTTTAAATATGTTCTGAATGAATCAGTATCAAAATCTTTCATTGAGTTATTGTTATTAAAATTTAATAGATCATCGGATTCATCGTTGCAAATAATGATGTGCAAAATCTTATACTTAGTTCTTACTACAACAAAGGATAACATTGCAATGGATTTCTTTTATTTAAATGATTTAAACGTATTTGTCGACGTTTTATTGAGAGAATTACAAAATATATCAGAAAATCAAGAAAGTTTAAGAAATACGTTTCTACGTGTGTTACTCCCTCTTATCAAAAATACAGAATTATCTAAGACACACTATAGAAAGGATGATTTGACAGAACTACTATATTATCTTTCCAGCTATGATAGTTTCTGTACCAGTGATGACATCAGTGATGAACAGAAAATTACTGTTAAACTAGCATTTAGAATATTGAATGAAGTTGAGTGGCTACAACCTTTATCTCAGAACGATGGTGACCCTAGCATGACAAGTAGATCGTCCAGCATAAGTATCAATGGAATGACATTTGTCAATAATAATGAAAGAGAGAAAGGATTATATAATGTTTCAACAAATGACAGTATCATTTCAATAGAATCCCTCGGTAAAAGAAAATCGAGACCTCCGCCGCCTTTACCTCCGACGAGGAAGAATGTCACCCCAAAGCGTGCTGATGTTAATGACTACCTGATGGGTATTCGTTCGGTAGAATGAATTTAATGTTGATGTTTTAATGAATAATATATAGACTGTAATTAACGCAAGCATTTGTAGATGTAATTTTGAATATCATAAAAGCATTTCTTTTCCAAGAGAAATACAGATAACTTTTACAGTAGTTATATATATATAGATAAATAGATCGCTCTGATTCCTAAAAAATTAAACTTCCCAGTTTTGTGAATCAATGTGATATATAAGATTTTGATATTTTCATAATGTTAATTTGGAGGTAATGGTCTGTGTACTCCTTTTGTTTTATTCAGTTGAAGGATGTAACGGCCATTTTGTAAAATTTTCTTGGAGAGGTTTCTTTATTAAGGATTCGGTTACATCTCTGTTATCCGGCCAAATAATGGTATCACCCTTAATATTAGCTAGATGTAGGCTATGTCTCATAGCATCATTGTCTCCGTTTGATCGTGCTACTAGATATGCTAGACTGTAGCAACCCAATTTATTTAATGAATTAATCCTTGTTGTAAGTGAATTGCCATAAATAGAATATTGGAATAGCCTGCTTAGGTCATTTTGGTGGTATGCGGTTTTTTCTAATTCATTCAACTTCGGTTTAGATCCACAGACCAGATACAAAAAGGATAATCTATCGAAATCACCTTTGCTTTTCAAACATATTTCGGCTAACTCCATGTCCCCTTGTATTATTGCAAGGCTAACTAATTTAGACCACAATTCTTTTTTATCCAATTCTGCAGCCATATCATATGCTAACTTGAGATTGTTTGATTTTAGTGCTAGACAAAATTTTGCATGTTTATCATTAGTGAAGCCAATGGCTATACTATGAAACCCAGCTTCACTAGTATCTTCGACAATTTTTCTACCCACCAACTTGGAAGTTTTGATTGTTTCCATAATATATGACATGTCTTTATTATATAGAGCTTTCTTGTAGTAGCATTCAGTTAAGTCAACCTCAAGTTGCTTAACAAATGATGTTTTATCAATGTAAAAAATCACATTATTAACTACTTGGATGATATAAATTGTTTCACGAAGTGTTTTGATAATACCAGCTTCCTCGTTCAATAACATATACATTAAATTTGTAGCTGTTGAAAATATTAATATGTTATCATCATTCCAGGCAAAACTTTTGATCTTGTTATTTACTGCCACGGATGAGATTAATTTAAAGTTTATATCTAAGATGGAAATACTGTATTGGTTTCGAATAGCAACATACCTTTGATCCTTTGATGATATTATTTCTTTTGGAATCTCAAAATCAACTTTATTTTTTATTTGCTTGGATTCCAAATCATAGAGACAGACTTTTGAATCATAAAGTAAAAATAGATCCTGATTAAAGGTAAAGATGTCATTGATAATGTCTTTTTGGCTCAACTTAACCGAAGTCAGTAGCTTGTCCTCCATAGAGTAATGATTTATTTTACTCTCAATGGCGTTATAGATAAAGTAGTCATTGTTGCTAAAAAATTTTGCAATCGTACCAGTTCCTGAACTGGATATGTTTGGTCCAGTTACACCTCTTACAGTATGATATAATTTTATCTTGAAGTATGAGTTACTACCGTTACTAACTAAAACTGTATGGTGTGAAGCATTGTATGATACACACCTAAATAATGATCCCTCCTCACCTAAAGATTTAAGGGAAGTATATGGTATTGACATGCCATATTGAGAAGTCCAAAGTTGAACCTGTTTTGATGGATTTATTAGCAGAATCTTCCCATGGTCGATAGAGAAATTTTGTCTGTCTTTATTAATTTTAAAAATTACTATTCCAGAATCATTAGTAGAACTTAATATGTTACGATTTGAAAGCGTTGAAAGGTGCAAGAACCTTCTATTATTTTTTCCATATTTCTTAATGACGTTGTGCGTAGTTAAACTAAAGACCAAAAATGACCTATCTTTACTTGTTGATATAATATAATTCTCCATGGGGTGAAACACAACTGCAGTGACAGGTCCTGTATGGCCTAAATACTTATCTTTAAGTTTTATTTTTGTAGCAGTGTATTCCCAAGTCAAAATCTCATTATCCTCACCACATGTGACGATTAGATTTCGTTGAGGATGAAAACTTGCCCAATTAACGCCTTTTGTATGTTCTATCATTACAAATTTTGGAGGAAAATCACTAAATATGTTCTCTTTCATAATAGTTTTGATATGTAAAGTAAAATGTTCTTGATCATCCTTGAATAAAGGATTGAATTGTTGCTTTTGCAATTTCGAAATATCCCAAACGCATGCAGTCTTGTCCAATGAGGCAGACACCACAAGAAATTCATGGGGATGAAAGTTAGCACACATAACATAATCTGTATGACCGAGTAAACATGCTATTTCTTGTCTGTTTTGCCAATTCCATATTCGAATACTTTGGTCATCCGAAGCTGAGATGAGCCAAGGTTCAGTTTGGTGAAAGAATACGGTTCTAACTGTATCTAGATGGCCCTTTAGTGTATACAAAGGTTTGGACTCATTTAAAGACCACACTTTGATGGTTGAATCGTCACCTGAAGATGCAAACAATTCCTTTGTTGGATGGAAATCTATACCTCTCACTGGGCCGTTATGATCATTAAATGTTTGAAGCAGCACACCCATTCTGTAATCCCACAATTCAATGACACCATTCTTCAAAGTTATCAGAATGCATGGCCTCTGTGGGTGTATTGATGTGGTTAAAGCACCCTCCTTATGCAAATGAAACTTTGTGTAAATCTTCATCCCTCTACTTTGCCCGTCTACCTAGGAACCTGAATGCTTGTCATTAATTGATGTTGATGAATAAACGGTATGATAACCCCTGCTTAGTTTAAAAGGTGCTAGCAAGATTGCATATAATGAGAAATGTATATAGGTGTATCATTTAATAACAAATTTATAAAGATAAACGTATCTGGTCTAAACGATTGAGATTTTATAAGCCGATGGATCGGCCTGAATTAAATCGCCAATACCTTAAAAGTGATATTTTGATGTTTTATGCAATCCATCTTGGTTTTTAAACGTCAAAAAAAAAGAAGAATCCATTCAAGTATGTTTATGCTTTTTGGTGTAGTACAAAATAATAATATCATTATTATAGTTATATGAACTAATTTTATTTACAAGAACTAAAAACTGGAAAAAAAAAGATAAAAACAATGTCACTTTAAAATACTTTTATTCATATATTTGAATCTAAAATAAACTAAGTACTTCCTGAATTATCGAGATTAATTATTTTGTGCTTAACATATCATAATGTCAAAGTTTAAAAATCAGTTTACAATTCTGCAGGTCTCTTCATCAAATTTAATTAGCCCGTTAGCCTCTTTCAATTTCCCTTGAAGCATCACTAATAAGAAATATAAATTTGATAAAATTGGAGTATCGACGCCATTCTTCTTGGCAATACTAATTGGATTACCTAAGATCACTTCAAGTTCCATCAATTGTCCCTTTTCGCGGTCAACACACATGGAAGGTTTAAACATGAGATTTCTACTGATATTAGTGAAAATATCGATAGATGCTTCATCCAAGATGATACCTTCACTAGCTGCAATCTTTATGATTTCCTTCATTGCTGGTCTAAAGATTTCAAATTCAGTACTCTTACCATCTACACCAAATTGTAATGCACGAGGAACATCTAATCCAATTAATGCTGTGGTGGTATTTATTGCGGCATTATATATTAATTTATTCCATCTGGAGTGACGTACTCTTGGATCGAACTCTGCAGCATTTTGACCTTCATTTAAGTATATATCAACAAATTGTTTAGCAGCTTCCTTAGCTCTACTATCATCTGGTTGAAATGCACCTACAAAAATCTTTTCAGTACCAATTTGATGGATTGTACCAGTAGCAATTTTAGTAGATCCTACTATCTCTATACCAGATAAAATTGTATAGTTGTATTCTTTTTGATCAAATGTTTCTAGAATAGATTTTTCAATGTCTATACCATTTTGAATCAATAAGATATTAGATTGACGGGTTGCATCGATGGAATGATTATTCAAAAGCATCGGTTTAATAATATTTTCTACTTTAGAGTGAACAGGTCCATCTGGAATATTCTTGGTAGTAACAATAATGTAGTCAAAGAATTTACCCTCCGATGCAGCATCTTCTGCAGTCTTGAAGATATGGTGAGGTCTCCAAGAATCTAATTTCCCATAATCACAGGAATCAATCTGATAACCTTTTTGTTCGACATGATTGTAATCGGATCTTACTACTAATGAGACTTCACTCTTACCTTTAGTGCATAACGACAACGCACATATGACACCAACACCACCGGCACCTACTACTACAACACTTGGAACCCTTTCACTAGCCATATTCTTATTATTTTCTTCTTATCTCTTTGTATATAATTTCTGAAGCAGAGCTGAGTTATATAAACTTATCTATACTTTCTTCCTGATCAATTGATCTAAACGACAAAGAAAAGATATTCATACCATTGAACCAGCTCGTTCCATGTATACGTTGCTTAAATAGTTGCCAATTCCTTCAAGAGAGCCGGATATGAATCGTAGGATGAGTAATCGCTAGTCTTATCAATATGGTTAAGCGCATAATCCCACATCACAATACACGACACAGTAAACACTCTTATTGCTGACAGAAAAAAAAAAGTTTTCCAGCGCGCGATTCTCTTCTTTTCATTATTTTCATTATTATGGCAAGATTTGGAATTGAAACTGGAAGAAAGAGAGAGTGGCAACACACACATACAAATTGCAAAAGCATCGTCATCATCTATTGCAAGAACCAAAACTACTAGACATTAGTTTTGATTGAGGACTGTAAAAATAATTGTTATTATTGAAGTAAAAGATAGAAGAAGTGAAGTAACCTTAATACGTGAAGGAAGAAAAGCGATACATTAGTAAATCGTTACATTTAAAGAATTTTAAATTTTATATTGTAATAATGTCACAGGTAGCTGCTGCAAGACCATCGAACGCTACGTTTAAGAATAAGGAGAAACCACAAGAGGTTCGTAGAGCTAATATCATTGCTGCTCGTGCTGTGGCTGATGCCATCCGTACCTCATTGGGTCCTAAAGGGATGGACAAGATGATCAAGACATCTCGTGGTGAAGTTATTATTTCCAATGATGGTCATACTATCTTAAGACAGATGGCTATCCTTCATCCTGTGGCTAAGATGTTAGTAGAAGTATCTGCTGCTCAAGATGCCGAAGCAGGTGATGGTACTACTTCTGTAGTTATTTTAACAGGTGCTTTATTAGGTGCCGCTGATAGATTATTGAACAAAGGGATTCATCCAACAATTATTGCAGAATCTTTTCAAAGAGCAGCAAAAAGATCTGTTGAAATTTTATTAGAGATGTGTCATAAAATTTCTTTGAATGATAGAGAAGACTTAATTCGTGCTACTACAACATCTTTAAGTTCTAAGATTGTATCTCAATATTCTTCATTTTTAGCACCTTTAACTGTTGATGCTGTATTGAAAGTAGCAAATGAAGATTCTACAAATGTTGATTTATCAGATATTCGTTTAATTAAGAAAGTTGGTGGTACTATTGAAGATACAGAAATGGTTGATGGTGTTGTATTAACACAAAATGCTATTAAATCTGCCGGTGGACCAAGTAGAAAAGAAAAGGCAAAGATAGGGTTAATTCAGTTTCAAATATCTCCACCAAAACCTGATACAGAAAATAATATTGTGGTTAATGATTATAGACAAATGGATAAAATTTTAAAAGAAGAAAGAGCTTATCTTTTAAATATTTGTAAGAAAATTAAGAAAGCTAAATGTAATGTATTATTAATACAGAAATCTATTTTAAGAGATGCAGTTAATGAATTAGCTTTACATTTCTTAGCAAAGTTAGGTATCCTTGTAGTAAAGGATATTGAAAGAGAAGAAGTTGAATTTATATCTAAGAGTCTTGGTTGTAAACCTATCTCTGATGTTGAATTATTCACTGAAGATAGACTAGGTTCTGCCGATTTAATTGAAGAAATTGATAGTGATGGTTCTAAGATTGTTAAAATCACTGGTATTAAAAACCCGGAAGCTAAACCAACTATTTCTGTTATTGTCCGTGGTGCAAACAATATGATCTTAGATGAGACTGAACGTTCATTACATGATGCTCTTTGTGTTGTTCGTTGTTTATTCAAGGAGAAAGGTTTAATTGGAGGTGGTGGTGCTCCAGAAATTGAAATTGCTCGTAGATTGACTAGAGAAGCACGTGAGTTGGAAGGTGTTGAATCCTTTGTTTGGACCGAATTTGCAGAAGCTTTAGAAGTTATACCAACTACACTTGCAGAAAATGCTGGTCTAAATAGTATTAAAGTGGTCACTGAATTGCGTACAAAACATGAAAACGGTGAAATAAACGATGGTATCTCTGTGAGAAGATCGGGTACTACAAACACATATGAAGAACATATCTTACAACCTGTGCTGGTTAGTACAAGTGCAATCACTTTAGCATCTGAATGTGTTAAGTCCATTCTACGTATTGACGACATTACATTTAGTCGTTAAAACAATATTACAAACATTTTTTGGGATACACTGATGTATATTATTTCTTTAAGTAATGTTTAATGTGTGTATATATATATTAGACCTTTAAAGAAACCATTCAAAGATAAAAGGATCTATACGTTTTAACTAAACAGTTCTGACTGTTCATATTACATTTTTATCAATCTGTGCGTGTATACTTACGAGTGGAATCATCATTCTATGATTCCATGCCGCGCGGTGATAGTAATAACATATGCATAATACATAATATCTGATACGAAATTAAGATACACGCAATGACGTCCATCGATTGTTGCTAATGACAGAAGCTGCACCGTTTATAATCGAAATCATGATTTCACATGGAACTTTCATAGTTTGGGATTAGTAATATTTAAAATCTTGATTTATAAAGTTAATCACTGGCAACCTCCTGAATAATCCAACAATCTTTCATTGTTGTGTTTTTTGCTATACCTTCAGTATATAAAGGTATATATATTTCGAGAACCGCTAAGGAATTATAATATAATATTGATTTCTACCTGTAAATAGGAAGGTTTTAATACTAGAAAATTTACAAAAACAATCCACAAATTATTATTATTATTATTATTATCTACAATTTCCTAAAATAATAATGAATGTTTTAGTGTATAATGGACCTGGTACCACACCAGGTTCTGTTAGACATGCTGTTGATACTCTCCGTTATCTGTTAGAACCGCATTACGCAGTTAGTACTGTTTCCTCGAAAGTTTTATTGCAAGAGCCATGGCAAACGAAAACATCAGCTTTGGTCTTTCCAGGTGGGGCAGACCTACCGTATGTTAAAGAATGTAGAACTGTTATTCCAGCAATCAAAGATTTCGTCTCCAAGAAAGGTGGGAAATATATTGGATTTTGTGCAGGTGGTTACTTTGGTTCAAGTAGAGTAGAATTTTGTCAAGGTGATCCCTTGATGGAAGTCACTGGAAATAGAGATTTGAAATTATTTCCAGGTACTGCAAGGGGACCAGCATTTGACGGGTTTAAATATAAGAGTGACGTAGGTGCAAGGGCCTCAAAATTATTAGTCAATAATGGTGCTGAATTCAGTTGTTACTATAATGGTGGTTCTGTATTTGTTGATGCAGACTCATACAGTAACGTTGAAGTGTTAGCTCACTATGTCAATGCTATTGATGTGCCATTTTCAGATGTCAATAAAGATAATACTAAACCTGCAGCCGTGGTTTTGTGTTCTGTAGGGAAAGGTAAAGCACTTTTGACAGGTCCTCATCCAGAATTTATTCCAAGGCTATTAGAAAAGGGAGAAGAAGATAACGATTTCCCTGCTCATTTGCTAGATACATTGAAAAAGGATGATTCTAAAAGAATAGAATTTATGCATTATATTTTAACAAAACTGGGTTTAAAAACAAGATCGAATTATGCGTCTTATCACGTTCCATCATTAACACCACTTTTGATGGTCAATAGTCCATATAATAATACTGCACAATCTGACAATTTTGAAGATAGGATAGTCAAAAATGTTGATGATGTCATTGTTAATGGTAATCATTTGGAATTTTCAACTGAAACAGATTCATTTGAATTATTTAAAGGTATAAGTGATTCATTTGATGATGCTTCTTCACATCTTAATAAGAATGATCCCGAAAAATCTTTAAAGACAATTGTTATACCAAATGAGGATGAATTTTCATTATTAAATAATATTGCGCCAGGTTTCAATTTTCAAAAATATTTTATGACCCTTAAAGAAAATAATACCATAGGTTCTATTTTAATGTATGGTGAAGTGGTTACTTCAACTAGTACATTACTAAATATCAACAGAACTCTTTTGAATTCACTTCCAGAGAACCGCATTCTTCATGTTGGGGATGTTCAATTAGCCGGTAGAGGTAGAGGTGGTAATTCTTGGGTTAATCCAAAGGGGGTATGTGCTTCAACTGCAGTTATATCCATGCCACTTATTTCTCCTGTGACCCATCAAAATATATCGATATCTTTCGTTCAATATTTAGCTATGTTGGCATATTGTAAAGCTATTACCAGCCACGGACCAGGATTTGAAGATTTACCCGTTAGGATCAAATGGCCTAATGATTTATATATCATGAATCCGGATTATTATTACTCAAAAAAGCTTCAATTATTCGGTAATAAATTTGATCATAGTTTGGTTCCATTGACCGATATAGAACCAGCTTATGTTAAAGTAGCTGGTTTATTGGTTAATACCCATATTTTTGGTGATAAATACACGCTCCTTTTGGGGTGTGGATTGAATATTAGTAGTACTGGACCAACGACATCAATAGATAGATGGATTGATATTATTAATGAGGAGAGAAACAAACAGAACTTTTCTGCGTTACCTCATATAGAAAAAGAGAAGTTGTTGGCCGATTACATGAATAATTTGGAAGATATTATGAAGACCTTTGTCAATCGCGGTATAAATTATATACTTCCAGAATATTATAGATACTGGTTGCATTCAGATCAAATTGTCACATTATCAGATCATGGAAATTCAAGAGCAATGATAACGGGAATTACTGAGGATTATGGTTTATTAATTGCGAAGGAACTTGCACCAGGTAGTGATTACAGTTTCACCGGTTCTGTATTCCATTTACAACCAGATGGTAACACCTTCGATATCTTTAAAGGCCTGATTGCCAAAAAAGCTTAATATAATAACCGTAAATTGTATATTGTTATATATTGCACTTACATAAAAGCATCATTTTGACATTAACGATACTTCTAACGATTATAAATTTGAATATCTATTCATTTAATATTTTATGTATAAACTTTGGTTGATCATTAAAGTTAATATTATTATTAGTAATGTTATTATTTTTTTGATTTATTTATTTGTTTGTTTAATAATTTATTTATTTAGAGTACTATAATACTTTATTTGTTATGAAACTCCTATGGTACAAGATGTATAGAAAAGGTATACAATTTTTGTAATTGAAATTAGAATTTTTTAATGCAATTGTGATATCCGACTTCCTAATTTCCTTCCTCTTTCTTAAAATCCTTCTTTTCGTCATCCTCATCCTTTGGAGAGTAGGTTGAAGATTGTTGGCCATAGCTTGGAGAACCTGGTGAATAAGAACCATTATTTGGACTGTAACTTGGAGAAGTTGGGCTATAGCTTGGTGAAGTTGGTGAATATGAAGGAGAAGTTGGGCTGTAACTTGGAGAAGTTGGTGAATATGAAGGAGAGGTTGGTGAGTAAGATGGTGAAGTTGGCGAGTAAGAAGGAGAAGTTGGTGAGTAAGATGGTGAAGTAGGAGAGTATGATGGTGATGTTGGACTGTAACTTGGAGAAGTTGGTGAGTACGATGGGGATGTAGGACTGTAACTTGGGGAAGTTGGTGAGTATGAAGGAGAAGTTGGTGAATAAGAAGGAGAAGTTGGTGAATAAGACGGAGAAGTTGGTGAATAGGAAGGAGAAGTTGGTGAATAGGAAGGAGAAGTAGGGGAATAGGAAGGAGAGGTTGGTGAATAAGATGGTGATGTAGGAGAATATGATGGAGACGTTGGTGAGTAACCTGGGGAGGTTGGTGAAAATCCAGGAGAGGAAACGCCACCAAATCCAGGAGAAGTAGGAGTATTACCATATGCACTGAATGGAGATGTAGCATTACCATAATCAGCACCACCATAAGCTGTGAACCCGCCTGCCATCGCATCGGATGAACCTGCATCGACCAATGGAGAAAACATCAATTCATCCTTAACATCAATTTCTGCGTTAGCCAAACCGCTGCCGTTAGCGTATGGAGTAGCGCCCCCTTCTTCGCCGGCTTCTAATTCACTGGCTTTCTGTTCTGGCATGTATTTAACTAAAGATTCTTCATCAATCATGACGTCGAAAGCACCGGTACCAATAGGAGCCATTTGACCTAACAACACGTTCTCAGAAACACCACGACAGTCATCGAGTTCAGCAGATGCACCAGCCTCGAACAAGATTTCTACAGTTTCTTCGAAAGAACATCTCATCAATGCACCAGTGTTTGTTCTATTGAAACCGTGACGAGTAATAGATGTTAGACCACCTTGGGTAGTCATTACGTCGACCAATAAAGCCATATGACGGTAGTTAACGTAAGAACCATCAGAAGCAATAACATTGTAAACTTCTCTATATAAGGCGGCACGACCGGCTTCAATACCAAGGACTTCCATTATATCAATGAAGGAGTTTGTGTAAATTCTGGTAGCATCGATACCAGGCACAGTCATAACCTCAGATAAGTTGACACCATCTGTTTCCAAGACCCATTCAGGAACCTTTTGGTATTCACCTGTTTCACTTGGCATTTTACGATCGTATTTCATCATAACAACACGCTCGATATTTTCAACACCACGAAGAGTAATGTTTTGTAACATCGTGTTTTCAATTTTCTTTAACATATGATCTTCTTCAGCTTCAGTTTCGGCATCCAAAGATTTTGGACGAACAACACGACAACGTATTATCAATTTTTCAGCATTATCTTCGGACCATATAACGAACAGATCATTTCTAAATGTTTCTTTAATTCTCTCACCTACTTGAGCCATCGTTAAATCTTTATCGTTCATAGCTGCACGATCTAATTCTAAACGCAATAACCAAGGTGATTGTTGGTCTAGAGATGCTTCTGTTTCTTCATCCATTAAAGAGAAATGAAGTTGAATAATTTCTTCATCATCCTCGATAACAGTAGTACGTGGATCAGGATCATAGTAAATTTCAGAGGCAACTGTAACATTCTTTAAAGTAGTGTGTTCAATAGCAGATCTGATAAACTTAGCCTTTTCTTGGTCAGCAGCATGTTCTTTGTCTAGATAAACAGTCAGAGAAGGTGTCTTCATATTCTTGGCAACATTCAGAATTTCCTTTAAACGAGGAACACCGGATGTAACTTTCTTGGAGGCCACACCTGCAAAATGGAAGGTATTTAAAGTCATTTGTGTAGCTGGTTCACCGATAGATTGGGCGGCTAAAACACCAACCATCTCACCAGGATGAACAACAGAACGCAAGAACTGTGCTTCGATATTGTTAATAACCCATTGGAAAGCTTCATCTGTTAATTTGTATTCTTGAAGAACTCTACGTGTAGCCAAACGTGAACGAACTAAACAGCAGAATAAAGTGATAGCGTCTTTCTGAGCATTTTTAATCAGATCATTAGTACCACGTAAAACAAGCAATTTTGTTTGCAACTCCTTGACCTTGTTAATAATTTCGCTGATTGTTAGATCAGATGGTTTTGAATGATCAATTCTGAAAGTCTGTTGTGCATTTTGAATAATACGTCTAATATTTACAGGTAACGGCCAATTCGATTCACCGTCAATGAAGACTGTTCTTAGGTATGCTCTATCTTCAACTAACTGTTTGTATTCTTCATCCAGTAATGTTTGAAGTTTTAAGTCACCTGCAATTTCAGAACCAGACTCTAATAAAGAAGCGTCCAAAGCATTCTCGGAGTTCAATAAATCAATTCTGTATCTCTTTTCAAAGGCTGCATCAGAACCACCGATAGTATCTATAGATTGTTTTTCAATGTGAGATGCATCAATACCATCTTCACCGTAAACAAATTGGATAATGTTACCCAAAGAGTTTCTTGTTGTACTATCATAGTGAACCATAATATCTTCAAGAGCCTTGACTAAACGACGTTGGATATAACCAGTTTCGGCAGTCTTAACGGCAGTATCAATTAAACCTTCACGACCACCCATGGCATGGAAGAAAAATTCCTGTGGAGTTAACCCTCTTAAGTATGAGTTTTCAACAAAACCTTTAGATTCAGGAGAATAATCATCCTTTGAAAAATGTGGAAGGGTTCTATCAACGAAACCAAAACCGATACGTTTACCTTCAACAGATTGCTGCCCAACACAAGCTGACATTTGGGCAATATTAATGAAAGAACCCTTAGAACCTGATACAACCATTTGTTTGACGAAGTTTAAGTCATTCAGATTGACTTCAGCAAGACGACCAGCTCTGTCTCTTGCTTCATTTAAATAACGCACAACATTATCTTCAAACGATTCTCTGATAGTCATACCATGCTTAGCAGTTAACAAGTTAGCTTGAGCTTCCTTGGTAACTTCCTCGACCTTTCTTTTAGCTTCGGCAATTGTTTCAGTAATTTCTTTGATAGTTTCACCATCAGCAATTGTATCACCAATACCTGTGGAGAAACCGTTGTGTAATAGCCAGAAGTTAACGATTTTTTGAATATTACCAAATAATCTTGCACAGATAGTTGGACCCTTTTCTCTGGTTACAACGTGGATTAAACCACCATTTGATGAACCAACAGTCTTTTTGTCGACAACACCGTAAATTATTTGACCATCAATAATCAGCATACCATTGTCCTTTGGAGACAGCAATGTTGTACCTTCGTCGAAACGTTGTAAGTGAATACCCTTAGGAATGGCAGCCGATAAAATTTGCTTACCAGTCCATAATGGCTTAGGTTTGATAATCGCAGGAGGTGGAATAACACCATCCCAGTCTGGAACCCAGTATAGCATATTCAATACGTGATCAAATTCAAGGAATGTGTCTTTTAATGTTAAGATACGGATACCACAAAGGGTATCTTGCACAATACCCATACATGGCTTATTCGATTGTGGAGAAACAATCTGTAGTGGAACGGCACATAGTTGTGATAATTCAGCCCTTGTTTCCTCAGATTGTGGAACGTGTAAATTCATTTCATCACCATCAAAATCTGCATTATATGGAGAAGTAACTGACAAATTTAATCTAAATGTAGAATAAGGAACGACCTTGACCTTGTGTGACATCATAGACATTTTGTGTAAAGATGGTTGACGATTGAAAAGAACTGGATCATTGTCGACAATGTGACGTTCAACTTTCCACCCGTATTGTAACTGAATATCACCAGCTCTCTTACTGTATCTCAAATCGATACGGTCACCATTATCACGGATAACATATTTTGCACCTGGATGTTCATTTGGACCGTTACGTACTAGTTTGGTTAGGTAATCGATGTTATATGGAGTGACTACTTCAGGGTATGTCAGAGTCTTGGCGATCGATCTTGGAACACCAACTTGATCCAGTTCTAAGTTTGGATCACCAGAAATAACGGTTCTAGCAGAGAAATCAACACGCTTACCCATTAGATTACCTCTGATACGACCTTCCTTACCCTTTAAACGAGCACGAATAGATTTAACTGGACGTCCAGATTTTTGAAGTGCTTGTGGTTGACCTGCAATGTCATTATCCATGTATGTTGCGACATGAAATTGAAGTAAACTTTCAGCTTCTTCAATAGCGTGATGTGGCGCACCATTGTGTTCTAAGGTTTCCAAACTGATGTTTGCCTTTAGGATATCTGCAAGTTTGAAAGTTAAATCATCCTCACCTCTTTGAGATTCGTTAAAAGAAATAGATGGACGAACGGGTGGTGGTGGAACAGGTAAAACAGTTAGCATCATCCATTCCGGACGTGAAAATTCTTCGTTGAAACCCATTTTGGTTGAATCTTCTGGTGAAATGTGCTTAAATATATTTAGAATTTCTTCGACACTTAACACTCTTTGTTCAGGTTCATCATTGTCATTAGCAGATTTTTCCTTCTTCCAACTACCAACAAGCTTTAAACCATCCTTACGGACAGTTGGTTGAATATTACCACAACCACCTCTTGGGACTAGCTTTGTTGGATCATCATCAGATGGAACATCAGTCTCGCAGACCATTTTGGTCTTTGATATACTCCAAATGGCATTGAATCTCTTCTTTGAATCCTTTATACTTAAAGCTTGACGCATCTGTTCATTGTGTTCATCTAGTAATAGCTTACCACAGTGCATACAGACACATTCACAAACTTTCTTAATTTTTGTAATGAAACCAACATGAAAGACAGGTTTTGCTAAGTCAATATGACCAAAGTGACCTGGACATTCGTTCATACCTTCTTGACAGGTTTGACACTTAAGGTTACGATCAATAGAGCCCAGTCTTGGATCATTCAAACCACCGATTTTTGCTCTAGTTTGGGTTTCATCCATTGTTTCTGGGAATTTAATTTTGGCAACACTGATAGCGCGAACTTCCTCAGGAGAAAACAGACCAAACTGGACCTCCTTAATAGTACGTAATGGTGCACTTGAATATTGTTGACCAACCATGATTAATTATATTTCTTGATATCGTTATTATTATTTTTATTATTATTATTATTACAAATATGTTTTTAAGATGGATCTTTTTTTATATTTTATGATTTTTATTAGATTTTAAAAAAAAATGAAAATGCTTGTTTGCACAATAAGTCTCCTTTTGAATGATACAGGGAATAACTTATTATCTTTTAAATTGTCCAAATAAGGGTTCCTAAATAAATGATATATTAGGATACTTTGGAGTTCGTAGTATTGGGAATATAAACAGTACTTCTAAAATGGCTCTCCAGTCTATTTAGTTAGTTAAGTTATATTACACGGGAAAAAATATTACTTCTTAGAATTTTCAAATTGCAGACTGCTTGTCCCTTTCGTAAATCTTTGTATCTATAATATAGGGTAAAATTAAATGGGGGGGTATTCAATTGAACGAAGAATTAGAATAAATTTTCCAACTAGCCTTTACGTTTCGTCTTATGTTTCTTGTATATCTCTTGGAATAACGTACCTCTTAAAAAAAAAGTATCGAGTTAACAAATGAAATAAAGAGAAAGAAATAGGTAAAAACCAAAAGTATACCACTTAGTGCTAAAAAGATATATTAATTTGAAGCGAATCAAAGGTGGATATCTATTAGACTAGGCTATGGGGTGCTTGTTTTCTTTTGTATGGAAATTATATTGAAAGTTTATTACCTTACTTAATTTATCACTTTTTTTTCACTTTTTGCTTCGTTGTTTACTCCCTCGTCGCCACCGAAAGACAGAAAATTTTTGAAAAATTGACAGTTCCGCAGTCGTATATAATGACTATCTTTCCGGGTAACGTGTGAGCACTAAACTTGGAAACACCTTTCCTACATATAAAACATATATATAATATTTACAAGTATCCATTGGAGTTTTCATTAGTCAAAAAAAAATGTTGAGAGAGTTTCATTAAGATGATTCGATATCATCGTCGTCATCCTCATCATCTTGGCTTGAAGATGAACCCTCAAAATCATTATCTGACTCAGTTTCTGCCCAAAGAGAATTTCCTTCATCGTCTTCGGAATCTGCTAACTTTTCACTATCTATTTGTTTTGGATTTTGAATATTTTCATTAGTAGTGTCATCTATTTCATCATCTAGTAAAATGTCTCCAAATGTAGTCTTGTATGAGGTTGATGTCTGGTTAGGTTGTTTCAATGTAGATAGTTCTCTGACATGACCATTATCTTCAATAATTTCCCCGGTACTTAAATTTATTAGATCACCTTTAGAATCATCAGCATTTTCATATTTTGCTATTATATTAGTCCAGACATTTTTCATATTTTCATCAGCTATCTTATGTCGTTCCATCACTTCATCATCTGTCAGTTTCGGTATTAAAACATTTTCCTTAGATCTTATGTATATTATGTCATTATGATTGCTAGTTTTAGTATTATGATAACCTGATTTCCTGTGTAGATAACTCTTCTTATTGAATTCTCGTTCATCGGTTGGTGATTTCTCTTTATTCAATAGATTTAATAATGCACCATGTAAGGATTTCAAAGATTTCACTTTACCACTCCTTGAATGTTTTTTGATTTTCTTAGATCTATGATGTTTGTTTGTCCGTGAATTAAGCATAACTTGTATTTATTGATGTGGGTTTTTAATTGCTTTATAAGTTGTCAGCGGCGTTGCATTCATAATTCACTTCATCGAATATCTAAGTAGATCAAAGAAATGTCACTTTTAATATCAATTAATTTTTTTTTTTCTTGACGTTACGCGTAATAAAATAGGGTCCGTTGATCACTGTAGAACGATAAATAATTATTGTGCTCTATTCTACTCGAACAAATAACGTGTGGCCAACATATTTATAAAAAACCTACTGACATATTTCAGTGAATGGCGATATATATTAACGAATTGTAGAGCACCGACTTACACGTTTTGACTTGATATTTAGCAAACAATAATAATATTTTCAAAGAAAATGTTATTATTGTTTGGTAAGAGCTCGAAAAGTTTTATTAAATTTAATTTCTTTTGGAAGAAAATTTTAGCCAAATCAAGATTAGAAGATCTTATTCTGTTGAGTCAACTTGAGGTTACGGTTATGCACCTTAACGACAAAAAATTTGAGTTTCATAGACAAAAATATTACACTTGAAAATAAAACGAAGGATAAATACGTCTTATAATTACAAAAAAAAGCTTATTACTTTAACTTGACAAGATAAGATAAGACCAGATAAATTGTTTCTTCCTCTTGCTATTATTAACACCAGTCCCTACATTAATATCTATACCTACATCAATATTATTCCCGGTTCCCACAATCTTGCATGAGCCCGTAGGAAATTGGAGCCGTCACCTGTTTAACAGAATCGATATTTTCTAAAGAAAATTGAAAATAAAAAAATGAGAAAGGAAAACAAATGCAACAGTAGATGTTTGTTACTAACTCATACAAAATTAATATTTCAAGAAAGTAAGAATTACTGTTTCCAAACATATCAGTGAGTACGTGCATATTAAAATAATTATAAAAACCCCGCACATGTCAAAGTCTTCGCTCTTTTCTTGCACATTCATTGTCCTCTTCGATCTAACACTGAAGAACCTTCAAAGAGAAAAATTGTCTGGTACACAACTGAAGTAACAGTAAGAAAGAATTGATCAAACATATGTTGTTGTTCTGTTTAGATTGACCCTTTTGTCTATAGTGGTTGAATAGCATCATTGTTACTATTTTTATTATTAACAACCGCACAGAATATTGTTCATCAGACACCCACCCTCTCCGAACATATATGTATATAACGTGGTATCATAATAGTAGATAATATTAGTGAAGATAATGAGAAACTGATTGACGTCTGTATATTATTCTTCTCTCTTCCCACTCCCCATTGTGGTACATAAACAATAGAATTATTAGTCTATTATCTTGGCATAGTAAATAAATATAAGAATAAAAACACAAAAAAGAGAGCAGACGTAGGATTTAATCTATATCTATATCTATATATTGGAATACTTAATATTTTTTCCTGAATATGAATGTGAACATTTAGTTATAATACTTAGCGGGGTTTAAGTAATGATTATTAGTGTTTTCCACAACTGTGACTGTATTGGAGGTCTTAATGGATGTCGGCATTGCCCGAAGAAAGTCACACACGGAATTTATTATTCGCATTTAATTGTTTTTAAAATTTCTTGGAAATTCGCGATGAGGCAAAAAATTTACAGACAAAGAAATGTTCCGAGGTGCTGATGAGGTAAGACTTTTCTTTCCTCTGCCATACCATCATGTCATTCCATAATCAGTATATTATTCTTACATCTCTATTATTTGATGCTATTCAACGGGGAAGTGATCTCCGTCGAAGATGTTAATATGTTAATATACTATTTATTTTATGTAAATTATCCTTCTCCTATTATATACATTTTTATTTTATTGTATATCTTAATTTTTCCTTTCTCTCTGCTTTTTTAAGTCTCTTCCAATTCATGTGAAGAGGTCCTTTATTAAACTATAGAAAGCCTTAGTTAAGTGTAGTGTTCTGCGAATTGTACATGATTGATAAGTCACTAGACAATCTATTGGATAAACTATTCACTGCTACTGATACTGATTTGCTTTTTTTTTTTTGATTTGACAGGCATCAATAAATTTTAATTCAACTATTGTTATTCTCATTTTATTTCTCAAAAGGTTTGTTAAGTGACTAAAAAAAATTTTACCATTAAAGTAGATTCAAGATCGATAACATAAATACATTAGAGGATTCAAGTTCTTAAGGCTTACTATTTATCTTTCCGATTATTTTTTTATCCTTTTTAAATTACTCATATTAATATTGTTATCAAAGAGTGATGAAAGGTAGATACATTTGCTTAATAATATTATTACTTTAATCTATCAACTCTCTTTATTTATCTTTCAATTACCACATAATTTTAAAAGATCATACACTATTTTGGACTAAGAAAACAACCATTTAGGAACTGCATTTAAAAAAATTTTGTTTCCAATTTCTATTTCACTTTGCATATTAAAAATTATTTTTATAATTTTTTAATTTCCTTCTATTTGTTATAATGACAGTATTGACCACTAAAAATGAACCCAAACCTATTCAGAATCAATCAACATATCTCCCAAATTTCTTACGCAAAAGACGTCAAAATCAGAATCATACGCTTCAGGATAAGAAAGATACTAATGATGCTGACGATGATGATACAGATATAGCATCGTACGATATTAGTAATGAAATATATTCATTGCATTCGTCTAATATCAATGTGAATAATAATAAAGAACAAAATTATGACGATCATACAAATGATTCCTACATTAACAAGTTGGAGACTCCCTTACCACTCAGATCTACGGTTATGTCTTCCCTTGTTGGTATATTCGTGGCTGTGGGCGGTTTCATGTACGGTTATGATACAGGTTTAATAAACTCGTTGACAGATATGAAATTTGTTAAATCAAATTTGGCTCCAAGTCATGAGGAATTCACTATCACGCAAACCGCTATATTGGTATCATTCCTATCGTTGGGTACATTTTTTGGTGCTTTAGTCGCACCATGGATCTCAGATAAGTATGGAAGAAGACCCACAATTATTTTTAGTACATCTATTATATTCTCCATTGGTAATTCTTTACAAGTTGGAGCTAATCATTTACCATTATTAGTGGCTGGAAGAGTAATATCAGGTTTTAGTATTGGTATCACATCTGCTGTTGTACCTTTATATCAAGCTGAGGCGGCACAAAAGAATTTAAGAGGTGCCATTATTTCCACATATCAGTTTGCAATTACTATCGGATTATTAGTCTCAAGTGCTGTAGGACAAGGTACTAGATCAAGAAACGATGCATCATCATATCGAATACCGATAGGTTTACAATATATTTGGTCTTCATTTTTGGCTGTAGGTATGTATTTTTTACCTGAAAGTCCACGTTATTTTGTTATGAAAGATGAAATTAATAAAGCAGCTAAATCATTAGCTTTCTTAAGAGGTATACCCGTTGAGGATCCTAGATTGTTAGAAGAGTTGGTTGAAATTAAAGCTACATATGATTATGAAGCTTCCTTTGGTAAAGCTACATTTTTGGACTGTTTTAAATCTAGTGAAGTCAGACCTAAGCAGGTTCTTAGGATGATCACTGGGATGGGTATACAAATTATGCAACAATTTTCTGGTATTAATTTTATTTTCTATTATGGGGTAAATTTCTTCAGTTATACGGGTGTTAAAAATAGTTATATTGTTTCATTTATAACATATGCTGTTAACGTTGTATGTAATGTTCCTGGTATGTTTTTCGTTGAATATTTTGGTAGACGAAAAGTTTTGTTATATGGTGCCATTGCGATGACAATATCAAATTATATTGTAGCCATAGTTGGAATTACAGTGAAAGGTGATCAAAGTGGAAAAATAGCAATTGCATTTATTTGTCTTTTTGTAGCCTCATTTTCTTCAACATGGGGTGGTATTGTTTGGGTTGTATCCGCAGAGTTATATCCATTAGGTGTAAGATCTAAATGTACAGCCATATGTGTTGCAGTTAATTGGTTAGTCAATTTTATTTGTGCATTTATTACTCCATACATAAGTGATTCTAAAAACGGTTCTTCTATCAGTTCTAGCTCGAAGATTTTTTTCATTTGGGGTTCCTTGAATGCTCTAAGTATATTTGTTGTTTATTTTACTGTCTATGAGACAAGAGGTTTAACTTTGGAAGAGATAGATGAACTTTACAGAAAATCTCCGACATGTTTTACTTCATCTGAATGGAACAAGAAAATAAGAGAAAGACCATTGACATACAATCCGGATTTAACCACTAATCTGCTACAGGATATTGAAGCCTTGAATTCCAATCAAAATGGTGACGTTTTTACTACTGGTGTAAATATTCCAATGCAGACGATCTCTGAGACAAAAGAAATACAAACTATTTTTGAGGAAGATGATATATTTCCTGATGATATGATTGTGAATGACCCAGTTGTAGTACCGAAAGAAGCAGGACCTTCGAACATTGTGGATCCCGATATTAATATACCAGGACAAGTAGATCTAAATGGTCTTCATAGTAATTATGTTGACTTAGGGAATGGATTAGGTCTCAATGCATACAACAGGGGACCACCTTCCTTTTTAACTGATTCCAGTGAAGATGGTGAATATGGTAATGATGATAACTCTGAAATTTATAATACAGGCGACACCGGTTCATCATCTAAGAGTGTTAACAACCTTCCAAATAATGATGCACTCAATATGTATATGGCAAACTTGATAGATAGCTCATCTAATACAAGTGCAGGAACGAGTCTGAGCAATAACCCTTCTGAAAATTCGGACACACCATTATATTCATCGTTTGTTAATCAAATGAGACAGATACCGAGAACTGATACAAATACCGCGGGAACTTCGAACAATGATTGGAGTCAATTTCTTGCCCAAAGATCAGATTTATCATCTCATGCAGAATCTCAGGAATTTCCAACAGAATGAATCATGACACTTTTTTTGCATTAATTTTATTCTTTTTTTCAAAGTTCAATGTTTATAGATATTTTTGAACAAGCATTTCGCATTAGAGGTAGGTAATATTACAAGATTTACATGTTTTTTTTATTATAGTCATATATAAATTTTATACTAATATATTCTATCTTACTACAAAAGAAGAATATTTTAAATGGACCTATTGCAGAGAGCGGGTCCAAATTATCCATCTAATGGTGGCATTTCTATTTTGATGTCACCCTTAGTAAGATCATCATTCTATTTTTATAGGTAGAATTCGGAATGAATCGCGTTGCACGGGCTTGTTTTTTTTTTTTGGCAAATTTGAAAGAAAGAAAAAAAATCCAGATCAACAGAAAGAATTTTGAATTTTTTATACTGATAAAAATAAGACACGTCTTGCAGATAGTTCTTAATGCATTTTGATAAAAAGTACTTTTTATAAACTATTCTTGTTTCTTTGGTTTTTTAATAGTTATTACTTATTATTATAATAAAGAAAGTTGTTCATTCATTGGTATATTGATTCACCATCCTCTTTAAATTTTTCTTATCTCAATAATTTTTTGCATTGTATTTCTTTTTGATTCAAAAGAAAATAAGATAAATTTATAAAATTAGTTGTCAAGAATCTAACAAGGAATCAGGAACAAAGCAGAAAGAAACAAACGTAAAAAATGGGTTTATTTGCTTCTAAATTATTTAGCAACTTGTTCGGTAACAAGGAAATGCGTATTCTTATGGTTGGTCTAGATGGTGCCGGTAAGACCACAGTTTTATACAAACTGAAATTAGGTGAAGTTATTACTACTATCCCAACTATCGGTTTCAATGTTGAAACTGTTCAATACAAAAACATTTCCTTCACTGTTTGGGATGTCGGTGGACAAGATAGAATTAGATCCCTATGGAGACATTATTACAGAAACACCGAAGGTGTTATCTTTGTTGTTGACTCCAACGATAGATCTCGTATTGGTGAAGCCAGAGAAGTTATGCAAAGAATGTTAAACGAAGACGAACTAAGAAATGCTGTTTGGTTAGTGTTTGCCAACAAACAAGATTTACCAGAAGCTATGTCTGCTGCCGAAATTACTGAAAAGTTAGGTCTACATTCAATTAGAAACCGTCCATGGTTCATTCAATCTACTTGTGCCACATCTGGTGAAGGTCTATATGAAGGTCTAGAATGGCTAAGTAACAACCTAAAGAACCAATCATGAATTCATTTTAACGACCCTAATTTTTTAAAATAAAAATCAAAAAAAGATAATAACTGTTCTACTTTAACATTGTAAAAAGACAAATTTTGGACTAGTGAAAAAAGGAATTCTGTGCTAAACACATCTAGGTACGCATAAAGTTATATATATATTATATATGCATGTATAAATGAGAAGAAAACTTTGTACTCGTGTATAAATAATTATTTTACAAAGATTGCTAAAGGAAAGAACGTTCATAAAAATTTGAAGACCATTGCGTGTATTGTTCTTCTTAGTGCATAGATATTGAAATATTCTGAAGTTATATGTTTTCTTCGAGATTATATTTTAAACTTTGGAATGAGTTCATAATACACCAGGTGCACCAAATTAATATGAGAAGGAAAAATGACTAAAGTTCACCATCTTGAAAATTTTTGAAAAGTAGTCATTAGATGTAATAATTTATTAAAGTAGATGCAGGTGGTCTAACTAACGTCATTAACCATTTACCTTTTTATATGAGACTGCCACACCCATACAATTCTCAAATATTATTATGTGGTGTAGGGCTTTCCATAACTTTTCTTATCAAAAATCATGAACTTCATAAAAATTAGGGCCCCCAAGTTTGAAAACCGGATGGAGCAAATACATCAGTACATCACATATAATGTTTATGGCACGGCTGTTGCAACTGGTAATTTTTGTTTTCTTAAACCACGCATTAGTCCGTTGAGTGGTGAAATTTCATAATTTAGTCTAAAGGGAGTTGGCATTTATAAGATAATTAAGAACAACTAATCAAATATTAAGTTTAAAAGGATTTATTTGATATTTGATATTTATATTTTAATTTCATTTATTGAACAAAACTAATTAGGTAATAAAAATAATATTTCAAAAAACAAATTAAAATGGTATGTTTAAAATATCAAAGGAATTGATATTCAAATATTTAGTTTTAGCTCATTTTTTTACTAACTTCTTTTTGTCACTTTTAAAAACTCGTATGAGAATTCAATCATGGTGACATTCTAATATATATAGGCTGGTGTTAAGAGTTACGAATTGAGAACCAAATCTAAGGAACAACTTGAGTCCCAATTGATCGACTTGAAGAAAGAATTGGCTGAATTAAAGGTCGCTAAGCTATCTAAGCCATCTCTACCAAGAATTAACACTGTTAGAAAGAACATTGCTCGTGTCTTAACCATCATTAATGAACAACAAAGAGCTGCTGTTAGAGAGTTATATAGAGGTAAGAAGTACCAACCAAAGGACCTAAGAGCTAAGAAAACAAGAGCTTTGAGAAGAGCTTTAACTAAGTCAGAAGCTTCCAAGGTTACTGAGAAGCAAAAAAAGAAGGACATTGCATTCCCACAAAGAAAGTTCGCTATCAAGAACTAAAAATGACATCTCGTCTTCAATATGTACACATATATGCATCTATAAATTCTCATAATACTAATATTATTAATACTTTAAATACTTTAAATATAAATCATATTTTTTGGTTAAAATGCGCTATTACCGAAATAGTTTCTCTTTTTATATGCATATACCCTTTATAAAATGGTGTATATACTTATGTGTACTTCGTTGGGTATGTGAATCTATTTTTAGTAATATACGTTGGTGGCAAATCTTAACAGCCTTTTGACTAACGATGTTTTTTCTCTTTCTTTGACATTTTTTTTTCTATAAAGGTTCGATACAAAAATCTACATGAGGGAACAATTAAATGAACCCAAAATTACGAACTGTAGTAATGGCGTGATTATTGAGGATTGAAGAAATAGAAAAAAGAAAGAGGAAGTATGCACAACTATTTCTTAACAATCTCCACACCCCAATTCAGAGTTAAATGTGTAGTTTTGTCATCATCAATAAACTTGGAGACAGCACTATATTTACCTCTGGCCAATAACCCACTTGGAGCTTCACTCTCAGGTAGCTCAACCTCGTAGTATGGTTTAGTTTTGGTACTTGGAGCATAAGATCCCAAATGATCATCGATTTTGTCTACGGCAATACCGGCTTTCTTAATGTATTGAACGTATCTAAGACCAGTGATGATCTCGTGCTGCACTTTGAATGTAATTCTTAATTTGTATATTGAGTTTTCTTTGATTTTGTAACGTTTAGATGCTAATTCTTTAATTGTTTGTTCATTAGTCAAATCAAATGATATTGGTTTTGATTCGGTATTAACAAGTAATTGAATCTTTTGAATAACGACTTTACGCTTATCTCCTGGAAACTCTAATGGCAACACATCAGATCCTAAACCAAGGGATTCCTTCCATTTAGCTAAAGCTGCGTCTTCTGCGTCTAACTTTTTATACTCATCGACGGTCTTCTTCTCGCCGACTTTGTAGCCGTCACTGTTTTGTTCATCTTCGAACTGTTTGAAATCAGTATTTTCTGTAGCCATTTTTTCTATTGTATTTTATTTAAGTTCCATAAAGAAATTAATTGAATAATTATATTGTAAAAATGTATAATCAGGCAATTTCAAGTATCACGAATCCAAGAAAATTCAAATTAATTTCCCCTATTCCAAAATGAAATTTATCATTCGTGTTTCTTCATCGTCCTTTGTCTTTTATAAGCAGATTGAAATTTGAAAAAAAAATAAAAATAAAAAAAAAGAATGTGAGGAAGAAGAAGCTCAGTTTGTGCTATAAACGATAGGAGGAAAATTGGAACGATACGTAGATCAAATCAGGATACAGTCATCGTCATTTAAATAATACAGAGAGAACTACCGAGAAAGATAGAGAGGGAATTAATAGTTGATTGATTACAATTAATAGAACAAAAGATGGTTGTAAGTTACTTATAAGGTAATTAAACATGTATACGATGTGTAGGGTGTAAATTTATTTTCGTTACGTTTTTTCTTTAACTTTTCTGGTTAAAAAAAAAATTGTTAAACGGTACATTACGTAAATGGATCAAGAATGTTGTGGTAATGCAGTGGCTGTGGCCGTAGGGTCCCTTTTTGCCACTAAGGGAACGATCTAAAAGGCTTTAGAATGATCAAAACAGTAACAATTGACACATTGGATAAATGATAAATAAAAAATATATATGTATATCTTGAATTTGGGCAATCATTATAAATTTTACAAATTTAATCTCAATTGATGTGTGCTAAAATACGTTAATTAGAAACGATAATGACTACTTATGATTATTTAATCGAGGTGTGTGTGTTTTAGAATAAACAATTCTTAATCAAAATACATGTTTATATACCCATTAGTCATTAATGATGATTTATTGTAATATTTGTTTATTTAAGTTTGTTTGTGTTTTTTAAAAAAAATGAGTGATAAGGTTATCATGTATATATATATATAAATGGAAATGGAATACAATTTGTACTAGTAGTTTTCCCCCAGCAAAAACAATAACAGTCATAAAATAAAAATAAAGAAGAAATGTCAAAATGGGCTAAGAAAGAAAAGATAGAAGGAATAATTAGAGCAGAATTACAATCATCAATATGAAGAGAAAGAAAGATACCTCTTTTAATTCTATTTTCTTTAAATTTCTATTTTTTGTTTTGTTTTATTTTGTTTTGACATAAAAAAAAATTGTATTTCATTACAAGGGAAGAATGTGTGTATGTGAAGTCTCAGTTAATTTATGGATGTGTGCAAAATGAAATCATAAGAAATAATCAGGGGTCTTTCTTGTTACTGTAGGTTCACCTGGTCTAACAGATGGGTCATATTGTAAAAATTGTCTATTATTATTTTCATCAACTTCCATAATTGCAGCTTGATTCCCACATCTATAACAATAATTTGGAGCACTAAATATCGTTACAACGTTTTGTTGATGCGACCATGCATAACCTTCCATTACTAATTGATGAGCTCTAGCAACTAAAGTCAAATTATTTGTATGATTAAATTGTTCACTAATATCTTGGCCAAATGTGAAACCTGCACCTCTGGGACTAATACCCCATCCACCTCTATCATCAGGATCAGACCATAATAAATCACACATTGGACCTTCATGAGGTACTTCTTGTACTCTATTTAATTCACGTACTTGATCAATTGTTTCAATCATTGGAGAAAGACCACCATGTAAACAAAAGATTTTATTATCGACCAATGCAGTAATTGGGAAATAATCAAATAAATCTGTAAACATTTTCCATACATTTGCACTACCATATTTACGTAAACATTCATCATAAAACCCATAAACTTGAGTAATTTGACGAGATTCATGATTACCTCTTAATATAGTAATTCTATGTTGATATCTAATTTTCATAGCAACTAAATATGATACAGTTTCAACAGAATAATAACCTCTATCAACATAATCACCCATAAATAAATAATTAGTATCAGGACATGGACCACCGATTTTAAATAACTCCATTAAATCATGAAATTGACCATGAACATCACCACAAATTGTTACAGGTACATTAATTGGCTTAACGTTTTCTTCAAATTGTACTACATCAACAGCCATACGACATAACCTAGCAACGTCATCTTCTGAAAGCATTTCACAACGACCAAGTTGTTCAATCCATTTATCTAAATCATTAATATTATTTGGAGTCAATTGTAAAGGGGTAGAAGATTTATTATCAGCAATCCCAGAAGAACCTGGTTTAAAATCAATATCCTGATAATCTCCAGAATTATTATCATTGTTAGAGGTTACATCTTCTGTAATGGTCGGGGTGAGTTGTTCAGAGACAGCATCATGCATCGGTACATCCATATCAGCATCCATCGTTGTATATGTATATATGTGTGTGTCTGAATGACTATACTTCTAACTTCGTGTGTGTATATATTTATATAAATATATATATACAAATACAAATAATATTTAAATGTTCAAATGCTAAATCTGGTAAGATCTAATCCACTATCTACCTTTCAAAAGATATAATAAATTACCTATATCTTATTAGAAATCATTTACCTTGTACGGAGAGTGAGAGCTAAGTCGAGTTGAATTGAGTTGAGGGGGGGCGGGACAGTGTATAAATTTTGTTTGTTTGTATGAAATATTGAAAGAGCGGAAACTGTTTCAACCACCACCCAAAAATAAAGAACAAACGGGAAAAACAAAACACGGCGAGTGAGAAACAGAGAAAGATTTATCACTGTGTGTATGTATGTGGATACACCCACCACATGCAGATTTGTAAGGACAGTGTCTTGTTTTGTTTTGTTTTGTTTTGTATGTTCTCCCCTAAGATTATTACAACTCTAAATAGATACATATATGTTAAAGGTAAAGGGACAGTATATATATATAAGTTTACAGTAGTTCACAAGTCTATAGTTCATTTGTCCTCTCTCTATATATATATACATATGACAGTGTAGCGAGATACTGTGAGTATATCGCATACACTAGGTCGTAAATAACTGACATTCTTGCATATATCAGGCAATGAATTTCAATTAATGACATCTTATGTTCCAGTGTATTTACATATCAATAGCTTGATCCCATTTAATAATTGTGTATCCCCTCTCATCCTCTGTACGTATAGCGATGATTACTTATAGGACTTATGTATTACCCGGAATAATAAATAAAACTGTTTAAAATCAGGGTAATGTTGGCTGCACAAAAAATTAATTTGTTTGTTGCTGCTGCTGCTGCTGCCTTAATCATAAAGAAAAATAATTGAAATATATACATAATTTTTTGCCTAACAATAACTGACGGCTGCAAGTAACGTAACAAATCAAGAGAAAAAAAAAAGATTTTCTATTAGGCAGTGCAGTACGCAGTAAGTAATATAATATTCTATTAGCTAATACTTGATATCCATATATATATATATAATACTATTGATGTATATATATATATTACTTAATTCTTCTTCAAGGATATAGTTTACCTGTTTCTTATTATCAAATATATAGATAAACATAAAAGCATTTTTATATTCATATATCTACAGTAACAAAAAAGACCTTTAATTGTGTCTTAATTAGCATCCATATTACTTTTAGTTATATTGATTTTTGAAATATGGCTGGTGCTTTAGAGAATGCTCGTAAAGAGATTAAAAGAATCTCATTAGAAGACCATGCAGAATCTGAATATGGTTCCATTTACTCTGTTTCTGGTCCAGTTATTGTGGCAGAAAATATGATTGGTTGTGCCATGTATGAATTGGTTAAAGTTGGTCATGATAATTTAGTTGGTGAAGTCATTAGAATTGATGGTGATAAAGCTACTATTCAAGTTTACGAAGAGACGGCAGGTGCTACTGTTGGTGACCCTGTTTTAAGAACTGGTAAACCTTTATCTGTTGAGTTAGGTCCAGGTTTAATGGAAACCATTTATGATGGTATTCAAAGACCTTTAAAGACAATTAAAGATATTTCTCAATCTATTTATATTCCAAGAGGTATTGATGCTCCTGCTTTAAGTAGAGATATTAAATGGAATTTCACACCAGGTAAATATACCGTTGGAGATCATATCTCTGGTGGTGACATTTTTGGTTCTATCTTTGAAAATTCTTTATTAGATAACCATAAAATTCTATTACCACCAAGAGCAAGAGGTACTATTACATGGATTGCTCCAGCTGGAGAATATACCGTTGATGAAAAAGTATTAGAAGTTGAATTCGATGGTAAGAAATCTGAATATTCTATGTATCATACGTGGCCTGTTCGTGTTCCAAGACCTGTTGCTGAAAAATTATCTGCAGATTATCCTCTTTTAACTGGTCAAAGAGTTCTAGATGCATTATTCCCATGTGTTCAAGGTGGTACCACCTGTATTCCAGGTGCTTTCGGTTGTGGTAAGACCGTTATCTCTCAATCTCTATCCAAGTATTCTAACTCTGATGCAATTATCTATGTTGGTTGTTTTGCTAAAGGTACTCAAGTTATGATGGCTGATGGTACTGATAAATCTATTGAAGATATTCAATTAGGTGAATTAGTAATGGGTAAAGATGGTACTCCAAGAACTGTTATTTCTTTACCACGTGGTAAAGAAACAATGTATGAAGTTTGTCATTCTTCCGCTAAGGGTGTTGCTCCAAGTACATTAATGAACTATGTTTGTTCAGGTAACCATAAGATTGTTATGCAAACTCCACAACAAGTTGGTATCACAGAACATGGTCTAGATAACAATAAGACTTACACTAGTGTTTCCTATTTCGCTTTAACAGATTCTCAACATGGTTACCCTGTAGTTAAGAAGGTTACTAAGAGTTTTGAACATCAACAACTTGGTGGTAAAGAACAAACTCAACTATTGGTTAACCAATTTGTTGCCTCCCTGGACGCTAAGCCAATTGACTGGGATGTTGAAGCTAAGCATTATGAAACTTTAGGCCATTATGTCAAGAAATGTTCTTATCAATTAATTAACCCTGTTTTCCAACAATCTGGTAAATTAGCTCAACAACTAAATAACTTCGGTTACGCTAGTAGTTTGGCTCCACAATTAGGTTGGTTATTAGGTTTCTGGGTTGGTAATGGTGCTATGAGATATTCTCAATTTACCATTGAATCTCAAGATATTGTATTAATAACCAGAATCCAAGAAAATGCTTCAGCATTAGGTCTAACTGCTACTACTGCTTGTTACTACAGTGGTTCTAAGGATAACGAAGCTCAACTTGCTAAGATTAATGGTGGTAAAGTACAACCAGATGGTACTGTCGTCTTCGAAGATGATTTGGAAAGCACTCCAACTGCTAAAGAATTATCTGACATGGATAGATTATCAGAATCCAAGACTGCCACTGTTGCTACATCTTTCGGTGTTGAATCTATTGATGAATTAGTTGTTACTTTAGGTGCTGCTGATAGCCGCGGTAACATCTTTGCCAATATCGTTGAATCCTTCGGTATTGATATCTCCGACAAGGACGCCCTACCAGAAAAGATTGCTAACGAATTGGCTCATGATGACTTCGAAGTCCGTGAACAATTCATTGCTGGTTTGGTCGATGCTAACGGTTACGTTAGAAAGGACGTTTACGACCATGCCTCTGAAGCTACAGTCACTACCACTTCCAACGCTGTTGTTGAAGGTCTAGTTAAATTAGCTCGTTCTCTTGGTATTAAGATTGTTGTGACTACCGATGCTGATGATGAAGAAGAAGAAGGTCATCACGACCATGCTCATTGCGGTCATGACCACGACTCTACTACTTTCACAGCTGTCATGACTGGGGATGCTTTAACTAACTCCATGAGATTCTGTGCTCTTGGTAGAAATAAGGTTGTCGCTAAAGAATTCACTAGAGAAGCAGTTCCATTTTTCTTCACTTTAGACAAGAAGGCCGAAGATGATTACTACGGTATTACTTTACCAGATAACACCGATAAACAATACTTACTATCCTCAATGGCATTAGTTCATAACTGTGGTGAAAGAGGTAACGAAATGGCTGAAGTCTTAATGGAATTCCCAGAATTATTCACTGAAATTAACGGTAGAAAGGAACCAATTATGAAACGTACTACTTTGGTTGCTAATACTTCCAACATGCCTGTCGCTGCTAGAGAAGCTTCTATTTATACTGGTATTACATTAGCTGAATATTTCAGAGATCAAGGTAAGAATGTTTCCATGATTGCTGATTCTTCTTCAAGATGGGCTGAAGCTTTAAGAGAAATTTCTGGTCGTCTAGGTGAAATGCCTGCTGACCAAGGTTTCCCAGCTTATTTAGGTGCTAAATTAGCTTCCTTTTATGAAAGAGCAGGTAAAGCTGTTGCTTTAGGTTCTCCAGATCGTATTGGTTCTGTTTCCATTGTCGCTGCTGTCTCACCAGCTGGTGGTGATTTCTCTGATCCAGTTACTACAGCTACTCTTGGTATTACACAAGTTTTCTGGGGTTTAGATAAGAAATTAGCTCAAAGAAAGCATTTCCCATCTATTAATACTTCAGTATCATACTCTAAGTATACAAATGTCCTAGATAAATTTTATGATCAAAATTATCCAGAATTCCCAACTTTAAGAAATCGTATGAAAGAAATTTTATCTAATGCAGAAGAATTAGAACAAGTTGTTCAATTAGTTGGTAAATCTGCTTTATCTGATAGTGATAAGATTACATTAGATGTTGCATCTTTAATTAAAGAAGATTTCTTACAACAAAATGGTTACTCTACATATGATGCTTTCTGTCCAATTTGGAAAACTTTTGATATGATGAAGGCATTTATTGCTTATCATGATGAAGCTCAAAAATCTGTTGCTAATGGGGCTAATTGGTCAAAACTTGCTGAAGCTACTGCAGATGTTAAACATCAAGTTTCTTCATCTAAGTTCTTTGAACCAAGTAGAGGTGAAACTGAAATTAACGGTGAATTTGAAAAACTATTATCTAACATTCAAGAAAGATTCACCGAATCTACTGATTAAGGAAATGAAATAAACTCATAATAATAATAGAGTAATATGAACCAAAAAAGGAAAAAAAAACGATTTTAATTCCTCCTTAAGAACCCCCATCTCTCATTTGTAAACTACGCATTTCTTCCTTTTTATGATGACAACTTTTTTTTTGTTTAAACTAAAACCAATTCATCTTTTATTTTGTTGTGATTCTATGAAAAATAATTCAATATAATGATCTTTTGTTATTATTAGTAGATGGTTAATTATTAATTGATCCACGTTTTACAAATATATATATAGTTCTTTATTTTCCATTTTTATAGGTCACAGTCATACATATATAATATTATACACAATAAGAAAACTATTAAAATTTAAAAAAAAAAAGGATAAGTAAATACTTTAAATAATTGATAGATAATGAAAATAGTAGTTTATTAACTTAACAATATAGTCGTTAATTAATGTAAAATTTAACAAAGGAAGAAAAAAATCATTCATTAATAAATAAAAACTTTATAAATTTTATATATATTTATAAAAAAAATCAATCTTCGTAATGATATTATTATTATGTGCAAAAGGCAATCTTGAAAAAGATATACCTTGATACTTGGGATGGATAGTGCACTTTGTGGAGCTAGCTATATTACCAAATTCTATAAGATGAAGAGAATAATGAAAAAAATAATAATAATACAAAATAACGCAAAAGAAAATTTAATTGATTAGTTCAATATATTATATAATATCATCTAAATCATTTTCTTTATTATCATTCAATACTATTATATTGTTATTACAAAAGTCCTTCAGCTTATTTGGATCTAGCTCTCACCTTCCGTCTCTTTCTCTTAAGTCTTCTAGTTCTCTTCTTTCTCCACTTAGCTCTCATTATGAATGATGTTAAGTATACTGATTTATCTTAGGAATTGAAATAAGAAAGAAAATGTACAAGAAATAAGAAATTAGGTAAACAAAAATAGAGATAAAATAAAATAAAAATTTACAGAGAAATATATATTACACAATATTATTCAATTATTTTTCATCAATATATGTTGACATTTATATAATATATTTAATTGAGGGATTGAATGAGAAAAGGGAGAGTTTGGGAGCAGAATATAATTGGAAATTTCGCCCAATTTGAAATTTATTGCTCGATGATGAAATTTCGTCGCTTTAATTATTGATACAGCGATGTGGCAGGCTCATTCTATTAATTTTTCATTTTTCGCAGTTAATTTAACAGGAAGAAGAACAAAGTAAGATTTCTTAGATAAAGGAGGGTAACTATCAAGATTTACGAAAAGTTAGGGGTTCAGCCCTGTATTTCTGAAACTGCAAGGTAACAAACACACCTACAAGACCAAAATAGGGACAGTTTCATTTATATATGTTTATTAGGGTTTTATTAACCTACACTCCCACTACCCTTAATGGATGTCTAATAAATGGTTGGACCATTTATCTTGTAGCTTTATGGTTATAAACCCTAAGGTATATTTAACAGAACGCAAATTTTAAAGAAATTAAATAATTATTGTGAAAAATGAAATGTGTGGGTGTATGGGTGTATGGAACACCTAGATTTAAATGTTTGGGTGTTTCACAACCCAAAAAAACAACAGTCCAGAATTTTATCTTTTTCTTTTTCCTCCGCGGCTTTGTTAATGATCGGAAGAATAAAAAAGGGATAAACGAGAATTGTTTGTGCGTAGATAATGTGGATAGTCCACTGTTAACAGCAACAGCAACAGAAATGTCACAGAGAAGTCTTTTGATGAAAGGCTGTGACGTTCAATTTCAATATTTTTGTTTTTCTGTCTGTCTTGTTGCTGCGGTGCAGTGTTTTGCTCTCTCTCCGTGTGAAATACTGTTGTTGTCGTTTTTCTCATTCTCATAACATTCATTCATTACCCATAATAAATAATTGTTTTTGTTTTCAATATCGATTTAAAATATTGATCAATAAGTAATAAATAGTACTTACTATACAGACTAAGCAAATAGTAAGAAAAGAGACTATCATCCCTTACATACAGATTTAATAGATATTTTGTGATTAGATAATGATACTATAGTAAATATATATACCTATCTATCTATCAATATTTATTTATTTCAATTTAAATTTCATTGTTGTAAACTGAATTTTTTTTACTTTAAAGGAAAAGGATTCCTTTAACACATATAGAGAGGGCGAGAGTGAGGTATCTTTCATTGTAACCTGTTTAGGAAAGAGCGATGAGTATGGAGGAGATAACTGAAAGGAGTAGTAGTCAAGAAGAAAATGGGTCTATTGGACTTCATCAAACTAATGATAATAATGATAATAATGGTATAGTTGATCCTGAAGTTACTACTAGTAATAAACATGAATCAAAAAATGAAAATATACCTGAATGGATGAAACCTGTAATGAATAATATGACATTTACAACGGCTGAAGAAAGGAAATTATCACATTTAAATTCATATTCATTATATCCAACAACTGTACCACCATTTGCATTAGAAGAACAATTTAAAATTGCAAAAATTTTAAAAGAGGATAATGATAATGAAAAGATAAATAATAAGATTGATGATGATATGTTACCATCAAATGATCTTGGAAGATATAATTGGACAGATTTTGCAGAAAATATTGGTTCAAATGTCGCATATGCAGATAATCAAAAAATCAATATAATGCCATCTAATCGTCCAAAATTATCTAGAGTAACCACTAGAAATTCAAATTTTACTGAATCAATGTCATTATCAAATAGTAGTATAGACGAAGAAGAAAAAATGATGATAAGGAAAGAAGTTTTACAAGATTTAAATGAAGAATGGGGAGGTGAAGAAAGATTACAAGCATTATATAATTTACCAATGCAATCTGATTTTCAATTTAAGACTCAAAAGGATCGTAATGAATGGGCCACATATGTTGCAAGAGCAAAACAAATTTATTATGGTAAAAATTATAATAAAAAAAATGATGACAATAATAATGATAATGGTGATGTAACACAACAATTACGAGCTCCTTTAGGGACAATCTCTGGACAACAAAGTATAAGAAGTAGGAAAATAGATTGGTTAGAAGATTTTAATGCAGATAAAGAAAGATGGAGAAAAATTAGAGATAAAAAAATGAAAAAATGGATGCCAAAGATTAGTCGTGTATTAATTGAAAATCAATATTTGCCTTTAACCTTTAGAATTTGCATAACGGTCCTTTCATTAGCTTCGTTGGGTCTTGCTGTAAGAATATATCAAAATTCAGATGCAAATATTGCGAAGATTGACGGAAAGATTCCACAGGAACCAAGTACAATTATGGCAATTTGTGTTAATTCCATTGCAGTCTTTTACACAATATATATTGCTGCTGATGAATTTTCAGGTCAACCAATTGGTTTAAGAAATCCATTAAGTAAATTGAAATTAATTCTGTTGGATCTTTTATTTATCATCTTTTCAAGTGCAAATTTGGCACTAGCATTCAATACAAGATATGATCAACAATGGGTTTGTACCACCGATTATATGGAAAGTGGTCTGTACAAATTCCCAAGGATATCATATATTTGTAGGAAACAAAAAGCATTATCCTCATTCTTATTTGTATTATTATTCATGTGGGTTGGTGTATTCATTATTAGCATTATAAGAGTCGTCGAAAAGGTTAGTTCGAACTTATCAAGAAATTAACTATAGATAGTACGCAGTAGTAGAAGTAGAAATATCAGTATTATCTGGGTTATTTAAAATTTTATTTAGCATATTCCATAAATAAGTAGTAAACAGTTTTTTTTTGTATTATCAATTTTTTCTTCCTCCATTCACAAATCTTTTATAGATAAGAAGCTCATAATTTTGCCTCCCTAACGAACTTACGGAGTTGAAGAACAACCCTAATGTCGCTTCAATATTTGTAAATCATGGATATCTGCTGACTGTAGAATATAAAATATGTAATCACATTATTCGCATCAAATCACGCTCCTCAAGAAATATTGGAAAGCACTTTACCAGGCATAGTGAAGAACAAAGGAAGGAATTCGAAGAAAATAAAAAGAAAATGGTCCAGTTTACTCTTTCTTGAAGCCACTACCCCTAAATTTAATCCCGTCGCGATAAGCTTAGAACTTTTGAATATTTTCAGAAAGAATCATAAGCGTAGCAATCAGCTTTTTTTCCACACTTCGTTAAATATATATTTCAATGCTTGCCAACTAATTGAGTGTCGCAGAATATTTCTTGATGAAGAGTATATAAGATATCACCATACTTTGAAGAAATTTGCCAACGACGTTGACGTCCTTTTCAAAAAAGAAACAAAACTTGTACTATCTAGGACGGCTTTCGTATCATTGGTTTTTTATATCTGGAGTACAACAGATAAAAAGGAGTCTTACCTCCCAGTGGTAGCTTATTTTGTACCAAACAGCACTCTTATATCACAGTTAAAATCAGAATTCGTTGAAAAACTTTTGAAAAATAATAGAAATGAACATCACTGTAAGATAGTGCTGGGTTTAGTAGATGTCACTTCTGTTATTCACTCAGGTAACGATCTCTGGGGGTACGTATTTTCACTTTTGAAGAAATACGACATATCTGAAAAAGTTTTCTCCATTACTGGAGCTAATACTTCGAACAACAAAACTTTAATAAAAAATCTATCTTTTAATCTTGAAGGTTGACCTCATATTTTGGATATTGAGCTTGATCTCTTTTTTGTCAGATGTACTGCTCATGTACTGAATCTGATCGCGCAGGTTCTATGTATCATGAGTACTTTATCCGACTTTCTATCTTAAATTGTGAAAGAATGAGCAGACATACGGACAGACAGATTGAATTTCGTCAGATAAACATAGTATAAAAAGCCTAAATACATACCTTATGTAGTTAATACAAGTTCTTAATAATGTCAAATTGAGGTGATTGATACTCATGTTTCAAAATCCCCTAAGTATGAGTTGTTGTCGGCATACGAATATTTTTTGAGAGCGCGTGAGTATACTCATTCACCAACCCTGTATTATAGAAATGGGTTACCCTCCTACGCTCTATTAAAAAAATTTCATCCTTCTCTTTCCCGCAAGGCATTAGAATGTTTGATTCTTAATAATGTTGTGGCGAACAAGAATAAAGTGATCTTACGATTGTTGCGGGGGGGATGTCATACTAGTTAGTAGCAAAAACCTCATAAAAGGAGTGGGATAATACAAAATCTAAGGATCAGTTCCCAATTCTAACATATTGAGGCAATCTTTTATATAAAATAAAATTCCCGCTATTACCTTGTGAATTCATTCCGTTGTTGTTATTCTTTTGTTATCTTATGGATCAAAACCTACAATAATTGATCATAGAGTATAAGTGAAACAATTAAAAGATAAGAAGAAGAATATATTTGACTTTCGTATCTATTTTGCATTATATCTCGATACGTAATCGTTTTTGAATTCTTTTCATCTGGCGCTATTTTTTTACAATAAGATATAAAACTACACTATCATATTCTTAGACAAATAATACATCATTTCAAGAAAAAATAAAAAAGTACATACGAAATGACTGAAATGCTCCCAAGATCAGATGATTTGGAAGCTACATGGAATTTTATCGAACCAGGTATCAATCAAATCTTAGGTCATGAAGACGCTCATAAGCAGACATCACAAGATAAAAGGGTTGATAAAATATTATCACCTACTATGTATATGGAGGTCTATACCGCAATTTACAATTATTGTGTAAACAAATCACGTTCTTCTGGTCAATTTAATACTGATAAACCATCTAATCAATCATCTATCCTAGTAGGTAGCGAAATATATGAAAAATTGAAAAATTATCTTAAGAAATATCTTCTAAATTTTGAAAAAAACCCTGAAGAAACATTTTTACAATTTTATGTTAGACATTGGAAAAGATATACAGTTGGTGCAATTTTCTTGAACCATACCTTTGATTATATGAATAGATATTGGGTCCAAAAGGAGAGAAGTGATGGTAAGAGACATATCTTTGATGTGAATACATTGTGTTTGATTACTTGGAAAGAAGTTATGTTTGATCCAAATAGTGAACTTCTTGTTAATGAGATTTTGGATCAAATCACTCTCGAAAGAGATGGAAACGCTATACAAAGAGGGGATATAACTACTTCAATCAAATCTTTTGTTATGTTAGGTATCGATTTACAAGATTTGAAGAAACTAAATTTAAATGTTTATATTCAAGTATTTGAAAAGCCATTTTTAAAGAGAACTGAAGAATATTACAGACAATACTCCTTGGACTATTTGAAGTCTCATTCAGTGACAGATTATATCTTTGAGGCACATACCATTATAAATCGTGAAGAAAAGGGTATGGCCATGTATTGGGATGATCATACAAAGAAACCATTATCTGAGACTTTGAATGCTGTTTTAATTAAAGAACATATTGAAAAGATGGAATCTGATTTTGTTAATTTGTTGGATTCAAGGGATAATAATAAGATATCTGCATTATACAATTTGTTACAAAGAGATTTTACATTATTACCAAAACTTGCCACAGCTTATGAAGATTATGTAAGGCGTACAGGTGAACATGAAGTCTCAAATTTGATAGAAGCCCATAGAGCTGCTGTGATGAGCAATGCACCAGAGGGAGCAAATCCAAAGAAATTAGCTATGACAGCAATGCATTCATTCCCACCAAAGGAATATATAAAGAGATTACTTGTAGTGTATGACACATTCCGTGTAATCACATATGATTGTTTTGATAACGATGTTCTTTTCACTAAGGCACTTGATAACGCATGTCGTGCTTATATTAATGATAATGAATTTGCATTACCACCGGGATCTTCTAGATCTGCTACATCAAAGACATCTGAAATGTTAGCCAAGTACAGTGATCAATTATTAAAGAAATCTACAAAACCTGAGATTACTGCCGATATGTCTATTGACGATATTATGGTAGTATTCAAATTCTTAACTGATAAGGATGTATTCGAATCACATTATCGTAGATTATTTGCAAAGAGATTAATTCATGGAACCTCTATATGTGATCAAGATGAAGAGGCTGTTATTCAAAGGTTACAAAGTGAGAATAGTATGGAATACACTGGTAAGATAACAAAGATGTTCCAAGATGTCAGACTTTCCAAGATTTTGGAGACAGAATTTGATATGATGGTGAAAAAATTACCAGATTATTCAAGAAGTAAATATCCTGAATTACAACCATTTGTCCTTGCTGAAAATATGTGGCCATTTTCATTTCAAGATGTTGAATTTAATATCCCACAAGAATTAGAGAGCACTTACACAAGATTAGCTGACATGTATATTAATAAACATAATGGTCGTGTCCTTAAATGGTTATGGCCATTATGTCGTGGGGAATTAGTGGCAAATATTGGGAAACCAGGTCGTCCACCATTCCATTTCACTGTAACATTATTCCAAATGAGTATATTATTATTGTTTAATGATACAGATACTATTACATTGGAAACTATTCAGGATAAGACTGGATTATCGTTACAAAACATTGCTGCGTCGATGGTACCATTCATTAAATTTAAATTAGTACAACAAATTCCAACAGGTTTAGAAGCCTTAGTGAAACCAGAGACTCAATTTAAGATTGCTCAGCCATACAAGGCGTTAAAGACTAAGATTAATTTTGCAGGTGGTGTCAAGAACGATATATTGAATGCATTGCAAAATAATAATAATAATAACAGCAATAATAACAATAATAGTAATAATAATGGTGCACAGGGTAAAAATGGTAGTAATACAAACGGTAACACAATGACGGAGAACGAACTAATAGAGAAGGAGCTAAATTCTGAGAGACAGATCTTCTTAGAGGCTTGTATTGTCAGAATTATGAAGGCCAAACGTAAACTACCACATACCATGTTAGTAAATGAATGTATTGCTCAGACACATCAACGGTTCAATCCTAAGGTGTCGATGATCAAACGAGCCATTGATGGGTTGATTCAAAAGGGATACCTGCAGAGGTGCGATGATGGTGAATCTTACTCTTACCTTGCTTGATCTAATCTGATCTGAACTGAACTGAACTGATCTTCTGACTTTAATTCTGGGCGTACATACTATCAGTTTTCCTTTCCACAAACATACAACACATTACAAAAGTAAGTACCATACTAGAGTAAGTAATGAACAAACTACGTAGATATTTAAAAAAAATACAAAAAAATTTAACAAAGAAATATTCATAAATAACTTTAATATTACTTAGTACGTAATCACCAAATGTCAAAACAGATGAGTTAGCATTGATTTGTACTTTTTGTGTTTTTTTATTGTATAATTCTGAAATGTCATAGAATTACTCACTCAGTAATAACAAACTATAATAATATAGTCGATCACCAGATTCTCAGTACGTACGGTTTTAATCTCTATTGTTGTTCCCTTCTATTTTAGTTCATATCAAAGCAATCTCACGAGTATTTATTTTGAAGTACTGACTCTTCAATAAAGCTGCGCAAAAAAAATAGAAAAACTTCCGTCGGGAAATGAGCAATCCATGTCAATTCACCGCTACAAAAGCCGTGGCTAATTTCCTGTGGGAAATACAACGGTTAAATTTAATACAATTTAATAAACAGGGAGAAGTTAACTGATGGTAGCAGCAGCGAGGAACTTAACTGGTGACTAATCTTTTTCACTTTTTTTTTTTTGGCTGGCACTGCCAACAACAGTACAGAGGAAAATTGTGTGAAAGTGAAATTTGAGTTCTCAGGTCTTTGCTGGAAAATTATATGCAATGGCTTTTCTTATTAATTATTGGTCTACCATCTCTCGATTAGTCAAGTAAAAATGTTTCTCTCTGTCTATCCTTTCTTAACTCCTTATTGTTTTTATCCTTTTATTGCTCTCTTTTACTCACTGATTCAATGGTTTTTCCCATCGTGAAATTCTATTTGGAAGAATCTCACTGGGAAGTTGAGAGAAATCCCTAGGTTCACGAAACTGTAATAATTTAGTATGCATGTGTGCATAATAATAAAGGGTGTATGAATGATCCCTTTTCTTAACGTAGTTAACTGAATGTTTTGGTTTGGCTTAGTCTATTTTGCGCATTTCGAAACCTTGAAAGTTTTATAGCTTGGCTGTATTTTGACTAATTAACTAAAAAATTTTGATCTTAACAATATTATATATATATATATATATATATATTGTTATATATTATATCTTAATTTATTATTTGGGCATCTCTTTTTATTGATAAATTTATTTCATTATCCCTATCTTTTTTTTTATTATTAGTTTCCAATAGTCTTACATAGATAGGTATAACCAAATTATCTAATCTTATTTAGATTTCAAGAAACGAAAAAAAAAAATTAATACTGTCTAATAATGAGTGCAAGTAACGATATTCAAAAAGTAACAGAAACCATACCTGGTCCACATCAAGTTAATCCATATGGTCCAAACCCTGGTGATTTTCTTTCTAATGTTAACAATTTTCAATTGATTGATTCTACTTTAAGAGAAGGTGAACAATTCGCTAATGCTTTCTTTGATACTGAAAAGAAAATTGAAATTGCTAAAGCTTTAGATGATTTTGGTGTTGATTATATTGAATTGACTTCTCCTGTTGCTTCTGAACAATCTCGTAAGGATTGTGAAGCTATCTGTAAACTTGGTTTAAAAGCAAAGATTTTAACTCATATCAGATGCCATATGGATGATGCTAAAGTTGCTGTAGAGACAGGTGTTGACGGTGTGGATGTTGTTATCGGTACTTCTAAATTTTTAAGACAATATTCTCATGGTAAAGATATGAATTATATTGCTAAGAGTGCTGTTGAAGTCATTGAATTTGTTAAATCTAAAGGTATTGAAATTAGATTTTCTTCTGAAGATTCTTTTAGAAGTGATTTAGTAGATTTATTAAACATTTATAAGACTGTCGATAAGATTGGTGTCAATAGAGTTGGTATTGCAGATACTGTTGGGTGTGCTAATCCAAGACAAGTTTATGAATTAATTAGAACTTTAAAGAGTGTTGTCTCTTGTGATATTGAATGTCATTTCCATAATGATACCGGTTGTGCCATTGCTAATGCTTATTGTGCTCTTGAAGGTGGTGCTCGTCTAATCGATGTCAGTGTTCTAGGTATCGGTGAAAGAAATGGTATTACTCCATTAGGTGGTTTAATGGCTCGTATGATTGTTGCTGCACCAGAATATGTTAAATCCAAATATAAGTTACATAAGATTAGAGATATTGAAAATTTGGTTGCTGAAGCCGTTGAGGTTAATATTCCATTTAATAATCCAATCACAGGGTTCTGTGCTTTCACTCATAAAGCAGGTATTCATGCAAAGGCAATTTTGGCTAATCCTTCGACTTATGAAATTTTAGATCCTCATGATTTCGGTATGAAGAGATATATTCATTTTGCTAATAGATTAACTGGTTGGAATGCAATTAAATCAAGAGTTGATCAATTGAATTTGAATTTAACCGATGATCAAGTTAAAGAAGTTACAGCTAAGATTAAGAAGATGGGTGATATTAGACCATTGAATATTGATGATGTAGATTCTATCATTAAGGATTTCCACACTGGTTTAGCTACTCCAGCTATTAAACCAGTAGATGCCGGTACTGATGAACCAGCTGCAAAGAAGACTAAATATTCCAAATAAGAACATCAAAAATGAAATGACAAAAAAATAAAATAAAAATAAAAAAAAAGTACAGTGGTAATATTTCAACGATTTAGTAATATGTCGTTGGTTTTCAACTATCTATATATATGTATTACGTATGCTGTTTTTTGTATAATGTATTCTAAGAAAATAAAATTAAATTAAATTAAAATTGAATTAAATTATTAGTTTTTGAACGAGTCATAAATGTTCGAATTGAAGACCTAAATGTAAATAATCGTACTCTATGACAAAGTAGCTACCACAAGAAAATATTACCACCAATTCATACTATTAAAGAATGCTTACAATTTCTAAGTCTTTGATGGATTTAATCATTTTGAATCAACCAAATAAACAAGATCCAATGCCTTTACCATTAAGTTAATTTAGTTCAACGCATAGAGTAAGATATACTTGGAATTTATAGTTGCCATAACTTACTCGTATCAAGTGACAGGGAGTATCGGGTCCCGTTAAATTATATACGGTTAAAGAGAAAGGGAGAGAACAGTTCACTTCCACACGCTGTGTGTGTGCGCGAGTCTGTGGAGGCTCACTGATTTGTTTTTTCAAAATTGGAAAAGTTCACGGAGAACGGGGATTCGTCTTCGCTTTTTCGCAGCTCAGACAATAGTCACATAAATTTTTCTTACTGATAATTAATTCTAATTTCTTATATAAATATAATACAAGGAAAAGGAAAATTAAGGGGACATTAAATTATTTTTGTTGCTAATTTTGAATTAAATAAAGAAAGAAAGTAGATTATATATCAATTAAATATAATTAACAACTATATAATATTATTATTAAGAAATCAATTATGATTATGAATGTTACATGTCGTGGAACTTTGCTAAGGAGCAGTATCAATTTACCTATGAGTAAGAGACTACTAAGAAGTTATCCAGGTGGTACACAAACATTGAATGGATTTGAGAAATTTAATCAAAGAGAGCAAGCTAAAGAGAACTATTTCATTAGAAAACATGAAAAGGAACAAATGGAAGAACAAGTAAAACATTATAAGGAACAAATTAAACATTTAAATAACAAAATCGATGAGATTGAAAAAGAACATGCTAAAAAATCACAAAAATAGATTGTATCTCTTTTTATCTTCATGAAAAAACAAACAACTTATATAAAAAAAAATTAACAAACTAGTTATAATTAGTTATTATCAGTTTGAAACATTAAATATTATTCTTTATTCTATAAAATCTATTTTTCTTTAAAAAGTTAAAAATAATACTATAATTCGTGTATCTAGTTACCTTTCCTCTTTCTGAATAAAATTATATATTGAAATGACTTTTGTCCACGCTCGTCCAACACGATATACTTCACTACTAAATTTCTTATCAAATTTTCTTCTTCTCTACGGACATTTTACACTGCAGGATTGATGCGATGAGGACGGGAAAGAGAAAACTAAAAACAAAAAATTATTTTGAAAGCGAAAAAATTTTAATCGGAAAGGAAAACAAACGAATTTGGGAAGTGATGACATCTGCAAAGGTGATGCAATTAACACATGATACATGACGGAGTATCATTCTTGATAAAATAGACAGTTAGTCACTTGCTATTGTTCTATTTATATATTTATCAACCTTTTATCTTATTTATTTATATTTCATACCCGTAACTCATTAGATATTTTAGCATAGCATATATGTCATAGAGACAACAACAACAACAACAACAACTACAACTACTACAACTACTACAACAACAAAATTATAGATAACAGATATACAATATAGAGAGCCTAATTTTACTCTGTTTTTTGGTTCATTTATAGAAAAAAAGAAAACAAACATAGAAAATAAATTATATAGAAAAAAAATGGAATTACCAAGGAAAGAAAGTCGTGGGTCAGGGATACAACCGTTCCAACTAGTGACCCCACAAGAACTTATTGATAAAGACAATAGTGCAAATAATACTGCAACTGCATCTACAGCAACAGACGGTGGTAATGTATCACGAACTACTAATGCTTCCAAACAATCGACAATGATGATATCTACTGTGACAAATGGTTCGCAGACTGAAAACTCAAAGAAAGCGAACGTAGATATCGAAATGGAAGATATTGGTAGACGATTATTCCATCCATCGTTAGAAAATACAAGAGATTTGGAGAATGAAATTGCTGCATTAATACAACATTTAAATAAAAGACAACGTTTAATGACAAATACTAATATTAGTAGCCAAACTCCAGATATTGTAAGTGATGCGAAAGTAATAGATGTATTAAATAAATCACTAATGGCACTATCTCATTGGACTTTACAGGGGCAACTATTACAAATGTCAGATTTAAGAAGAAATGATAGTGTTATTAGTCATAATAGAACTTCTATTAATACACCGTTATCGGAAAGACAAAATAACAGTGTAGAGGGAACTCCAAAGCATAGAATTACAACAACGGCCAAAATGTCAATACTATCACCTCCAAGACAACCACAGATTGAAATATCACCAAAGACTGCTGTAGTACAGACTAATGGTCCACAGAAAGTTATACGATTTGGTCGTATACGCAAACCTCGTCAATCAAAGACAATAGAAATTCAAAAGCCTACGCTAATAGTCACTAACGCTGATATACCAACGACTACACCAAGTATAACAGCAGCCACTTATCTTACATCTCCTACAAACAAGAACTCTTCTCCAATGAATGTCAACAGTAATAATAATAATAATAATAACAACAATAATAATAACAACAACAATAATAATAATAATCATCACGACACTGAAATCACAACAACTACACATGGAGTATACAAATTATCAGACAGTGAAAGTACTCCAGTCACGATATCGACGCCGACAACAGTACCAAAGAAGAGAAAGAAAAGGACCTTTACACAAGCAACAATGACACATACCATAGATCCAAAATCTAGGAATGAACAAATCCGAGTCTTTCAATTCAAAAAATGAATCGCTCTCATGCTTCTACTGCAAACTTAAACCAATATTCACATCCACATTACAACCTTGTATCATTATCACCTCATTCGCACACTCATCACTATATATACATATAGATACATACATACCTACATGTTTAATTTTTTAATTTAATTTTTAACGGACTCTTAACAATATCACTTTAAAACAATGGACCCTGTAAGCTGAGTTTTTAGTTTCCTATTGCTTAGTGAAACCAGCAAATTACTTAAAGAATTAAACAAACTTGCTTACAAAATTACATCACTATGAACGAGGAATAACCTAACCCAGCCATCTCGTCCCTGGCACGCGAAACGCCCGCCACTCAAATTTTTTTTTCTTTTTCTTTGTCTGCGTGTGTTTTTTAGCCTGAGAATTAAAATTCCAATTAATGACCAAATCAGGTAATTTTGACCTGCTCGATACAATCAAATTTGGCGCTTCCCATTTAAATTCATCGCGCGACGCCAATTGTTCTTTTTCAATTTACTTAGATGGGAACTTTGAAACGATTTAGAAACTACAACTAAAAAGATTTATGTATACTGAGAGTAGTTCGTTCTTTTTATTGTTCTTTGCTGCAGCCTTCAGAGAGTCAGAGTACTGGGCTTAAATTTTATCTTTCGAGATGCAAAAATATACCTGCAACACACTTGTTCATATATATATACATATATGAATTGTTATAAATATAAATACTTTTTTTATTTTTAAACTAAATTTCTTGTAATGACTTGTTCAAAAAGTGAAAAATAATAACTGAAAATTTACTAGTCAACCAACGTCGTTCCTATTCAAATATAACAAATAAAAAAGCTAAAAAGCCAAAAAAAGATGATAACTGATTATGAAACCTTATTGCAGTTTAACAAACAACAAGTCACTAGTGAAATGATTGATTTTCTGGCATCAACCACAGAATCTATCATAGGAATTCAAGAGACTCGTAGCATGATTGCCATTGCTTTGCCAGCTCCACCTTTGACAAAATTCATAAAAAAATTGGTCACTCATTCTAATGTACAAACACCAACATTGATGGCCACAGCAGTATACTTAGCTAAATTACGTTCTATTATTCCAGCAAATGTATTTGGTATGGAGACCACCCGTCATAGAATCTTTCTAGGGTGTCTCATCTTATCGGCAAAGACTCTTAACGATTCCTCTCCTCTAAATAAACATTGGGCAAAATATACCGATGGGTTATTATCTATTAGAGAAGTGAATACAATTGAACGAGAATTATTAGAATATTTTGATTGGAATGTCATTATTGAGACAAAAGATTTGATTACTTGTTTACAACCTTTATTAAGAACAATGAAGGATAGACAAACCCAAGCTAGAAGATCTTCACAAAACCAAAATCTATTATGTTTCAACTCTCCAACTTCCTCATATCATCGTTCTACCACCACAATGCCTTCCCCACATTCTTATCACAAGAAGATGTCTTCAACTGTATCCTCACATTCCATATTACATTCAAGATCAGATTCCAATTATTCTATCCCATCATTAGCTTCAACTTCCTCTGTATCGTCAATGGCCTCCAGAAGATCTAAACATTCATTAGGTAAGGTTCAAATGATTCCAGAAGAAAACCAATCATATACTAATACAAAAAACCCTTACAATGTCCCAATTACAGAATTCAATAAAGAAAATATCGTCGATAAGACATCACGTCTTTCTTCAAATTCTTCATCTCCAGTGAAACCCTTTATGTTAAGGAATGGATTAGTGAAAATTAAACCAATCTCAACTACCGTAGATTCCGCATCAAATTGGGCTTCATCATTCTTTAACTAATCTGCATTACATTACGGTCATCGTAATACTTACACAAATACATACATATATTCATAGCATCAATATATTCAAATATATATACGTAGACACAGACATACATATATTTCAAGCAAAATAATCAAAAAAAAAATGCATTACATCAAATTTTTAATGATTTCTAACATACACACACACTATTATTTAAACTTAGTGGTGTGCCTCTTATTCCGCATTTTCCAATTTGGCGAGTAGTTCCTTGTGCAATTTACCAAGGGTTTCAAAATCTGGTTCTGCGGCAGGCCATTCAACACCTAGACCAGTTTTAGCATCTCTCTTTGGAATTAAATGGAAGTGAACATGTGGAACCTCTTGGTGAGCGATCTTACCATTGTTTTGCAGTAAATTGTAACCAATACCATCTTGGCCCTCAACGTCTAATTGAAGAAGTTTTACCAATTTTTTAGTCACTGGTAGGACGTCTTGTAGGTACTCATCTGGAATATCTGTTAATTTTGCACCATGATATTTTGGGATGATTAAAGTATGACCTGCAGCTGTGGGTTGAATATCTAAGAAGGTATAAACATGAGCAGTTTCATACAATTTAAATGAGGGAATCTCACCCTTGATAATCTTACAGAAGATGCAAGAAGCATCATGTGCAGCAGCAGTTTTAGACATAATTTATAGTTTCTTTCTTTTAGTACCTATATGTTTATCAATGGATATCGATTGAATTCCCACAATGGTTATGACAATTGAACTAATACATGATTATGAGGTGTCTTTCAGTGTTTTGTTTGACTCAATTACGTGATTCTTCTGGTTGCTGGGAAAATGAAAAGGGATTCCTTTCTCTTGGCGCGTTGATTTATTAAAAATACACATCGTCTGCTGTGATAAAACATCGATTTTCCCCAAGAATTAACAAGATCTTACTTGTAAGACTAAATGAACAAGCTTCATTTACAAATTTAATATATTAATACGACCTATAACTGTGCCTTTCCTCTATTTTCTTTGTGATAATAAAATCATTGTTTCGTTTTCATTTTTATGATTATTAATATAACAACACAACGAACGGATGTATTTAAGGTTGCATATCTCGAATGGCAAGAAATTTCTCATAGGTTCTAGGCCGTTGAGAGTATAAGTATACGGATGGATAATGACTTTTAAATTACCTCCTTTATTTCTTTCAATTAGATAATTGACTTATGTATAGCTTGCTTTCAATTGCCCTTTGTTTATATATTTGCTATTAGTTACGGTTTCACAGGAGTCAAGAAAAATATATTCGCCACATCGGGAACACCCCCCCTTAAGTAATTTCACCTTTGAATATAACGTTACAAATTCAAACAATTTGTTTTTGAATACGTCCAATATTTTTTATTGAGAGGTGAATATAGATATCTTGAACTGGTAGGAGCAACACTCAAAAATAATGTCCTTCAAACAAAACTTTTTTACGTTAAACAATGGGAATAAAATCCCTTCCGTAGCTGTAGTCGGTACAGGTACAAGATGGTACAAACAAGAAGAAACTCCTGATAACTTCAACAATGAATTGGTTTCCCAAATTGAAAAAGCATTGACTTTACCAGGAATTGTTCATATTGATGCTGCTGAAGTCTATAGAACCTACCCAGAGGTTGGCAAGGCTCTAAGTCAATCTAAGAAACCAAGGAATGAAATATTTATCACCGACAAGTATTCTACTCAATTGAAGGTAACTGAAAACCCAATTGTTGGACTAGACACTAGTTTGAAGAGATTGAACCTTGAATTTGTTGATCTATACTTGTTACATAGTCCATTTGTTACTGTCGAAAAGAATGCTTTCACATTGGAAGATGCTTGGAGACAAATGGAGAAATTGTACAAGGATGGGAAGGCCAAGAATATTGGTGTCTCTAATTTCTCTACCGAAGATCTAGAGAAAATTTTAGCTATCTGTGAGATTAAGCCTCAAATCAATCAAATTGAATTCAATGCATTCTTACAAAATCAAACACCTGGAATCGTAAAGTTCTGTCAATCCAATGATATTATTCTAGAGGCTTATTCCCCATTAAGTCCATTCCAAAAGAGACCTGAACATTCCGACACAGATCCCTTTTATAAGTTTATTAACAGTTTGACTGCCAAATATTCAAAAACTGAGGCCCAGATCCTATTGCGTTGGGTAACAAAACGTGGCATTGTCGCAGTGACAACTTCATCGAAATTTTCTAGAGTTCAAGAGGCTCAAAACTTGTTTTCCTTTGATTTAACCGATGAAGAAGTTGAAGAGATTACCAAGTTAGGTTTAAAACACAAAGCCCAAAGACTTTATTGGAATGAAGAATATGACAAGTACAACAACCAATCGCAACAATAAGCGCCGTAGAATGCAACTTTGTTATACGAAAAAGTGCACGTAAATATATATATATATATATATATATATTAATCGACAGTAACTAATGAATATCTATATTAAAAAGAATTTATGATTCTTTATGAACTTTTATTTTATGTAATATTTATATCTTAGTGATGATATATGAACGCATTAAGGGGAAGATTAATTTAAAAAGAAAAGGTAATTTATTCTGAATATGCAGGTGGTTGTGATGTTTGAATCTTATTATCTGTTGGTCTTGTCCTCTCTTGATAATTAGACTCTGATAAGAGAGGTCTTCTCATATCTTGATTTTCTCTATTAGATTCTGCTTGCCCCTCATTATCTTGCCATCCATTCTGGTAAAAATATACATATTCGACGTCTCTACGCAAGGGACTTGTCACAGTAATATAATAGAATGCATGAATCATACCAGGTACAAACCCACATAATGTTAATAGGATATTAAGTAAGAAATCCTTTGAGCAGAAACCAGATCTCAATAGAACGGCGACAGGGGGGAAGAAGAATGCCACTATATAAAGAATAAAATCGGAAACCGAACAACACACATAGACACACATTATCTATACTATATATATCTTATTGTAATTCTCGTTGAAGAGTAAATGTGAACGAAAAATATTTTAGTTTGAAAAACTAGTTTGAATTTTGCTCGTTAATCTGTTCAAAATCACTTGGAAGAAAGTTTTTATAAACTAAGTATCATATGCTTACATGAAAAAAGGCATCTCCTTCTTTTTTCCACCCATTGAAAACAAAGCGATATCTCTATGTCTATCTATATAAACTTGAGATGACCAAACTAATAATAAGACCACTTTCTGTAAAAAACAATAATAAACAGGGAGAATGAATGTGACAGGAGCGGACTAATGGTATAATATGAGGTGTAATCTATGGAATGAATGAATGCATTGTATGTAATATCGATATACTTATCTATCTATATATCTATATTAAATTACTTTTAAGAAATGATTACTTCTTGATGGTCCCACTTCTAAAGGGTTTGTATTGGTTATATCTCTTGGTATTTTGATTGTAACTATTATTGTTATTATTGTACGATGATGATGAATTAGCGTATCTTGCATTATCTAAACCTTGTGTAATGGCATTCGATCCACCGTAGTTAGATCGTGGAAAAGTCAAAGGATGCTGTTGTTGTCTATTACCACCGCTATTAGAATTATTCTTATATTGATCTCTCATAGGTTGTAATGTATTACCTCTACGTGTAGGTTGAATATATCCATTATTATTACTGTTGTGATTCTGTCTATCATTTCTAAAACGTTTTTTCGATTTATTAGTATTTTGATAATCATTATCATATTTGGAATCGTCATATTCATAATCATTATAATCAAATCCACCATTATTATTATTATTATTATTTGAAAAATATGCCTCTCTTCCACCACGAGAATTATAACCACCATGATCATATCTACGAGAATTTACATATTGCGAATCCACATTATCGAAATACTCATCCTTTAACACATAAGATAAATTTTCACCTGAGAATGCACTTCCATCTTCATTTGGTACACGAGATGATCTTCTCTCACTACAATCATCACCAAAATGACCTGTTAAACCACAATTATAACAGAATACCTTTTCCATGTCCAATGATAAACCTTTTGGAGTCTTTCTTTCTTGACTAATATCATCACGTAATAGATAAACTCTCCAAATACTTGGGCATCTATCTCTAGAATGTTTATTACTATCACATAATGTACAATATACTTTTTTCCATTTTTGAGGACATTGTGACCTATAATGTCCCTTTTCATTACAATTTGAACACTTAATAGCTTTCGGACAATGTTGAGAATAATGATCATCCATTGAACCACAATATGTACATATTACATGAGGACAATTCTTCTTTAAATGCCCACGTTGTGAACAATTATTACATTTTGGTTCAGCCTCTTTCACTGCAGATGATAATCCATTTGAATCAGAGACACCGAAATAACGACCCTGACCTCTTAGGGACCTCAATACTTCGGGATCCTCATCAACTTGGTCGATCGATGGTGCTACAATCTTTGGTGGTTCGATCGTCTGTTTTTGTGGTGTTGGGTCTACCACAAATGGTAACGTATCCTGCGTTTCCACTTCTGACAACGATGACATGAATAATATAAAAATAGATTAAAAAAAATGTAAAATGAATGAAGAACGGATAACGTTGCTACCTTGGGTATCTATACGCTCTTCCAGTTACCAAAAATAAATAAAATATACTGCTAAAACACACACACTTCCTTTATTATAATACTATGTTATGTAATGCAAATTATCAATATTACGTGAGATTTGATGACTTCGAAATTTTGACCGCCCAAAAAAAATATCGCTGAAAAAATTTCGTTTCTTCGCTTTTCAGTTTGCGATGAGCTCTTTTTCTACGTTATTTATTAACAAAGCAGTTTAGTTCAGTGTATGCTTTAAAGTCTGGTAGAGTAGATATATAATAAGTGGGAAGATAAAACGTTTAGTAGTATGTGTTATAACCGAGTGGAAGGATTTCAGTAGTGATTATGTGAAACATGTCCTGTTTACACACAGAAAAATCTGTATTTTGTGATAATGTCAAACATTGTGATATCACAGGATACGATGAGCCGTGTATCACGATGTAATCATTATTCTAACTCGTGTAACACGATAGACAACTTTGGTGAAACTTTTCGTTAATTGACGCATCGCCAAAATTCAAATCTTTCTAATTCTTTCGAGAGCAGGAAAGAGAGAACTAACAACTTTCTAACAACTGTTGCGATGTGTCATTACTGCAAAGGGTGGAACTCTTTGTTGCCTTCTTTCTTGGTTTTTAATACTTAGATGTACACACACACACATATATACATATATATACACACATCTTTATTTCGTTTTTTATTTCCTGTTTTATTTGTAAGATTTTTATAAAAGATCCAGTCAAACGCATATACATTTTTTACGTAAGCAATAATGAGTGCAACTGAGGCCACTGAACAAGTTAAAAACTTGTCAGTCAAGGATAACAAGAAACAAAACAAGAACAACAAGCAAGGTAAGCAAGCCTTATACATGGATCCAGAACCTCAATTTATTGATGAAAGAATTCAACTTTTTGAAAAATTACAAAAGGAGTACAACGATAAATGTGCTGCTGCTCCACGTAACAAGTTGAACATCATCCTAAAGGATGGCGCCGTTAAGGAAGCTAAGTCATTTGAAACTACTCCTTTAGATATTGCTAAGGATATCTCCAAGTCTCTTGCTGATAGACTATGTATCGCTAAGGTTAATGGTAAACTATGGGATCTTGACAGACCATTTGAAGGTGAAGAAAATGAAGATATTAAGTTACAATTATTAGATTTTGAATCTGAAGATGGTAAGAAAGTCTTCTGGCATTCTTCTGCCCATGTTCTAGGTGAAGCCTGTGAATGTAATTTGGGTGCTCATATCTGTTTAGGTCCACCAACTGATGATGGTTTCTTTTATGAATTTTCTACTAGAGATTCTTTGAAAGAAATCACCGAAGAAGATAAAGCTAATGAAAGAACAATTTCTCAAGCTGATTTCCCAGCTTTGGAATCTGTTGCTAAGAATGTCATTAAGGATAAACAAAAGTTCGAAAGATTAGTTATGTCAAAGGAAGATTTGTTGAAGATGTTCCATTACTCTAAGTATAAGACTTACTTGGTTCAAACTAAGATCCCAGATGGTGGTGCTACTACTGTCTACCGTTGTGGTAAGCTGATTGATTTATGTGTTGGTCCTCATATTCCAAACACTAACCGTATTAAGGCCTTCAAGTTACTAAAAGCTTCCTCCTGTTACTTTTTAGGTGATGCTGAAAATGATTCTTTACAAAGAGTCTACGGTGTTTCTTTCCCAGATAAGAAGTTGATGACCGCTCATTTACAATTCTTAGAAGAAGCTAAGAAGAGAGATCATAGAAGAATAGGTAAAGAACAAGAATTGTTCATGTTTAATGAAATGTCTCCAGGTTCTGCTTTCTGGTTACCTCACGGTACTAGAATCTACAACACTCTTGTGGAATTAATGAGAACTCAATACCATAAGAGAGGTTACGAAGAGGTTATTACTCCAAACATGTACAACTCCAAGCTATGGGAAACTTCTGGTCATTGGGCTAACTATAAGGAAAATATGTTTTCCTTTGAAGTTGAAAAGGAAACTTACGGTTTGAAACCAATGAATTGTCCAGGTCACTGTCTGATGTTCAAGTCTAGAGAACGTTCTTACAGAGAATTACCATGGAGGGTTGCTGATTTCGGTGTCATTCACAGAAATGAATTTTCTGGTGCTTTATCTGGTTTGACTCGTGTTAGAAGATTCCAACAAGATGATGCCCATATCTTCTGTACTCAAGATCAAATTGAAACTGAAATTGAAAACATCTTTGATTTCTTGAAGTACGTTTACGGTGTCTTTGGTTTCGAATTCAAGATGGAATTATCCACTAGACCAGAAAAGTATGTTGGTGAAATTAAAACTTGGGATGCTGCTGAAGCTAAGCTTGAATCTGCTCTTGTTAAATGGGGTGGTGACTGGGAAATCAACGAAGGTGATGGTGCTTTCTACGGTCCAAAGATAGATATCATGATTTCTGATGCTCTAAGAAGATGGCATCAATGTGCCACCATCCAATTGGATTTCCAACTTCCAAACAGATTCGAATTGGAATTCAAGGCCAAGGATAACAAGACCAACGGCGAAGAAGCTGCCGTCGAAGCCTACGACAGACCTGTTATGATCCATCGTGCTATCCTAGGTTCTGTGGAAAGAATGACTGCTATCTTAACTGAACATTTCGCTGGTAAATGGCCATTCTGGTTATCTCCACGTCAAGTCTTAGTTGTCCCAGTTGGTGTTAAGTACCAAGACTATGCCCAAGAAGTCCGTGACAAATTACATAACGCTGGTTTCTACGCTGATGTTGATTTAACTGGTAACACTTTACAAAAGAAGGTTAGAAACGGTCAAATGTTGAAGTATAACTTCATTTTCATTGTTGGTGAACAAGAAATGACTGAAAACTCTGTCAACATTAGAAACAGAGATGTTATGGAACAACAAGGTAAGAACGCCACTGTTGATGTCGAAACTGTCATCAAGCAATTGTCCAACTTGAAAGAAGAAAAGAGAAACGATAACACCTTGATCTAATTAGTAAATTTGTATTAAATAAAACTATCTATTTTTATATTTCTCTTTTTATTAAAATATGTAATAAACAATAACTAATGATAATTTCTATATTATTGAATGCTATATTTGACATGAATTGACCAATGTTTTACAGTAATCCATAGAACATATATATATAGCAAACATATATCTATTAATGAGGTTGTGAGTTTGAATTTAATCTCATACAACAGAGTTTCAATATAGATAAGAGACTTTTTGGGAGATCATGAATAATAGCTAAAGGAATAAGACTATTGATTTCATAAAGATAAAAAATAGCAATGGACAGTGCAAAAAAAAAAGTTGTAAGAATATATATTAAAATTAGAAGAATAATAGTATCAAAGATGGGGGACCGAGAGCGAATACTTATATAAATGGTTAAAATACATGCGAAAATGAAAAAATTTCAGATTTTTACAAACTTGAAACCATTAGTCATTGTTTCTTTCTCTTTCAAGAAGTTTATCAAATTCGTCTTGCGACACAGTTCGGGTCACAGTTGGTTGTTTCTTCATTTTTATTTCGGCATTGGACTCATCTAGATTCTTTTCGTTTCCAAATATGTCCAAAATATCATCTTTTGGATTGTGGACAGTTTCTTTTCCTGAACCTCTTCTAACTTTATCCCAAGAGGAACCAATATTGTTATCAGCACGAATTCCGGTCCAAGAGTCAACTTGAGTATTTTTAGGGTTTACTGGTAATTCTTCCTCTTTGCTCAACAAATTGGTAATCTGAGGATTTTGTTCGGGGATATCATCGTAAAGACCAATAGGATCTCTTTGATTCATATAAGATGATCTCTTCAACCCTTCCTGTTGAATTTCTTGCAATTTGATCATCGGATTGGGTAATCTCCTCTCTGGATGTTTCACAGTGATGGAAAAATAAGCAGCCCACTTAGTAGCAGATCCATTTCCTAACAGATCCATCATCTCATATTGCCGTTGTTGACGTACTTTAACTTGTTGCGAGGAATTATTATATGAGGCCTCTAAAGAATCATCACCATAATCTCCCTTATGTCCGAACTGATGATCTGGATCGAGTTTTTCCAGCTGTCTCTTATAGGCCATGTTACTTGCAATAAAAGAAGAACCTGCAAGCATAACCAAACCCATAACAAAGTTTCTTGGTACTTTTACACCTTTAATATCTTTTGTCTTATAATATTGATAAGCAAAAGGTGGAATAAAGATACTTGAAAATCCAAGCCAACCACCGAACATTTGTGCTCTTGAAATAGAATTATAAGCCTCATACAATTCTTCTCTATCTCTAGAATCTAATACTTCATCCTTCTCATAAAATTTTACAGCTGCTTTGTATGCTTCCTTGAACCAAGGCTGATTCAATGGAGACTTCTCTTCTCTCTGTGTTGGACCGTCTGCACTACCGTCGTTCATTAGATGATTGATTTTCTTGATAATGTTTTAAGGAAAGTATAGATTAAAAGAAATTAATCTTAGGACCATTTAATAATCAAGCGTGGATCGATTTGAATCCGAGCTCCTTTATCCCTGATTATTTCTTATGCCATTAGTGTAGATTACGTCAGGAGTTCCAATTGGGTTAAAATAAGCTTGAATCTCCGGATTTCACGTGATGGTTCACGTGATTTTTATTATTTTAAAATTTAATTTTTTTTCGTAAGAATTGACACGCCAAAGGTTATCCAAAAATGGGACACCTGGAAGAAAAGAAAATTACGAATTGGTGTCGTTCGACCCATTCAAAGCAACAATGAAAGAATAAGAACAACAAAGGCATAATTATTCAATTGCAATTAATACGCAAATTAGTTTATATACAACCAAAATATCATTTGTTCCAATAGATTGAGAAGGAAGCTTTCGAGAACTTTTTTTTTACTCTCCCTTTTAGAAATCAACAGGTCCTGAGATCAATTCAACAATGGATTACTTTAACGTCATACAACACTACTACTCTGGTAACTATACAGATTGTTTAAATGAGATAGAAAAGACCTCTAATTCCGATGATAACATTTTGACTTACTACAATGGAATGTCACAACTGGCATTGAAGAAATATACCCCAGGATCATCCGCTTCTAATTTAGGCAAATCTATGGATGCATTTGCATCTTTTCTAGAGAATAAAGACGCCTCGAAGTTAAAATCATCAATTACTGTTGGCTCTTCAAATGGTTTCGAACTTAGCCTTTTGGCTACTACACTAACAATCCTTGGTGAATTAAATGAAGCTCTGGATTTATGTATTGAGGGTCTCGATTCAATTACTACTGAAGAAGATAGAACATCAAATGGTTACATAGAATTATCATTACTAGCAGTTCAAATTGCTATATTGAAAGGTGATCAAGCCGCGGCAACTAACATTTTCTATTCAATTGAACAAAGATTGACTCTAAATAACGAAGCAGAAATAATTCAAAACTTAGCAGAGGCCTATGTGAAATTTGGTAAGAACGAAGACACTTCCGGTTTGAACTTTTATTATTTTGAAGAATTGGCCCAAACAAATCCAAACTGGAAAACACAGTTGGGTCTTCTAAATTTACATCTACAACAAGGTAACATTAACGAAGCTCAAGGTATCATAGATGTACTAGAATCTGATTACTATCAAGTGGAACAAACAGATAGTGCAGAAACGTTCAAACCACATTTTTTCGCCTGTAAAATCACTTTAGCTGCTATGCAAGGTTTGAATAATGTTGAAACTTTGAAGAAAGAACTACTTGTACTGGATCCAGAACATCCACTTATTAAGAATGATAAAGATATGAATAACAGATTTGATGAATTGGTTGCAAAGTTCAAGAACTAGACAATAACTATGGTGTCTCCTTTTTATAATATAAATAAATGCCTCTATTTATTCACGTATACATCAACTGAGACCGGAGCATAATTTTAATAAGTACCATTCATATATAGGCGAAAACTCTACTATAATAATTGTATTTTCTTTCTGGGTAATATGTTGAAACCAAAGAAATTCAACAATAAATATATCCACACATAAACACACACATACATATATATATATGTATATTTCATCACTAACAGTATTCTAATGCCCAGCTTTTTTCTTCTTTCTTTTTCGTAAATTATCTTTTATTATGTTCAATACCATTTATATATGTTCAAATACGTTAATATACATGATGGAAATAAATTTTTATATAAATGCTAAATCAACAATAATTGTTGTGGAAACGTACGGACCACAGGATAGAAACGATCTTTCACAAATCCTAAACCATGTTTTACCGACTTACAAATTGTCGAAATCAACCTCGTCTTCGACCTTGAATGGTGCAGGTACAGGAGCGTTAACGTCATTACGTTCTCTAATTGTCTCTATCAATTCAATTGGTTCATCAGGAGCTGAGTCTGATACAACTATAATCCCACTTGTGTTCTTAGATTTACGTACAGGTGCAAACCTACTATTCTTGACAAACGAGACATACCTTGATTGTTGAGGCAATACTCTAGTTAGATTTTCAATCTTATATGGTTTGGCTGAATACTTGTTCTTAGAATATTCATCCAATAAAGCTTCGGAACTATTTTGTTTAGGAACTTCTGTTGGTTCTTGTTCCTTAGATGGAACCTTTTCTTCTTTTTCTTCCTTATCCTTTTTCGTCTTTTTGGCTCTAGCCTTGGCTCTGGCTGTTGTAGATAGAACAGCGGTTGCAACTTTTTCAACTTCTTTATTGGCTTCTTCTTCAAACATTTTTGGATAACTAAATGCACCTTGTTTAGCAAAACAATTTAGTTCAACCTTTGGAATAGCCAGATCAGAATCACGAACAGCAATTACAGCAGTTGGGGTAAATGACAAGGATAAGAAGTGTGATAATGGGTACCAATACCAAAATTGAGCAAACATAACCAAACCAATAATTGATTTAGTGTCTAACGTACCTGTTTCGTTATTTTCAAGTTGGATTGTAACATTTCTACCACCTGCGTTTGCAATACCTTGTGCGATGCAAGCACCAAATTTAGCTAGTGCCTCTTGGTGCTTACTTGTTACAACATTCAAGAAGTTTTTGTTTATTTCGGTAACTCTTGGGTTAGATTTATCTGTTTGCTGGATCGTTATAAGTGCTTGTGCAATCATAGCTGCTTGACGAACAAAATCAACAGGGTCCTTAATCAATGGTTCCAGAACGTCAAGCGCTTCATCTAAAGCTCTACCAGCGCAAGCAATACCCAAAGCAAATGCAGTACCACAACGAACATGTGCGTTGTGCGATTTAGAAAGAAGCTCGACAATTCTTGGAACAGTTGTGTAATCACGACAAAGAACAAAACCTAGCGATATAACGGCTGCACGTCTGACGTCATCATTTGAATCCGAAACCGCAATATGTAATAATTTTTTAACAGCTTTATTGTTACTTGTACCGACATAGGCTAGTGCAATAGTGAAAGCACCACCATATCTGATTGTGGAATCCTCATCCTCTAACAACTTTTCAATCCATTCATCAGCTTTCTCTTCGCAACCATAATTAATCATAGCAATACTCATCGCTAAACTACGCTTAATGTTTCCATGATTTGTCTCGTGAGCGAACGTGTTCATACTCTCAGTGCAATCTTGATCACCAGAACCAAGCATTGTCAAACCAATACCCAGGGCAGCTGCGTCACCTGATGTGGCAGTATCATGGAATATGACCTCTCTAAGAGTTTCAAATGCATATACATCGTGGGAACCCATAGCTGCTAGACCTGCACCTAGTGATGCACCATGTAATAAAACATCGACATCTTCATCCCCAACAGTACCGCTATTTTCATCAATCATGTTAAGCAAATATTCTAAAATATCCTTACCAAAACCAGCATATAGAAGACCTAAACCGTATAGAGAACCACCCTTAATATAACGAGAAGAAGAACGGCTTCCAGGTAGATATGGGCCCATTACTTTTTGACCATCTGTAAGGTTACCTTTGTGAATCACACCCAATGATGCAGTAGCTGTAAATTTGGCCCAATTTTGAGCTTTCCCTAACCATGGCAAATTAGCCTTAATAAATGAGTTATCAGTGGTACCGGCATGCATAAAACCGTTAGCAACACTAACACCTGTATGGAACAAAGAAAATTTACCATCTAATGAAGATTTGGTTTTATTTAATAAACCAATATCGATGTTTTTGTTTTCATGTAAAAATGTATTGTAGTAATCACAAGTAGGTAAACCTGATAAAATATCCAATAAAACAGGATCGAAATTATTTTCCGACAACGTCTTTATCAAGGATGTCAATAGACCCTGAGAACCAGACGATACCAAATCAAAAGCAATTTGATAAGAGATGTTTTTACAATTATCCTTCTTAAGAGCCTCAAATAAATCAACTGCAAATTCTAATTCATTCAAGTTTACAACAACTTTAGATGCAGTGAAATAGTCAACATTATTCATTGATAGGATTAGTTTAAATAGTGATTTTAAAATTTCTGTACGAAATGTAGAACTGGAGACGGTACTCGAGGTTGCTGTTAGAACATAATTCAACAACTTTAAACTACTAGATTCAGCATCTTCAGCGATACGGGTTTTCAAAATACTTTCAACAATATCTAGTCTATAACCTTCTAATGCAATACCTAATGCTAATTTGAATTCGGATGCCTCAACACACTTTTGCAACATTCTTTCAAAAATCGTGGTCAATTTGGGATCAATTTCTATGTTGGTTTCTGCTGCTTGATTATTTTTAGTTTGTTTTTTAATGTACATCTCGATACTCTTGGAGACAATGGTCTCAACATACTGACTCTTTTCATTTATATCAAAACATTCTTCTGCTGTTAATGCAAATCTAACAGCCAAATTGTATTCTCCCAAATTATAATAAACCTTGGAGGCAATCAAAGCGGCCATTTTACGACCAGTAAAGGAGCTTTCGTCGGATAGAGCTTCAATGTTAGAGATATAATTTGATACTTCAGACCATTCGGCATCAATGACATCGTTTATGGATTGCAAAGCGTACGACTTAATATTGTCATCTTTTTCATTCAATAGTACTAAAAGTGGGGCAGCACTTGTTAACGACATTTTCAACTGCTTTCTTAGAAATTCTCTACCTAATTATAAACCTATAAGTAAATATGATAACAATAGTTCTAATTATCTTGTTCGAATGCCAAAATTTGAACTGTTTTGATATTGAGTGCTGGCTCGTTTTCCTATATTTATAACGAATTTTGTAATAATGTATCCTTTGAGGGTTCATTATTGAGCTCCCGCTCTACGTTATATTTTTTTTTGCCACCGAGAGAAAATATCAAGAAGCGTTGAAATGAAGTACCCGGACATTAAATTTCTTGAACAAAAACACTGTACAAACGGTTTACATAAACATATGCTACTAAGACACCTAAAAGCTCATCTCGTTGATGGGAATCAATTGTTTAGTAGCATATTTGAAAGCTATATTATTTGTTATTTATTTAATATATAAGCCGAACCGTTACTTTTTCCGGAATTTTGTCCAGTTGATTATATATAGAATGGACGTCATTTTGTGTAACGGGTGAGATATCTGTGATAACATAAGCAATTTTACCATTGGATTCAGAGTACTGTTTCTCTATGTTATGTGTAGCAAGAATATTATTTACTATCCTTAGTACACCAGGTATATCTTGATGGGCGAATAATATTCTTAAAGCATCATCTGCGAAATTTGTCTGTCTTAATGAAACTTCGGGGAAATTAACAGCATCAATTGAAATACCTTGTGTTATAAAATTAGCTATGGCCTCTGATACTTCGAGACCTGTTACACTCTGTGATTCTATAGTAGCTCCACCAATATGCGGGGTTAGAATAACGTTTGGGAGAGATATTAATTCTGACGTCCATTTATTCAATCGATTGGTGAATAATTGTTCACCATTATATCTTGGTTCATTTGGGTATACATCCAGTGCTACACCTAACAATTTACCACTTTTTAGACCCGAAATGAGGGCAGAAGTATTTACAACAGACCCTCTTGATGAATTAATTAAATATGATCCATTTTTCATTGCTGTAATCTGAGGCCATGAAATTAAATTTTTCGTATCAGGTGTTTCAGGTACATGTAGTGTCACAAAATCTGCTTTACTCAATAATTCTTCCATCGTGGACACTTGTTTTGCTTTTCCAATGGCCATTATATTTAGGATATCGTAGTAAATAACATGCATTCCCATGGCCTCGGCTAGTATTGATAGTTGTGAGCCAATATGACCATATCCTATTATACCTACCGTTTTACTTCTTACTTCGTAGCAATGCTTACTAGAGTTATTCCATTCACCTCTGTGTAATTGTAATGATCTATCCGTGATTCTCCTTGCTAACGATATTATATCTGCGAGAACTAATTCTGCCACAGATCTCGAATTTGAAAATGGTGAATTAAAGACTGCAATCCCCATATTAGCCGCATATTCTAAATCTACCTGGTTAGTACCAATACAATAACACCCTATTACCATTAAATTTTTAGCTTGTTTTAGTACCTCCTTTGATAAGACTGTTTTCGATCTAATACCTATAGCATGAACATCTCGTATTTTTTCAGTCAATACTTGATCCGGTAAAGTATCTCGATACGATTCGACTTGATACCCTTGATCTCTAAAGGACACTATGGCTTGGTCATTAATATTTTCGAGTAGTAAAATCTTTATATCACCTTTTGAAAATGGTTTTATCTTACTTTCTTGGGGTAAGATGCTAATTCTACGAGGTAATGCATTCATGAATGACTCTGTTGGTGAAAATGCCATATCATCTTCATCAAAATAACTTTCAATAACGTGATTCATCATTGGTATATGTTGTACTTGGGTTGACATTGTATTTTATGATGTGCAAAAAAAACTTACTCTTTTTTTTTTACTATTACTGTATTACTTGCTCATCTTTTAATAAAAGTGGAGTGTATAACAGATCTGATCATAATATTGCAATGACATTCCTATCAAAGGCAATGTATGTAAATATATATATATATATATGAATAAATTTAATAAATCTAACTTGATTAAGGCAGAATAATCTACACGACTAAGAATACTTCATTCTGATTTTAGTTAAAACACTAACTGTTGTGTTTTAACAGTCTTCCCAAAGTAATAGTGGAAGATGTGCTGTCTTAGACTCCCTCATTCTTGAAGTGTGGTGAATACGGGGTGAAATGTCTCACGGCTTTTTTTTTTCTTACACTGTTTTTGGCAACTGTGACACAGCCGCGTTCATAATATTATGTATAGAATTGTCAATAAACACGTGAAATGTCACATACACATGAAGTTCAAATAACCTGAAATTCTACGAATTAGAGGGTTCAATAAAGGAAAATGAGCAATTACGTTAATCTGAAAACAGCTTCATTTATATACTAATACTTGCAATGAGAAATTATTAATCATTATTTTGCTGTACCTTTTACTAACTTACCTAACTTACCGTGGTGCGAGATCTAGGAGATGCCACACATTTTTCTTAAAATGTCTCAAATAAATATTAAGCAAGATGAAAACAATTCCCGAAAATGTATATATAGCTCGAAAGAAGTGACGATTCAATTAATAACAAGACGTCTAATCATACTGATTCATCAAATAACTTAGATAATTCGTCACTATTTTCTATTTGACCTGTGGACAGCAGAGAGTTCCACAATCTTCTCATTTGTATATCTAGACCAATTCTGGTAAACTTAGTAAAACCATATGCCAGTTTTGCCCACTTAATAAAATCTTCTCTTGAGTCTGATATTAGAGAGTTTATACCAACGTTCCAACATATACTCGAAATGTTTTCAATATCAATTTTAACTTCTTGAGAATTTTCGAATGCCAGGTCATTATTTACCTTTAATTTTGTAAGTAGACATTCAAAAATTGAATACACATCAGACGAAAACTTTAGATTACAGTCAGTGAAGGTACACCTTATCCAATAACAAAGCTTATCAATCATTCCCTCGGCATTTTCCAAATTTCTTTTAATTAATTTTATTATAATGGGCCTTCTTATATCAAGAGGAACATCATCCTTCTGTATGAGTGCTTCTGCAAAATGATTATCTAAATTAAATAAATTTTCGGTATGTCCTATTGATAATAAGTTTTCCACTAAATCCATTTTGCGTTGGATTATCAAAATATTGACATATGTTTTAAAACACTCGGCTAGTAATACTTGCAAATCACTCGTTTGCTCAGCATTTAAACTACGGTTAGCTGTAGCAGTCTTGAAAAATGAAATAATATCATGGATTAAATTATCGAGTTCATGATTATGTGCCATGTTTTTTGGATCGCCAAATATATTAATATCTTGACCATCCCCTTTTTCTATCAATCGGCATCGTATACTTGCCTTTTGAAAACGACATCTATACCCCCAATAACTAAAATGATACATTTTGAGAAACGTAAAATCTGAATAAGGTATTAATTCTAAAAATCCATTTGCTGTTTTTGCAAATTCAAATGATTCTTTTAACTTTTCGTCATCTTGGCATAAAGTCCCTGATATATTATATGCCGTGGATGCAAACCATTCTATGTCATCTGCTGTTAAAGTAAAATCAACCGTGTTAGTTAAACTGTCATCTATGCTTATTGACAATTTTTTATTAGTTTTTAATTCTCTAAGAAACCTAAGTGGTTCTGACAGTAGCATGAGAATTTTGGGTGAATCGATATTTAAGGCACCTTGAGCCTCCTCTGTAAATTTTATGACACATTGTATTGTATAGCGAATTAAACTAATAACAGATACATCATATGTTTTGGTGTTGAACTTCTCGAGATTGTCGTTAATATTGTTTAACTTTTGAAAAAATAATGTGACACCATCAATCAGTAGTTTTGGCAATTCATTCACCTCATTCAAGGCAAGGATAAAAGCGTCGAAGCTCTTTTCATGAGAGGAGCGGAACAGAGATTCGAAACATTTTGGAATATTGGAAAAATCCTTTAACTTAAGAAGTAATTTTAACTTAATCAAAATTGTTAAGGGATGGTTCAAATCGGTTGGACTTAAGTTATTTAAAGTTTCTTCTGCTTTAGTAAGATTATTTGAAGATAAGTATGCAGAGGTTAATGCCCTCTGAAGTTTACCTCTTTCGGAATAGGAACCACTAATAATCTCTTCCAAAGCAAGTTCATAAAACTTGCTACAAATCACATATGACTCCATCTTTTCAATCTTTTTCCCTGAACTCCACAAAAGTGTGACAATACTAGAGACAGTACTTCTTGATAATGGTTGAGAAATTCTTTTTTCCATCACTTTATAAAAATCAAATAATTGCGTTATAATCTCAGTTTCGTTCAAATCCTTGGATTGAAGTGTTATATAAAATCGGGTCAATATGGTTTGTTCAAAATGTTTTTGATCTTTTATAGGATCGATTTTATTTTGGAATAAATAGTCTAAGGAAGTTAATGCTCTTTTTGTGTCAATTTGGCTAAATTCATTAATAGTGCTGATAAGAATCTCATAACTATTTGGAATATCTATTGAAAGTATCATTTGCATGATGATAGAAGCAATCAATTCTGTCATATTTTCTGGTCTTGTCTTTTTTAGATATTTAACCTGTAATTGAAATGGAATCGGTTTTTTTGGATATTGTTTTTGCAATAACTCAAATAGATTACCTACTTGTTCTTCTTCTTTAGGAGATATATTTGGTTTCTCAATAGAACATTGAATTAGCAATATGGTAATCGAATACCTAATTGCTAAAAAATCTATATGTGACTTTATTTTTTCTATGGGTAAAGTAAGATATTCAAAAGCTTTTGCAAGATAAATTAGCACATCATCTAAGACGTCAACGTTTATGGTTCCTTTAGAGTTGTACAAAAACAAAGAAGAATTGTATAATATTCTAGATACTTCTAGAACCATTTCAACTTTAATATCATCAACTAGGTTTGACAAATCAACCTTTTTTAAATATATTTTAGCAGTATCACTGTCATTTTGTTGAATGTACCATTGAAAAATGCAAATATTAGCCTCAATAAGAAGTTTATGGAAGAAAGAAGTATCCTTTTTATTCATTGAATATTTTTGTTCCGTCAGAAGATTTACGTATGTCTCGACATGCGCCATTGATACTTTAAAAAGAGTGTCCTGGGAATCAATAATTGTATCCGGATTCTGTTTGAACTCTCCCATTAAAGTTTTTAATGTTGTTGTAAAGCAATTAAATGAGCGAAGAGCAACGTCATTTTTCTCATTCAAAGAGTTGTATACAGAGAGTAGAATTGCCGCAAACAATTGACATTTACAGAGGAATTTAACTAATGCTGTCTCTGATACATTAGCTTTTAATGATAGTGACACTGTATTCCAAAGTATACTGGATAAATTTTCAAATCGTAAGAGAGTCTCTTCATTAATAGTTACACCACCTTTCCTAAATGAGGTTTCATATTTTTCTGCAGTTGGCTGAAGGGCGTCAATTCGATTTGTGATACATTTGAGATCGTCTTCTGTTAATTGTTTCAAGTCCAGTATATGAGAGTTAATCCATTTTGCGACTTCGCAAAATTCAAGTATGGTTGTTTCAAAAGTAGAAAGGATGGTATCTGATGACATTCTGCCATTAAAGTTAACTAAAATGAGTATTAGTCTTTTTTCCAACCTTTTTAAAACAAGTTATAAACTATGCTTATTCATTTGTATTAAAAGAGTACATAATTTTATATTATTTTCTTACTTCACTACATTTAATGTTTTTAGCCGCCGACAACTAACTCCTTTTGAAAATAATATTCTTTCGGAAGTATACATATAAACGATAGAGATTTCAAAGAATATTTTTAAAAAAACTTTTTAATAACAGTTTATAACTACAACATCAATACAAATTAACTATATAATCCAGTATATAAATAATATGCTTTTTTTTAATCTTGTCGATGATTAATTTCAATATATTAAGCGCATGGTTTTGTATTGTGATGGAAATACAAAACCAAAACAATAGAGAAAATTTGAACTCAATCCAGCAGGGTTGCAATAGAATATGGTAAAAAGATAACATCTTTTTTTTTTTTTTACTTTTTCTTTTTAGTAAAAGTCATTAAATTCCCAGCAAATATTCATATTTGAATATTCGGTTATTGTCTGTAATCACATCTAGCCTTATAGATAGCCAATATTTGCACATAAAACTCAGAAATATGTATATATCCTTTTCTCGCTAATTTAGTTGTTGTTACATCTCTTCATATGATTCAGTAGGTGATATTATCTGTGGTGAATTCTTACTAAATCCACGCATATATGATGTATCATCACCTAATGTGCTTGCAATACTATCTAATTCACTTGTAATAACAGGTGAAGGTATATGTAATTCGTTATCACGCAAATGGAAAGATTGTAAATTTACATTTGAACCTAATGTAGTATCTAAACTTGTTGAAGGCGTATTACTATTTCCACCATTATTATTATTATTATTACTATTATTAAATGGAGTCCATTTATGACTATGAGGATGTAATAAATGATTATGAGATTGCGATTGTCTACCTGAATATTTCAAGACATTATCCATTGATTGAGATGTAACCATGTCATTTGAATGCAAAGTGAATGAAGTCTCTAGAGAATCTGCCGATTCATCAATTAAGATAGGTATAGTTCTTTCAATGTTTAATAATCTCATCTTTTCACGTAATGTCATTGGTGGAGACATTGGAGTATCTGGATAACCAGGTGTTGAAGTCACAGAAGTAACATCATTAAAAATATCTTCTGGTGAAGTAATATTTTTATGTATATTATTATTTGCAATTATTGAACTATTATTACTACTATTACTATTAGTACTAGTATTATTAAACTTTCTTATTTTATTATTATGCGACATTGTCATTGCACTTAACATAGTAGTAGCATAAGGAGGAATACCTAATCTTTTTGGGTTATTACCTTCAATTCCATCTTTTGAAGCATTCATTGAAAGATTTGATGTCAACGAACCTCTTGACATTGGTCTAGATAATGGTAAATCAATAGTTTCACCTTCATATATTGCTTTCGTTGAAATATTATCAGATGGGTTGCTATTTATTGAATGGACAGATAATGCATATGATAATTCCCTTTGAGGAGAGATTGGTTCTGTCATTTTTATTTATTTTATTTTAACTAGAATTCCCTTTTTTTATAATTTATAATTAACAGTATAATGAATGATGTAGAAACAAAATAAAAACGTTATCTGTTGGTAATAGTGTGGAATAATTCTCAGTAATAAAAACAAACAAACAAAGATTAGAGATATTTTATTTTGTTGAAAAAAAAAAATCCTAATTATTCGATAAATAAAAAACCCAAATTGTTTATATAAGATATTATTAATTAATTAACTAATTAATAAGAGAGAGTATAATCGATGATAAAAAAAGACAAAGTAAAGAAAGTATATTTTATGTAATAGAGAGAGAAGACAGAACATCAATCATGAATCCATTATGTATTGCAAGATCTTTGCATCAAATTTAAGATATAAATATTACGAATTATCAATAATTTTTTCATTTTTTTTTTAAAAAAAAGGATATACGACCTACTAAAATCGTATCATATTATTATTATTGCAATATTATGCGTCTTTCACTTAATTTGGTGAATGAAATGGCTGTATAATATTATCGTGGAATATCACTTATTACTACTATTAACAATAATAATTAAATTTCTTCTCCCTCGTCCCCCTATTTTTTGTTGTTATCTCATTTACACAATACTATTACTATTACTATTATTATTATTATTGTAATATGCTTTTCCACAATATATTGTTATATCTATATTCAAAATATGAATGACGACGATATTGAAAATTATTTTGTGCGGCTCATACCTCCGGACATTTGATAGATATATAATAAAACCTTTATATGCTGAAAGAGAGAAAAGACGAAGAACAACGTGGTTAGTTTTTTGTACATGTGCGAGTACATAGCCTAAGTGCGAATCACGGGGGGTGGCTAGCGATGTATAAAAAGGCCTTCTACGCAAGTTATTGACACACCATATTAAAATGTTTTTGATATATAAATGCATAAATGCGGGATGCATATAACATGTATAAGAGAGAACAAACCATTAAAATTGTCGTAGAATATGCGATCTCGAGGTTTACTATACTTGAACAGAGAGATAAACCCCGTTTCCAGTAATAAAAACGAAATTGTTAACAACTATACGTAGAAGTAACATAAGAGTCATAAATACTTCTGACTGGCTATTAGGGGGGGTACCCTTAATAAATTATGAATTCCATTTTTGTAGCTGTGAATATAATATATACAGAGAGAAACAATAGCTTGTTTCGTGTTCGATGATATGATGTAGGAAAAAAAATCTTCGGCGGCTAATATCCTATGTACTCTGTTTTAATATTATTATTTTTTGGAAGGTGGAGGTAGAGGGAGGGTGGGGTTCGGCGGCTATTTTTCTTTCTTGCTACATATATAAATAGTCAATAGAATAGAACTAATTTCTTGCATTTAATATTTTAGACCTTTCAAAAACTTTTATTCAAGGATATCTACCAGATTAAATAAGAACTTTCTTCATTACAACTGTAATAGAAAATGTCGACTAATCAAATGCTAGCTACAAAACAAGAAACAAAGACAGTTATTACTACTGAACAATCGCAAAAATTGATGCAAACAATGTTAACAATGTCATTTGGTTGTTTAGCATTTCTTAGAGGTTTATTCCCAGATGAAAATTTTGTTGATCAAAGATTTGTTCCCGCAAAGAGTGAAAAATATTATAATAAAAATTTAACAAGTCATGTTAACTCAATTAAGATTAAAACTTTAGTTCGTGGTAAATCAACTGATGTTAATTTATTATTAGATTGGTTAGAAAAAGGTGTGTTTCAATCAATTAAATTAGAATATTTAAAGACTTTAAGTTTAGGAATTTATTTAAATGAAAATGATCCAACTAATCTTTGTGAAAATTATATTTTTAATTTTGAATATTTTAAAGATAATTCAGTTCAATTAAAATTAGATTCAAATTCAAATATTGAAAATAATTTTTCGCAATTTAATGATGATAACAATAATACATCAATATCTTTATTAGATTCAAGAAAAATGGCTCAACAATTAATGAGAAGATTTATTATTATTACACAATCTTTAGAACCATTACCTCAAAAGAAATTTTTATCCATGAGATTATTATTTAATGATAATGTTAAAGACGATTATCAACCTGATTTTTTTAAAGATGCTTCCTTTGATAAGAGAGCAACTTTAAAAATACCGATTGATACTTCATTATCAACCTTTGCTGCCGGAACTTTAAATACAAATCATCATAATTTAAAGTTAAATGTTTATTCAACTACATTTGACGATGAAACTTTAAATGATAATGAACTAAATACATTGAAAGAAGAAAAAAAATTTATGATAATTGATCCATTTGAAATTGATGCAGAAACTGATACTAATATTTTACAACAGAAAGTTTTACATAATTCTCAAAGTCAAACAACTAATAATTTAGGAAAATTTCTACATTCCACTCAACCAACAGTGGAAGAGACTCAAATTTTAATGAAAGATTCAATGAAAAATGTATCTGACATGAATTCAAAAAATAAAATTAATTGTGATTGTAATGGGTTTTGTCATATAACGGCAACGTCAATTAAACATTGTAAAAAATGTGGTAAAACACTTCATGGTATATGTTATGGTAATTATTATAAAGAGAAAGTACCAACATGTTTTAATTGTATTCTTGGTAAATCGTTTGATTATTCGTCAAATGATTTCAAAGATTTAATGGCTGCAAGAAAATGTTTTAGATATTTGGTTAGACTCCAAAAGATACCAACTAGTATTTCTGCTATTATTGATGTTTTAGTTGTGGATGAACCAATTACAGAAGAAATAAAAGAAAGGTTTGCATTTGTTTTCTCATTATTCTTACATGATGAAATAATCATTATCAATGATGAACCGGGACATAAATCTCTTTCTTCTTCTGTAAGATGTAGGTCTGCATCAATGAGTTTTGATTTACCAAATATAAAATCACCATTCGCTACGGTGATTGACCCAAATAAAACTTATTTTATTAAATTTGTTAGTAATACCGATAATGCACATTCTTGTTATGGAGATGTTATCCCAGAAAATATCAAACAAGTGAATCATTGGTTACATGAAATTTCAGAACTCAGAGATAAAATAATTGATAATTTACCAGATTCATGTGATATAACCAAATTAGTTGTTAATGATACAGATACACAAGATATGATAAGTATAGGAGGACGAAAGAGAAAAAATTTAGATTTAGATGAATATTTACATGATGAACAAAGTTCAATTATCAATGATATATTACCTTCTAAGTTCTTCCCACCCAAGAAGTTTCAAAAAATTAGTGTCTCAAAGAAATCTTTAAAAAGTGACTGGTAAAAATAACAGTGATCCATTCTACTGTGTTCTTTTTTTTTAATTATCAAAGATGACAGAGAAAATCACAGCCACACAGAAACAAAAAAAAACTCCAACTATGAAAATTTATATATTTCAAAAAATGCTATATAGTATTGTAAGTTTAGCACACCATTTATATTTTTTAAGAGACTTTATGCTTGTTTATATTTTTCCACTCTTTTTTTGGATTTTCTAAATTATATAATTTACATATTTAAAGAATATTTGCATTATTCATTGGTGTCCATCGCTATATCATCATCGTCCTCTTCCTCATTAAGATATAACTGTTGATCAATAGCATTAGCTTGCTCTCTTCTAACTGTCTCTTCCATAGATTCTTCATTGTTTATAATACTCTGTTGCACTTCATCCTTTAATTTTGCATTGCTTTTCTGTTGATCGGCCAAGATTGATTCAAGACGAAGTTCGTTCACCTTCAACGTTTCTACTGCATCTTGAAATACATGTTTATTTTTATATGATATAACATCATCCACAATTTGGATATTTAATCCAGTTGAATCGATCAAGTATTGAATTTCATCTCTAGTTTGCTTTTCATCAACGTTTAAGATCTTGGATATGTACGATATTTCTAATCTTGTAGATATTCTCAAATAAAAGAAATATATCTTACATCTCATTAGAAGTTGTGCAAATTCCCATTGACCAATAACGAAAAAACAAGGAGCACAAGTCTCTGCAACGGTAACATTCCAATATTTGAAAAAATCCTTAAATCTTGTTTGGATCAAAGGTTCCATACATTTTGACATTATCAAGGACTCACTTCTGATTCTACTGGCTATTGTAAGATATAAAAACGTTGAATAATTATCCAGCGGTATAGCAACTAAAGATGATATTGTCGCCATCAGGATGACTTCCTTTTTCAGGAATATGGATCCAGATGTATGATCAAAAAATGTATTATCATCAGCAACATATTCAGAGAAATGAGAACTACACTCAAAAAATTTCCCTTCTGAAAAATATGATGCACAGAGAAGTACCCTAAGGTATCTGATTGACTGTTCCTCGCATCCGTTAAAATCATTTAACTTGACGTCTTTCAAATAATTACCTAATTCTTGTATACTATGATAATCTTTCGCCAACATATGCACATTTGCAATACATTCTAATTTTTGGAAGTATTGTTTTTGGTCTATATCCTTTGATTCTATCATGCGCAATGCGTCAGCATATTCATGTGCAATTACTTTCTCCAAGATAACATCTCGTTCTCCGTCATCAGAATTAGTTGTAGTCACATCACCAGGTTTTAAACCACTGTTAGATAAAAATAGGTCCCAATGTATCGAATTAGTATATTTCTGTTCCTTCAGATACTTAATTGCTGTTAAGGCTAATCTTTTTTTATCTTTTTGAGTCGCTCCAGCTTGGTTTATACCATATGCGAGCCTTTCCAGTATAATCGGTTTACGGTATTGAGAAAACGGATTATCCATAGCTGACTGTAATGAATTTTATAATAGTATTTAATTTTGGATGTACTATTTTGGGGTTTAGTTTTTTAAAATATGTGTGTAGAATTAAGTATAAAACATTTATATGGTGACTACATTGATCTCCAAATGAACTTTTTATTCTCGAAAAATCCTTTACGTATGATAGAAAAATTTGGTGTACCGGTTATACATTTGATATGTACGCCATCGATTTCTACAAGTGAAAATTATTAAAATTCAGATAGATGTTCTCGAACAGTCGATAGGACTTTAGATGAGCATACATTAAAATATGTAGACTTTAGAGGAACTATATACAAGTTTATTTACTGATTTATTTTAGTTTTTCATTTGTTTCAATGACGTTTTAAGATTGAAGAGGAATAATATCTAGGCACTTTCTTCATAGTTCTTCGGAGCAATTCAGTTAAAGAACTTTTTCATGTTTTCTAACCACTGGATATATTCATTATTTTCTTTGAATTCAGAGTAGGCGCTAATGAAGGAAGATAATTCTTCGTTGATACCTCTACTAGATAAGTAAATCTCTAAAGTTTCTTGTAGTTCCTCATCCAAATTAGAGAATGGGGGGCCATGGTATGATAATTCTCTTGATAATTCTGCTTCAGCAGATTCATTCAAAGCTGCATCCTTAGAGGCAAATGGGGTAACGCTATCCACGTAAAATGAACCTTCTTGGAGATTCATCAATAAATCAAAGGCAACACTGGATCCGTCGGTATCCTTACTAACGACAACATTAACATTAGCAAAATTGTCAGCTATGGAATCAAAATCTTCTTCCTCTAGATTATTCTTTTCGTTTGTGACGTCTTCAGTCATAGCATCATCATATGGTAAATTGGCAACTTGAGCAACATCAAAGTAAACGTTGACAGTTTCACCAGCTTCTGTTTTTTTAAAGATGTGTGCATCATTTTTACCTGGGGTTGCTACAATTTCAAATCCATATTTGTCTAAGAAATCTTGAAACAGGGCTGGCGTTTCAACTTCTTCAGGAGCAGCAGATGATTCGGTCTCAAGTTTCAGTTCGGATTTTAAAATTTCACTTACAGCTTGTCTCTGCTGATTAAATCTTATAGTGGAAGAAGCAAAGGATCTTGTGATAGGTGTAAATGAATTTGCCTTTCTCATTACTTGAGGAAGAACACGAGTTCTTGTGGCAGCTAGAGCCATCCTTCTAGCAGATAGACGAGTGAAAGTACTAAAGGACATGTTGATTTGGAATTATTTTGTTTATACGGTAGAGATTTAATAATAGACGAGGGTAAGCTATTAGGTAAAAACTTAAGAATTCGAGTTAATATTGGTTGAATAGTTACCTATTTTAGTTAAATATTGATCAGTTAAAGAAGCCATAAAAGTTTTACCTTTTAAGATATTTCCTCGAGTTTGTTGTGTTCAGAATCCCTTTTTCGGCCTACAAAAATCATAGAATAAGACCAGGCGTCTTCCGAAAAATCAGAACATTATTTAGTACTACATGAATCAGGATTTTAAGGTATATCAACAGCAGTAGGATGTTGGACAGTATTTGTAGTGAGACTGTATGAGACTATTCTTGAAATGTCATTATGACCCGTAAGATTTTTTTTATTATTTCTTACTTTTTTAATTATTCTTATATTTATGGATTTTTGAAATTATATATAATTAAAAACGTTTATATCATGTTAAAATTAATTATAATTAGTGAGATGGATAATTATAAGCTATCAAAGTAGCTCTAAACAATATGCGAAATAAAGAGAACGCATTCCTAATGATGAAAGTGTTATACAAAAATTTTGAGTGGAATGGATATTACTCTTAATCAGCGTTACGACGAGCAACCTTCTTAGCTCTTCTCTTACCGGTACCAAAGACCTTCTTGTCTCTGTTCTTCTTTTGCTTTCTTTGTTGTCTGGAAGCCTTTTCAATCTTTTCAGCTAGACCGTATCTAACCAATCTGTAGGTTGGTTCGAACTTCTTGGCATCAGCGGCAGAGTTGTAAACTAAACCGAAACCAGTGGACTTACCACCACCATATTGAGTTCTGAAACCGAAGACGGAAACGGCATCCTTTTCAGCCTTGTAAACTTCAGCTAATTTTTCACGTAGTTCATCCTTGGAGACGTTAGCTCTGTTTGGGTGTAAAACGTCAATGACGAATTGCTTTCTAGCTAGCAATGGGTTAGAGATAACCTTTCTAGTACGGATAGTGACGGCGTCAGACTAGTTAAAAAAAATTAATACGTTGCATTAATATCAGATAATGATGTGATAATGAATGTATAAATTAATATTTGTTAGTAAACTGTATCAAATAGAACGTATTTTCTTGCTTGAGATGTGGTTCATAACATTAGAATAATCTTAATAAATCGATAGTAAAGTATTAAAAAATATAGGATATTCATTACTCACAATGTACTATTACTTTTTTAATTGAATCTGTCGCAAGAATAGTTAGGAAACGACTCTTTCAAAAATTCAACTTTAGTTAATCTGTTATCTTATCAATATATTCTTTCTTTTCACATATATTTTAATATATTCCACATATTAAACTTTCATACTATCATTTTAGGATGTTGTATTTTACTCATTTCTGTATTAATAAACCAATATCTATCGTTGCCCATTTCTTAACTTTCCTAGCTTTAGTAAATCTCCTCTTTTTTTGCTTATATACAAAATCAAATCTTTTCTTGCACCTAAACTTTAGGCACCCTGTGTTTCTAAACATCTCCATATTATCTAATTACTACCATATCTCATAGTTTCAGTGTTGAACATACCATTTCAATAATCCTTTATATGTGTTTCGAGGGACTTCTAAATAAATAAATTTATAAATTGCTTAATATTACTAATAAAATACTACAATATTCTTCAAGTACTACATTTAAAATATCTTGCTCTCAGTGGGTCTCGCCGGCGTACACGTTTACAATTGCTAAGCTATGTGCGGAACATTACAAAGTCAGTTCCAAAACCATTAAGTCTACTGGATTGTACCTCTCTCTATCACAATAAAATGATATCATGAACTCGGCTACAACATCCAATGAAGAAGAGATTTGGTCGTTTCAGCTGTCCTCAATTCATTAGCTATACTAAATCGATGAACAAATTGCCAGTATGGTAAACATCCATAATAGAGAAAGTGAAAAAATTAACGAAAGATGAATTTCATTAATTTTCTGATTTTGCGTTGAACAAATTAGTTTTCCTAGACAAAAAAATAATGTTGGCTTCTGCAGCTATGTCTTCGAAGCATTCCTTTTTTCAAAAAATAACATAATGCAGAAAATTATCATTTCGTTTTGAAAATCGAAATAAAACGAAAAAATATCTAAAATCTAAAACGAGTTTCTTTGAATGTCTGGGTGCTCAGGCATGTGTGGGTGTTAGTTTTTAAAGCAGTCCTAAGAGTTATATTCCTATTTCTTAAATAATGTCTAGAATGCAGTATATCAGAGTTGAATATGCTTAAACCTTTTTGTTTTAAATGTTCGGATTATATGAATATTATACAGATTACTATATGACTGTTATAAGAAAATGAGATGGGTTAGTTTTTTCTCACCTCACAAGTATTTTTGATTTTCTTTGGATGTATATCAGGGTGATAAAGGAGGATCTGATGTAGTTTTAAATAAAGTTTGAATTTTTTTATAAACTAGCACTCTCTTACTGTCCCTCCCTTTATGAGTTATTCGATAACTGAGGATGAAGCAGAGTAATCGACGTTTCTTCTCCTTTATTACTACCGTTGGTATATTTTGATCTTGGTGGTCTGGTTATTATCATTAATAATATATATTATTTTCAATAGCCGGAAGATGTCTTTTCGCCATACTTCAATCTTAAGATAAAGTTAATAATAACAGCAACTAAAAGGAAGAAACATAATAAAGTAGGGCCCAATCTATCATCATATGGACCAGAACCTCTGCGTCTAATGGCAGCAGCTCTCCAATGATAAGTAACTAAAGCATATATCATTGTACCCATTGCAACTAAAGTGAACAAACCTGCACTGATTCTACCAACTTTATCACCGAAATTTAATAGGCCTACACCTAGACCACCTAACATCACTGTGAAATTTAACCACGATAGAAAAGTTCTTTCATTGGCGAAGAACACTTTGGGTTCCACTCTTGTTGGAAGTGCAATTTTTTTACCTGGAGTTCTTTGTAATAGGGGAGCACTCGACATTTTAGTTCTCTATTTTTATATTTAAAGATTTTATCTTCCTGTATATCAGTAATATTAAATACTAAATTTAGTAGTTCAGTGTACTTTTGAAAAAAACCTTTTCCCGTTTGCTGTTATATTAATAGAATGATGAAATATTTAAAGATTAGCTTGGCTCAGCTGTTAAATATTACAAAAAAAAAAGAGGATGGGGATGTTGGATGCAGTATACCAGATAGTCGGTATATATATATGTGTGTGTGTACGTGTAAATTTATATGTTTCGTTATATAACGATATGAAAATGGTTCGATTCGAGTATTATCTATAATTATAACACACGTCTTTCTCTATCGAAAGCTATCCTTCGACTTGAAAAGGGATAATCAATGCTGTCTGCATTTAACTTATTGTTTTTTGTTTTCTCTTTTACCAGAGATGCTATTTTATCAACATTTTTCTAATTTATATTTACTATCTCTACGGTGATTTCTTTGTAAGATGGAACATTGTTTGTCCGAATATTGAACATTTACAGCAAGATAAAAATTACAGTTCAAACAACTAAATTATACCGCGATACAATTTCAGGAATAATAATAATAATAATACAATAAGAAATGATGAAATAATTGACCCACGTTGTTAATTCGTAACTTTGTTGGACGTGAAAAGACTGAGTTATCTTATTGTTTTTTGGCAAAACTTTCTCTGTAGAAGTGGTCATAGTTTTAACGAGGCAAATATTACTCTTGTGCTAGTTTCTCAAATGTCATCTATGCAGATACATATATATATTATATTGTCCTTTGCTAAAGGATTTTTTTGAGTAAGTCTTGCTGCGTAGTGTACAGAAGGTCCAAGGGTAGTTATATGCATTGTCAAACATTCGTACTATAGTCACCTTATATTTTCACGATATTTTATTTATTTATTTAATTTTTCTCCGTTGTAAATACTGAAAAGTTGAAGAACAATGGTTTAATTCGAGGGGATGGGGCTGTATAATGTATGTCTCAACACCATTGTACTTCTCTTATTTTGATTGTTTGTTTAATTGCAACTACTATTAGGTTACTAACATATAGTAGTCTAGCCAGCCGCTGTATGTAATAGTAATAAACAAATATTCTATAGTATTATTATATGATTAAATGTAACTAGATGAAAGTCTATAATAACAACTATATATATATGTACTTCGGTTTTTATTTATGATACACCAGGTAATGGATCATACCATGCACCTTCCGGCCAGACTAAAATGCCTGCATTTGTATAGTCGCCGCGATACTGTTCTGGTGCTTTAATAGATGCTCTGGCCACTCTCAAGTATATGTCTACTGAACCATCTAATTCATCTAAAGATTTATTAACCATATCCTTCAACATCTGGTTGTCATTGATTAACAAGTCTAGATCTACAGTTTCATTATTACCAACATATACTTCTAAATCGTTTAAGAGTAAAGAATAGCCATCTATTTTTCCATGCCAATCTACTCCATTACCTGAATCAACCTCTAGGTTACTAGAAGAATTATTGCTTGGCATTGACCAAGATATTTTATGATTGTCTAAAGGATCAAATGTAAATGAAGGTGGACTTAATGATGCTCCCGCTTCATCTCTTAGTAACGCATAATTTGTCTCCACAATACTAGCAAAATCCCATCTACCAACTCCGGAAATTATCAACCCTATTAATATTCCTTGAAACAAATATGCTGTTAAACTTCTTGTAGCACATCCAGGAACCAAGACCATACCAAGAATATAGTGATGAATTCTAAGGTTTAATCCAGGCAACGATCCCAATATACCGATACCTGCAATGAAACTAATGTAAATCTTAAAATATTTTTTAAAACGTCCGGACTTCCATAACATATAAGCCTGAACAATGGCACACACTAAGATTGTAGTTATGATGGACCCAACCGCAAGTAAAGCGCCTTGTTGCTCTTTTAAATCTTTAAGATTCAGTCTATCCACAGGGAGTCTGTCAAATGTAACATTGTTCATAACTCCCAACCAAAAAAGCGGGTACCATAATATTACTTTTAGGACTGGTGACCCGCCTTCCAAGGTTCTCTTGACTGCCACTTTCCACATAACATATAATATAAAGCATAATGGTAATAACCTTTGAAAACCAATACTGAATAATGAATAAACCGTTTCCCTATTCATAGTGTCTATCATAAATGGTGGATCTAATACAAGAACTAAAGTCCAATATGCTGAGATCATTGTTGTCCAGTATCCGTAAATACTCTCGTATAGATAAAATACCGGAATCCCATATAAAATATTCAATGTTAAGAGTGGAAAACGAGGATCTAGACAATTTGTAAAATAACCATCATTAATTGACTTGAAACTATAGGAAGAGGGAAAAAATGATCCAAAACTAATTGACCAACCCATCTTATTTCTACCTTCAGCACTTGGAAAAGATACTTGCGATCCTGTCATAGAAACTCTTGCACAACCGCCTGCTAATGGTGATAATAAGCCCAAATGAGTAGCGGATGCACAAGGATAGGAATCAGCTCTAAATGGATTCGAGTATAACCCATCAGACCTCTCATCTAAATCCGATACAGTACCACCGCCGATAATATAGTTTGTATATTTAACCCTTTTGGAGCCAACTGCAATAGCAGAGTAAGCTATACCACCCATATCACATAAGGCTGGGCATTTAATATAGTATTCTTTGTCTTCAAATGGATTACAATTTTCACCGAATAGTCCACATGCATTGTTGGTACCTTCCCAATTCAAATATGAATTGCAATCTAGTGATATTATTGGAATTTTATCAGAACTTAAATCGCTGGGAATATAATATGCTTTGAAAACAAAGTGCGGATATAAGAAAAAGAAGTTAGTTCCAAACCAAATAGCACAGTATATGAATAAAATAGTCATTGAGAGAGTTCCTGTCCCAATTCTTTTTTGAAATGTTCGCACTGGAAATTCATTAAATATCTTTATAACAGAGTGAGTCTCCAAGAACTCTGGAGGTTCATCATAAGGTTCATCCGGACCGTCCCATATCTTTCTAACTGATCTCATCATTTTATTAGATCTCTTTAATAACGCCCATTGCTCATTTCTTTCTCCCTCATGGTGTTCACCATCGTCTCGATCTACGTCATCGACTTCATAACGAGAACCACCCATACTTTGTAATTCAATATCAGTATCACCAAGGTTATGACTATGACTAACCCCCTCTTCATTTAATGAGTTTAAATGTGTTTCACCATTCGGTATATCAGTTCTACTGCCCATGGTTACTTCACACGAATGACTTTACTGGTATTTAGCCTTTGCTAATACAAAATAGAAAAAACAGTTTGAAATTGGTTATCAACGCTCAATTGTACAGATTGATAATATCGATATAAAACGCTGGATGTGGTATAAGATACTCGTTACAACGGCTAGGATACCTTTCTGAGGACCTTGTAGAGTAAATATAAAATACCCTGGAGATTTATACATGTCACATTCACTCATTTACGTTCATTTTTATTTACACTCAGCTAATTTTTCAGAATTGTCACTTTTCCGGGGAAGTACCATGCTTACCCACTTAATAGTCCTACGGGTCATTGTTTGGAAATCTGTCAAATTGAACATTTATTGTTCCAAATCTTAGTCAGCATTTGTTACTCAAAGGACATATAATGAAAATTGTAGAATTATTCATTTGTTTATTTGTTGTTTTATAGGAATTTAAATATTATATTTGAAAAAAATTTAATTAGTATACATAGGTTTGGAAAATTTTGTAGTATTAGTTATCTCTCTCAGCACAACTAATCCCTGGTTGAAGGGTATCTCTTTCACTCACTAGTTCAGCCTTTTTTTGAGTTGTAACCTCCTCTTGTGGAACAACTGGTTCAGTTTCATTTAGCTTGATTGTAGAGACACCACTGGTAATAGATTCGCTGGATGAGGATGAGCCAGAGTTGGTTTTTTCCAAGGTAATACCATCTGTAAATTTAGTACCAGTTGGAACATAAGTAGGACGATGTAAGTTGTCAATATCAGCAATCTTCTTACCGGCTTGATCGGCAACCTTTTGGTCAATTGTGAATTGAATAGCAGCTGAAGCAGCTTGGGTTCTTAAGTAGTACATACCAGTCTTTAAACCCTTTTTCCAACCATAGAAATGCATACTGGTAATCTTACCCATAGTTGGAGCACGTAGGAAAAGATTCAAAGAGTGAGATTGGTCAATGTAGATAGAACGGTCAGCAGCCATGTCGATGATTTTCTTTTGTGAAATTTCCCAGACCGTCTTATAAAGATCCTTTAATTCTTGTGGGACATTTGGTAAACCTTGAACAGAACCATTAGCAGTAATTAAATGTTGTTTCATACTGTCGTTCCAAATACCCATATCAACTAAATCACGTAACAAATATGGGTTGACAATTTGGAATTCACCGGATAGAACACGACGTTGATACATGTTGGAAGTTAATGGTTCGAAACATTCGTTGTAACCCATAATTTGGGAAGTAGAAGCAGTTGGCATTGGAGCCATTGTCAAAGAGTTTCTCAAACCATGTTCGATAATTTCAGCCTTTAATTTGGCCCAGTCCCACATACCAAATGGTTCGGCATTCCACATATCCATCTGTAGGATACCTTGAGAAGCAGGACAACCTTCATATGATTCGTATGGACCGTCTTTCTTGGCTAGTTCCATGGAGGCTTCTAAGGAGGCATGATAAATAGTTTCAAATATTTGTTTGTTTAAAATACCGGCTTCGTCAGATTCGAAAGGTAAACGTAACAGCATGTATGTGTCTGCAAGACCTTGAACACCAAGCGCAATCGGTCTATGCTTCATATTAGAATTTCTAGCCTCTGGAACTGGGTAGTAGTTATTATCGATAACTCTGTTCAAATTTCTGGTAATAACCTTGGCAATTTCATGAAGTTTCTCAAAGTTATAAGTGGAAGTAGTACCATCTTCTGAAGTTTCGATGAAAGCTGGTAAAGCGATGGATGCTAAGTTACAAACAGCGGTCTCATCTGGGTTAGAATATTCAACGATCTCACAACATAAGTTAGATGATTTGATAGTACCGAGATTTCTCTGGTTTGTCTTGATGTTACACGCATCCTTATAGACCATAAATGGAGTACCAGTTTCAGTCTGTGCCTCTAAAATACCATACCATAATTTTTGAGCCTTGATTGTCTTACCACGGCCTTCTCTTTCGTAACGGGTGTATAATTCTTCAAACTCGTCACCATAAACGTCGGACAGACCTGGAGCATCACTTGGAGAGAAAAGAGTCCATTGTTCATTTGCTTCAACACGCTTCATAAATAAATCTGGAATCCACATAGCTGGGAATAGATCTCTTGCACGAATTTCTTCTTTACCATGATTCTTTCTGATGTCAACGAAATCAAAAATATCTGCGTGCCATGGTTCAATAAACAAGGCAAAAGCACCAGGTCTCTTATTACCACCTTGATCGACGTAACGTGCTGTGTTATTGAAAACTCTAACCATAGGGATGATACCATTAGATGTACCGTTAGTACCAGCAATGTATGAACCAGTAGCACGAACGTTGTGGATATGTAGACCAACACCACCAGCAGTTTTGGAGATCATAGCACATTCCTTCAAAGTGTCATAAATACCTTCGATGGAGTCATCTTTCATAGCAACTAAGAAACAAGAAGACATTTGAGGTTTTGGTGTACCAGCATTAAATAGAGTTGGTGAAGCATGAGTAAAGTATCTTAACGACATTAAGTTGTAAGTTTCAATAACAGAATCTAAATCGTCCAGATGAATACCAAGTGCAACTCTCATAATTAAATGTTGAGGACGTTCAGCAACCTTACCATCGAGTCTAAGTAAGTAGGAACGTTCTAGGGTTTTGAAACCAAAGTAATTGAAAGAGTAATCTCTGTCATACACAATTGTAGAGTTAATTAATTCTTTGTTTTCCATAACAATGTCATAAACTTTATCAGAAATCATTGGTGCTGGTTTACCATTAGCAGGATTGATATAATCATGAAGATCACTAATAACGTCAGAGAATCTCTTCTTAGTTTGTTTGTGGATATTGGAAATAGCCAATCTAGCAGCCAAAGTACCGTAATCAGGATGGATAGTTGTCATGTACGCACATGTTTCAGCAGCCAAGTTATCCAATTCAGCAGTTGTAACACCTTCATAAACACCAGAGATGATACGTTGTGTGACTTTAACAGCATCGATTCTTTTTGGGTCAAGACCATAACTTAAACGGGAAATTCTTGATGTAATTTTGTCAAATTGTACAGGTTCTTTGTGACCGTCTCTTTTTATAACGAACATTCTAGAAATATTGATAGATATATGTATATTTAATTATCCTATTGTATGTCAAATGTGAATATGAATGCGATTGGGTAATAATTCACAGGCTTTGAATGTAATTAAAGTTGATGGTTTATTGGGATCAAAATAGTTATAAAAGAATAGAGAGAGGATTTAATTTTCGAATACATCAGAGAATAACGTCCCCTTTATATACTTTTTTTTTTAATTATAATATTGATATAGCATTCTTCTAATAATTCAACAACTGTCGTTACTGGGACAACAAACGGTAACCACAGTAATGAAAAGGAGTAAGCATATAAAAATACAGCAAAAAACGCGAATTTACTCGTTACTGTAGCAATAATTAAATTTCAGTAGAGGAACTTTATTAATAAAACGCGTTACATTTATTGCTTTAATTTGCTTAAACAAGTAAAAACGCGTAAACAATGGAATAAAAGATAGTTTTACTTTGGTATTGTTCGGGAGTTACGTCTAACCCCCCCTCTTTCTTAAAGTCAGCAAGCGTAACTCACTGTCTGCTTACGTGGACTGCGTGATTTTTTATTTTGAATATCTCGGTTGCCATGACATCGGGACTGCTACCATAGAAACGCGTACTAAGAACTATGGCAACCGGCCCACATTATTAAAAAATTCTCGGTTGGTTGTTTGAAAAAAAAATTTATATTCCAAACTAGGTAATAATCCAGCCTCTGTATACTGCTGCACCTTCGGTTGTTTCTCGTTTATGGTGCAATTGCACAGCAAAAATTTGTGAAGTCTAAAAGACGAGATAGTATTGATAACAGATATTTCTCATTAGGGCTTTAAAATACAAAAAACAAGAGTTCTTGCACGACTTTATTCTTAAATAAATTGTTCCTCTCTATCTGTTTACGCGTCAGTTTAATTTTCGATTCATATTAAACTTGTAGAGAAGATGAAGAAGTAAAGTCATTGTTTGATAGTAGTAGCTTCTCAAAGTTTGTGCTTTTGTTTATTCTAAGATGTTTCGAAAGTTTAAAAAAGGTAACGTGTATTATTATTATGTTTCATTATTTATGAAGTTTGTCTTAATTTTAATAGAAGAATATTTATATTTCATATATGCGTTTTCATGAAGGTTTGACAGAGTATGTTATTGTTATTGTTGACTCTACGGGCCAGATCTATCAGTTCGTACCTCTAGAATTATCTATTTATTTATTTTAGAATTAAAATCTCTTTATTAAAGATTATTTCTTTTTCGATCTGAAGAAAATTCCTGCCACTGTTGCAATACCTGCAATTACACCTGCACCAACTAGTAGCCCTTTCATAGTTTCTCGTTCGATTTTATCTTCTACCATTTTTTTCAAAGTTTGCACTTGTTTGTTATTTGGTTCATGGGAACTTAAAACATCTACATATCTCTTAGCCATCTGATACTCATTTAATTTATAACAACCAATTGTTAAATAGTAAAGGCATTCCCTTCTTCTACTAGGGGTTTCTTTGTAAATGTCACTCAATATCTTCACTCCCAGTCTTTGATCATCAACTTGTTGTGATCTAATAAGACCCCATGCATAATTGAAAAGGGCCTGGGTTGTGGCGCTTTCACCACCTTCTGCCAAAACTTGTTGACGTAATACCTCCAATTGTTGGGGGTATAATGGGTCCATAACATCAGTCAGACTTGGAAGAAAGCTATCTGAGGACATTGTTGGTTATATTTATTCGAATGTAACTGGTTGATATTTATACGATTACTAGATGTATATCGTTGCTATGTTGCTTATAACTTTATGCTTTTTGATTCTTGAATTTATATGTTTATTTATAAGGATTTGAAAGTCCCAACCAAAACCCCGCCACCGCTGTTCTACTTTACTTCGGGTTTTCAAACTTGTTAAACCTCTTTCTATTCGGCAAGTTTCGAAAGAGAGAGAAAAATTTAAAAAGGTGAATGGCTCAAAATTGAAGTGATGAGCGAGTTGGATTGAAAAATATTAGAGTATAGAAATTTTGAACAAATATCGATATATACATATATATATATATATATTGTAACATCCGTTTATTGTGTTCTTAGAATTACCTTGATACAACTCACTGTTAACCCTTTTTTGCTGGTCAATAAAGTAGTTCATAACCGTTATTTATATTATAACTTTTTTTGAGGAATGGAAGACACAACAAGATTAAATGAATCCAAACTAGGTACTAAGAAATATTGGGATGATTTCTATTCAGTAGAGAGAGTGAACTTTAAGGAAAACCCAGAAGATACGGGAGAATGTTGGTTTGAGGATAATGGAGCCGAGGAAGGAATGGTAAATTTCATTGTTGAAAATTTAAACGAGTTTAATAACAAAGAATCATCAGTGATTGATCTTGGTACAGGTAATGGCCATCTATTATTTGAACTGTATGAAAATGATTTCGAGGCTAATATGTTAGGTGTTGATTATTCTGCAGAGAGTGTACAATTTGCTACAGATATAGCGAAGGCTAAAGAATATCCTGTGAAGTTTACCCAGGCAGATATATTTGATTCCAATTGGACTCCAGGTGAGTTTGATATTGTGGCAGATAAAGGTACATTGGATGCAATTGCTCTTAGTGGTTTGACTGTAGGTGAAAATAATCAATCTGTTGTTGAAGTATATCACTCTGTCATAGAAAAGATACTGAAAAAAAATGGTACATTTTTAATAACATCATGTAATTTTACTGAAGAAGAATTGATTAGAATCATAACAAAGGGACAATTAGCAGTTTCAGAAACTATTGAATATCCAGTCTTTGAATTTGGTGGTGTTAAAGGTAGTACAATTTGCAGTGTGGCTTTTGTTAAAAAGTAAATATCATATACTCCTACCCCATAAAAAAGAACAATTTGCTATTTGTGTTAATAATTCTTCTATAAAAATCGAAGTAACAGAAAAACCCATGAATTCAAATATTAGTATCATTTGTTGTTACCATTATTAATTCACATACACGTGATAATAATGACTATATAATTTATTTAGGTATGGAGTCATTAATAATTTTATATAGATCTTCTGTGGTTTCTTCTTTACCTGTCTTTAGAGCATATGTCAGAGGTTTATTATTTTCATCAATACCGATTATTCTAATAAATTTTTCACTTTGTAAAGATCCTGGGAAACCTTTCATTAAGGTCACACCTTTCACCAGAGGTAAATTCAGTATAACTTTGAGTATTGTTCTTGTTCTCATTATAATACGACATTTATCATTCTTAGAATCCTTGTTTACTTTAATTACACCTGTACCTCTTTCTTTCCAACCAATTTTCATATCTACTAATTGATATAGTTTTGCATTTGCTTGAAATAAAGTCTCTTCTAATTCTTCACCTGATTTGACTTCCTGTTTATGCAATTGAATCTTTTCATCATTCTCTGTAACAACTTCATTATTCTTTGTATCTGTCGATAATTTTTCTTCTGAATCTTTAGAACCACTTTCTTCTGTATTATCTTTTTCAATGTTCTTGGTTTCCGATTCATTCTCATTCTTTAGGACACCAAACCCACTCCCAAAGGAAAAACCAGATCCAAATGCCATTGGTTTTGGAGTTTCAGTATTTTTACTACTAGTAGTACTACTACCGCTACTGCTATCACTTTTATTATTATCGTTATTTTTAGTGTCATTCTTCTTTTCAGAAGCTACAGTAAATCCTGAACCAAATTTAGTTGTGGAACCAAATACAAATTTTGGTTTTTCATCCTTTGATATTTTTTCAGGTTCTTCCTTTGTTTCATTATCTAATTTCACTTTTTTACTACCTGTATCATTTTCATCGGTAGATCTTGTCCTCTTTAGTGGTGATGATATCTTTTCATCCTTCGTCACTAGTTTTACAACTTCAATTTTTTCAGTCTCCTTGATTGGACTTTTTACCTCTTTATCAGACATAACTTTATAGTAATTTAACGTGATATTGATATCGATGCTCTTGTTTATATCAATATATTATATAATCAATTATATATTTATCCTTGTAATTTATTGTAGAAACAAAAATATAAAATCCTTTTGTCACCTAAAATCCAGTTTTCTTTCATTATTTTTTTTTTCGCTTAATGTTTTTTTGTTTGTTTGCTTCGCTTTTTGGTCTTAGTTTGGTACAGTTATGTTTTCCCAGCATGGATGAACAAAGTTAGAATAAATTTAAGATTACTATATGACATAGACACATCTAGATAAAATTCAATTGTATAAATCGTATCAATGATTGATTGAATTTAATTTAAAAGACAAAAAAGTAATTAATTAATATATATTTATATGTTTTCATATATATTTATTTACCACTGTCAAAAAATAAGAAAAAAAGGGTAAAAATTCATTAGGTCATAAAAACATTAGCAAACAGAATAATAATAATGAAAAGATAAAAGATAAGTATGGAGTCATTATCCTTATAGTTATAGTAAGAAATGGGATTGGAAGTGGTTAGATTATCGAATCAGATGGCGGTTCATTATTAGGAATAATTGGACCTGTCTTATAATCTACATCAACCAATGCGCCATTATTATGACAGCAAATTTCCACGTCAATTTTAAATTTTTTTTGATTTAATTCTGTTTCATCTTCATATTTCCAAGTAATTGTATCAAAAGTTTCTTGTTTAGATTTATTATTAAATCTTAATTCAGGATTTTGTAAAGATTGTCCAATATCTTTTAATAAATGTTTTTCAACATGTTGTTTTAAATGGCGTACATATTTACGTGAATGACAATTTGCTGTATCTTTAATCTTATCTGGATCATCATGTGCACCACGTAATACAAAAGGTGGATAATATTTTAATTTACAATGAACATGATCAAATTCATTATCCTCCGTTTCATTTTTCAAATATGTCTCAAAATCATTCATATCTTCAAAAATTTTAACAGATTCACCGTCTTTAGTGGTAATTGTATTCACTTTTGGACCTTTAACTTTACTTTTCTTGTTAGGCATATTTAGTAATGGAGGTCCTGTTCGAGAGATAAGATTAGATAATTACGTTGTTGTTTCTTATTGCCAATTGATTAATCTGACAATATATATATGCGCGTGTGTGCGTATATCTATATATTTGTTGTAAGTAATTGAAATAAACCAAAGAATCGAAATGGATTTCAATTCCTTTTGCCCCTTTTATATTCTTCATTTACCCCAATTTTATTAAACTCAAATTGGCAGAATGTGACAAATCAAAGAATTTTTATTTTTTTTTAACTTTAAAGAGAGGCACATAATAGAACGGCTGTGCACTCGGAGAAAACTATTGCGGGGAGGTTTGTTGCTATAGCGGGGAATACAATTTTCTATTTATAAAGAGAGGAGAGACGTTTTAGTTAGTAAGTTGGACAAGTTATTGGGATTTGTGTTGTCGTTATTATTATCGTTGGTGGACCGAGGGGATGTGAAGTAGTAGTTCAATGGCGGCTGTGGGAGGAGAAAAATACGTGGTGAGTTTATCGATGAAGCTATATGTGTAGCTTAGTATGAATAGTTTTAGTGATAGCAATGTCACATATCTGTTGGGAGTAGCATTAAATGTGAATGGTGTTCTTTAGAAAAGGAACGAATTGTATTTTCGGTCGGGGTTAGTAGATACTCGAGATACATCTCGTTCTACACAATGCAGAATCCTTTTCTCGACTAGAATTGATCGTTGTTGTATTTTTTGAAGTATCAAGTAGGTATGTATGTGACAGCTATCCTTTGAATTTTTAATGAGAGAGGCTCTCTCTCTCTCTCTCTCTCTCTCTCTCTCTCTCTCTCTCTTCGGTGTATTGCGCTTGGTACAGTGCTTGCCTTACTATGCCCGATTATTTCACGTACCTGCGGTTTTAAATAATTTAAATATATCTGCCACCCCTGCAAAATTAAATGATTTATTTTAAACACTCCATATGATCAATACATTGTATCATACAAATTATGACCACTATCTATCATATCTTCCCTATCATGTAAAATTTATTTCCAACCTCGAAAACTAATTTGTTTTTTAATATTAGGCATTTCTAATATTCCAATTTTATTCCCTCTTCCTCAAAAACTCTTTCTTGTATTGGCATGTTAACTTGGCAAGTATATTAATTAATTACTATGCAAAATGCAATTAAAACAATATTTTAATTCAAATTCTTTTCTACTATTTAAAATATATATTTTTCATCATAATTTGAAATTTTAGGCACTATGGCCGAGTGGTTAAGGCGACAGACTTGAAATCTGTTGGGCTCTGCCCGCGCTGGTTCAAATCCTGCTGGTGTCGATATTTTTTTTTTGTTGGTCAATTCCTTGAACACCTCATATCAAGTTAGGTTTACTATAAACCATTTCCAGTCTCTGTTTCTGTCTTTTGTTTTACAGGTTTTCTATCGGATATTCGCCGAAATATTACTTCAACAAAAACCCTTTTGTTTTATGCTTTACTTTACGACACTTCAGTAATTTGTAATTTTTTTTAACAAATTTTTTAATTGTTTTTTTAAATTTGAATTTGAATAATTTTAATATAATTATAATCTATATGTATTCATATTTTTAACAAAGTAAGTATTGGAAATTATTTTTAATCCTATTTACTCTGAGGGCACACCATCGAGAAGTTTTTCAATTGTGGCTAAAGTGCCCGAAATTAGAAAAAAAATCATTTGAAATATAATGAAAACAGCCTCATGTTGAAATTTTCAGTTAAAATTTGTAACAAGTGACCATACATACCAAGTAGCTCCCTTCCCTTCATCAACAATAATCTAGAATGTGTTTATATGTGTGAACTTCTTCAACATAGTATAAGTATTCATAATATTATAAGAGCGCCATGACGATCAATAGAAAGGAAAAGAAACAATCCTTTAATTCAACTAAAGAGATACGAAAAGCATTAAAATTCAGTGATGAAGTGAAATGGAAACGATTTTCTAATAGACGATATCAATTAATTGACACATTTGCTTTAAAGGATGAGAAAGCAAGTGAACAAGATGATAAAATATCACAAGTAGCTGATATTTTAAGAACTGAGTTTAGTTATCCCGTATCTACAGCAGAATATTTTGAGAAATTAGTTATTGTAGCAATCCAATGTGTAAGACGTAATATGAAGAGGTCATTGAGAAGACAAGTGAACAAGATATCAAAACAAACAACTGATGGCCATTCTAAATCAAACAAAGGGTTAGCTAAGCGATTAATAAAAATACAGGAGAATGTTAAGTATATTAAAGAGTCTTGCAATATTCGAGGGCACGAGATTCTCGAAGGAGTTGAAAATACGAATAATAGGAAAGAAAATACATCTGTACCAAGTATTGCTCGATCTGTTAACCGTGCTATACTAGTGTCATCTTCTGAAACTATAGTGGAAGACCCTCCAGAGATATATGATAACATTATTAGATCGGTTTTATCAGATATTATCAACGAAGTAATACCATTTTCCGAACAAAAAACTAAAGCATCACAGAAAGAACCTGATTTATCGAATTTTTTGACTAATTGTGAGCAAGATATGGAATCTTTGATATCTTTACGAACAAAATCAGAAATACCATTCTCATTGAAAGAAAAATTATTACATAATATTGAGAAATCTAGAACTTGTTCAGATATTGCTAAAGAACATGATTCACTCGACCATTATAATATTCTATGTAATTTAGGAAAATCTGCGTATGATGCTGCATTAAATTTTGTTGTAGAGAAGTTTACTCAAAATCAGATACATGCATTAGAATTTTTATCTGATAAATCAAGCTCAGATGATTTTATATCTGATTTATCACGACAACTATTCAGTACTGCAACCAAAATTGACCTTTCGGTGTCTCTTTCTAACACTGCGGTAATTAAATTGTTTGTCATTACAGTAGGATCATTGATTAAGGATTTCGGATTTGATTCAATATTATACCCACTTAGTGAAATGATTATGCAACATATTATGATAAAATATCCACTCGATGAGCCGAAATCAACAGTAATATCTAATTTGAAAAGTGCATCAGATAAGAAACATAGTGTCCTGATGACGCTACCGATTAACCCTCAGTTAGCAAATAAAGAAATCTATCGAGCTGTCACAATTAAATATGGGATTAAAGAACAAAATTTCAGATTCCCTATGCTAAGTAATGGTCCACCCACAATACAAGAAATCTTGAGGAACTGTCGTGCGTTATTCAATATAAGTCAATTGAATAGGACATCATTTGGATTGTTCAATGAGAAAGGGCTTATAACTGATGATGATCACTTATCACTTTTATTCGGTGAAATTCAGTCTGAAGGTCTCACCTTATTTATAAAGCCTAGACATCAAGCGTGAAGCGTAAAACAATGTTTATGTGTATAAATGATAACTATATAATACTAATAAACACATGCTTTCAACTTAAATATCATATAAAGAAATAAGCCAAGTAAATTATTAAACTGAAAAAAATCAAAGTGTATTAATTAAAATGTTAAATATTACGAATTTATAAACGAAAATATTACAAACAGTGAATACTATATACTATATAGCAAATGCTGTATGTTAATAAAATAGGGTATCTTTATTAACGGAACTGATTGGAAATATTAAAATATTTTCCAATACCTGCAAAAATGTTATTGAATAAATGATTATTATGCTAATCAATCAACTTATAATAAGAAGACGAAAGCAGAGATCATGGCGATCCAAGAACCACCAATAGCTAGGTTAGCAGCAGCACCTTCGTAAGAGGCAATGGCAGCAGAAGAAGTAGCCTTAGCAGCTTGAGAGACAACTGGGGAAGCAGTCTTGGTAGCAACAGAAGTGTTGGTAACAGTAGTGGTGGAATCAGTGTCCTTGGCAGCAGCAGCAGTAGCAGTAGCAGTACAGGTTTCACAAACAGTTTCAGTGGTAGTAGTCAAAGAAGTTTCAGTGACAGTAGAGTGAGCAGTGTAAGTGTTACCGGCAGAGTCAGTGGTCAAGTAGTCACATTCAACAACTTCAGTGACAGTACCGCCAACAACGACAGTGGTGGTGTAAGAGTCACCAGACATGTCAGTTGGAGTGTAGGTAGCTGGGTAGGTAGTCAAAGTGGAAACGGTTTCACCGTTAGACTTGGTAGAAGTACAAGTACAAACAACAACAGTGGAAGTACAGATTTCAGCAGTGATAGTTCTAGTGTAAGTGGTAGCAGTACCATCAGTGATACATGGGTAAGAAGAAACTAGAGTGACAGTGTTACCGTTAGCGTCGGTGGTAGTGTAGTCACAGACAACGTAGACAGAAGTGGTACCATCAACAACAACAGTGGTAGTGTAGGTGGTCAATGGAGCTTGAGAAGCAGTGATAGTGTAGGTAGATTCCATAGTAATGGTGTTACCGTTGTTATCAGTGGTGGTGTAGTCAGAGATGACTAGAGTTTCAGTGGTAGTAGCATCAGACTTGGTGGTGGTGTAGTAAGATAGAGAACCAGAAGCAGAAGAGGAAGCAGAAGAGGAAGCAGCAGAGGAAGCAACAGAAGATTCAACAGAAGAAGCAGCAGAAGAAGCAGCAACGGAAGAAGATTCAACAGAAGAAGCAGCAGAAGAAGCAGCAACGGAAGATTCGACAGAAGAAGCAGCAGAAACAGTCTTAGATTCAGCGTCTAGAGAAGAAGCAGCAGAACCAGTTAGAGTGTAGACAGTTTCAACAATGTAAGTAGAACCATTAGCATCGGTGGTCCAGTAGAAAGAAATCAATTGAGTTTCAGTGGTACCGGAAGCAGAGACAGTGGTGGTGTATGGAGATGGTAGATCAGTGTTAGTGTAAGTGTTAGAAGCAGTAGTAACAGAAGACTTACCGTTTAGAGCATCGTCACAACTTGGAGCTTCAGTACATTCAGCACAGTTAGATGGTCTGGAAGTGTCTGGGACGTCACCGTTGTAGACAACACCGGCACCAATCCAGATGTGGTGAGTAATTCTGAACATTTGAGACATATCGTAACCAGCACCAATGTCAATTCTGATCAAGTCTAAACCGTCAATAACAGTTAAGATACCGGAAGCAGTGTTATAGGTGTAGTAAAGAACTGGTAGTTGGAAGTAGATAGCGTTAGTGTTACCGAAACCTCTGACAGTTAGAGAAGTTAAACCTAGTAGAGACTTAACGTAAACGATGGAAGTTTCAGAAGACATGTAAACAGTTTGAGACTTAACAGATCTGGTAATGATGTTGTTAACAGTGAAAGTAGCATATTCACCGACGTCGATACAACCTTCTTCACCTTCAAAGGCGACTCTAGCGTGTAAGTTAACACCTTGTAGACAGATGGTACCGTCGTTCCAGATGTGCCATAGATCTAAGTATAGATTTGGACCTAAGTGGACGTTGGTTAAGAAGTTGGAAGTACCCTTGTTGTAGAAAGCCAATAGACCTTCGTTGTGGAAGGTAATAGCCCAGATTCTGTAGTCAGAACCAGTGATCAATGGCTTCTTGGAAACTAAGTACATTTCACCGGAGTTGAAGAATTCGTTACCGAAGTTTTCGTAGATCAAACCAGTGGAAGCAAGGGAGTCATCAATAACGTAAGTACCGTAGTTGAAAACGTTGTCAATAGAAATAATAGTCATACCAATGTTAGAAGATTTAGTTTCACAGATGTATAGACCACCTCTGTTAGTGATGGTGTTGAAGAAATTGTGAATTAGACCGGACTTGATAACCAAGTTAGCGCCAGAAGCGATCTTAACTGGTAGAATGAAAATAGTTAAACCATTTAGGACAGTGTTACCTTCGAAAGATTGACCGAAGGCAAATGAGGCAAAGTATGACAGCATGAAAGCTGCGGTTACCAAAAATTGTTTAGTAGAAACCATAGCGAATGAATTGATTTGAATAATCTTTTTTGGTGATGTCTTACTATTGAGTGTTATTTATAAAAAGATAGAATGAATGGAAATAAATTAGTTTAAATTTGAACAAATATTCACCTCTTTATATATCCCAAAACTATCCTTTCCAAAATATTTATTTTCTTGTTTTCATGGATGTTGTTGATGTAGATTATTGAAAAGTTTTCTTCTCTTTTCCATTTGAGGATAAAGACAACAACAACAATAACACTCTTCTATACATACAGTAGTATACCTTCACTGAATTAAAAAAAAAAATTGAAAAATAAAAAAAATCAACTACTGCCTAGTGTTACAGTAGCAACGAGTAATTGATTTACAACAATCATACATTAATATATTTTTTCAAGTATATTCCATCCACTCTAATGGGTGTTGTTTATTTCCATCTTTTCCGAAACAGGATAAAGTAAATACATCTAATATGATATGATTTAATATATCTCTTTAAAAGGATTGACCGTACTAATAGAGGGGCTCCTTATTTGTATCAGAAGTTACCTCCTTTAGGAACTTTATTCCCTTGGGCAGTTACTGATCTTGGCAATTAACCGTTAAAATATACCGTGATAGTAGTCCCTTTTACCTAAGACGACTCCGAACAATAAATTAATAGCCAAAAATATGTCACCATCAATAAAGGAAGGCAAAAGAATAAGGTAGAACCCGTTCGTGTTGTAATGAACTCGTCTATCCTCCTTAGGTAAACATACACTTTATTGTCAAAGGTCAACTAGAAAGGAAATTAACTTCTCCAGCTTTTCATTGTGAAGAACCTATTTGTTTATGGTAGTTTGTTGACCCTATTATTCGTTCTCCTTTCAAGTTTCCCTCCCCTCCTCTGTTCTCTGCCATTTACTTCAAATGCGAAAAAAAAAAATAAAAAGAAATATAATAAGAAATCTTCCCTGAAAAAAAAAGGATCTACGACTATTTCCTTTTTCGATCCACCGCCAACTAAGTAATTAGTCGTTTCCCGAGAAAATAGAAAATTCCGAAACGACACAGACAAGGCGCGTCACATTTAAAATTTATGAGATCTAAGAAAAGAGGAGCCTGAGAAGTATCATATCAGATCTTGCATTTCTTCTTCTCCAAGTTTTTTAGACAAGAAAGATACGTAGGATATTTCTGTAGTTGTGGGTATATTTATTAAAGCTGAAAAATAGAGAGAGAGAGAGAGAGAGAGAGAGAGAGATGAATTAATATTTTGATATGCGTATGGATGTAAGAAGGAAGGGAGTGTGCAGGGGTTCTTGCAGAAATCCCGACGTAGCCAGATAAATTAATAGTTGATAAAGTGGACTTCTTTATTTCTGTAGGGATTTCCCTTGCGGTAAATTTGAATTTTTAATAAGTATCGTAGAACTAAATATGAAACACGACTAAATCACTAATTAAGAAGCTGTTTTCATTGTATTTGATATTTGTTTATTGATTTTTTAATTATTTTTAATTTTCGTTTTTAAAAAAAAAATGTCACTAAATAACAAGACGCTGACCTGGATTGGATCACCCATAATTATTAGTGTTTTTGAAAATTATAATAAATAAAAAAGAGAAAACGATATATCCATCTAATAATTATACATTAATAAATATTCATCTATTTAGGTAATAAGTTATTTTTAACTATGCACGTTTGTTAATTTTTAATAAACCTCCAGCGTTACTTTGAATACTAAAATTCTGTCCTAAGCTAGCAGAAGTAAAAATATTTCAATTTGACAAGAAGTTATTAAGAACGTAAGATATTGTATTCTTTACACTTCCACTGGCTCTAATATTTACTCCCAGACAACCTTCCCTCTTCCACTTAGTAATGTACTCTATTTGATTTTTCCTAATAAGATATTATGTTTATCAACAAACATAAAGTAAATGTTTTCATTTTAACGTTAAAGTAGCATTTGGAATCTAGGCCACCCTTTCCAATCGTTGTAGAATTAAAGGGAGGCATGGCTATTTGAGTTTTACAAACATATATACGTTGTAATGAGATAAAGAAATCAATGGAGATTGTTGTATTGCTTAGCTACTAATTCTCTCCAAATTTTTGAAAACTTCAACATTTTATTAACTTTATCCTCTAACCTCTTGGAAATTGTAACTAACTGCCTAATATCTGCCAATGACTTAAAATCACGTCTTTCTAATACCTACTTTTAGCTAAAAGGCCATTAAACAACAATTTTACCCAAAGTATCATACTTAACCTCAAGTTACTACTTTCTGAAATGTAATGGACTTTAAAGTCATCTTATCTCCCTACATTAAGCATACCTTGTTGACTTATAAGTTTTCCTCTTTGAGGATGTTATTTTGATTGAAGTAATAAGCATGGCTATTTTAGATGTCAATCCCCCCGCTTTATCGTTAATCAAATATTCATTTATCCTACATTCACAATTACTTTGTATAAATATTCAAATATCAAGAACTACTCTATGCAAGATGGAAATACTTGTTAATAATATCTTTATTTAGAGTTGTTCATATCATATTTTTTCTAGTACTAATACTACTTTTTAAACTATCTAATTCATGTATATACAAAATGTTTGGTTAGTAACTATTGAAACTATAGTCTCAAAAGATCACATCGGCGGACTATGAGAAATTATCTTGTTGTAACCTATCCTTTTGCTAGTTGAAAGTCTTATTGTGTAATAGCTATTATGCTATTCGTTTTGTTCGATGAAATGATATCACTTTTCTTAAATTTGAAAATTTATTTTCCACATCTCAAAATATAAACTAGCACTACGATTTGTCACATAATGAGATGCCTATTTCTTTATTTTTTGTAATCATCACTGTCGTCCCAGTTGTTAATAACACTTATGTAAGTCTGTTTACAATAGAATTTGTTTATTTACAAAATTTGCTTACATAAATATATTACCATAACAATATCGGTAGATTGCTGCGTATTTTTCCTCCTACAGGATATGCATACGATAGTCTATAGTGCATGATTAATTACCATTTATGAAAAATAAAATTCTAGACCAAATTATATTAACCTTCAACACCATTATTTTAATCAGAAAATCCCCTGTGTTTCATATTTTTTTATTTTAGAAACAACTGCAATTCTTCGTTAAAAAACCTTATATCCTAATTGGTCTATAATTTGCTTTCCACTTTGGGAATTATATTGCTTATTAATTTTATTCCCCCGATACAAAGAAATTTAATACTTTCAAAGAAAAACTGTATCTATATTTTCCTACTTTACTTTTAAAGTAGTTTTATGTATTTGAATTTGTTACATATTAAGTACGAAGGTCTCATTTCAGCACAATTTGTTGTAGACTCAAAACATTTTCAAATTACTCTTTTAGTTCGAAAATACCCATTTTGAGAAAATAGCTCTTGAAACTTTATTACAATTCCTTTTTGGTTTTTTTCTTATATTTTTCTTTCTGAAAAGTTTCTCTAAGTTATGAAGCTGTTGTTTTTTTAAGTTGAACAATTTGTCTCATAAAACAGAGAAGGAGGAGTTGAAATTGATGAATAGGTTACCCCACGCACTTAACTGTTGCTACCCAGAATATTTGTGATGTAAAGAAGTTATATTTTTTAATGAAAAGGAATATTATAACATCCTGAAATGTTTGAGATCTCTCAATAGAAAAGTTGATGAGATAAATGAATTGAGAAATAAACCGTCATTATCGATAAAAATAACTTTTCTAATGTTGCACGTATTGGCACACCTGGGTAGCTATCTATAGTTATTGTTAGTTTTTAAATATGTTACTTATTTTAATGGCAACGTGGTTGTAGTGGTTTAATTGGCTAGGTGTGTCCAAAACGCTGATACACCTGGGTAGCGATAACCTTGCAATATTTTTTGCAGAACAGTTGATTCTAAAAATAATACACTTTACTATTCCTCCTTTAAGAAACCATCGATAGTGAGATCATGGCTTGTGAACTTAAAGAAACCAACGCAAAAACAAATTTCTAATTTTCAGTTAGAAGTATAAGAAACTCATCCTTGTTTAGTCTTCCCCTGAAAATATTCTTGGATCTCACATTTAGCACATTAGCTTATTGCGAAGGGATTCAGAATCTATGACAGTTGTTGGAATTTACGTTTATCTGATCGGTAACACTGTATTATTGTGTTACGTACCTTAAAGAACCTGTACTTAAGCCTATGTATATTCACTGGTAAAATCGATATTCTTGATTTCTTCAAACTATATTCGAAAGTTTTGTTTGAGTTAATTTGTAGGTCTGCCTCTTAAATAAACGTCATTAGTATTGTTACTCTTCAGTGTCTGCCAGTACCATTGACCGTGGCCCGGACTCAAAAGATATGCAGAGAAAAATGGCTCATACTATAATATATTTATGTCAAATAGTGAATCAAAAATTTATAATACACAAAATTCAAAATTATATATATTATAGCTGTAGAATTAAAAAAAAAGATATGGCCTCTTAAACTTATTGTCTTGAGAACATTGATGGATTAAGATTTTCTCACATCAAATTAAGTATTGAAAGTAGCTCCATATTGATACTAGTAAACAGTTGTCAAAAGGAATGTCGCCATCTTACACTAGTAAATAGTAATAACGTATCTCTTTATTTCTTTGAAATCATAAATTGGGCCAGAATATAAAAGGAAGCTCAGGCTTAGGTTTTTCTTTTAAAGAGACTGTAATCATATATAAGAATATTGAAGGATAAATAGAAATATCATGTAGATTACTTAGAGTTTGTCTTTATCTGTAAGATACTTAAAAACACAACATCTGCTGTGTTTGTTGTTGGGGAAGGGTATCTATGTGTTCATTTTCATTACCAATAAATGTGTTGATATTCCTTATCGTACTTGGTTCTCTGAAAATGTTCATTTACCAATAATAGTGTGGGTAATACTCAGAAACCTTCACTTGCATTTCATATTGTTTAATTTAACATCAGGCCAAACCTCATCGCTCTTGTAAGATAGCTAATCTGTAACAAATGTTATGAAAAAAATTGATGTGAAATTAAAGGGGTATTATGTAGTTGTTATAATATGATTATATAATAAATGACTATATTAGCTTATTGTATGCTAATTGAACGAATTTTAATTGGGTATTATTCTAATAAAAAACTATAATCATGCAATGAGATTAGAATAATAGGAAGACAAAGGCAGAAGCCATGGCGATCCATGAACCAACAACCATGTTAGAAGCAGAACCTTCGTATTCAGATAGGTTGTTAGCAGTGGCAGTGGAGGAAGCAGATTGTACTTCAACAACTTGGGAAGCAGTCTTGGTAGAGACAGCAGTGTTGGTGATGGTGGTAGTTGTATCTTCAGAAGCAGTGTTAGCACCATTTTTAGAACCGTTAGAAGCGGAGGCATTGGTGTTTTCATTGTTCTTACCAGCGTTAGTAGCAGTAGCAGTACAGGTTTCACAAACAGTTTCAGTGGTAGTAGTCAAAGAAGTTTCAGTGACAGTAGAGTGAGCAGTGTAAGTGTTACCGGCAGAGTCAGTGGTCAAGTAGTCACATTCAACAACTTCAGTGACAGTACCGCCAACAACGACAGTGGTGGTGTAAGAGTCACCAGACATGTCAGTTGGAGTGTAGGTAGCTGGGTAGGTAGTCAAAGTGGAAACGGTTTCACCGTTAGACTTGGTAGAAGTACAAGTACAAACAACAACAGTGGAAGTACAGATTTCAGCAGTGATAGTTCTAGTGTAAGTGGTAGCAGTACCATCAGTGATACATGGGTAAGAAGAAACTAGAGTGACAGTGTTACCGTTAGCGTCGGTGGTAGTGTAGTCACAGACAACGTAGACAGAAGTGGTACCATCAACAACAACAGTGGTAGTGTAGGTGGTCAATGGAGCTTGAGAAGCAGTGATAGTGTAGGTAGATTCTAAAGTAACAGTGTTACCGTTGTTATCAGTGGTGGTGTAATCAGAAACAATCAAGGTTTCGGTGGTGGAAGCATCAGCCTTGGTGGTGGTGTAGTAAGATAGAGAACCAGAAGCAGAAGAGGAAGCGGCAGAAGAAGCAACGGAAGAAACAACGGAAGAAGCAGCAACAGAAGAAGATTCAACAGAAGATTCAACGGAAGCAACGGAAGAAGCAGCAGAAGAAGCAGCAACGGAAGATTCGACAGAAGAAACAGAAGAAGAAACAGTCTTAGATTCAGCGTCTAGAGAAGAAGCAGCAGAACCGGTTAGAGTGTAAACAGTTTCGACTGGGAAAGAAGAACCAGCAGAGTCAGTAGTCCAGAAGAAAGAAATCAATTGGGTTTCAGTGGTACCGGAAGCAGAGACAGTGGTGGTGTATGGAGATGGTAGATCAGTGTTTGTGAAAGTGTTAGATTCAGTAGAGACAGAAGATTCAGCGTTTAGAGCGTCTTGACAGTCTGGAACTTCGGTACATTCGGCACAGTTAGCTGGTCTGGAAGCATCAGGAGCTGGGGCGTTGTAAGCAATACCGGAACCGATTAATAGATGGTTGGTAGTTCTGAACATGTTAGATTGATCGTAACCAGTACCAATGTCGATTCTGATGAAATTTAGACCATCAATGACGGTTAATATACCGGAAGCAGTGTTGTAAGTGTAGTATAGAACAGTGATACCGAAGTAAATCTTGTTATTGTTACCCCAACCTCTAACGGTTAGAGAGGTTAGACCTAGTAGAGACTTAACGTAGACAACAGAAGATTCATCGGACATGTAGATAGTTTGAGACTTGACAGATCTAGAGATTAAGTGGTTAACTGTCAAAGTAGAGTAAGCACCGACATCAATACAACCATCTTCACCTTCGAAGGCAACTCTAGCGTGCATGTTAATGGATCTTAGACAGATAGTACCAGTGTTAGTGACATGTAGAGCATCGATTAAAGTTTCTGGACCTAGTTCGACAGTAGATAAGAAGTCAGAGCTACCATTTTGGTAGAAAGCCATTAGACCTTCATTGTGGAAAGAAAGAGCCCAGATTCTGAAAACCGAACCAGTGATAAGTGGTTTCTTACCGTAAACGAAGAATTCACCAGCGTTGTAGAACTTGATACCAGCAGACTTGAAGGTTAGACCAGTTAAAGCAGTAGAGTCATCAACAACGAAAGTACCGTAATTGTTAATGTTACCAGCGGCAAGGACAGTCATACCGACGTTAATAGCCTTGGTTTCACAGATGTATAGACCACCTCTGTTAGTGATAGTGTTGAAGAAGTTGTGAATTAGACCAGATTGGATAACCAAATTAGCATCAGTAGAGACAGTGACAGGTAGAATGAAGATAGTTAGACCGTTTAGGACAGTGTTACCAGTGAAGGTTTTACCGAATGCAAAGGTAGCAAAGTACGACAGCATGAAAGCTGCGGTTACCAAAAATTGTTTAGTGGAAAGCATAGCGAATGAATAGATTGTAATAATCTTTTTTGGTGATGGTTTCTTGAAGCTTATAATAAAATAATTAATAAAAGAGATTGGAACAAGAATTATCGATTTTAGAACAATATTATGGATGTTTATATACTTTTAATTTCATTTGATACTTTGTTACATTTGTCCTTTTCTTCAAGAACTTCCTAAACAAAAGTATATGTTACATACACCATTTGTTTGTAAAGCGATTGCATCTTTCGTAGTCGTATTTTTACGACAAGTACGCGATTAGTTCTATTCTAAGTGCTTTCGCTATCTTGATGATTCCATTAATAAACAACCGAACACATTAATAAACAACCGAACACATTAATAGCATATTTCAGTATGTCATTCTGATTGTTACAGTACAGCATTTCCTATACCATGCTAAAAAAAAATTATATTATTCGATGCCCTCAAAAATAAGACCTTGTAATAGTCAATAGAATGAAGAAAACTGGTTTCCTTTGTCCCTGTATTCCAGTATTGTGACATTTTCTTAATATAGATACTGATTCCATCGCGAGTTAATCCCATTTTGGGGAATGGAGTCGTATCGCTTCGCGAATTACTCGAAATTTTTGAGATCCCATTTCTCGCGCATTTTTCTGAGCGAAACCCATACTGAAAGACTTCCAGATTGCAAAGAAAAGAAGGAGAAGATGGTAGCCCCTCAATGGTAATGATTCTTTGAAAACAAATTTACGTGAGAGATCCACGACTCCAGTACCCACCTAATCAGGCAATTTCAGGAATGAGTTTTATTGTTGTTGTTATTTATTTCTACTAATATATTTTATTAAATACAAGGAAAAGAAGAAACAGAGACTAAATATAGGAATTCGCACAATCAATATGGATGTTCTCCATACAATAAAAACACGACTTATGATGGTTGTTGTAAGATTAACAGGCAAGATGGTTACTTTCTGTCCTTTCTTCATTGTGAATCAACAATAGAAGGAGGCAAGGCCATTATTGGTTAGAATTAGCGATTATATTGCATTCATAGAAATATTTCATTTGTTTATTAGTTTTTAAATATTGATTATCGTTTACTGAATATTGGTGACCGTTAGCATCTCGTCTTATTTCGTGTTTTTTCTTTTTTCTTGATCGTTCACGATGGTTATACCATTGACGTAAATAACTACCAAAAATATTGACAAAGTTTTAAATGGAGACCCTCTTTAGTAAATAATTTGTGTATGGTTTGGCTGCATCGAAATTTCTTGAATTAAGTATTAGTACTTACCAAAAATATTGATTAGATAAGTAAATGAAAATTGCGCAATGCTAGCCAAATATCTCACTAGACAAAACAGAAAAAAAGATTTTGTTATTTTTGAGAGACATTAAAAGAGACCATTTGATTTGGAGGTACAATAGATAGTTTCTTCCATTTTTTTACTTGTATAATGAACGTACATAACTGAAGTTATACTTTTCTTATATTTTAAGTATATTATCTAATATTCAGCTCTGAGTTCAAAACTTTCTCACCATTTTCAAATCATAGAATTGTCATTTTAGAATGTTTAGAAATATTAAAATTACATTAAGTAAATTCACTGTAAAATGAAAATCTAACGGTTTTAGTTTTCCTTGCAGCTTAAATTAGAAACAAGAGGAGCGAATCAAATGAGCCGATAAATAGTCGTTATTTCGATTTATCAAAAGAGAATCAAAAAGGACGAATTAGGAATTTTGATTGGCAGTGTTTTAAACTGCGTAGTGAAAACATCACCTGTTCAACTTACTAAACATGATGAACACTTTTGGGCTCATCATTAAGAAACCTCTTGACGAAAATATGGTCTCAATACATTATAAGTGCGTTAGCTGGTTGCTTAAAATGCTTGATTTGATAAACTGTACCGAATTAAATGTATACCGCTAAGAAATTCCTTAAAAATATTGATCAGTATATCGGACGAAAGAGAACATTGTAAAACAATTTATCCGCATTTTTCTTTGAACCTTTTTTCTTGAAACATTTATTTGTTTCATCTTTTGATTTGCGTTTTCGTCTTATCTAGGTTGTAGGGTCTTTTCTTAAGAACAAATCCTAGCTTTATATATGCGCTCAAACCCTAATATTTTAAACCCTAATATCTTATACCCTATTGTCCATTTCTTTTTCATTTTTTTGGTTTTTTTCCAGAAAGTTCACTTTTTCCAACAAAATAATAATTTTTATATATTTAGCTTCTCTTAAGTAATGAGATGAAGGAGTCCATCACGTAAACATTCGTACATAATTACATTTTTTCAAGTTAACTGATGGAAGTTATATGTATATTTTGTCAAGATTTGGATTATATAGGAACAAAATAAAGTAATATATAAATGGTAATTAGTTACTATTAACAATAATACTACTTAAACTATGTGTTTGCTATTTTATTTTCACGACATTGTAAAAATGTATTGAATACTTCAATGTTAAAATACTCTATCATTAAATCTTACATCCATTTTATTGATAAAAGTTACAAGTTATCTGTCACACATTTCTTTACCCCAAGGATTCTTTCTTTATTTTTTTTTGGTTTTCATCTTTCCAAGATATTTATTTGTAAAATGTCATTCTGTTGCCTCTACTTAACTGAATTGTGATTTTATCACTGTTATATAACGTTTGTTGTTATGCCGACACTTCTCAGAGCGATGCCACAGTAACAATGTTCGTTTTATATGCTGTCACACAAGGGCTTTTAAGAACTCATATACACTATATAGTTGTTTTTGAAGCTTTTTGTATGCCATTGTATTTCTTTCGAGCACCAATTAGTGATAATCCTCTTGTAATATATATAATTAACTAAAAATTTATTGATGACTTTGTCCGGCCTTTTTGACAATTGAACTTACCACTTTAATTAGGATCGGAATGGGTGTATAACTCACTTTCTTCCGCGACAATTAAATTACAAGTCAAATCATCACTTGTCAACCAATCAGTGTCATTTGTTCATATGTTATATACATATCCAATGAGCCTATATATTAGAATTATACGATAAGTGATGAGTCGCTTAGCATTAAATATTATTCGTTCTCTCTTCAATTTTAAGTAAACGAATAATAACCTCTAGTTAGCGCAAGGTGTAGTTGTGTCGCTCTTAGTTTGTAAAAGTTTTCAAGAATTACTTATCACACTAATAATAGTAAAAAGATCTTAAACATAAATTCATACTTTATTGATTTCCAACTATTGATCCCAATTTTAGTATTCGGGGTTATTTACATAATTCCGATCGAGAATGTCAATGTACGGAATAATTTTGTTTCTTGATTTCGACTGTCAATAAATAATTACATAAGAGAGATATGAGTGAGTATCTGACGTTGTAAAGCTGTGACATCAATATTATTTCAACAAAGAAGTACATACACGGTTCCTATTTGGGAAATTAACCTTGTGTAAATAAAGGAAAGATACTAAATACATATCTCCTCAATTGATTACAAGTACGACGCCAAAGGAAGTTGGGATTTATCCCTCTTTTTGTTATCATGAGTATTACTTTGATGTGATGATGGACACTGATTGGGAATCAGATGGTTGTGGTATTTTGCGTTTATTATCTACCCCGATTATTATGTAACTTTTTAACTACTTTTACAATTAAAGTAAAAAAAATACACGACTATTTAATTAAACTATTATTCCCCTATCTGTTAATTATAGGATTTTCAAACCTTGACTGTCATGATTTACTACTATCGCTACTGTAAAATAGTAGGTTGGCTACTTTCCATGACTTTAACGGAATAGGTAATAGTATCATTAAAAACCAACCTGTCAATCCCATTGGTTTCTTCAAAGATTTGTGGCCAAGACAACAGTCCCCGCAACTAATCACTATTATTAAAGATACTGCGAAGACATACTAAAAAAAAACTTGCATTTTTGCTGCGGTCTATTTGTTTGATATTTCCTGTTTAGGTAAAGACTCATATGAAATCAGCGTTTTTTCTATTATTTTTTATTGCCATTAACCGCAAATTAGGAAGAAGAAAAACAAAAGATAATGAAAGAAAGGGAGCTGGCAAATTTTTTTTTCTTCACTCATAAACGAAGGAATAAATAAGCGTAGATCGGTATTATCTTATTGCGTTTTAACTGCGGTCATTACAATAATATCGTACGTTTCTTGAAACAATTGTTACCAGCTGTCACATATTTTTAAAATTTAAAAAAATTGAAAAATTTTCTCTCTTTTACCATGATGATTTCTTAGTAATATATATTGTAGATCTTATATATTTTATCTTTGAGGAACAAAAAACTGTGATATATACTTAACAATTCCGCGTAGAAACTTTGGAATTTTTGCTACTCACCAATTTTTTACAAGCTAAAGATCACCTCTCTGAGGCTTTTCTTCATAAAGAAAATTCACTTTTTTAGTTTTGGATTGGTGATGGTTATGTAAGTCAATAAACTTATTTTCTGGTTCATGAGGGAGCATTTAAACTTCAGTAGAGGGTCAGGGATTATTAACGCCGTTTTGAAATCTTTTCTGAGTTTATAGTATATCTATAGATGTAGAATTGTATTATACCAAGAGATATCCATACGGAAAATCTTGTCCTACAAAGTTAGTGGGTCCGTAACGTATTGTCCCTGTATTTTTACATCCGTCTTATGTTTAACTACATATATTTTACTTACGTACGACAGTAACACTTTTTTTAATCTATAAATTACTATATTTTGGCACTACAACATGTCCTGTCAATCTCAATTCTCTCTTTTTAAATAAATTTACTTAATATTTAGAGAGAAAAGAAGAAGCTATACAGATTTGAAATGAAAATATGGCTGTGGAATCTCTCTGCCTCTCTCGTTTTGTATGCTTGTCTACCACGGAATGTTAGTATTTCTATCCTGAAACATTGACAAAACTCCATATTTTCTCCTATTTTTCTTCATTCCCGTTGTTACAAACAAGGACCTTAAAGAATTATATCGCTACTTTAGAAAACTCGATAGAATAAATTAAGAGCCGCTGTTTCTTAATTCTGTACAGATTTAAAGTACACGGAACACTTTTCAATTCTTTTCTTCCTTTTACATACAGAAATAATTAGTAGAATAATATTATTAATCCAATTTTCCATACCTACGTTTTTTTGTTAAAGAAAGAAAAAGAAGCAGCCTAAATAATCAAAATAGTCTTTTTTTAGTTTAATGGAACTCCTATGTCCCGGTTGAGACCGGGACAAATATATTTCTTTTCATGATAAATACAATATTTTAAGATGCACATATTTCGTAATTAGAAACCAGTAACCGACAGATATAATAAAACAAAATACAAAATGTTCTCTTCTTCTTTTCTAAATCTTCATTAATATTATATTTTTCCATTTTAACAATGGAGAATGACTATGAACCGAGAAGCAAGCACAAAAATTGAAGTTACAGTACTAGTACATCCACGGGTGTCGGATGCAAGTTTCCGTTGACAAAAAAAAAAATTACAATAAAATATTATATCGTAGTTTGCAGCTGAAAAAAATAATTAGAAGTACAATTTATTTCTTGGTATCGATTTCTAGTAAAATATTCGTAAAACTGAAGATGTAGGAATATAAATATTTGGCTCTTCCATGAAGCAGCTACTTGTAGCTACGGGTTTCCTATGAGATCTCTCCAATAAAAAAATGTCTTTTAGAATTTACTTCAAAAAGACCGAGTTTTGACGTTACAACGCAGGACATAAAGAAAGAAATGAAATAAGTTAATTAAAGAGAATATTATTCGTAGTAATGATTTTTTAGTTTTCTTTTAATAATTTAAGTAAGCTCTCCAGAGTGTAAGTCACAATTTTATATAATCACTAAAAGTTTACGCAGAAGATGTTCGTTTCCGGAAATTGTAGATGCACGGGATATTCTGTGGAATTGAAGTTTGTATATCACTTTTTTCCGTTGTATTTTATTCCATTAAAACAGATTTGAAAAAAAAAAAAAAAAATTAAGTTAGAATACTATGGCAAATCAGGAAATAAGCAGGAAGAGTATGCGCTGTATCCGTCAGCTTGGTAGTCCATCATTGAACACCTTACACAGACGAGTTAAGATACGTAAACCATAGATACTTCCACAGTATAATTGTAAATAAGTTTTTTTACCGAAAATAAAAATTGAAAGGCGATAAAAACGACAGCAACAGATTGTGAAGAGAAGTTCGTCCCCATGTACCTTCGTAGCGGAATACAAAATGTTTTTTATAAACTGCAGGTTGCATCTTAAATGTAAATATTTTTTTTCCCTAATTAGATAAACTAAACGGGTTAAGTATTGAATCGTGTCAATAATCATGTAATTATTTACCGAATTGGGATATTGCATATTATAGTGCATAGAGTACCCTGTAAAGTAGGATCTTATTAAATAATTGTCGCTAATAGAATGAAGCTTATTTTTAGGGTGAAGATAAAGTTAATGTGGCAAGTTACAAAATTTCTTTTTTGTTTTAGTTTTCTATACTGTAGGTACTCGTAGATCTCTTTTTAATCTAATATTTTTTGTAATCTGATTTTCTCTGTTTTACTGCCTTCATTTAATTGAAAGGAAAAACGAAGATTATGCTGGTGTAATTCGGGTCCCTTTTTTCAAAAGGTAATGTGCAGTAAATGATTAAGACAACATGCAGTCCTATTCAGTTTCCGTCTAATAAATCCTGTAGTATACTGCTAAAGAAACTTCTGGCCCAGTATCTTTGTTCTCACCTTTCATATTGCTATTTTATTTTTTATTTTTTATATTTCAATTTATTTTGTTTTATAACAGGTGTCGTTAAGAATGTCCTCTTACAAAGAGGGGGGCATGATCATTCGCCTACTCACATGTGTATTATTTTGGTGACAGAGTTAAAACTCAGGAGTTATATCGCGGAGATCCCGATCTGCACTATTATATCTTTGCTTCTAAACTGCCTTAACGAATAATTTTTAAACTTTGCTATTAATTGTTTACCTTTCAAAAATTATGGTTTACGATTATGAAACGTCTATCTCTTTTCCATTTCTATGTTGTCCTTAAGTTTTACAAGGTAGACGTTATGTTTTATTTTTGACGACTTACCGTTATTATACGGTTCTAATATTCTTTCCAAAAAAGTACACTGTTTTGATTGTTTTGGATTCCTATTAATGATTCATGTCGGAGAGTCGTTCTTACTCTCTACTTTTATGGAAATAGTATGGTAATTCAATCTTTGCTACTTGAAAACTACAGTCAAAAGTTCATTAAAATAATTAGCTTATAGAATATTCTTGTTTGTTGTTCATGTGTGGACTTTCGACACCTTATTCCACTTTGCTTGCCTGGTTAAAAGATATTTACCCACTATTCCTCCTTTATTAACTTAATATGGATGTTACAACCAGTGTTTATTCAGCACGAAGAGTTTAAAAAAACACGTTAAAGAATAATACCTTTCGTTACATTTCGTGTCCCATTTATTTATCTTCTCATTCATTCTTTGTCATATATAAGAACAAAAGAACTCATCAATTACAATTAATCTTCATGTACAATAATCTTTCTCTAATCATGTTCTGTCAATCTTCATTTAATCATTTATATTATTATTATAGTAAAATTTATAAATTACATCATTGAGTACAATTAGTAACTTAATTAAATATATTATATTACTTCACTTTTTTACAAATAAATTACAATACATTAACAATGTCTACAATGGATTACTCTAGAGTTACCAATAACACTGGTAGATCCAGTGCCTTTATGAAGTACAGACTTAACAAATACACAGCTAGTTCTTCTGGTACCACACACAAGATTAGAGAGGTTCTAAACTTCAAAGATGAAATGAAATGGAAAAGATTTTCCAACAGAAGATTAGAACTTATTGATAAGTTTAAGCTAAGCAAGTTTAAAGCTTCTGAACAAGATCAAAATATCAAACAAATTGCTAATATCTTAAGAACTGAATTTGAATATCCAGAATCTACTTTAGGTGAATTTGAAAAACTTGTTACAGCCGCTGTTCAATCTGTTAGAAGAAATAGAAAGCGTTCAATGAAGAGACGCGCCGCTGCTGCCGCTGCCGCCGCATCAATGTCTAACAATTCTATAAATGGTGCTCAAATGATGCCATCATTTATGACTGCTAATGGTACACCAACTACCTTAAGAAGTTCTATGAACTTTCACAACAGTGATCACTCTATTAACTATGGTAATTACTCACAAGGTGCTATCCCAAACACTTTTGTTCAGGCTCCAATGGGTTACTCTCAATCTCTTTCCCAATACGTTGCTGATCCTATCTACCAAACCCCTAACATACAACCAAACGTATTCATTTACCAAAATGTTCCAGGTAGTAGATCCATAAGTGGTTCTAACGTCACTCCAACTTTACCAGTGATGCCTCAAAACAACGATCACCTATCTTATCAATGGATGAACAATAACAATCAACAATACAATACTATGTCTCTTCCAATGACTGTTAACATGCCTGTTCAACATAACTCTATGGATCTTAGCATTAAATCATCTCTTCCATTAAATTCCCAATCCCAGCAGGAATTAAACTACGATACCACTCTAAAGGGATTAATTTCTAATCTAATTTCCAACGTGAGCAACGGCAAGCCTGATAGATCTGCTATTCCATCTCATCTACGAGACTCCTTGATTAATGGTATTAGACATTCTAAAACTTGTTTTGAGATATCTCAATCTGCTTCTCCTATTAAGAACTTCGAAGACTTGAAACTTTCTGGTGAAATCGCTGTTAGAGACTCTGTTTCCTTTGTTATTCAAAACTACTTCCACCAATTAATTACTTCTTCTTTGGACTTTGCTACTGCTAAAGTCTGTTCTCCTCAAACTCTTTCTGGTCTGGCTATTGAATTATTTGACTCTAGTGTCAGATACAACTTGACTCAACTACCAATGGTTGAAATTCAAATCGAATTACTTTACCTTGTTCTTGGTGCCATTATTAAAGATTTCGGTTACGATCCAAACTACTTACCTTTAGCTGACATTATTCATGAAAAGTTAAGGGAGGATTACCCACAAGATGCTAGTTTGAAGTTGGTTAACAACAAGCCAGTTGAACTCCCAATGGTTGACACTTCAGTTGTCAAGGAAGCTCCAAAGCGTCTATCTGAAGAATTCCATTTCAAGAAGATTAACATTGATTATAAAGGTCAAAAACAATTCTTTATTTTCAAATCATCAGACAAGAAATCCATTACTATTATGGATATCCTTGAAAACTGTAGAGCCAAATTTGAAATTCCAGAAGAAGAAGTTAATAACTTAGCTATCTACTACAACAAGGAATTGATTGTCAATGATATCAAATTATCTAACATTTTTGTTGCTCTTTCAGACACTGATGAATTTTCTATTGAAATCAAAAGTCTAAATACTTCTGAAGATACTAAGGTTCCACGTTACATCCAATCTCCAATCTCTGCTAAGCTCAACATAGCTACCCCAATTTTAAATATTCATGAAAAATCAAATGTAGGTGATTTAAATATCACCCTACCACCAATGGTTGTAAACAAATTTAATCAAAACTCCTTTGGTAACGGTACTTTACCAAGACCAATGTTGCCAGTTACTAAATAAGGTAATTAAGAATATTATCTTCTTTTATATATATATATATATAAAGGAATTATAATAATATATAGTAATAATATTAATGAATAAATCTCAAATGATAATAATAATATTTTTCGATTCCTTTTTGAAGTGTGAGAATGCCATTCTACTATACTAGTATTACAGGAATGCAAATATGGACATAATGATCATCTCCGTTCTTCTTAAAGAAAAGGGAGGAAAATAGTTAAGAAACAAATTAATATGATCTTACCTTCTAGTCTTTTTCAATATCTGTACTTCCCTCTGACACTTCCTCATCAATCCCTTTCAAAGTTGAAATCTCTTCTGCATCCCTTTCTTGAGTTTCAAGAGGCTGAATAATTGTTACGTCAAGTTTATAGTCTAAAGCATATTCTTGGTCTTTCAAAGCATCATAACATAATGTGCATAAGGCTTCATCTTTAAACCCAATAATTGCATTAAAATAAACTGCATCTACTTGATACACTCCGTCATCTATTTTAACGTTTAATAATTTGTCCATATCTTCATATACTCCAACATAAAATTCCCTAGTATTATCTAATGAGAAATCGGAATCCTCTGAGTCCTGTAACGATAATAAAGTTGGACATTTCAATTTAACAAAATCTTTGAGTACTGTCCAACGTAATTTCCCATATTTTTCTAAATAATTAGTCTCTATATCAATATTTGTATCTTTATCCCTTATTGGTCTTATAGTATCAGAGACTAAATAAGGTGGAAAATTTTTTAATTTTAATTGATACATCTTTCTCTCTGTCATTTGTTTTCTAAAATTTCTTTCATTAAAGATACTCTTTAAACTTTTTGGTTGCTTAAAAGGATTTAAACCTTTTTTACCCGTTAAATAAGCAATATTATCATGATCTGAAGATATTGATGATCGTGGAGAAATATGAAACATATTCATACTATTATATAAATCTTGTTCACTTTCTCTTAGCTGATTTGGTATAATATGACCATGTGAAGGAATATATTTATTTCCAATTACTGGTTGATGATATAATTGTCTTCTTGGAGGAAATGAAGTTGGATATCCCATAGGATACATTGGATTTCCATTTTCTTCAGATATATTTGAACCAGGAACGAAAATCCCATTATTCCTCTTATTACCATTATTAATATTATCATTATTATTGCTGTGATTAGTACCCTTATTAATAATCGGTTGTACTCCAGGTACTAAAGGAAATGCAGGTAATAAAGGTTGTTTTTGGGATTGTTGTGATTGTGATTGATCTGGTCTTAAAGTTGGTGATATTGGTAAAAATGGCTGTGGTGTCTTTAAATTTTGTGATGGTGGGAAAGGTAGTTGTGAATATTGGTGTTGTGGAGAACTTATCATTGGAGTACCCATAGACATCATAGGATGATAAGGCATTGGATAATTCGAAGGTAAAGGACCTGATGAAGGAAATGGTTGATTTGGAATAATATAGGTAAATAAATCATGAAAATCCCATTGATAAGAATTTATAGTCATTAATAAATTATTTAAATCATCTTGACTTAAATCATTTTTTAATAATACTATACAACTTTGTAAAGTTACAAAAGGTGGTATTAATGAAGCTATTGGTGGTAAAAGTTTAACTTGAATAATTTTATTATGATTTATAATACCTCCAATTAAATATTTAATTTGTTTCCATGTTTTACCTGGTGGTATGTTATCTATTCTAATTCTAATTGAATTTAAACTTTGTTCATAAAATGTTGAAAGATTAGAATTATGTTTTTGAAAAGATTTCGGAGATTTTGGAGGACTATGCAATGACATTATTAAAAATAAAACTTAAACTATTTTTGTTTATTTATTTATTTTTTTGATTGTTGTGAATATTAGTAACTATGATAATGATGATGATAATATGCTCTTTCTAATACAGAACAAAGGCTTAATATTACTAAAAAAAAAAAGATAAATGAAATATAAATAAAAACAAACAAAGTTGATTTAAGAATCAAATGTAATCAAAATATAATAATGATGAAACCACCAAAAAAATTGTATTCAAAACTACCTATTGCAATAATATTTAATCAAAATGGTAGTTAATTTCTTTAGTCAAAGGTAAAAAAAAAAATGTTAATATAGCGTAATAGTACTTTAAGGTGGAGAAAATAAGGTAAGAGGTAAAAGTAAGTCAAAGAAAAAAAAGGGTATATATAATAACAATAATAATAATAGTGATATTTAATATTCACACACTATAATGAAAATAGAAAAACAAAACCAAAAATATAACAAAAACAAAACTGTAAACCAACCTAGACTAACAATTAAAAGGGTAATGGTGATTATTTTAAATAAAGATTTCTAAGAGGGAAAATATCGGTTATATCTAAATGAATTTTAAATAACCAGGAAACAAATAAACAAACAAACAAACAAACTAACTAACTAACTAACTAACTAACAATAAAACAACAAAACAAAAGTGAAAACAACAACCAAAACAAATCAAGGCTTGCAAATATGTATATAGGTTACTAATCTATCCTTTGATAAAATAATGTATAAGGTTTTCTTTAATCTAATGTAATATGATATAAGAAAATATGATCAATATATATATATATATATATATATGTATGTATAGGAAATATTAATATCAGTTATGTTATATGTACTAATGTAGATATTACAATAATTATATGAAAACAGACGTAACAAGATAAAAGGAAGAGGAAAATATAATTAATATGTTAAATTTTTCTTCTGAATTAATTCAACTATAACCACTGTTCTTTAAATTCTTCATTAAAGGTTATACAATTGACGAAGAAGGCAGATCACTTAAGATATTTAGCTGGATATGACAAAAAAACAACAATGGGTGAAATTTAATAGTTGTCTCTTCGCCTTCTTATAATTTTCTTTAAGTTCCAATTTTGTTGAAAGCCAATACTATTAATTATAAGATAAATATAGCTCTATTATTGTTTTTATTATATTCCTATCAATAAAAGGGGAAATAAAGGGAACAAATTAATAAAATCTATATTAATTATTCGTGTAAAGATAACTATTAAGCAGTACGTTAACTAATAATAAGTAAATTACGCGCCCGCATCGTTAGCTTTCCCTTAAAAATTATTCTAAATTAAATTGATTTTTTGGAAAAATAACTCCGAAAAATAGAGATGAGGCTAGTTGATGACATATGATATATATACACACACATATATCTACAAGTCGTCTACATTGTCATAACATAAGTACATATAATTAAACACATATGTATGTATGTATGTACGTATGTATGTGCAATAAATTTAAATTTATGTCATGTAAGATAGTTGATTGACAAGGCGTTATTATGTAGTACATATTAATAATAAAGATTTCATGCAAGTAAGTAAATACTATTACATAAACTTTTACAACTGTGGGACGTACATAATATAATAATATTAGCTACTTCTCTATTCTCTCTTTTCTTTACTTTCGCATGGCATATGTATTTTAAAAAAAAGTTTAAATGACAGCAAAAAAAAAAGAGAAGTTACAAAATATAAGAATGGGACCAACTAATAATTGAAGATTTTGTGTAGCATTTAATTAAACTTAAATACAATAAATATATTATTATTATTACAAAACTTAATGTGAAAGATTCAATAATAATAGGGAGTTAATTAAAGTGAAGAGCAAAGAAGCAGCGATAATTAAAAAAAAGAAAAAACAAACCACAATCAAACAATGCCTAAGGCATCTCTAAAGTTGATCTAACAAGATGCAATAACCTTTTATTGTGAGAATTTATTGATTAATTATAAAACAAGTTCATCGTGCTTTAAATAAAACAAACGTCACTTAACCTTTATTTCTTTCTAAAATATATAGTTTTGGTGATAATAAATGATAATATATGGATTAAGTAAGGATTTGAGATTCTTGATTAATATTTAATTAAATATTTTAACCATACAAAGAAGTATTTGTTTAGTAACTATGTATGAGCTTCCACTAACTGTATTTAATTATTATTTATATTCAGTCTGCATATATACCTGACAAGAGAAAAAAATGTTACTGCACCCATGCCCCTCAGCCACATTTGAACTAGATTCCTGTAGTAAATGGAAATAATAAAAAATAATTCCTATGTCCTTCGCCCCTTCTTGCGAAAAAGACCAACAGAAATACTTTTATTTCGGGTCATACGTTCATTTCTCAAGGAAAAAAATTCTGAATATGTATTCGTTACTTTTTTTTTTCTTCTGAAGGGACCAGGCAAAGAAAACCCAGCGAAAAAAAACTGGCTGCCTTTAATTTTTTCTTTTCCCTCACTATTGCAGCAGGTCGTGAAACATGATACTACCTCCGAATTACGTATATATATATATATCTTTTTCCTTCTTTTTTTCTGCGTTCCCACAGACACGTGCAGAGGGCGGAGTACCTTATGATCAGTTCAATTATAATTGCTAGTCACTCAAAGAGAGAGAGAGTGTGAAAAATAATCGGAATGGACAAAAAAACTACAAAATTGTCGACATGACCAATGACATTCGGTTAGAAAGGGCCGTATGATAGCACTGTCTCATCACTTAAATTAAATGGCCTGCTGGTCACTTGCTACAAACTGGAAAACAACTTTTTTGAGATAATTTTTTTCCCTTCCATCATCTCTTCATACAGTGAAAATAAAAAAATACACAAACAAACCATCACTCCGTGCGTACATATCTGTGGGAAATAGCAACATCTGTATTTAATTTATTTCGAAAGCACTAAAACTGTTATTTTTTTATTATGAACAACACAAAATAAAATGGCTTCTCTTTTTTTTGTTTCTTTTCCTACGCTGGTAATGCTCCGTAGAGAGACTCTTCCAAACAAAACAAAAATAATACTGCCTCTCTCTCCCTTTGTTTGTTATGTATGACAATCAATAGGAACCCTCTACCAAATCAATCATAAACTGGTCCCTCTCTCTCTTAAATTATTGTCCCTCTCATATCTTCTATAAAATTTTATGCCCAAAATATTTCTGTATGACCCAAATTTTTTATATGGTGACTGAATGATTAAGATTAGATACCTAAACATTAAGCACATAGTACATTTGATTTGTTATGTTATGTTATTACTTTTCTTTTCTTTTCAAGAACAAACAGTCTCACTACGCACAGTGGGCCTTGGGTCAAAAATAATAATACTGCATTATCAAAACATCATATGAATGTCTCTCTACCTCTCTCTATCGTTGCTTTTTCGGCATGCTTCTTTCTTTCTTTTTCTTCTGCCTGTTAGTTTCTTTTTTTGTTGTTGTTGTATAATTACTTATCCATCTCTTCACAATTTCCTAAAAAAAATTATTTAAATTAAATATATATATACATGCATCGATTAAGTAAATCATTCAACTTAATTATTAATCTTCCCTTTTTGTTTAACTTAATATTAATTGTAACTTTTTATTTATTATTCTTGAATTCTAAATCTGAGAACTCCATCAAACTTCCATATATTAATATTTATATTAAAATGCCTCTAACTGAAAAACCTCTATCTGTTAAAGTTAACGCCTGTCTATTCGATGTCGATGGTACTATTATCATCTCTCAACCAGCTATTGCTGCTATGTGGAGAGATTTCGGTAAAGATAAACCATACTTCGATGCCGAACATGTTATCCACATCTCTCACGGTTGGAGAACTTACGATGCCATCGCTAAATTCGCTCCAGATTTCGCTGATGAAAAATTCGTCGCTGAATTAGAAGGTTCTATCCCAGATAAATTCGGTGAACATTCTATTGAAGTTCCAGGTGCCGTTAAATTATGTAACGAATTAAATCAATTACCAAAGGAAAAATGGGCTGTTGCTACTTCTGGTACTTGGGAAATGGCTCACAAATGGTTCGATCTCCTACATATTAAAAGACCATCCAATTTCATTACTGCTGGTGATGTTAAGAATGGTAAGCCACATCCAGAACCTTACACCAAGGGTAGAAATGGTCTAGGTTTCCCAGTTAACGAACAAGACCCATCTAAATCTAAGGTCTTTGTCTTCGAAGATGCTCCAGCTGGTATTGCTGCCGGTAAGGCCGCTGGTTGTAAGATTGTTGGTATTGCTACCACTTTCGATCTAGAATTCTTAATTGAAAAGGGTTGTGATATTATTGTCAAGAACCATGAATCTATTAAGGTTGGTGGTTACGATCCAGAAACTGATGAAGTTGAATTAATCTTCACTGATTACTTGTACGCTAAGGATGACTTACTAAAATGGTAAATTTTGTAATATTAAAAAAAATTAAACAAACGATACATTTTTTTTATACCATTTAATTACTGCCACTCCACATTACTAAGAAACAAAAATTATTAATTAATTATTATTATTAATTTAATAACGAAACCAAAAAAAGAAGGTTTGCTAATTATTATTTAGCTCCTTTATGATCCATTTACATTTATCTAATCTTTATAACATTCATTGATAGAAATAAAAAAAAATTTATATACATATATTTAAATTAATTTTTTTAATAGAATATATCATTAAATCGAAACAATAATGATCTCTTTATTGATTTTTTTATGTACAGTAGAAATGATAATACTTTTGGAAAGTTAATATTAATTTAGTATTAAACATATCGTTGACAACGAAATAACAGAGCATGCTCAACTAATGATAGTGTTAGTGAGACCCTTACTTACTTTATAAGATTGATGTGACTTTGTAACACATTTTCTAATTTCATTTGTTTAATATAAGTGAATAAAGTGGATGATGATTAGATAATATATAGATATGTATATTTAGAATAAAAAATTATAATTTAGACTACTAATGTGTCATTCCTTTAGTTCTTCTTACCCTTCTTTTCAGCCTTTTGAGCAGCAGCGGTTTGTTCCTTGACGACCTTCTTGACGATCTTTTGTTCTTCAATCAAGAAAGCTCTGACAATTCTTTCCTTAACACAGTTAGCACATCTAGAACCACCGTAAACTCTGGAAACAGTCTTGTGAGTCTTGGAGACAGAAGCGTATTGTCTTGGTCTTAGGGTAGAAACACCTGGTAGAGCAATACCACAGTCACCACACTTTGGTCTGGAAGCCAACTTCTTGACGTGTTGGGCACGCAAGATACCACCTGGGGTCTTAACGACCTTGATCTTGTTGGAACGAGTGTTGTCTGTTTATAAAAAAAATTTAAAATTTAAAAAATGATATAATTGATGAAATTTCAAAATATATCAAAGATAAATAGATTTGTTAGTATTATGTTATTTTTTTATTAATCTTATGAAAAATATTATGGTAAAATTAGAATGTTCATTACAAATCCTATTCTTCCTCCCCAATGATTTCAGGAATGTTCGAATTAAAATATCTTCTTTCGTTTTTGAACGGATATGTAAAATTCCATACGTATCCTTATTATCATGATGATACTAGTATATACAATTTCATATGTTTGATTTTGGATACAATACTAATTCAAAAGCAAATCTTTAAAAGTTTCAATGATGTCTGCTGTTTATATCTACTAAAATAATTCTTCTACCATATGTCGTTATATTTAATGCAGAGGAGGAACTGATTTTCATAAAATATTACATTGGATAAGCTCCTTAATCATTGGAAAACATATTGTTGTACTTATTTCATTCTAATTTTCATATTTCATAACTATAGTAAAACATACATGGATTGTTTCTTCTGTAAGTAACACGTTGAGCCATCTTTAGTTGATCTTGTTTCGCTATTACGTTTTATTAAGAACTATAAAATGTACTCTTATTAAAAGATAGATTTCATATATAATCGTTATTATTACTTTTATTATTACATAATTACCATAACTAGTGAACTCTAAGCGTGCGTTACAATCTAGGAACACTATAGTAGACAACCTATCGAGGCCTATGGTTAGTAGAAAGTATTCCCATCTTAGGTGGACCTACACGGTCTCAACCGAAAATGATGAAAATGGGGACTCCTTTCCCTCTGCCTAAAACATGAATATGAGATGCTTTCTCTCTCTACTGATCAAATTGCTGTTAGACGGACAGGAATAGTCCAGAACGGGATGAAATTGTTTAGAGGAGGAACACGACTGTAGTACTGGCAAGTTTTACGCGGTGGAGATCCTCCGCCTACACTAAATAAAATCGTCAAGTCAGAAATTTAATTTCCTATTGACAACCATTTACTATCGCAGTTTTGTAAACTTTAAAAAAATTATACACGCAAATATTTTTGAAAAAAATTAAAATTTAAATAAAAAGGAGTAAATCGAAACACCCAAACATCGCGCAGTTATTGAAACATCTTTACACCACCTAATTAATTAAATCAGTCCCATATTTTGACATTTCTTAAGGTTCAGTATTTTTGAGTCGCAATTTTTTACATGAAATATATAGCTTAAATATTATATCGATGAGGTTCCACTATAGTACATTAATAACACAATTTTTTTTTTTAAAAAATAGAAGATCATTTATTGAATATTATGTGTTTAGGAAACTATTAGCTACATATGCTTAAGTACAGAACTGAAAGAAAGAAAGTAACACGATTTCTTCTTTTAACAATTGAAAACCTATATACTTGATTGCAATTAGTTTTTTTCAACAGCAATAACTTCGACTTCTAGGTCGACACCAAGTGGTAAAGAAGCAACAGCAACACATGATCTAGCTGGTTTATGTGTGTTAAAGTATTGAGCATAAACACCGTTGAATTCCTTGAAGCTATTGATATCAGCTAGGAAGACATTGACCTTAACAATCTTATCTAGAGAAGAGTTACCTTCCTCTAGAATATTAGTAATATTCTTGAAGACTTGATGAGCTTTGGCAGAGATTGAACCTTCAACGGGCTTGTTATCAGGGGTGTAAGGAATTTGACCAGACACGTAGACAAAGTTATTAGCTTTCATAGCCTGAGAGTATGACGCAGCTGCAGGTGGTGCAAGCTTTGTAGCCACTGGTGTCAAAGTTGTTAGAGTTCTACCAATTGGGGCTCTGAATAAGGTGTTTCTTAAGAACATGATGTAGGGTTGTCGGTAATGATGGTAAATTATTACTTTATCTGGGGATTAATTGTAAGAGAATTTAAATTTAGAATCACAGAACTTTAAAGTTCCTTAAGTGATGAGAATAATCAGCATGTCAATTGATGTTCTTTTATATTTGATTTAGTGGAAAAGGGTATGATTTCTTTCTTACTCTATTGTTTCCTATCAATAAATGAATTTCAAATCTAATTTAGTCACACAAAATAATATTTGTGCGCGAATGTAGTAGATATATCACGTGAACAAAAATTCTAAAATATATAAAATCCATTAATTGTGTGTAGTACACACGTACGAACGGAGATGCTTTTCCGCATTCTTGAAAAATTGAGTAAACCAAAAAAAGGCTCTTCTTATCGAGACGTCTCAAAATTCCACTATGTACAGGGTTTAGATATAGCTGAATTGTGATAATCAGATATCTTATCTTACCAAACAAATCTAATATGTCAATTGAATTAAATGAAGACAGTCTAAATATATACAAATAGTTGACGTTACATATATGCATATTTGTACTAAAATTTGAATGATAGAACCTACAACTCTGAATTGAGAAATTGTAGTAGAGTAAACAACTTTGTAACAAATAAAACTGGTTATATAAGTAAGCTTTTCTTATACACACTTAGCTTGCAACAATAATTGAAATTATTTATAGATTATTATAAGGGATAGTTTCCTTAAAAATTTCTACGCAACATACTTTTTGAACTGGCATTGTGTTGTCGGATGGAATGGTTACCAAACTTGAAATAAGAAAATAAATGTGTTCCAGCAATGGTGGCAAAGCAAGAATAAATGGACCACAATCAAGGTTCTAACATCCAAAATCTTAACAGAATTTTCCATATAGGGTCAGGAAAATAAAAAAAATGTAAGCATAAGCCCATGCATATCACACCATTCTCTTTTTATCTAAACTAATATTAACTACCACATAAATATATATGTTTTGAGAAGAAACTTCAGGATTTAAGCTTCTAATGGAGTAACCAATTTAAGATTTTTGCATAAGGAAAAAATAGATATACCAGGGTGTACTAATTGTTTATACTTTTAGGAACAAGACTGTAACAATAATAACTTTATAAAACCGATCCAGGCAGTTGTTAGCTTACAGCAAAAAATAATGCACTGGTAGCAATTTTGTTTCTCAACCGGTTATTTTTCTAAAATATCAAAGAATAATACATCTTTTATGTGAATTGAACACTAATGATGTGTATAATATAGTAATCTCTTGGTAGTCATTCCTTTCTCTGTAACGATAAACCCTTTATATTGTCAACGTACTATCTTTTATTTTCTGACACGTTTTTGCTGTCGTTTTCGTGCTTTCCAATAACTTTCTCGGTCTTTTTCTGAGAGACAATTTAAATTTAAGACTCTTATCAGCAGAGTCAGGATCTCAATCAATATAAGAGAAGTTTTGTTTGTAGAATTAAATAAGATTATTATAAAAGCACTGGTCTATTTTCAACAAATAAATTACATAATAATTTTTGTTCTTTAAATACATAATATCAGAAATATCATTACTCGAAGAATTAAACGTTTAAGTTTGCTTTATAATTTTATAATAATTAGAATAGCTCAATCGTTAATATTTAAGCACCAACGGCTAGTTTTGATTCACTTGACGGACTATTATTTTATATTGTCTAAATAGTTGATTCGCATCATTTCTGATAAATAATATTGCTTAATAGCCAAGAAAATGAGCTCAAAGGTGTTTTAAAGAAACGTTGAAAGTATCTACATAAGTCGCCAGATAATAGATAGTTATCTACATTAGGTTTCCCCAAAAACTTTCAACTGTTTAAAATGATTCCAGCAATTAACAAGGTGGGAGAATATTATACATATACTATTTGATGCGGACTTACCCCCACTCCAAAGTTTACTAACAGTGTAATGGTCAGCGCCTAGTCACTAATTCAAGAATAGACTTCAGTGAATAAATAGGTCACCGTTTCTAGCCGAAATGGTTACAAACAGATAGAACTGAGAGTACCAAAAAAAAGAAAGGGTTTGCTCTTACCACTAACAACAGCGATCGTTTGTTCCTCAGGATATGAACTGTTAAGTAAATATATGGACTATATATTTTGTTGCCTTGGCGTGCATAGTGATGCCTATTTCCATAGAGTCATTAGACTGGCTATTTTCCCACTATTATTCTTACCATCTTCCCCCCCCCCTCTAAAATATGAAGGTCGTTAGGCTGAACGAAGTCCCTCCTCCCCCCTCCCAAAAACGAGCACAATGAAGTGGCGAGGTAAAAAATTGAGGCGGCGGGTATAGATTTTAATGTAAAGTGAGTAAGTAGACACTCTTTTCGTGTCGCACGAACGAATGAAAAAATTTGAAAAATTACTTTGTGGGAAAAAAAAGAAAAGTGAGATGAGGCAATCCTTATTAATTTTGGAAAAACAAGGAATTATTTTTTAATATTAGCCCAGAAATCCGAGAAGAGTTGAATACAATCAGATATATGTGCGTTTATTGAGTAATCAATTTTCCAATTTTTCTACATTTCATTTACGTACTTCTTTTAACTTACTAAATGAGTAAGAAGGTCATCAAGTTTTGAGAAAAAAAAATTCGTAATACACGGAATTTTACCAGGGAACCACACTTGTAGATGAATTTAATTAAATTTTAAATTAAATTAACAACCTTCGAAATATTTATTCTATACATCGAGTAGTATCGATCTTCTTTTTTGTTTTATTTTTTTGAATATAGAAACCACTACAAATACCTTATATATATATATCAACCAAAAGAAAAGTAAAGAAACTTTGGTAATATATTAAAAATACTGGATTCATTTAAAGTAATTAAACAATACTAGTAAGAGCAAATTATTATAATATTATACTCCGTTTTTCTAAAATATAGAAAACTAATCAAGATACTTATCTTTTAAACTTGCATATTATTCATATCAATTAAAATTTGTTCTGAACAATGAGTGATACTGATACTGATATGCATTTAAACCACAGGGGTTCTGTGGTAGGGAATAGTAAAATGGATGAAGATGTCGTCTATGAGATGGGTGATGTTGAAAAAGGCTCACAAGATTTTAAGACAATTCCGATCTACGAATTCGAAGAACAAGTCTCTGAAGCTGTTGTAGAAGAGACAAAATTGTCTTTAATAAGTAGGTTCGCCGCAAGTTTGAATGCCGAAACTAAAGGTGTTGAACCTATTGAGGACGATGAAAAGACTGACGATTCTATGATCAATGCTGCTTCCATGTGGTTTTCAGCAAATATGGTCATTGCAGCATATGCATTAGGTGGTCTTGGTCCAATGGTTTATGGCCTAAATTTCGGTACATCCTGTTTAGTCATTATATTTTTTAATATATTTGGGGCCTTCTGGGTTGCCTTTTTCTCTGTGTTCGGTTCTGAATTTGGTTTAAGACAGATGATTTTATCTAGATTTTTAATTGGTAATGTAACAGCCAGAATATTTTGTGTTATTAATATCATTGCATGTATTGGTTGGGGTATTGTTAATACAGTCGCGTCCGCACAATTATTGAATATGGTTAACAGTCCTCATGAATGTCCTCTATGGGCAGGTTGTTTAATTATCGTTGGATGTACCGTTGTGGTTACATTCTTTGGTTATAATGTGATCCATTTGTATGAAAAATGGTCCTGGGTTCCAAATTTTGCAGTTTTCTTAGTTATTATTGCTCGTTTAAAGATTTCAGGTAAGTTTGAAAATGGTCCTTGGGGTGGTGGTCCAGCTACTGCTGCAGGTGTTCTATCATTCGGTACAACTGTTTTTGGGTTCGCAGCAGGTTGGACTACTTATGCTGCCGATTACACTGTATACATGCCAAGAGATTCCAACAAATACAAGATGTTCTTTTCATTAATGATAGGTTTATTACTTCCATTATATTTCACCATGTTTATTGGTGCCGCTGCGGGTGCCGCTGCTTTAACTGACCCCGAATGGCAGGCTTATTATGATAAGAACGCTATCGGTGGTGTCACCTACGCTATATTAGTGCCTAACTCCCTACATGGATTTGGCCAATTCTGTTGTGTTCTATTAGCTATGTCAACAGTTGCAAACAATATTCCAAACATGTATACTATTGCTTTATCTGTTCAAGCTTTGTGGAAACCATTTTCTAAAGTTCCAAGAGTTGTCTGGACTATGGCTGGTAATGCCTTCACTTTAGGTATTGGTATTCCAGCATGTTATTACTTTGAGACATTCATGCAAAGTTTCATGGATTCCATTGGTTACTATTTAGCTATTTACATTGCAATTTCTGCATCTGAACATTTTTTCTACAGAAAAGGCTTTAAAGGTTATAACATTGCTGATTGGGATACTCCTTCCAGATTACCAATTGGTATTGCAGGTACATCTGCTTTAATCGCTGGTGCATTTGGTGTTGCATTAGGTATGTCTCAAACATACTGGACTGGTGAAATTGGTGCCCTTATTGGTCCAAATGGTGGTGATATTGGGTTTGAAATGGGTGGTTCTTGGGCATTCATTGTTTACAACGTACTAAGACCTTTAGAAAAGAAGTACACTGGACGTTAAGAAAATAGAAATAACTTTTTTTATTATTAAACATTGTACTACAGTCATTTATTATTCATAAAGATATGTTTACATATCTTTCTACGTGTATTATCTTTTTTTATTCTGTATGAGAAACAGACTTAAAGTCACAAGAAAAAATGTACACACATATACTCACTCATTCTCAATAACTACTAATGTATTGGTAAATATTCCACATCTATATAAAAAATTAACAAAAATAATATTTTACGTCATCATTTTGCCTCATTTAGCAGTTTATATTTTTAATCATATATATGTGGAAGCACTCATAATTTTTCTTTTTGAGATCGTTGACTATCAGCGAAATTTTCATTCGCCTTTTAGTGCCGATTTGTTTATAACAGCTTCCCAATTGCAAAGCACAGATCCAATGGAAGTGATGACCTGTTCAACCTTGCATACTAGTTTAAAATTGACATAATCCTTATTAATTCTTCAAAAAGTATCAACCAAAATATCATATGAGCAACAAATATATTATAAAAACACTACATTCGTTTTATTAGCTGCTATCTTCTTTACCAGGCAACAATCCACACAAGATAATTGTACGTAGGAATAACATGGCAATTTCAATTATTGATCAATACATACCCTACATAACATTCATTTACAGACTAAGTTTTCTAATTGGACTTTTATCATTATTATTAGCCAAGTTTATTCTACCAGACTTCCTTCAATATGGTAAAACATTAAGTTTTCAAAAGACATCTAGCAAGAAACATAGAGAAGAAAAATCAAGACTGGATATAATAATTCATTATACAGTACCCAAAGCGTACTTCTCTCATTTTTACATTCTTTCAACTTTTCTTTCACTCATAACATGTGTCTCCTATGCAAACTATGCTTTGCCTTGGTTAATTCTATTTCACTCATTACGAAGATTATATGAGACACTGTACGTAAGCAAATATACTAGTAAATCAAGGATGAACTGGTCACATTACATTGTAGGTATCTGGTTTTATTCGGTTTTGCATATAATATTAAATATCAAACTGAAAAAAGGTGAAATACCGAATGATTTACACAAATGGTCAGCTACCCTATTTATTATTTCATCATGGGATCAATACATGAACCATAAAGTTCTTTCCCGATTAGTGAAATATTCTTTACCAAAAGCCAGATTATTTAAACTGACATCTTCTCCACATTATTTAGATGAACTATTAATATACGGTTCATTGATATCGTATAATACTGAATTTTTATGGCTTACCGTTTGGATATTTACCAGTCTCTCCATATCTGCCGTCGAAACTCAGAAATATTATAAGATTAAATTTCCTAAGGAACAAATAGCACCTTACGCATATATACCTTTTCTCATCTAAGGGCACATATATCAAGAGTGAACCTTTCAAGTATTACACCATCGAACTTTATCGAATGTATAAATCGACAAACCTAATGAATGTTTTTGATACTATCATCAAACATTAGACCATGCCGTAGCAATATAGAATATACATATAACCATACCGAATAACTATTTCTGATAAACGTTTAAATAATTGGTGATGAGTCTCTAACATCACATACAAGTAGATTCTTAATTCTTGCTGGATTATATGCTACACCCACACATCGCATATATACGGAAATACTGAAGACCCATGTATATTCTTTTGCAGGCTTAGCAAGAACCCAATTTTGGAAATTGTAGCAATGGTGATACCTTTTTTGAATAAGTTATTGCTAAAAACAGATGCAAAAATTATTGATATTAAATAATTTGTTTTTAATAATACGATAGATATACACACTCAATCAAATACATATTTATTACATCTCATTTTCTGTATCTTTCTACGTGTTTTCTACTTTGAAAATTATAGAAAAAAAATAATACTTAAAACGTCAAAAATTGCATAGGAACGACAACTAAATAATTTCAAATTATATCATTTATAAGGTTGGTTGCGTTACAGATATAAATAATTCGAGATCACTGTTAATTTGCTTGTTATTCTTACTAAGGGTTAATCAGGTTCTGAAATTAGTGCGAACAGAATCAAAACACACCGGTAGTTCTAAGTGGATTATATACAGGTAGGAAAGAACAGCGTATTCCTTTAGTACCATTAATCATTATTACTACCTTGGACTGGACAAACAAAGTCTAATAACTGTGACTAGAACAGATGTTACCTTCTTCTGAAAACGGATCCAACAAACTTCATAACAATCCTACGTTTGGGCGCCGAGATAGAAGAGATAGTCTCGACTCCTTCGATTTGCAATTCAATAACTCTTTTGACGCAGCTCTAGATAACTTAAAGATAAATAACAACTCAGAGAATTTAAGTAGAAAGTCAATTTCTGATAGTAAGGAAAACTTCGAAATGACATCGGTGGCCGGCATGGAATCCTTTCGGTCAACTAACCAAAATAAATCAATGGATAGAGATAATCGTCCTTTAATACGCAACAACGAAGATAACTCTACAAACGATGAAAATCCTCGTAAATTCCAAAGTATTCCAAGAACAGGACCAATAGATTCGGTTGTAACAATGTTTAGAAATGCATTCTCAACTGGAGGTTTCAGTTTGGGTAAAAATAAATCATCCATATCTTTAAATGATGATCTCACGGAAAGAGAAATATATCCTGATACTACTCCAATATATGACAAGCATAAGTATCCTTCAAATGAAGTATCTAATGCCAAGTATAATGCTGTGACGTTTGTGCCTACCTTGTTATATGAACAATTTAAGTTTTTTTACAACCTGTACTTTTTGGTCGTTGCGTTATCACAAGCTGTTCCTGTGTTAAGGATTGGTTATTTGTCTTCATATATCGTTCCATTGGGATTTGTGTTAACTGTTACTATGTTGAAGGAAGCTATGGACGACATTCAAAGGAGAAGACGTGATAGAGAGTCCAATAATGAGTTGTATCAGGTATTGGGGAAACAGACGTTAGTTCCAAGTAAAGATCTAAAGGTTGGTGATATCATTAAATTAAATAAAGGTGATAGAGTGCCTGCAGATTTAGTGCTTTTACAATCAAGTGAGCCTTCAGGAGAGTCATTTATTAAAACAGATCAATTAGATGGTGAAACAGATTGGAAATTAAGAATTTCATGCCCACTTACACAAAATGTTACCGAGGAAGACCTTCAAAACAAAATCAGTTTAACAGCATCTGCGCCAGAAAAGTCAATTAATAGATTTCTTGGTAAGCTAACATATAAAGGTTCATCATCTTCGCCACTAAGTGTCGATAACACATTATGGGCAAATACAGTGGTCGCATCAACTGGTCACTGTATAGCCTGCGTTATATATACTGGGAGAGATACAAGACAAGCTATGAACACTACTTCCCCAACAGTAAAAACCGGTTTGTTAGAGTTAGAAATCAATAGCATTTCCAAAATTCTATGTGCATGTGTTTTTATACTGTCTATAATGTTGGTTGTTTTTGCCGGTTTCAACAATGCCGACTGGTACGTTGATATAATGCGTTATTTGATTTTATTCTCCACAATTATTCCTGTTTCATTAAGAGTGAACTTAGATTTGGCGAAGTCTGTGTATGCCTATCAAATAGAACATGACGATACAATTAAGGAAACAATAGTTAGGACAAGTACTATTCCGGAAGATCTTGGTCGTGTTGAATATTTATTAAGCGATAAAACTGGTACATTAACCCAGAATGATATGCAACTAAAAAAGATTCACCTTGGTTCATCCGCTTTTAGCTCCGAATCAATGGATATGGTGGCTGACTACGTAGCAGACTTGGTGGGCGCAAATGGGAAGAGTTTTGGCAATAGTAACCCATCGAAAAAAAGTAATGAGATAGGGTCGAGAGTACGAGATTTGGTTGTTACACTTGCTATTTGCCATAACGTTACACCAACTTTTGAGGATGATGAAATAACATACCAAGCTGCATCTCCTGATGAAATTGCTATTGTCAAATTTACGGAATCCGTAGGTTTATCGCTTTTCAAGAGAGACCGTCACTCGATCACATTATTACACACTGCCACCGGGACAACAATGTCATATCAAATTCTACAAGTTTTTCCATTCAACTCAGATACAAAACGTATGGGTATTATCGTATATGAAGAACAAACTGAAGAGTATTGGTTTTTCGAAAAAGGTGCAGATACAGTCATGGCGAAAATTGTCGAGAGTAATGTTTGGCTTGAGGAAGAAACTGGTAATATGGCTCGTGAAGGTTTAAGAACGTTAGTGATTGGTAAAAAGAAATTAACGAAGAAGGTATACGAACAATTTAAGGAAGCTTACTCCAGGGCATCATTATCAATGTTAAATCGTGACACAGAAATGGCTGGCGTGATTACAAAGTATCTAGAACATGACTTAGAACTACAAGGGTTGACAGGTGTCGAAGATAAATTGCAAAAGGATGTTAAATCTTCTATCGAGTTACTAAGAAATGCAGGTATTAAAATCTGGATGTTAACAGGTGATAAAGTAGAAACTGCACGCTGCGTTTCTATTAGTGCGAAATTGATTGCCCGTGGTCAATATGTCCATATAATTACAAAGCTCACAAAACCAGAAGGTGCATTAAGCCAGCTGGAATATCTGAAGGTAAACAGAAATGCTTGCCTGTTAATAGATGGTGATTCGTTGGGGATGTTCTTACATTATTATAGACAAGAATTTTTTGATGTTGCTATCTTTCTTCCGACTGTTATCGCCTGTCGTTGTACTCCACAGCAAAAAGCTGATGTCGCTTTGATTATTCGTGAATTAACTGGTAAAAGAGTCTGCTGCATTGGTGATGGTGGTAATGATGTTAGTATGATTCAAAGTGCCGATGTTGGTGTAGGTATCGTAGGTAAGGAAGGTAAACAAGCTTCCCTCGCAGCTGACTTTTCAATAACCCAATTCTGTCATTTAACTGAATTATTACTTTGGCATGGTAGAAACTCTTATAAAAGATCAGCTAAGCTAGCCCAATTTGTAATGCATAGAGGGCTTATTATTGCTGTTTGTCAAGCTGTCTTTTCCGTATGTTCAAAGTTTGAACCAATTGCCCTTTATCAAGGCTGGCTAATGGTTGGTTATGCAACTTGTTATACAATGGCACCGGTCTTCTCCTTAACGCTGGATCATGACATTGATGAATCGTTAACAAAAATGTATCCAGAGTTATACAAGGATTTGACAGAAGGTAAAAGTTTATCATATAAAACATTCTTTGTTTGGTGTGCATTATCAATGTATCAAGGTTGTGTTATTCAAGGATTCTCCCAATCATTTACTGGTATCGAAGAAATTTACTTCCTAAAGATGGTAGCGATTAGTTTTACAGTGTTGGTATTTAATGAGTTGGTCATGGTTGCATTAGAAATAAACACTTGGAATAAGATTATGGCCGCCACTGAACTATTGACCTTCCTATTATACGTGGTATCGATACCTTTCTTGTCTGAATATTTTGATCTTGAATATATGAAGTCATTAAGGTTTATTGGTGAGCTTTTATTTATACTATTAATATCAGTTTTTCCAGTCTGGGCAGCAAAATCTATATATAGAGGTCTACATCCACCAAGTTACGCAAAAGTTCAAGAATTTTCTGGCGTATGACGTCTTGATATTTATATTAGTGGGTAATCAATTGATTTTACCTTTACGTTTAACAACGTTCCATTTTTATAATCTTGTAGAATTAACCATTGATACAGGTACATACATATACATAAAAGTCATAAAATTTATTCAATTACTATATAAGTAAGATATCAGGAAGTACACAAACCGTCACTGAAGTTTACATATTCAATAACCTGTTTCTGTATTATTTTCTGGGTACAAGGTAATAAATAAATAAATAAATAATGCATTAGTTATTAAAATTGGATGTCTATATGATTATATAAGTGGTCAAATCTATGAGGAATAATACTAGTGGAAAATATTTTTAAATCCCTGATTCAGATTCAGTATCACTGTCAAAAGGTGAATGTTCGTCATTTTCTAATTGCAAATCTGAAGGATCATTTAATGGCGTAGCAACAGGTCTTTGGAAATCCGTTGCGTGAACCCAAGGAATAGAATCTGAAATTTTCCCGAACATTGTAGTATTTCTTCTTGTTAGCGTATGATAGGCTGTCGATGGACGTCTAATGTTTTGATTAACATTAGATAAGGGGTGAGCTGTAGAAGAACTTTGAATGACTGGTTCAGAATCTTCACTAGATTGTCTATGTAGTAAATATCTAGTCTTTCTAGCTTGTTGAACGATGTTATTGGTATCACTACTTGGTAAAACAGGATAAGGAAGTGGAGAATCCCCCGTGACTCTAAATAGGTGTACATTGGCAACATGTTCATTTTCAATACGGAAAATTACCCAAACGAATCTTCTCAATAATTCTGTTAATGCTAACACAAATGAAGTTTTCGCACTTTGTTGGATAGATTGAGGTGCAACAGCGTATACAACCCACTGGAATCTGATAACCACATCCCAAACCATTGCTGAGTAATATAATGCTTTTCTTTTTGGACTATAAGAACCATCTTCCCAATTTCTTTTGCCTGCCAAATAAAGATCATCTCTTAAAAACAGATTCCTATAAGAAGGTTGGAAAAGGGACCAATCAATAATCAAATCCCAAATAGAAGTTAAGACAGAGTTCATAGTAGAAACAATGATAAAGTAGGTTCTACGTTGCTCATTAAATGGATCTAATCTATAAGCACATAAGGTTGCTTGATATCCAACACCGAAACTATACTTGATGGCGTTAATAAGATGTGGAAACCAATCCCCAGAGTCCAGAAATCTTCTAATACATTGAAGCAATCTCCAATAACTTGGAATCGAGGAAAGGACACCCATAGATTTAGAGTGTGAAGACCCACACAAACCTTGCTCGTTTGTAGAATAAATACAAGCAAACATGGCAATATCTGCAATAGAATAAGTAAGGGAACAAACAATATCACCTAAGAAGAAATCACCAAACTCAACTGGGAAAATACCCGAACAAGCTAACCTAATAGAAGTAATAATAAGCCAATTTCTAGTGTGGACAACCTTGTCCCAATATGGTACAAAGTTAGATGGCATGAAAAATAATATAAATACAGAAGCCATTGCGACAAAACTCCAAGGGGATAGTTCTTGTAATTTAAAACTTAATCCGGCACAAATACAAGTTAACAAAACATAAAATGAAACATAATACAATTTAAGTGAGATACCTGTAGTAGCAAAATCATTATTATACATTTGTGTCCCGCTTCTAGTTTTAACTTCTCCAAACATAATAAATTTATAATTAATACCTGCTCTATGCCATATGAAACAGTTAACTTGGAAAAGAATTAGCATCAAAAGTGTCATATACCAACCACCCCATAATGGAAACAAAATTTTACGTGTGTAAGATACCGCAGGGGAAGAGAATGAAAGATACAATGTATATAAGAAGATAGAAAAGGAAAAACCCAAAAACAAACCAGCTGTGGTCATTTGCAAAGTGGATCTGTTATTACGATGTATCATACTTTCATTCAAAGTATATTCAATATTCAATTTTTTTAATTTATCTCTTTTTTTCTTCATATCATGAGGAGAATTAGTTAAATCAGTACAATACCAAGTTCTGGCTCTTGTTTCCCACCATAACAATGGGTCATCCTTAGGACTATTTGGGACCAAATCAGTAAGAATATGATATGAACTTGTACGTTTCATATGTTGAGCCATTAATTTAACATTGTTATTAACATGTTTGAAAAGAGAATAATTATCTCTTGCATACTTCATAAATCTTGGTAATTCATTAGTACCCAAAGTTTTATCAAATTTCTTGACAATCTTACGGAATCCAGTAACATTTAAATCTCTGTAGGCTTTAACAAGTTGAAGGAACAGGTAAAATTCCAATATTGCTTCATTCAATAATCTTTGAGCACGAGGTAAAGTCATTTCATCAGAAACTAATGACAAGTCGTATGCAAATGTTTCCTTTGCAGGATTTAAGATGGCGCTTAAAGTTGGAGAGCCATATCTAATGTTGGAGTTACGATCATCATCACTGCCATTATTCAAAGAGGCTAAAGACATCCCTGAAGCTGATCTTGAAAGTTCTTTTTCTTCTAAGATTTTATGTTTGAATGCATTCTTAGGCCACGATGGTAGTAAATTCTTTTGTTTTAGGAAATACTTTATATTTGATCTTAGTCCCGGTGATTGCTTCTTTGATTTCCCCATTAATGAATCATTAGCTGTCATACCTGCTGCAACGACAGTAGCATCAATATCAGTTTCTGATTGATTATCACCTTCTTGAAATTGAGGTGAAGTAGAACCATATGTACTTACATTATCTATTGAACTTAATTTCAAAGATTGAGTTTCATCACTTGTGGGATCGATAATTTTTTCCTTTTGAAGTTTATACATATGCATTTGTGTCTTTAATACACCGAATTTAGTTCCACATTCATCCAATAACCAAATATAAAAATCGTTACATTTTGTTAATTCAATAGCTATTAACCAATCTTCAATAAAATCTTTAACAGCTGTCTTTTGTAATCTTGAATAAATAATTTTCTCTTTCTTAAATGAAGTATTTTTATTACCATTTTTATTTCTATTATTTCTATTTCTACGTTTATTACCCTTTCTACTACCACCACTGCCACCACCACTACTTCCACTACGACTATTATTACCACCATCACGAGGATTACCAGTAACTAAATTTGGAATCATAGGGGTAGAAGATGATCTCATTAAACTATTAAATGAATCATTTGAACGGCTATTATAATTATTTTTTCTCAATTTAGCTAAATGTGATGCAGCTGAAATAGATCTTGTTGATTCAATAGACATTGCATCTAAATCATTTTCATCATGACTTTCATTTTCTATATCATTTCTTGTATTTAGTTCTAATCCACTATTTTCTCTTGATATTGTTGATAAATTATTATTATTATCAACAATATGTTGCTCTTCATTTAACCTTGCTAAGAATGGATCCTTTGGTAATTTTCCATAATGATATTTTAATCTTTTTTTACCAATTTTATAATCAATATATTTATCCTTCCATTCAGGGATCACAGATTCTGATAGTTGATCTGCAAATTTCATTATTATTAATATTATACTATAATCATTGAACTATTCTAATCGAAAACAACAAAATAATACGTGATATAATAGAGAGGAATAAATGATAACTATAATCAGCTATTTTTTGTTTGTTTATACTGTTTTAAAAATTTCAATATTTAGTTTACCTATTATTCAAATATGAAATAAACGAAAGTATCTAAAACCAAATTTTAATTATTAAATATTTTTCTAACCAAATAAAAACCGTCAAAGTATAATAAACAACGTCAACTAATGTAAATATTTTGTTGTATTATAGTTTTAATAAAAACAAATTATTATATATTGGTTGTATCATATAGTTTTAGTTCTTATTACGATTGTTATTTGCAGCAGCAGACAGCCAAAAAAAAAAAAAAACATAAATAAATGGAGCATGTGGGAGAGCCGATATTCCTGTAAAAATGACGTAGAACTATCAATAAACAAACAATACTAAAGTTGATTCACCATATTGTTGCTGCTTTAATCTTGATCTGCGGGATAAAGAAGCAACGAAGAAGAAGCCAAAAAAATGAAAAAAAGAAAATACAAGAATGCAGCCATCGGAAAGAAAAAAAACAACTTTGTTAATTGAATCATAGTAGTCGTAATAAAACAACAATCATAAGCCCTTATAATGTGACTAGTAACATAAAACAAACAAATTTATATCTATAATACCTGGGAAATGCATTTGTACTAATAGTAGTTAGTAAAATCTTTTGAAGAATGGAGAAACTTTACCTCATTCACAACAGAGACCTTTATTCCTGTCAATGTTTTTATTTTTTTTGAATATAACATAAATAATCGAACCGGTAGCAATATATAAAATGATTGACACTTGTATATGTGCATAAGATATAACACAACCACTGAATATTCTTAAAAACAGACATACATCTGTAGTCATTTTTTAAAAAGTTTAACAAATAGAAACAACGTTGGAAAGTGACAAATACTAGTATCTTTAACTGTATTAAAAGGAATACGTTTAATATGTTTAACCGAGACACTTAACCACCCTTTAAACGTAATAAATCAAATAATCAAGCCTTGGCAATGCATACGACATTTATATATCCATGGATAATAGAACGAGACTAACACATTTAGGAGTACTATAAAACAATATACAACAAATGTGGTTTGAGAGTAATGAAATTCTCTATTTATTAAGTGTATATTCCTATTCTTTAAATCTCTTCATATAATGACTCTTTGTTAATTATTTCTAATGGCGGCTAATTTAATTGCTTAAACAATCGACCGAACCCTTTTTTTCTGTAAAGCAATATAATATAACCGATTCAAGTTATTACCTACGGAAACAACAAGAATATATGAAAAAGAATAAAAGATTGAATAATAATCATATCAATTGCAAAACAAACTTTGTTTAGAAGCCATCACTTTGTGCTACAAACCAAGATATATTCCGACATTCAAATATATATATATATATATATTCTTTAAAATTCTGGAATCACGTGATATTCGCACTTCAATAGGAAGCTCTTATGCAATTTTAGAGAGAAAAAGACTTCTAATTATTATTTTGCAACGCCATACTTTTTACACAGTTTTTTTTAAAAAAAATGTATCAATTAAGCGGCAAAGGGCATCGCCTTGTTTATCATATTTTTTTTTGGTCTTGAAATTTCACCGTTTGTCCTATTATTTTCATATTTTAACATAATAAATAGTACAACTTTGACTAAATTATTCAATTTTCATATTGCATACGTATTTGATAAGAACAATTAAAGACAAAGGGGAATTTTATTAGGAAAAATATTGTTTTTTAGCCATTTGGAAGTGCACAACTTATAGTATGTTTAACAGCATTATTCAATTAGAAAGTGAAACTAAAGGTGAATACAATATTTACTGACAGATAAATTCTATTTATTTTTTATTCGTTAACTTCTTCTTTTCTTAGTTAAACTACTCCTAATTATTTAACTGACTATATAATTGTAGAAATCTTATAAGGAAAAAGGGTGATATCCTGAGAGAAAACAAACACGAAACATACTTAACAAGAAAGGTTATTCAATACTAAATACCATAGATTAAGAATTTCTCCCTTTTAGTATTTTTCAAGATTACTATTTATATTAAACTAGAAAAAAAATATTAGTTCACTGTCTAATTTGAAATATTCAATTTTTTGCCATCTTGTACTTATCTGCTTAATAATAATAATAATAATTTTTTGTTTTTTTGAACACTGTATTCAAAGAATTCATTAACTGTGAAGAAACAATAACATACACACATATATTAATACAATAAAAACAATAATAAATTCAATTTCAAAGATTATTCATATATTTATATATATTACCTTTTTCTATTTCCCCCATATATTTTAAGCGGAAAGGTGGATCCAAGAAATTAAAAAATTACATTAAAAAAACTAAAAGATAATAGAAAAACGTACAGCGAAAATTTATTAAGAAAAAAAAACACAGGTTGAAGAAGAGGATCACTAAGCTACTTTTTCTTTTTCTTTTATTTTTAGTATTTTCATTCTCAAAGAATAAATATAACACCTTTTAACACATAGGTTAGTAATATCATTACTTATACTTAAAGTATTAACCCCCATTCATAACACAAATCACGAGTGTACGTGTGTGTATTTTTTTTTTTTTGTTCTAATATATTATTAATTTCATTTTTTTAATAAAAATCGAGGGAAATAAAACACAGTGCAATATCAACATAATAAATAGATATAAAAAACTAAGTGGAAAACATTATAATCACAAAATTATTAAACTGAACAAAACAGACAACAAAATAATATATTTTTATTATGGGTTCAACCAATTTATTGTCGTATGATTATGACGGTAAGGTAATAGCTGTCGATTATAGAAATAATTCTGAAAATCCTAATAAGGATAATAAACATCAAAGAGATGACAAAGATGATATTTTAAATGAAAATGGACCAATACGAAAAGTGTCTAAAGTGACCGATAATAATAGTAATAATATTAAGCAACTCGAGCTCTCACCAGAGGGTAACATAATAACATCCAATAATAACAATAATAATAATAATAATAATAATGATCATCAACACGCAGAACAAATGACTGTTTTAGATCATATGCATACCCATAACAAATCTTTGCCTGCATTTAATTTTACTAGATTTTGTTATAGACATAACCCTGAAATTCAAAACTCTCCAACTCATACTGCATGTTATAATCAAGATTTGAAGAAAGTTAAAGAAATAAATTATCAAATATCAAAACTCCCGATACAGGAACAATCTGAAATTCATCATATAATATCGAAATTTAACAAATCAAATGATAAAATAAGAAAATTAATATTTGACGGACTTCTTGCATCTTCATGTTTCCCACAACTATCATATGTTTCCACTCAAGTACAAGAGATGCTAAAGATAGATTTTATTAGTATATTACCAAAGGAATTATCATCTAAAATATTAAGTTACCTTGATTGTCAATCACTTTGCAATTCGATGCTAGTATGCCATAAATGGAATGATCTAGCAAATAATAATAGAATATGGTATCATATGTGTAAGCAGCATATTGATAGAAAATGTCCAAATTGTGGTTGGGGTTTACCTTTACTACAAATGAAAAATAATTTCCGTAATCGTCAACGTAAGAAAGAAGATCAATTGATTAAAAATCCTTGGAAAGTTATTTACAGAGATAGATTTAAAGTTGAAAAAAATTGGAGAAGAGGAAATTTTACAATTAAGGATTTCAAAGGTCATTTAGATGGAATATTAAGTTTACAACATAATTATCGTTTACTTTTTACAGGTTCGTATGATTCTACAGTGGCTATTTGGGATATACATAGTGGTAAATTAATGAGAAGATTACAAGGACATTCGGATGGTGTCAAAGCATTATATTTTGATGATCAAAAATTGATAACAGGATCTTTGGATAAGACTATTAGAGTTTGGAATTATGTTACAGGTGAATGTATTTCAACGTATAGAGGTCATACAGATAGTGTTATGAGTATTGATTCATTTAAGAAGATTATTGTTTCAGGTAGTGCAGATAAGACAGTTAAAGTATGGCATATTGAAACAAGAACTTGTTATACATTAAGAGGTCATACAGAATGGGTTAATTGTGTTCGTTTACATCCAAATAGTTTTAGTTGTTACAGTTGTAGTGATGATGGTACTATTAGAATGTGGGATATACGAACCAACAGTTGTTTAAAAGTATTCCGTGGTCATGTTGGTCAAGTACAAAAAGTTTTACCATTAACTATAATAGATATTGAAAATTTAGTTACAGATAAGAATAGTAATGCATGTACAGGTCATCATACAAATGGAGAACCTGAAATTACAGAGGATCCACAAAATTTGGAACTTGATGAAAATATTCCATATCCAACTCATTTATTATCTTGTTCATTAGACAATACAATTAAATTATGGAATATTAAGACCGGTCAATGTATTAGAACACATTTTGGTCATGTCGAAGGTGTATGGGATATTGCAGCTGATAATTTTAGAATCATTAGTGGCTCTCATGATGGTTCAATAAAAATTTGGGATTTACAAAGTGGGAAATGTATGCATACGTTTCAAGGTAGAAGACTTGAAAAGGATATAATATCAAATACTACTAATAACAACAACAGTAGTAGTAATAATAATGATAATGAAGAAAACAGTAATAACAATGAACAGTTGAGTAATAAAGTCTCACCAATAACATGTGTTGCCATTGGTGATTCTGAATTTTTCTGTGGTGACGAAATGGGATGTTGTAGAATGTTCAATTTTGAGAGTGGAACAGATGATGGTAATGATTAATAAGAAATGATGAAAAAAAGACAATATATATTAATTACACAGATATATACATATATATTTTACAAAATCATATACGATTGGATACTTTTTCAATTTTCTAATTTATCGTCACTCGAAAATTCGTCTACAAATTAAAAAAAAAATAAGAATTCAAATATATTCAATTCAAATCTCTTCAGAATCTTACATAATTAAGTATATCGTGAAATACGGATTTATAGTTTGAATCGCCTATCGATTAACATTACATTATGTAACTCTCTACATAGACTATGACGGTTCCGCGGGGATGAGTATATCGTTTTCTCGTTTCCGATATTTTTTTTGCCCTCAAAAAACAACAACAACAACATTTTTTAAGTTCATCCTAAATCCGGATTGTATATATTTATAGAACGGTAATCTGAGAATATTACGCAGCAAGAACATAGAGGCTAACTTTCCCCGGAGTCACACTTCTAGAAGATCTCACAGCTTCCCGCGCTCCACCCCCACGTAAGCAGGTAAGATTAAATAATGAAACAAAAAAGAATATATTGAAAATAGTATTAAAACAATAATCCAAGTTAACTCATTCGAAACAATTCGCAATTTTATATAGGCATCGGCGATAAGTAACTCTTTTCCATACCAGTAACATAATACACAAGTGACAAATACCATACTGTCATTTAAGAAGAAAGATAGTACCATCGAGAATAACAATTGAATATAGTTTACTACAATATTCTGGATCCTCTGTATCTAAATACAGTATTTTAAGTATTCTTAAGTTGAAAGTCAAATAATTATTCGATTACGAAATAAAAACGACACATTCTACAGTGCCTTGAATTATATGTGTGCGTATCCCTTTTTTGCTAACTAATTGTGAAAGACGAACAATTCGTATATACCAATCTATAATCAAATATTTATTAAACGAGTTGAATTATATCAGTGACCTTATCTAAGACAGTTAAATATTATGATATACGTATATTACATATCAAAAAACAGTTTTGTCTCTAAGGGGGACCCCCCAGAAAAAAAAAGCCAAACAAAGACGAACGATATTGTATCTTGTTTTTTGTGGCTGTAATAGATTGCGGGTCCAAAAGATAAGTTGGCCTTTACCGCCACTCTTATCTTGTTCCCTTTATGAAGGGAAGGGGTGTATGTCTACATGAAAATAAGACATAAATTTGACACGGAAACTAGTGTTCGATCAAATAATAGGCTTGCATATTTACTATTAAAATTAAGTACCCAATGTCTCAAGGGGAGAAAACGGCGAATTTTACACTGAAAAATAACAGCCCTTTCGGAGCTTCGTCTTCGTTGCGCAGCCCAGCGTAGCCGGTACCGTTGCTCTGCAAAAAAACCACCAAAACACCAAAGATATTTTGTTGTACTCGAAAATTTCGGGATCACACCAGCAAATGACGGGGGGGGGGCAGTAAAGGAAGGAGGGAGAGAAGGTGTAGGGGACAGAGAAGAAAAGGAGTAAGAAAAAAAAAATAATTTGAGTAGAAAGGAGGAACTTAAATAGGAACCTGAATTTGAGATTGCTGTGATTATATACTGTAATATAATGCAAGGAAACCCCCACAGACGAGAGATTTCATATGCAAGAAAAATTATGAAAAAAAACAACATTAAAATTCAAACAACCAAAGTAAAAGAAGAAAAAGCAATAGTAACATATTATTATATCATTGTAATTTTAATTTGTATTATATACGTCTTAATTTAAAAGAAGGGATATAAATGAAGATCGAAATTACATAAAATTTCAAACTTGTTTGTCTTCTTAAAAAAATTATATCGAAAGAAAATATAATAGATTAAGTTAAAGGACAACAATTAACATTGATAGAGTTAATTAGTGATATACTTTTTTTTGGTTCATTCTTTAAAAAAATTGGAAATTATTATATATAGATATAATTATCCAGAAACATTAGCATACAAAACAAGCCAAAAAGTTAAGAAAATCAAAAGAATTCTGCAATTTTTATCATCTCTCCCATTTTTTTGTTTAAAAGGTTATTATTTTGAATTAGCACTACACAAAATTTCGAGGGAGTTAAAAAAACATAGATATACAAAAGCTTTAAGTATACTTAAAAGAACAAAATAAATTAGTGAATATTATCTCTTCTCAAAAAAAATAAAAACATGAATGAAGAAGATAAGAATTCAATGGGAGGTGTCTCATTGCAATATATGAATAATACTGGAAATGATGATTTACTTGGTAAAAAGACAAGAATGATAAGTAAAACAACAGATTCAATTAGAAATCCTGGCTATACGACAGATTTTGGTCCACCACAAGCAGCAAGAATAAAAAGATCAATGTCAATGCCATTTATGATTAAATCTATTTTATCAAAGCCGACTCCAACATTTAATCGTCGCACAAAGAAAAAACATGTTAGAAGTAAAAGTGTACATTTTGATGAAAAATTACCAATAAAATTATATCAATTAGATGACAGGCCAAGAATTATTAGTGATGAAAATTCTTATGACACAGGAAAAGTTAATTTTGATAAGATTAAACCATTAGGTAGGATAAATTCACAAGAATATTATGAAGATGAAGATGAAGGTGAAGATATTAATATGATAAGTGATTCATCAATAAATTATGGTGAGAATAATGGGTTTTATGATTTCAATTTTCCTATATTTGATTATGAACAAGGTTTACAAGATGTTAGAATAAATTATTTTTTTAATCATACTAAAAATGATTTATATTTGCAAGAATTACATTTAGAATTTTTAAAACATACACAAGATTGGGTATTAAAAGGTATAATATCATTAAGAAATATTTTTTTTGAAAAATTTGTTGTCGTTAGATATACAACAAATAATTGGAAAAATAGTACAGATATTTCAGGTAAATATATTAGAAGTGGTAATAATTATGATTTTTTTGAATTTCAAATTAATAAATTAGTTGATCTAATTAATTATGATTATGATAAACATTCAATTAATCTAGAATTTTGTATTAATTATCAAACAACAGATAATAATCATCAAATATTAGAATTTTGGGATAATAATAACGATAAAAATTATAGAATGAGACTTGTAGTTGGTAAAGAATTAAATACAATAACGAAAGAAGAAGAAGATATTAAAAATATTGAAAAACAATTTATGAATTGGAATTTAACATATACTGATTCAAATAAAAGTCATAATAAAAATACAAAAAAAGGTACCAACAATCAAAATAATAAAAAGAAAAGCATACAATCATTATTAAATGAAAATAGCGATAGTGATAGTGATTTAGATTCATTAGAATTTGATTTAGATCGTAGATTTAAAAATAATAGAAAAAATAATAGCCGAATGACTAATAATTTTGGTATGAATAATAATTTTAGTAATTTTGGTAGTAAAAAAAGAGTTGATAATTTTAATAATAATGATATTTTACAAAGTGCAATGAATCAATACCCATTTAAACAATATAATTTTAAAAATTCATTTAACAGCTAACAAAAAAAAAGGAAGTTCAAAGTAGCGTAACGTACCAAAATAGCAAAAAGACAAACACAAAATATTAATATTATTACATCAATAAATAAGTAAATAAATTCATATATATGCATATCCCTTAAAATCTCAATAAGTTATAAAATTTTACTTTATTCAAGATGACAGAAAAATAACAACAATAAATATTATGAAATTTGTTTAACCGAGACACTCAAAGTCGCTACTATTCATAAACATGGCATTGTTTTCATACCTCGTAGTAAATTACTTCCTGGTAAAAGGAATACTCAAGTCTTACATAGTAGAATTTTACGATTATTTACTCTCTTAGTCATCCAGTTAATAATTTAGAATTGCTGAACTTAAATTGTGTCGTTTTTTATGACAGAATGAAAAACGACAATATCTAAATGAATGAATTAAATTACTTTAAAAATTGTATTAATTTTTATTTTCAAATAAGGTCACAAAAAACAGGGGACTTTACTACTATTTCACTTAGTAATAACAAATAAATAGTGGTAACAAGTGAAACAAAAAGAAATTAGTATCAAAATTTTGTCGATTAAAGTAGAGCCGCGGATAATTCCATAGTAAGTTGTACTTATTTTATTAAAACAGTTACAAAGTTTATTATCTGTCTCAATTTATTCTTCGGAATCCACTTCTTTATTGTAAAATGGTATCGATTGCATTATATAGGGGATCCGATGCGCGCGTCTTTTTATTTCCCAAAATATACATTTAATTAGGCTTAACTCTTTTTCTTTAAGAAGCAATTTTATTTGCCTGTTTTTCTGAAATACAAAATTTCGGTTATTTTTTTATGGAAGTGGGGAAGAAACAGGGGGGAGGCGAAGGTAGAAAGAAGGGAAGACGCGGACCGAAAGATAGGGTAGAAAAAAAGAGGAGGAAAGTTAAAAACTCCAAAAATAGCTGTGTTTTTTTCTTTTTCATTTTTGGTCTGTATATCACTGCAGGATGGAATCCATACGACAAGATGTGCTCCGTCGGGAATGGTCCAGCCATTGCCATTTTGTTTCTTCAAAACGTACGTTCGGTCTACGAGGAAAGCACAGAGTAACCAGGTACAAAAGCAATCAAGGGGGAGGGAGGAGAAACTAAATAGAAAAAAAGAACAATCGTAGTTCTAGAATTGCAATTGATGTTAGAAACAATGTAGAAACAAAAATGTAAACAAAATAAAATTATTAACCAACTTATTTATTTGTTTACGCTCTAGCAAGTAAATCATTGAGTACAACACAACAAATTAATGAAAGAATGAATGGAGACGAGGAGGTCCCGGAAAGAAATAAGTTATGTGGCGAGACGCATTCACACTATACATACATATATTATAAAGTAAATAAAAATTAGATGTAATACTGTTAATTTCAAGAAAATTAAAAAGAGGGATTTGAATTTACTGATCATCTATATTTTATATGAACATATTCCCCGTTTGTTTGTTTGTTTTATTCTCCACGGGTTTTTAAAGGAACGAATGTTCTTTTTTTTGTTAATTTACGACTAATTAAAATAGAATTATACCTTATTATTATGTCTTATGAGCTTGAAGGAGAAAGGATTGCAAAAAAGAACCCTTATAGATTCACCCTCTTTCTGCAACTTTTTTTAAGGTAGATCAAGAATCCGAATGAAATGGGGAAGTTAAACACATTAACCATAAAGTGTAATTAACAGAAATATACATATACTAATAATGATATTCGTCAGCATTATCATTTATGGGCCCTACATTTTAGGATAGCTTTAAGAGGGGCGAGCATCCTAAAATGGTAATAAAGAATGATATCGGAATGAGTTACAATTCCATTTTAGGATTTTTAATTAATATTTAAAACGTAAGAAATATATTTATCATCTTTCAATCCTAAATTTTTTTTCTTATTTTTTTCTTGATTATATCTATCCCTTTGTTAAATCTAGTAGATACATACCAACAAACAAGTAATAAAATAAATACACCCCAATTAATAAAGATTACAGTAAATAATTAAAATTGTTTGACCATTACTATTCCTTCAAAATATTTTTTTCTTTTTTAAACAAAAACCACAATAACATTAAAAACAATGAATGGGTTTCTCAAACAATTTAATAAAAAACATCATAATACTACAACAACTACTACTACGAATAACAACACGGCATTAGCTACAAATACACCAATTGCACATGCTTTACAACAAGAACAAAACTCTAATAATAATTTAATACCGTCCCTTGATAGAAGTTTATCTGATAATTCAACTCAATCCGCTAGTATGCCACGATCAGTTCCAACAAATATTGAATTACCATCATCTCCCTCAAAAGGTTCAGCATTTAAGAATTGGTTAGCTGAATTATCTCCAAATCATCATCATAACAACAATAACATTATTAATCATCAACAACGTCACCACCATTCTGCTTCAAATGGTAGTATAGGAAATAAAAATCATTCTTCAACAAATTTCACATATAGTAAAAAAACAAATGATAAAAACAATAGCAATAATACAATAATGTCGATTGACAATGGAAGAAAAGTGTTTGATACACCTTTAATTACATCAATGGAAGTTGTTAAATGTGAAATTGTAATTTCAAATGGATTAAATGATAAAAAATTTGGTTATGTACCTGTTGTAATTGCTAAATGTGGTTCAATAATCAAACAATATGGACTAACTACACCTGGTATCTTTAGAAAATCTGGAAATAAAAAGAAAATTGATTATTTAATTAATAATTATTTTGCTAATGAACCATTTTATGGTTTAGATTTTACTTATGATTACCAAACTGGTAAGAATCAGGAATATAGTATTCATGAATTTAGTTCACTTTTTAAGACATATCTTAATAGACTCACAGAACCTGTTATACCATACGAAAATTTTGATTCTTTCATTAATTGTATAAAAGAATATCCTGCTATGATAAATTATTATGATAATATCACAAATCCTGATATCTTAGATAAGACCACAATCAAGTATGAAAATGAGAACCAAATGAAAGATATTAAAGAATTATTAAAAAAATATTATTTATTAATTCATAATTTACCTGAAGCTAATAGAGAATTATTAATTTATGTTTTTGATTTATTAGATATGATTCAAAAACGCTCCTCCGTAAATTTAATGACATGTGAAAATATATCGATTGTATTTCAACCTTCATTATTATCCCATTTAGAGTTTTCAACAGATTTACAATCAAATAGGCTAGCTAGATATACTTTACAATTTTTGGTAGAAAATTTCGATACCCTTGCCAATACCTATCTTGGTGTAAAATCATCATAAACACACCATTATTTCTTCCTAACTACATATTCTTTCAATTTACGAATGCATTACTATGACAATAATTCATCATAGTGTCTGTACTACTACTACTACTACTACAACTACCACTACCACTATCAAAGTGTATCAATATAATAACGAATTACGACAAATTAAAATATAACTAAGAAAAAAAAAAATAACGACAATTATATATGTCATTATACCCAAGAAATCTCTGTATACATTATCTCTAATCAATTATTTCACGACATTAAAAATAATTGCTGAAAATGACAACAACAACAACAACAACATAATGAACACTCTGTAGTAATATTATTAACTTATTAGAGTATATCTATTTAAATCTTATATATAAATATATATAATTAACGTATGATTTAACTGACACAATTATTTACCTTATTTGCCAAGAATCATAACATAACCCAGCAAGATATTTCGTATGCAGCGACTATATATGCCTTGCCCAATCAAACAAGAAAATACAAAAAGGGAGACTAATTTTCATAAAGATACTTCACCGAGAAGTCGGCCCTCATTTAACCATCAAATTTCCTCTTTGCGTGTTCGGTAAAAAATAATGACCATCACAAAAAAAGCACGCAAGTGATGGATATCCCGATTTCTCGGTCCATTTGTGACCAATTATTTCACTGCTTTATTTGGCCCCTCAAAGGCTCGAACAAAACTATTACTATTGTATAACACGGCAAGTAGAATCATCTTTCTTTCTCCTCTCATTGTCTTTACATGAAGCAGTTCAAATATACAAGAGATTAATATCCTACCCGAATATGTAAGTATATATATATATTTTTGTGCCAAATTTATGTACTTTTTATTGTATGTATCCTTCTACGTACCCGTATTCTAACCTATTGCGAGTGATCAATTCTCTATAAAAATTCATGAAAACACACACTTACACAAAGGAGGACTATAATATGTAGATGAACCCATTTATATCCACGATATAATAATGTTCCATCAACGATCGTAGAAGCAAAAAAAAATCAGAGAATTCACATCACGTATCCTTCTTGTACAAGATAAAATTATTTTGTTTTGCACTCCTTTCAAAGCTATTTTGAACTTTTTTAATGATTACTTTTGTCCTCGTTGGTTCAATTGTATGAATAACACTGAGATAATTAATGATTAATAGTAACAACAACCGACATCATCGCAAATGCATTGGAAAGTTACTTTGTACTAATCAACTTATTTATTAATTTATTGATTTCGTATATATACTGCAGAGTTTGATGTCAATTTATTAATTACATCTTAATCTATACATACATATATATATATATTTTGGCACACGTATATATAGTTCCTTCATCTTAAAACTATCTTCCCACTTTTTTTTCTTTTTCTTTTAATTTTTTTCCTTAATATTGTTTGATTCAACCCTTTAGTCCGAATTCGTTACAACCAATCAAATTCGTGTTTTTATATTTTCAGTTTAAAGAAGAAGAAATAGTCCCTACCGACAAAGTCAAAGCTTTTTTTTAAATATATTTTTCAACTTATTCAAGAATATACATTTTACATCATTTCCATATATAGTATAACAATATCATTTTCATCCCACGTTATTCTGTTATATTAATATTCAATTTAGAACATTGAAGAAGCAAAAACGAAAAAGAGACATATCCGATTATTACTTTTGAAGTTTTTACCCCACATCTACCAACAAATTTGTTCAATATAGTAACTTCCAGTTTTTTTTTTTCCATCAATTAAAAAAAATAGAACTATTAATCTACAAAAATAATAAGATATAAATATTTATTGATAAATCCATATCATTATCACATATTCCTTAAAAGACCTATACTATTAATTATTATTTCCAAGAATGCAAAGAGTATTAAGAATTCCAACTTTGAGAAATAGTGCTGCTCTTAGATTGATGTCCACTTCTGCACACCCACAACCTTCCATTGGTAGATTTACTGGTAAACCAGATCCAACTACTGGCAAATTTAACGTTTCCTTTATTGAAGGTGATGGTATTGGTCCAGAAATTTCTCAAGCTGTTAAAGACATCTTTAAAGCTGCAGATGTCCCTGTTCAATGGGAATTTTGTGACGTTTCTCCAATATTTGTCAATGGATTAACCACAATTCCAGATAAAGCTGTTCAATCTATTAGTAAAAATTTAGTTGCATTGAAAGGTCCTTTAGCTACACCAATTGGTAAAGGTCACAGATCTTTAAACCTAACTTTAAGAAAAACTTTTGGTCTTTTCGCTAATGTTCGTCCAGCTAAATCTATCGCTGGATTTAAGACTACTTATTCTGATGTTGATTTGGTTCTTATCAGAGAAAATACTGAAGGTGAATACTCTGGTATTGAACACGTAGTAACACCAGGTGTTGTCCAATCTATTAAATTGATTACAAGAGAAGCATCCGAAAGAGTCATTAAATACGCTTTTGAATACGCTAGAGCCATTGGTAGACCAAGAGTTATTGTAGTTCATAAATCTACTATCCAAAGATTATCCGATGGTTTATTCGTAGATGTCGCTAAAGAATTATCCAAAGATTATCCAGACATTCAATTAGAATTACAATTGATAGATAACAAAGTTTTGAATGTTGTCACTAACCCAGCTTCATATTCTGATGCCGTCTCTGTTTGTCCAAACTTGTACGGTGATATCTTATCCGATTTAAATTCCGGTTTAAGTGCTGGTTCTTTAGGTTTAACACCATCCGCTAACATTGGTAACAAGATCTCTATCTTTGAAGCCGTCCATGGTTCTGCACCAGATATTGCAGGTAAGAACATGGCTAATCCAACTGCTCTATTACTATCATCTGTAATGATGCTAAACCACATGGGTTTAAATGCTCATGCTGACAAGATCCAGGATGCTGTTCTATCAACCATCGCATCCAGTTCAGAAAACAGAACTGGTGATCTTGGTGGTTCTGCTACAACATCTTCTTTCACAGAAGCTGTTATCAACAAGTTGTAAATGTCATACTAAATACATTAATAACAACAGAAAGATATACATACATACGTATATATCTTTTTTTTCACCTCAAATTTGAAAATATAAAAAGTTCTGTTTTTTTTTTTTTCATTCTATTTTTAATGACGATTAATTATTACCTTGTTGATAGTTTTATATAACGAATACTTAAAACTTCGATAACAATGGCGTCCATTCATATATCAATATATAGTTGCATGTATATAACTTATAGGTACAAAACAAATATACCATACAAAAATGTATCCCTTAATTTAGCAGATATTTATTTATTTATTTATTCATTTATTTAAAATACTACTTGGTACTTAACAAATATAATTGATCTGCTTTATGAAATTGTTGACAACCTTCGTTATTCTCGAAATGTCTTACTAATGATGCCTGTTGTTCATCATAAAAGTCCTCTTTAATATATGTAAACATTATTGGTGTCTCATTAGGAGCCCTAGTGCACTGTTTAATATATTCCTTCAATTGAACTTCTGTTATTGACTTTGTTATTTGGAAGTCAGTTCCCAGCATGTTGCATTTAACTTGGGTCCATTTATTTTTATCTGATCTATCTCGTTGGAAATATAGCTGTGGTGAAATCACTAACATGCTCAAGAGATAAGGAGAATCTATTAAATTCAATTGTTTGGCCGTCTTAATTATATGCATTTCAGGATACGTTAAATTCCATTCATTGTGCAATTTTTGGGAGATTTCTTTGTATTGATTCTTTTTCTGTTCTTTCTTTTCATTAATTTGTGTTTTTATACCTTCAATCTGTGAAATGGCTGTCGGAATCTGTTTCTCTTTTTCATCATATATTTTTTCATCTTCTTCTAAAAATTTCAATGTACTGTTCAAGAACATAAATATATCTTTCCCTTGATAACTCTTTAATTTATTCAAATCATTCAAAATACTCCTTAATTCAAAATTCGCATTATTTCTCTTTTCAATAATATGTTTTATCAATTGATCCTTACATTTTTTGGTGTATATTTGAGGATAAAATTCAAATGGAATATCAATTCCATCTGTATATGCCATGTTATCATTAGTAGATTCATCCATTTCACTTAACAGAACAGTAAAAATAGGTGAAATCACTTTCAAAGAACTATCTCTTTCGTCGTCGTCATCACTATCGCTTTCATTGAGATCTCCTGTATTCTCTTCTGGGTACAACAATACGTTAAACATCTTGTATAAAGTAGAATCGTACTCTTCGGGTAAAAAATGGAATAAAGTCAGATAAGTCTCCTGAAAGGGTTCCTCCTTTGAAGGTTTATAAACAGCTGTGGATACAAATGTTTTGCTAATATAGGATGCATTTGAATCAGGGCACAATTGAAGATCTGTTGTAAGAGACTTAATGAATGTGGGGAGAACTTCATGAACATGTTCAACTTCTGCCAATTTTTGTTGAACATTAGAATCAAATGACTTCGAGATTAATTTAGCAGAGACAAAAGCTCTCTCTGAAAATTTCGAATCACACGCAGAGATCAATTTTTGTAATTGCCACAAAGTCTCTGGTTGAGTTTCAGATGGATTATCAATAGAAGATGATTGAACTATTTCAACTTTTTTCGTAACATCCATTGATTCAGTTTTTGAAGAAGAATCCCTTGATACATCATTAGAAAACTTTAATTTGTATAACGGTTCTGTAATTGTGTTACCTTTATACCATGATTCATCATAATTTAAATTCTTAAAATCCGGTTGCAAAAAAAGGTTAGGTGCATAATATGCCATAGCTAAAGCATATAGCGCTAAATAGTTTTCCATTGCAGAATTTACTGGTAGAGGTGTTAGAACTGTGGGATCACTAATTTCCGCTTTATGAATAGAATGTCGCATCACGCTATAAGTCGGTGGTTCTTCACTCGAATCACCTATCGAAGCTGACAATTGGTCATATGAATCAGTAATATTATTTCCACCATGTTCTGCCCCGGAACCGGATAAGATTGATGACGAGGATGATGAAGTTCCTGAAGAAACATCCTTTGTTTGAGGAACTTCATGGTGTGATGAATGATCTTGTGGTAGTTGTATCCTCTTTGTTAAATTATTGTTTTCCTCATGCATATTATTAGGGTTAGAATTAGAGGATTCCGAAGAATCAAAATCAATCAAAGTATTAGCAGTTTTTTGGTCATTGGAGTTCTTATTTTCACTATTTTTTGTGAATATTGGCAATTCGACAGACTCTATATCGATTGGTACTGTATTTATGCTGTTATTATTGTTATTGTTATTGTTATTATTATTATTATTATCATCACGATTACTATTTGTTAAATGATCTGGTAATTCATTAGAAAAGATGAAATTCACGGCATCCTGTAAATTACCATTTACTCGTTTCATTGCATCCATCGCAACATCATGATCAATACCCATTTCCATTAGGGATGTCACATCCCAATTATTAGACATCGGTAGTAGTATTAATTTTACTTTTTTATGTAATCAATATTTCGAGATTCTTTCTCCCATATATTCTTATGATTAATGTATGGCGGCAAAAAGAAACATATGACCTGCTTATCAATGCTCAATTTTAAAATTAACGATGAAAATCGTCTCTGTATGTGCCTTTTTATTTTATTTTAACTTGTTAACTAAAATTATATATGGGGTGTTAATTAGTTGACATAATATGATCTCTGGGACGTCCTGTAGGATGCAGGTAATAAAAGGCCGTATCTAAACAGCCACCACCACAATCACTGCGGCGCAATAATCAATTACCTCCTCTTCTTATAAGGGTTGCGCACCAAAAACAAAGAAAATGTAGATGTATTCGTATAGCATGACCTGTTAAATAACCCTAATAAGGGTTGAATTTGATTTTGAATCCACGTGACTTTTGCTGCAGAGTCCGTATTAAATGACCATGGTTTTTTTTTAACTTTTTTAGCAGTTTTTTTTTGTTGCAGAAGAAAAAAATTTAGTAGCCGTCTTGTGAAGTTAATCAAGTAAGATAACGCCGCTTTAGAGAAAAACAAATGATTCGTACGTGCATTCATCAAGAATTTGTTTAATCTATTTGATATTTTAAGCTCAAGTTATTAGATAATCTTATGACGCCACCTCATATATTTTGAAATTGAAATTGAGAAAGGAGGGAGAAAATTCCATGAAGTTTTTCCGTGCGTTAGTACTCTGTTTTATTAAATACACTGAATATAATTTTTCCATTTAATCTCTCTCACTCCTTTTAAGGTAACTTCCGTGTTCCCGGCTCCGCAAATTACCGATTCTTATTATACTTCATTCTATCTTTAAGTATCTTCGGGATTTTACTTTTTTTAAAATATTAACTAACAAATTTATGTGTTCTTTTAAAAATCGTTTCTTCTATATTTTGAGTAATAATAAATGCACAAAATCCGAAATTATAAATATTTTCAAGCAGAAAAGGAATTTTTTCCATGCGGAGAATCTTTCAAGTAGCAAAAAGAAGTGCACCATGGAAAAGATGGCTAAAAAAATTCTTAAGAAATAACAAAAATAAAGTAGTCTTATTCTGCACAAAACTATTCTTAACCGGTTTAACCGTATTCTACATATTAGAGTTATATGATATATCTCTGTTCAAAAGAAAATGCGGAGGAGATGATTTACATTTCACCTCAAAACCTTGTTTTTTTCTTTTCTTAAAGTTGTCCCCACGGAACAGTGTAATTCTCCTTTTTTTTTCTCTTTTGTTATTGTTTGTTTCAAATAAAAACGTTTCCTACTGAGGATATTATGTAAAGTTAGGCTTGAAACTATCTATGTTAATTATGTTAAAATTTATAAGACGTATATATTTTATATATAACAAGTAATTAGAGTTTGACTGTGGTGATAATTAAAGTTTTACGTATTTCTTTTTTCATCTTAAAAGCAGAAACATGGCTGGAGGAACATTTTTTGCATGTGTAGTAAAAATCTTATACGGAGAAATACAAGGGATAGTAAGTAAATAGTGTAGTTAACCAAATAAAAATTATATGATAGAATCGATAGAACAAATTCTCAGATTAAAAACAGCAAGTAATAGAAGTAAATAGATTTTATACTGTAATTTTCTTCAAAATAACAGGTGAAGAGATATTTTTTTGTTGAAATCAGTTTTAAAATTATTGGGACTAAGGGAATATGGAAGAAACATGTATAAAATAGGATTCAAAAGCGTACACCACTAGGAGGAAGGCGTCAGGGCTTCACTTTGAGATATTTTACAACGGATTATGAAATGCACACCAACTTACTTTATTTCTTCATACGTATTGGCCATATGTAGTGCATATGTATAATATTCTTATTTATTTTTTTTGTCTATAATTTTATTTGAGTATACTCGATGGAGTAGCACAGTACTACTACAAATTTCAATCCAAATTCAAAAAAAACATAAAAATGACATATTACAATAAATAAAAAATAAAGTTAGATAATATATATAATATGTAAGGTAGGATTCGTATTTATTTTTTCTTCTTCTTCTGTTCTTATTCTTTCGGAAATCTTCATAGATATAATCAATATCATTGAATAAAAATTTAAAATTTCCTTTCGTTCTCCTCTCTCATCACCTTAGATGCAGAGACAAATAGAAAATACGGTCTCAAATTAGCTAGATATTGCTAAACATATCTGTAATATATATTTTTTATTATCATCACCATTATTTTTTATTATTGAAAACTGAATCAGATATTGTGCAAGGAACTTATAGTACAGTCTTAACCAAGAGAAAAAAAAATATAGATATATTAAATTTTCATTTTGATTTAGCATTTCATTTCCACAAATTTACCTGTGAAACATATACAATAATTTAACCGCATTATTATCATCTCAATATATATTTTTTTGTTTTATTTTACTCTCAGTTCCACATATTGCAAAGGATAAGATATTACTTTCATTTTTTTCTGCATTTTATTTCATTCTCTCCTTTTTTGTCCGACTGACATTTTCAGTGTCTAAAATATATTGTTATAAAATAGAAACTCTCTTCGAGATTGGCTAATTAGCAAAACTAACTAACCTCAATTTTATTTCTTCCAATCCCATATCTATTAATTTCTAGCTTATCTAGTCTACAATTGAAGGTTTAAGCGAGGACCTCGAGAATAATTCATTTATTTTCTATTTTTTTCTTTTTCTATCACTTCTCGGTCTCCTAGACTCATCGGATTTAAGACACTTTAAGAAAAGAATAACTGCTTACAGTCAGTAAATTTCACAGAAAAGTTTTGAAAGGCGACATCCTTAGAAACTCAAAAGGAAAACAAGGTACCATTACTAAGATAACCTTTCATTGCAATCGTTCACTTTAGAATAATTTCAAGCTTTTATATATAGATACCAATTGTCTTTTCTATTGTGATTTTTCCAATCGATATCATTTTTTCTTCAACCGCCTATTAATAAACTAGTCATAATATACGTGCGGTCACATATTAGTATCATAATGGACGGCACAAATTATAAAGACAACGATTTGAACAGTCATAATTCAAGCCATATAAACTCTGGCGAAAGTTCTAACTCTGTAACCAGTTTGGCAAGTAACAACACGAACGATACAAATGAATATCACGACGGCGCTAACGGAACAAGGCAGCACCAGCATCATAAGAATAATATAACCATCCGTCATAACCATCCACACCATGAGAACGGATATCAATTACATGGATTTCATCCAGATGAACAATATCATGATGAATATAATAATAGTCACAATTCTAGTGGTACATCAACCAATTCTGAAAATAAAAATACCACTTCACTATCAACAAAAAAACCAAATCATGCAAAATCATCTCAAAATATTGTATTTATTCATAAGTTGTACAATATTCTTGAAAATAAAGAATTGAAACATCTAATTTGGTGGTCTGATAATGGGAAATCATTTTTCATAAAACCGAATGAAAAGTTTAGTAAAGCTCTGGCCATATATTTTAAACATACAAATATTACAAGTTTTGTGAGACAACTAAATATTTATGGCTTTCATAAAGTGACAAATCTAAATGAATCAAACACAACAATGGCAGAAAAAGAAAGGGAAAAACCACACGATTCAACTGATGAAAACGATTCTTCTACCATTAAGATATGGGAGTTTAAGCATAGTGCAGGAATATTTAAGAAAGGGGATCCCGAGAGTCTCAAACTTATAAAGAGAAGGTCAAGTTCACGTAATAGTTCGACTACAGGGAAAAAAAGACTAAACTTTTTAGGAAATCATCATGGACTGAATAATAACATTCCTGCAAGCCATAGTAATCCCTCTTTTGAAACTGAAAATATCAGTCAAGCACATATCAATCCTTCATTATCAGCGGAACAACTAACCGTTTTAAGATCACATTCTTCCTTCTCCCCTTATTCTTCAAATGATAATATTATTAATTTGCAAAATTCGTATAGTACTGCCCCACCAGGGTTAATACCGAATTCGCAACATATGCCTCCCCAGAATATACAGCCAATAGACGGACAAGTTGTAACACAAAGCATCCTAAATACAACCAACGAGTTTATGATAGACCAATTTCATTCCCTTAATAATGATATGATACAAGTATTAAACGTATTACAAAATTTTATCACTTTACAAAATTCTGTAACTATTCATGATAATCCAACGCCTACGACAACCGAAAATTTTCAAAACCAATACAACATATTATATCATAATATTTCAAACTTGAAGTCGGATCTAGTAAATAAATACCAAACAATAACTACTACATTTTACGAGCAACAACAACAACCATATTTGGTTCAACCATCACTACATCCGAATATGCAAAACCCACCAGTACCCATAGCAGTTCATCAATTATCTTATCAATCACAACCACCCCCTATAACAAACAATAATTTTGCTCCTCAATCAAGGTCATTACTTAACCCAACAACAACAGCATCATCTTTAACACATCCATCGAACGAATCAATGGGAGCACGTTTTTATCCCGACCCAAGGTCAGTAAATTTGCCAAATACTCATGAACATAGTAAAGAGTATCACACAATGACAAATTCTAATGCGACTTCAGATACATCTATTAGTCTCGTTCCTACTAGCGTGATATCGTCACAATATTCGCAGGTCCTACCTGTTCTCCCTATCAGCGTACCTGTAATGAATCCAATAAATGAACACCATAAAGAAAATATTCAAATTGTAACTAATCCAGTTGGAATCACGAACGGCGTCATAAAAAACCAGAACCCATCAAGTAACATGCTTCCTGCTATTGGAAACAGCAATCAACGTTCCATACATCAGTCAGTCTCTACGAACAATAAAACACATTCAGATACTCAAATTCGATCTACGCAAATTGGGTCTACCGAAAATTCTAATATTTCCACTTCACTGTCGACTTCAACCGGTAAATTGGCTACAGCCACACCTGTCCAAATGAAAGTCAATATACAACCATATCAACCAGTGGAAAAGATTCCAGAAACTTTCGTTAAACAAGAAAAAACCTTTCTTCAGAGTACTCTTCCACATGTTGGAAAAACTCTCACAGAGGAGAGTTCCCAAATTAAGAACAGTAAAGTATATTCTTTACTAAATAATACCACATCAAGTAGTAAGATAGATGAAGATGACCACGTAGAAAAAAGGCCTAAACTATAATAAAAACTCTTATGTATATTCTTAATTGCCAATGTATAAAGTTGTTTCATTTATTCAGAATCCTTCGTTGTAATGCAGCTATTTAATATTAAAAGTTTTCAGTTATAAGTGATTTATACTAGTTATATATTTAAACAGTGTACTTCATATGTCATATTGCTAATCTGTTTTGGCGTATATACTTACTGTGAAATGCTACTCAATATTATTTATTTATTTATTTATTTATTAATACAACTATCTCATATATATGCATACGTAACAGTTTTTCTAGATTTCTTATTTTCAATATGAAAAGTTAATTGCCGGAAAAGTTGAAAAACATTTAAAATCGCAGTTATACCTTTTCAATATGGGAAGATACATTTGTATTGTAATATTCTACTACCGTGCATATCCCAATCACCATAGGTAATATATAGTTCTTCTATCAATTTTACCTGAGCTAACACAGAGCCACCTTTCCAACATAAGGAAGCAGGATCCATTTCTCTTGGTGGTGGGATGACCGTTACTGGTGAGTAATGATCATTATTATTTGCTGATTTATCAAGTGTCCCTACAAATTTTTGTAGTTCAGTATTAATTAAATTGTCAATATCCGATTTCAGGCTAGATTTTGTATCCTCTCCATTTTCAGAATTATTTTCTATAACTCCATTATCATTATTGGAATCTTTATTATCGTCTGTATTTTCGTTATCATTATCATTTTCCGTTGTAATATTTGATGGAGGTTTTGACTTTTCTGAATTAAACTTTTTCTCTTGTTCTTTAATCTTTTTAACAAGTCCTTCATAGAAAGCTGGAAAGGTACTTAAACTTAATAAACGAGGTCTCCATATATTAATACGATCTGTTAACATAAAATCAAATGCTTCAATATTTGATGTACCACCCACAACTAATATATTCGAATAATACGTGTGCATCCTAGAAGGATCCATTGTTAAACTTGCATTAGTAATACTTTGTATGATTGCTTTATCTAATGGTATCATATTTAACATAGAATCATCAATTGCAGTCGTGGATATTTCATCTAGTTTATCATTGACATCCAATAATTTTCTTAAGAGTAAATTTTCGTCATGAATATCAGTATATGAATCTGGTGTTTCATCGTCTTTCAAATTAGAATCATGTAATGTTTCCTCTTGTGATATTGATTTTAGATCATTTGAATCATCCGTGAAAAAATCTTGAGAATCAGGTAATTGTAATTTTAAATTTTTAATAATTTTTTGAAATTTTTTAGAGTCTTTATTTTGTTCTTTTAGTAATTTGAAAATTTCTGGATAAAATAAGGCTAATGGAGCTAACATTACTTCATCAAAAATTTTAAATTCATATTTTTCTATTGGTTCATTTGGCATTCTCTTTAAGAAGTTTGTTAATTGTACTGCTACACCATCGTCTTGGAAAGTCACTAAATTTTTCTTTAATGTTTCTGCAAGATGCCATCCAGGTAAAGATGATGGATCCCAATTATGATAAGGGAAATTATTTTGTTTCAATAATACAGAAAATAGTTTTGTAATATCATCACCACCATAATTTAATTTAATTATACTATTTTCAACAACAGAACCTTCATCAACACAAGCGACATTTGTGGAACTGGCACCAATATTTACAACACAGGTTGAAGTACCTAAACCAGCACCATAACAATTGGCTAAAGATTCTTGTATTATTGCAACTGCTTGGAAAGGTAATTCTGTAATCAATAGTCTAATCATTGCTTCAATGTGACTCTTTTGGAATAAATCTGGTATAACTAAGATAGCTTTAAATCTTGACGATTCAAAATCCATATCCTTTATTGTAGTATTGTCGTCCTCTGGTTGTTCTTGTTCTTGTTCTTGTTGTTTCTTTTTTTGATCTTCTCTATATCTTTTGAATAATTTTGTTAAAGCGTAATTTAATAAATTAGTTACATCACCTAATAATTCTTGTAATGAACTATAATCTCCTGATTGAATATTGAACGCACCACCACTTGTAAACGGTTTTCTATGATTAAACCAAGGTTCAGATGCTAATATAGCCTCATCACCATAAAGATAATCATTATTTTCTTTGGTATCCGTAATCCATGGAATATGGGCAGGATCCTTTTGTAAAGACACTACTTCCGGAGTCACTTGGGTATTAAATGATTTAACTTGTTCATGACTATTTGGTTGAATTCTACGTTTATAATATCTCATTCTTTCTTTAAAACTTTGATATAATAAAGACTTTAAATTCATAAACTCTGATGAATTTGTTTCAAACCATTTACTGTTTTGTTCTTCTTCTTCAGAAGAAGAAGTGTTTGGGATAGCAATACAATTTGGTATAACAATTGGTGTTTCATCTAATGCAAAACCAATTTTCATCGAAGTATGACCTAATTGAATTACAATTGTATTTGAAGGATCATTTAAATCAATTTTTTCATGATTATATTTAATACATTTATTATTAAAAGTTGTTGCAGCTAAATCTTCAAAATCTTGTTCAGTCCATTGATTATTGTTATTATCTTCATTATTATTATTACTTGTAATTTTATTTCTTAAATGTTTTCTTTCTCTTAATGCAAAAGTTTGATCATCTTTCTTTAAATAATCTGAAGAATAATTTTTTTGATTGATTAATTGAATTGCTTGATATCTACCTGTTGTTGCAATATTTTCATTATCAAATTTTTCAATGCCTGCTTGTTTTAATTTTTTAGCAAATTCTTCAGCTGCTTTAATACGACCTAATCTTCTCTTTTCTAATAAATGTAATGGAACTTTTTTTGGTTGTGAATTTCCAACACTAGTCTTATTATTATTGTTATTAATTTTTGGTTTTTTATCTTGATGAATTGATGGTGTTGTAGTTGAACTTCTTAAAGTATCCATTTCTTGTTCACTTACAGGATGAGTATCCTCGTCCTCCGGCTGATTACTCATGATACCTCGCTCAATGTATATATATATAGTTGTCTCTCTCTCTTTCTCTCTATATAAATATATAACAATTTCTCGTTTTGTATAGGTAACGTATTCTTTTTAATATCTTGTAAATGTAAGTTTGTTAAACCTTTTCACTTTTTCTACGACCAAAAATCCGAAAAGTCACGTGCGGCCAAAATTCTCAAAAACTTCATAGTCTCATGAAAGCAGACTGGCGACACACAGACCGCAGAGAGGGAAAGACACAACCACCCCCATTTCTCTTACTCAACATTGCAATATACAGACTGCACTTCGGTACAAACTGTATGGGCACGGGAGGGAAGCACACACTGTCCAATGTAAAGAAAGGTCACCGGTTCAGAACAGAGACAGACTGAGACTGAGACAGTCTGAGCCAGACACACCCATTACTGAATACCCGCCCAAGGTACATTCACACACACACAGAGAGAGAAAGAGAGACAGAGAGAGACCGGTTGAGAGAAATTAAGCGGCAATTTTCTTTTTGCTGCTTACCCCGACAACCGGCGATTATCGGCGCTTTCAATGATCGGGGTTGCTATTATTTGTATGTGTGCGGGGAGATGCGTAGGTATATAGTGTGTGTGTGTGTGTGCGTGTGCGTGCACTGCGCTGTGTACAGCCTCGAGCCGTAGATGGCGGGTGTGTGGGAGAAGGGGGAACTAAAAGGGACTTGAAAGTTTGGGGAACTCTGGTATCTGGATTGTTTCTCCAATAAACAATTCATCCCTTATATAAATATAGACAAGAGAGAAATTGGACTGAATTTCGTTATCACTGTTGTTATTATAATTTCGGGTTTTGATTAAATTAACAGAAGAAAATAAACATACACAATGATGCAATCTCGTCATTTATTAAAATTGTCCACTGTGACTAAACGTATGCTATCAACAACTAAACCATATGATGAAACGATTAGAAATCTATTATGTCCAAAGGACACACGTGTAATTTTTCAAGGTTTTACAGGTAAACAAGCAACGTTTCACGCTCAATTATCAATAGATTATGGTACTCAAGTAGTTGGTGGGACAAATCCAAAAAAAGCAGGTCAATTACATTTAGAGAAACCGGTCTTTGCCACAGTTAAAGATGCGATTAAAGAAACTAATGCGAATGCATCTGCGATTTTTGTTCCACCACCAATTGCTGCAAAAGCAATTGAAGAAGCCATTGATGCAGAAATGCCTTTAATTGTTTGTATTACAGAAGGTATACCACAAAGAGATATGTTATATATTTCTGAAATGTTACATTCGCAAGGTAAATCAAGGTTAGTTGGACCAAATTGTCCAGGGATTATTAATCCTTCAACTAATGTTAGAATTGGTATTCAACCAACTTCAATTTTTAAACCAGGTAAAATTGGTATTATTTCAAGATCTGGTACTTTAACTTATGAAGCTGTTCAACAGACAACTATTCATAATCTAGGTCAATCTTTAGTCATTGGTATGGGTGGTGATGCATTCCCAGGAACTGATTTTATTGATTCTTTAAAATTATTTTTAAATGAAAGTCCCGAAACTGAAGGTATTATTATGTTAGGTGAAATTGGTGGTCGTGCAGAAATTGAAGCCGCTCAATTCTTAAAAGAACATAATATGAATAGAGATAAACCTTTACCTGTTTCTTCTTTTATTGCAGGTAAAGTCGCGGGACAAATGAAAGGTGTTAGAATGGGCCATTCAGGTGCTATTGTTGAAGGTCATGGTACTGATGCAGAATCAAAGAAAAAAGCCTTGAGAGAGATTGGTGTTGATGTAGTCGAATCTCCAGGTTTCTTAGGTCAATCTTTAGTCGATCAATTCAATAGACTAAAATGATTGTATAATTGTGATTCCCAACTTCTCCCCTCCCCTTCTTTTTTTTCTTCTTCTTCTTCTATCACAATTTCTTAGATAATTTTTCATTTTTACCTTCGATTCACACCTATAAATATATATTGTATTTACATATTCAGGAAAATAACTTCAAAAAAACAGACAAACATGACAATTAAATAATAAAATAATAAAATATTGTCTATTTATTTATTTATTTTTTCATTCTTCTATATAGTTTGCTAATTTATCAGGGTAATATTCGATATTCATCACAATATCTCTATCACTCTGTATATAACATTTATCTCTAGAGGCAAATCTATTATTTGAACTCACACGACCACTACGAATACTTGATGGCCAATTTATTATATCCCATTTTAATCCATAAGTTTGTGTTAAGATAACTTCTTCACCAATTGGTAATAACCCACAATTACCCAATACATGATCTCTAAAAATTCGATTCGATGTCGAATCATTGTTATATTCTATTGATGTACCTTCTTTTGGCACCAACATAATAATATCAGTATCGGTTAAAAAATTTAAAGTCATCTCGGGATTATCTCTTCGAGCATTATATAATTCTGTAATGGAATTGATAGTTTGATCAAATCGACCACCAATGGCTCCTAAAGCTAATACATCGACTCTCTGAGGTAATTTTGAATGTTCTTGTCTTAGTTGATCAAACATATCAAGTAAACCATGATCGGAATCAATCCCTAGATTCTCTTTCTGTCTATTATTCTGCAATAGATAATTAAATTCTTTGGAATTTGCATTCAATAATATCAATTTAACACATTTAGTGAAATCTGGAGCATATTGACTATGTTGTTCAAGTATTACTACACCACGCTCAAAATAATATTGTTTTACATCATCAGTAATGGAATCTAAGTCACCAACAATAAAATCGGGTAAATAGATCTCTCTAAGATCCTTATTACCATTATTGTTATCTGCTTGTTGCTCTTGAAGATATTCATATAATCTATTAGTGGCACCATCTGCACATACATGAACAGAACGTGTCTCCCAAAGTCGTTTGAACACTACAAAGGGTAAGTTAATCCGTTGATTTAATATCAATATTGTATCAGCAATCTGATTCTCTGTACGGTTCAATATATCATGCCATATATTTATAGTATTTTTGATATTAAAAGTTTTATAGATTGTTTCGTCAACGTCAAATCTATCTTCACGTTCTATACATTGTTCCTCAGCCATTTCTATTCCTATTTACACGATACTGTCTCGATTTATCTATTTTTATGTTGAATAGAAACATACACAAAAAAAACACATATTGTTTCAGAAACTATTTCCCTTCCTAGTACCATTGATATATATTGAAGCATTTTGACATTTACATGTTGATTATCATCATCATCTGCTAACTCTGCATTCGGACGTCGCTCTACGGAAGCGAAGCATAGAAAATGAAAAGAGAAAAAAAATTGTTTAAAGGATGCTCATTTTTATTTATTTATGCGTTATATATCATTATGTCTATATGTGTTCGTAAAATTGTCCTATGACACATGGATAATATTTTGTTACTATTGGTATGATATTTATTTCCAACTATTAACCACTTTGTCGCTATTGGCAGAGAATTTTAACTGTTTCGTCAATCCATCCTCTAACAGTTTTTTAACAATTTCATCATGCTCTTCTGGTGATGCATTTTCAATAGACACTTTATACAATTTGTAATTGTATTCTCTAGATGCCAACTCATATTTTGCAATTTCATATACGAAGGGATTGATCTGTTCACATATATTTCTCTTACTAGTATAATTCATATCAAATCTTACTCTTTCATCGATAGTCTGTGAATTAGTATGCTCCCCTTTAAACATATCAACAATATCGCGAATCTTACGTGAGTTTCTGGTGCTTCTTATCTTTGTATATGAAGAATTCATGGAACGTTCCATACGTGTTTCAATGAAAGATATAATTGCTTTTTTCATCTTGTTATATCTATGAGGGTAATTATAATTATTGGGTAAGAAATGGTTACAGTGTTGTACTAACATTTGTTTGAGTTCTGATCCTATATTCAGTTCAAATGATAATAATGGCAAATGGTTGTAATGTTGGGTATGTATCCTGTAGTCAATAATATAATCATTGGCCAAACGGAAGTCTTCATCATCTTTCATTTCTTGAAATTTCAAAACAATGTCATTCGTCATTAGCGTATTATCGTCTTCCTGCTGAATGCTTGATTTATCCCATGTACTAGATAAAATAATGTCATCGATAGAATTAACATCGAGTAACTTACTCAATTGTTTAATATTGGTTATATTATTCGAAGTTGTTGACGGATTGGTCGATGACATATTAATATTAGTGCCAGAACTAAACCAAAACTGTAATTGTAATAAGCATTTCCTAATGTCGTTATTATTATTTTTCACGATGTTACGTAGAACCTCTTTATCTAGATCTAATTCTAAAATATCACAATATCGTATCAAATATTCTAGTACTGATCTTGTGGAGACTTTTTTTACGTTGAACAATGAATCACTAGAGGTACATATATCAAGCAGATTGGTCGGTACATATTCGCAATCTTTACAAGTTAATATGATAGGCTTCCTCGATTTCAACAGTAGCATCTCTACAGCGCTCCAAAAGTGCTTGTCACGTTCTTTGAATATAATATCCACGTCACTTATTAAAACAATACCAGATTCATTTTTATCCTTAACATAATACGTTGTACAGTAATCTGTCAAGGTTGATAAAATATCCTTTCTACCTCTATTCTGAGATGTGTTGATCTCATATATTTGATAACCTTTTTCCTTTGCAATAGTATATATTAATGTATCCTTGCCGAGACCCTCTCCATGCAAGATTGAAAGAGGAACGAATTCCTCTAAACTACCGTTGTCTGTGTCTATACCACCATTTTCAGTATCGCTCTCATAATCATCATGGATTATAAAATTTTTGAATTCATCGACTTCTTCTTTGTAGGTTCTTAATAATGTGTTCCTAGTAGTAGGTCTCTTTAATTTTTCAATCGAAGTATCGATCCACTTAGAAACATTTTGCTTTAATTTTGATTCCAGTAGAACGTTTTTTACTGATGTTGGTTTCATTAGTTCTGGCCATTGTTGGGAATATTTATTAGGGCCAATTGTATAAGATATCATTTTACTATGTTTTGTAGTTTCCATCTGGCTCCTATTTTTGTTTAAGGACTCGTACTCGGAAGATAAAAAACTATCTAAGATATCAGTATTATCGTCTTTATTATCAAGAGACTTCGATCTACGATGTAGCTTTAAAGAAGCCATATTGTTTGGTGCAATTTCGTTTTGAGACGGTTCTATCAGTTGTCGTGTAGGAAATGGCGCTTCAATTTGTTTTAGCTTAGAGATATCGTTTAATCTGTTTATTGGACCATGATACCCAGGAAGTTGGTGTTCTGGTGTGGGTTTCCCGAATCCGCTAAATAAGTCTTTCAGGTTCGTCCTTTTAATCGAAGTATCTGTAGATAATTTGCTTGGTTGTAAATTGATCTTCGTAATTTCTATATCGTTGTTATTTTTTGTCTCATCGTCATCAGAAGTGTCATCTAGGGAAATAACAGTTGGTTGAGCTTTTTTGGGATCATTAATTGGTTTACTTTTCATCAAAAAACTCTTCATTGATTGGCTTTTCACATTATTACCTGTTGGGATTATGTGTTGTCTAGAACTATTTAATCGTAAAACACTGCTTGATATGGGTGGAGGAGATGACGGGGAGGAAGATGATCTGGCTCCTATCAAACTATTATCTTCGTCTACTCCATTAGACAATGTAGAGCTTTCTAAGTCCACAATATTCAACTCGTCATTCTTGGAGTTAGTCTTATCTTCAGTTTTTCTTTTCTTTTCAACTTTAGGTTTCTTTGTAGGATTACCACTCAATATTGACTTCAAAGAGACAGGTGTAGTTCTCTTCATTATTTCTATAATCAAATTCTCCGGAGATACACAATAACGCTACAAAATCGATTAAATCAACCCCATCAATGGAATTTCAGTGAATGCAATTATCCAATTACAAGTAGTTAAACTATGTATATTAAATGATATATTGAATGATAAGGTAGACATATAGTGTATCTGCATCATTTTCTATTAATATTGGGACGCGTCTTTTATGCTATTTTAGAATATGAAAACAGTTTAAGCGCTTTTTGTTTGTATTTTTTCGTGTTCGCAGTAAGGTAATGAAGAAGTTGCCATCGCCTGAACAATTTCAGTTGAAATATTTCAAAGCAGTTACTCAATTAGCATTTCAAGGCTAGAAGATTGCTAAAAGTTCTTAATACCTGTATACATATTATATACTATAAGATTGATAGCTACATGAGATCTTGTTTAAGTGCTAAAAAAAATGAATTCGTAAATAAATGAGGTTTTCCATTTCTATCTGTATATATTAATAAAATTATGAATCTGTGATAACACAGAGGAGAATGTTAATTACTGTTCATGTCATATTTACAATGCTAGGAAAAGCATGTAAGCAAGAGAACCTAGACCTAAGGTTGAACCTAGAGTGTTACCATTGTTGGCACTAAATTCACTGATAGCTCTAGTGGTGACACTTTGGAAACCATAAGATGATTGTTCGCTAATTTGAACTGTAGAGATAGATGTAATTTGACTACCAGTAGCAACATTAGTCTTAGCAGTGTCATCGAGTTGGTTAGCGGCAGCTTCATTAGTAGCGTCTGTGTGAGTTTCAACCTTGGTATTTGTTAAAGTGGTGGTTTCATCTGGAATAACAGTCTTAGTTACTACTATTTGTTCTGGTTTGACATTAGAGGTGGTTGTTTGCTTTGTGTTAGCTAAAATTGTAGATTCATCTGGAATAACAGTCTTAGTGACCACTACTTGTTTTGTGTTGGAAGTAGTTGTTTGAACAGACTTAGCGTCAACATTAACGTTAGTAGATTGTTCATTCCTAGTGGTGGATTGTTTAGCAGATGTCATTTGGACGGGATTTACTGCTTCAGTTTCAGTTTCGGTAACTGTTTTAACAACAACAGCAGCCACATTATGTGTGCCAGATGCAACAGCCAATTCACCGTTACTATTGACAGTTGGGTAACAAGAGACAATATCGGTAACAGTTCCATAAACAGTAGTACTAACTTGTGGAATAGTGATAGTGTTCTTATCATTAGCAACAACAGTAGCTGGAGATGAGGTTACAGACCCATTTTCATCAGTAACTGGGCAATCAGTTGTGTATTGAGTTAGAGTGACACCGTTGATTATTGAAGTGGTGAAAAGATTTGTTTCACTAGTAACCAATGTAGTAGTGGTGTTTCTGACATAGGCATCGACAGCAGAGGCTTGGATAATAGATGAATGGCTGCTGGATGAAAGTATGGAAGATGGGACTGCAGAAGAAGTTGGAGCCACAGAAGAGGAGATAATAGAAGAAGAAGAAGAAGAAGAAGAAGAAGAAGAAGAAGAAGAAGAAGAAGAAGAAGAAGAAGAAGAAGAAGAAGATGATGATGATGATGATGATGATGATGAGATGACAGAAGATGATGAGATGACAGAAGATGATGAGATGACAGAAGATGATGGGATGACAGAAGAAGAAGATGGAGTAGCAGAAGATGAGATTAACTCAGAACTTATTGATCTGGTCAAAGAATGGGCATCCATGCTTTCATAATTAGTAGAGCTGGATAAAACTACGATAGAAGAGCTACTTGGAATTGAAGAGGAAGAAATGATGGAAGAGCTGCTTGAAATAGAAGATGAAGATATAACTGAACTGCTTGCCGAGCTAGATATACTAGATGAAATGACAGAACTGGATGATACAGCTGAAGATGATGAAGGTGCGATAGAAGAGGATGTTGAAGATACCACAGAAGAAGTAGCGGAGGATGATGCAATGGAAGAGGATGTTACTGGAGTTGGGATTGGAATCCATGGAGCAGTTTCACAAGTAGCACAGACTGATGGAGCAGTAGTGGTTGGTGGAGCAGCATTGTAATAAATAGCATTGTTAGCCAGTTTATCACCAATGTGGTTATCAATTTGAACCTCCTTGAAGTTAGATGAATCATAACCAGTACCTATATTGAACTTATGTGTAATAAATATGAAAACAGTGACAGTTAAGACACCAGAACTGGAATCGTAACTCCAACTGGTAATTGAAGTACCGAAAGAAAGATAATTACTATTACCGAAACCAGCAACCTTGATATTACTAGTTTCACCCTTACTATCGACATAGATAATGGAACTAGAATCGGTCATGTAAAATGTTTGAGAACCTAGAGTACCATAACTGGTAGATTGGATTGCGTAAACAGAGTTAGCACCGACAGTAATACAACCAGAACCAGCGACATCAGATAAAAGGTAAGCCTTGACATTGTTCAAACAAATAGTACCGTCATTTGTAAATGTTGATGCCTTTAAATTTACTGTACTACCATAACTGGAACTTTCATCTTGACTGAAAACCATTAAACCGTTGTTTGTTAAAGTACTACTTGGTTCGACATTAATTGTGTTACTATCGACGTTAGGACCCTCGAAAAACATCTTACCATCGTTTTGGATGGTTGTACCATCCCAAGTGACAGTCATTGCCTGTGAGACATTTCTGTTGTCAACAACAGAGACACCTTGATTGCTAAACGTGGTACCAGTGAAGGTAGTTTGTAGACCATTATCACCAGAGTCTTGGTCACCGACATACAAGGCACCACCATCTTCGATATCCATATTAGCAGTGATACCCTGAACATTACCATAGATCAAACCTACGTAACCACCATTTTCGATAGTAGTGTCTTCATCAGGAAGGTTATTGTACATCAGAGTACCTTCAGTGACTGTTAGAGCAGATACACTTTTCATGGCAGCGATGGCAACAGCCATAAATGTGGATAATTTTACAGAAACCATAATGGATTATGGAAAATATTTTGTTTTCTATTTGGGTATGAAAGATTTAACTCAAAAGTCTGGTGATCTACGATAAATAAAAAAATATACATAGGAGATGAATAATATATCAGAAAGGCCAGATCTCAAACGTAAATTATTTTGGTATTTATGTACTTATATATATACTCGTGCGTGCATGTTAGTTTGATATCTGAGCTATGATACAGTGTTGCATTTTGATTTTAACTTTTCAATATTTTTGATGCATGTGCTGGATAACATTTGATGTAACAGACTGTACATAAAGACACTAATTTGGTATAGTGACATTGAAACAAATTTCTATTTCTAAGCAAGTGTGTGGAGGGATTAAAATAGAAAATGAAAATTTTGTGTATAATAATAAAAACCGGTAGATGATCTCCTAAGCAGTGTTAAAAAAAGAAACAGCGATGTACAAATATAGTAAATAGTCTCTTTCGTACCCATCGTTTAAACATCGTTAATGAAGAAAGAAATATTACTGTATTCGAATAGACATCATTTTATTCAACTATATCTTCTTAGAATTAAAAGCATGCTTATACCATTGATTCCTTTGTCAGAGGAATAAATAAAAACAAAAAAATTATGAACCGTAATCGATGAGTATGGAAGTGCATTGCACAGGTGATCTAAGAGATTCGGTGCTATGGGTAAGTAGTGTGAAACGCTGTATTTAAAAAGTGATGTACCCAGAGATTCCTGTGAGCCAAGATAATGCTTTCGGTACTATAGAAAGTAATTTCTTCTTACATTCTAGAAGTAAAGGATCTCTACTCGTATATGGACAAAAAGCTCGAAAATTTGCAAATAATAGTTACGCTCCACTATTGTTGATATTTAGTTTCCATAATAATGTCATATATTTTAATCGCAGAAAGTTGCAAGTCCATTCAACTGGAGAAGATTATAGATTCAGGGCACTTTTCATATCTTCAGTTCTCGTATTACCTTTTTGAAAGCAGAACTGCGAGTAATCAGTGATAAATTTCCTGTCGTACAAGGCACCAGGTCTTCTTTTTTATTTCCTATATAGGAATTCTTTTCAAGAGGTGTCATTAGTAACCTATAAAAGCCTCCTATCGAATGAATCAAAAACCACCTTGTGACTGCGACCCATGCAAAATCATAAGGCAGTCCACAGAAACTGTCGCGTCATGAATGTGGAGAGAGGACGAAAAGGGAAAGGGGAAAAAAGGAGATATGGGAGCAGAAAAGGTCGCACACCCAAACGAATGATTTGACAAGGCCTCTGCACGGGAATCGCAAGGAGACAATGATGGCAACGGTGAGCAATGAACATCAAACGAGAGGAAGAAATTAAAATCTAAAGATACAGTTTTCTACGCCGTCCTCTGTGATGATTGCAAAATTCCAATTATTTTTTTAAAAAAGGATCGTCGTTTATGGATCTCTATCAGCATTTCTTTTTTCAAGAAAAAGAAGATCTCAATTGCTCTTCGAGTTAATCTTTCTATGGAAAAGAAAAGAGAAGGGAAAGATGAGATTTATGGGCATTGCAAAAAAAAATACAATTCTTTCACCTAATCAGGCAAGAGAGAGAACATTTTTGGTTCACATATTGGTATTATTTTTTTTCAAATTTCCAAGAATAAGTTATTGCTATGTTTACTTTGGTTCTTATTTGATGATTATCACTATTTCAAGTTAGGTAAGATAGTTATTTAGAATATATAGTAGAAGGTATTAACCAATTGCTATTCAAAGGACGATCTTTTTTTTTTGTTTGTTTTCATTTTTACTCGTTTACAAACTTTTCTTATCTGAGTTCGTGTTTAACTTTGGTATTAGTTACAACTAAGTTGCGATATTTGTACGTACTAACTAGTAGAGTTAACAAGCATCTTAGCTGTTATATTCCATATAATGGAAGCCCGTTTAAGTGAGGGATTGATACCTAAAGTTTCCAAAGAAGATTGCATTTACAATGAAATTAATGGTGATACTGTTATACTTTGGTAATTGATTTTCGTTCACTTAATAATTGTCAATGCTTACAAAGTGGAGGCCTATTTATCATAAGAGGTAACGTAAATGAGAATGAATATTCTATATATACAATATATCAATAGTATTGGGAGATTTGGTCCTTAAAAGATATACATCAGTAATGTAGCAGCATATGGTCTTCAATTACATACATGTTCTCACTATTTCTATGTTCAAATGTGGGATAAACATTTGAGCATTTTGAGATCTCACATCTTGAAAGAATGTCACTTCTTAGAAAAAGAGTAGAATATTATTTTGAAGTTTTATAACCCCACAAATTCCTCAGGAAGTTTATCCACTTCTCGAATTATAATGTTATTGCATATTTCATCAGTTGGCGTTTGTGTCGTTTGTCTTACTTTATCAATTGCTTCTTTTGCTAGGTTAATTCTATATTTGATCTTACGGCTAATTACCTCATGTGGTTCACAAGTATGATCAATCTTGGTTAATGCCACATTACAGACTCTTATAGCCTTCTCATTCTCTCCTAGTTTTATCAGAGACATTGCCTTGTTACTATATGCAACTGGTTCGTTAGGTTCTAAAAGAATACAATTATTATAGCATTCTATAGCTTTATTGTAATTCCCTTCTTGGAAATATGAGTTCCCTCTTTTCTTTTCGTCATCATAAGTAGCCATACTTATCAAGTTGTATCAGTGACGTTAGTCTAGGTTCGTTTACTTGTGGTTTTCTATTATTTTTTGTCAGTAGCTTCCAATGTTCCCTCTGAAGTTCGTTTCCTACCCTGGTGTTCCTTTTATAACAAGAAATAAAATGGAAGTAAAACTTAAATAAATTTACCACGTGTGAGTTTAATGAAAGTAATTATTCATTCTTATTTCCCCAAAGAGACCGGTTTGTGTGTTTCCACCTTGTTTATATATGAGGTAGATATAAGATATCTCATCATTGTGTTGATAGATGGTTTCAAGCTTTTGCGCTAAAATTAAGATGGTTTTCAGAACAAGAAAAACCGGCTGCGCTCGTTCTGTGAATTGTATGTAAGCAAAAACCAATATGCATAGATAAAAAAAAAACAATAGCTTCAAGAACTATATGGAAACCGTTAAGGTAAGTAACATTTACATTGCCTTAATAAACTTTGTATGATGTGCAACACAATTTGCAGCCATTTCCCTTTGTTCACCTGTCTTATAAAAGTATTGGATACCTATTTATTTTAATCTTTTTGAACAAGAGTTTTACGGACCAGATAACCTTTCAATCTTTCAAGTAAATTAAGAATGGAAACTAATCATGAAGAACTACTGGACGAAATATTGGCTATTGAAGCAATATATCCAGATAACTTAGAGCGTAAGGTTGAAGATTGCTCAATTGTGATAATAAAAGTACCACAACATGAATATATAAAAATTCAAATATCGTTTCCACCCGAATATCCATCAACGTTGCCTCCTCGCCTATTGGATGTTAATATAATTCCCGATAAAAGTGATGTATTTGATGCAAACTATTTAAAACAATTATTTCAAGAAGTGTTAGATTCTGTATTCCATCCAGGTATAGTATGTCTTTTTGATTTCCTTACTGAGTTAGATGCAGTTCTCTATGAGGGAGAGGGACCTGGGGAAGATAGTACAAGTAAACAACAAGACTTGAAAGAATTAGTCCCAATTGATCCCTTCGAAGGTTGGTTTGCATCCGATCCAATAACAGATCGTGGATCTACATTTATGGCGTTTGCTACTCATATCACATCTGAAGAAGATGCATTTATGAAGCTAGATATACTGAAAACTGATACAAAAATGAGGAAAGTAAGTCATATAATGAGCGCATGGAGGACGAAGGTAAAAAACGAGAACGGACAAGAAATAAAATATCAGGATTCAGATGATGATGGTGAGGCAGCAGCTGGCTCAAGAATGCTTCACCTGATTACAATTATGGACGTTTGGGGAGTCATGGTAATAGTAGCTAGATGGTTCGGTGGAGCACATATCGGACCTGACAGGTTTAGACACATTAATAGTACCGCAAGAGAAGCAGTTCTCCGGGCAGGATTTAAAAACAGCCAATAAACCTTAAATTAGGAATATAGCTCATTTTTGAATTGAGTGTGTAGATAGATAGATGTAATAAATTATGTATACCTCACTTCTCTTCGTGTCTTTATTCATGATTGTGTAAAAATATCACTTTTCTATGACTTCGTCGAATATGATAAAATTGCGCGATGCCCTGAAAATTTTCAGAATTTTTCACTGTTTTGGAAAAATGAAAAATCTTGAAGCTCATCACCTCTAGAAATAGTAAAGCTGCAGCATAGCTACCACTAAAAAGAACTAAACTTATGATTTGTACATAACTTTAGGTATATATAACCAGAGGGGAAAAGGTTTATCTCTAGATATCTATTACAGTGAATTTAAATATTAGAACCTTGTAATAAGAATGAAATCTGACTTTAAATTTTCGAACCTTTTAGGTACGGTTTATAGACAAGGTAATATTGTGTTTTCTGATGATGGGAAACAATTAATTTCACCAGTAGGTAACAGAGTCTCTGTATTCGATTTGATCAATAATAAGTCATTCACCTTTGAATATGAACACAGAAAAAACATTGCTACTTTAGACTTAAACAAACAAGGAACACTACTACTATCGGTTGATGAGGACGGACGTGCAATCCTTGTTAATTTCAAATCTAGAAACGTTTTGCATCATTTTAACTTCAAAGATAAATGTTACCAGGTAAAATTTAGTCCAGATGGTAAACTTTTTGCATTGGCAACTGGTAGATTCCTGCAGATCTGGAAAACACCAGAAGTTAACCAGGACAGACAGTTTGCACCATTCGTCCGGTATAGAATTCATGCAGGTCACTTCCAAGATATATTATCCTTAACGTGGTCTCCAGACTCTAGATTTATCATTTCAACCTCTAAGGACTTGACAGCAAAGATATGGTCTATTGATTCAGATGAAAAAGATCTTGCTTCTACAACATTTGCTGGTCATAAGGACTATGTAATGGGTGCATTTTTTAGTGCTGACCAAGAAAACATTTACACAGTCAGTAAGGATGGTGCATTGTTTATATGGGAATACTCTCAAAAGAGAAATGAAGGAGATGAAGAAGATAATGAGGATGAAGTGGATATTTCGAAATATAGTTGGAGGATTGCCAAAAAACACTTCTTTTATACAGGACAAATAAAGGTCAAATGTGTCACATTCCATTCAAAATCTAATATGTTGGTGGTTGGTTTTAGTAATGGTGAATTTCGCTTATATGAACTACCTGAATTCACATTAATACAGCAACTTTCTATGGGGCAGAATCCAGTTAATGCAGTGACGATTAATGAATCAGGTGAATGGCTAGGATTCGGTTCTAGTAAACTAGGACAATTGCTTGTCTACGAATGGCAATCAGAATCCTATATATTGAAACAACAAGGTCATTTTGATGCAACGAATAGTTTAACTTATTCTCCCGATGGTTCTCGTGTAGTCACTGCAGCAGAAGATGGGAAGATTAAAGTGTGGGATGTTGCATCCGGGTTCTGTTTAGCAACATTTGATGAACATACATCATCCGTTACTCAAGTTCAATTCGCTAAAAAAGGCCAAGTCTTGTTCTCATCTTCTATTGATGGTACAGTGAGGGCTTGGGATTTAATAAGATATCGTAATTTCAGAGTTTTTACAGCAGCAGAGAGAATTTCTTTTAATTCCCTTGCAGTTGATCCATCCGGAGAAGTTGTATGTGCAGGTTCTCTTGATAGTTTCGATATTCATGTTTGGTCAGTTCAAACTGGTCAATTATTAGATACGTTGTCAGGTCATGAGGGACCAATTTCTGCACTCGCATTCAGCCAAGAAAACAGTGTTTTGGCATCAGCATCTTGGGATAAGACTATCAGGATTTGGTCTATCTTTGGTAGATCTCAACAAGTGGAACCTATTGAAGTTTATTCCGATGTTTTGGCATTAGCTATAAAACCTGATGGTACAAGCGTTGCTGTTTCTACCTTAAAGGGTCAAATCACTATTTTTGACATACAAGAGGGTAAGCAAATCGGTAACATTGACTGTAGAAGAGATATAATATCAGGTAGAAACCTTGAAGATAGATTTACGGCCAAGAACTCTGAAAGATCGAAATTTTTCACCACTATTAACTATAGTTTCGACGGTCTAGCTATCGTTGCAGGTGGTAACAATAATTCCATATGTTTGTACGATGTTCCAAATGAAGTATTATTAAGACGGTTTATAGTTTCGAAGAATATGACTTTGAATGGTACTTTGGAATTCTTGAATAGTAGTAAGATGACCGAAGCGGGCTCTTTGGATTTGATAGATGAAGACGGGGAAAATTCAGATTTAGAAGATAGAATAGATAATACCCTACCAGGTTCTAGGAGAGGTGGTGATCTATCGACCAGAAAATTAAGACCTGAAGTTAGAGTTACATCTGTCGAGTTTTCTCCAACTGCGACAGCATTCGCAGCAGCCTCAACAGAAGGTTTGCTAATCTACTCTGTAGATGATTCTATTTTCTTCGATCCTTTTGATTTAGATGTAGATGTCACTCCACAGTCGACCATTGAAGCCTTGGAAGGGAAAGAATACTTGAATGCATTAGTTATGTCTTTCAGATTGAATGAAGAGTATTTAGTGAATAAAGTGTACGAAACAATTCCTTTATCTGAAATCTCATTAGTGGCAAACGGCGTACCAGTTGTATATTTGACAAAACTATTAACTTTCATTGGTAATTTTGCATTAGAATCACAGCATGTAGAATTCAATTTGATATGGATTAAGAATATATTATCGGCACACGGTAATTACATTAATTTGCACAAGAATATATTTGTTACACCAATGAGGGCAATTCAAAGGTTTATTGGTAGAATCGCTAAAGAAGTAACAACCTTAAGCATGGAGAACAAATATACTTACAGATTTTTGACATCGACCGATGGAACTGTTGTTCAGGATGATGAAGAGGTCGAAAATTTGTCTAACGATGAAGATACTGCTGACGAAGAGGATGCTGTCCTGCAATCTGATGAAGATGATGAAGAAGGTTGGGTCGGCTTCGAAGGCAAAGATAATAAACTTCCGTTAGAAAACGAAGATGAATCATCTGATGAGGAACTCATTTAATGCATTGGCATAATTCTATCATTATATAAATATGTAGAGGTAGATAAATAAACAAAACAAATTAATATATTAGTAAACTTAAGTATATTGTATGTATTCGATGGATCTTACTGAGCAGAATGTCACCAAGGCCAAAGTACACAAGATTTATATTTCTCGGTACGTTTAATTTTACTTTGCAGGTGAGAAAAATTAGGGTGTTCTAATGAATGAATAGGCCATTGTGACCATAATTGACGCATAATGGATTTAACATAGATTATTTTAAAGGTGAGAAAAGTATTACCGTTAGTTGTTGATGCTTGGTCACTCTTTCAATCTAATACGTTTACTAAGATGAGCCGAACATCTCAATTGTACAAAAGACAACAATTAATGATAAAGTTTAATGTCTTTAATATTATTTATGATTATTTATAACAGTTACTTAAAAAGGAAAAAACCTTCGTGAATGGTTAATAATACGAACATCTACTATCTTTCACAACTCTTTATCACAACTTGCAAAAATAAACAAATTTCGTAAACAATTATTATTTAGCTTAAATTTCTGAAATTCAAGAAAAAGAGGTGTCCGAGAGTATTTGAAAATTTATAATCAAATTGAATATAAAATCAAAGAATTCAAAACAATGTTTCAATAAAACACATTGAGCTCACTTATAGGACTCTAACAAGCAAGCATTTATAATGAATAGAACAGAATCGTCTGTAATTTCGAACATAAAAGAGATCCTCGTGACATCTCCGACTTCTGTTGAAATCTATAATACTGTCCTCGAAACTTTGAATCCTATAGTCATCAGAACAGCACAGGATGAAATTTATAGGACCAATCTGGCCTCAACTTTTGAAATATGGCAGGAGTTGAGCGACTCCATTGGAAATTGCAATATATCTCGTGTGATTCAAATGAATAATGAAAAGTTAACATTTTTGTATCTAAGAACACTTCGTGGTGCATTATTACTCCTCAGAAACCTATCCGCCTCAAACCAGGACATAGCACAGCAGTTGCTGATCCAAAACAAAGTTGTACGGTTATTCATTACTCTGTCTGCGTCTGATTTGGAAAATACTGAAATGGAAACTTCTATATACATCACTGCTCTGACTTTCTTACATAACGTCTCAAAAATTTCGGTACTGTTCGATAAAGCAATGTTAGCTGAGCTAATGTCCTTTTTGAAATATCCTCTGCATCATCCAGATAATACAAATGACATAATTTATCCGTACCTACTTTTTTTTGAAAACTTATTGCAAAGTGATGACTTTCTATATTATTTCTTTAGACACGAAGAGAAGGATTCTATATTGTATGAGTTTTTAATAATCAATATAATGCATTCACATTCTCATCTTTTCAAGTACTTAATAGTCAATGATAAATTAGGATTGAATTCTACTGAAGAGGAGGATATTCAAAATATTGAAAAGGAAATGAGTAATGTGGATCTAGCGATACTCAGATGCTTTCGTAAAATTATTGCTAATGAATCTTTCTCACCATACTTACTAAATTTAGAAGAAACAAAACCGGAAACATTTATGAATCTTCTCAGAATAGGTCAAGTCGTAGCTACTAGTATAGAGAAATGGGATAAATATGAACTTACCGGAATCATGTCGTGGTGCTTTAAAATATTCTATAAAACAGCCTTGGATATTAAAAAATACTTCGAGAAAGGCACTGATAACATCACCATTGCTAAAATATTACACCAAAAGATAGCCAGTACACTAGATATTATGTCGTCATTCTCTAGATACGAACATATCCAAAAATATATATTATCATACCAAGGGTTAGACAAATTAATTGACCTTCTTGGTATCTTCCAAAAAAATTTAATCAGAATCAACTTTATTAAAGACAAATCAGGTTCTGTTCAAAATTTTAAGACATCTGATTCAATGGGTAACAAAATTACAGATAGCACAAAAATCAGCAGTAGAGTCGATTATCACAATTTTAATATCCTAGCAACCAATTTTCCTGAGTCAAAACTGCTTATTGTTGAAATTTTAGGAAACCTGTGCTATAAAAAGAAAGAAATGCAGGATGAGATTAGATTGAAACATGGGTTAGAGTTAATATTGTCCAATTGTGTAATCGACGACAACGATCCATTTATCAAAGAAAGATGTATTACTTGCATTAAATTTCTACTTGAAGGTAATGAAGAAAACCAAGCATTTGTCGCTAGTCTAGAAGCAAAGAGAGCAGCAGATGATGGTACATTATCTGAAGCTGGATATCAAGTAGACATCGACAAAAACGGTGAAATTAACTTGCTTCCAAAGAAATAAGAGAATGTGGAACTGTAACAAATTCGAAATTTTGTCCACAGATAAATGATCTCTGTAGCGATCTCTTTCCATATTGTTTTTCTTCATTCATTTGAAGTGTGAACATTTATAAACTACCTATATAAGCATAATGGTATCATATACCTCTTAAATAACTAAAAACAAATTAACTGTCAGTTAACTGTATCCTTCCTTTATATTCATAAATCCATCTTAGCAAGTTCCTCTTCGATGGCAGCTTTGACCAATGTAACATCTGGCTTCTCAACAAATTTCAATCTCTTTTCAAGTGTAGACAATTTCTTTAGTTCAGCTGGTAGAACATCTTTGTCAAAGCAATAGTCTGGGAAAGATGACAGAGCCTTGTTGACAGCATCTGCAAACTTTGCTGGATGAGCAGTGGATAATGTAATGTAGTTGATGGTGTTGTCATTATCAGCAGCAATCAATCTTTCTGTAGCACAGATACCAACAGCAGTATGTGGATCGATAATGTATTGCTTTGGATTTTGAGAAATTTCATAAACTTTCTTGATAGTTTCCAAAGTTTGTTCGTTGGAGACTCTTTCGGAAGCGAAATCCTTTAGGGCACCATTTATAACAGTTTGGTCGACTTGGAATTTTCCTTCATTCTTCAATTGTTGGAACCAATTGTGGATGGTTTCACCAGCCTTTAGGTCGTCACCGTTGGCAATGTATTCTCTAGCTAAGAACCATAGTAATCTTTCAAAGTTAGAAGAAATTAAGATATCCATAGCTGGGGAGTAAGTAACTGCAACTTCGTCAGATCTTTCGTAAGTACCAGACTTTAGGAATCTATCTAGAATATCGTTAGCATTAGTAGCAATGACCAATTTTTCAACCGGTAGACCCATCTTCTTAGCAAAGTAACCAGCTAATATATCACCGAAGTTACCACTTGGAACAATAAACTTGACCTTATCCTTCTTACCGTTAGTGGCCTTGAAGTAAGAGTAGAAGTAGTAAGTGATTTGAGCTAAAATTCTAGCCCAGTTAATGGAGTTAACAGCACCAACATTGTGCTTAGAGTTAAATTCTTTGTCACCGAAAATGGCCTTAACAATATCTTGACAGTTGTCAAAAGTACCCTTAACAGATAAAGTTTGAACGTTTTTATCAGGGACAGTAGTCATTTGTTCTTCTTGAATTGGAGAAATTCTACCAGTTGGGTACAAGATGAAAACGGAAACATCCTTCTTACCTCTTAGACCATATATGGCGGCAGAACCAGTATCACCGGAAGTAGCACCAACAACAGTGATCTTCTTCTTTTGTTCTTCTGGCAAACCCTTGTTGTTCCTTTGTAGGAAATATTCAAATAAATTACCAACAAACTGCAAAGCAACATCCTTGAAAGCATAAGTTGGACCGTGGAATAACTCTAGAACATGTAAGTTCTCTTGAGTACCAGTAACATTCTTAGCTAATGGTGTGACATCATTAGAACGGAAAGTAGAGTAAGAATTGTTGATTAGAGTCTTCAAATCAGCATCTGGGATTTCAACTGGATCCACATATAGTCTCATGATTTCAAAAGCAAGTTCTTGGAATGAAAGTTTTGACCATTTGGTGAACAAGGTTTCTTCAGAGACTTGGGGAATGGTTGGTGGGATGAATAAACCACCATCAGTAGCCAAACCTTGAATAACGGCTTCTTCGAAGGACTTAGTTTCGGAAGAAGAGGATCTGGTAGATCTATAAACCTGGGATGGGGATGGCATCTGCTTTAATAGGTATATATGTGAGGGTGAACGATATCGTTTTGTTGGTTATCTATTGAAAATAATATAAGTCAATAAAAAAATAATTTAACTAAGTTAAAATATATTAAATAGTTAACAACTTGTATTTAAAAAATACCAAAGAGGTCTTAGGTATTGCTATTTAATGAACCATCGACGTGGAAAATGAGTAATCACAGTTTTTCAACTGCAAAAACCATTTGAAAAATATTCTAGGAATTCTTGCATAGGAAGAATTGTCCGTACAGTTTATCACCGTTGAAGTTGAAAAAGTTTCATTTCCCAAAAACAAACTGAAAAATTAGACATCCATCGCAACAATTTCGAGAATTTCAAAGCGAGACCGCTGTCATGATGGACGGCTTTGGAAAGAAAACTGAAACGTTTAAGACCTATGAGGATAGTCATACTGTCACGGTTAATGAAATGAAATGACAGGTTGGTGCTTATTTAAATATATGCAAGACTCCCTTTAATCCCATTTTGTCATTGTTGGTCTTATATTATTACAGAAAGTATATATATATATGTAAGTATACGTAGGATTAGTTGTAGTTATGGGGGCATTAAATTTCAAAGACTATATCATAATCTCCCGTTGGCAAGAAGAACACCCAAGTTTTCAAACAGTATGCCTTCGTTGTCTTTATAAAATTGAGCTCTTCTAACAGTATCCTCATTGAAACCTTCATCACCAGAAAGAACCTTTAGAGCATTAGCAGAGGATCTCATATATTCTTGAAGTGCTGGTACTGGGTTTGTAGCCATCTTTTTGAAAAAGTAATATTTGTCTGCACTTGCATTTAACTGTAATAATAAATTGTTAGATTGCTTCTCTAGATCATCTAGTCTTGGTTGTACTTGGTTTGAAAGTTCATCTAATTCCGATAATAATTTCATTCCTTCCGTTGACAATTCATTTGGATGAAGACCTGCTGGATTTTGTAACTGAGTAATATCTGGTACTTCAATATCAAACACAAGCTCACCATAAGTAGTAGCCTTATCAACTCTAATAACGTAATCTGTTTTGATAGGTTTTATTGGTGCTATGTGACTGTTTACCAGATTTGGTAACTCTGATAATTTCAATGTCTTTTCCTCATCTTGTTTTTTCTCACTCGAAGCTGAATCTTCTAAATCTGTTGAAAATGGGTCCTTATCAGCATTTTCTGGAAGAAGTCTACACAAGAATTCATCCAATTTCACATAGGTCTTTTCACCATTTGTTGTACTATTCCCATCATCAGAGTTACTGATGACCTCGGTTTTATTATCCACAAGTAAATTGTTTAGAAGAATATATTTGTATATGGAGTAAATTGCCTCATGAAGGGAACCTTGTGACTTACCAATCAATAGAGAAAGATCAGAAGAATATTCCAGGTTATCACCAGTAAAACCTTTTAATTGGATAGTGACTGTACAATTAACATTTGAAGTACCAGGTCTTTTAATATCTAGACCATCGAAATCAACAGGATTCTTAGCATCGAAATGCCATTCGACTGCATCGTATATTGGAGATTGTGTGGGTGTCTCAAGCGGTTTCTTTGTTTCAGTAGATTCTGATCCATCTACAGGATTATTAGCATCTGGTGATTTTAAAGGTAAATTAATTGTGTTCGATGTATCAATATCATTAGTTATATCGTTTGATTCACCATTGACCATGTCAACATCATTATCCTCAGATGTATCATCTGAATTAACTTTATTTGGAAGTTTAAAGTCAACCGCAATATCTTGAATGTATGAACTGAATTTAGGTCTACTAGCATCGTCTGCAGTTTGTGAATCCAATAATCTACCTTCTATTCTCATAGTCCATGAACCTGTCTCAAGAGTTTGAGAATTATCTTGCCAAGGTTGATTTTCTGCAATATTAGAGATATAAACACGTAGGTACTTGTTCTGATCCTTATCATGATGGGAAAAATCCCTATGAGCTTGCTTAGAATTATTCCATTGGGAAATACTCTGAAATATATCAATTTTTTTTCTAGCTAGATATACATCCAGTTTCTTTTCAGCTTCAATAAGTTGTTGATATGAATCCAATTCAGGGATTAAATTGACTAGATGGGAAGGCAAATATGAATCAGTAGGATGATTTGTTGGTATTGGGTTAGTACGTTGAATATTAGTAGCAACTAAATTGCCATTAGTAGAAGCCATTGTTGCTTTAGGAGTGGCTTTCGTATTAGTACTAGTTTGAGCCTTGCCAATAGTTTTACTTGCACCGCTTTTAGTCATCTTGTGCTCTTTGCGATTGTAAACTTGGATACTCTTTTCAGCAATCTCACTTATAATTCAACAACTATTTTCGCTAATGCAATGTAAGTGATTTGAGCCCTTATACTTTCAAGGTTCTTCTGTTGTTACCTCTTTACTTTAGCTGTAATATTATTTTATTTTATTTATTTTTTTTTTCCATTCCACTTTTCTTTGGTAAAAGCAAAAAAAAATAACAACAAAATTATTTGTAAAGTGTATATGTTGTGAAATTTCGCGCGCGGGCATTTTGAATATTTGTAGGTAGTTCACGTAACTTAAGTAGACGACTTACAAAACACCATATGCCTTCAAGTCACAATATATGGTAACAACTCTTAGTCTAGTTTATAGTCAATGGCGATTGATCATGCCATATTTCCATTATACTCACTCCGTTAACAATTTTATCGCCAATTGAATATACAACCTTAAGTACTTTGCCTCGAAAATCGTTGCTTCTCCATTTAGAAAACGCTTTTCGATGCTCGATTTTAATCTTCAATCTTGAATTACATATATTACATATTAATGATTAGATCAAAGAATTATATGTATCTTACAAAACTATATCGTTTAATGGTTCATAAAATTACTAAATGAAAGTTTAAAATAATAAAAACAACAAGTGTTATTTTTTTCAAAACATAAAACAAACAGAAATACAGGAATGATATATATCTTACCAGATTACATTCTAACTTTTTGTTTGTTTCTTTGACGTCTTTCCCTCTTTTCCTTCATTTTTTGGTCAATCTTCTCTTGTTCACCAGTCTTCTTCAAATTACGTCTCTTTTCCTTCTCGACTTCTTTCTTTTCTTCCTTCTCTCTTTCCAAAGCTGCTTCTCTAGCAATTTTAGTAATCTTAGCTAATTCAGTAGCACGCATGTTGTTAGTCTTCTTTAACATATCATTAGTAACAAAAGATGATTCATTCTTTTGTACTAGAACACGAGTGAAATTATCATATACTTCAACCACCAAAGCAATCAATTGGTTCAATAATTCAAGTTCCTTATCGGTAGTTGGTACACGAGTACGAATTACACAACGTATCTTTTTGTTAGCATTCCAAACGGAAGCATTCTCTGGTTTATCGGCTGGTAAATCAGTAAAACTGATGAATTCCAAAAGGTCAACAGTTTGATTCAATAAATTGTTTAGTACATCTTTCTTACAATAAGAAGTGATGAAACCATTCAATTGATTCATTTCAGACATATGAACATATTCATTTGATAAATCTTCGCCTTCAGTAGTATGGGTTAGAGCTAAGTAGTAGTTATCGTGACGAGATTGATTCATAACTCTCTTGTTAACAATAGAGGAAATAAACTTAAAATTGTTTAAAATTTCATTACTGTTACTGTTAACGTTAGCATTTTCACTACCTACATAAACACCATTTGGTTTAATTTCAATTTCACAGAATTCAGCATCAGTATCCAAAGCAAGGATTGGGAAATACCAACCCATTACATTTTCCAAAAACATGGACAATGGATTGTTACGTGGGAAAAGGTGTAAATGAACATTAACACCTTCAATACATGAACGACCAGTAGAAAAACTTGTTAACCAAGTATGCATATGTTGGTCCATATACAGTCTGTTTTCACCAGCTTGTGCAGTGAAACCGACACGGGCAAATTTCAATTCATCTCTTAAAAAGGCATGGATAGAATCGAACAACTTATCAGCACGAGATACGTTAACTGAAGTACCAATCTTATAGACGACAAAGATAAATACAACAACACCAATGAAAAAAAATTCAAAGGTCCAGTTGTATAACTTAACTCTTTGTAACACGGACATTTCCATCTTTTCCTCATAAGGGATGGTAGTATAATTACGATTCAAATCATTGATGAACTTGAAAAAAGGTGCGAATGGCGTGGTCCCATTTGTTACGTTACTCATCTTTTTGAATGGATTGATGATATGTTAATCGCTAACAAAATATAACAATTGTCAAAAACTCAATTAGATTTAATTAAATGATAACTCCCCAACTTCTCCGTACACTTTATGTATGTTCATTTCAAGTTCAGTGCTTAACTAATGTTATTGTAGTTTCTGGCGGTGTTTCCTGTAAAAATGGGAACCTTACTTACACCGTCTGATAGTGGAAGGTGAAAAAAAAATATTGTAGGAAGCGTAATTATTTTTCAGTTTACCCGGGAGGAGACTAAAAATAATGCTTTAGTGTGTATACACACACACACATATATATAGGCGATATGCACTAAAGTCAAGTAATGTACAGTTATTAGAAAAGGCCTCAAGTTAATTAGTTACTTAAAAATAATATTTACTTTCTACGTTTAGAGTCAGGTCCATCCTGTGGAGCTTCAGCCTCGTCGGAACCCATCATTTTAGATCTCACTAAATCCCTGATATAAACTTCTAATTCTTCTTCTGCATTCCCACCTTGAATAATTTGTTCAAGTCTCTTCTTGCGTGCTAATGACTCTGAATCTAGATCCTCATCTCTGTCATTCTCTAATGTGTAACGTATGTTGTCTTTAAATTCGGCCATCATGTTTGCATCAATTCCTAAACTATCTTGTTCAATAGGGACACCTGATTTTTCTCTTAGATATTGGATAAGTTCTGGAAATTCTTGATCTTCTTCAGCAACTTGTAACGCTGTCTTACCTTCACTATTTAAAACATTTATTTCACAACCTAATTCTTCAATAAGGACCTTTGCTGTACTTAAATCTTCTGTATGATGAAGTGGAGTATCGCCATCACTATCCTTGATATTAACATCACCACCAAACTCCTTCGTTAGGCGACGAAGAAGATCTATGTGACCGTATGCAGCAGCGGCATGCATAGCAGTATAACCATTTACATCTGGAGTGTTTGCCGTTATGCTAGGATTTTCGGATATGAATTTCTCTACGAGATCATTTCTCCCATCACTTGCTGCTATCCAGATATTCATATTGTGGTCTATATTCAATAATTTACTTTGGTTATTCAGGTTGATTTAACTATTCTAGTTCACTTCAGAATATTATAAGATTGATTATATAGTTTTAACAACTTTATTAAAATTTTTTGTTCATAAATATTTTCATTAAACAAGAAAGGGCATCGAGTAAGAAAAAAAATATTATAACAAGAAGCCCGCAGACAGTACTTTTAATTACGAAGGAAAGTTCTGTAATGAAAATTAATAAAAATTTATATTTTTATACTACAGGATATACAAATTAGAAATGTATGTAGTTGTACATATCTAAAAAAGTGCATCTTATTAAAACATAGTGTATAATGCGATAATTACAGCAGGTCCTGAACAAACACCACACCAGAATAGGACATTGTTGAAAACAGGCTTGTCCTTTAGGATCGTACTAGTAACATATGCCATTGGTAATTGGGACATTTGGAAAATAAACAAGTACCCTCTTATTCTTTTCCAAATGATGATCATTGCAAGTTCATGAAAGATAGAACTTAATATAAAGGTGAACAATGTAGCTTGAACTTTATTCAATTTCCAATTATTCATAGATGCGTGGTAAACATGTCTCACTAAAAATTTATGGACTGGAACATTCCAAATCCTAGCGAATTCCGACCAAGAAACACAGTTCCACCAATCACCATAGAAATATCTATCCGCAAATCTAGTTAATTCTGCGAAACAATTTAAGATAGCATCCCAAATCAAGTAGAAACATAACATATAAATGACTGTTAGACCAGGATCGATTTCTGCGACCAAGTAAAACCATTCGACAGTTCTAACAGTCCCATTTTCCCAGGGTTGACCTCTGAACTTCAAAGCACGTTCCAATGGTGGTAACATGAATAGTTGTGCCACTACAATAAGAATGAAAATTGTACCAAAGATAGCACTAACTTTTTCAAGGACATAGCCCCATCTGATTCTTTGGGTTCTTGGATACTCGAATTGATAGACAACGGCAGGAAACATTGTAAACATGAAGTAATTTGGAATTGAAATATTATCTGGGAATTTCATTTCATTATTGCTTGAGACAGTTTGTGTGCTTAACTCAAATTGACAAAAATCCCTACTTCTTTCTAATACTCTAAGAATCTTCTCACTAGCGGTATCTTTATATTTAGCTAGAGCTTTAGTAGAATAATCCAACTCTCTTGTTATACACCACAAGTACCCATTGAAAAAAGAATAAGAATGCATTTTCATTAGGTATACAACTGAATGCAAAAATAAGTAAATTCTAGAAATCCAATGAAGATCAACTAGACACAGTACAGCATAGTAGAAAAATATCATAAAACCGAATTCAAAAACAATTGCCATCCAAATACCAGTATTTTTCCAATGAATTACTCCCCTTTTAACTAACCATTGAATTAGCACTACACCATATGATGCAACGTACATAGAAAAATCTACTTTTGCAACATCTAACTTCTTAGTAATGAAAATATTTAAAATTTCAAAGTTTCTAAAGTTACCGTACTCAGTTTTATAATCTATAAGACCTTTTACAATAATTAAACCTAAAATCATCCAAAACATAACATATAAACCGGAGAAATTTAAAATATATTTTGTTGGAACCCTTTGGTAGTTATAAGTAGACGAATTTCTTACCAAGTCTGCCGAACTAACAGATGTTGAGATAGTTGGAGTTTCTAAATCAGTTGTAGTAGTAATTGTAGATCTAGAATCTATATCATTATTCTGTTTATCTGAGTTAATTTCCAATGTTCTTTCTCTTTTCATTTCTTTCTTAGACTTCTCAAATGCTTTAATTTGTTTCTCAAGAACAGGTCCTTCAAAGGATGATAAATATGGTTCATTAATTGCACCATCGAAAATAGATGGTCTATTATCAAAATCAACATCCGAAAAGAACGAAATGACAGATTCGTTACGATATCTACGTTTCTCAGCTATATGTAAGTTTTTCAAATATCTTTTTAAAAACTCATCATTGTGTAAAAGTTTGTTATCCTCCTCTGTATGGTGACTGATGATACGCTTTAAATCATTATGATCTTCATGTATAGCATGAACATGATCCTTATCATCTTCATTATCTTGTCTATTCATTACTTTGTCGAATACAATTGAGTGACGACGTGTATCACTCTCTACAGAATTCAATTTTTGAATCTCTATAAACTCTTCGTCCTTTAATAAATCTCGATCGGTCATTACGAAAACTTATTCACAGATTGAAAGGAGATATAATATTATCTGAATTAGATGTTGTTTTATTCAAATAATCTGTTTATAAATAATTGATTGCAATTGATTGCAATTGATTACAATTGATTAATACGATAGATGAAGTTTAAAAAACAAAGTAAAGAAAAAATAAAAATCAGGAATGAAATGTGAATAGGAATATCCGAAAATTTATCCTTAGAATTATTTATAGTGTATATTGACAGTCAATTCAACTCAGTGGATCTCTTGTTAAAACCGAGATTATAATAGAAAAGGGTGTAGACGAGAAATCAAGAACTAAGAACAAACAAATTCCTATATATCTGCTACTTCAAAGAAAGAAAAATTATCAGGAAAAGATATACGTTAACTAGTCTGTATATCGTGCCTGTGGATTGATAGTTGTTGTTCCTTCTATTTTCTCTCTTCCTATTATTTTCCCCTTTTCATCCATCAGAGAAACAGTGAAAACCCGCGGGTTAAATATTTACTTTATATTCTAATACGCTTAGTATATATTATGCGATCAAATAAGAGAAAGTACATGGCCAAAAGCAAAGAGATATGAGGATTCTGTTTCAGTTGCCGAAAATGTTTCGGTTAAGGTAAACAAATATTCGTGAATTCCCTCATCGAAATATATCTATATAAGACATTTCATTTATATATAAAAATACACTAAAAATGATTAACCATATTAAACTTTCTCTCTTGATATAAATTACATTTGATATTGGAATGTTCAGTTGATTTCCAACTTATAAATGACCAGAAGCGACACAACCGGTAAATGATGGAGACTGTCAACTAATGACAAAACATCTTACCATATTTGTTTTGGTGAATATTATGTAGTTAAAATATATTTAGAAAAATTTATCAGATTTCGATTCAAGAACCCCTGCAGAAAGTAATTAGTTGCGGGGTACATATAATCTGAGATTTGCTAATAATAAAAAAGTTTATCGTCTCTAAACGTTTGACTTATCTTAATTAATATTTGGAATATACTCCATTTCACCTTTGTAACGATTGTCCCTAAACGAGTTAAATATATTTAATAAAATAGACGCGCCACAATTTTTAATTGTTGGGAGTCTCGTTTAGGAATATGCCTTAGGAAAGCAGATAACTCATATCCTTGAGATAACGGCTAAATAAGGAATGAGATAACAAGAAGAAGGGTTCCGTTTTCCATCTTTAATATCGTTATTCAAGCTAAATGGATTATTAACCCTGTTGTTATTTTGTGATTACGTTTCTTATTCTAAAGCGATTACCTTCACTTGCACGTATGGAAACTAAATTAAATTTTTCTTAACTTTGATAAGTAGATTTGTATGCTCCTCATTTCTATAATTCTCTAAATATGTCACTCAAGATTTACACTTAACTAAAATTATAATTTTTCCTTTCAATTACAGGTACCTTATTAAAATTCAATATTTAACGATCTGGCTAGCATTTAAATAAATTTTAACTTAGATCAATCTATCACTTTACACCGCTTTGGGCGAAAAAGATTGTGAGAGGAAACGGCGAGCAAGAAAAAAAAACATAATTTGCTGAAATAGTACATAAAAATGAAAAATTTCAAAATAGTTTAATTCGATGAGCTGAAAATAGTTGGTTATCAATACTAAGTAATACATATATACACGAACTAATATAAAAAGGAAGATAACCTTAGAGTTAAGAAATATATACATCTAATAATATGTCTCGTCCAGAAGAATTAGCACCACCAGAAATTTTCTATAATGATTCGGAGTCCAAAAAGTATACTGACTCTACCAGAGTTCAACACATTCAAGCAAAAATGACTCTACGTGCTCTTGAATTATTAAATATACCAGATAACAGCTTCATCTTAGATATCGGCTGTGGGTCTGGACTAAGTGGAGAAATTCTTTCAGAAGAAGGTGGCCACATGTGGTGTGGACTAGACATATCACCAAGTATGTTGGCGACTGGATTAACAAGAGATTTAGAAGGTGACTTAATGTTACAAGACATGGGTATCGGTATTCCATTTCGTGCTGGTACATTTGATGCCGCTATAAGTATCAGTGCTATCCAATGGTTATGCAATGCCGATACTTCTTATAATGATCCAAAGAGAAGATTAATGAGATTTTTTAATACATTGTTTGCTGCTTTAAAGAAAGGTGGTAAATTTGTAGCTCAATTTTATCCAAAAAATGATGATCAAGTGGATCAAATCTTACAAGCTGCTAAAGTGGCAGGTTTTAATGGTGGTCTTGTCATTGATGATCCTGAATCCAAAAAAAATAAGAAATTTTACCTGGTTTTAACATCAGGTTCACCAAGAACGAAACAGGAACAAGTGAACTTACAAGGTGTAACAATGGATGCCGAAGAGCTTGGAGAAAATATGACTAACCATGCACGGAGAGCACGTAAGGGTAAAGAGATGGAATCTAGTAAGAGTTTTATTAATAGAAAGAAAGATTTAATGAGAAGACGTGGTAGAAAAGTTGCAAAGGATTCTAAATTCACTGGTAGAAAGAGAAGACCTAGATTTTAGAAACCCATACAGATTATTAATCTTGTTCATAGATTCATTTTTCTTCATTTCTTAATATTTCGCATCCACAATATAAATATACGTACATAATAAATACAAATTATACGCAAAAGAGTCATAATAGATTATTTATTTTTGGCTGCTTTGGATTTATCATTTCACGCAGCAATAATAATATTCCTATCATATATATATATATCGAGATATATAGTCTTCACAAAATCGTGACAAGTTTTTCACCTCTGACCTCACCCTTTCTTAATTTATCAATCAATTCAGGTGCATCATCTAAGCCATTTCTACAGATTTTAACAGGCATATTGTAAATGCCGCCTTGTTGAATTCTTGGTGCAATAAAATTAATAAATTTTGCCACATCTCTTCTATAGATTGGATTTGGAGGGAATGTATACTCACCTATTTCAACTTCATAACCTGTCACAGAATAAATTAAGGTGCTAATAATCTTAATATTATCTCTACGAATTTCAGGTGGAATATCATTAATTGTCAAAAATACAAGTTGCATAATAGTAACGGGTAAGTCGTCAGCTGCACATTGATAAACTTGTCTAATCGTATATTGTTCAGAAACGGCGTCGATTAAATGTTGAATATTATTATATTTACTCTTTATTTGTTGAACAACGTCTTTATCATGGTAATCAAATACATCATCAGCACCAAATTCCTTCAACAAAGCTTCATGTTTCTTGGAGGCAACTGCGATAATCTTACTATAAGAATGTGTTCTTTTTGCTAATTGAATAGCCAATAACCCGACACCAGTAGCACCACCCCAAACTAGCAATGGGAAATCATTTTGTGGCTTTGATGGTTCCCATTCTAATTTATTCCTTAAGTCATGGAATAGTATACCACCAGCGGTAGTTAAGGAAACAGGCAAAGAAACAGCGGCCTCCAATGACTTCACAGGCCCTGGAGCAATGATATCGGTGGATTTTCCAACAGATTTCCAATCTTTTGAAGCAAGAAGAGTAGTGGCAGAATCAACAACTACATATTCTGCCAAGGCGCCATTGTCAGGAGTTCTATTAGATGAACCATGAACAAAAGAATAAACATAATCACCAACTTTAAATTCCTGAGGGGAAATTCCGCCACCAGTAGAATCTCTTCTACCAAACTCTGAGAATGCTGGTGACCCTAAAAGTATGACCTCACCAACAACATCGCAACCCATAATAGCCCCATTTTTGGCTAACTTATAATCGATATGTTTCCATTCAGATGTGTTTAATGCTACTGCAATTGTCCTAATTAGCATATGACCTTCCGGTATATAAGTAGCAACTGGAACATCAGTTTTCACAAGAGCCTTGTCATCATGGATGACAACAGCTTTCATATTAGTTGGAACACCCTGAGGTTGCATAATTAAAAGTAACTATTTGTATGTAAGTTTTGTTTTCTTGAAAGGACTATAATAAAACTCCGATATATGGTAAGGGACGTAATTGAAGATATTCTCTTAAAAATATTAAATGGAGGATTTTATTGAACACAAAACTCTCTTATATAATATTAAGTGTTATGTAATTGTAAGACTAAATGAATGCACTCTTCGAAGGATTATTTATTTTTAATAACTGCCAAAAAAACTTGTTCTTTTAAATCCTTAAATAAAAAAAGTTATTATATTGTTAACCGTTACGAGATGATCTGCCGAAGGTAACCCCTGTTCTTTGTCTTCCATATGCGCCTCACATAAGCGATTAGTAATATCAATGAAAAAAAAGTAGATGTCAGGCTAAAGTATTGAAAAATTCCATGAAATTGTGTCGGTTGTCGCAACAAATGGCCTAGAGATCTATTACGAAAAAGTTTAAAGAGAAAAAGATATGCAATGAAAAATAAAATTAGCATTAAGCACTAAAGTCTATTAATTCTTGTGTGCGGGTGTGCGTGTTTGTGCTGGTGATATAGATACAACGTTATATTATCATTACATTACGACACCCTGAAAGATTTGACTAATAATTCATATGCCAGGATGGAGGGACAATTCCGAAAATAACGTGGCATGTGAAAGTAACAGTCATTATCACATGCTATAACAATAAAGTTTAAAATTTTCTTGAAATTTGTATTCTTCAAAAAGGTATTAATTTGTGTATATTTAAATGGTCATAGTAGCTATGGCTGGTGTTACTCAGAAGCTTTTAAAAGTTGAAAGCACGTGATCTTCGTGGATAGCGATGTGCGCCCATCTGGCTTTCCAATAATAGCGAACAAAATTGAAAGCGAGAGGAATTGTAAGAGGTTTGTCCCCCAAAATAAAGAACAAATAAAGGATGAAAACAGTACTAAATTTGAACAACCATCATTAACAAATACGAAAAAACTTCTTATACAATATTCAAAATACATTAAATTTAAGCATATATCGATAATGTTGAGGACTGTGGGTAGAATATCCGCTAAGTTTCCAACAAGGATATGTATGACTTCGTTGACAAAGAGATTTTATCAAATACCAACAGGTTCACGTAAGATCATACCTGTCTATCCACCTGTTCAGACGTCCCCTGCTGTTAAAAATGCTACCCTATTACAAAAACTATCAGAAATTGATCTAAAAGAAAATCTAGATACAGACGGTTGGAGATTTAAATTGATTGACAAACATAACAAAGACTGCATTAGAGCTGGAGATATCATTAGAATAGTCTATAATAAAGATAAATGTTCTTATGATAATTTTATCGGTTATATTCTATCTGTAGATCGTAAAGAAAGGATACAAGATGCATCAGTGCTATTGAGGAACCAGATATCGAAAGTTATGGTAGAAGTTAGAGTGCCATTATTTTCTCCTTTAGTGGAAAGAGTTGATATCTTAAAGAAATCAGATGGATCTAGAAAGAGAAACAAGCATTATTATATTAGAGGTACCAAATTGGATGTAGGTAATTTAGAATCTAAATTGAGAAAGAAATAGATAAGTTGTACATAAAAATATGTATTTATAACATGTAAATATAATAACAATAATGATATATTCAATAAAATCGATGCACATACTTCTTCTACTTCATTTACTCTCTCACTGTTTTCATATTCTTCTGTGGAAAGCATATTTGGCGCTTAAGATGACACAGTTATTTCCGTTGGATATAAAATTTATTAGAAGTGCAGGAAAATGACGGGATGCGACACAAAATAAACATCTAGATTAATTTCCAATTCTTCACATACGAAGTGCATTAAATCAGAATTTATATATAGATATGTATTAATAACTATGAATATTGATAATTTGGAAGTTTACATAAATTTAAGCTTTTTTTTAAGACTTGCACGTCCACTTTCTACCCTCTAATTGTTAATTGAGCCACTGCCAATAAGGATATAATTATTCCTAATTTCAAGTATATATTAGAGTATCCGTTTCTGAAAAAATAATTAAGTTAAAAGAATGAAGGTGTTTAATTTAGCATTTTTGTTTATTTCTCTTTTGTCACCTAAAGATGTCTGCTGTTTAGAATATTTAGTTAGTCTAAAAACAGATGAGACAATTCAACATTGTATGGAATCATCTATTAGTAAAGGTTACTCTGTCAAAGAATTTTTTGGAGCTAAAATTGGTAAAACATTCTCAATTGGTAGTTTTAAAGGTTTAACTGTCGAATTATCGTCAAGAGAAGTATTGGATAAATTGAAAAAGAATCCATTTGTGGCAGATATTGTACCTAATTTCCAAGTCAAGGCATTCGATGACGAAGAAGGTGGTATTGAGGAAGATATACATTGCTTTGATCCAAATAATGTTAGGGAAGAAAGGGGATCATTTAACGATGCCCATAGGTTCCTTAATCATAGACGTTACAAAGAGAGGTACAGCGATCATGATATGAAGAATGACAACGAAAATCACGATTACGATTATGACTATGAAGACGATGACGAATCAGATGGTGACAATGTGTACAGCAAACCTAAGGTTGTTAAAAAACAATTTGGTGCCCCCAGGCATTTAGCTCGTATTTCCCGCCGTGGTCAATTACCATTTGATTTTCAAAATATAGAAAAATACAAAGGATCCTTTAATTACTACTATGATAAATGGAAGCAAGGTTCTGACGTTAGAGTATATATTTTAGACTCCGGAGTTCATAATAATAAATGTGAATTTGATAATAGAGTTGAATTTGGTCATGATTTTACCGGGGAGGGTCAAGGTGATGGTAATGGTCATGGTACGCATGTGGCAGGGATTGTCGGGTCAAAAACTTTTGGTGTAGCCAAAAAAGTTACAATTGTAGATGTTAAATGTTTGGACGCTAGAGGCCAGGGAACCCTAATTACTGTTTTATCCGCCATTGAATTTGCTGTTAATGACTGTAATAAACATCCAGGAAAGAGATGTGTAGCTAATTTAAGTCTTGGTGCTCTAAAAAATACTATCATTAATAATGCCATTAGAGCCGCGGTAGAAGATGGAGTTGTAATGGTTGTTGCAGCAGGTAATTTTAATATGAATGCATGTTGGAGTAGTCCTGCTTCTGCTCCTGAAGCAATTACAGTTGGTGCTTTTGATGATAGAATTGATACCATCGCCAAATTTAGTAATTGGGGACCATGTGTCGATATTTTTGCTCCTGGTGTTGGGATTGTATCATTATCAAATAGAGTATATCCAAAATATATTGCATATTCCGGTACTTCTATGGCATCACCTAGTGTTTGTGGTATGGTTGCATTATTATTAGATAAAGGTATAGAAAGTAAAGATGCTAAAAGGAAGCTAATTGAAATGGCGACTGATGACATTTTTCAAAAAAGAACTTTGATCTTTAAACCAAAGACTCCAAACAGAATATTATTTAGTGGAATTGACAAAGAGGATGATGATTGTAATAATATGAATTTTCCACAGTTAGATCTTGATGTTTTAATCGAGGAATTAAATGAATATTCTACTACTTCTGATATCAAAGAAAGATACGATAAGAATTATCATTTACGTCTTGACAATGATGTTTTACTTCCATTCCAAGAGTCTCAAATAATGAAAAGAGATGTTAATTAATTTATATAAACTATTCAATTCATTTATTTAAAATGTTATTACAATTCTTTAAAAATGAAAAATTTATTACTAAACATAATAATTCGTTTTTCGTTTTCAATACTTATAACTTCCTTACCAGCTCAAAATGATTTCAAAGTTTATATGAGCTACAGACTTCGAGTTCTCAATAACAAACTCATCTTATATATATATATATATATATATATATATATACGAATATTCTGACAACAATTTTAACTAGAGCGATACTATTTCTTTTCATGCATGTGAAAAATTTACTAATCTAATAACCTTGGTCAATGTTAGTTTTATTGTTCTTACAAAAATCATCATTATCTTTGAATGTAATTGTGATGTAACTATCTCAATTCGTCTAATAAATAGTTATGTGTTTTTCGTTATTTACTCTCATCTATTGAAGTTGAATAAATTATCTTGACATTTAAAGCATCATTCAATCCCATTATGGGAGTACTTCATTTTCTGCGTTAACGCGTAAAATCAAAATCCGCGATGATGATATATTGATGACCACGTTAAAGTTTCATTTCTGCTTAGGATAACAAAAGGCCGTAGAACAATATGCCTCTATAGTAATCAATTATTTATAGTTGAATTTTTAAAAGGCACCAAAGTTCAACCCAACAAAAATTTACCGTACAATTTCAAGATTTGATTCAAGGTAAGATGAAATAACACCAAAAAAGGAGTTTTGCAAAATAACTTATTAGCTACGATTTTAACAATATCATTTATTATGTATCATACAAGACGAAAACTGATTATTATTGTTGGACTTTTTTATAGACGTTTTGTTGAGGAGACAGCTTTAATAAAATTTATTAGGAAATATCCATATATACGTTTGACATTTTCCATACTTGCGAATAATGTAAATGCTGATCATTTTGTTCTAACTGATGAACTACAGTTACTATAAAGCATTTCCTTTCTCCGTATATCTATCTCTCCATAAATTACGACAAATTTTGCTGTGAATTAATTATTATAGTGTCAAAAAAACCAAAAGGAAGGAAAAACAAAAGAAAAAAAAAGATAAATTAAAAATTTCACATGCTAGATAAATTATAAGGACGGACACAACGTCTCAAGTGATATACGTTTCTAAGTAATCATATCGATTAGTAAATGACATCAACCATCTCAACAGTAAGGCAAGCGACAAGTTATGGCACAGGTTTAATTCTGAATAACGAGAGAATAAAGCCTAAGCCGCTGTTTTTCTTGTTTTGTGAATGCAAGCATATGCGTAAATTTTCTACATGATTTCTTAATGCCTGTCTTGACGTATTAAGATGTAGATACTATACATATTTCATTAACACTTTTTATTTTTTGCGTACTTCCAAATATATTTCAATTAGTGATTTATAGTTCGAAGTATTTCAAAAATTAATAACTTTTAAATCAGTTATCTACACAATCTCATTCTCTATTTTAATCACTTGAAGGACAATAGAGAATATATATATATATATATAGAACGAAAATTCCATAAAATCAACATAATATATTTTAGAGAATAAGTAAACCAAGGCATTTTCAACTTAAGATCCAAATTTTTAGTTGTTCCACTGACATATATATATATTATACATATCAATCTACTCAAGCCTTACCATATCAGACAATATTCCAATAAATCAAGGTATTTATCACTATAGTGAATACCATTAATCATCAATTATTTTAAATTTTTTTTTCCAAGGAACTTTTCACTACTCATATCCAGTTTGATTTCAGTCTTCAAGATTAAGTGTATGTATTACTTGAATTTGTTTTTTTATTAATTTAAGATTCCATCCCCTTCGAGTTATTCTGAAAAGAAAATTATTTGAACATATATGAATTTATGCTAAATAATATCATCCATATACATCGTTTCATTGTCATTATTATTGTTATTATTATTTATACTGCTAACGCTAATTATTATACGCGTAGCTTCGTTTCTTTCGCTTATACCGTTAAGTTTTACCCATTTAATGTTCGCGATAGCGTGAATGTGAAAGTTTTACATTTTTTTCCCTCCACTGGTGATAGTTACCATAATTTTTTTGTTTTCGTATCCTTCGTTTTTTTTATTTTTACTGTCAAAGCGAACGAACTTTGATTATTGAAATATTTACAAAATTATGGGCTTATCACCAACATGGACAATTCTTAAATCGGTAAAAGAAATAACAAAGAAATATATCTCACAGAAAAGAAGCTAATTAGATAGACATTTAATCAATTTTGCATTAAAACTCGAATTACATTAATATAAGCCTACTTCTTCAATTTCGTTTATTAAGAGAAGTAATTGATACCAGTTTTAAAAGGTTAACAAGATATATTGAAGAGTTTGGTGTACTATTAAGTTTTTTCTGTTTTAAAGCTTAATCAACCCTTTTTTCTCTTTGAACGTCTGAAATAACATATTCACATAGACAATTGCATTCCAGTTCATAATTTACAAGAGAGTATTTGATTTTCTTATTATTGAACTTTCCTTTCATAAATGCTAATTTAACAAAAAAATAAAATAAAGGACATTATTATAATTTTCAAAATTATAACTAATACAATATTCATTTAATTAATTTTATTCCAATTTTTTTCCCAGAATAACTCATAAGAAGATTATTAATCACCTTGTACAATTCAGGTGGAATCATTTATTTTTTTTTTTATTGAGATTTTTTTAAGAGACTAACATTTATATATACATATTTTTGTTATAATTCTATTATAACTTGTTTCCTCTTTCTTTTTTATCCAAGATTTTGTTGAATTGTACTTTATCCATTACCAGAAGTCGTTTAAATAAATTTGTTCCCAATTACTCTAGTGTTTACATTCGAATCAAGAATAATTATAGGGTTCAAATATTACAACAACATAGAAATATCAATTCCTGTCCAATACTGTTCGGAAAGAGTAACATAAAAATTCATAAACAAACTAGTGGCATCTCCACAATACCAATTCGCCCAATAAGTAAATACATTTACAAAAACAATATGAGTGAAGAAAACTTATTTGAGGATTCTTCATCCAAACGTCAATATGAAATAACAGATTATTCAAAGAAACATATAACATTGGCTCCACATTTTCTAGGTTTGAATACATTAGATAAAGTTGAAGAATCTCCTTTGAAAGATTTCGTGAAGTCTCATGGTGGTCATACTGTCATCTCCAAGATCCTAATTGCTAACAATGGTATTGCCGCAGTCAAAGAAATTCGTTCCGTTAGAAAATGGGCATATGAAGCATTTGGTGATGAGAGAACAGTTCAATTTGTCGCCATGGCTACCCCAGAAGATCTACAAGCTAACTCTGAATATATTCGTATGGCAGATCAATACGTCGAAGTTCCAGGTGGTACAAATAACAATAACTATGCAAATGTAGATTTGATTGTCGATGTTGCCGAAAGAACTGACGTTGATGCTGTCTGGGCTGGTTGGGGTCATGCTTCAGAAAATCCACATCTTCCAGAAAAATTGGCCGCCTCTAAGAGAAAGATTATATTTATCGGTCCTCCAGGTAATGCTATGAGATCGCTTGGTGATAAAATATCCTCTACTATTGTTGCTCAACACGCTAAGGTTCCATGCATTCCATGGTCAGGTACAGGTATTGACAAAGTCCACGTAGATGAACATACAGGTCTAGTATCAGTTAATGATGATGTATACCAACAGGGTTGTTGTCAATCTCCAGAAGATGGTCTTGCAAAGGCTAAGAAGATCGGATTCCCAGTAATGATTAAGGCCTCTGAAGGTGGTGGTGGTAAAGGTATCAGACAAGTTGAACGTGAAGAAGATTTTATTCCATTATACCACCAAGCAGCTAATGAAATCCCAGGTTCTCCAATCTTTATCATGAAACTAGCTGGTAAAGCTCGTCACTTAGAAGTACAATTACTTGCTGATCAATATGGTACCAATATATCACTTTTTGGTCGTGATTGTTCTGTTCAAAGACGTCATCAAAAAATTATTGAAGAAGCTCCAGTTACTATTGCTAATAGTGACACATTTGACAAGATGGCTAATGCTGCCGTCAGACTAGGTAAATTAGTGGGTTATGTATCCGCTGGTACAGTCGAGTATCTATATTCAAGCGAAGAACAAAAGTATTATTTCTTAGAACTGAATCCAAGACTTCAAGTCGAGCATCCAACTACCGAAATGGTTTCCGGTGTTAATTTACCATCTGCACAATTACAAATTGCTATGGGTATCCCAATGCACAGAATTAGCGATATCAGAGTATTATATGGTATGAACCCACATGCTGCAACTGAAATTGATTTTGAATTTAAAACAGAAGCTGCTAAAAAAACGCAAAGAAAACCAGTTCCAAAGGGTCACTGTACCGCTTGTCGTATTACATCTGAAGATCCAAATGAAGGTTTCAAACCATCTGGTGGTTCTTTGCATGAATTAAACTTTAGATCATCATCCAATGTTTGGGGTTATTTCTCTGTTGGTAACAATGGTGGTATTCATTCATTCTCTGATTCTCAATTTGGTCATATTTTTGCCTTTGGTGAAAACAGACAAATGTCTAGGAAACATATGGTGGTGGCGTTAAAGGAACTATCTATTAGAGGTGATTTCAGAACAACCGTTGAATATTTGATAAAACTATTAGAAACCGAAGATTTTGAGGAAAACACAATTACAACTGGTTGGTTAGATGATTTGATCTCACACAAGATGACCGCTGAAAAACCCGATCCAACACTGGCTGTTATTTGTGGTGCCGCTACCAAGGCATTCATCGCCTCAGAGTCAGCCCGCATGGAATATATAGCACAACTTAAAAGAGGTCAAGTTCCAGCTAAGACATTACTTGAAACAATGTTCCCTGTTGAATTTATCCATGAAAACAAAAGATACAAATTTACTGTTGCTAAGTCTGCTGATGATTCATATACCCTATTTATTAACGGCTCCAAATGTGAAGTTCGTGCTGTAAAACTTTCCGACGGTGGTTTACTAATATCGGTAGGTGGTCAATCTCATACAATCTATTGGAAGGAAGAAGCCCAAGCTACAAGATTATCCATCGATTCTATGACTACTTTGCTTGAGGTTGAAAATGATCCAACCCAATTACGTACACCATCCCCAGGTAAATTGGTTAAATTCTTAGTTGAAAATGGTGACCAAATTAAGGCTGGCCAAGCCTATGCTGAAATCGAAGTTATGAAAATGCAAATGCCATTAGTTTCCCAAGAGAATGGTGTTATACAACTATTAAAACAACCTGGTTCTACTATTGCTGCTGGTGATATTATTGCTATGCTTGCTCTAGATGATCCCTCAAAGGTTAAACATGCTCTACCGTTCGAAGGTATGCTACCAGAATTAGGATCTCCAATGGTCGAAGGTACGAAGCCAGCATACAAATTTAAATCATTGGTATCTACTCTACAAAACATATTGAAGGGTTATGACAACCAAGTTATCATGAATGCATCATTACAACAATTAATTGAGGTTTTAAGAGACCCAAGATTACCATATTCTGAATGGAAGTTAAGCATATCTGCTCTACACTCTAGATTACCAATGGCGCTTGATGAAAAACTAGGCAAACTTGTTGATCGTTCTAGCAACAGAAATGCAATCTTCCCTGCAAAACAACTACATAAGATGATGGAAGACGCTGTTAAAGAAGGTGGAGCAGACCCATTATTAGCAACAATTATTGAACCATTAACTGATATCACTAACCGCTATTCTAATGGTCTAGAAGCTCATGAACATTCTGTCTTTGTTAAGTTTTTGGAAGAGTATTACAGTGTTGAAAAGTTATTTAGTTCCCATGGAAACCGTGAAGAGAATGTTATTCTGAAATTACGTGATGAAAACTTAGACTCCTTAGATAAAGTTGTTGAGATTGTATTGTCCCATGCTAAAGTATCTGCCAAAAACACATTGATTCTTGCGATCCTAAAACATTACCAACCAATTTGTAAAATGTCTTCCACTGTTGCCCACATTTTTAGCAAACCATTAAGTCATATTGTTGAACTGGAATCTAAATCTGCTGCCAAGGTTGCACTACAAGCAAGAGAAATTTTGATTCAAGGCGCTTTACCTTCTGTCAAAGAGAGAACTGAACAAATTGAACACATTTTAAGATCCTCAGTTACAAACACATCTTATGGTGACCTAACTCCAAAACTATCTGAACCAAATTTAGATATCTTAAAGGACTTAATCGATTCCAACTACGTTGTTTTTGATGTTCTACTACAATTCCTATGTCATGAGGATCCTGTTATTGCTACTGCTGCTGGTCAAGTTTATGTCCGTCGTGCATACAGAGCCTATACCGTTGGTGAAGTTAAAACACATGGCATTAAAGATTCATCAGTGAACCCTCTAATTGAATGGAAATTCCAACTACCTTCTGCCGCTTTCTCATCCATTCCACAAGTTAAAAGTAAGATTGGTATGAATAGAGCCATGTCCGTGTCTGATTTGTCATACGTTGTGGATAATGAACATGCTCCATTAAGAACTGGTATCCTAGTTGCTTCTGAACATTTAGATGATGTCGATACTTGTTTGGCTCAAGGTCTAGAGGTTATCCCTGAACATGTTGCTGCTAGCAATGGTCCTGCTCCGGACAGATCTGGTAATTCGTCTTCTTTGAGTAACGTCGTTAATGTTTGTGTTGCTAGTACAGAAGGTTTTGAATCCGAAAAGGATATTCTTTCTAGAGTTCATGAAATTCTTGATCTGAATAAACCAGATTTAATCAAATCTGCTGTGCGTCGTATTACATTTATGTTTGGTTTCCCAGATGGTACGTATCCAAAGTATTACACTTTCAATGGTCCAAATTATCAAGAGAATCAAACAATCCGTCACATTGAACCAGCATGCGCTTTCCAATTAGAATTAGGAAGAATGTCTAACTTTAACATAAAGCCAATCTTTACTGATAACAGAAATATCCACGTCTACGAAGCTGTTAGTAAAACATCAGCTCTAGATAAGAGATTCTTCACAAGAGGTATTATTAGAACTGGTCGTATCCGTGATGAGATTTCAATTCAAGAGTACTTAACCTCTGAAGCAAACAAACTAATGAGTGACATTTTAGATAATTTAGAAATTGTTGATACTTCGAATTCTGATTTAAACCACATTTTCATTAATTTTTCTGCTGTCTTTGACGTTTCACCAGAGGATGTCGAAGCTGCTTTTGGTGGTTTCCTAGAAAGATTTGGTAAGAGATTACTAAGACTTCGTGTCTCAGCTGCTGAAATTCGTATCATTATTCAAGACCCTCAAACTGGTGCTGCTGTTCCATTACGTGCTTTAATTAACAATGTCTCCGGCTATGTCGTTAGATCTGAATTATACACAGAAATCAAAAATGCGAAGGGTGAATGGGTTTTCAAGTCTCTTGGTAAGCCAGGCTCTATGCATTTAAGACCTATTGCAACACCTTACCCTGTCAAGGAATGGTTACAACCAAAACGTTATAAGGCACATTTGATGGGTACTACATATCTATATGACTTCCCAGAATTGTTTCACCAAGCTGCTATTACTACATGGGAAAAACACAATTCTAAAAGTTCTGCAAAGGAATTATCTTCTATTAAAGACAGAGATGACTTATTTGTTTCTCACGAATTAATTGAGGATGAAAATGGTGAATTGACTGAGGTCGAAAGGGAACCTGGTGCCAATACTATCGGTATGGTTGCTTTTAAAGTTACTATGAAAACACCCGAATATCCAAGAGGTCGTCAATTCGTTATTGTTGCTAACGACATTACATTCAAGATTGGTTCATTTGGTCCACAAGAAGATGAATTTTTCAACAAAGTTACAGAATATGCCAGAAAGAGAGGTATTCCAAGAATTTATCTAGCTGCCAATTCTGGTGCTAGAATCGGTATTGCCGAAGAATTAATTCCACTATTCCAAGTCGCATGGAATGACCCTGCTGTCCCAGCTAAGGGATTTGAATATTTATATTTGACAAAGGATGGTATGGACACATTAAAGAATTATTCTAAAGAGAATTCTGTTATCACTGAACGTATTGTCGAAGAAGGTGAAGAAAGATATGTTATCAAATCTATTATTGGTGCTGATGATGGTCTAGGTGTCGAATGTTTAAGAGGTTCTGGTTTAATTGCTGGTGCCACATCAAGAGCATACCAAGATATTTTCACAATTACATTAGTTACCTGTAGATCTGTTGGTATCGGTGCTTATTTGGTAAGATTAGGTCAAAGAGCAATTCAAATTGAAGGTCAACCAATTATTCTAACTGGTGCCCCTGCTATTAACAAGGTTTTAGGTAGAGAAGTTTATTCTTCTAATTTACAACTTGGTGGTACTCAAATCATGTACAATAATGGTGTTTCTCATTTAACTGCGTCTGATGATTTACAAGCTGTTGAACAAATTATTAAATGGTTATCCTATGTGCCTGCTAAACGTAATATGCCTGTTCCAATTCTAGAAACCGAAGATAAATGGGATAGAGCCATTGATTATAGACCAACTGTTAATGAACAATATGATGTTAGATGGATGATTGAAGGTCGCCAATGTGAGAATGGTGATTTCGAATATGGTATGTTCGATAAAGGTTCATTCTTTGAAACATTATCAGGTTGGGCTAAGGGTGTTGTTGTTGGTAGAGCCCGTCTTGGTGGTATTCCAATCGGTGTTATTGGTGTTGAAACAAGAACTATTGAAAATGTCATTCCAGCTGATCCAGCTAATCCAGACTCTACAGAGACTGTTGTTCAAGAAGCTGGTCAAGTATGGTATCCAAATTCTGCTTTCAAGACATCTCAAGCCATTAAAGATTTCAATCATGGTGAACAATTACCATTAATGATTTTAGCTAATTGGAGAGGTTTCTCTGGTGGTCAACGTGATATGTATAATGAGGTATTAAAGTATGGTTCATTTATTGTTGATGCTTTAGTTGATTACAAACAACCAATTTTCATTTATATCCCACCAACAGGTGAATTAAGAGGTGGTTCTTGGGTCGTCGTTGATCCAACCATTAACAGTGATCATATGGAAATGTATGCTGATAAGGATTCTCGTGCAGGTGTCCTTGAACCTTCAGGTATGGTTGGTATTAAATATCGTAGAGAGAAATTATTAGCCACAATAACCAGATTAGATTCCACATACAAAGAATTAAAAGAAAAATTATCCAGTAAGAGTTTAACTAATGAAGAACATCAAAAGATTTCAATTCAATTAGCAGAACGTGAAAGAATGTTAATTCCAATTTATAATCAAATTAGTGTTCAATTTGCTGATTTACATGATAGATCATCTCGTATGTTAAAGAAAGATGTTATTAAAGCTGAATTAATATGGGAAGAATCACGTCGTTATTTCTTCTGGAGATTAAGAAGAAGATTAGATGAAGAATATTTATTAAGAAGATTAGATCAAGAATTAACTCAAGCTTCAAGATTAGAAAAGATTGCTAGAATTAGATCATGGTATCCAACCTCTGTTAATGTCGATAATGATAAAGAAGTTGTTACATGGATTGAAGAACACTATGATATTCTTGAAGAAAAATTAAAATCTTTAAAATTAGAATCATTTGCATTAAATTTAGCTAAAAATATTAGAAATGATCATGATAATAGTATGAAGGGATTAGAAGAAGTTGTTCGTATGTTAAGTACCTCAGATAAAGCAAGATTAAATGCTATTATTAATCCAGAACAAAAATCCTAAAAATAAATAAACCAAATATTGCTATATATATAAATTATACTGTACATTAAAATAAAATAAAATAAAATAAAATATTTTATGTTAAAAAGAGAAACACTGTTTAAGGTTTAAAATATTCGTTATTATATATATATCAAATATATATAAATATTTCTGTATGTCTGTATGTATGTATGTATGTATTGAGTCGTTAAAATTTGTTATGAGAGAAAAAGTAGAGCAAAAATAAAAATAGAGATGAAAATCAAATAAAAATCAAGAAGATTCAATTCATTTGAATGAAATAGCAAAAAAATAACAAGCCTAAATACACAATGTGAATGTGTGAGTGATTCTCAATTACAATTTCTTGTATAATGCTTTGTTAAAACGAATAGCCACAGAATTTCTTCTATGATGATGTTTTGAACATGGGCAATCTAGATTAATATCAATATCATTAAAAGTAGTATGATACATTAAATCTGATGGTCCACCGTCAATAGTGGCAATTCTTCTTAAGGGTTGTTCATGATTACATTCATTTATATTTTCCATTTTTTTATTGTAATTTAAATTATTATTTTGATCAATTTTGCTATATAAATTTTTAAAAATTTGTGGTTCACTAAATCTTCTTAAATCATTATTATTTTGATGTTGTGATGATGATATCATTGAATATCTATGAAATGCAGTACGTGGAACGCATTGATATAATTTATTAAAATCATTTTGTTTTAATTCGTTTGTTTTTGTATTATTGTTACTTTCTGTTGTATAAGCTGAACAATAACCTTCTGATATACTATCGGATAGTGAAGGTGATCTTGACATTGATACAGAATTATAATCACTATTATTATTTTGAATATTATTATTGTTATTGTTGTTTTGAATATTATTTGAAATATTAGATAATAATGATGAAGAAGAGGAAGAAGATTTTAATTCTTGTTGAATATTCATTACTGTTCCGACTACTTCAAATGGATCATCATCTTCCTTATTTAAATTTAAATTATCATTATCATTATCATCATTATTATTTGTTGAATCACCTCTATATGTAAATATAAGTTGTCCACATAGAGGTTTGCAACCTGTATTAATTAAACTGTGTTCGCTAGATATTGAATCTACAGTACTCATTTTCGACACATATGTGATTGAAATTTTTAAATGCAAATGTCTATACGTTTATATTATGCAAGTAAAAGAAATAGATAATGAAGGAAAAAGAAAAAGTATTGTTTCTAATAGATCAGAAAATTAAATCAAAAACAATGATTACTATATATATATATATGGATTACTACTGGTGCAAAACAAAAAAAAACTGTCTTTTAGTTAATTTCAATATATTATTCAACAGAAATTAAAAGGCAGAAAAAAAGTGATTCCTTTCAGAAGCATGATGCTTTCTATATAGTTAAAACGTATTAAAGTTTAAATTATTTAATTAAATTAATTATGTTTTTGATATCCTTTCGTTTATTCTGTCCATCCATCAATTAGAGATTGTCCTCTTCTTCTTATTCACCTGTTTTATGTAATTAAAATTATACTTTTCATTCACTCATGATACGGTTGTTAATACTAATATTTGTATGTGGCTGTAGTGGTAGTAGCTGCATTGTCTTTTGTGGTTTCAAATCAGAAATGTGTGTGTGTGTGTATGTGTGTGTCTTACTGCCATTTCCTCTGGGCCCCCCTCGTTTTCCCCCTTCTCTTTCTCTCTCTCTCGTAGCAATTCTCTCTTTGTTTTGTTGAGTGCCTCGGCGTAATTAACGTGGGGGATGCTACGAAGGAAAAAGGGGAACGGTGGAAAACTCCGAGAGTTCTGTAACACACACGCAGAGAGGGCGAGAGAGAGAGAGAAAGCAACGGCAAGCTATTAAAAAGCTTATGTTGCGTTGTGCTTTTTATTGCATCGCCGTTCGGAATCGCTTAAATTGAATAAATTGAATAATTTATTAGCGTATCTATTTATCTATCCATCTATCTATATATCTATATATACATGTTTGATATAGCTTGTACTGCCATGTTACTGCAGCAGTAATAACAAGTCGTGTGAATAAGGTATAGTGAGAACCACATTATTAAGCTGTACACAGCTAAATTACTGTTGATTGGTGTGTCTATATTGTTTTTGCTGCCAATAGCAAATAATATGTATCTCATAGTGTTAGATATATTCAAAACTTAATAAAATATGCAATCTCCTATTATATCATAGTGTACGATTGAAACAGTCACATGACCGTTTCATATCGTTACATACGGGTATCCATGTTTCTTTTTTTTTCTTTCTGGAAGAAAAACGAAGGTAGACACACACGCACATCCGCACACCCACAACGGGAATTAGTGGAAGCCCTTATCCATTTTTCTTTTTTCCTTAGCTCGTGCACAAAGGAAATGGCGACTCCTTCCGTCCCCCTCGTGTGTGATCCCGGTTTCCTTCAGCGCAACAAGAATCTGTAAGCAACAGACAAAAAAGAGACAGGATGCCCCGAGCGAATTAATATTTATAAAAAAAATATTATGTAAACCGGCAGTTAAAAACTGTACCAACAGGTGCTCGCTGTTTAAATTTTTGCTGCTTAATACATAAAATAATAATATAATTTATATGAACCGCCCTTCTCTCCCTCTCTCTCTGTCGCCGGTTTTAATTGAATAATAGCAAGATATTGATTATACGTATTTTGTATACCGGTAAACTTAACGTAATATACTTTCACTTTAATCCTACTTTGTAAATAGTAATTGCGGGCATTTATTTCTCAAATTTTGCCAATGGATTAATGATGATGATGATGATGTTGATGATTGCAATAATAACAACAATAATAATAATAATAATGATTAACGTGAAGTGTTACTTATCTGTTTGTTGTCTTGTTTGTGTTCCTTAAATGTGAGGCAAGTTATGCTATGCAGAAAAGTGAAAAATGAAAAATTTATTTCATCCTTTCACTCGCTTCAGTTAGCAAAATTCTTCTGACTATATTATGGTGAGGTAAAGTAGAAGCGAAAAAAAATACAAGAAAATTATTGAATATACTTTCATCTCAATTTTTTTAATTTTTTTATTTTGATTATACCATCAATTAATTTAATTATTACCTAACTTTAAACTTCTTTTTTTCACAATTTTTTTCTTCTTCTTCTTATTCTTGTATTAATTGATGATATATTAAAAAACATACAAACTTCATTTAATAGTTTCTAATTTTCTTTTTTTTTTATTTAACTTTAGTATTGTTAAAAGGTTTTAAGCAAGATTCACTTCACTGACATATCCAATATAGATAATATAGATATTATTTTAACTATGGCTGTGAATACTCCTATTGTAAATGGGACATCTTATGCCACCGTTGTTGCTTACTCAAAGGATTCTTATCAAAAAGCTGTTGAATTTTATTCAAAATTATTAGAATTAAATGTTTCAAATGGAGGTATTTGTTCAGATAATGAAACTTTACTATCAAATTCTGCTATTGCAGTTAAAGTTTCATTACAAGAAAATGAAAATAAACAAACTGAAATTGATAACCAAATTAAATATTTAAATTCCATTTCAAAGACAAATGATTGGAGATCTCATGTTAATCAATCTCTTGTATTTAATACAACAGATTTAGAATCTTTACAAGATGCTTTTAAACAATTAGATTATCCAAATCAAGCTTTCCCATCTGATTTATTACCAATGCAATTATACACTATTGACCCATTAGGTAATATTATTGGTGTTACTTCAACAAAGAATGCAGTTTCAACAAAATCTAATTTACCAGGTTCTTCAACTGTATCAGGTACTGCCGTAGCAACAGCTACTCATACACCAGGTTCTGTCTCCAAGAATCATTCTTTTACTGATTTATCTTATTTAGTTAAGACTTCAAACAATTATCCATCTTTACCAAAGGATACTACTCCTTTAGCTCAAAAGAAATCTATTGCTGTAATGACTTCAGGTGGTGACGCTCAAGGTATGAATTCTAATGTTCGTGCTATTGTTCGTTCAACTATCTTTAAAGGTTGTCGTGCTTTTGTCGTTATGGAAGGTTATGAAGGTTTAGTTAAAGGTGGTCCAGAATATATCAAAGAATTCACCTGGGAAGATGTTAGAGGTTGGTCTGCTGAAGGTGGTACTAATATTGGTACTGCTAGATGTCTAGAATTCAGACAAAGAGAAGGTAGATTATTAGGTGCTCAACATTTAATCGAAGCCGGTGTTGATGCTTTAATCGTTTGTGGTGGTGATGGTTCTTTAACTGGTGCTGATCTATTTAGATCCGAATGGCCTTCTTTAATTAAAGAACTTTTGGATAACAAAAGAATTACCGAAGAACAACACACTAGATATCAACATTTGAACATTTGTGGTACCGTTGGTTCCATTGATAATGATATGTCAACCACTGATGCTACCATTGGTGCTTACTCTGCTTTAGATAGAATTTGTACCGCTATTGATTACGTCGAAGCTACCGCTAACTCTCATTCAAGAGCATTCGTTGTTGAAGTCATGGGTAGAAACTGTGGTTGGTTAGCTCTATTGGCTGGTATCGCTACTTCTGCTGATTATATCTTTATCCCAGAAAAGCCAGCTACTTCCAGTGAATGGCAAGATCAAATGTGTGATATTGTCGCCAAACACAGAGCAAGAGGTAAGAGAACAACTATTGTTATTGTTGCTGAAGGTGCCATTGCTGCTGATTTAACTCCAATCTCCACTGCTGATGTCCATAAGGTTCTTGTTGACAGATTAGGTCTAGACACCAGAATCACCACTTTGGGTCATGTTCAAAGAGGTGGTACTGCTGTCGCTTACGATCGTATGTTGGCCACTTTACAAGGTGTTGAAGCTGTTAACGCTGTTCTTGAATCATCTCCAGAGACTCCATCCCCATTGATTGCCATTAATGAAAACAAAATTGTTCGTAAACCACTTGTTGAATCTGTTAAATTGACTAAAGCTGTTGCTGCTGCCATTCAAGCTAAGGATTTCAAGAAAGCTATGTCTCTAAGAGATACTGAATTTATTGAACATTTGAATAACTTCATGGCTATCAACTCTGCTGATCACAACACTCCAAAGTTAAGTGAAGATAAGAGACTAAAGATTGCTATTGTTAATGTCGGTGCCCCAGCTGGTGGTATCAACTCTGCCGTTTACTCCATGGCTACATACTGTATGTCTCAAGGTCACAAACCTTATGGTATATACAACGGTTGGTCCGGTCTAGCTAGACATGAATCCGTCAGATCTTTGGACTGGAAGGAAATGATCGGCTGGCAATCACGTGGTGGTTCTGAATTAGGTACCAACAGAGTCACTCCAGAAGAAGCTGACATTGGTATGGTTGCTTACTATTTCCAAAAATACCAATTCGACGGTTTAATTATTGTCGGTGGGTTTGAAGCTTTCACTTCTTTACATCAATTAGAAAAGGCTAGAGAAAGTTATCCAGCTTTCAGAATCCCAATGGTCTTACTTCCAGCTACTTTGTCTAACAACGTTCCAGGTACTGAATACTCTCTAGGTTGTGATACTTCCTTGAACGCTCTAATGGAATATTGTGATGTTGTCAAACAATCCGCTGCCTCCACTAGAGGTAGAGCCTTCGTTGTTGACTGCCAAGGTGGTAACTCCGGTTACTTGGCTACCTGTGCTTCTTTAAGTGTTGGTGCCGCTGCTTCTTATGTCCCTGAAGAAGGTATCCGTTTGGAACAACTACAACAAGATATTACCTCTCTTGGTGAATCATTCGAAAGAGCTGAAGGTAGAAACGGTTTCGGTAAGTTAATTCTAAAGAGTACAAATGCTTCTAAGGCTATGTCTGCTGAAGACATTGCTAAGATCATCACTGCTGAAGCCCAAGGTGAATTCGATGCCAAGGCTGCTGTTCCAGGTCATATCCAACAAGGTGGTATCCCATCTCCAATCGATAGAACTAGAGCCACCAGATTGGCCGTCAGAGCTGTTGACTTCATTGAAAAGAGTCAAAGTACTCTAGAGGTTACTCGTGCTGGTGACGAAGATTACAATTCTGATAACAAGGAATTAGCTGACACAGCTACTGTTCTAGGTATCAAGGGTTCTCACGTCGCTTTCTCTGGTATCAGAAAACTATATGATTTCGAGACTGAAATCGAAAAGAGAATGCCAAAGGTTATTCACTGGGAACAAACTAGAGCCATTGCTGACCATTTGGTTGGTAGAAAGAGAGTTTAAGTAAATTTTCTATGACTTCAAACGAAAACTAAAATCAAGAACATTTTTTTTTAACTCCTTTTCTTTCCTTCTTATTAATTATATTAACTTATTTAATAATTACTATTTTTATGTATACGATATAGATGATTTCAAAATTGATTTAAATTATAAAACCTTTTCGAGTGTAACTTAAATTAGAATATGTTTTGGCGTATTTAGTTTGATGCGGTTACAAAATCACTAGACACGAGCGGAAGCATCTGTTTATTTACATTTAAACAAATAGTGCTATATTTATTTTGAATCAAAACTAACAGTAATCTTAGACAATTAAAACGTTAAGTCATAGTCAACTATTTTTAATCACATAGCAGTTAATCAAGAGAGTGATTATATCGCTGTTCATATATAATAAACAAAAAACACAGATAATTATTATTCTGGAAAACAAAAACTACACTCAATGGTTGAGGTGGAAGGAAATTACAACACTGCCTCAAAATCTCCATTTAAGAGTATCAAACGAGCATTAAAATTCCATAAACAACATGATCGAAGTACTATAACACAGACAATACCAAGCCTTGAGTATAATTCTTATGGTAAGTCCCAAGGATCACCGATAAAGGCTAAAACTACCACTGCAAGTTCTCGCAAATCTAAATTATCGGATAATAGAAAGTCTGCACAACGAATATCTCTCTTCTATTGCGATAACGTTAAGGTACTACACGGAGCATTATCTACCATGACACCAACATTAGAAGATTTTCGTTATACAACTACGTCGTTGCTAGCGATGGGGCCGTTAGAGATATATGAAATCAAGACGAATAGCTCATGTTCAAAATATTTAACTATTGGGAAAAATAGTGACATTATTCATCCATTACTTCCAAAATTGAAAGTAACCAAGCTGATTATTCATGAAAATGGTGATGTGATTAACAGCTACTATATATCATTCTCTAATCCGTCACGATTCTGGGAAATTCAGTTCCCTCATTGTGACGATGCCGATCATAACCAATTTGAGAGTGTAATATCTAATTTTTGCAGGCTCATGTGTCTTGAAGATAAAGATGAAACTCAAAAGGTGATGCACAATGAAAATATTGATGACGACTCGAAAACAATCAATAATGAGAGCCTCGACGACCTGAACTATCTATTAGAAGACAGCGATAGTGATAATGATGACACAAGTGATGAAAAGAAGATTGAGAAATATAACAGGAATAAAACATACGGCGATTCCGTTTTTATATCGAATTCCAGATCAGAGATGCTAAGCAGCTCAAAACAGATCAATATACAATTTAGGAAAGTGATAGAAGATGTATTACCATCTCCAGATACCACATTAACTCAAAATAAATGGACCTGGAAACATTCAAAATATCAAAATTCCTCTATTTCTGATAAAAATAGTCATAAAATGTCTTACAGAAGAAGTTTGTACATTTCCAATACAAATACTTTATTCGATCTTGGATCAATAAAGAATAACAGACGATCTGTGTCTGGATTATCAGATTACGATACATTAGTATCTTTGCATAACTTACGGATTTAACATAACCTACTAATTCCATATAATGGTAGTTATATATCCAAAAATTAATACTTACATATCTATCTCTATATTTATATTCAATAACAAGACATATGAAACAACAACAACAACAACAACGCACAATAAAGTATGTTAAAATGTGATTATATTAAATGGAAGTCAATATTTCGTAGTATATTAAATTATATTATATTTTATTTTTTTTATTCTTTAAAAAAATTATATGGACAAGATAAAATGATATTAATACACATATATGGGATGGGTTAGTATAGAAAGATGCGATACAATATTTAATGAGTTTAATCTTTCACTCATGTTTTATTTTTCGATGTAGTATGTGAAGAAATTGAATAGACAAAAGCAAAAACAAACAAACAAACAAATAAACACACAAAAAAGTATACATATACGCATAGAAAACACAAAACAAATGTGTACACATATGATTCATTAAAACTATGGTATAACTTAAGCTGGTGGTGCTTGTAGTGGGTTACCTTCAGCATCAAGACCTTGTTGCATCATTAGAAGTTCTTGGTTACCAGCAGTTTCAAATTGTAGACCACAACCTAATTTACTTTCATTCTTTGCATGATCGATTTCACCACAGAATAATATAGACAAAGTTGGTAAAACCTTTCTTTCTAAGAAACATGCAACTTTACCGGTTGAATCGACAGTACCACGGTATACGGATTGTCTATATTCATACTTAGCACCAACAGTAGTAGAACCTTCGATAGTTGGTTGAATACCAATTGGAGTACCAAGTACAGGGTCCGTAATTGGGATCATACCAGCTTGTAGAGAAGTTTCAATACCAGCTTCGACATTTGGTGTGATTTTTCTCCAGAAAGAAGATACTAGAGCACCGTTAGCTTGCAATTGACCAGAGAATATCCAATCTTGCTTCTTGGATACGTATCTAGTTAAATAAGAGACACCTGCATCAGCTGGACTAGTAGCTTGACTCTTGGAGTATAATAATTCCAGACCTAGGGATAATTGTGGAGTAATACTTTGCAAGATAGAACCAACGGCAACACCAGCAAAATCTGGGATTAATGAGTTATCTTTAGTGAAAGAGAAAGATGGGTTCAAAGTCTTAAAATTCAATGAGAAATCTGAAGCTTGGTAATCTTGTTCCAATTGACACATAGAAGGTTGACCATTAGCAATTTGTAGATTAACTTTGGAAATATTATTTTTATCCCAACCATAGTTTAATCTACCCGATAATGATAAATCATTGTCCAAATTACCTTGAACAAACAAATTATCATCAGCAAATAAAGCACTGAAAGCATAGTTGGGTAAAGAAGTTGAACCAATAGAAAAAGTATGGGAAGTTTGGAAAGCTGGGTTTAAGGAGAAAGCTTTGTTTAAATCGGCTCTTAAACCAGTGAAGAAATATTGAGATAAAAATACATCTCTTGAGACTTCTTTGTTTAAGTTTTCAACGGTACCTGGATTAACAAGAGATAAAGATTCTCTATGAGAATGTAATTGTTTGTAACCGTCGATAATAAAACTAGAAATAGGGTTAGAGGACCAAAAGGAGCCCTTTGCTTGATCAGGAGTCATCGGAGAAGCACCTTCAGTAATAGGTAGTTTATTTAGATCCGCTATAGGAGTAACAGTTTTGGTTGTTTCAGTAGACATGATTTAAGTGAATGGAAGTTAAAAATAACACAGAAATATAAAATGACAACTATATTGAAAATTAAATAAACTTAAGTTTGTAGTTTAGTACTATTTCCTTTGTTCTCTTCTATTTCAATAACCTTAATTTCCTTGGTCTAGTTGAAATAACTTAATATGTTGTTAAAAAAAAACAATCGATTCAATGATAATAATGTTATAGTAATTGAATAACGCTGTAGAGATCACAAACGAATGTTTAATTGATTTACTGATATTGTCCCTGTTCTCCCTCTCTGTGTGTATGATCGAAACAAAAAGGTAAAATGGACCTTGTGAGCCAGAGAGGGAAAGCTCACCTTTCCCGTAACGGTGCTTTTTTCTTGACTGTTTTTGTCCTTTTCGCCCAATGCGAATTTTCTATTCGTTTTTATTTTGGGTTGTACTTATTTGTGCGTCGTTAATAGTGATGAAGAAGTCGTAAACTATGACAATAATACCGAATTGATTGGTTTAATTCTTTTGATCTAAGTTATCAAAAGTTTACTTAAAAGAATGTTCCATTTTTCAAAAATTTACAATAATATTTTATAAATAAATAAATATATATATATATATGTATGTTTGTATATGAGGGAGCTCTAATAGCTAGAAAAGGAGTTAGAAACAAATAATAAAGAAACAGTAGTTCAAATCACAAAAGGTTTGAAATTAATTTTAAAATTTCCCATTTTGAATTAAATTCTTACCCATATCCTTTGCAGTTAAATAAACTGTCTTACCTAAAGTGTAAAGATCCAAAGTACTTGAGAAAGTATCTAAGAAACCGAAAGGTAACATACATGGGATCCAACCTTGAGCCAATTCCAAGGCGAAAGAACCACTTGGCATAGCGTACTGTTTAGACCACCCCTTTGGTAAATGATGAGTCATACCAGGAGTGTAAATTTCTGGAGTTAAAGCATTTGGGAAAGCAGCATATTGTTCACCATGTAAGATTGTGAAATAATCATCAGCAAAATGAACACCTGTATGACCTTCAGTACCAACGGCAGTACCGAAAAATATCACATATTCAGTAATTGAAGCATGTAAAATAATCATTTGACCCATGGCACCACCCGCATTGTTAAATACCCAATCTTCAGGAACGTATTTATTAATATATTCTTCACCATAATGAGATGCTAAAGCGTCTCTAAGATCACTTAATAAAGCATCTGTAGAGAAAGTTTCTTCATTAGTTGTAGCGTTGTGCTTGGCAATAACAGTATTACAAATTTGATTCAATGTGTTTACATCAAATATGTAATTAGTTGGTAGCCATGTATAATATACACTGTTTAGCAAATAACCGATTACTCCTAGTAATAAAATAATTGGGAAACACTTCATATCTAAATCAAGTAATCAGCAGTTTTACGGATACTTTTACAATTGAATCAAGAGGCAAAAAGCAAAACACAACAACAAAACGAAACTTATTTTCGAAATTTGCAATTGAATAAATATACTTTGTAAATTATTATTCCAGAAAGTAACTATATATATATTTATATAAATCAAAAGGGATTGTGCTCAAAGCAACAAATAAATCATTTTTAAAACCGTCCTTTGCGATGGCTCGTATAATCAAATCGACAAGGCTTTAGTTTAACTGAAATATTCTTTAATAAAATGATGGACCTTCGTATGTCTCACAATAACAACCGTTCGTATAGAAGATTCAGATCAATTGATTTCCCCAAACGAGTTTTTTCTTCGTCTCCCTTTCGCTCCGAGAAAGAAAAAAATATTTGTCGCTACGGCATTTTCTTACTGTCTTATTATTATAACCGAAATACCCACCAAAGTCAATTGACTGAGTGAAGAGTAAAATACACCTAGATTTAGATGCAACAATGCAATACAAAGAGAATGATATCTGCATACCTATTTTTGGTGGTTGGCTTTACCGAATGCATGTTGAAGTACTACGATTATGTCAAGACTAAGAATCAAAATGATTCCGGCATCTACAATTGTATTATTCTTGACGATTTTATGTAATCATACTAATATGTAGTAACAACATCTATAACGTATGTACACATATAGAATTGTATTACGGAACAGAGACAGTCCGACAAAAAACACGGGAAAGTAACGCAGGCAAACCAAAAAAAAATATAAGGTGATGATAATCGATTACATCATATGAAAAATAAAAGAGAGAGAGAGATAAATGTGGTATTTGTAAGCTCATCGCAAGATCTTAGAAGATAAACTAATGAAAATATAGATATACTATATCAACCAATGAATGATAAACTCGTTGTATGAACCAGTGATGAATGCTGAACAGAAGGCTAAAATAGTATGTATTAATAACATGTGTGTTCCTCCATTACAAATATATAATACTAACAATCATATATTCAATTTGATAATTTTTGGATATTGATATTATTAGGCTGCTAATAGAAAACTTGCTTTAGAACGTTTAAAGAAAAGAGGAATATTGAATAAATCTCAACAGAATTTAATAGAGAAACGATTCGAACCTCCAAAACCTGTTCCAACGATACCTATTGTTGTAACAAATAATAATAATAATAATAATCATAATGGAAAACCAAACCAACAAGTAACAATAAATCAATCATCAACTCCATATATTCAATCTAGAGATGCTAGCACTAATACTAATACAGGGACAGGGACATCACCAACAAAAATAAATAAGATTAGGCCATCGATTAAAGAGAAAGATTATATTGAATATAATTTTGCGACAATTAAAAATCTTAATGGTGGTTATATTAATCCACAGGATAAAGTTTATAATGAAGGTGATCCTGATTATTATGGGGATGATAGTCATAATGATAAAAAATTAAAAACAATGCAAGATTGGAAAAATGAACAAAAAGAGAGAAGAATGCTTTATGAAAATGCGCCACCTCCTGAACATTCATCTGTTGCAATTAAATGTATTGAATGTCATATTAATATTGAAATGGATCCTATATTAGATGATATCTTTAAATTAAAAGTCTGCAAAACTTGTGCTAAAGAACATCCTGAAAAATATTCTTTATTAACAAAGACAGAATGCAAAGAAGATTATTTTTTAACGGACCCTGAATTAAATGATATTCAACTATTTCATAGATTAGAAAAACCTAATCCTCATTCAGGTACTTTTGCAAGAATGCAATTGTTTGTTAGATGTGAAATTGAAAATTATGCTTATAAAAAATGGGGAGGTGAAGAAGGTTTAGATAATGAATGGAAACGTAGAGAAGAAGGTAAATTGAAAAGAAGAGAAAAAAGATATAATGATAAAATTAAAGAAATGAGAATTAAAACAAGAGCTCAAGAATACACAAATAGATTAAGAGATAAAAAATATGGTAAGACACATAATCATAATTTTAGTGATCCTATACCGAGTGGGAAAGATGAAGATGGTTTTACATTATTAAAACGACGTTGTATAGAATGTGGACTTGAAACAGAAGAAGTATCTTTGTAAATGATTATATTTTTCTCTATTATTATATCAGGCTGTCATGAAAATGGAAAAAAAAAAGATGGAAGCCAAAGACAAATAAATAGTAGATAAATATAAGAAGACCTAATAATGTACATTTCCTTTTAAATATATGAATGTATGTGTGAAAATATATATGTATATATATATGTGAAATGAATAGAAAAACCCATCATTTTGTGTTGCTTTCTCTAGGAATAAAATGATAAGTACAACCAACAACAACTAATACTCCCCTTAAAAATCTAATAAGCTAGGAATGCAATTGAACCAACACCTAACAAAACCATAGACACATACCAGAAGACATTTGAGAAAATGAATCCTTGATGATTGTTCTTAACAGCATTAGTTCTATGTTTATTTTCTAAACCTCTCTTGACAAGTTCACTTAAAGATCTCTTAGAATTAGAAGAACCAGTCTCCGAAGCACTATCATCTGAATTGTCTGTTGGGTTTAATGTTTCGGTAGGTAACATCATAGGTGGTCTATAGGCCAAATATAATGGTTGCAATGGAGAACCATCAAATTGATATAATTGTAATTTATAGATCCCATGATATGGATCAACACCAACTGCAAAAGATTTGAATGTTTCAGTTTGATTATATCTAGAATATACAGAAGTACCGTCATCATTACATGGATCACTTAATAATTGTCTACCATCAACTTTGATTGGGGTTAATACTAAAGTACCATTACTTGAAATATTATATGTACCATGTTGATAAATGACAGCTGCAACTGGACAACCTGGTTTCTTTGGGTTAGCACTAACTTGGTAGGTAGCTTCCTCAAAGTAACCATCTTCAGTGAAAGAATATGATAAACCTGGTAAAGATGGTTCTATTAGAAGTTCATCAACTGGATCATAAAATCCTGGTCCTGTAAATACTTGGTTTGATTTAGATGACCATGTACCATATAAAGATTCAGCTGTACTATCATCGGCATAAGTCTTAGCAACTAATAGCGTGCTTACGAGAAATAGGATTGATTTCAGCATCTTCGTATTGTGCTATCTTTGTATTTTTTTTGTTTGGTGATATAATATATTAAAAATAATTTTGAAAACTTGAATTTTGTTGTAACACGAAAAAGAAACAAATGATTAAACCAGAAATATAACTTGGTATATATTATCAATATATGTAATCTAAACTTCTTCAAGTAAACACTCGTTCAGCCCTACTAGTTACTTTGTTGTGTAACACGTTATGAATTATATTCGCATTATATAAAATAAAAAATATTAATAGTTTTTTCTCTGTTGCTTCAACCATTTTGGGGGCTTTTAATTTAATATTTTTTTCCCTCTCGCTGTTTCTACTCAGCAAAAACCAAAAAAAAAAGCTATTTTGTTAGCATTGAAAGGAAGACAGGCTTTTCTCTCTCAGTGTGATGGGAATAAGAAAGGATAGCATTCTGTAATAGCAATATGTGGGCTTTAATGTATTTTGTACCAGACAATGTAGTTACGTAAGTTTTAAAGAATGTTAGTTACATTTGAAATTGAATTTTGATAATATATACACCAATACCGAGCAAAGGAGTGTTTGCTTTTGTAGTATTTATATATATATATATATATATATATTCAATAGTATTAAGAATCGGACTTGTTTGTTGAGCATAAATTATTAATATTAAAATTAGGCTATGTTATGTAAGAATTAGATATATTAAAGAATATTATAATTAAGGAATTTTGTAG